TTATAATAATAAAAACGCTAAACTAATAATAAGTTAGATAGGTAGAAACGCTAGCTATACTAAACTTTATAATCTAACACTAAAAGAGTACTAAAAATAGAGTAGTAAATATACTTAGCTATAGAGCTAACTACGTAGATACTATAAAAAAGAAATATAAAGCTATACTTTATATAAGACTAGATAGAACTCTAGAATATAATAGACTATAAGTTAGCTAGATTATAGAGATTAGAGACTAGTAGAATAATAGGTTAGAGCTACCTAATAAATAGAGATAGTAAGAAGTGCTAGAGACGTTATAAATAGAGTTTATCTAGAAATTCTATAGTATAATAATATATAGATACTAAGAAATTAAGCGTACTCTTAAAAGACTATAGTAAGAATATAGATTCTCTATAATAAAGAAAAAAGTTATAGAGATAGTATAAAAATATATAGAATACTAATAAAATAAGATAGTTAAGTACTAACTATATAGGTTACTATAACCTCTAGAACTACCTATAGTACTATAGTAACACGTTACTATAGACTTTATTACTAAGCTACCTAGGTTAGTTAAACCTGCGTTAAGAAGAAAGTGCGACGCTATCTTAGTAATTATAGACTAATTTACTAAGTACGTATACTTCTACCTAACTAGTAAGACTCTTAAAGCTAAAGAACTAGCTTATAAGGTAAGCTAATAGCTATTTAGCTAGCATAGAATACTAGAACAGGTTACTATAGATAGAGATAAGCTATTTACGTCTAAGTTCTAGAACATACTACTTAGCTAAATAGAGATAAGTAATTAGATATTAACTAGCTTTTACCTATAGACTAATAGATAAATAGAGTAAATAAACTAAACTCTAGAAGAATACCTAAGAAACTACGTTAACTAGAAATAAAATAACTAGGTTAAACTACTACCTATAGTATAACTAGTATACAATATAGTAAAATAAGAGACTATAGAGATAACTCTCTATTAAGTATACTATAGCTATAAGACTAGAATATATAAATTCTTAATATATATAGCTATAATTTCTTTAAAGATAAAAGAAAAAGAACGCTAAATAAGAATAATCTATAATAGACTATAAAAAATAGTAGAAAGAATAACCTAATAAGTAAATAAGAAAAGAATTAAGAGACTAACCTTTAAGAAGAGAGGTAAAGTTTTTATTCTATAAAAAAACTTACGTACTAAACAACCTAGTAAAAAACTTAACTACTTATAAATTAGACTATTTAAAATTAATAGATAACTTAGACTTATTAACTTTAGACTAAAGCTACTACTAATAATATAAATATACCTTATATTCTATAAATCTAAACTTAAGCTAGCGCCTAATAATATACTACTTAATAAATAAACTAAGGTAGAACTAGACTAGAACTTTAAGGTTAAGAAAATACTAGATAAAAAATGTATACAAGGTTAGTAAAAGTACTAGGTTAGATAAGAAGAATATCTACTAGAGAAAGACACCTAGAAACTACTAGAAAACCTTAAGAACTACTCTAAGAAACTTAAGAAGTTTTGTTAGCGCTACTACTTCTAAGACCTAGAGACTAGAACTCTAGATTCTCTAGATAGCTCTAGTTAAACAACTAAAGAGAATTAATTAGAGAAATAGAAGATTATAGTAGTAAGAGCTACTACGCCTTACGCTTTAACCTTTCTAGCTTCTTAATATTAGCTAGGTCTTTTAAAAGTAACGCGTCGCAATAACACTATATTAGCTCTAACTACTTCTAAAGACGCTTACTCTACGTATTAGTAGATTGCTAGAATTTGTCTAGAAGAGCCTCTTAGGCACGCAAGTAATTTAGCTCTAGCCGCCGCGACTTAGCTAGGCACTCTGCCTTAAGACTAGCCTTAGACTACTAAGAACGTAGATTAGCCGCTAACTAATCTAGCTTCTCTACCTCTTTCTAGTCTAGTATCTTATTATAAGGCTAGTTTCTTACAAGACACTTAGAATAGCAACTAGATAACACCTCTACAACGCAACGTAGGTTATAAAAGTAGTAAGTATTATAAGAATTATTAGATATATCTACGCTAGTACGTAGAACAAGGTTAGTATAGTAATAATAATAAACTATTAAAGACTTAGCACGTATAGGTAGCATAGTAAGAATAGAAAGAAAGAAGAGAATATAATACTATAGAACTATAGGTAGTACTACTCTTATATAGAGATAGTATAGAATAACAAAATACTATATCTAGAAATAAGATAGAGCTTTAGAATAATACTTTAGAAGAAGAAGTAGATGTTACAATTATAGAATTAGAAATAGGGTTAACTAGCTAGAATAGAGAAAATAGTAGGCTAAGCCTAGAATTATAAGATAGAAGGTTATATATAGAGTTATAGAAATAATTAGAGTTACGTAATAAGAATTAGATAGATTAAATAGATCTAGATCTAATCTATAGATTAGATTCTAATTTAGAGAATCTATAGAAGCTAGGTCTTAGTATCTAATCTAGCTAAGATAGTATATATATATAACTAGAAGAAGCTTACTTCTTATAGCTTCTTATAGTTATTACTTTATTTTACTAAATTACTATAGAGACTTGCGATTTATAGTATTATTACCTTTACCTCTTTATTACTAAAGATTCTAGCCTAAAGTATACCTCTTACCTTCTCTTACAAAAGTAAGCCTTAGTCTTAGTTAAGAGAATAGCTTATAACACTTCTATCTCTTATTATACTATACTTAGAAGAGCTAGCGCTATAGAAGTTTTCTAGAAACCTTTATTACGTTATTAATACTATATACTATAAGTTTTATATATTATTATAGAGATATAATAGTACTAACTAGAAGTAAACTAGATTTTTCTTAAAAGTTACCTAAATACGTATAGTATTTTAATTACGTAATATATTCTAGTATAACTTTACTATAAGATATAATATACTCTAAAGAATATATATATATATTTTTTATAGATAAATATTAAGGTTTCGCTTAGTTATTTAAGAAAAGCTTATTAATATTCGTTAATTTTTCTTGCTAAGAAATCGTAAGGCTTTTAGTAATATAAGGCTTTCGGTAATAAAGTACGTTATAAACTTATTATATTATATATTATAGTAGAGTTTAACTATATAGAGCGTATTAACTAATAATCTAGTAGCTTTAAGTAGTTATTTAAAAGTAAAGTCTTTTTATAGTATAGTTTAGAAAGATAGAAATATACTAAAACTATTTTAGAATTATTACTTCTAAATATATAGAAGACTTTTAATATATATAAGCTTATAATATATAACTTTATATAGCTAGATTATTTATATATATTTATAGCTAGAGAAGAAAATTCTAGAAAGAATATTTTTAAGCTTTTATCTCTTATTACGCTATACCTAGAAGAGCTAGCGTTATAGAAGTTTTCTAAAAACCTTTATTAAGTTATAAATACTATATACTATAAGTTTTATAGATTATTATAGAGATATAATACTACTAACTAGAAGTAAACTAGATTTTTTCTTAAAAGTTAGTTTAATACGTATAGCTTTTTAATTACGTAATATATCTTAGTATAACTTTACTATAAGGTATAATATACTATAAAGAATATATATATAAATTTTTATAGAAAAATATTAAGGTTTTACTTAGTTATTTAAGAAAAATAGGTTAATTTTCGTTAATTTTCGTTACTAAGAGAAAGTAACTAGCTTGCTTATATAACTAGCTTGCTTGTAAAGTATATTATACTAGTACTATCTAATATATTATATTACTACTTCTTAGTATATTATCTACCTATCTTACTACTTACCTTATAGCTATTTAGAAGAACTATTAGTAGAAGCTACTATATAGTATCTAGTAGAAGAACTAGAACGTATTAATTACGTAATCGCGCTAGTCTAGTGTATATAGCTAGAGCTTTTAGCTCTTATATAATTAATAATATTATACTTTACTTCGTTACTTTAATAGATAGCATGGCTGCGGGCTTAGTGCTAAATTTTATTTTTACAAGCAAAGACACTGTTCCTCTTGGGTCTTTATTTCCTAGCCTTGGAGGACCTACTCTAGACTGCACACGTGTCGGCGTCTTACTCTTGGCTAAGAAATGCGATCGTCGCAGTGCTTGTAGAATGCCGTAGAGTCTTGTGCTTTCGTTTTCACATACACAAGATGTAACAGGCTTCGAAAAGTGTCTTAGGGCTGCGCAAGCCTGAAGAAGAAGAAAAATAAACATCCTCCTGTCTTCCTTCCTCGCACAATGCCCTTACACAGCAGTTATAGTAAAACCCCTTTTCCCAAGCGGTTTTCTACCGATCTCCCACCCAATAGCTCTTAACCCCAATACCCGACGATGCCCCATGCCGCATACGTCACCCCGCATCGACATTCCCCAAACCGCACCCACTCACACCTCATCATCCCGCGGGTTCTTCGGAACGCCTCACGAGACCAAACCATCCAGACCCTCTTCTGCTCAGCGCACAGAAAGCATAGATAAGGCTCCACGCCCTGACTGGCTTATAACGCCCTTACCCCGCCAAGCACCCGATCGACGGATAGGAAAGCTTGTGCTCGTTGGTGGACTTGGCAGGGCTGAAGATATGGCTTTGGGAAGCTATTTGCTGGGTAGAAGAGTGGGGTGATGCGTCTGGGGATCGGCTTGGGGCGGGCGTTGTGAATGGCTAGCTGGTGGGTGCGGTGCGGCTTTTTCTGGGGTAAGTGCGTAGGGCAGATCGGGAGGTGTGAGGCGTGCAGTTTTAGGCGGAGGAGGGGGAGCAACGGTATATATAGGGCGCTGGGGGCGATGGCCCGGCAGAGCGATTCTGTGTACGTAAAACTCACCTCCCGCTTTTCATCGAGGGTTACCGCTTTGGGAAAGTCTCTTGGAAGGTTTCGACCAATACTTGACGTTGCTGTTACTATATCGAATACTAGCCGACACGGCCCATACGCAGACCAGCCAGGACAGACTGCCCCGGCGTAGCTATAGCAGGATGGCGGAAGAGACGAGCTTCGAGCGCTATACTTCGTACGGTCGTGGTGGCGCGGGCAATCTACGTATGTTCTACCCAGGAGCCTTGACTATCTGGTTGGTTGATGCTTACATCTACCCAGGCCGTCCATCCGCCGTCGAAGAAGCAACGAAGAAGCTTGCCTCCATGGCTGAAGAAGGTACGTTAGTCCACATCATCATCGCTGGCTTGTGTCGTAGCATAGGACAGGCAGGCCTGACAGATGCGACAGTAGCAACCAAGCCCAGGCGAAGCAGTACCTGGAGCATGAACTCGAACGGGGAACGGAGAGGCAGTATCGCCAGTCTGAAGAACTTGTTCAGGCGTGGGAGTAACGCGGAGGAAGTGGAGAAGATTGAGGAATAGAGTGATTAGGCCTCAGCTTTCCCGTGTCTCTACAAGGCTATCAGGAATGGTGTCGGTTGGCTTTAATACCAGGCTGCTAATTTTTGTTTGGTTGGCCGTGTACGAGTATCTGTCATTACGGGATCATGAATTAATGTGACCGGTTTCATCGCTCGGCTTACGATTTTACTGTTCTGTGATATTGGCCAGCTTGAGCCTATACAGGTGGGGAGCACTCGAGTACGTGTTCTTGATCCATATTACGTGGACGGCGGCCTCACAGTGAGACACGAGAACCGCGGCCATCAGGTGCATCGCGGCATGGAAATTTTTAAGCTTGCTGCCAATGCTGTACGCTGTCTGGGAGGTCTACATTTGCGAAAAGTCGCAAGAGATGATGAGAAAGCGGATTTCGGTCCTTGATGCTTGATGATCAAGGAGAAGCTGAGCGATGGAGAAGGCGAGGTACAAGCAGCTCTTTCCCGTATCGGGTTAGCGTTTATGCGGGGCAGCAGCGTGATCATTCAGGCAGCACTTTTGACAGCTTCATCACTCGCGGCACCTCTCTTTTGAGCACTGCATGTCTATTCATCTCAAACTAGACTTCGAATAGGTGGTGGCATTCTTTGCTGCACGTCTTTCATCCTCTTGCCATCCACAGCTTGCTTCAACCGACGGCACACACAAGGCTGAGGCTGAGGCTGAGGGGCGTCATCGGGTCTCGAGACCTACGAACACCACGACCATGGCTCCTTTCAATTCGCACTCGGCAGTTACCGCTCACCAAGGCTTCCATAGCATGTCTGCGGGTGCTTATCCCCACATCCACGGTATGCAGCCCGAGCCAGAAGCCCAGCTCAATATCAGCGAAGAGCACGAAGACTACGAGGGTTATGAAGACTACGAGGAATACGATGAATCAGACTGGGACTGGCCATACACAGCAGATTTGAAAATGAAATCCAAGTGGCCTCCGCACCCCTCCATCGCCGGCTGCCGATACTTCACGTCAAGGGAGGAAGCCGCGAAGAAAGCATTGATCATACCACCACCGCCGCCTTTCTTCGACGCTTCGCGCTGGTACTTCGAGCCCGACGCCACCTCAAGCGGAGTGGGCAAGTGGAATACATGTCACTTGCTATCCCTACCGAAAGAGCTGCGTTTGGAGATCTGGAAGTACGTCTTGTCGGATCCCTCGGTGCCTGATCTTGTAGTGCGCATCCGCCGACAACCGTCCAGCCCCTGCTACAAGCTTACACGCGCTCCGGACCCACGCATCAGGACATCATTGCGGCCGCCTCGAAACTGTCCGATCAACTTGAACTTGCTTCTTGTGAACCGATTCATCTACGAGGAGGCTCTGCCGATTCTCTATGGCTCCGTTAAGTTTGCTCCTTCGGATTTGGAAGGTATATTCCCAGTGTTTCTGGATTCGCTATCTCCCTCAGCGCTGCCTCTCATTCGGCACATCAAGCTGTCTATCCCGGACTCATTGTCTGATTCCTACTTGTTCGGGGATATCTCAAAACCACTCTTCCATTGGGCAATCACATGTGCCCAGGTTGCCAAACTGAACGACACTTTGCGCACCGTCGAAGTGGAGGGAGACATGTGGGCTTTTGAAGGACCACGGAATAGAAGGGCCCTTCTCTACCCTCTTTGCAAGATCAAAGCTGCCAAGAAATGGTCGGTACCAAACGAAGACGCCCAGTTCCAACGACTCCTCGCCGAAGCCGACGAGGAGCTGAAGGCTAAAGCAAAGCTGCGCGAAGAACGAACCAAAGCCGAAGCCGAAGAGCGCGCACGACGTGCTGAGCGTGAGTTAAGTAACCCGCGGAGCATCGCGCAGTTTGAGAAAGAGTTGACCGAAAACGCATGGTCTGCAGACACCTGTGAAGGAACTCTTGAAGGGGATCCGGAGTTTGAGGCCGAGGCCGAGTCCGAGACTGAAGATTGGGATATGGTGAGCTTGAGGAGTGGGACTTCTACTCCGCAGGCGAGACCTGTGAGTGCGATGTCCGATGCCAACGATGAGATCTGGATGGATACTGCGTCTACCATTGTTGGAAAGGAAGATGTAACGGAAGGAGACGGGGGCGGTGGGCAGGCGGATAAATTGGAACGCCTCGGCAAGTGACTTGTCGCATCGCTGTTGATTAACCGATCTGTATTACATCCCTGGATAGTAAGAAATCTCTGTTCAATCCCATGGGCGCTCCACAGATCTGGAGCAGCATCGCTATTCATTAGTGATGATAGTCATCTAGATGCAGTCGAAGTTCGAAAGCCAGGTATCGGTAACCCATGAGCCGAAGACTCCCAGGCATATGATCGCCGCCGCAAACGAGCCCTCATCAATGCTTAGCGCAGTTGAAGCTTTTTCTCTCCGACCAGAGGCTCTCCATGTACCACGAAGAACCGCTTTTTAGTTCCAGCCGCAAGAGATTCATGAGGGCAATGAAGCGCGTTCTCCGAACGTGACGTCCTCTCCTGTTCTTTTTGAACCAAATTGCCGTCTCAGCGCGAGAGCGAGAGCGAGACAGGAACCATGGCGGAGAGAAGACTGTTTCTAGAACACGCTAGACATCGAATTGCGCATCGTCGCTCTTTGGCGTCGGGCAGAAGGGTGAGGGTTGAGACAGAAGTCCGAGAAACAGAGAACTAGTTTATCGGCGGCAGCATGTGAGCATGGTTTTGGTTACTAGCAAAAGGGCATGTTTAGGATGAACGGGGGGTTTGGTACAAGAAAACTAGTGGCATGGTGTTTCGCGAGACAGAATTTCTTCCCGGGCATGGGAGAGCGGCGACTGGGTTTGCTGTGGAGAGAGGATGAAGTGCGCATAACTTGAACTGCCTGTGGTTTTCATTCTTAGGAACAATTCTGATGACGGCATGGTAATCGGTGCCTAGTGTAAAGACCGTGCTGAAGTACTTCAGGAAATTATTGGCCTTCACGTTCACCCTCCTTCTCCCCAGAGAGAGCCCAGCGCATCACGCCTAAACGCCAGATAATCCGGCTTTCTCCATATTCTTGTCGTATGGACTTTTTTCGTGTCCGCTTCATATCACTCTCAGGCTTTGCATTTTAGGCCACTGGAATTGTAAACCACTGAACGGTTTTGTTTTAGAAGTCGACCATGGGTGTTGAGCTTGTTGCATTTTGGTGCGCAGAAAATAGACGAAGAATGCGTTGGCGGTGGAGGAAAGATTGGGTTTAAATACCCTGGAGACGACGGTTGGGGTGGGTTGAGATGAGCGGCGTCGGAATGCTTCGGAACGGGGATCGGAATTGGATGTGGGAATGTTTGAAGAACACTGGATTTGCATACGAGGACTGCCATGGCTTTAAAGAGAGCTCCCGGTACTTGGAAAGGGTTAGAGATTTAAGTATTATGTGTTTGCTTTGATAGTTGGATATTTGGACTGCTTCCCTTCTTTCGAAGGCTTGACGTCCATTGCATGGATAGAACTCCCGCCCACGTAAACGCGCGGTGCTCCGCTCCGAACTATAATTGCCGGGCGGTAACCATAAAATGCCCGTGTCGTTCTCCGTTTTTGCCTTATGCTCCGAACCGTGGGTGCTGCGTTATCGCGGAAGAAGCGCATAAGCACCTTCCTATCCGGGAAATACTTGCGCAGATCCCCAGGAACTCAACGTCCCCGCGGCTTACCTACAAGCGAACATCGAATGGTTCTAGGAAGAGAGCGCTCCGATGTAAAGTACCCACGAATGGGAGGGCTGGTGGGAGAATTGGTAATGGGGGAAGGTCACGACGAGATAAGTGGAGGATCGAAGCTTGAGCTGGATAGAAAGACATGAGCTTACCTCGCTGTTTGTCCCTTGAGCCTATTTCAACGTGCTTCTTTCGTAGAACCGAACTTGTGTCCGCTCGCTATCATCCAAGATGAAGCTCTCAAGCCCACTGTCGCTCTGCATCGCGGCCATCAGCTCCCTCACATCCTCCACTCTCATCACCGCCTCGGGCAACATCTCGCTTCCCAACACCAACCTCACTCTCCTCGGGAATGTCTACAACCACTGGGTTCCCCTTGGAAACAAAACCTTCGACCTGACTCGCTCACTCATCTACCCAACCACCACTCCCCTCACGATTCCCATGACCGGCTCGCGGAAGAGCGCCATCATCGAGCCCTCGCGCAGCGCCCTCATCATAATCGACATGCAGAATTTCTTCCTGCACCCGGAGCTGAGCCCCAAGGCAACGGCGGGAAGGACGGCTGTGGACCCTACGCTGAAGATGATCGATGGGTTTAGGAAGAAGGGGATGAAGGTGCTGTGGGTGAATTGGGGACTGGACGGGTGGGATTTGGAGACGATGCCAGCGAGCTTTTTGGCGGGGTTTAGTGGGGGGACGGATAGTCCACTGAGTAATTAATCGAGGAAGTGAAGGGTAGGAAAGGGGCTGACGAGAAAACAGCGACGTTTGGCAGCGATATGGGCACGTTGAGTGATGGGACGGCAGTGGGACTGAAGTTGATGCGCGGTGCGTGGAACGCGAGACCGTATGGGCCGCTGTATGATGCGCAGGTTGAGGGTGTGGCGAATGGGACGGATTTATATTTCCACAAGAGTATGCGCGGTGTTGAGATTGGCGAGTGGACGGGCTGACCAAGGAATAGATCGCCTGAGTGGGCTTTGGGGTGCGCAGACGCCGCTCGGAATGTGGCTGCAGGAGAATCAGATGACGACGCTGTTCTTTGGGGGCGTTAATGCGGATCAATGTGTGGTGAGTAATGCGGTTTCATAGCGAGTGCAACAGCTCACGTCGCTGGCAGTGGGGAACGTTCCTTGACGCATATTATAAGGTGAGCATCGCGCTCTGTGCGACAAGAGCGAGGTTGACCTGGATAGGGATATGACGTCGTCTACGTGGATGACATCGCAGCAACGACGAGTCCTGAATAGTAGGTAAAGGCGTGACGGGTAGCATTAATGCGCACTAACGGATCGCTAGCGCTACACAAATGGTGAGATACAACGCGAATGGTAAGAATGCTCGTGGCCTCAATATCTCTAAATGCTGATGCTATCCAGGCGACGGGTTCTTGTCGAATTCATCCTTGATTCTGTCAGCTATTGCATGATAGAGAAAAGAGTTAAGCGACGGAAGGAGGAAAAGTGAAGAGACTACGTAGCCGTTGTCTCAGCCAGCACAAGCATCAAAAATAGCAAACATGCTCCTCGTTCCCTTTCCACCTTCAGCCTGCTCCTTCGGCACTACTCCGTTCAGCCACATCCGATGATAGTCCACTCCCGCCCAGGCCCAGCCAAGTTCTTCGAACACCTTCCGGCCCTGCGGATTCGGCCCAAAGATCTCCGCGACCATGCTTCCGCTAGACTCACTGAGGCGGTTCATAGCGACATATAGGAGCCTAAGGGCCTCTGAGTACGTCTCGGCGTAGAGTGGTCCGAAGCGGTGTCCATGTTCACAGCGCCGGACGAGGATACAGCCACGCAGTTCCTGGGGGTTTGAGGTGGAGAAGAGGGCGTACCCAAAAACGTCCTCGCGGGCGAGAAGCGCGTTATAGTAGGCGGGTCGCTCAAGGCCGGTAAAATCCAGGTCGAATTTTGTAAGCAATTTCGGATTGACGGATTTGATATCCCGGAGTTCACCCTTAATGCCGACGTTCTGTGACTGGGTTGCTGGGAGGGGCTTCTCTTTCAGTGAAGGCCTCGTTAGAAGATGTACTTTGGCGCAGTCATGGAAACCCCGACGCCCGTAGGTGTTGACCTGTTCTCGTACGCCATCCAGTCCGACTACTGCGGTGTTGCTAGCGTTGAATGATGCCTGCGCCTCTTTCATGAGCGCACCCCCAAATCCGTTGCCTCTTATCGGCGCATTCAGAATGAAGAACCCTACCCAGCCGGTGTTATTGGGGTAGTTGAACGCGACGATGCATCCTTCGGCCTTGTTTGTTTCCTGATCGATGAGCAGCAACCAGTCTTTTCCGTCCCGGGCGGCGTGGAAGTGGGTGATAGCGTCGTCCGCATCTCGATTCTGCCTGACAATTAGCATCAACCTAGCGTAAGAGTTCTGAGGCGATTAATACGGCCATATTAACTTACCCATGCCAGCTCTTTCATTAAGGGCCACCAAACCGCTGATGCCTCCTCGACATTCTTGGTTGGGCGGATGATGAATTTCTCATTGTCCGCAACCATGACGCGCCCGATGAGATATCAAATGTGTGATTGACTGGGGACTTAAGTAAGATTAGGAAAGAGGCACGAAAGGTCTAATAACGAACCGCTCCTGGAACTCCGAGCGCCGGATGCAGTGCGGTGGACTGTTGGTTCAGTTAGCGGACGAGAGGGGGTTCGGGTTTTTTTAGCCTCCCGCGCGAAGCAGCGGTCAGCTGGGTCAGTAAGCACTGCTGAGACACAATCCATTATTAGTCCTTCCAGCTTAGCTTGCAATTTGATTCCAGCTGAGGTTGCAGTTTGATTCCAGCATCAGTGGGGCAGTGACCTGACGAAGCGGGCACTGAAAAATGAGCAGCTGTAATGGGCTATTGCTTGCAACTATGTATGCAACACTGCAACTTGTCTCGAGCGAGATAGGGGCAGATGAAAGGGATAATGAACGTGAAATATGAAGCAATGAGGAAGTCGCGGATCTCAGGGTCCGGAGAGCCACAACTTGTTGACATGACTCGTGTGCACCGCCACACCTGACTCGGTGTTACCAGCCATCAAAATTTCCCCGCCATACTTTGTACATCTGCATCCTACCAGATCTCACTGCCCAAGATGCCACCGAACCCCTGCGCGTCATGCAAGACAAATCGCGCTCTTATCCTCCGCCCGAAAGACCATTCGAAGCTGTGTAAAGGCTGCTTCATCGACGTGTTCGAAGCCGAGATCCACCACACTATCACCGCGAACAAACTCTTCTACCGTGGCGAGAAGATCGCAATTGGCGCATCGGGCGGGAAAGATAGTACTGTCTTAGCGTCAGTTCTCAAGACACTGAATGAGCGGTATGACTACGGTGTTGAACTCATTCTGTTGTCGATCGACGAAGGAATCAAGGGATACCGCGATGACTCCCTCGAGACTGTTAAGCGCAATGCGCAGCAGTACAATATGCCGCTGACAATTCTTGGATACGACGAGCTGTATGGATGGACAATGGATCAGGTTGTCGAGCAAGTAGGCAAGAAAGGGAATTGCACATACTGTGGCGTATTCAGGCGGCAGGCGCTCGATCGCGGAGCAGCGAGATTGGGAGTCAAGCATGTCGTTACTGGGCATAACGCCGACGATGTCGCGGAGACGGTGCTTATGAACTGTAAGCTATCATACCATCTTCTCGTCGTTGAAGCATACGGCTAATATGCCTTCCAGTGCTGCGCGCCGACCTTCCTCGTCTCTCGCGAACAACCTCCATCGTAACGTCCACTCCATCCGCGTCCTTGGATCCGAACTCGCACACCAACATTAAGCGCAGCAAGCCCCTCAAGTATGCCTACGAGAAGGAGATCGTCCTCTACGCCCACCACAAGAACCTAGACTACTTCAGCACAGAATGCATATACTCGCCCGAAGCCTTCCGCGGCAGCGCGCGAGCCCTCATCAAGAACCTCGAACGCATCCGACCGAGCGCGATTCTCGACGTTGTCCGCAGCGGAGAAGATATGGCGAAGCTTGTACCGGGCAGCGACGAGGGCTGCGGAGGCGCATGCGGCAATGCCGTTCCTGCAGGCGAGGAAGAGGAGGGAGGATGCGGGAGCGCGAACGGAAGGACAGCAGGCGGCGACATGGCGAACATGGAACAACACCTCGCGCAGAATGAAGCAGCTGCCGAGAACGGGCTAGAAGTAGAAATCACGTCGAGGCACATCAACGACACGCACGACAGCTCTGTACCCCTCCCAGCCGGCAAGAAAGGAAAGAAGAATAAGGGGCCGTCCTCTACACAACGCAAGACGACAAAACAGGTCATGGGTCAATGCAAGAGGTGCGGGTACCTGTCGAGCCAAGACATTTGCAAAGCATGCGTGCTACTCGAAGGACTAAATAAGAACCGCCCTAAGAATAAGATCGAAGTGGGTTACGAGGACGGACAAGAGACGGAGAAGGAGCTAAATAGTGTTACCAACGGGTTGAACAAGCTGCACGTTGAAGGTGGTTGAAGGCGCTTCCTTGCGCACACGAAAGGACACACAACACAACCACCCCGCAAAGCACGCGACACATCGAATCTAGGACACACGCGGTACGATCTGGCTAGAAAACAAACGTCAACACCACATCCGTCCAAGCCGCCCGCCCAAGCTCATCCGAGCGCGTGCGCCACACGGAACCACATGACACCTGCTCGCTACCCTTGAACAAATCCGATCCACCCCAACATCCCAGCGGACCCTCCCGAATCCAAAACCCACCCTACCCTCCATCTTTCAAAACCCGTTCGCGTTCCTTGCGCCCATGTGTCTTATATTCCCTATCAACCCTCGTGCTTGGTTAAGTCCGCCTGACTTCAACCGGTCATGTCGCGCTGTGCGAATCACGCGCGGATACACATGGCAAGGGGGCGGTTGATCAACACAGCACAATCTCGAGGCCTTGGCTACACGGGTACAGTAGGCGTGCGCCGCATGGCCTTGCGCATGCTTGTCCTGCCTTGCGCAAGGACCGCTGCTAATGTGCACGACGTTGGTGCAACGACCCTCTGTGCCAACTACTTAGTTGAAGCCGTGAGACGAGGTAGGGGACATGGTTCGGGTGGGTTGATTCACACGAAGGAGCTTATAATAGTTAGGCAGTGCCGCGTCACATTCCGATCTATCTGTATGTTGGCACGGAAATCATGACACCGCGAGAGGGTGTACTTTTTCTATGATTCTGGCACCCGAGGTGCCAAACCGTTCAATAATACACTAGACACTAGATAGTGAAGAAGAGGGTAATGCTGATGAACAAAGGGAAAAATAATGCTATGCAAATGCAACCGGTGAAACGCCACCCATCCCAGTGTTCCGCCCAGTCCATATGCAAGTGCCTAGCCCGTGTGAAGTACCCAAAACACCGTGTGTATGCAAAACCCTCTTGAACCTCTGCATGCTCCCATCTATCCCGCCTAGAGATTAAAGCTCCACTCGCCCGTCAGCTGCCACGGGCCCTCAACCTCGATAGTGTTCTTAGAGCTATCCCACTTGCCCGCTGCGCGAGCGTGATCCTGGCCCAGCACAACGACTTTGGAGACGGTGATGCTCTCGCCGTTCTGGCCCGAGTACGCAAACGAGCCCGAGCAAGAGAACTTGCTGCCGTCGAAGCTGAACTCGATCTCGCTCGTGTTTGGCTGGTCAATCTTCTCGCCCTCATCGAGGTACAAGCGACCCTTCGCCTTGCCGTCTTCGCCCGGCGCAACGACGATGTAGAAGTCCTCTTTGCGTAGCTCGGCGGTCGTGTTGGCAGAGTTCATGCGGTGCGGGATGATAGTGCCGCCGCGGATGTGCACGGGGATATCGGTCCAGCTGACGTCCGAGACAGTGACGTTTGCGCCCTCGCCTTGCACGCGCTCGTGCGTCCAGTAGTCGTAGAAGACGTCATCGGGGAGGTAGAAGGTGACGGTCTCCGAGTAGTCGGTGGTGACGGGGCTGATGAGCAGCGCGTCGCCGTAGAACCACTGTTCCTGGATCGCGAAGGTGTTTTCATCCTCCGGGTAGAGATAGAACAGAGGGTTTATCATAGGCGTGCCGGTGGTGGTCTGATAGTACAGCCCCGTGTAGATGTAGTCTATGAGCTTGTAGCGCGTGTCGATAGCTTTCTTCGCCGCCTCCGTGACAAGCGGCCACTGGTAGAATTCCTGAGGCGTGGAGCTAATTTCAGCGTGGTTGCGATAGAAGGGCTGAAAGGCACCTAGGAGCGCCCAGCGTGCACACATGTACTGCTCCGCATTGCCGTTGAAGCCACAGACATCGGAGCCGACCATGGGCATCTGGTGCATGGCGACGAAGGCGAGCATTTGACGGATCGAGATGCGGTAGTCCTCCCATGCGGATTGGTTATCACCGAACCAGTGGGTTACTTTGCTGCCCGAGCCTGCGAAGGTGGAGCGTGTGAGCGTCATGGGACGGAGGCCGGGGCGCCGGGAGAGCATTGCGTCGTTTGTGGTGGTCGCCATCATGTGGCCGTAGAGATTGTGCGTGTCGTATTGTTTGGTTCCATCGTAGTTGCTGGTGTTGAACAAGAGCGTGAAGTCCGAGATATTACCTCGGTGGTTGCGGATCTGGTACTTTGGATGGAACCACTCGCGATTTGGTATGCCCTTCATCGAGCCGTTGGCAGCTTGACGGGGAACCAAAGACACATCCTTGGTCTTGAGTGATACATCCCTACTCTTAAGTGATCGCGCGACAGCTGTTCCACCCGGCTGGAAGTCGGCCGGGAAGCCAGGGATCGGACGGCCCGTGTTGGGACGCGGCGAATGCGCGGGCTGCGGTGGATCGTTCTGCTCGACTGCACTCTCCCTAGGTTTGCAGGTCTCATCTGCGCAGAAGTTGGAGGCTTCATTCATATCGACCCAGATGCCGTCAAGGTCAATGCCGGTCTCGGGATCGAAGAAGCGCGTAACCTCATCCGTCCACCACTTGGCTGTGTTCGGTGCGAACCAATCCGGCCAGGCTACCGCTCCAGCCCACTGCACACCGAGGTAGTCGGTGCCGTCCGCATGCTTGAGGAACACGTCCATGTCATGGCCCCGAGTATAGGTTGAGTAGTTGCCCACGGCATGAATACCAGGATCGAGGATTAGGACATAGCGCTGGCCCCGCTGGTGTAGCGTGGTGACAAGCTCCTGCATCTTATGCATAGGGAAGCGCTCCGGATCGACTGTGAAGTCCTGACGCAGGTCCATGTGGTCGATGTCGGTCCACATGACTTCTAAGGGAATGCCCGCAGTGGAGTAGTTGCCCACGACTTCCGCAACCATGTTAACATCCCAGTAACCATACTTGCACTGGTGGAAGCCCAGAACCCAGTATGGGTACATAGTCGAGTAGCCAACGACATCTGCATATTGCTTCGAGACGTCCGCAGGGCGACTGCCGGCGAGGAAGTAGAAGTCAAGGACACCGCCAATGGTGTTGTACTCCAGATACTGTTGCCCAGATTCCGTCCGATTGATAATGATGTTCATGGGATCCGAATTGAGCAGGAAGACGCCGTGCGTGCCTTTGTCACCGCGATGCTCAAAGTACACGGGGTGGCTGCCGTACAAGTTGGAATTATGCGGTATAAACGGCGATTCCGAATTCTCCATCACACGAACATAATTGTACGTCGGCAACCGGAAGGGATCAGAGTGCTCACCGAGGCCGTACAGAAACGGGTCCTCAGGCAAGTTCGTGCGAAGACGGATGTACTGTGTCTCGAAGACCAATGACGCGCCGGACGTGTCGAACAGCACCTCACCATTCTCTTTGCGTTTCACAGTGAAAGAGAACGGCTTCTCGACGAGGTCGAATTCGAGGGCCGCGTCATCAGACGTGGCATCATCGCTCTTGGGTCGCGGCAAAACTTCTTTCTGTACCTGATACACATTGAGCCCGGCATCGTATATGTTAACGTGGAGCCGCTCATCTATATGTGAGTTAGTATAGATTTCGAGTAAATAAAGCGCGCAAAATAAACGAGGTCACGTTGTTTCGAGTTTGATAGCCGAGACTTACTTGTTTGGTACTCAACCAACAACTTGAGGTCCTTGATGTCGTCGCTATATGCGTTGCAGGAACCGACAAGCGTAAGGTCGGCCGTGAGAGAGGAGCCTGTCTTGACGACATTGGAAGCAGCATACCCAGAGCACTTGTCACCGGCCGAGCTGGTGGTAAACGCGGGAGTGGTCGCTGGGTCTGGCGGCGGCGTGTTATCAGGTGCGGGTGCGGGTAACGCAGAGGTCAGCCCAGCGCAGGCGACGATTGCGAGAAGGACGTTCCGCGCGAACATGTTGCCGGTTGGTTGTTGAGTGGAACCGATTGTCTGTCCAAAAGGTGAGGGAGGTGAGGGAGGGAGCTGCTTAAATAGCTAGCTGGGCGAGGATTGGAGAACTGGGGAAAGTGAACGCCCAGGAAGCTCCACAAGCTCATTTGGTGCACAGGCAGTGATGCTACGGTGAAGCTAACGCTCGCCTGCCCGCATGATGGTGAAAGGGTGCGGCAGCACGGTCATTCGCCCGAAGCGTTGGCTTGCCCCAGATCGCCGAGGAGCGCGGCGCTGCCCAGGTGGTTACTATCGAGCGAAATTAGCAGGGGTAGAACTTCGCCCAGCCAGATTTCATACGTACCTGCGTTAGGCGCAGATGGAGCGCAGATATCGATAATTGCAGCGCGCCGGGCGACCGTCGACTCTTTTCCCGGCGCGTACGCGGTGTCCAGGGGTATGGTAGTGAACGGCATTGCGACGACACAAGTAGATTTGCCGGGCGACATATTCCAGGAAAGCGTGTTTGATGGACAACAGGAACCGGGGACGTAGCGCCAGGGAGCTGCTGCTGCCGAGAGGGTATGGATGTGCCTGATGATACCTTCCATTTGGACACGCGGAAGCAATAAGCAGGCCTGGAGGTATCCTTACCCTGTGCCTTCAGGGGCGGTACTTCTGCGGATGCCCTTCGCCCATTTTGGATGCATGCTCGCGGTGGCAGTCAGGGCGTATCTGGCTATTGCGATATTGTCGATAGCGCCAAAAGCTCGCGTTCTAGCTCCGCGAGACTGTACAAACTGCTATCGTGGACGGATATCGCTGGAGGGACTACGCGGTGATGGCTGAGAGCAAACAAGCCGGCGAGTAGAGGAACAGGGCGTGCATGACGCCCAACGGCGGGGCCCCGCAAGGAGGCGCAGAATCGCGCGAAACGCAGCCATCTGGCGTCGCGGGCGGGCCCCCTTTTGGCGGCATCGTGAAGGGACCGTGATGTTGAATGTGGATCAGCAGGAGAGGCGTGTGAATCTGCGGGCTGGCTGCGCCGTTCCCGTGTCCAAGCATGCCCTACCGAGGCCTAGCGCCATCCACCCCTGGCCATCCCTACGAGTCTGTGTCTTGACTGGCTGCGGGGAGATCTGTAATCTTAAGGGCCCTCGGCCTCTTGCAGACTCGGATCTCTCAAGCGCGGACAAGGCTGCACGAGCACGCGCTTGGTAGCACTGGTCGTGTGCGCGTCTCCCACATCACACCGAGGGAACGCGGGTTCGGACCAGGAATACGGCAGGAAGCTCTTCGCGATTATGTGGTACATGCTCGTGCGATACCGCATTTGATCGGACTCTCGCCTCCGCTGATAATTTCGGGGCTCGAAGGGATAGGCAAAGTCACCCGCAGCTGCAGGGAGGTCTTGTATTGGAAGATGCGTAAGCTCCTAACCTCGTCGCGTCCGCGGAATCGAGGACAGAGATTTTGGGGCTAGCTCTGGTCAGTGTCAAGGTGTGATCGCGGCCGTTCAGTGGTATATGGGATGAAAAGGTAGACAATCTGCCGGGATGCAAGGCCGTTGACCACGATGACGTGGGAAGGAAAAGATACCGACGCCACAGGCCGCCACAGCGCCACAAAACGAACGTAAACTAAACCTCGACTTTCTTCAACCTCATCCACAATACGTCCTGGCGAAGGCATTGCTCTGTGCTCTCCTGGTCCTGCTCTCAGCGATTCTCCTGCTCCCATATACGGCGATTCTGCCCCCGATTTCCGCTATGCCCCGCCGCGGCGCCAACTCCAGCGACCCCACTACCACTACGACAGCGCTCCCCGAGAAGACAGCATGGCCTGCCACGTTCACGGATGGCCTCCCGCTACCAAAGGTAGTCGTATTTGACTTGGACTACACGCTATGGCCGTTCTGGGTGGATACACACGTCACACCGCCCATCAAGGCGCACGAAGGCGGGCGGAAGGTCAAGGACCGGTATGGCGAGGGCTACGGCTTCTACTCCGACGTTGGAGGCGTGCTTGACGCGGTATGGAGTTTCTCCCTGATCTCGCACGCATGCTGACCTAGTTCAGCTGAGGCAGAAAGGCATCCAAATTGGCGCCGCTTCCCGCACACACGCACCCGATCTCGGCCGCGAGATGCTCAAGCTCCTCAAGGTCCCTCACGCGTCGTCCTCTTCTCAACGCGCGATCGACTACTTCGATCACCTCCAGATATACCCGGGTAGTAAGACGACGCATTTCGAGCGCATACAGCGGGATACCGGCATCGAGTATGCCGAGATGCTGTTCTTTGACGACGAGAGCCGAAATAAGAATGTCGAAGTGCTAGGCGTGGTAATGTGGTTGGTAAGAGACGGAGTGACGAGAGAAGAGGTGGACGCCGGCGTGAGGAGTTGGAGGAAGAGAAACAGGAAGGTTCCGAATTGAGAGGTCCGGCGCTACGACGTCCTCTTTGATGTGACGGCTCTTAGCGTTTCATGGGCTAGATCATGATGAGGTTAGATAAAAAGAGCGGGTTCGGTTACCAAAGGCATCGTCGAAGCGCACATACTAGGCCACCGGCCCATCTCTTCCAATACCTCTCAATGCCGGACCGCACCATGCGACGTGTATGGAACAATGTGCGAACATCATCCAGGAAGGTAACTGAAATGATTCCGTTCTTCCAATTAGTATAGACGGGTCGCTTGCCCAACCTGTCAATAATCTGGTATGTGTGGGGTTTTTACCCTGTGAAGAAGACTATTGAGTCAATAGGATCCCTTCCTCCTTTTCAGTTCTGCTATTAGTTTGCTGCTCGAATCATAGGTCTGACTTTTCTGCCTTCTTTTTTTGGCCCCGACGACGTTTGGACTACGCCACCGTCTTATACCCTTCTTAGAACACCACGAGAAGGCCGTCGCATAGCAACGAGCCGGCGGACGAGAATGGCGGGGGAAGTTTTGCATATCAGTGTGACATTGGCGCTGGTGCATATTCACCTGGCGCTCCTTCCTCTGCTTGACCGCTTTTCCGCTTTTGTCTTATCTCTGCCGCCGTTTGTTGGGGTTGCCTGCACCGAACGTGCGCCTTCCGCCCGCGCACTCGCCTCCTCCTTAAATCAGAAAATCTTTTCTCTCACCCCGCAATCACCGAGCTATTTTCGCCTCTTTCCAGACCTGGTTTCCCCCTCTCAAAGCTCTCGAGCGTCGACTTGACACTCGTCTCGCCACATACCTCACTCCACTGCCTACCAGACCGCAAGGGATACACCATGCGTTCAATCGCTGCCGTTGTCGGCGCCCTCCTGCTTCTCCTCCCTCTAGCCAGTGCCCGGGCGGTCCCTAGTGAGGTGGTCTCTGCCACCGACACCCAGGATCGCGCGAAAGACGACAGCATCTATTGCGGATGGGGCTACACCGGCAAAGGCCAGCAAGGCCAGCCAGTTGCGCTCCTCGCTAACGGGGTACGGTCTAACCGATATCCTGCGCTGAACAGCGCCATCGTGACTTGGGGCTGCACTTGCGAATGGATTGGGTAAGAGGCTCCAAACCTGTCGTCATACTGAGCTAACAAGTTGCACGATAGCCAGAAAGATTGTGATCCATTGGGTTACTACTTCGTATCTGGCATGTTCATGGGAGACTTCGCGGCTCCGGTCCACTGCTTCCAGTGCCTATTTACTGGACATGCTGCCAATGCCACGGTCGACAATACCACGGTCGAAGCTACCGCGAGCTCTGTCGAAGCGTCCGCCGTGAGCTTGATTCAGCACGAAGAACCTCGCACGGCGGGAACTAATCCCATTAACGCCGTCGAAGCGAACAAGGCCGTCTCCCCCAGTGGCTCCGCGAAGCGCGAAGATAGTACTGTATACTGCGGCTGGGGCTACACCGAAAAAGGTCTCCGCGGCGAAGCGATCCCGATCACCGACTCGAGTGTACAACTTCGTGGGGGCAAAACGCTGAATAGTGCGATTGTTAGCCGAGGCTACAAGGTTCTTTTCCTTAGGTGAGTAAGCCGTCTCCATAAGCCGTCTCCATAAGCCGTCAAGATATCAACTGCACAGGCACTGATTAGCTTCCGTGTAGTGATCCCGATTGCAGGAGACTCGTGGGATACTGGCTCGACGCAGGCGTGTTCCAGGGCGACTTTCCTACCGGGATTAGTTGCTTTACGTGCTACCAACCTCCGGGTGCAGAAGCTAATTCTATCAACGTCGAAGAGGCCGGTATTGCGAGGAGCATAATATCTACCACCGCGTTGAGCAAGCGCGATGGCCCAGACGACCCTTTCGACATCAGATACTGCGGTTGGGGTTACAATGGTAAAGGGCGTCGAGGCGACCAAACGTCGCTCCACGCTCCAGGTGGGGCCAAGGCAATCGGACGCGCCGCCCTGAACAGTGCCATCGTGAGCGGTGGCTGCGAGTGTATCTTTTATAGGTAAGCGATTGGAGATTGAAGTTTTAGCAATGACTGTCGACTGAAAGCTGTGACAGCAACCAAGATTGCAACAAAAACAAAGGCTATTCGAAACAGGTCCGTACATTCCAAGGCGATTTCGAGCAGCCCATCCACTGCTTCCGTTGCAGCATCTATGCGATGTCCAACAACATCTCAATCGCCGTAGCCAAGAGATCTGATACCGGCGTCAATGGCACTCTTGCGGGTAGCTGTGGTCTTGCCTGGACCGAAAAGAAGGAGGCCGGGAAATGGTTCTCTCTAGAGACTAAAGGAAAGCAAACTGTTCTCCCTCAGATCCAGAGTGCAAGGATCTCACCGGGATGCTCCTGCAACTTCTGGACGTAAGTCAACTTATTCACTGTCCTAGGCCCATCCGAATGCGCTGACGTTGCTTATAGAAATGCTAGCTGTCAAAGTGGCCCGTTCTCATTGCACGGGCCTGGGCATGGGAACCTTCCGAAGCGGGCCAAGTGCTTCTCTTGCCAGTACGACGGGACGAACTATGGGCCTGAGACCGAGTTCAGCGTTGACTCCAAGGCTGCTAGCATATAAGCAACCTTGTCAGACAGCAAAACTTCGCGAAACGGTCTCGATATCCGCAACTAAGAGTACCAGTGTCGGTCTGAACACCGGAACGATGTCTTTTCCATGACGAACAGCTCTGCAGAGAAAGTTTGGCGGCAGAACAGGTTTCGACTAGATGTCTTCAGATAATTTGCTAGATGGAGGTATAATCAGCAATGAATGCTTATCAGCTCCCTCACTTCCTCTTGAAGCGACTATGCGCGGTGTCTATTTACAAATGCCGTCGCCAACCGTGACCCGCTAAGGAATAGAGGTCACCGAGTGAGCATGTGCGGTTATACTAAAGGGACCATATGAAGCCTAGAGGAGATTGACATGATGATTACTTCTACTTCAATCTTGACAAAAAGCGCATCATATGAGTCTGGGGTTTATTTTCGTGAGCCGCTAGTGACAAAATAAGCTAGCACCCTTTCGTTTGACCCCAACTCTCTCCGCTCCTCACCAAAGCCCTCATCACCAAGCAGGCATTCTCACAAAACAAGAACGACGATCCCCGCCTATGCACACCTATGAACGCCATCTATCAGCCACCGAGCCCCTTCGGCGAATACTACTCCGCGGACTCTATATCCGCTCCAAACTTATCCGTACCCGATGAGCCCCTGCGCCACGGCGGCACATTTTGGGGGTTGTACGGGCCATAGTTCGGGCCAGCCGCAGTGCCATGACCAGACCCGTACCCGGAATCATGGGTCGCGGCGCGCTTCGACAGAATCTCTAGCAGCATGGCCGTCTGCACCGATTCGTGGCTCCGGTAACCGCCATAGACCGCGCCATTTCCACCGTATATAGCGGCATAGACGTTTCGCTGTGGATATCCGGGAACAGTCTGGAATGGACCGATCGGTGAACGATGACCGGATGCGTAGGCGGAATCATGAGGGGAAGAGCGCTGGGGCTGGCCGATGCCTAGGAGGTCCTTTAGGAGCCCGGATTTCTGCTCGGGCGTGAGGGGTGTGGATTCCCAGCCTGGAACGCGCAGTAGTACTTTTAGCATAGCGGCTTGCTGCTGTTCTAGAGTGGGGCCGGAGCTTGTGCTGCCAGCTGGGTGGGCATGTTCATCCTGGACCAGGCCCTCATCATACTCACGCGGGAAGATGGTGACTGGTTTCTCCGGTATTGACACCTCAGTCATAGTGGTCCCGGAGCTTGTGCTGTCATCATCTGGGTGATCATGTTCACAATAGATCGCGCTACCCTGACCTTCGTCGTACTCATGCGGGGAGACGGCAACTGGCTGTCGCGGCATCCAAGCCTCCGCTTGGTTAGTCAGCGACATGACCTCCTCACAAATAAGTGTTTGCTCTGGAGGTGCGGACAGAGCAGGCAAGGCAAAGCCACTACGCTGGAGTTGGAGAGCATCGGGCTGCGTGGGCTGCGTGAGCTGCGTGGGCTTGGGAGCGGAGACTTGATCCAGTGCCTTCCGGTTCTCGTAACGCTCATGGGGGGAAGCGTAAAGACCAGGTGGGCAAGCAGGTCCGGGCCGATAGGCTGTTGCAAACACCATGTCGCTATCCGCCGGATTCTGGTTGCTAGCCTGCGCCACGGACGACAGGTCGAGATCCAACGAGGACACCCCATTCTTCGATTGCTTCTTCATCTCCCAGTCATGCAGGATGCGCTGCGCAGTAGTCAAACCGCGAGTCGGATCATATACTTGCATGTCAATAGCCTCTTGGACCCGCTCATCAGCGTTGTCGCAATGGCCGAGGAGGATCCAGCAATGCTCCGTCTCAGTGAAATGAGTAGCGCAGACTTGGAGCTTGTTTACAAGAGGTGTGCCGGAAGTTGAAATGACAAAACCGGGAGCCGAGCCGACACAGTCCGATGCGCATTGGGGACGAGCCCATTCAGGCACTTCAATAGGTATAGGCCCAGGCTCGCGACTATCTTGATAGCCCCGAAGCTCGTTGTGCGCAAAGACTCCATCTGGGCAATATCCAAACAGATTGTGTGGCAGAAGCTCGTCCTGCTTTACAGAGTGGCGCCACCAATGCACACGCGCGGCCGGATTAAGTCTATCGGGATGTTGCTCGCGCAGGAGGAAGAAGGCGTCGTTGGGTTCAGTGACCTCGGGATCTACTGGAGGTGGAATGAAGGAGCTACAATCTGGTTGCTCCTCGCAGAAGTACCTCTCGCTCCTCCAAACCCGGCGGGCAAGGAAATACGCCGCACGCACAAGCTTCTCAGTACGGGGATCCGTCTCAGAGCCCCTAAAGAAATCTCCCTCGCTCGTCATCTGGCGATAGACCTGTATGAACTCGTTGGGATCTTTGCAGCCGTCCATGAACGAGAGCTTGAACGTCGCGAGCCAGGGGTTATGGCCAATATTGTTCTTGTGGAGGAAGACGTTTAACTCGGCCAGTTTTCTCAGGGTCCATGGTGTTCCATCAGTTCGCGGGGATAGCTTGTTCCAGATCCACAGCACGTCTTCTGCTTCGTCTTCGGCATATGCAGAGGGTCCGCAGATCTCGGATGGCGCTTGTCTCAGCATTATCTGTTCGGCCTGCGCGTGCCATTCCGGATTGCCTTGAAGCACCGCTAAGCTCTTAATCGCAAACTGGATATAAGCTTCGCCGTAACTGCCAGACTGATGCGGTAGTGTTTCGTTGACATCTAGACCTAGGCCTTTTCCGCGATACTGGGACAGTCCGCGACCATTCTCGAATCGAGCGCCTTCAAGCGCATGAACGGAAGGCGTAGATTTGCGTTTGCCGCCTTCATCGTCCGCCTGGTAGAGTTCAAGCGTAAGCGCGGCTTCCCGGCCTTGGATACCCGCGGAGAAGGCATGGGGATCTTCCGGCAAGTCTGCGCGGATGGCCTTGCGCTCAACGACCATGACTGGATTCTTTGTAGATCGATCCAGTTTCACGACAAAGTCCGCATACTCAAGCGGAACATCTTCAGTATCGCGATCCTCCATCCATATTGGAGAGCTATCTCGATATTCCTCGAAGCAGCCGGAATTCAGGGCGTTGGCCTGCTCCACGGTCAACAACTTGGCGCCGGTCGTGTCCTTCGCCTTGTCAATGAATGACTTCTTGAAGGCATAGAGGAGTCTTCCCTCTTGCGGATCGAAGGCAAGCTTGCCGTTTTTCATCTGAAAGGCGGTGTTGAACGCCTTGAAGACGCGGATGCTGCCGTCGGGCAGTCGGCCGAAGAGAGCATGGTTTGATGGGAGCTCGACGAGCGCCTCGCATTGAGCACCACCGTACTTCTTGAGCTCGTTGCGCTGCCATTGATAGTCGAGATGCTCTGTGTTGTAGTCAACCTCGGAAGTGTTGGAAGGGGCAGCGCAAATATCGTCCTGGCGATTTTCGCACTCGCCTGGTCGCGGGTGGGAGACGAGCTCTTCGGCGTCTTGGAACTGGGCACTGACGAGCGATTTGACGTACACGGCGACGTTTTCGGAGAGGTCGGTGACACCTGATTGAGAATCGCAGTTGGATTCATCGGTTGTAACCTGCTCTTCGCAGGCAAGTTCCTCATGGAACTCTCGGTTCGTGAGCACGTCGCCGCCATCAGCAACCAACCTAGCTGAGGTGTATGTTTCCTTCTCGCCGAGATATTGGTCCTGCCCGATGACCTGAGGGCGGACCCATTTTCCTATGGCTTCTATAGGCTCGCGGTTGTGCTGTCCGGGCTCCCAGCTATTCCCCGTCTCATCCTGATACTCCATAACAGCTGCTGCTGCAGCCTTGCCGTCGTTGTCATCCATGAACAGGCTCACATCATCGAGCTGCTCATCGTCAATCATGTCGAGCCAAGCGGGCACCGGATTGTAGCCCACAAGCTTCGCACGGCTCGCATCATCGCGCAATTCCTGTAGCACTACTGATTGCGCCGCATCCTTGTTCACCTGCGGGTAATCACAGCTCTCGTCGTTCAATTGCTTCTCCTCGGAGTCGGAGAGCCATGGCCGAGCTTCATCGTTCACTCCCCACTCCCGCTCAGTATCCAACTCGTACTCCCGACGAAACACGCCCTGCTTGGCAGCCTTTCGCCGGAGGATGTTGACGCGATCGGTCAGGCCCTTTGATTCATAGCGGCCCCAGGTCAGCTCCTCCATCAGCCAGTTCGAGCCATCCTTCTTCCGCAGCTTAGCCCAGTAGCTGAGGTCGTTGGGCTTGCTATAGAACTCAGGAGGCCGCCAAGCTGTCTTCTCCAGCATGGCCTTGAGGTCCGCCTTGTCTGATTCCACCGGCCGGTCCTGCCAATCTAGGCGTTCATATGCTCGTGGGTTCGCGTCGTCATCCCACTCCGACTTCACCGAGAAGGTCTCGAGCCAGGGGTCTAGGGAGTTCTGGTCTCCGCAAGAGAAAGGGCCATCGTTGAAGAATAGGAGCGAGTTCGTGAGCGGGTCGTACACCTGGACGAGTCCATTGCTACCACAGGCGAATTGCGTGCGGGGAGGAGTAGAAGACGAGGAATCGTCGATAGTCGGCGGCGGCGGGTGGATTGAGAGGGTGAACTTGAGCGTGGGAGTGTTGCCGGACGAGTCGCGGATGGTGAAGGTCACAGGCCCGGAAAAGGAGGTCGCGAACCCAGCATGCCCGTCAATGTTTGACTTCAGCCACGACATCGCGAGCTCCTTGACAGCTTGGTCGCTCATGGATTGCTGAGCGGGGCCAGCGCGAAGGTGAGACATCTTCTGCGCAGAAATTCGTGGAGCAGACGCCGTGGTGCTGAGGATAGAAGAATGCAGGATGTGCATGTGTGGTTTGGCTTGAATCTGCTGAAATCGCCGTTGCGGTCGGGGTTGACTTAGGTCGCAGCGAGTCGCGTTAGCGGGAGCAGGTAAGGACAAAGGTGAGGCTAGGCTCGAGCATTGTATTGGAGTGGGGCAGGCGGGCGCACGGAGCTGATTGGAGCTTGGCATGTAGCGCGGTGAATGCTCCCGTAACGTGACGTTGCCCGCGCACAATGTTCGTTGTTAGGGCTGTGGCTAGACTTATGCTCCCGATTTCGGAGATGAGGTAGGGCTCGGGAATGAATTGCGCGGGTGTGACGTTCTAAGTCGTCAATTCACTGTCTCTTCCGCTATGGAAGGGGGAGCGGATGACGTAACGGTCAGGGGCTCACCCTTCGTGACTCCGCCTCATACTCTCAATAGCTCGGAAGGTGGTTCTAATTTCCCGTTGCGAAAGTATATAGCTGGCAGCAAGCAGCTACATGCAAACTCTCGTACCGAAAGCCCCTAGAGACGACTTGGGCGCCGTACGATCGCTTGGTACATCCCCAAACTTGAACGCTTTCGAAGTTGATGATGGTGGGAGTGCCACCAATCTCTCGACACCAGGGTGCTAAGTTCAGCAGCGCCTTCGTAAAGAAGCACCTGGTTCGCGTTTGCGAGGGTATGAGAAGGTCTAGAAGACTACATATACATAAGAGTCAGGTATAAGCGAGGGGTGATCGACAGGCGGACCGATCAGAAGCATATACAGGCAATGGCTCTAAGTCTACGCAGCCTGGCTAAGATACCACTGACTCTATCGTTCTAGCTTAGTGGGAGCTAGTATCGTTTGTATTGCGCTGCTGGACCTATCCCATTCCACGCCTCCGTTTTCCTTCCTCTTCAATGCAATTCCGGCGAACAAAGACGATGCAGGCCTGAATGCCTGGTTTTGTTTCATTGTCCATTGTTTCAGCTCTGCCCAGGACAAAACGCGATCCTGCAGTTGAAAGGTCCAACGCCGCCCTTGTTCTGGCTAGGTCTTGAAAGCACTAGATTCTGACCTTCTCCTCAAACATTTTTCTCTACATCCAGTCCGTCTAACTTCTAGTATCTATCCTCAACATGAGCGCCCAAGATATTGTTTCTGGCCTTGCCAACCTCATCTGGCTGCCATGCGTCTTTACTCTCCTCCTCACTTTCGGGACGTACGCCTACTTCAAACGGCGTTACGAAACTCTCTTGATGAGAGAGCGGCAGGTCATGCACGAGCGCATCTGGGATGCATACAATGCACTGCGGGGCCATCACGCGAGAACACCTCACGATATGGAGAAGACGGTGGAGGAAGTATATGCGCTTCTAAACAACGAGGAACAGCGGCAGAAATACTACGGGGCGTACGACTATGCTGTAGCCTACCGGGCTTTGATGGAAGACGCTGCGAGGGCGATGTATGATGAGATGTATGGCTATAGGCCGGTGATCAGATGGTCTCCACGGGAGGGGTTCGGCGCCGGCTACGACGTCAGCAATGCCGGGACTTATCGCTCTGCGCGGGCACAGTCATTTATGAGCCCTAAAAGCGCTGCGCAGGTGTTTCCAGGTTCTCCGGCTGAGAGTTCTACCTCCACCAATGGGGCTGAGCATGAAAGACGGAGCATTATCGATGACTTCCTCGCCAGCGCAATTGAACAGGGCGCAAGTATCACTATGAGCTCTCCAGCTCCTGACTCCCCGCGAAAAGCTCCTATCAAGACGCCACCAATGCCGTTCGGAGCGTCCCGCACCCCCATGTTCGCCAACGCCTCCGAAAGTCCCACGCAGTTTTCGCATGCCACAATTAACACCTCCAGCCCGTTCGTAAAGATATCGCCGAATCTTGCACGGGGCTTCCCTTTTGAAGGCTTGAGCCTAAAGAGCAAGCACTCGCCGTTACAAAGTTCGTCTGCACCCGCGGAAGGTGTGGGTCTGGGGCTTGATGGTGTTTCCATGTCGGGTAATGATGGAGAACGGTCATCTCGGAAACGGCGGAAGAGAGGTAGAAAGCGTACGCGCCAAGAGCCTAGCGATGCTTCCAATAGGCCTGAGTCGTAGTGCTTAGGCGAATGCTCGATCTAGATACGCCGGCGGTTACTTTGGGGTGCAACCCCCTTGTTTGTTTGAAGGGAGGCCCTAGGAGAAAGCTGCTCGGATATGGAGCTTAGACCATTGCTCGTCGTCAGTATTTATCACCGCTTTGAGGTTTCCAAATCCATTCTAGAATTTCACATTGCTCGGCCCATCCTGCAATCATGGATTCTTCTCGGGGTCCTGCTTTACTATGCATAATCAGTGACCAACATGGCGCGCCACAATTCAACTCGGGCGAGGCGCCGGGCTCCGTTCAATACGTCGAACCGTATTCAACCGCGTTTCTTCACTCTTGTTTACTACCGGCTGGTCGGCATCATCGGAGACTGGACGATGGCCAGATATCATCTGAGAGATTCCGGATGCTTTCTCTCATATTACATTAGCGCTTTGGTTGGAACTCCATGCATCAAGAATGTCGATTTACCGTCCCAGAGTCCACGGGAACCGAGCTTCTGTGACACCTTGGGTTATCCAATGGTTTCATCGTGTCAGAGGCTTGCAGTCGGCTGGCATAGAGCATCTGTCGCAGTCGCAACATCGAGAATATCTCTCTATCGGGCCGTCTCACAGATATCACCCGTGCGAAGCGGGACAGGATACTTGCAGACGAGCAAAAGAGCGTTGGACACGATATTAGTGTCCGCGTCCATGCGTGTCATGTCTTCGGTCTTTACCTACTAGGGGCCTTTAGGAGAAGCTTTCCGCAGTTCAAAGTTAGGACATGCTTACCGCGAACTACGTACCTACACAGGGGGAGGAAGAAGGGAGTGGAACAGAGGAACCTCGGGCTGATGAATACGGTGGCGGTGGCGGTATATGCGAGATTGCTGGCTCTGGCTAGGCTTGGGAGGCACGGTCGAGCAAATACCGGCCGTAAAGCAAGGGACAAGAGGTCTCTCCAATGTAGTGCCGGATTGGGTGAGGCTGAGCTGGGATGATTTCACGTGACCTGGATGAGTCAACCTCGAATTGCAATGCATAAGAGCTTCGCCCTTACCTAGATATTTGAACACAGCGTCAAGGCTTGAATATCCACCCGGTGAGCAATACCTACTGAGACATTACCGACCGGAAGCCATCCCACCGTCGCCCACAATGTCGGATGCTGCGCCGCCACACCCACGTGCCGGGTCCGCGGACGATCAAAAAGGATCGCTTTCCCTGGCCGACCGCATGAAGCAATACGAAGCTACTTTCGACTTCACTCTTCCTCTCTCCTCTCCGGTCATACTCCGCCTAGATGGCCACACCTTCTCGCGCTTTACAGCGCATTTCTGCCGCCCGTTCGACCAGCGCATCCACGATGCAATGGTATCAACATGCTCCGATCTCCTCAAATACTTCCCTCAAGCAACAGTGGCATATACGCAGTCCGATGAGATAACGCTGGTCTTCCCGGCCGGCGTCCAGACCTTCAACGAGAGGGTGCAGAAGCTGAGTAGCTTGGCGGCAAGTTACTGCTCGGTGAGGTTCAACGCGCATCTCGCCGCATTCCTGGCTGCGAACCCGGAACCCAAGGTCAAGGTCTCCGCATACGATAAATTAGGCACTGCGCACTTCGATGCGCGCTTTTTCGCCGTCCCGTCGGTCGAGGAAGCGCTGAATTGCCTGCTCTGGAGATGCCGCGGCGATGCCGTGAGGAATTCCGTCAACGCGTTCGCGAGGACGCTGTATTCGGATAAGCAACTGCATAAGAAGACAACGAAAGAGGTGCTGCGGATGATGGAAGAAGACAAAGGTGTGAAATTTGAGGAAGCGGTGCCGAAGTGGGCGGTCGAGGGGAGCCTGATGAAGAGGGAGCAGTATGAGCACACAGGGACGAATTTGAAGACAGGGCAAGAGGAAGTTGCGCTCCGGACGAGGACGAGGGTTGAGGATCGCGGCGTGAGGGAGTTCTCGGCGGAGAACCTGAAGTTGGTGACCGAGAAGTATTGGTGAGGTTGAAGAGATGGTTTTCGTGCGGGGGCTCCAGGGCTTGGACTCCTGGAGTGGGTATCTGGAGTTTGGAGTCAAAGTCACGATGCCCGCGTGGCATCCCGCATCTATATATGCATGAAATGTACAGTATTGCTCCTCAGAGACCTTTCGATGCCGACTTTCGAGTGTTCCGCGCAGGAGTGGGCCGACAAAAAGGCCCCCAACTCCGAATCGAACGCATATGTACGACCTTCTATTTTAATCGGCGTCCAGCCAATTAAAAGCCACGCTTAGGTGCTTGGGTCGCTGCTAAAATGCACTAAAATGCACACCTCAGGCTGTGCTGATCTCGTCTCAACCGCGTCCAACTTCACACAATTCGTCATTCATCTGACAGTCGCGCGCTCTGGGGCCTTTTGTACGGGTAAACGTCGCCCCGGCTTATATCACACGACTATAGCCTTGTGGTTCCGTGGAACTGGGGTGGAGAGGCTCAAATAAAACACGCTGATCGCCCGTGCGATGATCTCGCCGCCGCTGCCGCTGCGCTCCTCGTATTTGAAGCTCTAATCCGACTGCGACCCTTGAATCCTTCTGAGGCCTTGACGGACCCTCCAGATACGGCCGTGTTTCGACAATCCCAGGGCCAACCGGCCAGGCTGTCGTCATGGGGTACACGCGCATTCACACCAGCGCTCAGAATGTTCCTCACGAGCAGATGGAGAATATAGAGATGGCCGGCTACTCTTCTGGATATGCTTCACAGCCAACGAATATCTATTCTCCGCCTGCCGGACCGCTCCCGGGTTCAGATAGGAAGGATAGGGATTCCAAAGCGTATTTCGCAAGCGACCAACCTCCAGTAAAGCATTGGCCTGTGCATTCGCAACGAGTCTCCAAGATCACCCCATTAAGAGCGTTCATCATATTCTTCGATGCTGTACTAGCTTCGACGCCCATCATGTTCATAGGTAAGGATGATGGTTCCTTCTCGGTAGAGGATGTATGAGCTGACCCTACAACCAGCGCTGGCTCTCATTGCTGCGAGGCTTGATGGAAAAGAGGTCAACGACTACGGACTACGTCTTCGCCAAACACTGCTTCTCTCCCCAACCATCTTCCCTGTCATTTTCGCAGCGCTTATGGGACGCTGCTTCAAGCATGTCGGCCTCTTTCTTGCCGAGCGCGGCACCACCCTTGGCCGCCTTGAACAGCTAGTTGGCTGTCAATCGCTCTTCTCTGCGATCGAACGTCAGATATCTCTCCGCTCCTGGTCCCTCGTCGGACTTTTCCTCACCCTTATCTGGCTCCTTTCCCCCCTCGGAGGACAATCTGCTCTTCGGTTGCTGGATCAAGAGAACAAGTCCGTGCCGTCCACAGACACCTTTCAATATCTGAACCCGTTGGCTATGCAGGATTCTTTGATGCTTGGTGCCAGCGCCGCCAACTCCGGAAGAAGCACGTTCACCTCAGTTTTCCTCGCCGCGCTCCTCAGCAGCTCCAAGTATCAAAACACGTCAATGGACCTTTGGGGTAACGTCAAGCTGCCCACCTATCGCTCTATCGAAAACACCACCTCTGACGACTGGAAACTGGTCCCGAACGACACCAACACAGACGTCACGTACGCATCGTTGATCGGAATTCCGGTTGCAGGCCGACATTTCGCTGGGAACAGCACCTTCAACCTCAAAGCAAGACAGTGGGACATCACCTGCGACAGCAACGAGGAGATGAGCAAGAATGCCAGTGATTTCGGCAATGCGACCGCAACGTGGAAGCTTAACTACACCGAAAGCGGCAGGTGCGACAAGTACCCCTGCCCGTTCAGCTTTAAGTCTCTCGACGAAGCCTACAACTACACCGTTGCGAGCTGCGAGATGTCCTACGAGTACTTTGAAGCCGGCATAAACTGCAATGGCACGTCATGCGCAGCGACCCAAATGCGCAAACTCGATCTGCTCGATGCTGGGTATACCGAAGACGCAGACGACTTCACACGCGGCAATCTCGTTCTGAACTCAATGCTCTTTCTCCCCACCGTCGACAACTACGGCGTAGGCGATGCCGGCGTCAGAGGCAGTACAAATATGGAGAAGTGGATGATGGATCCGACGAACTTCATCGGCGCGACCTACGACAACGTCAACCTTTATCAGCTCCCTCCCGCGCTCCTCGCGGCCCGCCTCACGATCATATGGAACACGTTCTTCCAATCGACATACGCCACCACCGCTCTCGGAGGCAGCCTGCCTTCCAATCTAACCTCGCTTACGGTCGACAGTCCCGCCTTGACGTTCAACGAGACGACGGCTAGCATCTCGAATCCATCGCCGCCGGTCTACAAGATAAATTGGAAATGGTTCGTCGCGCTGCTCGTCGCGTCGATTATCCTGCAGATTGCTGCGTACACGGGGCTCGTGCTGAAGTACGTCACGCTCGCGCCGGATATTATTGGGTATGCGAGCAGTTTGACGTTGCTGAATCCGTATGTGCCGACGCCGACGGGAGGAACGACGTTGCATGGGCTGGAGAGAACGGCGCTGTTGCATGATTTGCCCGTCAGGATAGGAGATGTATGCGCGAACGAGCCGGTGGGCGCGATTGCGTTTGCGAAAGCCGACCAGGGAATGGTGGGAAGACTGGATCGGAGGAGGTGGTATATATAGGGCGTACCGTTTGTATCACGAATGTTATGGAATATCCCATTGAAGTAACGAGGGGAGCAGCCCCCCGTAAAATTGACTTTCTAATGTCTTTACGCGCCTGCCCCAAAGTAACTACCAATCAGTAGAAACATGTTTAGACGACGCCTTGCTCTAGGAGCTTCGGAGGACAGTAGCTGTGCTAAACGAATTAGTGGTAGTCTAACTGGCCGAGGAAGTTCATACGAACAACTCGCCGGCAAGCTTTACGTACCCCGCCCAGAAATCCAGCTTCCAGGCCATATTCTCGGGAGATAGAGCACGCTTATTCACACCACAAGGCTCAGTTCGAATGCGTTGCATTCACCTTAGTGTCGCACGATTGGTTTGATAGCCTCCATACTGGGTGGTGGCTGTAAGGCTGAAGACTGAATTCGCTCCCACAAAAGAAAAGACATAGCGAGGCAGAAAGAAGACGAGTAGCTGGTAAAAGATGTCGAGATAGTCCGACAAGCGTCCTTGTTTTATTCATATGTAGCCGCCAGAAGGAAAGGCGTAAGAGAAGGATGTAGGATTCGGAACGACATGTCGCTCTGTGTACGTTCTGCATCATGTGACTCCAGTAGTCTACCGTCGATCTACGATAGAAGATACCGCCCAAAATATCCGCTCGAACGCTATGAAATATTGCTTTTGTATAATAGTCTTCAAATGATCCACCGCGGCCGTAGAAATTCGTGAGTCATGGGTCGTGAGAGCCACAATGCGAGATAGAGCTCTTATGTTTCGTTGAAAATCGTAAGGTGCCAATCCAATCGGTGGAGATGGCGCTGGTGTCGGTTTAGACAAGCTAACGGATATCTATTCTTTCAATACCGAAGCCACTGGAAGTCGTCATGAGCGAGGATCAGATTATGGCCCTCGCCCCAAACCCGCCCCTCCGTCGCGAAGCGGAGGGAACCAATCTGGATCAAAGGCGACAACTTTCCGCAACCCACGGCATCAAAGCCCTGAAATGCTTTGGCGTTCGCTTTGAGTGTGTTGCGCATCGTATCGAACAGCTTGTCTGCTTCTTCCCGATCTACAGGGACACGACGCATGTAGACGCTCCTCGGGGGCCCTGGGACCAGCTTTGTCGGCATCCGGCAATTTAAAATCATAGTCTCGGTATACAGAACATTGAAGCTGCGATCACCATTGCCGAGTAAGTTGGCCAATGCTTTGAGGAGAATGGCGACGTAATCGAACAGCTGTTCTGCGAAACTCTCCGGTGCATCTTCCAGCAGATGGGCCAGCTCGTGTTCGTGAGGTATAGGCTGATCAAATACCCCTAAATCGAAGGGTTCTCGAACGCGCAGGTCCACATTGATGATCATCGAGTTGATTGTTTGAGACAATCCGGGAAACCATACCCAAGTCAGAGAGAAGAAAGGCCGACCGTGGGAAAACGTGACATCCAGCTCGTAGACAAGTTGCTTCGCAGCGGCCATATGCCGAATCGCCTGCTTGAATTCGTGATGTAGCTGGCGACATGCTCGTAGCAGACCGCGGTAACACCGAAGTGGCAGGTGGTTCTTGACGTACGGTTCTGAAACGACCATAACACCTCGGGATTGAGGCTCCAGGGCATCGTGCAAAAGGAGATCGTATACGGTGTTTCTTATCTCAAGGGGAAGGTCCAATAAGCCGGGCATGGTGATCCGGATCTGATAAGCGGTACGAGTCGTGAATTCGCAGGGGTCACGGCGAGAAAGGAACTGATCGGAAGCGGCTCAGGGTGCGGAGACGGGCATCGGGGACACAAGGGCGCTTTGAGACGGCGCGGCCGCTACGCATCGGTACGGAAGAGCAGCATGATGTATCCATATGAGGTTTGAGCGTCCGGTTTGCAGAAATTGACGGAAGGCTGGCAATATCGACAGCTGGACGTTGAGTGATGAGGCGAAGGCCCGAGCGCAGTTGATTAAAACCCGGCACGTGATGAGAGGATCCGCTTATGTCAGCCACTGAACAATGACGGAAAGACGCGGCACGGCGAGTCTCCGTCGGTCCATACGTCAACGGCGTCATTAAAGCAAGCTTCTTCCACATCCAACTCTTTTCGATGACTCCTCACATTTCTTTTTGCACACCGCCAGCGAGTTCTCGGTGCCCTTCGCTCTCCGACGATGGATGACGCGGGATTGGAACGCATTGCATCGGACAACCCAGCTTTGACAGCCCCAGCTCCCCAACACATCGCTATCAGTCGCTCGAGATCAAATGGCCAAGCGAAGAACGCTTCGGGCCCTTCCCGAGGCTCTCGTTCGTCGGGAACCCCTCCTGAATTGTCGAAATATGATGTTCGTAGGCAATGCAGATTGATAGAGGCTGAGCTCACGAGTCCTAGGTTGGCTGGCGTCGTGTGGTCAGGAACTTCTCCCCGTCATGGTTTTCCGTTACGATGGGTACCGGAATAGTGTCACTACTATTGATCACCATACCGTTTAAGGCCGAGTGGTTGTACTGGCTGGCGGTGCTCTTTTTTGGACTGAACACTATCCTGTTCGCTTCAGCCTTCACCGTTTCCGTCCTCCGTTACAGCCTCTATCCTGAAATTTGGGGAGTGATGATCGCGGATAGTACGAATTCCCTCTTCCTTGGAACCATTCCAATGGGATTTGCTACGCTCGTGGAGTGCTGGATTTTCCTTTGCGTTCCGTATTGGGGTCCTTGGGCGGTGACATTCGCTTGGGTATGCTGGATGATCGACTGCGTGGTTGCACTAGGAGTAACCATCTCTCTTACAGTCCTCCTAATCTCTGCGTCGCATCAGCAAGCCTTGCACCGCATCACGGCAGCACAGCTGTTACCCATCGCCGCCACCATCGTTGCGGCTGGAACAGGTGCCGAAGTCGCTAAGATCCTTCCGGATCCCGAGAATGCCCTCGGAACACTCATTGTGTCCTACGTTCTGTGGGGCATGTCTACACCTCTTGCGATGACGGTCCTCGTCATGTATTACACACGGCTGGCGCTCCACAAACTACCGCCTCGGGAAATCGTTGTCTCGTCATTCCTTCCGCTCGGCCCGCTTGGAATGGGTGGCTATACCATAATGTACCTTGGAGACGTGTGTCGCGATGTCTTCCCACAAACGCAGGTCTTCCACAACCTTGCAGTCGCCGGCGACATCTTTTACGTCCTCGGCGTCTTCGTCGCCCTTATAATGTGGAGTTTTGGGCTCACTTGGCTCTGCTTTGCGCTCGCTTCGATTTATAAGTCGCGCCCCTTCCCATTCAATATGGGTTGGTGGGGATTCACGTTTCCGCTCGGGGTCTTCGCCGTCAGCACGATGGAGTTCGGCATTCAAATGCCTAGCATGTTCTTCAAGGTCCTCGGAACGATCTTCAGTGTCGCAGTAATACTGCTCTGGTGCGTAGTTGCTACTGGAACGGTTAGAGGAGCTATAGACGGGAGGCTGTTCCACGCACCTTGCTTGGCTAACCTTCCGAAGAAAGAAGTTGAGGATGTTGGAGAAGACAGCGGGGAGAAAGAGAAGGGCTTGGCTCAATGATATTTTTTGTTGGGATGATCGGCTAGCTGGTTTTTGTTGGAAGCCAACCACGCCTACACCATCGTGTTGATGATGGGTTAGGCGTAGCCGAGGGCCACATGTCACCTTTGCTGACAATGAGCACTGCAGGCGTGCTCTTTACGTCAAACTTACTGCATCGGCCCTCGTATTGGCATGAAAGGGCTAGAACATGAGAGCTCTCGTGGTGGGCCTCGAGCACCTTCGTATAAAAGCATTTTCGAAGCGGACGCCACCATGCGGCACAGCTCGGAGCGGTCCGAACAGAAACAGCAACACTCGCATTCCCCAGGATCACCCGCCAACTCTGACGAGGGTATGTGGACTTAGCCTATAGCACTGCGCACAGCGCTGGTAGCTTCTCGCGCGCTACCCGCCTCGACTGAGTCATATGTATTTAGCAGCCGTGATTATGGGCGTCACCAAGCAGGGTCCGAACGACTCTCGCGTTCAACGACTCTCGCCTCGCATCGAGCTGGACTGCATGTGGAACCAAGACCGAGACCGAACCGAGGTATTGGGTCATAATACATTTTATCTTGACAAGTTTCATACCAAATACAAGAAAGCCATCTAGCGGAAGCCCGAGTCGTAATTCGTTGATCGCGCAGACCCAGCCGCATAAGATACGCCCAGCGCCAGACTATCTTCCCTCTACAAAGCTTGCTTCAAAACGTCGAGTCTACTTCCTGAGCCTGTACCTGCGCGCAGCCGCGCCAGCACTCGCAGCCGAGCATTCGTCTATCACAAAGAGTCAGCACACTGCCACCGCCCAGCCGCACATCCAGAATCATGGACTCACCCTTCTGTGCCTGGCAATCCGAAGTAGAGAAATCCGCAGCTCCACCATTGGCCAGATTCGCACACCCATTGAACTGCTGATCGCACGATCTCTGCAGCGCAGCACCGATGTTAACGAACGTATCGCCGGCCACGTCAAACGGACGGTCCGCATTGCCCGAGTCGAGAACGGGCGTGGCTTCGACGCCGCCGAGCGCGCCTGCGAAGGTCTGCGCGTTGGCTTGGCGGACATAGAGGACGCGGGCATTGGTGAGAGCGAGGGTGGAGAGGAGAGCGAGAGTGGTGGTGAACTTCATCTTGAATGAGTTGGTTTGGGTTGGAAAGAATATAGCTGTAGAAAGGAGTGTTGGATAGGGAGTGGTGGGTACTGCGTCCAAGCGCGAGTAGAGAGCGACTGAAGTGAACTGGAAAGGACTGGCTGGCTGTGGAGTGGATGGAAGGGAAGGGCTTCAACTCCGGGTTCCCATGGCCCCATATATAATGCCATTGCAGCGCATCAGCAGATTTGGATCGCTACTCTCCACGCACTGCTCGCACAGTGCAATATTACCAAGTGGTGTAGCAATGCAGATGCTCTCACGCTGCGTCGTTCCTGCCTGAACTCGCCGCAGGGGTGCCTGAAACGGTAAGCGTGCGAGAGCCGCCGCAGCGTCTTCTACCACTCCATGCGGCAAAAGGGAAGAACCAACGAAGTATGGGGAAGAAGAAAACATTGTTTTGCGCATGAGGGTCGCGATGGATGACAGGTGCTTGGTTGTGGGGTGCGAAATTTTGGAAGGGGCGTGATGCGTGCGGATTGCCGGACGCTTCGTGCTACAGAGATGCCTTAGGCTTTGCGCTGAAGCGTTAGCAGAGAGTGTTAAGGTGTCGCAGAGGTCTTGTGAAGGTGCATTAAGGCGATGCGGAAGGGAAGTGTGACGTGTGAGGGTGATGCTCAGGTGGGTTGGAAAGCACGTGATCGGAGGACTACAAAGGTCTCGGCTGAACGCGAGCTGAAATGCGGGAGTGTGTGGAGAACCAGTAAGTGACTAGAGTTGGGTATTGATGGGGAAGAGGTCATGCGCTTATTTGTGAAGATGAGGCTGACCTAGTCCTTGATTGAAGATTTTGAGGAGAAGTGCGGTATTTCCTCCCTATCCGCTAACACAACCTCCATTGCCGTCTACGACGGCAGACAAGAAAGGAGTGGCTTCAGCTTCTCCGCGACCTGGCGCTGCGCATCTGCATCTGCATTGGGCAGAACGCCATCCGTGTCTCCTACGCTGATGGTGACGTAGCAGCCATCGGTGCGACTAATGACACTGGTCTCGAGAGGCAGGCTATCAGAACCACACCACTCCGTATCCTGGGTAAAGATCCTCCAGGTAATCTTGGTCAGAACAAATTTGAACTGGTCTGGGCTACTGCATTGGGAAGAAGCCTCGGGAAAGTTGACGTTCAGCCAGATGCCAGTCGGAAGGTATGGCGTCCCAGAGGCAACGACTGCAGAAGTGATTGTGTTCGCCAGCTCTGCGTAGACCGTGCTATACGCCGGCGTCGGGGCATTCCAGGCGGTTGGATCACCAGATGAACCGGAGAAAGCGATCGCGGGAATTCCTGCCTCTCGTGCAGCATACATCGCCGCTCCAACGGTGCCTGAGAATAGCACGACAGCTCCTAGATTGGCGCCCACATTCGGTCCAGAGACTGCTAGTTCAGGTTTCGCGCCGTCCCAGAGGTTCGGTCCCGTGGTGTCGATTCCGGTCTTCATGGCAGTCACGGGGTAAGAATTGACGTAGTTGAAACGCGGCTCGGATGCGTTTGCGCCTGTAGGAGGGCTTTTAGGCGGGCAGCTCTGGAATTGACACCCATCGGAATCGACTTGTGTCGGTGCAGCATCCAACGAGCCTGAAATACTGTGAGTATGCTTGTTCGAGAGATCGTAGATGGGGATAACGGACCGCTTCCTGACTTGTTTTCCGCTGGCCCTGAGAGCACCACGTCGTGACCGGCAGCGGTTAAGCGATTGAAGAACGTTCGAGCGTTGGTTTCCGCCCAGCCATCGTCGTTGGACTGAATGATGCGTATGCCCTGAGCGAGAGGCAAGATGGCGCTGAGGTAAAGGGAGAAGCGCATTTTGGGATATCGGTACCCGCTTTGAACTTGAAGATGCGAACCGGAATCCCCACGGCAGACAGCAACCCATCTTCTCGTAGAAGGCCTTCATCTTATACCTGCTACCCTCGGCTGCCCAGCTCCATTCATGGCGATGTCCGTACGTGCAAGTGGGCTGACAGGCTAACGAGGACCATAGGTTTCAACGGGCAGGTTGGAACGTGGTTAGACATGCGATCTGATTGATCTCCGAATAAATTGAAGTTACTGAGAAAGGGACGTTTTCCGATCTGATTTGTTGTTGGCTGGAACGGGGAAGCGCGCCGCGGAGGGATGACTAGCGTCTTGGCAGGGGCCACTCGTTTGGGGAAGGTGCTAAGGTGTCTCCTCGCGCGTGTCCGACTTTCACTCTTCCATTCACCATCTCATCTCAACCACAGCGGCCTGCGTTGTATAACAACGGCATGCAGATGCATCGACTAGCTCCAACTATCAGCCCTGTTTCTTGCCGCTTCCCAAAGTATAAGCGTTCCACGCCAATAAGAACTGCACAGGATGTCATCGCTTCGGACTCCTCAAATCGCCTGCGAAGACCCTTCCTTTGGTCAACACCATCCTCCGATGCTGAAACGGGAGATTCACGATAGCCGTGGCTCTAAACCCTGCGTCCCGCAATATCTTCTCGTTCGGCCCTTCTCCGATCTACGAAGTCTCTTGCCAACCGAAATCGACATGGACGAACTCGATCTCTCGCAACAAAGCCCTTAGACGCCTCCCGATCGACTGCGTCTCTGAGCGCTCTGTCTCCTTCGTGATCTGGTCGATATTAGGGACCCACGTCCTTCAGTCTCAAAGGACCATTTGCAGCAGTGAATAGCAGGTTAGACGCCAGATCCCGCATTCGCTGACACCAGCAGTCTACAACACTTCCATTTTGAAGGATCACTAGCTTCGTCTCTAAACGCAGCTGTTGACTCGCGACAAAAATCATTTCCAGGCCTCCTGGCTGAGAGGAAATGCAAGCACAACTACAAGCAGTCGGTATGATTGCACCGACCGAGCGTCGCATCGTCCATCTTTGAGGCTAGGACTGCTCGGAGTCGGCATATCATTTACCGACTCAACATCTGACACCCTCGCCGGAGACGATGCGGAACTACATCCATGGTTCCCGCTGTCCCAGCGTTCTCACATCTAGCATACCACAGGGTGGCCAGAAGTTTTTCAGTCACGTGCGTCTGAGGTCCTTCGCGATTGGTCAGTTTTGGAGAGGAGCGCGCACGTGACTGAAAAACTTCTGGCCACCCTGTGGTACCCCTAGGCTCCACCGTGTGTCAAGCTCGAAACGATCCACAGCTCCCTTTACGGTCATTAATAGAAATTCGCTCAAAAGTTACCTAGGAGCTCCAATAGGGCTACCGTCTCCAATAATGGGATTACGCAATGTACGTAGCGCCATCATGCACACAGAATTCTGAGTGCCCCTGGGAACGGGCCTACTTCTCTACTCATGGATCTTCAGCTTACCGATGATCCTACTGATGATGCATATTTCCGCATCCAGGAGCACAAGTTCCTTTAGAAGGTACATCTAGTCGACATCAAAGTAGCCTTTGTCGTCGCGCGCCCGTCGACCAAATGCGCTAGATCTCGGTGTGGCTTCTGCGAGAACGATGTCGCGAAGTCTATTCCGCCCACGCTTGGACTTGAGGGGTATGGAACACGCACCGTGGCGTGCTAAGAAGAGCCGTTTACTTAAGACCAAGCATGAACCTGAGATCTACTGGTTGTAAGTGGTCGGTAGAAGTCGACAGACCACTTTCACGAGTCAGTATTCTCGACGGCGAGGGTCCTCCATTCAGCGCGCAGTGATTGACGTTTATCACGCGCATTAGCTGGGCACACGCTATTATACTTTACTCAGTCCATCCACTCAAGATTTCCCTTTTCGTGGCCTCGCATGTTCGCTCAACGCACGCCAGTGGGGACATGCGCGTGGGCGACCACGGCAACATTTCGATGTGCAGGTACCCCGGAAAATACGCCCTTGACGCGATCGCCAAAAGCCTAGCACGCAAAAATTGCTGCCTACCCATGCGCATCCGAGGTACGACTTTTGAGGCTATACCACATCAAGCGCATTACTCACTAGTGATGGTGCCGGTCTAGCGCTTATTGCTCGTAGTTTTCGCCGCCCGACTAGGGCGTTTTATGGTGGGTAAAATGCTATGCCCAATCAGGCCGGACTGTCAGGAACGGGAAGGTTTACAGGATCATCCTCGCCCCACAAGATTGCGACGTTGATCGCAGATCGGCTCAGGCCCTTCCGGATGTTACTAATGGGAAAGAAGAACATGAGAGATTTTAGCCGAGCTCTCAGGAGGGCGAGATCTCAGGAGGCACAGGACGTGGTGCTCAAGCAAGACACGTGAAGAGCGGGAACCGCCTCCGGGGGTTTTGAAACGCCATCACTGCAACGTCGACAGCTGCTCTATAGGTACGCCCTGCAGTAGTCCCGACGTGTTCCGATGTGTCCCCGACATGCCTACTGCAATATCCCCGCTACTGCTCACTCTGCCAGCCGAAGACCACAGAACCATTGGAGCGAAATTAGGACCGCCGTAATGCAAGCCAATCGACCCGTCGACTGCGCAGTCAAACTTTCGATGTCGAGCGCCACAGTACAAACAGCTGCGTCTACCCCAGCTCGATGTGCTGCGTACCTGAGGTGGCTTGGATTTCCATCGTCTTCCGTGTTCCTCCCGAAGGTTGCACGATCTCAGTTTCAAGATCCGTACCAGAACATTGGAGCCGCCCCAATAATATCCTGCTCTGCGAGTGCACCAGCTAGTAAGGAGCTATTGTTCAAGGATACACAGTACACAAGCGTGACAGGACGATTCTCGCGCAACGATCCACCCTACCGGACCCATGATGAGCGGCGATCCCCCTCGCAGAGTTTCCTTCGAGATCCAGCGCCACGTTTTGACTAGTCTCAGTCGGTCATAGTTCTTGCTCCCGCTCTGTCCCTGACCCATCATTACCAGAAAAGGCGGGGCAACTACTGTGTAGGGTAAATTCTCAAACTAAACCCATCCCTGCTGGCCGAAAATGAGGTACCATCCTCGGCTGGTATATGGGAGTGGACCCCCTCAAGGAGCGCGGAAGGTTGGCTCCTCATCTATCCCCATATGACATCCATCCTCCGTTGTTAAAGTCCTAAATGATACTCTAGTTTTAGAGTTAATACCAAGAGCATATACTATCATCATGCTACTCGACGATAATCCCCGCGGGCGGCAGGCTATCGATGTCTCGAGCGCATTCACCGGCATCGCGCTCATTACGGTCCTTCTACGTCTATACACTCGCTTCTTCCTGGTTCGTTGCGCCGGCGTCGAAGATTACATGGTTACTTTGGCGATGGTATGTGTCTCCCTCAAAAAGCTACTGAAGCGCCCGGCTGATATCTACCTAGATTTGCTCAATTGGATTGACTATTTGCATTGGCATTCGTGCGCCTCACCCTCGTCCGTTCTCCAGAATATTGTCTGATACTGCGTAGAAGCAGAGTATGGTATGGGCAGACACATCGCAGAGCTCAAGCCACAGGACATGCGACATACTTTAAAAGTCAGTGCTCATACTACCGCTCCTCGTCGAACGGCACTGATTATTAACCGAAGGCATTCTGGGCAAGCCTCATTGTCTACTACCTCTCGCTCGGTCTCACGAAAAGCTCCATCCTCCTGCAATACCGCCGAGTTTTCCCCACCAAGAAGTTCCGAATCGCATGCTGGGCTACTATGGGCGTTGTAATCGCCTACACCATCTGGACAGTTTTCGGCAGTATCTTCGCTTGCCTTCCTATCCGCGCTTTCTGGACGAAAGAACAGCCTTCCAAGTGCATCAACCAGTTTGCCATGTGGTTCACGAATGCAGCGATCAATATTGTCACGGACTTTGCAATTATCATCCTTCCCATGCCGGTCATTCGGAGACTAAATCTCGCGCGAAGACAGAAGCAGGCACTAATCGGAATCTTTGCTGTTGGCGGGTTGTAAGTGCATCTCTACGCTTCTTCTTCCGATGTTGCAGCTCCATCATGCACCACATTCCGAGGACTATTCCGAAACCGTCCTATCCTGTACAACCGCTTAACACACAAAGCACCGTGTCCAGTTACACGACCGAAGCACATTCCTATCTAGTATCTTCTCGTCGCACGACTCATCCTTCTACTGCCTTCATTAGGCTTTGCTATTCTCGCTGACATCTCCCGCACCAGTGTCTGTATCGTCTCAATCCTGCGCCTCCAATCCCTCGTCTCAATCTCGAACTCGGCAGATCCCACGTACGACAACCCGCCCGCCGCTACCTGGAGTTCGGTCGAAGCCAACGTCGGCATCATCTGCTCCAGTCTCCCCTGCTTGCGCCCGCTAATGGCGCGCTGTCTGCCCGGCGTATTCTCCTCGGCTCGAACCAGATACGGCCCGTATAGCGGCGGCCCTTCGCTCTCGCGCAGCGCGGCACTCGGTCGACGTTCGGCTGGGCTTGGGAACGTGATGCCGTTGGAGTCGAAGAATTCGCGCGGCTCCAGTACTGATATTGAGAATCGCGACGATCGCATCCAGGTAGTTACGGAGGTGCACGTCCGTGTTGAAGGGAAGGATGAGATAGCGAGAGCGGAAAATAAGGAGATGCGAGATAAGAGGAAGGATAGTACCGAGACGTTGGTGAGAGATGGGTGGATGGATGTGTGAGCGATCAAGAAGCGGTTCATAAGCCCAAGCGGTCCCCGTGTATGCATACTCGACATAGCTAATCAGTATCTCTTATTTTGACGAGTGTTGCAGCCTCCCGGAGACCACATGAGGTGGCACTTTAGACCCACGTCCGCTAGCTGAGTGCTGCAGACATGTCTTTGATCTTAGTCGTATTTTGGAATTCGAACCAGGGCCCGCTGCCATAGCGGCCATGGCTACGAACTTTTGGAGGCCAAGCCATCATCATAGCCTGCATGACCTTTTGGACCCGCCGGCCGCGAGTGGAGTGAAGAAGAAGAGGGGGAAGAGAGGCGGTGTGCGCTTTATATGCTTTCCCGGTACGTGCACAAGGGAACATCTTGCTGCGAGTCCATCCACGAGACCTTGGCAGGGATTGCAGCATTATCGTACCGGTTAGTAGCCGTTTGGTCCTCCTCACTGTCCCTTGCCTATACAAGCCTACTGTTCCTTCTTCTTTCCTCACTCTTCGTTCTCCCCGTTTCTGAAGAATTCTCAACTAAAAATCGGCAAAGAGGAAGCCATGTTCTTCGCCTGTGCCTCCGGAGCGCATCCTGGATACATCCAAGAAGCCATATCCTTGGGCCAATATGACCTGGAAGAATATCATGGAAGGGTCTTCGACAGGCGGCGTATCTACTATGAAAACCTGGAACGCCCAAAGTAGCTGAGCGCACACTCTATGCGAATCAATTTTCTGTTGTACTAAAACGGACATGCTATACTTCTATGTTCTCACTACTTGAAAACCATGAACACTCCCCTCATGGTCCAGTCTCCTGGTGATCTCGTCGGAATTAAAACGTCTGAAAGACACGTACGGACGTCTTCACCTCCATATCTCATTAGCTTACATCATACCTAAAAGAAGCTCATCGTCAGTATGTCTGCCTCCTCCGCCTTCGAAATCATAAATCGTTCGACTGATGAGGACGGTCTCTTGCGCTCTCTCGTCCGTCGCCGCGTAGATTTGCAAAGGGGCTGTTCTACGCTGCACTCACTTCACTCATTCTCTTGATTAAAAACCTCAATTATCTCATATGCTTTCTCTGCTATGAAGCACGTCATTGCGGTACTAAATTTAGACGCCGGAAGGTTTTATGTCTTCGCCTCTGCTTCAATTAGGGCATAGCTACGCGTTTGTGCAAGACATCCTAGCTCTCGTTTCTCGTGAAGCTTGTCTCCCCTTTCGGAGTTCATGTGTTCCTGCTCGTTTAAATAGCATATGAGATTCTTAGATGGTGCGCCCCGGCTTTTCAAAAAAATTAAATTTTTGAGATCCATGATAGAGGATATGGGCGGAATGCCACGTCGAGAGTGCTCGTATGTGCGTCAGTGCTCTTTTTTGGCGTCGCATGATCGTCACGCATGTGGGTTGCAGTGGAACACGCCAATTGGAAACCCTAAATCCTATTGACAGTGACACGTCTTACTGGGCTAAATGTATCAACCTGCATTCATTTTGATTCGGCTACCTCGTGGAGGCCTCAAGTAAACTTCTGCATCACAACAGTCTGGTCATGCGTCGCCGCCAGCACCATAACGCCCCCCTCCACCGCCGTAACCCCACCCCAGCCCGCCTGCGGAATAACCTTCGTAGGCGGACTCCACGTCGCCCCTCCATCCCCACTCGTGATAACTTTCATGTCCACATACTGAAGCGTCGGGTCACTATAATCACCATCCGGCTGGTCCTGATTCGTCATGAAGCTAACCACAAGCAGCCCGGGCACATTCACAATCCCAGGGCCGCCCGCCTGCCCCTGTCCAGGGTCGAAGATGATGTGAGGATCCACCCAGGTCGCGCCTCCGTCCGAAGAGGTCGACGCCCATACCCTGATCGGTCGTTCGGAGCCGCGGCTCCCGGAATTGCTCTCGTAGACGAGCATCAGCGTGCCGTCCTCGAGAGCGACGACTTGCGGCATACCGTCGCGTTCGTCTGTGAGGCCTGCGCCAGCAACGGTCGTGATATCACTCCAGTTCGCGCCGCCGTCGGTAGAGGTGCGCTTCACGACGTCTTGATCCGCGCCGTTGAACTCATGCGCGTAGTACGCCTCAAGCGTCCCATCGGATGCTTCGCGCAGAAACGGCTCCCACTCGCCCAAGATGGCCTCGTTGGGCTCGCTCACAATAGACCCGATCCGTGACCAGGACTTGCCTCCGTCTGTGCTCTGGCTGACGTCCAGATTAATCTGCCAGAGGGCTCCGTTGTCGTACAGATATCGCTTGTACGCGCAGAGGAGCTCGCCGGAGGATCTTTGGAAGAGGAACGGGTTGTTCAGGTCGGACTTCGCCCGGGCCCAGGAAATTACGTCCACGGGATCGGTCCAGGTGGCTCCTTGGTCCTGGCTTGATTTGACGACGATTTTCATGATCGTGTCGTCGTTCCAGCGGTATGTGGCGAGGAGGGTGCCGTCGCTTGTGGTAATGGCTCGAGGGTAACCACTATTCGGCTCTTGACCGAAGGTGATGAGGTCTCCAGTTGGGCCGGCGGTGGCGATCTTAGAAGTAGCCATGATTGTTGCGAGTTGAGCAAGCAATGGTTATGATCTCGTTTGCTGAGGCGAGGAATGCGAACGGTAGAGAAGGATGTAATGGAGGAGAGACAGGAGATGATAAAGTTCTCTTGTTTGCGTCGAATTCGACACCTCATATATCCTTTCAGGCTCACCGTGTGTCTATTTTCAAGTCGAGAGATGTGGTCAATCTCGCGCAGCTTGTCGTTACCATTTTCCTGGTCGAGCATCGATTATCGCCAGCCGAAAGGCAGCGTGCAATTTAATATTGTTTCCGGCTATGTTACTACACCTCCTTCTCGTACGTCGCTTCAACGATCCCGAATGTGGTGAGGAACTCGGTGCTTACATCATTCAATGCAGCCTTCATGATAGGTGCTGTGATGTCACGTCGCCAAAATCTGCAACAAGGCGCGAGCAGGCAAGGATCTTGGAGGGTTAGCCTCATTGCAGGCCACAGACGGAGAGGGCGCATAGCGTATGATGTGTATTGAGGAGGATCGAAGATTGAGAACGATGGGGTTGGAAGCGGCACCAACACGAACTCTTCCACGTGATTGCGACCTTCACCACTCATATCTCCCTAGGATTTGCAAAAGAAGAGAGCCCATAGCTGCATCTTAGGCTGCTAGTCCATAGCGTATGTAGAAGCAAGGTCCCACCGAGTGTGGTGGATCTCGCTTAGCAAAAAATTTCACCCACCATTCACGGGCCCAGGGGCACCACAACCAATCTCAACAACCACTCCCAACGCACAAGGAAATGCAAAAAGAACGTATTTCCGACACCGGGAATCGAACCCGGGCCTTGCCGGCACTGCAGGAGTGAACTGACTCTCGATGAGAGCGGCAAATCCTAGCCACTAGACCATATCGGATGTGTTTTTGATTGAAGAATTGAAGAATTGGTTAATATATATAGGTATAATTGATAGGTGATAAAGAGCATGAGGTGTGGCAGAGTACACGAGGTGCTTCCAAGGTTATGATGACCTTGTTTTCTGCAAAGAAAGCGGGGCGGTGGGGGCGTATGTGGGGGTCAAGACGCGTGATTCATACTAACTGGCCCTTCGGAAGACCAAGGCTCTGCGAGTGTCTGAACATGTTATCACTCCTATTATTGGGGATTGGCCCATGAAAACTCGCAAGACATCACATTGGCAATCATTCATTTGGCACTCATCGCCTCTTTGCAGAGAGCGCCGAAACTTTCAGGCCGTTGTCTATCGAGCATAGGACAAAGGCGAAACCTATTTACGACCTCTCTTGGAATCTATTCATCTTTCTATGCATATATCGCCCAGCGACGTGATAATTTGAAAAGAGAGAGCCAGAGGACTAACTGATCCATTTCTGTATTTGCTCCTTCGACATACATATTTGAAGCATGCTGTACTAGAAGGAAGCTTCTCATTCTCAACCAAAACCTAACGCTTGCATGCAATCCAATTCTAAATTCCACATTAGCTGCTCCTTTTTACTGAGAGTCATCGTTATCGCAAATTTAGCTATAGTCGGGCCATCAAGGTAAACCCGCTGAGGTGTGACTCTTCGCCGACTTCGCTGCCCCGCGAACAAAAAAGTTCCCCACCATCCGCTTGACCCCGACAATAATCCACCATTGCCTCCCCAACACACGCAATATGGCTCCTAAATCTTTGGTGTTTGACCTGTCAAGATGCGCGCGTCCAAATATTCTAGCCTTGGAGCCGTACCGGTGCGCGCGCGAGTGAGTACAGCTCAATTGCTGCTATGACGCGTGCGCGATAGCTGACGATCCGCCAGTGACTACAAAGACGACGGCACGAATATCCTCCTCGACGCGAACGAGAACGCATACGGACCCGGCCTAGCGCTTAACGAGGAAGGCAAGCTTTCAAACGCGACCGTCAATGGCACATCCGGCTCAGCACCAGCTATCGACGTGGATCTGCTTGGGTTGAATCGATACCCAGACCCGTAAGCTTCCCATCGCCTGGCATCTGAGCACCGCAAGCTGATACGGCGCGAAGCCACCAGATAGAACTCAAGCAGGACCTCTGTAACCTGCGAAATACCCACGTCCACACCTCGAAGACACTGTCGCCCGAGCACCTCTTTGTCGGCGTCGGCTCGGACGAAGCCATCGATGCGCTTCTCCGCGCGTTCTGCGTCCCCGGGAGAGATAAGATCCTCGTCTGCCCACCTACGTATGGCATGTACAGCGTGTCGGCGCAGGTCAACGATATCTCGCTCGTGAAGGTCCCGCTGCAGATACCGGGCTTCCGGCTCGACGTCCCTGCGATAAAGACCGCGCTATCGAGCGATCCGAGTATAAAGCTGGCATACTTCTGCTCGCCTGGGAATCCGACAGGGTCGTTATTGAGGAAGGAGGACATACAACAGATCCTGGAGCACGAGAGCTGGAATGGCGTTGTGGTGCTGGACGAGGCATACATTGACTTTGCGCCCGAGGGCTCCAGTCTGGCGGAGTGGGTCGTGGAATGGCCGAACCTGGTGGTTATGCAGACGCTGTCGAAAGCATTTGGTCTGGCCGGCATACGGTTAGGCGCAGCGTTTACCGACCCGGCTATCGCGAAGATATTGAATTCGCTCAAAACACCATACAACATCTCGAACCCGACGAGTCAGTTGGCGCGAGTGGCCCTGAGCCCGAAACACCTCGAAGTTATGCGGAAGAATAAGGACCTGATAGTGCGGCAGCGGGACAGGTTACTGGAGGAGCTACCGAAGGTCCCCGGAGTTGGCAGGCTTCTCGGCGGCACGGAGTCGAATTTCTTGCTGTACGAGATGCTTGATGCACCAGCAAACCAGGGTGGTAAGCCGTCGAACGAGGCAGCTTTGGCAGTGTATGAAGGTCTCGCAGAAGAGAAGGGCGTGGTGGTGCGGTTCCGAGGGAAAGAATACGGCTGTCTAGGTTGCCTGAGGATTACGGTAGGCACGGAGAAGGAGGTGGATAGATTCCTGGGCGAGATCAAGGTCGTTTTGGAGAACATTCACAGGAGTACTGGTAAGCTGGGGCCAAAGGAGGAAGAGAAGAGGGAGAAAGCGGCCAATGCTGTGGTGGCATGAAGCGGTTGGTTGCCGCGTGATCACCGTGACAGTTCCTATAGGACGGACTTGTCACAAAACACCACTACTTTGACCTAGGAAAGTTGTGGCATTCGAGCAGCACCGGGTGTGGTATTTGCGGACGTTGATAGAATGCTCGGGAGGATGCCTCACAGCGAAACATAGATTTCTCATCCGGCATATAGAGCAGCAAACATAGATGCTGAAGAATAGAAGTAGGGGCCTGGCCATTCTAGAGATATAAATATTTTCGGCTTGGGATGCCCTAGGTCGAACATCCTTCTGTGGAGTTGGCATTTGCGGCTCTAAGTTCGCCCTCGTACAAGTTACGGTAGGGATCGAGGTGGCTGAAGGTCCTCCATGGCAGATGCTAATACGACCACGGTGCGATGGTGAGAGCAGATGTGGATTATCAGAGCATTGGAATATTTTCCCTTCTATGCTTATGAAGTACAAGCGCTCACCACCAGAGTCCCAACAGGCTGCAACTGAGTCGGGATATCTCATCCTGGAAGCCTTCAGCGCCCTATGACCGGTTGAGCGTCGTCCTCCGAGGCGCACTTATCAGCTCTCTCGTCTTTGAGCTTCGGCGCGAGATCCTTGGCATCGTGGATTTCTTCTCGCGCTCATCTTTGAAAACCCAGTCTCGCTCCAGGGGCCGATAGAGTGCTTCAGGACTTGCGCTTCAGATACCCTTGCAGTCATCACCATCGACTGGCTTCTCGAGGGACTGGAGAATGGCGGCTTTATCTTGAGGTTGAGGCTCCTGAGGCTGCTGAGACTGGTCCTTATGCTTCTGACGGTTCAGGCGAGATGGACGCTTCGGTCTCCTGCCGCGCTTGCGCGCCTTCGTGACCTTGGATGAGGGGGCTTGAGGTTCTTTAGGGTCTTGCGCGGAGTCGGACATGGTGGTATGTTGTGGAGTGAAGAGTGACTGAGGAGGTACTTTGATGAAGTACAGAGGATGAGGATGTGAGGTGTAAGGGATGATCCCGGGGGAGGTCTACCCTGAAGGTTTTGGACAAGGCCTTCGACCGGTTGTGCTTGCCTGCTGCCCTTGGGGTGTGCCTTCCACCTGCACCTCGCCACTCCACGATTTAGCACCATTTCTCGTCGTGTTTTGTGTATAGAGCGGAGGGCGCGCAAACGTTTTTAAAAGCAGTCAGAACGTTAGTGGATGCGTGTTCTCCCAGGGCTCGGATGGACGGAGTTTCCCAGTACTCTGCTGGACGCGTGCTTTTCCTAGGACACAGAGGACGCGTGCTCTCGCAAAACTCTGATGGAAGGATGCTTTCCTACTACGCTTGTATCCAGATGGTCCTGTATGACTCGAAGGACAGATGTCTTCCCGGGACACTGGGGGCAAGTGTTTCCCTAAGATACAGGAGCATAGGCGGATTCCCAGAACGCCTGTGTCTAAATACTGTCTTCTGACTCTGCAGGACGACTAGTTTCTCGCTCGACTCGACAAAGGCCTGCAAGCATATTTCGAATGAGCACTTCCGGGAGCCTAGATGCTCGACGCGCCGCCGAACTGTGTTAGCAAACGTGTCGAGGAAGACAAGGAGAAACTCCTCGCATGTTTGGGCTCTTTGCCCATTGAAGGCCTCCGGGAGTAGCTTTACAGCCTCGAGACTTCTCGCGAATCATTTCTAAATGTGTACGTAGATCGATCTCGCTCTAGCAATCCGAGCCTCACGCCAGCGCTAAGACGTAGGCAAATGCAAAATGTACACGCCACTACCATCGTAAATCTGCAGGGGCATCATGAGAATACACCCAACGCTGATGGAATTTTCAAATCCAGCTCAGTTGGCCGAACGGTCTATGGATGGTGGGGTACAGTGACGCTGTAAGCGCCAGCGCCAGTGCCCAGGGGTGTAAGATGCTTGAACGTCGTCAGCTGCATGCACATCGTACCTGCGTCACGGAAATATAATGTGGCTGCTGGACGTCACACAGATATAGCTGTGGCTTGCGTGAGATTGCAATCTCCGCGACGGGCTGAGTAGGTAAGTTGGGCGGTACCATTTGCGAAGGAATGGAGTGGAACGATCTGATCGCGTCACATTACGAAGGAACATACTGTAGTTGAGATATACGAGGCCGTTGGCGGGTGTGACTGGCGTGTTGTGGGGTGCGAGGATCGAGATTGGAAGTTCGTTGGAGAGCGGAGACAAGGCTGGCTGGGCGTGTCTTGGAATAGAACGTAAGGCTGCGATGACACGAGAGGAAGTTGACAGGAGAATGCGAAATACGCGGGTTCGCATATACGCGACAGAGTGGGGTATCATTGGTCTAGCAAATCCATGACAAGCTGAGGGATAACTTCTACACCCTCGGCTCGGATAGCACTTATAGGTACAGACTGTACATTGCGCTTCCAAGCGTTCTTCCGACCGCTGGGGTGAGGTTGCGCGCCGCTATTCACGTCGTGGAGATACTGCCGCAACGCTTCATAACTGTGCTGTGTGCCTGGTAAGTCTGCCTTTGTCGCGGCGACAAACCAAGGCTTCGCTGAGATAGGCGTCGTCGGGATGAAGGGAAGAGGTTCGAGCGGCGGGTCCAAACCTGGCGACTCTACGGGGTCTGACGCATCGCTCGGCGGCACGCTGCGGCCTGGAGGGCGATATGTGACCATTCTACGCTCGGTTTCAGCGTTCAGTTCTTTGCCCCGCAGTGTCTCGTATTCGGAGACTTCGCGCCAGAGCAGCTTCAGCGCTTCAACGGCGTCGCCTGCCGATAGGTCGATAACGAATGCGAGGACGGCCGCTCGCTCGACGTGCCGGAGGAAACCGAGACCAAGGCCCTTGTCGAGATGGGCGTCTTCAATGAGTCCGGGGACGTCGGCGATTGTGAAATTTTCTCGCAGCTGCCCGTCTCTTCCCCGCTTGACCACAGTCGGGCGGCCTTTGTGGTTGTCTAATACTACGGTGCCAACGTTCGGTTGGAGAGTTGTGAAGGCCCAATTGCCTATGCGAGCTCGGCTATTGCTCAGGGCTCTGAGAAGCGTGCTCTTTCCAGCGTTGGGAAGACCGACCAAGCCCAGATCTGCCAAAATCTTCAGTTCTAGCTGCAGCGACAGCTTCATGCCAGGGTCTCCGCGTGTAGCCATCTTCGGTCTGGACTGATACGGTGTGATGAAATGCGGGTTTCCGAGACCGCCCATAGAACCAGCAGCGAGGAGCATAGGCGTTTCCATATGCTTGTCCAGGTCCAGCCATATGGGGGCTTGCGGTTGGAGAGCTGCGAGGTGGGACTTTCGGGGCGGTGGCAGGACCGGGAATGTCATCCTGTTCAGCTCTGAGGGTACCAACCCAGGGAATACGAGCCACCTGTCCTTCCTGTAGCTACCTTTTCCTTCCTCTGTGGTCTCTTTCTGGGCGTGTCTCCTGGCTTGCCACTGCGCCTCCATTTCATCCTCGATGGGGTCGTGCCGCTGAATTTCCCGCACGATTGTCCCCACTGGCACCGTTATGAGTACATCGGTCCCTCGTTCCCCACCCTTCATCTTCCCTTGGCCATTGCGCCCTCTGCCGGCTTTGAGCAACCGCCTTCTGGCAAGCTTGTGCAGCGATGTCTCGCCACGGACTGCCTGGATGTAGACATTGCCTCCGCTCCCGCCATCACCGCCATTCGCTGGCCCCTCTTCAATGTATTTCTCGCGCACAAACGAGACGCAGCCGTGCCCGCCGGCGCCAGCTTCTACGGTGAGGATGCAGCGGTCGGCGAAGGGCGTGAGGGAGTAGTTGTCTGGCGTCGGGTCGAGATGAGACGCATGCGTGTCGGGCGGCGCAAATGGAGGAGGCGTGGGTCCCGTAGCAGTAGAGCTACATCTTGCGAATCGCGACGGTGTGCGAACAGGGCATCGTCGGGCGGCCGAGGCGAGAGGAGCTTCGAAAAAAGCGGGATACAGGAACGGTGTCAAAGTGCTGCCGAGGCAGGATGGCCGCAATATTGACCGAACCCGCGTCATGCGACGGAGTGCTCCAGGCTCAGGAATCAATACTTGAAACCTGCTTGACGTCTTCGAAATGGGAAGGCGGCTTCGACAATGTCCGGAAGTTGTGCTGCTGTTGTTGGTTCGCGACGCGATCCTGCACAGTTGGGCCTCGGTTACATAATCCACCGGACCGGACTTGTACATGGAGCTATGGCCCATCACTCGACGCGTCCCTGACAGCCTCAACGAACTCCGCTCACTATCCACCTCATATGGTGCCGAAGCGAGATGCGCGCCCCTCTCCGTAGCTCTGACAACTGACAGCCGGTACCTTGCATGACGCAGCCGATCAATCTCCGCCGCGGACGCCCTCTCACTCAACCTCAGCCGTGGCCCCAGCTGACGCAGGTACGAGACATACTGACGGCTTGCGCTGAGAACGCTCCCAAGGCATTCCGTTTCCGTCGCGGTCATTCGTCAGGCTGCAGCCTCGCGGCGTCAATATGCAGCTGGTCCGATGCCTCGTGGTTGCCGCAGCCTACCTCGTTCTGCTCGCGGGCCCTGTCTCTTATGCATCTCCGAAGCTACTGCCGTTTTCACAAGAGCGGAATGCAACTCTAATTCGTTTCATCAAATGGTTCTTGGCGCTTTGGCTGGTTCGTGAGGTGAACGCGGTCCTCAATAGCTGGGCGGAGAATAGGTGGATGTGGAAGAGTGACAAGAGCTCATGGGACTGGAAGAACGAAATCGCCGTTATCACCGGAGGCTCTAGAGGAATTGGGGCCATGCTGGCGAAGCGATTGGTGTCGCACGGCGTTAAAGTTGCTGTTCTAGATGTTGAACCATTGTCCGATGACTTCCAGGACGGTGCGTCACCCGCAGGGCAATGTCCGTCTCTCGCGTGGCGCCGCTAATGTACCTTACAGATGAGTGCAGGTTGGTCAGCTTCTACCGATGTGACATTAGCTCCCGGGATGCAGTCCACATGGCTGCTGAAGCAATCCGCTCAGACCACGGTTCTCCATCCATTCTAGTTAACAACGCCGGAATAGGCAATGCCAACAGCATCCTGGAAGTCTCGCCCGAGCGTCTCAGAGCCATGTTCGACGTCAATATCATCAGCCACTGGAATACCGTGCAAGAGTTTCTTCCCGACATGATTGAAAAGAGAAAGGGCCACATCATGACTACCTCAAGCATGTCTGCTTTTCTGGGTTTCGCCGGAGCGGTCGACTACGCAAGCACGAAAGCGGGTCTAACAGCATTCCATGAGGGGTTAACACAAGAGCTGAAGCATCGCTACAAGTGCCCGCAAATCAAGACAACCATAGTCTACCCGACATGGACTAGGACTCGGCTAATCACGGCAATTGAAAAGGGAATACAGAGTACGAGAGCTCCTATCATGGACACTAAAGATGTCGCCGACGCCATGGTCAACCAAATCATAGCTGCAAAAAGTGGACAGCTGATTTTGGGGCCAAGCATTGCAGCTACGGTCCGGGCCCTCCCCATATGGCTACAGGAGCTCGTTCGCGACCACATGGCGCACGTGGTCACAGTAAACGCGACGACTGCTGTGGCGTCTTCTCGGTAACATGAGGCAAGGCATCCAGCGGCCATGCCTTGAAACGACCAATCCGTGGGAGCGCGAAGGATGCTGTGCCCCACGGTGGGGAACAGATGTTCAAACTACGGAGGCCGCCGACCTAATAGATGACCTCGTGATCTTCCTTCAACAATGCAAAGAACAAATTGCTCCCACAGATTCTCGGCATGATTCTAGGTGATTATCGGAGGGCTACTGAGGACCTTCAATATCTGTTATCCAATGGCGCCTTGGGCTGTAAAGTCCGGCAAGACTTGGACCATCCCAGGCGGCTCACTTTCCGAAGCATTCTATGATGTTGCCTCGTTTCAAGAGACGCCTTTTGCGAGCAGCGTGGTCAGCTCTACTGATTTAAGGCTGCATGTTCCTGACGGCGCCCGCATTGGGGTATGGAGTGAGGGCATGCATTGGCCGACATGATCAGAATGAAGGGCAAGGTTCTGACATACATGTGAGCTTTTCCCGATTTGTCTGCTGTTTTTCCGCCATATTAATTGTGCTCGCTATGCGCTCGCGGTGGACCGTCTATTGTTAGCTGACATGTTAGGTATTCTCGGACTGAGGCGTTGGTAGGTGCGGGCTAAGCCCCAACCCCGAACATACCCTTGTCCGATGCGACCAGGGATGTACATCCCAATGCGTCCCCGACACGATGGATTTCAGCATGTGGCCAAGGTAATATACCGTCGGCCTTCGCAGGTCGCGGAGGCCAAAAGGACGCGGTACCTTTATTTTGTTTCAAGTCTTCTCGTCTTGTTGTCGTCTCGCTGCCACTTTTCGTCACTCGTTTTTTGACAATGCCATGTGGCTCAAGGGCTTCTTGTTCCTGTCCTACACGGCGTTACTCGTAACTCCAACTAATGCAGTTTATAGTGGCCAAGGTATGCTTTACTTCAAGTGTTCATGATGTCGGCTTCGACCTGGCTAACATTCTTGAAGATGAGGTAGTGGGCAAGGGGGGACAGCTACTTGCTGCACGACATCAGTATCCTCGCCTGGGCCGACGGCAGCAGCAGTGGTTAAATCAAACAAGGACTCGAGAGAATCAAGAGTCGGAAACTGTGGTGACTGAGCCAACCACTTCTGTAGTGGTCATTTCCACGTCCGATGATGTTCAAGCCACCCCAACACCAGGACGAGGGCAAGATGACAGATCATCTACTGTGCCACCTGAAGGACCAGCAAGCTCAACATCAGCCACGGTCGAACTTCCAGAGGAGAGCAGTAGCATCGCCATTAGCTCGGACCCGACATCTCAGACACAACGGCCCCTCCCGACTAGCACTCAAGAAGAACCGACTGAATCTCCTTCAGCGGCACCGTCTCCATCTTCTGTAGCCGAACCCACTTCACGAGTTCCGCCACCAACCACTGTGATTCCTACCTCTGAGGGCACGTCTGATGCAGTTTCTCCGACGAGCAACCAACAATCGACGGTTGCAACACCAGCTTCGCCGCTTCCTCCATCAGCGGCGCCAACGTCAACACAGTTGGTTGAGGATCCTGAGTCCACAGTTGCGTTGGGCCCATCGCAATCGAATCCATCAGAGGAGCAACCAAGCGCTACACTCCCGCCCAATTCCGTGATCATCCCTACTTCATCACCGGAAGAAACGTCTACGTCTTTTGCTGCGCCGCAACCCTCTTCTGTGCAGCAGGAGCCAAGTTCGGCAACCGCGCCTATTTCAGCTCCCGAAGGAGAGTCTACTACTATTCCTCAACAGAAACCCTCTTCTGTGGTTCCAGAATCCACCTTGACTCCTCCCCAGGCGCCTACGTCTATTATTGGTCAGCCAGTAATATCCTCTTCAGCTATTCAGCCAGATAGCACTGCTCTTCCTGAACCCCCGAGTTCGGCCTTCAGCGATCCTGAGCCCAAAACAACTTCCGTTTTGTCACCGCTACCCACATCAAACCTGCCCGTACCTAGCATCTCTGAAGCACCATCATCCCTCGCGGAACCAGAGCCTTCAGATGCTATTCCGTCAAACAATGTCGACAACCCCATCCCCACAGATACGAATGCACCGGAACAACAGTCATCTGCAGCCCCTCCACTTTCTTCAGCGGCATTGCCTTCTTCAGATGCAGCCCCTGAGCAGCCTTCCAGCACCGGAGGACAGCCCACCGAGGGACCAGTAATTTCTTCGCCTGCTGTCCCCAGCCAATCGGCCAATGAGCCCAGTTCTATTCCTACGTCTAAGCCTGCCCTACCAGCTACCTCCAATATTGAGCCCGTGCTTAGCAGTGTTCTCTCCAGTGTTGATTCTGCTGCTAGCAGCATTGTTTCAAGTGTCAAATCTGCTGCGAGTAGTGTGCTTGGCCCGTCCGATATTGTACCTTCCTTGCCGACGCCCACAGGAGAGGCACCACAGCCTAGCTCTGACTTTCCAGCAACGACTCCTCCACCAACCGGGCCAGCGCCACTTCCCACTAGCTTGGCGTCCGACATTAGTGGCCCAATTTCTTCAGTCCTCTCTAGCGATCAAGGAGTTCCCTCGGCCGTTAGCAGCGTGCTATCCTCTGTGCAGTCTGATGCACAGGATGTGTCATCCGCCATCAGCAGTGTGGTATCTTCTGCCCTTTCTGGTATTGAAAGTTTTGCCAGTCCTTCTGCAACTGGCAGTCAGCTACCGTCGATATCTACAGATTTCGCTCCGGGCACTACCGATCTGCCGACTCTGTCCAACTCGGGTGTTGGCTCAATTCCCAGCTCTCCCGCCACAGACGTGCCTATACCCTCGTCGACCGATGCTCCCACACCGTCTGCGCCGGCCTCGAGCGACGGCATCCCAGTCTCAGAGACATTGAGCGCTCCTTCCGGCCTGCCTACGTCTGAGCCTATCCCTACTCCTAGTGGCATCTCACTCCCTGGAGCCTCCGGCACCGGAGCCTCGCCTGATCCGACAGACACCCCTACTATATCGCCGACCTTGGACGTTAGCTCACAAGCCACGGATTCCATTCTTTCCGGGTCAGATGCTCCCAGCTCGCCAACCGCGTCAATATCTACAAGCTCGATCTCTCTACCTGACTTTTCTCTCTTTAATCCTTCCACGGCGCAGACTGCAGTCTCGTCCGATACGTCGGGCTTGGCGACCAGCCAGGTCACGCAGATACCCGCAAGCGAGACCCTTGCAAGCCCGACACCTACAGGCGCACCGACCACAACGCCTCTATTTGTCTTGCCGGAACCGGGTTCGACAGCGGCTATCTCAGGCTCGACCAATGGGTCCCTCATTGTCACTTCAGGCGTCAGTGGTCCCGTAACCACTGGAACAGCTCCGGTCACCACCGTATCGGATACACCCAAGGTGGAGAACACCTTAGAGACTTCTTCTAAGCCTGAGCAGCCTATTCCTACTTCAGAAATTGAGCCGGAAACCACAGGCGCGGATGGTGACAAGACGCAGTCTGACAGTCCAAGCTCGTCCGGGGCACCCGCAAACCCATCAGAAGCGACTACGCTGCCTACGGGTGATGCAACCCTTGAGCCTTCCCGGTCAGCTCCAACGGGTTTCATCGCGAGCACAGCCACTGGGCCCTTAGCTTCTTCGACCACCACAGGCGCTGCTGCTGGTGGGGCCAATGATAAGCCTCCACCTCTTACAAAATCCCAGACCGCCGGTATTGCTATCGGAGGAACCACTTGTATTCTCATTGCACTTGTTGCTGCTCTCTTCGTGGCTCGTCGTTACCGTGCCAATGCAGCCAAGCGCAAGAGTACAGGAAGTGTATACCCAAAGGAGGCTTACCTGTACGATCCGCATACTGGCGGTAATGATGGTGACGCCGAAGCCGGAGGCGCGGTGCCTACTATGTCAGGTGGCGCTGCTGGATATGGCGCTATCGCAGGCGGTTCCTCACGTAACTCCGCACGCCATTCCACGGCTGGAGGCTATTCCGCTCTGCCTCAAAATTCTCCCCAGCCCCTTCCGCGCGAATCCCGCTACAGCACGGGCTCCATGCCCCAGAACCCTTTCAGCGATCCTGAAATGACCACAGTTGCGGCTGCAGTAACACAGAATCCTTTCCGCGACCCAGTGATCCCATCGCCTCAACCTAGCCCCCGCCTCAATGGCTATGGTGGCCCAATGGGAGACGTTAGAGGAGAATATGCTAAGCTGGTCGTCAACCCGTATGCCTTCAATCCGGCCGCTATGGAGTATCCGCCATTGTCTCCATACGGAGCAATGCGCGCAACCCGCGATCTGACACCTGTCACGGAACGTTCAGAACGCGTTTCAGAGATCCTCAGGCGCAGTGATCCGTTCGCAGATCCACCCGAGCACGACCTCCTTCTAAACGTAGACATGCGGACGGAAACGCCAGATTCGATCACGGTTCTGGCGCCTCCTCCAACACCACAATCGCCGCGGGGAGCAGGACGCTGTACGCCTTCAGCAGGGAATCACTGGCACCTGCCGCCTCCAACACCCTGCGTGTCGCATTTCCCCGGCCGCAACTCTACCAGCAACTCCATCATACCGGGAAGATATACTCCAGATGGACGCTATACACCGGACCACCAGGCACCTGCAGGCCGAGCCATGCCGAATGGACGCCAAACACCGTTGAACAGCTCATCAAGCAGCTCCCTCGCACCACCGGGCCGCCATAGCCCAGAAAGCGCTTCCTCAGCACCTAGCAGTCAGACTACATTCCCTAGCTCACCCATCGCGCCTCCTCCCCGCGCAGCCTCCCCGCCACCAGTCAACAAAGGCTGGGACGAAATTAGAAGGGATGATCCTAACGTTCCTGCACCCCTGACTCCCGTTCACAAGAAGCCGCTACCGCTCCGGAGGCAGCCTACGCTTGCAGGACCCGGGCAGCTCCTTCTTTCCGGCGCAGGTCTGCCCCTAACAATCAAGCGGAAGCCGATGGATTCGGGCAGCGGAAGCGGCAACCTCGAGGTACCGAGGAGTCTGTACGGCAGTCCTGGACCTACCGTGACGGAGTTCAGCGACGACCCGACCGTGCAGAGGAAGAGGAGTGGCGAGCTGCTGTTTGCGGATCCCCACCTGATTGGACGGTCCTTCTAGAGCCAACGGGCATCAAGCGCGAAAAGACTGAAGTACAGTAATGGAATAATGTGACGGACGGACGGACGACTTTGTATATACGACGGACAGCTTTTTAGACGACATGGACATAGACTTCTTCGACAACACCTTATCTTCATCAACATCGACGCCCACCACCACGCGCGGCCCGATTGTACCTAATCGCCTGGTTGTTTGCTTCACCTTCACTTCTTGTTAAGACTTCGCTTCGTTCCGGCTACATCAATCGTCGCCGGCCCTGTTGGTCATTCTTCTTCATGCACACACACTCCTTTGTATTACCTTTAACAAATGTTCTGGTTCGAAACATTCTCTTACATACCTTTCCTTTCTGCTCTCGAGCCGTAGCGGCGCGGCAGTTCCATTAGCATTAGCATTAGCATTAGCATTAGCATTAGCATTCGCATTAGCATCAGCATTGGGAACTTCAATACTCCCCGTTCTGCATCCCCCCCGACGCGCCATCACCGGCGTCTATACGGGGCATCAATGTATTATTATTACTTAATCCTATACCCTACTATAATTCAATATCCACATCAAGTCGATACTGCCTAGCGTCTTCTTCTTCTTCTTCTTTTTCTCTCCTGCATCCTTCCTTCCAATACTTCGTGCATGTTGGTGGTGTCTGTCAGTGACTTGTCGTCGTGCCGCATTCGTATTCGGTCGGTCTCCGACACACATGCGCATCGCGCACGCGAGTCACTGCACCAACAATGTTAACCACGCGAGAACAAGGACCCACATACGCAAACGCAAGGCTAGGCCCGGTCCAACAAACACGTTGAGTCGAGGCCCTTGCGCAGATCCGATTCCGTCGATAAAGCCTCGTGCGATATGCGAGCCCGGAGAGGTTGGAAGATGGATGGTAGTGGTATGCACAGTGGAGCGGGCGAGTTCGGACACGGCGCAGGAAGGCGACGGGAGCTATAATGACCGACTGGAAGGTGTTCGCGATAAATGAGCCAGGTGATTCTAGCCGGTCTTGGACGCGGAAGGGGCGGACTGGTTGAGTGAGAGCTTGGGCGGACTTTCGTCCTTCGGCCGACATCTTCCACTCATGCTTTCATGGACCTGCGAATATCATAGGCACAAACACGCTCATCTTGGAACTCTTTTCGCTTGTGATTGGGATGTTCAAATTGATTGACTGGCTGACTGACTGACTGAGTGCCATCTATGGGAGGGGGGAATCCGGGGAGGATATATGAGAATAAATGATGCTAACAGCCCAAAGGACGCGCAAAACTCCAACGGATGCATGACTCTCATTAGCGTTCAGGTCGTCCTCCCCATCGCCCTGCCCCGCGCACCCATCGATACGATCTGTTGAGCGAGGAGACCTCCCACCTCTTGAACTGCCTCTTGTATAAAAAGCCCAATGAAGCCGTCAACGCCCACCAGGAGCGTCAGCGCCAAACCGCAAGATAAGTGATATCCAAATCCGGCAATATGCTGCGCATCACCTTATTCCACCATCATCAGTTGTTATAACTGGCGGTGGCGTCTTCTACCGCTGATTGAAGAACCAGCTCGTCCTTTTTCCGCTCCCTTGGTTAGCCTCTTGCGCCTGAAGGTTGCTCAGCACGGGCAACACAGGGCCGTCCTGCACTGGACCACCTCCGCCGCGCAGAGGTTTGGCAATGCGGGAGCCGATAGCGCCGCCGGTAACGAACGAAGCGCCTGTAGGCGATCCAAGACCGCGAGTTGATCCCTGCTTCGCCGCTTCGAGGCGCTCTTTGACGGCCGTGAGTTGGGCTTCGAATCTAGTGTCCTCTTTGTCAATAACGGTCCATCCATCTGGAGTAGGAGAGGAGGAAAAGGAGAATGGTCCATCGGTGCCATCCCCGCCGAGATAAGACGGCAAGGAGAGCAGAGCGGGTCGGTGGCCACTCTCGTATACATTCTTTCGTTCGACATCGATCAGGGAATGGAGATAAGAAATACTCTCCACATACCGATGATTCGCAGCGGTGAGCTTCTCCTGCGAATCCTGGAGCAGCTGCTCTAGGCTCTGTATCCGCTCATTGCGGGCGATAAGCTTGCGCTCCGCAATCGCGACTTCCTTCTTCAGCGACGAATTTTGTTCGACGAGCTGTCGCTGGACGACGGTGAGCTGCTCAAGATTGCGCTCTAGGAACATCATCTTCTTCTGCTGGGCGCGGTTGTTGGATGTCCGGAGCACGTTGTTGTACTGCTCGCGCGTTTCATCTAGCGAGATCTCGAGCTCGACGACCTGTTTATCCAAATAGGTAAATGTCTATTCCTCACACAATGCGTAAGGGGAAAAGAGAGAGAAAACTTACCCGCTCACACCTATTCTGCAGGTCACGCATCAGGCTCTTCTTCATATTATCGAACTCGGCAATCTGCTGCTGCACCGTCTTGCCGTTGATGCCGTTCGCCACACCGTTCGCGATGGCACCGCTCTTGATGCGTTGTTGCAGGCTGTCGATCTCCGCCTTGAGCTTCTGGTTCTCCTCGCTCTTCCGGGAGAGGTCCGACTTAAGTTCCTCGGCGAGCTCAATGTTGCCTTCTTGTCGTGCGGCATAGGCATCTGCAAGTCGAGACTTGAGCTCCTCCGTGTCTGCCTCCGAAAGGTTGCGTTCAAGGATCTCTTCGTACGCCTGCTGCAGCTCCGCAAGCCGTGCCTCAAGGGCTTCGCGTCGTCGGTTGTGGACGCCGTCCTCCTCATTACGTGCAGTTAGAGAAAGCTCTGCCTGCCTCACGATTCCCTGTGTTTCCACAAGCTTCTCGCGGACTTCTTGGATGGCATCAGGTGCGACGGCCTCACCAGACGAGCTCATGTCGTAAAGAGCGTCTAGTTGCTCGATGATCTTCCGAATGCTGCGCTCGTTCTCGCTGAAAACCTCGCCACCAAGGTCGAAGCCGGCCATCATTTGCGCCATAGCCTCTGCCTTCTTTTTCTTTTTCTCGTCCAGGGCAGCGCTGGTTTCCTTCGCATTCATCCTGGCATCGAGAAGTTGCTGCTTGACATCGTCCAGTTCAGTTGTGAGCTCTGCATTGGCCTCCTTGAGCCCGTCCATTGTGATCATTGCCTCCTTGCTCTCGAAGTTGATCTTCTCGATCTGCATCTTGAGTTCATTGAGCTCGGTTGTCATCCGCTCATTGTCCTTGTTTGACTTGGAATCACGCTCTTTGAAGTATTGCAGCTCCTCCTTCGCCGTCTTCAAATGATCTTCGGCCTTTGCGAGCAGCGTCTCCTTCTCCGCCACTTGGTCCTGGAGCTCATTTTCTCGCCTCAAGAACTCGTCCTTCTCATCCTTGTCCAGAGGTATACTAGGTGTGCCGGCTCGCTCGAGTTCCATCCTTGAATCTGGCCGCGAAGGTGTTTCTGAGCTCTTGGTAGCATCTAGCCTTGACGGTGTCTGCGCACGCGAGGGTGTCGAGGGGGTCTTCCTGCTTGGGGCTGCACCCTTCTCCAACGCCGGTGTCCACCTCTCTTGAGGTACTGCCTCGCCAGCACGCCACAGAGCCACCTCGCCCTCGAGGCTTGCAATATATGTTTCGAACGTCGTGACCTGTCCCTGTGCCTTCTTGAGCATCGCCTTGAGCTCTGCCGGACTGAGTTCTGCGTTGACCTTGGCCTTGTTCTTGATCGCCTTCGCCCGCATACCGAATCTCAGCGTACTCAGCGTTTCGGCATCGTTGTAGCTACTCGGCGAGCAATTGATGATGAGCGATGTCCGAGAGTTACCACCGAGCGATTCTTGCAGGATACGCGTGAGCTTGGAATCTCGGTAGGGGATGTGTGAGGATTTGCCGTCTGTCAGCGCGTTGATGACCATGCCCAACGCGCTCAAACTCTTGTTGATCTTCTTCGCTTCTTCCAGAGTCTGTCCGCTTGCGCCAGTCTTTCCGACCTTCTCCGAACCAGCCAGATCGACCAAGAAAAGCTGTCCGCTCTTCATGGACCCTGTTTCGACGTTCTTCTGCGTGACGGTTATAACGAAGATGGAATGTGACCGCGAGGACTCCTGGTTCATATTTGTGGCAGAAACGGCTCGCGCATTCCCACCTCTTCGCATGACCTCATAGACCTCCTCCACGCTTGAGACATATACCTCCAGCAAGCCCTTTACGTATACGCCCCTGTTCTTCTCCTCGTGCACCGGTAGGTTGTCGTTCTGCGGCACTAGCAGATCCCGAATGCGCTCCATGTAGATCTCCATGTAGCTGACCCGGACCGTGTATTCAATATTGCTTGGAGAGGCCAGTATGCTCGCAAAGATCTGCTCGATCATACGCGGAATGATCCCCTTGCCGTTCTCATCGTCGATGTCCGTCCCCATCATGGTATACGACTTGCCTGCGCCTGTCTGCCCATAAGCAAACACGGTGCCGTTGTATCCATTTAGAATATCGTCGACGGTCGGTCGGATGGAATAGTCAAAGATATCGGCTTGGCGCGAGGCCATGTCGAATACCCGGTCGAAGGTAAAGGCCCCGGAGGCCTCTTTCGACTGCAGCGCGCATGGCTGTCAGCACTGGCCTCCTGTGTCCATGTATCCATGATTTCAAGCGCTCCGACGTACCGAGATCGTACATGTGTCCTCCCCTTTGAACTCGACTATGGGTTCTCCCCCGCTGGCGATTTCAATCTTGTTCTGCGGGCGGAACCGCGCCACCACTACACCAGCCCGCAGTCAGTAACCCGTGTCTTCGCATCTCGTGTCGTATCTCAGTATATATCGCACCTTTTATAGTGTTGGAGCTCCTGTGACGCGAAAGCAGTTAGCCCGTTGCCTCCGGATACCCCCGTGCCCGCGGGGACCACTTACGACATGATGGCAGCACAATATCGCGTCTCCGGCCCAGCGGCCTCACTCTGGCGTGTTGTCGCGCGCTCTCAGCTGCGGTGTGTCGCGCGTCGCTGCGAACTCCTGTCGTGGTACGTAAAGGGAGCGGGTTTGGCTCGGCGCGTTGGAGGGAATTATTAGGCCCCGCCGCTGTAAGGGGAAATGGATTATAGCGTCCTGTTTCAGAGTAGCGCGACCCGGCGAGACGGCGGCGGAGAGTGCGGAGCGTGACGTGTGGAGGCCGAAAAGGAGGGACTGGGAGCGCGGAGGTGAGGGAAGCCTGGGCTATTCAGGATTGCGTCGTGGCCGAGTCAATGTTGATGTTGCAGCTCCAGGGCTCCTAGCGCGACTCCCCGCCGCAACGGCCAACGCCAGTGAGCGTGACGCACTTCCTGCTGGGCGCGTCCACTCAGCTTTGGCATACTCACAAGCCCTGGAAGTGCAGCTGAGTTTGGGATTAACTATGATGCAAGTTGAGACTAAAGACACTTGGACTAGCTAAGCCGCCATGTATTAAATCGTAGAGAACCCCAACGCCTTCGCTATGGGAATGGAAACAAAGCAGACCGCAGGACATGCCAAACTGGTATAACCGCTACTCCATGCCGAATAACTCCTCACATGTGCCTTGTCGTGATAGGTTGCCTGTGCTATGATTCATGCAGCATGCCTCAGTCCTCCCAACTCTTCTCCACCGTCTCACGCACACGCTTGGTATATTCCCGGCGGTTGTCTTTGTACAGGTTTGAGGCTTCGACGTTGGCGGGCGACGACGTGTTCGGGTCGTTGAGGAGACTGCGCGAGCATCAGCACTTGGGGATGAAGAAGCCCGGGGTCCAGCACAACCAACTCACCTCTGAATGCTGGTCAGGATGGCGGCAACATCGTATGTCGGACTCCAGCGATTCTGGAGAATATCTAGACAGAGCTCCCCCGTGCCATATACGTTAGGGTGGAACATCTGGCTGATGAACTTGACGCCCGGTGGCTTGTTGGGGTATGCCTCCTCAAAGTGCATCACCAATCTAAATGTCCCATCTTCGAATGGCGTGTCTGCGGGTCCGATAATGACGGCGTTCCTGTGTGGCTGTGAGCGAGGGTCTTGGGGGAGACTTAGTGTCGCGTGCGGGGCGGCAATACCAGGTCATGACATTGTCGGCGATGGGGGATGCGGAGACGCCAGCGGGGGGGTCAGTTTGCATGCGCTGCAGCACCTTCATGTTAGCCAAAGCCTCTGGGAAGGGTTGCATCACCGTGCGACTTGCTCCCGCAACCGACGGCATGCCAGGGTGGCGCACCTTGAAGTCTCGCATCAACCGGCGGCGGGCTGCAGTAGACATGGTGGTTTAGTCGGCGGAAATACTCGAGATAAAGCAGGTAGTCGGGCTGCGTCGTAAGGGTGGAGATAGGTGGTGGACTGCTGCTGTCGGACTCGCGCAAAGGTTGGTTCTCAAACAAATGCGGTGGAGCTTCCTAGAACCCCAACGCCTCGATGATGGCGGAGGCGCAACGTCACGTGCATGGCGTCGGGTCCGGTGAAACCACAGCATCCGCTCGCCATTACCAGTCATGATTGTTGTGCCAGGCCATTGCAAGGCATCGCACGGAGGAGGACTTTTGCAGTGCAACCAATAAAATACTGTATATCATAATGAGTTATCTACTCCATTCACCACTCTACACTAGTTACCCAGCGAACCTTCGCTGATAACCCGACGCCGCCAATGAGAGTTGCAGTTATGAATGGTCGTAAGATGATCCCGCTAAAACGCTTCATGAGAGGTATGATGAGGGCAAGGCAAATAAAGACGCTCATGGGATCCAGACCGCTTCCGATGAAGATGCTGCTTCATGCCCGACTGCGAAAATAAAACAAACCGGAAAAGAGATGCAGGAAATATGCAGGAATATGGAAGGTAGGAAGGTCGAAAGAGCAGCCTAGGTCGAGCTCATTCACCGAAGGCTCCAGCAACGCCGTGATGAGTGGCCGCAGCAGTCTTCTCGCGACCAAGGTAGTCGACCACGGGGAAGCGCGCCCGGCGCTCAAGCTCATCGAGCGGAATATGAGAGCGAATGTATTTATCGTGCTCCTTGTTTGGTGGTTGGTAGTCCCAAGACTCCTTACGTCCTGTTCGAGAGTTAGCGTCTGACACTCATGGGCCAGTATTGAGCATACCAATCTTCAGCGCGCTCGAGCAGAGCAGGCGCATACGTTGGCTCAGCAGGACGTCCTGATGGATCTTCTGCAAGTCCCACTTCATGCGGGCTTCCGCCTCAAACTTAGCGAATGCTTGGGCGTGCTCGGGCTTGTCAGACGTCGCGAGGTTGACAAGTTCCTGGGGGTCTTCGACAAGGTTGAAGAGCTGCGGAGGGTCCACAAGAGACGTCGTGTACTTCCACGGTCCGCGTCGGATCATCATGACAGGCGTCACAGTCCCTTCTCCCATGTACTCGCCGAACACTTCGTCTTTTCCGGGCTTGTCGGACACGAGGTAGTCATAGAGACTGTCTCCGTCGATAGGCAGAATGGCCGAAGCATCACCTCCCGCAATGTCCACAAAGGTCGGGAGCAGATCCATGGTAGAAACCGACTGAGTAACTCGCTTAGGCTTGAACTTAGCAGGGTAGTGGATAACCATCGGCACCCGTGCGCTGTTTTCGAACCAGGACATCTTGTACCAGAGGTCGCGGTCACCAAGCATGTCGCCATGGTCCCCGGAGAATACAATGACAGTGTCCTTATCCAGCTGGCAGTTCTTGAGGATCTTGACAAGTTTTCCGACCTGGTCGTCCACAAAGGTGCAGGCGCCAAAGTAAGCGCGGCGTGCCCGTATGGCGGCCTCCTCCGGGACTGGGTTGTTCCACAGATCGATGGTCTTGAGAAGCCTCTGCGTGTGAGGGTCCTGGTCTTCTTGAGCAATGTGCACCTTCGGCAGAGGAATGTCAACACCCTCGTACTTGTCCCAGTACTCCTGCGTTATCGTGTACGGATCATGGGGATGGGTCAGAGAAACAGTCAGTGCAAAGGGGCGGCGCTCCTTCGAGTCCGAACGGACCCAGTCATAGAGATACTGCGAGGCCTGCCCGAGTACTGTTAGCGAGCTGTGGAATTGATTAGGTGAAGAAAGGATCATAGTTGGTCTGCTCAGAATCTGTCAACTCTCCTACCTGTCCTCCAGTCTAGGTGACAGGCGGTCAGATGGACACCATTCCGCATGCATGCAGTCATCAGCTTACCTTATACATGACGTCCTCATCATAATCTAGCTGGTTCGAGCGGACGCAAGGACCAGCCTGCATGACTGAAGACATGTTGTGGTACCACTCCTGGCGCTCCTCAGGCTTACTCCAATTCACGGTCCAGCCCATGTCGCCGGGGTAGATGTCAGAGGTGAGCCTGATTGTAGTTTAGCTAGACGCTCGCATCTCGAGTAACTGAGTACTCACCTATGCTCAAATCCATGGAGCTGATCGGGGCCGATGAAGTGCATCTTGCCTGCCAGCGCTGTCTCGTATCCTTCGCGGCGCAGATAGTGCGCGTAAGTAGGGACCTCGGGGCCTAAGACGGCGGCATTGTCATAGCCACCGATCTTGGACGGCAACTGTCCGCTGCACATGGTGAACCTAGAAGGAGCGCACAGAGGCGAGTTACAGTAGGCGGAGGAGAAGACAACGCCGTTCTTGGCGAGCTCGTCGAGGTTTGGTGTTTTGATCACCGAGTCTGGGTCGTTCATCTTGAGAAGAGGTGCGGCCATCTGATCGGCCATGATGTACAAAATGTTGGGTTTCTTAGCGGCCCCCTCCGCGCTTGAATGACCAGAAGCAAAGTTCATAGACTGTTCCAACAGAGCTTGAGAGGTGACGAAATCCCGTCTGTCCGCCTGATGACCCGAGAAACCGGTACTGCCAGCAAACCCATTGGTAGCACCGCCCTGACCATGGCCATTGACAGAAGGAAAAGAAGACTGAAAAGAGAAATGCCCCCCAACGGGTGCATGGTTGTCCAGCGAGATGGCTCCCTCGACGCTGTTCGGCTTTGGCGCCTGCTTCACCGGCTTGGGAAGGAATTCGTGCGGCTCCTCCGGCGGCAGCAAGAGGCTCGGTGCCATATCGAATACTTATAGGCGCAGTGGTGTCGACGCGCGGGTGGGAGTGCAAGTGACAGTAAGAGTCGGGAACGCTTAACCACGGTACGGTAAGCGTCCCGAGGGGGTGGCGGAAGGGCACGTGAGGTGCTGCCGGAGCGAGTGAAGGTAGGTGCAAGAGACTGGAAGAAGCGAGGTTGACGAATTCAGGCGAGTTGAGGGGGGAGACTGCTCTATATAGGTAAGAAGAGGGCTCGGGGTGGCGGGGAGGAAGTCATTTATGGAGGTGAAGCGGAAGCGGTGAGTTCATGTCCGGGCGAGGCAAGCACGCCATTCACAGCGCCAGTTGCGCACGTCCAGCTCTTACGCACCCCACGACCTGCGTCCCCACATAGCTGCTGCAGCATAAAAGCGCTGGGACGGACCCCCAGTGAGTCCATCAAAGAAACTAACGCCCGGCCCTCCCTCGCACAAGACCTACGCAGACGGGCGGCGTGGCCGTCCAGGTGACCCTGGCGCCGCCGTCATCGTTCCCAGACAAAGCGGGCAGCACGCCTTCTGCCATTATTATCCGAACCACACAATGCCGCCTGCTGGGCAATTGGTATCGATGGCAAAGACGGGCCACGCGCGCGCACGCAAACGCCCCGCTGTCCTCGCCGTCTGGAGGCCGGAAAAACCCACAGTGGACGTCCGGATTGACCTGTGCGATGACGGGGGCACGACGCAGGGTCGCGGGAACAACTGGGTGCTTCGCTAGCGTTTGAAAGAGCCAAGGAAGTGGTATCGGTTGGATTTGCGCTGCTTGCAGGTGGGTTGAGCCGTCCACGCGTCGCTGGTGACAGTCTGGAAGCAGAGTGAGGTGAGCTCTCGGCAGCCGCTAACGCCGCTCCCCGGCCTTCCTATTCGCTGCCGCGCACTTCGACCTCGACCATGCCCCTGGACGACTGGAAATCATCATAGTTTCGGGCGAATGATCAGGCATCAATCGAGATTGTCGCGAGCCCAGCAGCAGCAAAGGTGGCGGAGGCTGCATCGATCGACTATCTGCCTGACTCACCCGGCGCCCGTCCATTCACATTGGAACCGTCATGGCAGGCAAATCGGGGTTCTGCCGAACTCTCCGACACCGCGCACGTGACCCCTATCTGCAGCCTGCGTCCAGCCTAAGCTACAATGGGCGATCTTCTCCCCTCTCCGCGAATCACGACTATTCCTCCGCCTGCAAGCGCTTGATAGCGCATCTGCACGACGAGTACAGCATTCGACCGCCGACTCCCTCAGCCAAGTGGAGATGAGGTCCATTCCCGCTTCCCCTTCGAAGGCACCACGTGGACGCTCAGAACTTTCCTCATGGCTTGAGGTCGCCACGGCTATTCGGCCGGCTCTGTTTCTCGACAGCGGAAAGCTGCCTTCAGCGCCAGACAAGAGATAGGCAAGGGGACGTTCCCTTCTGTTCAGCCGAACTCGGAGAATCTTGCGCCTGTGCTAATCAGGACTATCAGCCTGCGGAATCCGTCAAGACCCGCAATATCCGGTTATCTGGCTTCCTGCAGGGTGGGCGGTTGGACGCCATTGTTACCGTTATCAGATCTGGAACCTACATTATTGTCGTGCGACGAGCTGCCTAGTCTATCCGACCCCTGTGGCAAGGATTCTCACTATCGACTTACTAAAAATTTCCCCCCACAGCCGCCGATTCGACCTGAAGCGGCCGGCGAACCTCATTCCACCCATAAAATGACCGCTATCGCGAAACCCACCTGGCGGCCAACATGGACGGCTTCACAATCGAACGCGGTCCGTCGGCCTCCTCGGGCGGGTCGTCGCTCTGTTTCGCTGCAAACGCTGTGCCCAAAACGCACTATCTCATCGGTGTGCACCTTCGAAGGCCCCTGCCGTGCAACCTGTTGTTGTGAGCACCAGTGCAAGGTATGTGCTCTTTTGTCGATCCGTATCTTTCGCCCGTTCAGAGCCATCCTGATATGCGAAAGGCACTTATCGTGTTGAATCAGCTTCTCATTTTTGCCATCTTCAAGCCTCCATGAAGTTCTTAGCCGGTTGTCGCAAGTCGGACTTGCGCTGAGCAAACACCAATTCCCGCAACACCAACACCACACCACACATTCCGCGAAGTCAAATCCCCCATCATCCATGCAACACTCCCGCATCATCTGCAACCCCATGATAACGCATAATCCTCATCTTCCTATGGGAGTTTTTTCCTCGTCAGGATAACGAGTCCTTGCCGAGCGCAAAAATAATGAATAACCCCACATACGCTAGAGACGCCCCCTTCGTACTCTGCCAACCCACGATTAATTATGATCGTAGTCAACGTCAGCTTCAGCTTCTTGACTCCACATACGCTAGACAACGCATCCTTCGCGCATGAATGCACTCTCAGCACGTCGGGACAACCGACTGCCAAACGTTCTCACACGCTACAGACGCGGCCTTCATCCAATATCTCGGTTGCATCACAGACTATGGGGTGTTATGACCGCCTGCAGTTCACGGCAATATTCGCCGGTGGCAAATCTACCAAAAGCTGACTGGCTTCAAGTTCCGAGAGATCTGGACTTTGCAATTGTTCTCCACATACGCTAGCAACTTCTTCATCACGCGGCATGTCCGACTCCGGGAGGTCCTGATCCTCGCCACCAGTATCACAACCTCGATGTCACAAGGCTCCGCGCATACAGGAGACCTCCTCTCGTCCCACGCGTACTATTTCTCTGACACATCATACGCCAACAAAAGCAAAGCATCAAAGAGCCTCATGTCCTTCATCCCCTCAGCTCGCTTCAGAGCGTCCTTCCGCCACGGTGACGCCGCGTCATGAATGAGATGCTCAGCTCCGTGCTTTTTTGGCAAGCTTCAAACGCAGATTCTCCTCCTCGCTTCCTGTCTTCCTAATGATCTGTCGGCTTCGTGAGAACAGACGACAATAGTAATAGCATCTAATGAGCTAGTCGGAAAAAAAAAACAGATTCAGGCTGGGACAACAAACAGCTTCTACCTACACCTTTCATACAATTGCTAACACCAGGTTGCTAGCATGACACAGAAACTTCAACCTTCTGCACCATGCTGCTCCCTCATGCCAGGAGTTCAGAATGCAACTCTCCACGATTATCCGCCAAGCTCTCCGTCCTCGCCCAGGTTTCACCACAGCGGCGTGTGTTACGCTTCCCCAACGACATCGAGGGGCGATCCTCATCCCCAGGCTGCCAAAGACGAGCGGCCCGAACATATGCTTTGCTTCATCGCAACGCCGACACGAGACATTCGGATACGTTGTACCGATGCGGTTTTTTTCGAGGGAACTGCAACTCATAACGGCTTCCAAAGCCCAACACCAACACCAAGGATATCTGGAACGCCAACAAATGACCCCATCGCGAAGCCGACGCTGGACTAACCGCGCGAGTTGTGCCGTGTAGACTATCATCAAAACGAGTCAACCTTCAGCTCCGGTCCCAGCCTTAAACGAAAGGACGCACACACTGCAACAACACCCCCACAATCTGCGGAGCGAGCATGGATACGGAGCCAACTTCTCATCTGCTCTGCAATTCCGCATTCCTCCTCCTCCTTCAGAGCGAATCGTCTTAATAGTCCCACTAGCATCACAACAACATCATGCGTCGCGAATACCACATACTTCAGCATTCACATTCTGCATGAAAAGAGAATTGAACTATGCAATGCCCCACGTGTCTCTTTACAATCTCTTAGGAGACTTTTCACATTATCTTCGGTTCAACTTTTTCCTACTTCTAGCCCCCCTTAAAACTCCGCAAGCCGTAGATTGGAGATGATAGAACGAGATAGCCCAGCTCTTGCCCCAACGCCGCAGTCCAATGCAGGACTCTCGTTACAGCCCACGCCAATGGGGTATAGTACATGGATAGTATGTACAGAGAGGGCGTCGGTGAACCCAGGGACAGTATAATACAATTGCGAGAAAAATCGTGTCAAATGCCGTGCTCGACATCACTTCACCCCGTTAGCTGCCGTCCCGTTTGCCACATTCCGTGACGAAACAGAGAGAAGACTTACTCAGTAGAAGTCAGCCACTCTTTTCTTCCTCTCCCCTCCAGGCCTGTCCCCAAAGCCCCCCGGTCGTCTTGGCTTCCCACCAAACCCACGGTCACCACCTCTCCTATCGCCAGAGCCGCGACTGTCTCCAAAGCTGCCTCCTCTCCTGTCCCTATCGCCAAAGCCAGCCCTGTCTCCAAAGCCGCCTCCTCTCCTGTCCCTATCACCAAAGCCAGCACTGTCTCCAAAGCCGCCTGCTCTCCTGTCTCTATCGCCAGAGCCTCCTCTTCCACCAAACCCGCCAGACCCACTAGCCCTCCTCCTTCCTCCGCCCTGGAATAGCGCCGCGGGCGGATTAGGCGGCTGCGGCATCCCCCATCCAAATTCCGCAAGCCTGTTCGCACCCTCCAACAGGCCCTGCTTGTCACCGTACCACTGGAAACTCCCAAACAAGCCCCTGAATGCGGCGTCCAGCTGATCCGGATACACTCTCTTGTGTGCTTCAACGACTTCGCCCAGCATCTTGGCTACGGTCTCTGGCATCTCGGTAGGTGCGGACATGTCGACTTTCGGGCTCTGGAGGGAAGTGTCATGCTTAAGCGGGAGGTCTCGCAGCCTGCGACGCACCTCCTGGCGCTCGAATGGCGTGAGGATAAGCCAGCCTTCTCCTTCTTTGCCCGCGCGACCTGTGCGGCCCAGCCGGTGAATGTAAGAATCACGGTCTCGGGGAAGACCGACCTGGATGACATGGGTGACATTCGGGAAATCCATTCCTCGGGCGGTGACATCGGATGAGAACAGGATACCAGACTGGCAGAAGCGGAAGTCGTCGGAAGCCCTCGTGCGCTGTGCTTGCGAGAGCTTAGAGTGGATTTCATACGCTCGAACACCATGGAGTGGCTTGTCGCGCTTGAAACCTCCTGAAAGTTTGAAGAAGACGGATGCGGCAAGAGTGACCTCGGCAGTCGAGTTGAAGTAGATGATAGCCTTGAACGGAGGTGATTCGCCGGACTTGGCTTCCCCGTGTTCTTGCAAGACGAGCTCGTACAAGGTCGGCATGATGTTTTCGAAACCCTCAACATGGACCATGTTCTGCGGCACTCTCTCGTGCGTAGGTACTTCGTCCTCGCTCACGCATTTGGCGTAGTGGAAACCCGGTCGCATAGTCTTTCTGACCAGATCTACGACATTGCGAGGGATCGTCGCGGAGAACATCAGCGTCTGTCGCTCCACCTGTTGGGGGTCCGGCAGATAGCTCTTGATATCGTCGATTTCCTTCGAGAAACCTTCGTCAAGTAGGCGATCCGCTTCATCCATGACGAGAGCATTGAGGTTAGGCGCCTTGACACCGGAGTACGCGTCGGAAAGGATATCGCATAATCGGCCAGGCGTACCGATCAGGATATGACATCCCTCCCTCTGCGTCTTTTGGAGCATCGCCCTCTTTTGTGTCCCGCCCACGGCAATCTGCACCACCAAGCCAGTGCCGGAGGTAATCTTCTTTGCCTCGACTGCAATCTGCTCTGCCAGTTCCCGCGTCGGCGAGATGATAATGGCTCTGATATCATCTGGCTTAGCGCGCTTGTAGCCGCGAGGCTTCTCGGCCAGTTTTGGGTCGTTCTGTATGATTCGTTGCACGACGGGGATCAGGAAACCGAGGGTTTTACCAGTACCTGTCTTTGCTTGCGCAATGCTGAATCCAGTTAGCTGGGTACAACCCATCGAGAGATATAGCTTACATATCGACCCCACTCAATGCCTCATTGATAGTCCGGCATTGAACGTCCGTCATGGTTTCTAGCTTCATCTGCTTTGTAATGGTATTGATGACATTCGGATGCACCAACCCGCGAGATGCGAGGTCCTTGAAGTGTGTGACGGGTCCATCTTGTCCATGCTGCTGATCAACTCGTTCAGCGGTAGCGACTTGCTGTCGCCACTTTGCGCTCTGGTGGAATGCCGCCGTCGCGACGCCCGGCACTCGGGCAGCTGATATCCTTATCGCGTTCGATGAGGGCAGCAGCCGTAATCGCACTGCACTAGTCGAAAGTGTAGAAGACGAAAGGCTCCTGGATAGGGATGCGGGACATCTCCGCAGCGCGCCGAACATGGTGTGAAAGGGGAGTGTGTCTTCCGGAAGTAGACGTCAATTACAAGGAGTATCGAAAGAAGGAACGATTAAAGTAATGCAACGTCTGGAAGAGGCGAGAAAGGAGAGTGCCGCGCAATTGCAGGCGGTGGACAGTGAGGGAAAGGTTGATGGTCGAAAGGAGGCACCGCCAGAAGTTGGATGGAACTTTTTCGAGGGACGTGCATTCCGCGCCTGATCGCGCTAAGCATTTCGCCGGTATCGTCACGTGGAGATAACGTGAGACCTCTCGATTCACAGCCATCAGAGCTCAGCGATTTTGAATCGCACGTTCGTAGACGAGCTATAAAGCACCCAGCATGAGTCTATTAACGATACCTATCCGGCCGTGACATCGTGAGCATGATAACTCCACCCAAGTCTATGCGGAACGCCCCTTAAAGCTTAGAATGTATGTGAATTCAGCATCAGTCAACCTTCTCCACTCGACCCTTAGAAGTCGTAAATCTCTCGTTGCTAAACACCGTAACTCCATCTGCGATGCCCTGCTGAAGGCCTCCGGTGAGCCCTCGTACCCACCACAACGTCAAGTCATTGATGGCCTGTCCCACCTTCCCGTCATTCATCTGGCAGATGGTATGGGACAATTGCAGGCTTCTCCGCCTCAGCGCATCGGCAGTCATGATACCATTGCTGACCACCCGTTGGGTGACTTTGTGCTGTCTCTCGAACTGATATGCATGCCCGGCGAACAGCCTTAGGTATGGAAGCAGAAACTGGATCGTGATGAAGGTCTGGAAGACGACCACGGCCGTGACACGGTGTAATATCGATGCGTCGGAAGGAGCCCCGCATGCCATTGGGTTATCTTGCGTGAACGGGACTACGGCGTGTGCGTCCGGCTCGTTCTGGATGTTGACTAAGCCCTGTGGTATGGCGGCTTGGAGGCTTAACGTCTCTTCCGGTGTGAGGTCAGCTGGCAGGCCTCGCAGCAAATATGTCATTCCATGGAGGTATAGCTGTCGAGTGAGGACGGTCGCGGTATCGTCGGGCCTGCGAGCGAGAGCATGAGATTCTTGGTAGGCTTGCGTTGTGAGACTGATTCCTGCGAGACATTAGCGAACTGCTCCTCTTCGAGGGATTTTTCAGACTTACCCTGATTCGCATACTTCCAATTGATGCCTGTCTTCGACTCGAAGACGCTAAACGGCGGAGGGGTGCTCATTAACGACTCTGGACGCTCCGAGACGTCGTCATGAAGAGTTGACTCCCCATCGGTGGAAACGACCGAGCTACAGTGCGATCGAGCGCTGCCGGGCCGTGAGGTGTATCCTGGAGGAGGGGTCGCCGGAGGGGATATGTCGGTGGCAGCGTCAATATGCTTGGCATGTAGCGTCCGTATACGAATGTCGCTGAGAGATTGTCGAATGGAAGGGAGTGTGGGAATGCGGTTTTGGACGACCGCTGGCAGGACGTTGTAGATCATGGAGGGCTTCCTGTATGCTGAGTTGAACGAGCGCGTTTCAAACTCTATCGCTGGTGCCTGCTCTGGTATCATATTGCTAGATTTTGGAGGGTTTCGGCTGTTCTCTGCTAAGGATGGACAGCGGCCGCAAGCGGAAGTGAACGACAGGTTGGCATAGGCATAGTAGAGAAGACGCGAGCGGAGACTGAGATAGCGGGTCTTGCATAACGGAAATCTGAATTGAGTCTGGGCTAGATTGGGTAGGCTCGAGGCTGCTGATGGAGCATGTGAAAGTGGTTGGGTTTGTTGAGGCGTGCCTTCGCTACTGAACCCTGGCGGTTTCTGACGCCGTCCACTCGTTCAATCACATGCATCCAGAGCACCCGCAAACCCCCGATCTCTCTCCATGCCCACTTATCGATCGTTTTGCTGCTTCTACCTTGGAGATCCCGTTGTTTATGTACGACATCGTGGGTTGACGAGTAGTAACCGCCGCAAGCGAGATCCTGCGAACCCTGCACGTGCAGCTGCAACCGGATCCAACGCTTTATCTATCTTAGGACCGAGTACACCATGCGCCCTTATCAGTAGGTGCACAACGCCTTGCAGCCCTGCGAGAGCGAGCAATGAGCAAGTCTCATGGTGTTCACTGCAGCAAAGGGAGCTACGTATGTGCTTCGACTCCTCCCACCCCAGTCAGTACCGTCTCCCAAGTCTTGGACATATGCGTGCTACGCATAGCAGCCCCCCGTTGCAGAGGGTTTTGCAGGGTGTCAGGGAGACTTCGAAGCATCGTCCTGGTCGGCCTTGAAGCTGTCCTCGCACTATGACCTGCCGGACTCCTGGAGGCGATCTAGGAGTCATCCAATCGACATGCCATACCCACTTTGCTAAGGATCATGTTGATAACATAACTCTGTGACCCCGAAACTAACAACCGCACGGTGTTCCTGTCTTGCCATATGCCAAGGAACCGTGCCTGAGGTTCCATCCAACGTTCTGACGCGCCGGACATTCTTACTAACGGAGGTCCACGAGACCTTCTGGGGAGAATGGTAGCTCTGGATGCCAGGTACCAGGCGATCGCACAGGATGTCGCCCTAGAGGAGAAGGAAGATCTTTTGAAGCTCTTACCTGCTCCGAATGTGTCGCAGTGCCCTTCTGCACTAGTGCCGTATCAAATACGATCCTCGTTCACTATAACACCAACCACTCAAAAACTTGCCTGCCGACGATCAGCTCATTACTTCCTCGTTTCTGGAGCTCGTGCAGATCCAGAAGTCATCGTGCCTTTGGTATCTCTGTCTCCTTGCTGGCATCTTCCCTGCCCTATCGCTTCTCAACATATCGACGCGCCTGGGGGAGCTACACTACCTATTGTACGATCTCTGCGGCGTCATTGTCTCTTTGGCACGTTTACCGTGCTCGCTGTGGGGACGGTGGAGTGATTCGCAACTAGGAAGGGCAGTGTACATAGCATGCTCCACATTGGCAAGCTCAGTCATGGGTTCATCCTTTCTTCGGAGTAGGCCCGAACCTTCTACTCGTTCTCGTTGGCATGATTAACAATGTCGTGTTGGGTTTGAAAATCTTGGGATTTGGGACCGCCGCCATTGCCGGCGCTTTCTTTTGCTCACAGCTTTGCAGACGCTAATTATGTGGTGGGAAAAGAGAATACGAAAGTCTGCTGGATGACTCTGCAGATAAGGATACGGAGGGCGCGTTAAGCGGACGTTTAGGGGCGTAGACGCTTCTCGCACGAGCAAAGATAGAAGCAATATGTGCTGTTCCGGGAAGGGCATAGTCGTCCTTTCCTGAACTAACATCCATCATATACGGATACCCATTGAACAAAACTGTCTGCGGAATCGCCCAAAAAATGCGCTCCTCACTCTCCCCACCCGATCCCCCCAAGCCCATCCCACCGCCCCCTCTCCCTCCACCAATCCTCCATCTCCTTGACCAAATCCCTCCACATATTTTTGTATTTATCATTCGCCACATTGCCCCCTTCCGCGCCCTCCCACCCCTTCACATGCAGACTCTTCACCCCGCCCTTCAGCGCATACTCTTCGTTCATCTCACCGTCATTCGCGCTCCATGTGACCGGGATCCTGCGCCACGGCATCCGCCCCTCCTTCCTATGCACGTAGATGAGCAGATCTTGCTCGGGGTAGTACGCGTCCCGGGGCGCTTCGGGGGAGTTGAGTACGGAAAGGTAGTACAACAACAGCCGTGACGAGGGCGCGAACAGCATGAAGCAGGCGCAAAGGTACGGTGGGTGATTCGCGGGGTCTTCTTCCCAGGGTGTCTGGTCGCCGTACGTATCCGTACTCGCAGCCATGAGATACGTCTCGGGGGGATCCAATCTTGCCTTCCCTGCCCTCCCTTCACCTTCCGTCCCATTCTCCGGCAGCGTAACCTGCATCCCGCTCAACTCCTCCTCCGTAAACAGCCCATCCAACCCCTTCAACAAGAAGGAATCAGCGTCCAAATACAGCACCTTATCCCAGCTCGTCAGCTCCCATAGCCTGAGCTTCGCCAGCACATCTCTAAACCGCGAGTTGTTTATGAAGTTCTGATTGAATGCTTCGGGCAAATCGAGCGGCTCGATCGGAATGATGGTCGCTCCTTCTTTCTTCAGGACGGCAATTTGCGATGCTGGGACCGAGGGTAGGACGAGCACGAGGAAGGGCGTGTTCGTTAAGCGTGTGCGCGTTTTCTCTGCGTATTGGATTTGGTAGTTGAGTAGGCGGACGGAGATGAAGTAGGGGTCTTTGAGCAGCGCTGCGGGGTCGGCGGTACTGCTATTCTCAGAGGTCGGGGGACCGAGGAACGTCGCGTAGGCGTACTTTTCGCGCGCGGCCCATTTTGGCAGTGAGAGGTGTCCGAGGGACAAGAGAGGACTTGTGGGTTCGAAGACGACGTAGTAGCCGAGAGCGCTCAGGAATGTCGCGATGAGGAGAAAGACGTAGAATCGCTGGGCTTCGAGATACATCTCATGGTGGTTTGTGATTGTACATTACAAAAAGAGAGTGTGAAGGTGACTGGGAGCGCAAAGTACAGGGTCAATCAGGTCATTGAGGGTTCGTGTAAAGATGTCACGATCCATGGATACGATGCCACATCATGTGCTAAGGTTCAGCCTCGTGTCTGTCCGAGACGCCACAGTCGCGCAGCAAATCACCAACATTGACAAAATTAGTATACGGCGAAATGCAAAGAGCACAATACAGTACCGGATTGAGTTTTAATTTTTCAAGTGGCTTGTACGTCAGACCGAGCAGCTAGACTACGTCCCAAGCATGAACCGCGACCGACCTCCAGTCTCGGGCGCCCGGCTATGCCCAACGCACGGTCAATGATGCCCTTTACGATCCTCAGAAGAACCACCAGTCAGCCCAACGCCGTGAACTTAGTTCATCTGGCGGATAAGGGCATTGATGAATTCCTCCCTGTTACCGAGATCACCGCCTTCGATGAAATGCTTGAACTTCCTCGGGCGGAAACCACCGTTCGGGTTGGACAGCTTGAAGGGCCACAGGAAGTTCGACGCCTGCTTGAAGTTGGGGCCGACAGTGTAGATCTCGTGGACTAGGTCTTCGACGCAGACAATGCCGTACTTGCCAAGATTCTGCTCAATGATCGCGTTGTCGCTGAGCGGAATGCGCTGCTTGTTGACCTTGCCGTAGCCGCGCTTATAGACGAGCTCGCGGACGGACTTTAGGTTGGGGTATCCGTACGCAACGAAGGGCTCGACGATCCTTAGCATCTCTTGGGTGGCCTTGGTGAGTCTGACGAAGACGCCATTGTTGATCTGGAGAAGGCGGAGGAGCTGCAGGGTCTTGCGCTTCTTGGGGTCGATCTTGTTGATACTGGAGAGCGTTAGCTACATGTCGTTCGCGAGTCCAGAAGCTGAACGTACCCTTTGATGCGGACGACGAAAACAAGCTTGGGCTCGGCGGGGACGAAGAACGAGTTGTCATGCTTAGCGGCACGCTTCTTCTCGATGATATCGCGCTCCGCCTTGCGGTACTCCTCGGTGTACTTCTGAGCGCGCTCGAAGATGACTTGTCGCTTCTTCTTGTTGGCCTAAGGGAGTCTTAGCCAACAATGATACTCCTAACTGCCATGCAGATCGTGGGAGATTGCTATCGCACCTCTCGCTTCTTCTGTGTCTCGGCTGCGCGCTGCTCGTTGGCCTTCTCCTGGGCCTTCCTCTTCTTGAGGATCGACTCGGGGACGGCGATGTCGTTCTTGGTGGGAACGCTGACAAGGAAGATATGTCAGAGTAGTCAAACAGAAGGGAATGCCAATTGACTTACGATGTGCCGGCCATTTTGCTGGTGGTTAGTATGGCTTGTCGGAGGGTGAAGGCTGGAGAGCGCAGAGCGTTTGGGGCTCGAGCCGAAATTCTGTGTGCGCGCTCGGGCCACGCCAAGATTAAGTATCACATGACCGAACTTTCTACCCCGCCAATCCCAGCGCGCCTCTCGCGGAGCTACTTTTTCTCGAGAGCTCCATCTGCTCCCGGCTCAACCCACTCACCGCACTCACCGCCCCAGAGTGCAATTGAGACTGCTGTCAGTCAGCTGCATACACAAGGTACGTTACTGACCGCAGTGGCTGCCAACCCTGCGTGTCGACCCCCATCCTCTAACCCGCAGTCCTGCGCCGGCAGCCGTCCTGCGACGACGAAGCGCGCGACACTCGCGAGTACGGTTCCGGCTTGTTCGCTGTCCTTGTGAGGTCGCGACAATGGCTAGAGACGGTTCAAATGTGAGTTCCACGCTGCGTGTGCTTTCATGATTTTTCCTCACAGCTTTAGGGCGGCGGGCGCGGCGGGCGTAAACCGTTCCGCGGTAAAGGCAAGGGGCGCGGCGGAGGCCGAGACACCAGGAGCGAGCCGTACGAAGACATCAAGAGGGAGAATGACTACTACGAGTCGTACTATTCCCAGGGCGGCTTCCTGCCTGAGGACGAATTCAAGCACATGTGGAAGGCTATGCAGACCGACCTGCCGAACAGCTTCCGCTTCACAGGAACAAAATCCGATGCCCTCGCCGTGCGCGAAATTTTCAAGCAGCGATATATCCCAACCATTACCGCAGTCACCTTCGATGGCCTGTCAGTAGAGCCACCGAGACCTGTCGAGGCCTTTCCTGACGAATTGGTCTGGGACATGACGACACACAAGAAAGTTATTCGCAAATACCCGCCCTTCAAGGAATTTCAGAAGTTCCTTGTAGCCGAGGCAGCATCGGGCAACATCAGCAGACAAGAGGTCGTGAGCATGATCCCGCCGCACTTCCTCGACGTCAAACCCGGCATGGTGGTACTAGACATGTGCGCCGCCCCCGGAAGCAAGTCGGCGCAGTTAGCTGAGATGATACATGGCGACGAGGAGGAGCGGGTCATAAAAGCCGCCAACAATGAGTCCCCGAACATTGATGGGGAAGGTGACTATAGTGACGACGGCCGATCGACTGGGCTGCTCGTCGCGAACGACACCGACTACAAGCGCGCCGGCATGTTGGTGCATCAGCTAAAGCGCCTCGATTTCCCCAACCTTATCGTTACGCAACACGACGCCTCGATATACCCGTCTATTGAGCTACCGAACGCGGAGGGTGGTAGGCCGCAATATCTCAAGTTTGACCGCATTCTCGCCGATGTTCCTTGCTCCGGAGACGGTACGGCCCGCAAGAACATCAATGTGTGGTCAAAGTGGACGCCAAAGGATGGACTTGGCCTGCATAACCTGCAGCTGCGCATCCTTAACCGAGGCCTGCAGCTGCTCAAGAAGGGCGGCCGCATTGTATACTCGACATGCAGCATGAACCCTGTGGAGAATGAAGCCGTCATTGCCGCCGCCATCGAGGCTTGTGGGGGCGTCTCAAAAGTCCAGCTCGTGGATTGCTCTGACCATCTCCCAAAGCTGAAGCGAAAACCGGGTCTCAATACATGGAAGGTTTTCGACACGTCTACACTCCCCGGCGGAGAGGACAAGAAGGCCCATATGTTTAGCAGCTGGGATCGTTTCGTCAATGCAAAAGAGAAATATGACGCTAAAGAACCTGTGCGTCAGTTTTCCAGCAAGATCACTCAGGGATGCTTCCCCCCAACCGCAGCGTCTGAGGAGCGGCGCATACCACTTGAGAGGTGCGTACGCGTATATCCGCACCTGCAAGACACGGGAGGCTTCTTCATCGCGGTGCTGGAGAAGCTAGACGATATCAAGGTTACCCAGATCCAGAACGCGACCAACGCGGCTGAGCTACGGAAGATGAAGGCTCAATCGCAAAGTGCGACGCCAGCCTTCGCCCAACCGCTGAACGTGACTTGGACAGAAGAACAACCAACTGGTGCCGCACCGTCCGAGGCTACACCATCTCTTAAGCATAAGTTGGAAGATCCTGCAGAGATCGGCACCGCAAAGCGAGTAAAGGTGGGGGAGACTGAAGAACAATCCAACGGCGATGCAGAATTCGAGGCCATATCCTCAATGAAGCGAAAATTAGAGAACCCCGAGGAAAGCGCTACTGTCAAACGAGCGAAGACGGGGGATACGGCTCCTGAATCTGCAGTGAGCGGTCCAGAGGGACAAGATGCACAAGCCGCATTGGACGTAGATGTGGACATGACGGACGCCAAACCTGCGCCAAATGGTTCGACCGCCGCTCCGGCCCGGGCAAGAGAGGGCACCAAGCTCAGGCCCGAGAATCAGAGCCAAAATAAGGAGTACTTTGAGTATCTTCCGTCCGATGACCCCACCATCGCCGACATCCTCGAATTCTTCGGCGTCTCTCCGCGCTTCCCTCGCGACCGGTTCATGGTCAAGAACAAGGAAGGGCTTGTTCTCAACAAGATTTATTACACTTCCGCCTTGGCTAAGACTATCATCTCGCAGAATAAGGACCGTGGCATGAAGTTCATCCACTGTGGCGTCGTCATGTTTGTCTCCCACAAGATCAAGGACAAGGATAACGTCAAGGCGCCGTGGCGACTGCAGAATGAGGGCATACGCATCCTGGAGCCTTGGGCGAGCAAGCGCATCGTAAATTGCACGTCTAAGAAGACGCTTCGCAAGCTGCTCATAGAGATGTTCCCGAAGCTGCCCAAGGATGGTGGACACGAGCTCGCCGAGGTCGGTGACCAGCTTATCAAAATGGAAATCGGTTGCTGCTTCTTGCGCATCGAGAAGAGCGAGGGCGACGATGGCTTCCCGTTCCGTATGGTGCTGCCGCTTTGGCGACATCCGGGCAGCGCCAACCTCATGGTGGACCAGAACGACCGCAAGGCCATGCTGCTGCGGCTATTCAACGAGAATGAGCCCGACATCAAGAACCATGTTGTGGAGAAGCAGAAGGCGGAGGAGGAGGAGGCGAAGCGTCTTGCCGATGACGTTGTTCGTAAGGAGGTGGAGAGTGAGCTCGCGGAGGCGGAGGAGGAAGGCACTGAGTATGGTCAGATCGGGAAGGGTGATGAGATGGAGGTAGATGAGTAAGGATCTGCTCCAAGGAGGATGATCTAGCGCGGTGGTGCGAAATACTTAGTGGTTGGAGGACTTGCTCTCTGCCTAGGTATAGCATGGCTCTGAGGATTCTTCCAAGGAACTTCACAGCCCCGATCGATTTTCAGAGATCTGGGGGACGGTGTTCAGTCGAGCTTAGACTGCACGTCTCCCTTTGTGCACTTCGTGACACAATAAATAGATGAAGAAAAGTACCCCTCAATCGAACGAAGCTCTCTCGTCCTACGTGATTGTTGCAAAGCTAGGGCGGTGATGGTCAACGTCCTATACTCTTCCTATCCCATCAAGCTCTACGGCCCTACAGCGTACCTAGCTGGATGATGCGGATCTTCATGATGCTTCCTGTTTCTGGGCCAGACAGCCATACCCTTGATTCGGCGTCATATGACCGCTCCCTGGAGGCGCTGCTTTGTTGGAGGATCTACAGCTTACGATGAGTTCGTCATGAGAAATGAGAAGAGTGCCATATGCCGCGTAATATCATGCTACATGCATTTTCTGACTCGTAAACCGCGGAGAATAATCTCTTACTATGTCCGCTAATAGAGTGTCTGAAACTACACATCATCTCCCATAGCCATCCCGCTCAGCACCGCGCGGACTCCTCGGTCAGCTCAACCCAGATTTACTTCGAACCGGTCTTTTCCTTCTTCTTCTCGATCTGCTCGACCCGCTCGTCGATCTTCTTAAAGCTCCAGGATTCGAAGAAGGGCGGGTACAAGAAAGGGCGGAGATCGAAACGATTGTCGTCTGGGGAATACTCCTCTGCGTGATAGGCAGGTGCTAGAAACGGAAGATCAGCGCAGTTCATCGACGTAGTAAGGAGGGGAGTTGGTGCTTCCATGTCTCTGGCTGTAGCCTGCAGTCGCGAAATGCGACTTGGATAGCTCTTTGATCAAGGAAACGGGAGCACGTTGACGAGACAATGCGAGTTTAGGCCCAGGATGACGTACTCATCGTTGTCATTTTGTGCCCTTAATGCGGCGGTAGTATTAGCAAATGTTCAGTATTCGCATCGCAGAGTTGGCCCTTACTATTGATTGCGTAGAAGTGATGGAAGCGTTTGACCTTGTCAGCGACTTCGCGGGGGGTGTATTGGTCACGCCAGTCGTGGAGGAGGCGCTCAAACATGCCGTAGGGACCAAGCTTGCGCTCTTTTCGCAAACGTCCGAAGACTGCTCTCCGATTAGTTTATGGCTGGGTGAACCGTGATGGGACGTACTTGAGAGCTCATGGTAGGTCATTCCCATATCCGCTTCGTCTGACTGGACGTAGTCTGATGTGACTTCTATTGTTAGCATTACCAAAGACTTGTCGCCAGATAGACCTACTCGGCTCAAGTTCTGCAGTTGGAGTGGCGTCAAGGAACTCTTGGAGGATCGGCAGGTCGAATTTCGCCGTCGCCCAGTGAATGAAGCGCTGTTGAAATGTCAGTACATTCTCCAGATTAAGTATCGAAGAGATGCAGGAGAGATGCTTACCTTCAAATCTACCTTCGAGATACTTCCAATGGGGTTGATATCGGCGGACGAGCAATCTTTAACGTGGCGTCATAATTAACAAATGTCTCTGAAAGACTGCACGCTAAGGTTACATACCATATTTAGTTAAACTATCCATGGTAACGTTATGATCAGCAGGTGTTCAAATTATAGAGGAGCGGATACCGGATACCAAATGCTTGAGCAATCCAAACATTTGGCACTGCGGGATCGGAATGAAGTTCTACTCACTATCCTCGCAGACATTCGTCAACCTAACCCATTGAGAAGAAATCAGTATACATTGTCCTTTGGCGAAGGAGATGAAGGAAGGAAGCAAAGACCTACGTTTCCTGAGCCAAGAACAAGTAGCGATCCGCCCCCGGGCCTCTCGCGGACTGTGCAAATCATCTGGGCGTAGTAATAAGCGGTGACCATCCTTATTCTGGCTTGTATGTTCTGCAGTCTGTGGGAACAATTAGCAGTGGTGTCTCCGATAACGACTCCACTGGAAGGATACTAACGCAAGATTCTCAGCATTGCTGCCACCGTAAACCTTGAATTTGGGAGTGAACCCAGTGGCTTGCGTGAGCAAGTCGCGCTCCGCCTTATACGCATCATCGATGTTCATGTCAATGTGGTAGGATCCAATCGCTTCTGCGAGATGCTGTGCACGGTCGCGGGTCTCTTGCGAGGACTGAGTGGCCATGCCCTAGCGTGGCGGTACGATTAACATAAGCCGCAACTTGGTATTCATTCCACGAGGTAGACTTACCATATAGACCGTGACTAGAAGACGGTTGCAAAGCTCTTGGGGGGTCTTGGGCGACCAATCCTCTTGGCCCCAGGAAGCTACCCTGGCGACGTCGGTTTTGACGACCTCGTTCCCGCTCTTCAAGGCATCCATGACCATACGACACATACTAAACACGAGCGTAGCGGTCGAGCAACTGTCTGTAACATTGTTAACATACATTCTTCTCAAGTAACAGATGGCACGAGGGGAAAGCTTGCGTGGATTATATGCAGTAACCACGGCAGGATGTGAGCGACGTACCTATGCCGCCTGATAGTGGTATAAGAAAGCCGCTGGCTTTGCTGCGTCGCAGATAGTCCCACAACCATGCAGCCGGACCCAAGGCTATCTCCTCCTCTGGAGCATGTACTCGGAGCGATTGCGACCTATTGAGAACAACATCTGGATCAAAATCTCCTTTTGAGCTGGACAACGCGAAGTCTACTTCGATGCGCTCTAGGTAATGGCACGATTAGCAGGTGTTCATTCAGTATTAGTGCCTCAAGGGCTTACCGTATGCAGGCGAAGTTAGGGATTGAAGACCACGGGCAGGCGCAAACCTATAGCTTCGGACCTCTTCGATGTCGACGACCGCGGTGACAACCTCTGATTACTTAATTAGCGGACGTTCTCAGGCACGTATTTGAACGAGATGTGAGCTTACCAACATCGTTTAGAGAGAATTGCGATCCTTGTGCGACAATCTCCCCGTTCACGATCACCACTGAGCTGAAGTTAGCGGGCTGCCTAGAGCCAGCAGACGAGTACAAAGGCAGGCCTACTGGCGCATCCGTCATAATAGAGCCTAAAGGAGCATACAAGATTAGCGCACGGCTATTGTAGAGGGTGTGGGTGGCTGTAGAATGCCACCCCGAGAGCATTCATAGTAAGAATAGCTAGTATCCAAACGGAAGACATGAAGGTTGCTTGGCTTCCACGTACCTGTCACCATCGCATCCTTGTTGGTTCGCGTATAGATAGATGCCTCCATTCTTGCGGGTCGCCTCGAGGATCAAACTGATGCGTGTATCGAGCTTTCGTAAGGCATGATGGGAGCCCGAAGAATTAGTGAAGATCTCGACCCCATTCAATCCCATGTCATTGTGTGGGCTCCGCGGCGTGAACAGTTCCTCACATGTTTCGCAGCCGATGCAGGTGTCCAAGGCTAAACGTGGCGGTACGATTAGCAAGCATTTCACAAGTTAGGGCATGAATGTTGAGGGGTTTGCTCACTGCCCACAAGTTAGCACGGACAGTCTACTTTTTACTGAGGCGCTGGTACCAGCTGATGACGGCGTCGCCGATTGGGACGGTCCGTACTCCTACAACTTCCGCAATCATCTCTGGTAGGTAATATGCTTCAATATGTTGAGGGCGAAGCCAAGGGATGAAGTAGCGCATCTCTCGATCTTAGGAGGTTACAGGGTCAGCATGGGTCCTCAAGAGTCGGTGGTGTAGTTGCATCTCAACGAGTAGCTGCTATCCGGTGAACACTAGTCACTTACAGTTTCCATCATTCGCGAGATAGAGCTTCGGGCGTATGAGCAGGACTGTCCCAGATATCAGCCCGGAGCTCGAAAGACGAGGGAGCTCATACTTTTCCCATTCAAGATTAGCCTGACAGATTATCAGTGTGTTTTCTATGTTGAAGGGAGAAGAATTGACGTACACACGACAGTTGAATCGATTATTTCGGTGTATGCTGCATTAAATTAGCCGAGGCAGTAAGCCAGAAGCTGAAGTAAGTGCATGAGGAGAGAGGCCTTGGCCAAAGCCCACCCCACTCCATCGAAATCATCCGGCGTGACACTAAAAGACACCACGGGGGACAAATGGCTCTTAAGCAGTAGCGCAAGTCGTTCAATGTCGAAGCAGCATCAGAAAGTCTACCGAAGGGGACTTACATTGGCATGCCCAAGTCGATGATTATACCTAAATAACTTAGCTTCTTCTCCTAATAATAGCAGTAATAACCGTACCGTCGAGTGTCCTATCCTCAAGTATTGCTCGCAGCATCTGGAATGAGTGGAGGTAGACATCATCTAGCCATTTCAGTCTCGGCATATGGCAGAAAAGGGCAATGAAGCCTACTCTCCAAGAAGTGATCCAGGCAGCCGTAGCCCTAAGTGGTAGAATCAGCAACCGTTCGCTATTCGTACCACGGAGTTGGCTTACGGTCACTTCAAGCTCTGGCCCGACTCGCAGAGTCGCTCCTTGTTCCTTCGCTAACACGATGGATTCCTTGATACGCTTAAGGTTCCCTGTGAACGCGGGAGATTGCATTAGCATATTTCCGGGAGATGGAAGGAGGGAGTGATCGGATTGGGACCCAATATGTCTCGGCCGAAGTCATCACGCCGAGAAAGATTCTCAAGGGCGCCACAGAGTAAAGCGTGAGAACCACCTCGAGCGGGCTCAAGGTTGACACAGCAGGTATGAAAGTGCTTGAGGCTCACCCTCCCAGTCAAGGGCCCACTGGTTGAGCGAGCAAGTCGCGACTGTCCTACGTGTAGAGAGTCGGATTAGCAGGTATTCTGAGCCAACACAAAGAAGGAAAATGGCAAGCACCCAAGCGTGCTGAGTGAGGAGTGTTACCTCAGGACTGCTGTGTGAGAGAATTGACGTGAGACACGTACATAAGCCGCCCCATTGTTAGAGTTTGCTTGGTCGATGTATCGAGTTCAAGAAAGAGGAACGGTGGTTGGAATTATGGTCGGATCTGAGATGGAAGAAGCTGAGATATATTCAACTGCTAGTTCACCAAATAGGTGACGTTCGTTCGGGGTCACTTTGACTCACTGCAAACTCTTCGGCGCTGGCTGTCGCTCTCGAGAAACTGTACGCAGGGATGTACTCCTGACAGCAGTTCGAAGAGCTTGAAGAGTGCACGAGGACCGACGGTGCGGGTGTGTGGGTGCCCTGCCGTTGGGTCGAATCGGGGAGTCGGCGCTGATAGGGAGACTGTTAGATCACGTGCTTCGGAAGCTCATCCGAGAATACCCCGCGATGTCGGAAATCACCACTGTTCTTGAGCATCGCGGGGTACACCGCTACTGAGTATTTCACTCGTCCAACTCGGGGGGCTGGATTTGAATTGTAGCCATCGCTGGGCCTTCTACAAGCGTCCCTCCCGTCCTCCACAGGGTGCGTCTTCAGGTTCCAGCCCGCGGGAGTCTGATTTGCGGCAGTCGAAGGCACCGCGACGCTTGGATGACGCCGTCTGCACGGCTGGGCAAGGCTCTCGGGCGCGACTCCGCGCCAATTGGCTTTCAACTGCGCTGATTTGCGCTTTTCCGCTCGCCAGTGACATCATCCCCGGGCCCCGAGCCGCTAAGGGTGTAGGACGCTGGGCCGATCGCGTCTAGTCACTTCCGCCAGCCGTCCTCCGCTGGATTGTGCCTTCCAGGCTCTCGCCCAGGCCGCAGACCGCAGAAGCGTCTTTGGCCCGCGCCATCTCGATGCTTCTGGCTCATATCGGGGCGTCTCCGCGGGGCATGAGCATTCTGGTTTCCGCCGTCACGGACCGTCGCTGTCCTTAAGTCGTCATGGCCCACCAGGCCGCCTCGCACACACGCTCGCATGCGAAAGCACGAAAACAAATGGAGGAGGCAGATAGGACAAAGGAACGCGAGTTCTACAGGTACCACCCACCGCGCATCTTGACCTGGTGTTTTGCTCACCGTGGCGTAGATACTATCACCATTCGCAACGCGCGAGGGAGGATCTCTACAGCCGTCAGCCCTCCTCTGTCGTCGAGCTCCCCAGGCCACTCTCTTCCCCGTCTTCGCTGCCGCCGTCTGCCGCTTCATTGACCCCCAGTCCGTCTGAAGACAAGGCCTTGACCGCGTTCGCACAGTTGGGCGCCCTACGTCTCAACACTCGGCGATGTCTGATATCCTTCTTCGACCGCAGGAACTGTTACATCTTGGCCGAGGCAACGAAGACGCTCTCCCTACATAATGCACAAGCTGAGTTTCCCGAAGACAGTCTCTGCTGGGGCACCACCATATTCCCCAAGGAACAGAGTATCTGCTACTATACGGTCAAGTTGCCTTTCGATCATTCTGTCCATCCGCTGGACGACTACACCGACGTGCCATCGCTCGTGGTCAACGACTTATCTCAAGACGATCGCTTCAAGAACTACCCTTTTGTTAAGGCCGCTCCATATTCGCGCTTTTATGCGGGTGTCCCGATCAGGAGTCCCAATGGCCATAGCATTGGCACGTACTGCGTTCTGGATGACAAGCCCCGCAATGGCTTGTCTCCCTTCGAGCTGGATTTCCTCAAGGACATGGCTGTGACTGTTATGAGGCACCTAGAAATGTCTCGGGCTACCGACGATCAGAAACGAGGAGGTGTCATGGTCAAGAGCTTGGGTTCATTTGCCGAAGGTAGATTAGGCTCGGAGGATGAATGGGGGGATCCATGGGAAGCCGAACGTCCTCCATCTGCTCCACTTCCAGAGGCTGCCTCTGGGGGGCGGCAACGTCGATCCACAGTCTCCAACTCAACTTCGCCGCAGGTCAACTTCCAGGAGCCCATTATCATCAATAGGAATGACAGTGCAAGCTCGAGCATCCCTAGCGTGAAGAGCGTTGACGCCACTTCCCCCTCAAATGGACCGCCTGGCAGTACCGTAATCACACCTGCTTCCGAAGTCCTGGACATTCGCATTGCAGAAGTAGCAACGAAGACAGCGTCCTCTACAAAGCCCGAAGAGAAAGACGCCATTGCTCCCGACGTCAGAGCGATATTCCGTCGAGCTGCACAAATGATAGTTGATGCGACAGACGCTGAAGGCGCCGTATTTTTCGATGCTAAAGTCAGTACATTTGGCGGACTGGTCGATGATGATTTCGCCTCGGAGCAGCTACCTGAACCGGACAAGCCGTGCACTGTCCTTGGTGCTGCCCGTTACAGAACCGTGCACAACACGTCCTCACCATCTGGAGAGCAGTACTCTATGTCTGAGAGCGTCCTGAAGCACCTCTTGCGAAACTACTCGCATGGCCAAATCTTCAATTTCGATGAGGATGTTGCACCCGCCGCTATCAGCCCGATGGACAGAGACGACGCAGACCCGTCCGTGTCGCGGCGGTCCGAGTCTTCGAAAAGCTCTGACGACGAGATGCTTCTCCGGGACGTGTTTCCTCAGGCTCGCAGTCTGGTGTGGTATCCTCTTTGGGACTCGCATCGTGATCGTTGGTTTTCGAGTGTCGTCATTTGGTGCTCAGATCCTATGCGAGTGTTCACGAGCGAGCAAGAGATGAGCTATCTGGCCGCTTTTAGCAATAGCGTCATGGCTGAAGTAGCTCGGCTTGATACCAAGCTGGCTGATGCTGCCAAGGCGGATTTCATTTCTTCTATCAGCCACGAGCTGCGTTCGCCCCTGCATGGCATCCTAGGTATGACGGACCTACTGAAGGACACATCGATCGATAGCCAGCAAGCCAGCCATGTCCAGACTATCGAGACCTGTGGCAAGACCTTGTTGGATACAATCAACCATGTAAGTTCAACCAGCTGCTCCGAAGTTGCGGGCAATAATGTGTACTGACGAACTTTTGTAGGTGCTAGATTTTGCCAAAATTAATAACATTACGCGCGGATCCTCAAAGCGCCCCAAGAAGCGCTGGCAAAATGCCAAGCAAGTTATCAGCCCTGGGCAGGGACATTCGAACGACATTATGACGATCATTTCGGATGTTGATTTGAGTATCCTGACAGAGGAAGCACTGGAGAGCGTGTTTGCTGGCTTTAACTTCCAGAAGACCACCGCTCGAACATTCGAGCACCAGCCGAATAAAGTGGATGTACCGGCCATTGCTGTTATCGTTGATATTAACAAAAGCGACAACTACATCTTCCGAACGCAGCCGGGAGCCTGGCGACGAGTTATCATGAATCTTTTCGGAAATGCCCTCAAATACACACCTGCAGGCTTTATTAAGATTAAGCTGCAGGTCGTTCCCAGCACCAACGCGAATGACGACCATTCGGAGTTCCGGCTCATCGTAACAGATTCCGGAATGGGGATGTCAGAGGAGTACGTCAATAACAGATTGTTCCATTCCTTTGCCCAAGAGAATCCGCTGAGTCAAGGCACTGGCCTTGGCCTTAGCATTGTCAAGCAACTCGTCGAGCTCCTTGGAGGCGATGTCGAAGTACGGAGTGAGAAAGGCCGCGGCACCAAGTTCACTGTGACTTGTCCACTCAAGAATTCGATACTTTCTCCGGCAGTCTGCGCGTCGATCCCAGAAAGAGAGCTTCTCAACGTCAACAGGCGCACGGAAGGCATGAACGTACATTTTGTTGGCTTTGATGACGAAGGCGACTATTTCCCGGTGAAGAGCCTCAAGAACAAAAATGCCACCAAACTCACGAAGAAAGCTCTGGATAACCTCTGCACCGACTGGTTCGGCATGAACGTTCAGGAGCATGTTTCGGCTCAGGGACCGGCGCCGGATCTTGTCATCGCGACCGAAACCGGAGCAAGATATCTCCGCGCTCAGTATAGTCAGAACCCTGACATGTCTTCCGCCTCTCCGGTCATTGTCGTTTGCCAGGGGGCCGCATCCGCACAGTCGACTACAGCGATCACCGTTCCAGGACTCATATTCGAGTGTATCGCTCAGCCCTGTGGACCACATAAGCTGGCGAAAGCCTTGTCGTCGTGTCTCGATCGTCATGCAAATCGGCTCATGGCTCAATCCACCGAGACAGACACAACTCTGTCGAAGGTCTCGCAGCTCAGCTTGAAGGAAAACACTCCCCTCATCAGCCCAAGCACTGTAGTTGCTGCGTTAGAACCTCCTCGACCGCCGATCACTTCAGCGATTAGTGCTCCTGAAATTCGGTCCCTCAACGCCAGCCCGGTTCGCAAAGCAGTCCCGCCCATCCGCGCATTGAACTGCCTGGCAGTCGATGACAACCCTATCAACCTCCGCCTGCTTCGTACCTTCGTCGAGAAACTGGGCCATCACCACGTCCTGGCTAAGACTGGGCTCGAGGCACTGGAGGCATACAAAAATGCTTGCACACCTTCACACTCCGTCTCAGCATCTCCGGCACCCTCGCCACCCCCTTCAAGGCACGGAAACGCAGGAGTGCGCATTGACGTCATTCTCATGGACATCAATATGCCAGAGATGGACGGCCTCGAAGCCACGCGACAGATCCGTGCTCACGAGCGAGACCACGGGCTTCCACCCGTTACGATCATTGCGCTGACTGGCGTGGCGAGCTCGGAGGCACAGCAGGAGGCGCATGCGAGTGGTGTGAATCTGTTTCTGATCAAGCCGGTGCGGCTGGCAGATCTTGACGTCGTTCTGAGAGGCGTCGTCACGGGCGAGGACGGCGCAGCGAAGGGCGAAGACAGCCCTCAGAGGAGGAGCGAGAAGCCAGAGCCGGGCCCAACGCACAGGCACAGTAGAAGCGAGGTCTAACGACTGCGGCAATCAGAAGACCCCGGCATTTCCACGGTTGGACGCACAGCATCGAACGGTCTGCCAATAGACACAAACACGACCGGAGACGAACATCATTTTGCACATTCATCGGCGCTCATTCATGGTATTTCTGCACGTTACGGGGCTGGCCGTCTGTTTCACTTTTTCTCTTCGAAAAAGCGTTTATACCCGTCTTACGAAACCAACGACAGGCGGATGACGGCATGCATGCATTTTCCGGTTTGTTGGTTTTCCTTTTTCGCCTTTGTAGAACGGGTATCAGCGTGCATAGCGCGGGGTTAGCATTGCATGCATCATTTCACGGTCGGTACTCATGAGACTTACATAGATGGGGGCTTTGGGCTTCATGACTGGGAATGAAATTTTAGATTCATGAGCTGACGGTGTTGGCACGACGCTAATGACTGCTGGTCTTTCTTCTGAGCGTGGCTCCGTGAAACTAAATGTCAGGATGGGAGGTATAGGTACAGGCTGCTCTAGCTTGCTAGCCTTGTACAGCTCCCTGTGCAACGCAAGGCGTGCTGCGTGAGCTTTGCCTGCTATCTTTCTACGCGGTTCACCAGTGCTTCATTATCATATGGCACGAGAAAGGTGTTTGCCGTAACTCCGTTGTGAATATTCTTCTAGCTTACGCTAAGGAAATAAACAAAGGAGCTTAGTATCCACTATCCGACTCCTGACATAACCTAATTGAACTCCAGCGATGTGCTTATCATATTCACTGCAACAGATCTCCATCCCACGCTTCCCAGTGCACTCCCCGCTTGAACTCGCTTGGGATGCCATCAAGCGTCCGGCACCCACTCGCCAAGGTACACCATCTAAGAAAGGTGGCCCTGCTGCCTCGCCTCCGACAAGAACTTGCCAAGCGCCGGACCCATGATAACAAAGACCTCGAAAGCAAGGACATGAGCCAAGACAAAGAACAGGCCGGTCAAGATAAAGAAGATCTTGACATAGAGCTTGATAAGGCGGCGGCGAGCCTCCCAGTTGAAGCTGCGCCACGCATCCAGGAAGCTGATGCAGCCAGTGCCACCCAGGATCCTGGGCACAACCTTGCCAGCGAAGGTGCGGTCGAACGGCACAATGGTGTCCTGGTCCTCGGGGAGGATGGAGGCTTCGACACGGACCAGGGTGACGATGGCCGGGAGGCAGAGGAAGATGGTGCAGGAGATGGCAATAACCAAGACGGCGATCCAGCGGAGGATGAGCGAGGTCCACTGGTGGCCGTTGTACTCGCGGAAGTTGTCGTTGACGGCCCTGTCGAGACCGAAAAGCGGAATAAAGCCGTGGGCGACGGAGAGGGAGAAGTAGGGCATAGCGGCGCTGACGGCAGCAGGGAAGGCAAGGAGCTTCCAGTTGCTGCGGGCGGGGACGCGCTGCCAGAAGCGGGTAGCAGTGGGCATCGAGACCACCTTGTGTGTCCAGGCCGCGTGGAGGTTGGCGCAGATGGCGCCGCTGACAGCGGTAGCGATGATCATGCGCACCGGGTCGGGGATAGGGAGGGCGGCGCTGACAATGTTGGCCACGAGGGAGAAGCAGAGTCCGTGAAGAACGTGGATCTTGAAGCCCCTCCAGCGAGCGAGGCGGCCGGCCTGCGAGACCAGGTGTCGGATTGTGCCACGGATGGACGAGGTAATCGGCTTCTGGTGGACGAGCGTGATCGTGGGACCGGTCTCGAGGAGGGGCTCCTTGGTGTCCTTGGGAGCATCGCGCTCCTCGGGGGTAGAAACGGTGATAGCGGCGAAGGGAGTCTCAACCATGCAGAGGGTCGCGACGACATCTTTGAGGGTGTATTCCACCTGGACATTGTCAGCCTCAGAGTTCAGCCCAGCGGCTACGGAGCGGGGTTCAACGTACAGCGCTCATGAAGATAACGAAGAGGACAAAGGTCGTAGCCAAGACAGCTATTCCCCACTTTGGCATCTCGACCTGTGGCCCATCCTCTGCAGCCCGCTTGAAGAGCTGCATGGCGGAGGCATGCTGGAGGCCGCGCTTGACAGCGTGTTCAATCATTTTCTCGAAATCGTCTCGTTACACAAAAAAAACCAAGTTCAAAAGAAGCGTTATTGAGAAGTTGAAAGTTGGGTTTGGAAAGTAAGGGAAAGAGCGTGGGCGTGAGCCGGAGGAGAAGGCGAGGGGATGAGGTTGTCCTTTCAACGGGCTGGGCGGCGGAGCGAGGCGCAGCTTGACGCAACAGCTGCCTAGCGCTCGGACCAGAAGGATCTGGTCTCGGTCTAGCGCCATCGCTATTATTGGCCATGTGTGATCCTTCACGTATTCCACTATCAGAATGGCCCCTTAGGGCCAATACATACATCAGCGAGACGCCTCAGGCCTCATGTCTTGCTACAAAAGTGGCGCCAGAGTTCCTGCAAGTTTCATTGAAGGTTGCGGCATGGTAAAGCGACATTCACCGGTGCTCAACTCGATAACACGACACAGCAACCACCTATTGTGGAGCCTATAATGAATGTGAAAGAATGCGCGTTTTGCGGCGGAATGTGTCTCCGGCTGCTGAGAAATCTCGTGCAATCGCATACCGTGGGATTTGGTTTACTTATTCGCCAAGAAGGACAACGAACGGATCAGCCATCTACGCCCGAAAGGATGGCATTTATTGCACCGACCGGAGGCCACCTTCCGCCGTGCTGCAATCTGGTGTGGCTTCGCCTCGTTTCCTCCGACATCATCTGTGGACCCGAGTGGTCCTCATAGGTGATCTGTTGATCCAACGAAGTACGTTGCTGGCGAATGTCGAAGACACGTTGATGAAACTCTAGGAGGGAAGTCTGAGAGGCAGCGCGCAGACAAGGGTTCATTAAGTGATGCACGAGATACTTCGAAAGCAAGATATTATATTGTCTGCAGCACCTATTTAGAAAGGAAAGAGCTGCCCGTTATTCCGTCATCACGCCTCCCTATTCCATTCCTCCGCCGTGTTCCGCCCAGGCCACTGATACCAGAGAATCCCAGGGAAGAAAATTGATGAGGGTAGAAAAGATAGAGGCCGCTAGTCAGATTGCAGAAGAGAGCTTTTAAGGAGATACAATACACAAGCGGTGGAATCGCTGCAGTGCAAGGGATCCAATTTGCGGGTGTTCGTGAGTTATCGTTGGAGACCAGCCATTATTCATGAGTCCGTGGTCATCGTGAGTTTCCGGATGCGTGATGTGAGACAGGGGACATTAGGGATATGGCAGATCGTTCTGCATATAACCCGTCTTGAGTGCAGCCTTGATGGATTGTCGGAAGGAAGAGGCTGCCCTGGGCATCTTTTCTGGCGCCTACATAGCAGGCTCAGCAACGGGCTCCTTCTCAGAAGCCGGCTCGTGCTTGGGCGCCACCGGGAAGTCCTCCTTCTTGACCTCTGGAGAAGTAGAGCGTCCACGGTATTGGTTGATTGTCTCCTGCGCCTTGGTCGTATACTCCCTGGTGTATCCCTGGAGGGTCTTGGTTGCATTTCCAGTGTGCTGGGCAGCGAGATCCCTCAGTTGTGTAGCTTGCTGGTTGGCCATGTGGTAGCCCTTCTCAAGCTGGGCGTCAATGGCCTCCTTGTTCTTGATGTACACAAGAGGACCCATGTAGGCGATGGTCGTGGCGATCAGAGTCAAGCCCCAAAGCGGGACAAACTTGATGAGGAAGTACGAGACCAGGGAAGCGAAGAACGCCTAAATGTCGCAATTCTAGTCAGCCATTCGACCCTGTAGAACTCTCCCGGCTTGGTGCTTTGGGATGCTTGCGGGGATGGAGACCCTGCGTGAGACCATTGGAGACGCGGGAGATGTAGACTGGGGAGGGAAAATGCACAACTTACCGCAATGGTTGCGTAGACGTTCTCGGCGAACAGAATCCTCTGGGATTCAATAACGAAGAAGTTGATGAACTGCTCGACATCATCCAGGAGCCGCTCAAGCGAAGCCTTCCGAATGGTGAAGTACTGCCTCGGCCGGAACTGAGAGGTAATTCCCTTGCCCAGGACCACTTGACCCGCAACTTCTGCGGCGGCCGTTGCTATCCACAGTCAGCACCAAGTATGCCCGCGAATTTGGGGACCACATACCACCCAGAGTCATCCATGTAGCCTTGAACATGTAGCGGATGAGGTTCAGGTATCGTGCGGCGAAGATGAAGAAGAGGGTAGCGATGAAGGAGATAGCGGTTGCGCGAGGGTTCTTCCACTGAGAAATGTAAGTAGGTGTTCCTAAAAACTGCAATAAAAGGATACGGCTTACGCTGAGCAGTCGGTAGAACATGCTGTGATAGTCTGATTCATGTCAGTCCAGCTACAGCAATTCCATTGGAAGGGAGTCCTACGCGTAAGAGGCTGGCCCGTCGCAGCCGGCTGCTCTGGTGTTTGTCGGGCATTTGCGAGGTCAGCGAATTCACTCCTCGTCTTCGCGGATTGCGCTTTGGCTGCTTCTCCGACGGGTCCTGGTTACGTCAGTATGGGTGCACATGCTGTCGCCATGCCCGATAGAGTATTGTCCGCTCCGGCGACTGCAAAAAGCATAATATGCATTCCGTCGTGTCCCTTGGTCTTTGATCGGGTTTGTTTTCATGCACATCGGGGCTGGGAACGTGCGGGACATTTTGGACTGTGTCGCGAGACCACCGTTAGCTGCGAGCCTAAAACTCCCGATCAGGCTGGGCGCTCTACTCACCTCACCATTGCTGATATTGTCCCTGAGGGTCTGCGTGGCCGGGTGGTTGGAAACGGCGGCCATGGCGGATTGTGCTGCTGTGACGTTGTCAGGAGAAATGCGGGTGGTGGGCGAGGTGCAGATAAGACTGTGGTCGGAGTTAGCTCGTCTCGGCAAGCTTCGGAGCCAGCCAGAATCAAGGCCATCGACGTACCTTACAATCCATGAAGCTGTTCTTTGCGTTGTCCACGTGCGAGCTGCCGTTGGTATGGCTGTCTTCGACGGAGGGCACAGGAGTGTCCTGGTCGTGCAAGTCGCTGATGTTGGTATGGGGAGCTGCCTCAGACATGACGCGTTCGCGGTCGGCAGATGCTTTTGTGTATGCAGGTGCGGAAAGCAGGCTCTTTGGCGGCTGCTGCGGGTAGAAAGTTGATGGTAGAAGAAGAGGTAGTGGGAGAGGAGTTGGGTCTGTGGCTTGAAATGATGAGAGGGCTTTGTGGGCAGGAGCAAGCTGTCTCTTGCACTGCTCGTGTGAGGTCCAAGCGATCAGCCATGACGTTTCACCTAGTCAACAACAAACAAATCAAAGGAACCTGCCAACCACAGGCTCCACAAAAAAGTCCTGGTTGCACTATGTCATCATCGCTACAGCTGTGCGCTTCACGAAAATGATACTTGAGTCGATTTCGTGCTGCCGTTGCTGTTGCTGTTCTCCGTTGCGTGCTGCCACCCTCCGCGGCCACGAAAGCTTCCCTTTGCGATGCGCGTAATTTCAGGTCTCGCATGTGAACAGCCCCTCCAAGCACCCGCATCCCAATGATGCAACGTAAGCAAGAACGAGAACTTGGATACTAGTCACGCGAGCATGCACACGATATGTGCTGTTATGCTTTCTAGAAGCTTTCTAGAACTCCAGCGCACTTGAGTTTCGCAATCTGCTCATTTAGTTACAACCGGTCGCAGATCAGGTTAAGGCACATGAGATACTACGCTCATCCAAAGAAGGGCACCTCATCATTCACAGATCACCATCGAAGGCGCAGGTAGGGGAAGGGTACGTACCTACTTTGTGGGCTCAGGTCACACAATATGAATTGACATCATTGCAACCTAGAACCTGTGAAAGGCTTCAGCAAGCTATATCCCAAATCTGTCTTTCTCGAACGAGGAAAGCATTTATATTGTTTAAGCCTATACAGTGGAGTTATCCAGGAAGTCAAAGACATCTAGGCCTAGGCACTTGGGATGGAGTCCTCTTCCCAAGCCGGGCGTATTGCCGCGTAGAAGACAGATGCTGGAATGGATACCATGGAAAGCCCAAGAGAGCAAAATCTAATTTAAGAGCTTCGCGTAATCCTGGTAAAGCGCCCTATACATAAAATCGGGTCTGGCTTGCCGTACACCGTGACTGCAGGCTCCAGGGGAAGATCATTCGCACTCATGCAGCGTAAGGATCACAGGGGGTCCTCTCGGCGTGGAACGATCATCAGGCTCTTCCTAACGAGTGCTTCGCATGAGTATTTGTGGATGGTCGGAACTGTATCCAGACTCTTGAGGCCTCCACGTCCAACGCAACAGTGTGCAGCTGTGAATATGATGGAAATGCCCGAAGTATGGGATCATGATGCCCCTAGAAGTGCTTGCTCTTTAACATTTTACCGTCTACAGACTCGACTGAGCTCCGGGGAAACCGATCGAAGCATCAGCTGGCAGTGAGGGACGCCGTTCTCTTTGAACACGAGGAAGGCTCGCGCTTCAATATTGGTACCATATTTCAAGTTGCTGAGGTCAAAGCTCCGACGTGAAGGTATTCGGTATCAAGGAATGGCGAGTGGTAGCAACGCTGACACGCTCGGACTTCAGCACATCGGGGTCCACGTGGTAGCCATGCGCGTAGGGATGCGTCCAGGCTGCAAAGGAATACACAAACTGGGAATTATTATGGAGAGGTTGGACAGCTAGCGGACGGAGATATGTATGAAATCCTCCAGGCATTCGTGTCCCGCTTAACGTAGGCAGTATAGTCAGTCTCCCTCAGTCGGCTTGTGTTGGAGCATGGAAAAGGAGCTGCGCAAATTCGCAGACCTCGCAGCTCGTATCAATAGGACGCAGCCAACGCCACCTAACAGAGGAATGTCCGTAGTCGAGACCTGAGTGGCTGAAAGGGTGCAGGTGCAGCTTTATCCGGATTGCGGTGATGCGGCCAGTGTCAGAACGCCCTGTGGAAGCAGAGGGATCGAAGCTGACTCTGTTCAGAATTGAGGAGAGAGAAGATACGGGATGCACCCTGCGTTTGAAGAGAAGGGGGGATGAAACATTGCTGCGTACCGTGTATATTAGCGTGGGGTCGCATTAAGTTCTTCGCCGTGTACCTCGCAGGCGGAAGATATCACAGCCTGAAGCAATTGATACGTCTTCGCCTTCCGCCCGTCTCATCCTTCAAGCCGCCAAATGGTTGTAGCCGGTGGGAGAGCAACTGCGGGATTGGTCCGGGTTGCCACGCGTATGATGTTGGCTTCGGGTGCTTTCCAGGCTTGCGGTTGGGATCATCGGGAGGGATCTCCAGGCCACGATGACGTCTGTCTTCGGCTGCTTTCGCCGTCGCGCGTACTGCTTGATGCCGAAGCTGGGAGCCGTCTGAGGTGATGGAAAAGCGAGCACATGTTGCTCAGGCTGCCGCGGCTTTGAGGCCTGAAGTCTCAGGAGAGGATAACGAGGCTATGAGCTTGCGCATGTGAGGGCCCGCAATCAAAAGGCGGGGGCATGGGTAAGCGGCACGCAGGGATTGCCACGCCAGCGGGATCAGTGGGGGTCACTCGGGTCGCCTTGCAAGGTTGCGAAATGGCGCAGAGAGAGGGTCTGCTGGCAATCAGTCCACTCGATTGCGATAATGCGCGCTGGAAGGAGGCCTCAGGGTCTCTGGCCTCGCTGATGCAGTTCAGTCCCGGGGTTCGGGTCGACGATGGGAGGGGCGGGGCCGTGTAGCCAGCTGCCAGCTGCCAGCTGCATCTCCAGCGGCACCACTGGCGGTGCATCATGTGCGACAACCAAGGCCTTGAGCGACTCCCGCCTGAGCCTGCGGGCGGTCGGCACTGCTGGGGAGAGACATTGGACGCGGCGGCAGCCACTCAGCAGCGGGCAGATGCCAGCGGCGTGTTGGTGCAGCTCGGCCATGCGCTCCACGCCTCTCGCTTCATCGTGGGCGATAGCCCTGAGGGCCAACGCTATCGCACGAAGCGAGACCGCGCCGGCAGCTCATGCATCCAGCCCTTGTGTCCCCCGGGGTGCGCCCACTCGACACACGACGAGCCAGTTCGCGCATCGCATCCAGTGCTTGTGCTCATACTCGCAGAGCGCCGTGTCTGCGTATAACCGTCACGGGCGCCGCCAACAAACGGCCATGCCCTTCAAGACTGCCGTGTCTTGACAGCCTCCACCGGCGCCTATCAGCCCCCCCGAGCCCCGGACACAAGAGCCGCCGCTGGTTTTGGCAGGCCGTTTCGCACCACGCCGAGCCTGGATTTGGGTGCGCAGAAGCCAGGCTTATCACCGCCACATCGTCCGACCCGCTTCTCGTGTCTGGATCGTCCCTCAGTGCGCCCGCGATAAGTGCAGTCCTGGCCCTTCCACCACCTCTCACCTGCAGCCGCCGCCTCCTTCACCTCAGCCTCGAAGCTCCCCGTCGCCCCTTCACGACGTGCTCGCCGCGCTGCCAAACAGCCGCATTCATATTGCAAGCCTGTGCCCTGAAGTCATATCCACTTTATCCCGCGCCCCCGGAACCGCTCGCCGTATGACAGACATGGTCAAAGCGCTCCCGGATCGCCATCGTCAGCACCTGCCAGCCGTTGCCATTACATCAACCCACAAATCCCAATAGGCCCATTGAGCACGCGACACTCCAACAGCTCGCCCTCTGCGGAGGTGGGAGTCTGTCTGGACTCCACCACACCATGATACTCCCTCGCTCCCTCTACAATGAGTCGCCCCCGGAGCGCCGCACCCGAGTCGAGAACAACCCGACTCTCCTCTACAGCTGGTGGTGCACCATCTTTTCTCTAACCATTATTGGAATCCGCTTGTCCGGCCGATACATCAGGAACGAGCGACTGTTCCGAGAAGACAAGATCATGGCGTGGAGCATCATTCCGCTGATGGCAAGAATGGGATTCATCCATGTCGTCCTTCTCTACGGGACGAACAACGCCGCCACCGAGGATCTCAATGACCCCGTCAAAATCTACCATCGCGAAATTGGCTCCAAACTGGTGCTCGCAGCGAGAATATTCTACGCCCTGTTGTGAGTAACTCCATCACACACCTCTGATAATGGTTCTAATACCCGATTCAGCATCTGGACAGCCAAGTTTACCGTCTCCGAGTTTCTGAAGCGGATGACGGAGAGGTTTTGGAAGAGGGGCTATGAATTTGGCCTGCGAACTATCCGCATCTTCCTCGCAGTCACGTTTATCATCGTCGTCATCGCAACTTTGGCAGAATGTCAACCCTTCGACCACTACTGGCAGGTCAAACCCGATCCAGGCCCCCGTTGTCGTCAAGGTTACGGCCATCTCCTCTCCATGGGCGTAACGGACATCATAACCGACCTTCTGCTCGTGTTCTTCCCCATTCCCATCATACTCCGCTCTGGAATGCCCCTTGGGCGCAAGCTGTCACTTGTGGCCCTGTTCTCCATGTCCATCATCCTCATCGGCATCACCGGAGCCAGGGTACCTCTAGTCATCGAAAAGCACGGATTGCAGCAATATCGTACTGTATTCGCGTCGTCCGAGATACTTGCTGCTGCAGTCGTCTCCAACGCTATCATCCTAGGCTCATTCCTCCGTGACAGGGGCGTCAAGAAAGCGAAATACAAAGCTGGATCCACTACCGACAGCATGGATCGCCGCTCTTCGACGCGGCGTCCGACGCTACAGCAATGGGGCAGCGACGAAGATCTCGCTCGAGAACTAGGGTACCGTACGAAGCCTGAACATGCCGAGCTAAAGCCAAATATAGCGCGACCAGCTCAGGTTGTTGACCTTAATCTTCTCTCGCCACACGGACATTCCCCACCCTTTTCGAATAGCACTTGGCAATTCCCTGGTCGGCAGTCTGATCTGTCGCAATCCAGCGGGGACTCTGATGTGAAGGATAGAATCATTGAAGATCCCTTGCCGAGCCCTCGTGGGGGCGGTAGACGAGTCTCCTTCTTTGATGTGGGAGGTCTGTTGGAAGGCGGAAATTCGTCCATGGCACCGTCGCCCACCGATTCCGTCATCGCTCACGACTTTGCACCGCAGCCACGGCGAACCTCGAGAGCATCGAGCTCTTTCATGCCAAATGGCCGAGCATATCCTCCGTCGGCCCGCCGCTCCTCCCGGCTCTCTCAACAATCAGAAGACTACGAGATGACTCGACCGGGTCAACCGCTACACGATGCAGGCGGCTTGTTATCAGAAAGCGACGAGTTAGCTGCTGAGGAGGGAACATCCTCGTCTTCAGCAACATCGATGTCCCAGACCGCTCCTCCTCCCCAGCGGCCAAATGCTCTTCCGTTCGTTGCCCGCAGCGCCCCCAATTCCACCCATCCGAGCGCTCCATCATTACAGGATGCAGGTGGTCTCCTTTCTTCTCCTTAATCCTTTTGTGTGTGATACCCAAGGCCCATTGATGGGTCCTTCATTCTGCATATCCCTATTCTTTCTTTACAGCACGAGATATCCCTATGAGTTCGGCGTCCACGGTTTACGAGTAATGTGTCATGATGGGCTGGATAATGCATATTGGCGTAAGGCTGGCTATCAGGCCGGCAAGACGGAATGTCCAGATACTAACAGTCCTTAGACGCCTTGGCCTATGGTGGTGGGCGCAAGGGTGGATGATGGATATGTACATTACTACATCACTGCAACGACCCTCTTGTGGGTTTGCAGACGAGCATTTTGCCGCAGTTGCATACGTCAACCCGGCATATGCGAGTTCCAAATGGAGCAAATCAAATTCCAACATCGACTCATGCGTGCCCGCGTCTTCGGTACCCGTTAGATTGATTCATGCAACCCAGATCGTGGCTTCATTAACGATCTCTTGGTGTTTAATAAAGTTCAGTCCCCGGCATCCTAGTCGCTGATGCACGTCAAGTCATAGGGCGAGCAATCATCTTTGAAGAAACCGCCCCCACATGCTTGTTGTGGGTCAAAGCTCCCGCTCGCTCATGAGGAACTTTAACGCAACCCTATCAACAACAAATTCTGACCAACAACTCCCCCCAACTGAGCAGCGTGCGATGTCCGCACAATGTCTAGCGCTGATACACCGACGCTAGAAGAGATAACTGAACTAACGCGCAGCGAACTAATCCTCAAACAGGGCGACGACGACGACGACGACCCAATCCAGGAATGTGGCTGCGCGCCCCTCGATCTGCTTCCCCGCGATCCGGATATGTGCTTGCAAGTCGCGTATCAGCACTTGCATGATGTGCCGTATAAGGATGTCAAGACGTGCTGGCGCAGGTACTACGCAGACGCTGCGCTGTACAAGGTGCTGGATGTAGTGGGGGAGCGGAAAGACACAGGGAAGGTGGAAGGAGAGCATGGAGACGAGGGATGCGAAGAAGAGGAGGAGGAGGGGGAGGAGGACTGGGCTACCAGGGTGGTCAAGATACTGGATATGACGCTTATCTTGACCGGGGCGCCGCGGAGGGAAGAGCTTGTGGAATTGTGGTTTGCGGCGTTGAGGGGTGTGCTTAGGGAGGAACGAGAAGAGGCTTCAGAGCGGCCGGCGAAGAGAAGGAAGCTCGACGACGTTCATACATCCGTATCGATGGATGCTCGGATCCCAGAAACCTTCCCTGTTACAATCGCGTCACAACCCACTCTACGCTTCGCCATCCCGCGCGTCTCAAACCTCAGCCTCGAAGCCTTCCAATCCAAGATCTCCAAGCCGGATGCGCAGACGCCAGTGATTATTGAAGGAGCGATAGAGCATTGGCCTGCGCTGCATGAGCGGCCATGGAGACGACCAGCGTACCTACTAGAGAAGACTCTAGGAGGGAAACGGCTGGTGCCGGTAGAGATCGGCAGGAGTTATACAGACGAAGGGTGGGGACAGAAGATCCTGAGCTTTGGAGAGTTCATGGGGGAGTACATGTTGCAAGACGAAGGCACATTAGGCAATGAGGAAGAAACTCCGCCGAAGAACGCCAACGGTCTAAAAGCGGACCACGCGCCGCAACACTCCCCCGACGACCCATTATCATCGAGCCAACAGACAATGCCGCCTTCCATTATCATTCCGGAAGAACCTCCACAGACAGGCTACCTAGCGCAACACGACCTTTTCGCCCAAATCCCGTCCCTCCGCGCCGACATCTCCATCCCGGACTACTGCTACAGCGAACCCGCCGCTCAGCCCAGCAACCTCTCCAATGTAAAACCCGTCCCAAAGCTCGAAGAACCGCTCCTTAATGCATGGTTCGGCCCCGCAGGCACCATATCCCCGCTCCACACCGACCCCTACCATAACATCTTAGCGCAAGTGGTGGGGTATAAGTACGTGAGGCTCTATGCGCCGGAGCAGACGGAGAGAATGTATGCGAGGGGCGTGGAGGAGAGTGGGGTTGATATGAGTAATACGAGTCGGGTGGATTTGGATGTTGCTATGAGGGTTTGGGGGGAGGTGTCGTGCTGGGGAGAACAGAATCGCGAGGAGGGGGAGAGGGAGGAATACGAGGAAGCGTATCCGGAGTTTAGGAAGGCGGAGTATCTTGAGGGCGTGCTGGGTCCGGGGGATTGCTTGTATCTTCCTGTTGGGTGGTGGCATTATGTGAGGAGTTTGACGCCGAGTTTTAGCGTGAGTTTTTGGTTTAATTGAATGAGGTAGTCACAGTAATTCGTTCCTAGCGAGGCAAGGGAATGTCTATCCAGAACTGACGGCTAATGTTGACCCTCTCACGCGGCGAGGAGAATACTACGCCGGGGGTCGTGCCTGAAATCAGCTCCACCATTGAATGCTCATAGCCCGCCGGTATGAAAGGGAGAGCCTGGATAGAGCAGCAAGAGATCAAGCTAGCGTAGTCTACTGCAACAACGCCATCACAGCAGAAAGACTGTGCAGGAAACTAAACAGCCCTACCGTGGCGTCAATATTCCTTCTTGCATTCTTCTCTCCTTTAACTCAGTCCCGTCTAGATATCTATGCATGCAAACACGACCCAGTACTCTCACTCTCATATCCACCCCGTCCTCTCATCATATCGAAACTCCCTCCCCTCACTGTACGTAGCAGCAACAGCTCCACTAGACTAGGCCAGCCCAGACCAGATACCCCATGTGCATACTAGTCCCTTGTCCGCGCTTTCAGATCGATAATCCGCCTTCCTTCCCAACTTCTTCACTCCACGTCCACACGATAGGATAGCAAAAGTGTAGAAAAGAAAAGTACGCACTTATTTACCTACCCAACCAACGCACGCACGCACTCTTTCTCCTCTCAGCCCTTCTCTCTTATACAACCAACCAACCATGCACTCAAAACATTACCTTCCAGCATCCTAGACCTACCTCCCCGCCCGATCAATTCACCTTCGTACGTTCGCAGCGAGGAAAGAAAAGACATCTCGATCAGCCCAGCCCAGTTCAGCTCAGCCCAGCTCAGCTCCGCTCATGCCATCGCCACTACACACACGCCAGAGACGCAGTCCAGTCCCCTCAGCCCACCCAGCCAGACAAGACAGGACTAAAGCGTCATCAAAGTCCCCGCCGCGCAAGTAAACACAGCATCCGCCACTCGATCGACAATCCAGACCAGTCCTTCATATGAAAATCAAGAGACTTTCCGAGATGCCCGATTGTACAACCTCGCGTCTCTGCTTCCCGCTTCCGCTTCCGCTTCCGTCTTCCGCTTCCGCGCGCTCCCCGAGCGCTTTTTGGTACTGCGTAGCACACAACTTGGTTGGACAGGAGCACTCCGACTGACCGAGCGATTAATCCGGATGATCCGATAACTCTGTCTTTTCGCTGCCCGAACGGGGGTACCGAACCGTACTGTATCTATCTATCTATCTATCTATCTAGCCGTACGGCCATCTCTCTCTCCTCTCCTCTCAGGAAGCAGAAGAGAAGACCCTACCCTCCATGCGTAGAGTACAGACTACAGACTAATTATCCCCCGCGACAAACCAATCTTCTTCTCTAGATGTTAGTCTGCAACCAAGTATCACCTGTCGCCACCAGTCTGCTGCGGGAACGGGCGTTCACCGTTCGGCTCCCTGCAGCTTCCTGCTTGCTTGCTTGCTTGCTTGCTTGCTTGCTTACTAGCTTACTAGCTTGCTTGCATGCGCAGGAGCGACAGACAGACAGACAGTATGTGACGAACGACTGAAAGCGAAAGGAGGATTCGGGTTCCGGTTTCCCTGCAGGGCCGTAGACGCGGTGCGAAGGGATGCGTGCTACACTGAAAAGAACGACGGAACGAAACCAGCGGCGGTGAGGTGAGCGAGTGACACTACACTACAGTGCATGTCCGACAATTTGTCAATCATGCGCATCTCCTACCACAGCAGCAGCAGCAGCAGGCGAGGGGGGAAGTGGACAGCTTTTTCCGGCGGCCAATGGAAAAGTAGTCCGACCTACCTTACAGTACCGGCCGGCTTTCGCGACCGGGTTGTGTGCGTAGCACAGTACCTACTAGTGACATTCTTGGTACGGACTAGTCGGTAGTTGAGAAGCCCATCTAGATTCCTCCCTGGGGGCAAGTCGGACGCGTCTCCAGGGCTTATCTTAGTCCCTTGAGCTGCCAAATATGGTACGCTACGCTGCGCTACTTGACTCCTATGTCCGACCCTAACACATCGCACACCAGCCGAATGCCCCGATGCCCCGCCCGCTCTATGCACTCGTGTCATCCCAATTCCTCATTATCGTGATTCCCTATCTATCTTACAAGAGAAACTTGGCCGTACCCAAGGAGATCTACAGCGCGCGGTCCGAATTGCCGTCGGAGACCGCCGAAACCCGCCAGCAGTAAAGACAGAGAGCGCAACCCCATACTTTTCCCCCCACCAACGTCGTCTACATCCCACCCGTGCCCCCAGGCCCGAAGAAAAACCCATCAAACAGATCCAATCCATTTCCGTCACTCCAATCATGCGTGCCGTCACCGAACCCCATGCCGAACCCCAGGTCTTGGAGGCCGCCACCTGCATCACCGTTGCCACCCACGGCGCCTTGCACGGGGAAAGAATCTAGGAAGTCGAGGTCTGAGAAACCCAGTTCCGGATAACTAGATGCGATGTTTTGCGCGAAAGCGTTGTAGGGTAGCTGGTTGGAGATTTGGTAGGGGGAGGGTATCGGGGCTTGGGAGATTGGTGGAGACAGGGCTGATGTTGTGGATGCGGGATATCCTTGCTGCTGGGGTGACGGTATGGTTTGCGGCGGCCTGAGATTAGGGTCAAAGTTGAAACTTTGCTGATGACTGCGCATCTGTGGAGAGATTTTCAGATCGGTTGTGAACGATTGCATCTGCTGCGGTTCTTGCTTGATTGGTTGCGGTGGTGGCGGAGGTCGCATGCTGTTAATCTGATTCGATATGCGACTGAAAGACCGTTTGTCGGTCTCATCGTCGGAGAAAAGATCTTTAAGGTTCATGTCGAAGCGGGGGGCCGGGCGCCGAGACTGCTGGAAGTAGCCTGCCTGGGAAACGTACCCTGGCATGTCCGTGTCCGACCTCGCATCTGCGTCGGAGGTGTACGACGTACTGGGAGAGTGGGATGATCGCGCCGGAGCCTGAGTGTGTGAAATCGCACGGAGAACCTGAGGCCCGAACCCTGTCGTCGACATGCACATTTGGATAGTCGCTTTGCTCATCCGATCGAACGCGTCACGGCATGCTTCTGCCGGTGGACATTTTTCGATCAGGTCGCCCAAGACGGATGTCGCGGCTAGCACGGTAAAGTCGACGTCGTCTAGCGTCTAGCGGAATCAGCGCTGTGACAACAATAGTGCGACCAGGTAGCACAAGGCTAATCAAAGTGAAACTTACCAGCAAACTACGTACGGCAGGGGAGTGCCACACAGCGTATAGAAACGATATGCCTATTCCGCGTTAGCGCCGCATCAGCGTTGAAGAAGGCCCGAACCTACCAGCCATGAACAGGTGATGTGTAGCCAGGAACGTGTAGTTGACCAGGTGCACGCGATGCAGCTGTCTGTACAGTTTCAAAACTTTCTGGCCAGCTTCGGCGACCTTCAGGAAGACAAGCTCCTCGTCTTCCCTCTCTTCAGCATTAACGACCGAAGGACTTTCGACACTGCTATCGGTATTCCCAAGCTCGCTCGCTAGCCCAGACGGTACGACCAAGCTCTGCCTGTACAGCATGATGATCGCCTGCCAGTAGTTGAGCTCCAAGAACAGCGGCGAAAACTGAACGCCGGCGTGCAACTGTGTTGGCGCCGAATCCTTCCAATCGAGCAGGCGTCTGTCAATATCGACCCGCCATGCCCGGAAGGAATCAAAGTTGGCCAGAAAGGGCGAGGGTAGCTTCGTATGCATGTAGTCGTTACCCGAATTAGCGCCACTGGCCCTTGCTTGCTGTGCCTGGCGGTGCTGCAAGACTTGGAGGATCTCTGATTGTAGAAGCCTAAGCCGAAAATAGTGATGTGCTACAACCTTGTAGCTGGGCCTTCGCTGGTGTTCTGGCGGGTCAAGGAACCCCTCTTTCGTGATAAACCTATCGTCGAGCATCGACGGGAACTCGGTCGTCACGACCTGGTCTGTGATGCCAAATGGGCGTCCGACGCAAGTGCTTACGAGTCTATCCAACGAATCTAAATGTTGCGTGCAGTTAGCATGAGTCCTGCACACAATGCAGAGTAGGAGGTAATGAAAGAGGGGTCCAACTCCAGAGCCACCGGGTTCGCAGTCCATTCGTTGCCTGGAGTCAGTGACTTCAGAAAAGCCACCTCGTAGGGCGTAAACGGACCAAGTCTGAACCACGCCGGCTCTGATGCGCAGACCCCTGGTCGCACATACAGACGCACCACCATAAGCGTCGACGCAGGTCACGAACCCACTGCCGCCTACCCCTTTCTTTTGCATCGATCTTCCCGCTGTTGGTGGCTGTTGAACTGTTCTGTTTTTCATCCTGTTCCACTTTCCCGGCATTCTGGTCCTCCGATCCCGAGCCATCTATTCCTACGCCGTCCTCGTAGTGCAACCCGAGATCCACTCCCAAGCGGACGGCTACTCCTACGATGTACCAGAGTCCCGGCGCAACGGGCCTCAGGAGGGCGAAACCTGCAAGCAAAAGCACAGCCTGAAGCTCTTCAAGGCCGCCACCGAAGCCGTCGGGCCGGTCTGCAGCGGGAGTGGATCCAAGAAAATTTTCAAGGTGTACAATTGCGGACGCGTGATACTCCTCGGGCTGGTGCTGCTGACCTGCGAGGCGCCGCTTCTTACTTGACGGCGGAGACGGTCTGGACTTCATTGGAGACGTATTAGGATGGTCCGAAGTCGGCGAATCGCCGGAGTCCGAGCTTCCCATGATGATTCCCGCTCCGATAGCAAACACTATATTGAGCATGTATGACTCTCGTGAGGTCCTGTGTCGCTCTCCCGATGTGTACACGCGCTCGAACATCTCCATAAACTCGCCGCGGTGCAAAATAGGGATCTGGGGGTTGGCATGCTCAAAGTACAGTTCTACAAGCCGTCCGCCGAGCTCTCGATCGGGAAACGGCGCTTGACGAAAAGTAGGCTTCGTATGCAGACCGAAGAAGCTATCGCGCTGCCGTTGTGTCAGGCGCGGCGCGACTTCCGGGGAGGCTTTCACGTTCACTCACCATGCTGGTACCGCCATCCGTGACATTGCCGGTCAAAGACTTGGATCCGCGCACGCTCCCCCTCTCGGACGAGGACCCGGAGACGGAGCTCTTGACTGCCGCGAATACTACTCTTGCAAATGATATCCCTGATGTGGATCCAAGGAAGCGAGGGTCACTGGCTCCCTGGACGGAGACCATGCCAATATTTGACACCAGCTTTGTAAGCTTCTCACGATCATATTTCTCGCTCTCCTCTTTGGAGGTCGGAGGCTTCGCAGAGCCATTGCGCTGCTGCGCAGTCCCGCCCGCGGCAGAGGCTGGCCTGTTCGCGGAACCGCCAGGCTGGAAACTCGGATTGAAGTCTTCGGCCGGGGCGAAGGCGATGGAGTTCTCCTGGAGCAGTGACTCAAGGTAGGCCACTCGGGTTTCGAGGTAGTAAACATAACTGGAGCCCAGTCAGTAGCGAAGCCAGTCAAGACACGCCTCGCAGCGCTTGAAACAGGATCCACCGCAGTGACCCCATCGACGATGCTGGAGGACGACCACGCACCTTCGGGGGATTTCGCGCTTGGTAATGGGGTCATAACCGACGCATTTGACATTGGCTTTATCACACGAAGCGCACGACGGCAGGCGCTGATCGCAGCGGTTCTTCCTCAGGCGGCACCTGTGCACACCGACTAGTAAGTGAAGCGTTCTTTAGGGCGTGCGTCTCACGGAGGGAGGCGGCACGACTCAGGATGCAATACCGGTGAGGGAACAGACCTATTGCAGGCGGAAACGTTGCGGAAGGACGAGGCCGAGGAGCTGGATGCGGCCGAGGCGGTGGGCGATGCGGGCTTTACCGGGGCGGCATCCTGCGGAGAGGCGCCGTCGCCGTCCTGAGAGGACTCATCGAGGGAGCGCTTGAGAGCGGTCATCAGGGCGCGCGCATGGCAGGATGGCAGAGGGACAGGGCTGGCGGTCGCGGAACGTCAGGTCGGGGATGGAGACGAGCTTCCCCCGCTTCGCGCTCCAAGGCTGATGGGGATAAGCGACGCCGACGGGGGTCGGTGGATGCGGCGTGGAGGAGGACGATGGCTGCGTCCAGTTGCCATTTGTCCCAAAAGCAACGACGGGATGGCAGCTGCTGCGGAGGGAACTAGCGGCCATGGCTTGTATCTCTTATCAGCGCCGGGATATGGCTCGCCGCCGCGTCCGCCCTGCTGGGCGCGCCGTGGGCATGTGACCTCCTCGCGCGTATTACCCGCTGCGGAACACCACCAAATGCATCATGTCTCTATCCGTCCGAGCATACCGCTGGGCGGCTACTTTGCACATACACCCCGTGCTGTAGCTCGTGCGCAGAGACGCTGCGCGCGGAAAGGGCCGCTCTGACTCGCGCTGACGGCTGCTGCACAGCGAGCACACCGATCGAGGCATGACGGGCAGCGTGGAAACGGCAACGGCAGCGTGTGAGGCATCGCGACCCAGCATTTACCCCAGCATAGTTCCCCGTGCGGGCGGGCGTACATACATGCACTTCCCGAGCTCGTCGACTGCGGCGACCGACGTGGGGTGACTACGCCCGTCAGTTGACTACGCTCCGAGTCAGGACTGCGACACCCAGAGCAGACCGCCGTGAACGTGAAGACTCGGTTCCATGATTAAAAGAGAATATTGCATGAGCCAGCTACTCTATCGTCTAGATGTGGGGGGGTATTATTCTTTTGGTTTCCAACGCCGACTCAGCCAGACCTTCTGCAGGTATTTTTTGTCCACGCTCCGTCTAAAAAAAATTCCCTCACAAGAGCCGCCCATGACATGGTACAAATCGTCCTTTTCGTAATGCGCCTAGAAAACAAGCTGGCCCCTGGCCGTCGTTTTGTGACTGAGCAATGTCTATGGCCCTGTTCCCATTGGTTAAACTCATTAAACTCCAGTAATAATGGCTGACGCCGCCGCTGAAATGTCGATAGTTGGAAATCGTGTGGCGCCATCGTCATCCTTCTCTCGTGACTTATTTCGACAGCAATGCCTCGCCCGTGTCATCAGGCGTGAGCGTCATGACTGACTCCGCATCCGCGTCGGGGTGCGCCAATGCCTCTCCGAGGCCAGTCTCTTCGTCTTCTTCGACGCCCCGGAACCCTGGTCGCTTCCTCTCCTCTTTCATAAGAAAACCGGGCATCCACCCAATCGCGGCGATACCCGCACAGGTCCACCAGGCCAGGCCCGACATCCCAATGCGGTCACCGACGGAATCAACTGCACCCGATACCGTTGGACCAAAGCCCCTGCAGACGCTGGCGGATGCTGCTGCTGCGCCGTTCAACGTGCCGAGTACTTTCTTGGAAGGAGAGGCGTTTGCGAGCATAATAGCGAGAGACGGGTAGGAGAGCGATTGGGCCGTGACTTTCCAGACCAGCAATAGGATAATGCCAGGGATGCGGAGGTTCTTGGGGAGAAGGGCCAGGTACGGGGCCAGCACGTAGAGGAACGGATAAAAAGCAATGGTGAGCCAGAAGGTGCGCAGGCTGCCCAGCTTCTTGCTGATCCACGGGAAAATGACAAGCTGTGCGATCATCTGGAGGGCGCCTTGTACGGAAAGAAGCGCGCCGTTCGTTTGAGGCGAGAAGTTGAAGCCGCCTTGGAAATAGAATGGAAGGTGGCGTCCTTCTCCGCTCGGCTCCTTTTTCGACATGAGGATCGGTAGCAGTTGCTCCAGGGAAATCGTATGGCTGCAAACAGAATCAGCGGGTGGTTCGGCCTAGAAGCAGAAAACTTACAAAGCGAGTATGCCGTAGCACACAATGTTCAAGCAAACCTGCTTCGTGAATGCGTCGCGGATCGTAGGTGCACGGGGAGCGCCTTTCTCCAGCGAATAGGGCGGAGGCTCCGCCATGGACGAGCGAGAGCTGCATAGGGTTGGTGAGCTGGCGGTGCTCCTGGAGACGCGAGGGCCATGGGCCTCCAGCATTGAGCTCATCTCGTCCAAAGAGCCATCCTTGTCGCTCAAGGGTGCGTCTGCATTCCGTCCCCACACCTTGTTCAGCAGCCATTGCCCGGCCTCGCGGCCGCGGTCCCGGTCATACTTTCGGTCCTCGTGCGTCTCCTCGAGAAACAAAATGCCGACGGCGAGCCCCAGGACGACCACCGCTGTGCAGACCAAGTTCGGAAGGAGATACGGGTAGGCCTCGAAAATGGTGCCCCCAAACCAGGCCGGGAGGGAGATGGCGGGGCGGGCGAGGACCCCGCCGAGCGTTGCGCCGATGATGGTGCTACAAGAAGCGGTCAGCGCCGGCTGCTTCAAAGCGACTCAGGAGACGGCATACCCAAGACACCAGACAAAGGGCATAATCGAGTACGCGCGCGCTGCAAAAGTCAGTCTGCCGTCCTCACGGCGCAGTTGCGACAAGCTTACGCTGGTGCTTCTCCACGGTGACCAGCTCCGCGACGGTGGTCTGAAGAACGCCGATGTTCCTGCGACTGCGTTTAGCGAGCGCTACTGCACCGGCTCCCACGAATGACCTCACCCGTTCAGCAAGCCCCCGAGCGCTCGGGCAAATAAGGCCATGGCCAGATTCTTAGCGAACCCGAATAGCAGCATGCTCAGCCCAGTGCCGAAGAGGCCTCCGAGCAGCACCTTCTTCCGCCCAATCTTGTCGCTGAGCCGGCCCCAGAATATACCGCTCATGCACTCCATGAAGGCGAAGGCCGACGTCACCATGCCCACATACATGGAGATTTCGCTTGGGTTCTTTGCGATTCCGAATGAGTCGACCATGAAGTACGCGTAGGGGAATATCGACATGAACGCAATTGGCTCGCATATTCGGCACAGCGCTGGGAGAGATACAACTTAGCACTTTTTGAACCATATGCACATGGAGCCACTTACCCAGTACGGCCAGCTGTCTGGTGGGAAAGGGAGTTTTGTCTTTCGTGAGGGCAGACGCCCCACCATGCCGAGCCATTGATGCTCAATTGGTGCTGCGATGTAGACAGGAAGGGTGTGTAGGAGGAAAGAGAGAAGAAGTATCAAGACCAGAAACACAGCGGCGGCAAGCAGTACATATGCGAAGGTGCGTCAGGACAAGCCAGAACCTCTAGGGTTTTAAGGGGAGCGTCTGTTTGATATGGACGCGAGCGTCACAAGATATATAAGGAAGAGCAAGATTTAAGTGGCGTCCTGAGGGCGGATGGGCCGCTGCTAGTGACAAGGATGGCGGCGGCGGGGAGGAAACGGAGGGACAGGCGGTGATTGCTGTGCAAGTGGATACGTAGTAGTGGGCGGATACAGACACCGGAAGGACCAGCAAATGCCAATGGGAGGGGACCTCATGGTGCCGTGGCTCCGCCGAAACAGAGGCATGATTATGTCGATAAGCGACCAGGAACTGCTGCGCTGGCGGTGAGGTCCCTCTGGCGGCAGCTTTGTGACTCCAAGGCGACCGGATGTGTGAGGCAGCTGTGTGCCCGAGATGCGAATAGAATTGGCTGCTGCTGCCCCTGAGCGTGGGCCAGGGCTGTAGAAGCTTTGCACCACACAGGACTCCAGCCGGCTTGAGCGGAACCAAAGCAGTGGGCGGACTAGATGCAACCGAGTAAGGCGGACCAGGGCAGCGTGAGGGAGAGCGTTGAGGGACATCGTGCCATGACTTGGAGCTCGCGAAGACGATCACCAGCGCACGTCCCGGCAAAAGCATGTGGGCTGCCACTAGCCAAACCCGCGGATGCGGACCCAGGTCCTAGGCTGCTGCAGCCATCTGCTGCACCACGCAGCGTGCAGGGGTTCCCTTGCCGAGACCTGGAAAAGAGTGAACGTCGTGCCGACCATCGCTCGTCCCTCTGAAGCCGCAAACGGAGGCGGAAGCCATTCCAGCTTCCCCGGGGGGCAAACCAGACCATCTTCGGTCCGGACGCAGTCATTTGCTGTCAGGCTTTCGTAGACGACTCGGCTCAGGGGCAGGAGAGCGGTGCTGCGCGCACGGCGATCGTACACTCTTTGACAGCGAACGAGTCAGAAGGCAAAGCAATCGGCATTATCTTTCTAGAAGCGCCCGCTGGCGAATCAGTAGAGCGCATGTGTTGCACAATTATCCGTGACGGAGGTTTAGCAGCGTGGCAGCATCAAACAGCCGCAATTTGCCCCGGGGCAAGCCCAAAATGGCGGTGTACTGTACATGTGGAGGGAGTAGTGCAGGTACCTACTCCGTACATCTGAGTTGCGTCCAGATCCGACTGGCGGCAATGCACATATAGCACAGGACGCGTCGCCTCACTGCAATGAATGACGATACAGGTCATCATGGCGGCTCAAGGCGCGACTCGCGAGCTCCATAAGCCCGATGCAGCACGTTTCGTGTCCTTTCATCACTCCCTGCCCCGTGCCTCGCGATGTAATTTGCTGCCCCAGGTTGTCATTCCACGCGCAGTGAGACGTGCTTTGCAGCCGGCCAACACGGCCTTGTCATGGGTTCCAGCCGAGATGGAGGACTTTGGGGAAGTTATCCCATTGCTGGCCGCACCAGTCGTTTCCGTCATCAGTCATCAGTCATCAGCACACGATGGACCAAGGCCCAATATGCCATCAGCTGACGTCCTTGCGCGCCCGTCTGCGGCGCCGCTGGATGGCGTCTGTACTGCTGCCCAGTCCAGCAATCGCCGGCCGGGGGGCGAGGCTATTCTGTGTTTCGTAGCGGCCTCGTAGTTGGTCCCGGGAGCGCTTCCGTCGCGTGTCGCAAGCTGAGCTGTCGCAGCACCGGTCGAAGATAGTTTGCGCCGCGGCGCTGGACGGAAAACGGTAAGCATAACGGCCGTTTCGACGCAGCGTGGCCCGGGGTGGAGCAGCGTGCATTGCGGCGGTGTGGATATAAGGCTGGCCTGTTGCAGCAATTGGTCAGGGTGGCTTGCAGTTTCCACGCGACATGGGGCACGAGAGACCGGGGCTGCAGAAGGGCTTGCGACGTCCAGGCTTCTTAGTGGCTTCTGGCCTCGAAAATGCGCCGCCAGGGCGCGAGTGCCAGGCGTCTGATTGCCCAGCACAAAGCTCCGATTGGGACGGCGCGCCAGCATCAACGCTGCAGCGACGAACCTTCGCATGCTTTTTCTGCGAGGAGCGACCGCGAGTGCGTAAACGGGCACTGGGGCCGAGGGGGCGGGGGCCTGTGGCCTTGGGACGTCGCAGCAGCCCCTGGCCTCGGCTCTTGTTAGCTCTGGAGCGCCGAAACGAAAGAATTGCCCGCGTCTGCGTGGAGGGGACAGGTGACCTCGTCCCGGCAGCATGGGTCCATATCTCCGATCCATCTGATGTCAATGTCAATCCGAACGTCACCGCGAAACCCCCGGGGCCAGCGCTGTCCACGTGAGCTCGCACTCCCGCGCAGCAGCGCGCACTCGCACGCTGCCCCTTCCGCCGTGACTGGAGCCAGCGCATGCGAAATCTCTGTTCTGCGAGTGTTCCACGGCAGGCCTGCACCGCCAGCAACGTGAAGGATTTCGACGATCCCAATTGAGCCCGTCTGCCGCTCGCTTGAGCGTCCCATCCTCATGGAACGCAGTGCAGCTCTTGCGCATCGCATCCGCGCAGTGCTGACCGGACCGGGGCGCGCGAATCCTCGTGCGAGGAGGCTATCTCTGCACGCCGCCGCGAACCTTCTACGCCCGATCGTAATCGTGGCCTGATTCGAGGTTCGGTGCACCGCATACGAGTCTCGAGGACTGGGAGCCTGTGCTGCCGTCGCATTCTGCAGCCCGCCTCTCTGCGCCGGAGGCTAAATATGGGTAGGCATTGCGAGCAGGCGTGCTTTTCCCGGGACCAGTCGGGCCGGATGTGCTTGTCGTGGTGTTGAAGAGATCTGTGCCTGGCATGTGACGCGTTTGCTTCCCGCAACAACTGTGTGCCGCCCAGCGGGCCCGCCGTCAGCACTCCACACGCGTCCTGCCACGTCGTGGATGGGTATATCAGGCGCCCGGGGAGCCTCATGACGAGCGCCCATCTGCGCTCAGATTCCGGTGAGCGCAGGAGAGGTTGGGCGCTGCTGTTGTAGACGGCGTGTCTCTGGGCGGAAGCGGCTGCGGAGCGTTGGATAGTGCCAAGGCGATCAGCGCTAGGCGAGCGGATGCGCTTCTGCGACTTCCAACGTCGAGCTCCTCCAACCGGTGCCGACATGCCACCACCCTCGCACCTCGCAGTAGGTATGCCTCTTCCCGACGCGTCGCCGACTCTTCCGTCGTTTCGGAAGCAGCATCTGCTGGTCGAGTTGTATGTTGCGGCGTAGCGACTTGGCGTCGGCCTCTGACTTTCCGCAGCTCCAGCCTGCGATTCGCCCAACTCGATGGCGTTTTCGTGAGCATCACCCCCGGCGATCCTTCGCTCTGGGTCGGCATCATTTTTGTACGCAAAGGTACTTTCTTTCTGCAGGCCCAGAAATGTCAAAAGCGCCCATCTCTCCTCGTCCAATTGGCTGCGGCGGTGTTGCTTTTGCCTCCTCAGTCACCTCTATATTCACTCCCGACAGGTCCCTATGCGCCAGCAGTGCTGCGTTTCCAGATATCCTTCCCAGCAAGCTACCCGTCGTTGCCTCCCCTCGTGACCTTCTCCACCGACGTCTTCCATCCGCTACTCACGCCACTCACGACGTACACTTACACGACCGGCTCGTCAGACACGGATACCGTCAGTGCCACAGATGAGGAAAGGCTGCCACCGGGTGGGTTTAGTCTTCGACACGGATTCCCGCAATGGTTTGGGCGTGCTCGACGGTCTGCAGCGAGCTCCCGTAATGTGAGCGGATCAGGCCTGGACAGTCCCACGCAGAGCCATACCCCCGTACTCTCGCCGGACGGCAAGCACGGCGCGACAGCCACGACAGATATGGGTTCTATTGCCGGTCCGCTTGGGAAGGACGTGTCCATTGTCAGGGTTCTAGAGTACATCCGCACCACCTTCAGCGATGAGCGGGTCCTTGACTCAATCCCTGTAGAAGCTGCAGCAAATCCGGGCGCATATCATGCTTGGCGGGCTTATCGCGCGGCTAGCTTGCAGGCACAGCAAATCCCGCCCAACGCTCCAACATCTAGCTCTCAGGCGAATTCAACGGGCAAGACGAACGAAGGCTCGACGCTAGGCAGGAACCGCCGTCCGGGCGAATGGAACTGGGAGGGCGTGTGGGAGGAGCGTGTTAGGAAAGCAGTGAAAGCAAGCCTATCCGAGCCTGTGTTGTTCGGCGGGCCCGCAGGAGAGGATATCGTATGATATCTGCGCCTCTTGATAATTATGCCATACTGACGACCCAGCAGATCCGTTTCCGGGACGCGGGTGAAGAGGCCATGGCGAAGATGAAAGAACAGCTGGAGCTGGTGCTCTCGAGGACCGCAGTCTGAGCCGTGCAGCTTGTGTATCAGAGGGGGCAGTCAACGTCACTCCCATCACATTTGAGCATAGCATGATACCCTAAATCTTTTACTCGGCGCAACTGCTGGCATTTGCAGCTGTATATCCAATGTCTCCAAACGTGGAAGGTGCGCGCCTGCTCTTTGAAAGCGAGGGGCAAGCGCAAGGTAAACATAGAGAAACGTAGCTTCCCAATCGATGCTGCGGATGGCAGAGGCCTCAATATTTCGATTCAGTCCACCTTCTCAACCTCTCACGCAGTATTCCTCTATTTGCAGGACGCAGTCGAGCAGTGCCTATCCGCATTTTATTCGAGTCTTTATTCATCCTGTGCGTTGCCTGCAGTATCCATCAGTCGACGGCGTCAAGAGCGGCGTTCAAGCGCATTCACTGCGACTTGGGGCGCACTGTGCTAGGCTTGCGGTGGAGGAGCAGAGTGAAGGTGAAGACGCGTTTCGTTTGTCGGCGCGAGAATGGTGTCAACACAACACCGTGTCGTCGTCCTCTCCGACGCTGCCCTCTTCCCTCCTCCACTTCACGTCAAGAAGAAGCTTCGGAGAGCAACATTTCGCCGGCGTACCCTACGTAAGTCATCCTACTTTCATCCCAGCAACGACACCGCGTGCGGTCCACTTGACGACATTATCGACGAAATCACTGGCGACATTTGGACGTCTCCGCCCGAGTGCTTTGAGTCGTCTTTTCTCGACTGTGAACGTCCCCTCAAGGCGTCGTCAACGTGGGCCGTGACGCCTCTGCCCGTCAGCCGCATACCCAGCGATCAGCCTCTGACGATACGCAAGAACAGAAACAGCCGGTCAACAGCATCCGGCTCGAGCGCGGGCTTCTCCATGGCTTTCTCGCGAGATAGCAGCCAGAAAAAGTCCTCAGACAGTCGCCGTAAAGTGAGTACCCCACCAGATGAGTCCACGACGCCATGGCCGTTATTCGACACGGCGTCGCCGTACACGGACGCGCCCCAGAACACCTACTTGAATAACACCATCTGCACTGATCACTCTACTGCGCAACAGGTCCTCGAGGCGATTGCTCAGAATACCGGGGCTTCTGCTCAGCCCACCGAGCGGCGCCCATCTCTGATGCGGCTCTTCACGAACGGTTTCTCGCGTCTTCGCCGGACGGGTACAGGTGACACAACGGCAAGCAACATGTCGTCGCATACCCCTTCACCTACCACTCCGTCGGAAATGGACAAAGACGACTTGTCTGACTCGGAGACGCCTACGGACGCGGCTATAGAGGCGTACCTAAGGAAGCACGGGCGCAAGTGAGTGTGATATATCTCTTTCATACATGCACTCTTCTTTTCCGGCCGTTGTCGCTAACCTGCGCAGTGTGAAAGAGTTCGGGCTAGAAGTCACGTCCTCTCCAACTATCCTAAAGGCCGCTGTCAAGGTTCTGCCGGAGGTGACGTTGCTTACTTCAGAGGACAGCCAAGACTTCTGGGTTGCTGTTGAGATCGAGGGTGTACTGCACAATCGCCGAGCTCTTGAGGACACGAGCATTGATTTGGTTTTTGTTGTGGATAACGGGTAGGTTTCCCAACCTTGGACAAGCGTATTCAACGGAAACTGATTCAACTAGATACTATGTCACTAAGGAATGCCTCAGTCGAGCCTTGGACGCAGTTATGGGAGCCGTTCATCACCTGAGCCGCGGTGACCGGATTGCGCTCTACACTACCCACTGCACCCATGAGGTGGTTACCGGCACCGTGCCCGACCTACTGCATCCTCTCCGACCATTTACAGGAGACACCGAGGAGATGTTCCATGACTTGACGGAAGATATCGCGAAATGTGGAACCCAATCATGGGACCCTCCTCGCCCTAATCCTTCCATGGCTGATGTTACCCTCGCGGTAGCCAAGTCTCTGGACGGCAAGGATATCAAACGTAACCGCACCCATATTGTCTTGCTGTCGCCAACGGTAAACATACTCCATGGAGTGTCTAATGGATTCCCGAGCCTCTATATCCATCAGATCAACCCTGCTGTGCTCCCATACCGCAACAGCCAAGACCCGCAGGAGAGAGCCTGCAGGGAGCCATGCTGCGCAAACATCTTCGTGAGTAACTGGTCCCACTACCAGTCGCTTCCCGGCCGCATCAAGCAAATTATCCAGTACGCCCGCGTCGAGAAGCCACAGGGACAGATCGGCAACGTCCATGTTGACATCCGCCCGAAGAAGGGCTGCGAAGTGCTTGGATATGTCGGCGCCACGGATTTTGACTCCCTCCGGCCGGGGCAAGTCATTTCCTTCTTTGTCCACATCCGCGTCATGCGGTCCCAGACCCAGGAACTTGACCTTAGCCCAACCGATCCATTCTTGAACTCTAACCTGGACGCGAGCGACTTGAGGCAGGATGTTCAGAAGGCGCATGCGGCTGGTGCTACCAAAGTTCATCTCTTGTCCGTGCAGGTCATGAACCAGAATTCCTTGCTTCCTTTGGGGTGCTGGACCTACACCGAGGCTCAACTTCTCGTCATCAAGGAGCTGGGGAGGTCGGAGAAGCCATTCGGCACGGGTATCAAGCTCTACGAGCGCAAGCTATTCTACGACCTCAACGAGCTTGACATTGCCGCTGCGAAGCACAAGCTTGAGCAGTGGGTGGTGGCTCCTCCTATCGAAATGGAAGCGGTCAAGAAGCTCATTGAGCGCATGTTGAAGGAGGTGCTCCACCGCCAGTCAATTCAAGAGTACGAGAGGATGTGCAGGCAGAAGCTCCCATTGTGCCCGGGTCCCATCGGCATCGCGGCTACACACGAGTGGTTAATCGAGAAATGGGACGCGAAGAAGAACAAACGCAAGGGAATGGCCGTTATCTGAGCGTCCCCTGGCCCATGTTCACCTCTTGGCACTACGTTTGGAACGCCTCAGCGTCGATGTTCGAGCTCTGACTAGCTTGGGAATCATGTGAGAGGACTGAAGCCGGTCGGAAGCTAATTTGGGGGGTTTGATCAAAACGGTGGTTGAAAGTTGCTGGAAAAGCGTGATGGAAGAGTTAGCGGAAGGACGCTCTCACAGACATTGTATATATATCTGCGAACCGAGGGCATGATTGGAGCCGTCACTTGATATCCGTTCTTACGGGTAGCTAACGATATAATTGGCCTTGCTCAGGTTATCTCCCAACAGGGGGCAACATCTTCAAATCGGCGAACTCTCCCAGTACCTCTTTTATGCACTCATTCGTGTCCACAAAGCCGTGCCATCCCATCTTGCGTGCCTTGTTCATACTGAGGTCCAAGGTTCCTCCGCAAAGACTTGCATCTGTAAACCCAAAAATGCGGTCAACGTCCATGTCTTGCAGCTTGCTAACATTCAATCCGTGCTTAGCGATCAATTCCTCCCACGCTTTCTGCACCTTGGGCTGCTTAGCCCAGTCCGTGAGCGTAAATCTGATGCGGTACGTCGCAGGCGGTCCAAACCTAAACATTTCCATCCATTAGCCAGCCACTTCATCGCACAAACACACACACACAGGGGCGAGAGCAGTGGGGGACCAACATACCCCCTGGGCGGTGGATCATACGGCGTAACCACCTCCGCATAAACCCCCTCCTCCAAACTCGGCCTCCCGGCCTTCAACCCATACCAGCCCGCAAACTTGCCCCAGAAATTGCCCCACGTAAACGGACTGCTGTCCGCGGCGTTGAACCGCTCGTTCCGCGCCCCCTCCGTCAGCACCGCCCACTCCTCCAGATACGCGTTCAGCCGCGCCGACGAGCCTACGTGCGTCGCCTCCCAGCTCTGTAGGTCGGAGGGGAACTCGAGTTCTTCGTTTAGGTGCTTTTTGACGCTGGCGTAGACGCCGAGTGGGAAGACGAGGTTCATGGCGGCGTCCGGCACTGCGCCCATGATGTAGGAGGGCATTGCTACAGTGTAGGATGTGGCGTGCGCTGTGCAGAAGGAGGAGAGGAAGTCTTCTTGCTGGTAGTAGAAGTTTGGTTCTAGCGTGATGCGCGGCTGGGATTCTTCGCTGGGGGTGGGGGCGGGGCCGAGGTGGATGCTAGGAGGGGTGGGTGGTGTTAGGGGATGGTTGAGAAGGGGGGAGGGGAGGAGGGGAGGGGAGGGGAGTGTACCCACCCGTAGTTTTTGGCGCCTGTTTGTAGCATTATGCGTTTGGGCTTGACGTTCGCTAGGGGAAGGGCTTCGCAGAAGTTTTGTAGGAGTGCGACTACATGTACTCATCAGCTCCAACGCCTTTACACACCCTCATGCCTTCCTTCCTTCCCCCAGTGCCCCCCAAAAAGGAAAAGAAAAACCAGACTCACGATTCACCTTACACATCTCCTCGGCATCACTCCACAGCCCCGCCCCCTCCTTGGGCTTAACCTGCACATAGCTAAAAAAGAACACATAATCCACCCCCTCCACGCCCTTCTCCCTCAGCACCCGTGCAATCTCCTCCCTCCCCGTCAGGAAATCGCACTCTATGTGCTCTGCGTTCGCGGGCAGGCCGTCCGGGATCGCCGGCGCGCGCCGCGAGAGGCAGTATATTTTGCTCCAGCGGGATGGCGACTGCGCCAGCACGCGCAGCATGTAGTTGCCCGAGATGCCGTTTGCGCCGGTTATGATGGCGGTGAGGTTTTTGAGCGAGGGCGGGAAGACGGGGAGGCCGTGGTAGATGCCCCGCGATTCGACGGTTTGTTGGTGGGTGGGGGTGGTCATTTTGGATGTGCTTGCTTGGTTGGGGGAGGAGGTAGTATCCGTTCGGGTCAGTCAAGTTCTGGGTTTTAAAGTGGAAAGATGGAGGCTGGGATCTGGTTGACTCGAATGTGTTGATGTTTTATATCTATCCCCTGGTTTCCCCACCTCGCCTCGGATGGGGTCGTGACGTAAAGCGGGGAAGAACATGCCCAGGTGCAGGGGCGCGCCGAACTCGTAAAATGCAGGAGACTACTTGAGGAGATGCTTGCCGATGCGGTGGTGGAGGGCATCTGGGAACGGTTAGTGTGGTGTTGGCGTTGGCTGTCTGGGGTAGGAGCATGGTTCGTCTCGGTGGAAGGGTTGCTGGGTTCGGGTAGTGTCCTTCGACGCGGACTACATGCGTATGTGAACGAGGATACGAAGAGTGACGAACGAACGAACACATATCAGCAGTCAATAATTCATGCACCCGTCCGAAGACTTGCGCATGTAATTCATTGCTGCATAGCAATAAGCATCTCTCTCACTGCACCACAAACTGCTGACCATGACTCTTATACAACACACTCGAATCCAGCACCTCCCCAGTCAAACTCCTAATAAACTCCACCTTGACCTCGTTCTCGCTCAAAAAGCTCACAGTCGCATAGCTAAAATCCTCGGCATAGGCAAAAACATTCGTCGAGTAATTACTCCCCACCCCGCTCAAGCCCTCGATATTCCCGGCGCCCCCTGCAACGATATACACCGGCGCCTTGGGGTCGTTCATCCCCTTCGGATCCGGCTTCGTGTCATTGACAGGAAGGAAGCGCTGCGAGTTGTGCACGTGTCCGAAGATGGCGAGGTCGACGCCGTACTTGTACAGGAGGGGCTCGAAGGCGGCTTTGCAGGGTGCGCAGCGATTGCTGCCGGTGGAGTACCAGGGGCGGTGGCCTGCGACGACGAGCCAGGGCGTTACGCTGCGGTCTACGGAGGCGAGGTCTGCGGCGAGGAAGTCGAGCTGTTGGGTTGCGGTGCCGAAGGGGCCGCTGTCGAGGCCTGCGGAGCCGCCTGGTTGGTCGGGCGCGTTGGCGAAGTCGGTCTCTGTGTCGATCATGGTCACATGGATCATGCCGTACTCGAACGAGTACCAGAAGGGTGGTTTTGCAAGGGCCTGAGCCTTGTTCGCATTGACCTTCGCGGTGTTGTCCGAAGATGTGGAGGTAAATGCCGTTGGCATCATCTTGCCGAAACGGTTCATGAAGTCAGTGAAGTTCTCCTGGCCGTCGGGGCAGAGGCCCGTGGTGTACGGGATTTCCTGGCATGCGGCCTCGTGGTTGCCTGGGCTGGCCATGTATGGTTTCCGGCCTGCGATTGGGGCGAGCTGGTTGTAAAAGGTCTCCAGTATTGCTTGAAATGCGTCTTTTCCGTCCAGCAGATTCTTGGGCTTGTAGAACCAGTCGTCGGCGTAGGCGAAATCGCCGGGATGGATGATGAGCTCGTAATCATCGACTGTGTTCGCTAAACGGCCAATTGTTGTGTGATTGAGAGAGGGGTCGATCTGGGGGATGGTGTCCCTTTTGCTCATATCGCCTTGGATAGTGTAGCCGTCGGCGCCGTAAACTCCCATGTCGATGACAGCATTCATGGAGAAAGGGGTCTTATCTCCTGCTACACGAGGACTGGAGAAGTGCTCTACGCTGGAGTTTGTTGAGACGATCTTGTAATAATACGTAGTCGCCGGGGTTAGTCCAGTAAGCGTGACTGCGTTTGAGTACGTCCTTGAGGTGGGATATGTAGCAGAATCGGTCGAGCATGCTTCAGAGGTAAGAGCATCACTTGAAGTTCCATACTGAACGCAAGCCTGGTCGAGCTTCTGGTATGTATTCCATGCTACAGAAATGGATGAAGGAGGGTCAGTTTAGTGCCAAATGTATAGTTTGATGTGTAATCCTACCATTTGGTCCTTTCACAGCAAGACGCTGTTGCACCGGAGTGGTACGATCCTGAGGTATGGCAGGATAGCTGGCCGCTGCCATTACACAGACCGCTAGAAACGGCAGGGCTTTTACTGAGGTCGGTAAGATGTTCATTGCGAAGATGTTTGTGCAAGAATGAAACGATGGTGATTGCTCCGATCAACGCAAGTGTTGTGGTCTGTAGAAACTTCGCAACGAAGACAGCACTACAGCGTAGAATAAATCTTGCATGACTGGCAAGAAGCTTGTCAACACCGGTCTTTAAACTAGTATACTCGCCTCGTATTCGGCGTAAGTACAGTCCACGTACACTGTAATTCGGTACCTGGTTTGTAACGCGTGGGCTGATGATTGGCCGGGAAAGCAGTCGTCTAAGCTAGCAACAACATGCGGACGCAAGCACAGAATCACACCTACTCAAAAGACGTATCCACGGAAGGACAAGCTTCGCGATCGGCCCGCACATGCTTGCTTGCATGACCTCGGCTGCGTTCCTGGCCAAGGATAGAAGGTCGTCCGGACATTTCCCGCTTTAGCCAATTATCGAGGTGATGTTTGCGCCCGCACCTCGACCACGCTCACAGCTCGTACAGCGCGAGTGGTTCGTCGTCGACCGCCCTAGTCGCTACTGCATTCATTTTATGTGTCGAATTTCCCTGCTGTGCTGCATAAACGTTGCCTCCAAGCGAACGGAGAGGGACTGTGGGACAAAAAGTGCTGGGTATCTATTTGATCTAAGTTAGTATGAAGCTCCGCAATCTTGCAGTGTACTCTCGTAGCTCTCTCGGCCTTCCCTTCCATCCATCCTCAACCAAGCCTTTAGCTCATCAAGGCGAGTGTGCTGCTGCTTCTTCATCGAACCCACTGCATCCCAGATATGCCTTCATATGAATCAATGGCGGACCTTGTGCATTAAGTCCATTTCATAGGCCATATCGCTAGCAGTTCCTATCATGGACGTCATCCATGCCGAGATTGAAGGTTTCTCCGTAACGCCTTCGTCCAACCAGTCTTGCATCTCTTAAACCATGTGAGCCGGCTTTGCAGGTTGCTCATTGTAGTAGTCCGCCGCAGCACCGTGAGCTTGGTACGGAGGCTGGTATGGATTGTGGGTTGGCGCCGGAGTGTGGGCCGGCGAATGGTATGCGGTGTTCTGCTGGTACACAGGAGGAGCATGGTACGGCGATGGAACCCCAGCTGGAGCGTTCGGAGCGGGCATTGCAGGATTATGTGCCGGGGCGTAATGGCCGCGTTTGGCTTGCTGTCGTTGACGGTGGAAGCCGACCGCAGCATATACGAGGAGGGCGAGGAAAGTAAGACTGTATTTTATGAGTATGCCTGATGATGGCCTTGGGTGTGCACAGTGAAACCTACAAGATGAATACGACAAGTCCGATGCCCGTAGCATTCGACTCCTTCTTTGCAATAGAGACAAGGTCCAGCAGCAGCACTGCTGCCCAGAAGGCCGTTTGTACTGAATTCATGATGAGGAAGGAGAGCGGGCTTAGGGAATCGCGCAGGAACATGAGGATTTGGAGGATGTCCATGAGTAGAACGGCAATTATGAGGAGCATGAAGACGACGATAACGCTGTGTGTTGTCAGCGAGGCGTAGCCTTGGGTAGAGCTATGGCGACTCACCCGATTCCTGGAAGGTCGTCGTATCCCTCATCCCTCAACACTTTGAGCGCCCAGGCATAAACACCGATGATAAAGAGCATTAGCACTACCCTGACAGCCCAGAAAGGCAGCAGAATGCGCTTCTTCCAAGCGACGGGTTGCTTTGCCATGTTGACGTCGGGGCGGTAGCGGTGTGTTGAGAAAGTCGCGGGTTCAAGTCGCGACTGGAAGAGTGAATTCGAGGTGGCAACAGATCGGGGCAAGATGGTGGGCAGAAAGAGCAGGTTGCGCTCCGTATATTTTATAAAGACCGACAGGCGGCTAGTGCAGGGGCACAGCGGGCGTGAACGATGGTTGATGAAACAGCGCCCAGCGGGGCCTTGCAGATGCTCAGGATTTCATTTCCAGGGGATGCGCATCTCTTGGCAGCCAACAAATCCCCGAAGACGAGATGGCGATCGTATTTTCCGGGAAAGCACATGTCTGCGCTCAGGATTGGATCATGGAGTGACATCAGACGTAGCGATGCGTGGGTGTTTACCTGACAACGGGCGTGGATGAATCAGCGGTTCGAGGCTGGGCTGGCTAGGGTCCCCGACGAGATGGCGGAAGCGGGCGCGGGGCTGAAGCATTGGCACTGGGCAGGCGCGTCCCGGCCACGCAGATAGCGGGTCCCCGTGTGCACACCCCTGTTCACGCGCGCAGGTCAGTTGCCGATAAGGTCGCAGAGGGGCACCGTGATGGCTGCTTGTCCACCTCACATCGCCGAACCGTCGTCCTTCGTATAGCCCTCGCTCGTGCTGTAAGATTAGAGCCCAATAACAAATACGCGTCCACCATGGGTTCCAATCAGTCGAGACCGTCCGATGCCGCCGTTCAAGAGAAGCTCATAGAGCGGCTGCAAGCTCTCCAGGTCAAGGATGACAGGTCGATGAACGAGAAAGACGGCTATATCTACGTCGACAGCGAAGCCCGTATGCTCCACAGCTTCTGCCGCTCTAAGACTATGTTATGAGAGCTAATCATCTCGAAAGGACCAAATCGGCCCGCTATCGTGGACCACAAGCAAGATGTGTCTGCTGCAGCTATCAGCGAGTGGGAGAAGGAGCTCATGGAAGACCCGAAGGTACGATACACTTTGCGGGAACTATATCGATGCTCGATGCTGATGCCTATGGTAGAACCGTCTCGCTCTAGCAGCCCTCAGCTCCAATCCCGCCAACGCCGTCCTCTCCTCGCGTCAGACGGCCATATCCGATACCCAGAACTTCAACATCAAACTTCCATTGGAAGGCTCTCCAGTCACAAATCAAGCCTCGTCGGGCAGGTGCTGGTTATTCGCTTCCACCAACGTCTTCCGAATCGCGATCATGAAGAAGTATCGGTTGTCCGAGTTCCAGCTATCGCAAGCCTACGTCTTCTACTGGGATAAGATAGAAAAAGCAAACTACTTCCTAGAGAACATCTTGGACACGGTCGGCGAGGAGATCGACAGCCGGCTCATGCAGGCGCTCCTAGAGTCTCCTGTGGGCGATGGCGGTCAGTGGGATATGGTGGCTAACCTGGTCACCAAATATGGGCTAGTACCCCAGACGCTCTATCCTGACTCATTCAACGCGATGAACTCGGGAGTCATGGACCGCCTCATCACGACAAAGCTCAGGGAAGACGCCATCCGGTTACGGTCCCTGGCCTCGAGCGCCATGTCTCCTGGAGCGCTCAAATCTGCTATTGCCGCAGAGAAGGAGAAGATGCTCCGAGAGATCCACCTCATCCTGACCCTTATGCTCGGCCCGCCACCAGCCCCTGACAAAGCATTTACTTGGGAGTACTACGACAAAGACGGCACCCTTTGCACTGTCCGAACGCGACCGACCGCCTTTGCGAAAGAGCTCTCAGATAGCCGGACCGTCCGAGCACTAGGAGGGACAGATGTCCACCGACTCTTCTCCCTTGTCAACGACCCTCGAAACCCCTATAACCGCCTCCTCAGCGTCAAGCGGCTCGGCAACGTCTACGAAGGTCGTCCCGTCACCTATGTAAACGTCGACATGACGATCATGAAGAAGGCCTGTATCGAGATGCTGAAGCGCGGCTTCCCCGTCTTCTTCGGCTCAGATGTCGGCAAGTTCTCTGACTCTTCCAAGGGCATCATGGACACCAATCTGTACGAGTACGAGCTGGGTTTCAACATCAAGCTCGGCATGAAGAAGGCGGAGAGGTTACAAACAGGCGAGAGCCAAATGACGCATGCGATGGTGCTAACAGCCGTACACGTCGTTGATGGAAAGCCCGTCAGGTGGAGAGTGGAGAACTCATGGAGTGATAAGGTGGGCGACAAGGGATACTTCGTGATGTCGGATGCCTGGATGGATGAGTTTGTCTACCAGGCTGTCGTTGACCCTATCGTTGTGAGTGCGACGGTGCGAAAGGTCCTCGAGCAGACGCCCAAGATGCTGGAGCTCTGGGATCCGATGGGAGCTTTGGCGTGAAAGGGGTGACGGGACCATGTCACCAAGGGACGAGAGGTAACACTTCCGCGACGATGGTGTACGGTTCTGGTTTGTTTTGGCTTATACCTCTTTACCCACTTCTCATAGTTTAATGATCACATAAATAACAGATTCAGATACGATTGTTATCGACGTCGGCAAGTGACGATGGACATCACTCTACGACTCGCAAGTATTCGTCGGACACCCGATTCGAGGCGCTGCCGATTTAATGTTCTCGGTTTTCTATCTTTCATTTTCCCATCGCACTCCAACACGCACGCACGTGCCCTTCCTTGAACTATGTAATTGTGGGATGGTACGTCTCTACTGACGTTTGGGCGATGATGATGCCGCTCAACGACTACAGACTTGGGCCTCGTATGCCGACTTCTGGTGAACTGGTCCGGACAGTGACGAGAGACAACAGTGATTACTTGGTCGTGCCACACTTTTTAGCACGAATCCGACGCGCTCTTGCACTCTTTCACCCACCTGGTAGCGTGCGTCCTCCACTTAGCCTGCGTCTCGCGCATTCCATCCATAAACACCTCATACCAAAGTTTAGCCTTACCACAAACCGCGCTCTACCACTTCCCTACCTCCCTCGAACATGCCAGCCCACTCCACCAAACTAGAATTCCACGCAGACGGCCTGGAACTCTACCCCTTCTCCGGGTCCCTCGACTGCGCCATCTGCCACGAGCCGCTTATCGCCCCAGTAAACACCCAGAGCCACACCAAAGCTCAAGCCGACAAGAGCGACTCCCCCACCCCAACCACGAAGGCATGGCCTTCCCGCACGCCACCTACCACACGCACGCTGCCGTCAAGCTCACAGCCTGCGGCCACAGCTTCGGAATCAACTGTCTGTGCCTCTGGCTCTACGACCACAAGACGTGCCCGACGTGTCGGCGGGAGCTGTTTCCAGCGCCCCGTGGCCTGGCGGAGCAGTGCATCGACCGCGAACTAGAGCATTACAATGCTGAGCAAGCTATTTGGGGGGTTACTGCGCTTTTTCGACGCGTGGCGAGGGAGGCGCCTGAGTGCTTTGTGGCGCTGTCGGTGTTTGCGCTGAGGTGTATAGAGGAGAGGATGGAGCGGGAGAGGTTAGGGCGGGAGCGGGAGGGGGTGGTTGGAGACGGGGAGGAGGAGAGTGGGGAGGCGGATGGGGATGAGGATGAAGGGTTGAGTGGTAGTTCTGAGAGTGGTGATGTGGGTGTGGGAGACGAGGATTCGGAGGACAAGGGGCAGGCAGGATGTTACGTCTGAGGACGGACGGGGTTGGAGGACGCTCTCAAGACAGGGCTAGCGACCATGGTCATGATATCGGCCGGCAGACAGCCCCCGCTTCTATAGCGAGACTCAAGCGCAGGCGTCGTAGTTCCAACTCCAGCGAGGCAATGCAGAGCCTAGCCATGGCGCTCGCTGCGGAAAAGCTATTGCATCCATCCACGCCGAGAGTCCAAGGCAGAGATAAGCCCCCAATTGCTAAGTAATTCTCCACAACATTTTTCTCATCGCCGCCCAACACATCCCACGACAACAAGACGCCGTCTCTCCAAGATATACCCATAGAATACCAAATCTCGGCTTCGCTTCGCTTCGGCAACCAGAGCTCCCGAGCGAATCGTAATAAGTCGTTCCTTGTCTCCGCTTTTCGTGGTTCATCCAGTTCATCCACGGCAATTTGTTACTTTTTCGCGCTGGCTGCCGATCGCTGCGAGACAAGATCCCGCTTATCTTGGGGGCTTTTTGGGGCGCTGCTCATCAGCCTTCGACGTCGTGTGGTGGAGCCGTCGGTTCCTGAGGGGATTTGCTTGCTTGTTAGGGAATGTGCCGAGGTTGTGGGGAGGGTTGGATGGTTGGTATCGTGAAATTCGGAGGCGAAGAAGGGTTGAAGACTATGTTAGTTACGTGGAGCGCGATGGCGCGATGGTATCAGCACCTCAAGGCTTGAGATGTTCTCATCGGGGCATCGAGATCCCAGGGTATTCTCCGATCCAGTTCTCGACGCTGCTGCTCCAAAGCTAGCTGCGGAATTAGCATCATATTCCCATGCCATGCTATACGCGTGCAGCACAACGTAAACGCCATCCAGAACCCACAATAACATTGGAAAACTCCCCACCTCAATATCGCATCCATCAAGCAACTCTCATTTCCCCCTCCCAACCTATCCCCTAATATAACATAACCTCCAAACCCAAGCGTAACACCCTCCACCCTCCCGAACTCCCCAATCGCACTCCCCCTCCCTCCCCGCGCCGACGGCATTCATTCGCGATCCATACATGATACGCCTTACGATACGCCTTATCTGATCAGCGCCCCAAAGCCGCCTCTCCCACAGCCTTCCCGCTTTCCTAGCCCACCGCTGATCCGCACCCATATCCCATAGCCGAGTTTCCTCTTCGGGACGCCATGGGCTTGAAACGGCAGACTAGGGCCCGGAAAAGGAAGCGCAGGAGTGCTTGGCGCGCGCTGATCGGGGTATAAGGCGGGAATGGTATGGCTGTGTTTAGACTGGACTGGATGGTTAGTCTAGAGATGACGGACGGACGGGATGCGTAGGATGGCGGATAGGAGAGCGGGCGGGTGGAGTGGAGTGGGTGAGGTGTGTGGATTGGAGAGGATGGGGAGACAGAGGGAGGGAGGTCGATCGGAATGTTAGGGAGTGGGATAGTTTGGTGGAGGGAGTCTTGGGAGCGTGGGAAGAGAGGGAGAAGGGGGTTCGAGATATCGTCATTCTGTCGTCTTATAGCTATGGAGGAGTAGGTATAAAGGACAGGACGACCTTCTGTCTTCATCATCCAGCATCCAGCAACCACAATCACTCTAGCTTCTTCTCCTTCCTCCGTACGCCCTTTAATACCCACTCCACCTTCCAGGCCGTCGTTCAAATCCAGCCCAGCCATCAGAATGCAGTTCACTCTCGCCCTCACTTCTCTCCTCTCCCTCACCTCCGCTGTCGCCATCATGGAGCGCTCCCCGGCCAAGCTCTCCGGCCGCTCAGCCGGCAAGCTGGTCGCGCGCGCCGGCGTGTGCGGGCCTCTGCAGACGCCTCTGTGCTGCCAGCTCGACGTTGATGGAGTTGCGAACTTGAACTGCGAGAACGGTACGTTCCCGTCTACTTTCCTCCGCTGCTGTGCTCTCCTCCGCTCCTATCGTTCCTGAACGTAGACATGAACATGAATTGAACTGAGCTGACGATGGTGCGAAATAGCCGGCGACGTCTCCACGACCGAGGAGTTTGAGGCTACCTGCGCCGAGACCGGGCTCACGGCTGAGTGCTGCGTCCTGCCTGTTGGCGCGGATGGTCTGCTTTGCACTGCTGCTTGAGCGACTGGTTACGCGGCTACATACCAACCACTGTATCATACGAGGCTTGCATTGGAAGGGGGATTCATACATTGAGGTGTTGACGATGGGGATTTGGCATTCAATATCCGAATGGAGCTGTATATTCTTCAGGACTGTAATTGTTTCTTTTGTTCTTTCTTGGGGACGGGTCATTGGAGGGATATCATACTTAATAATGTTCAATGTTGATTCGCGAGCGTGGTGGATACATTCATGTTTCCTGTCGAACTTAAATGTGGCAGTGAGGCGGCTCGACGAGCAATGGCTCATGCCTCGTCATCTTTTTTTTTTACTCGATGCGAACTGCGTAAGTCTCATAACACATCAATAATACATTGCGCCCTCGCTTATGAGAAGTTCAAAATATGCCCACCATGCAAATTCGGGCCGAACCCTCGGTATACTGTTGGTTAGAATACTTCTCTCAACCAAGATATACCCGTATCATGACGCTTGACCGATAGAGCCTTCTTTTTCGACCACAATTTGGGGCCTACTCAAACTCCAAGCTATCCCGCACGCACTTCCGCACGCGTTTCTTGAACTCGGCGGGGTTGTCGCGCCACATTGACGCTGCCTCGACATTTGCCGGTGACTCGTCGTTCGGGCTGCTGAGCATGGAGATGACGGAGAGGAGGATGGTCTCGGGGGTCTGAACGGGTGACCAGCGCTCGGCTGCTGATTCGTAGCCGTACTTGTCTTCTTCGGGCGGGTGGAGGATCGAGATGCAGACTTCGCCGTTGGCATAGACTGTATTCTACTTAGCACCTGGACTGCATGTGTGATGGATGCCGAACATACTGTTAGGGTGGAAGATGGGCGTCTCGAAGCGCATCTTCGGAGGCATTAGCGGGTAGTCGGTCGGGAATGTGAGACGTGCGCGGAAGAAGCCGCCTGTGAGCACAATTAGCCACTAAAAGTGTCTTAGAGGAGTGCTCCAAACGCACCGCCATAGAACTTGGTGTCATCGTTGATCATCAGCATGACCTCCCACTCGAATACATTGTTGTCCACCAGCCCACACGATATTCCTGGTATGTCCTTGTCGTTCTGCATCTGCTTGAGCTGGCGGGCCAGCAGGCCGGCGGCGGCTGATGATGAGGCCATAGCGGTAGTCGGTAGGAGATGTCTATGAGGGTGTTCCGCAGTAGAGATCAGGTACGTATATCCACCGGTAGTTGCGGTTGTGTGGAAGGGTAAGGCGGTCGGAGAAGTAAGGGGGCCAGCCTGAAGGCTTATACAGTCGCTGATCTGTCAGTGCGCGGAGAAGCTCGGCGTGATTGTTCTACAAATTGTGAATAAGGTGCTCGATCCCCCAAGACTTGCGCTTCCGTGAAAGCGGAGGGCAAGTGGTGACTCGGTGGGGTAGAATATGGATAGAGTAGGAGTAATTGACTGGACGATGCCTCGGTGACTGTCGACTTCCAAAAAGTGAGTCCGGACGCGTGATCCAAAAAGCAGAGGCAGCAAAAAGAGGCTTGGTGATGCGTTGTGTGGCAGAAGCAAGTATCCAAAGTCGTGGGTAGGTGCCGCAAGTGGCGGCGGGCCGCCAAGATGGCCCGTTCTTAGGCTGGGGTCTGGATCGGAGCTTATTCTTCCTTGCGTTTTCATTTGCTTGAGCCTCGCGATCTCTCTTCATCTCACCTAACCTTTGTACTGTCATCCTGGAATCGCCCAAGCGCTCTCCATTCACGTGCTTACACGTCTCGTCGTGTCATCATACGTGCGCGGTCTTATGCTCGGCAGCCGCCCTTCGCATGACTGGCATTGATGCCTTTTCCAGCACCGAAAAGAAGAGATAGAACGCGGATCATTAGTGCGATGCCCGGGGCGGTGGACCGAAAGACTATACACCGGTAACATTATATTTAAAAGGCCGCCCTTCTTCCTCACGGCTCAATGTCACATGTCCGATGGCATTCATGACCTGGGCATCGAGTTCAGCATCCGGAGAGACAACATTGGCATCAGACCTTGTGGAACGCAGAAGAGGGAAAGAGGGAGATGGTGACGGGTCGTCAGACTCCAGGGCCGGAGCCGCGACGATGTCCGCCTCGTACATTTTCTCGGCTGGGATACAGACATCACAGCCCTGAGCTCTGCATCTTTGCCGTTGTATCTCGCACGATTCCAGACGGGTCGCCCACGGGGCAACATGCATTCGGCTCGGACTTAAAAGAGGTATACGTAGTAGGAAGAACCGAGTACCAATGAAGCGCATCGGTCGTGGCCACAGCTGGAAAGTGATGAGGGATGTTTTTAGAGAATCGTCGTTCATGAGGTTCGACTTTCGACAAGCGCCTCTCGACGGAAACGTTTCAGCGATCTCGGACTGTAGGCATCCTGTTGACCGTATATCCTTGCTTTTTTGCGGTCCTCCGTTTCTCACGAACAATTTTGGGGACTGGTTACTGTAAAGGGCAAAGCAAGTAGCGATTGTTACGGGATGATAAAACTCAGGCCCGCTGCCGCCGCTGGTACGTATTTCTACGGCTATCGCGATGCTACGGGTACATGAGTCTCCAGAGGCTCGAGAGTTGCATGCACCTACAGACGAGGCTGGAGTCTAGAACCGGTTGCGAGCATGGGCAAGAGCGCTGGCATCTGCATGCACGGCAGAGAGGTCCCAATCGCACACCGACACACTCATCGCACTGTGTGGTGGGCGCTGTGACTAATCAGCTTTCCGATTACTTTGCAGAGATCGCCCCCTCTCCAGCAGCCTGCAGCACGAAGGCGCTCCTTCGCTGCCCCCGCCCCCAGCATGAACCCTCATCGGCATTCGACACGAAGGCTACCCGACATCCGAGAGGCGTACGGAGTGCCTCAACGCTTACCCTTTTTGCTTTTTCCCGCACTGTGCCCAGCCGCTCGGATCGGTGGCGCTCTTCATCTGGTGAGTAAGCAACGCTATCATGGATTTCTGGCCGAGCTACCACGTCTTTGGAGACGCATGGTGTCATTTCACCGAATACTGCCACCGCTCCTTGGAGGGCCTCGCGCGAAGCTGAGCGGCCTTCAATTAAAGGATTTGTCAGATTGTATCCCATAGTAGTCTGGTTGAACAGCTGAACTCTTCTCTCTTGGCAAGCGACACCCATGTCCCCTTCAAACACCCACGCACACCTCGCTTCGCCAGGCTAAGCTTTTCCCACAACCCAAACCCCAAGCGGGAAACGCTCATCGTGGCCTCTCAGACAAGGGCAGGGCTGGATTTCGCGGGACGCCAGGGTTCGCAGGACTACTTTTCCTCCTTTCGCGATTGAACTGTCATGTCAGCCATGAAAGGAGATGCTTGTCTAGCCGTGCAGGGGTTGACAGCTGCTAGCAGGCCATCCGCATGTGGGAACCAGGCGAGCCTTAATAATGATGGGTGCCCGCCACTTCTGGAATTGGTCGAGCAACTCAGCTTCGCTGCAGAAGACTGTCATCAACCCCTCCACGGGCAAGCAACGGTTACGATGTTTTGAGAACATGGCTGCCTCAACGCATTGGATACCGTACCGTGCGGTCTCTCCACCAGTTCTTCTGGCCCTTCTCCTCGTATGGATATCGACATTAGCCAAGGCGCAGCAGACTCCGAGTTTTGAATTGAACCCTGTAACTGGGTTCTGTTCAAGGTGGTGGTCGCAATGTACGCCCTAGAATGTTGTCCAGGTTGTGACTTGGCTCACCATCTCCATCAGCGATCGTCAAGGATGACATTTTGTTCATTGATAGCGGCGTCCAGAAATGGAACGTATCGCCCGCATACGACGTCTTTTTCGGAATTAGTGCGTCCAATCTCGAATATCTGGGCATTGGCTAATATCCCTAGATAACTATTTACTGATGATCTCGTTGACAGAGACATGGGACTGGAAGAAGCAGCCAAACGAGTCGCAGTACCTGGACGTCCAAGCCCTGCCCAAGAACGAGAGCAATCCGGCCACTGGAAACCTTCCGGTCAGCTACATGCGTGGTTATATGTTCCATGGCCCTGCAAATACGACTAATATATATCGGTATGGTGGGACGAGATACATGGGTAACCAATCCTTCCTCGGATACACGTCGCCGGAAAGCTCTACTTATCCAGTGTGGTCGTATTCGTACAACTCAACGGACTATCCTTGGGCCCAATACAATATTGGGCAACCTTGGATGCCAAATCATGGTGCCGGTGCGGAGGCCATCGACCAAGGGCTGGGCTTCTACTTGAACGGACAGATCGACAAGGGCACTTCAAGCAAAACTTTGAATATGGGGTTTGATGATGGTCAGTCCCTTTACATTCCACTGGAAGGAATGTTGATCATCAACCTGGTGGACTTCTCGTCGGCAAATTTGTCGACATCGAGTATGAATGGAAACGCCCCTAGAGTTGGAGGGACGATGGAATATATCGCGCCGGTCGGAGAAGCGGGCGTGCTTGTTGCGCTTGGCGGACAGATACAGCCAAATCTTCGCATTGACGAAAAGGCAAATAGAACACAGGGAGAACTCGTGAGTACACTCCCTCTCCATTCGTAGTAACCCAGATGCGCCTCACGAAGCTTGCGAGGTTGAAGTGGACGTCATCTGCGCCCGCCCTTTCTTCGGGAATGCTGATAAACGTCCAGATCGATTTCGAGTCCGTGGATGTGTTCGATATCAAGTCGTACCTCGACGACCCTACTAGTAACGGAACATGGTATCAACAGAATACTACAGGGGATATTCCCTCTCCGCGAATCGACTTCTGCACTGTCTCCATTTCAGCCCCCGACAACTCTAGCCATCACATCTATTTATACGGCGGCTACGATCCAATAACCAACTCATCCTACGACGACGTCGTGGTCCTCACAATGCCGTCATTCGAGTGGACCACTGTCTGGCCGCAAGGGGAAAGCCCGCGCTATGGACACACCTGCCACGTCGCGGGTAAACGACAGATGATTACGGTCGGAGGTAATGTGACTAACCGCGCCGGCTGCGACTGGGAAAGGAAAGGCGTCGCTGTTCTGGACATGACAACCATCGGCTGGGGTAGCGTTTTCCGATCAAATGTTTCGGATTTTCAGGTCCCGCAGAAGGTTCTTGGTGCTACAAGAGGAACAGCCGACGGCAGCGCTACTATCAGTGAGCCAGTTACTGGGTGGTCGGATCAGGCGCTACGGGACGTTTTCTGGACGTCAAGATGGACCGTCCCTTCAACCTGGACGTCCTCCTCATCGAAGTCAAAGACAAACGTTGGCGCTATCGCAGGCGGCGTAGTGGGCGGCGTCGTAGGCCTCGTCCTGATCGGACTGGCGCTCTTCTTCTGGAATCGCAAGCGCAGGAAAGCACGCGCCCCTGCCGAGCTCTCTGGCGACGAAGTCCAGCGCGAACTCGACGACGAGAAGAAAAAATACGAGCTCCAGGGCGTGAATGAAAATGACCCTGCGGAGCTCCCTAGCCCAGACCCAGTAGAATTGAACGCGCCGAGGGAGTTCGTCGAAGCGGATCGTGACACCGCGACGAACGCGGCCGAGTTGCCGGGCACGAATGTGGCTGCGGGCGGTGTGCATGGGGTCCCGATTGTGAGGACGCCCGGGGATGACTTGCCTGAGCCGCCGGTGTATACGACGGGGCTGAGACGGCGTGGTTCTGCGGGGAGTGGTGGGTCGTCCGGAAGAGGTGCACAAGAGACGCAGCATGAGACAAGGCAGGAATACTTTCCAACGCCGGGAGAAGAGCTTCCAAAGGAGACGGAGGAGGAGAAGAACGAGGAGCACTTCCAGACGCTGGCGGAGGAAGTACCCACGAAGCCGCCTGATGGGGAGACTCCAGACACCGAGCACAAGGACGGTGCAACGAAAGATGTGCGCGAAAGGGATCCTCGATGAGACTCTGGATTTATTTCACGCAAAAACGAACGTACCTCGCTTCCTCATCTAGCAGCGTCAACTATGAGCTCTTGAGGCCGCGCCGCGTGCGCCTACAGAGACGACTCGTACCCGCCAGGCCTCCTCGCACCGCCATGAATCTCATTGTCTACATTTCCGGTCTTTTATCAGGAGGTATCTGGATCGACTTGGCCACGACAGGCCCGATCAAGGGCGTTAGCATTGGGGCGGGAAATATCTGACCTGCGATTTCGCTATATACCCGTCTGCAACGCGTTTCCATACATGAAATACGAAATGAACAGGAAGCAATGAACACATAGTTGGTTTCGATCGATGTTGACTCTCTTCCGTGAGGTACCGCTACATGCGACCTATCTACCAGCATCCGTCCATGCTTGGAGAGGGGTGAAATCTAACTAACTATATACCACATCATGCCGCCCGAGCCCACTATCCGAACCCTTGTCCCAGAATATGCACCAGAAGCGTAGACAACCAGAGCGCCCTTGCGTCGTGAACATAAGAGAAGTGGTATATATACCGAAGAGTCGCCCGCACCAAATACGATCTGTGTCGAAGAAGTAGAAGAAGTAGAGACTATAACATATCGGTACGAAAAAATTTCATCCGAAGACCTTCAAGAAGCCCCAGAGTCCTACACCGCACAGAGCGGGGATGGTAAGGTTGTCGTCCCAGCCGAAAAGATCAATGGCCTCGCTGGCGCTGGCGACAATGCCTGCCCAGAGAGACATGGCACCCAGAGCAAAATAGCCAGTGATGGAGCTTTGAGCGACGGATAAGCCCAAGGCCTCGCGAGCCCGAGCCGGAAGACCAAGCGCGCCCTGGTACGCAAACGCGTTCTCGCCCGTGTGATACTCGGACATGAGAGGGCCGAGCCAGCCCCAGAACAACGCAGCAGTAATGATACCGGTCACACAGGCTGCGATGGACCCAGCAAGGGACTTGCCCTTTCGTACGCGCCATGTGCGGTGGCCCCAGAGGCGGCCGAAAGTCGAGGCTGCCGTGTCGCACCAGCTCAGCAGCAGGACGCTCATGACGCCGATGTCCTTGGGGAAGAAGCGGAGCACGATCCATGTGCCGAGGAGGTAGGAGATGACGCCGTTCCACCCATCGACTTCGGATTCCCGCATGAGTGCGCCGAGGCAGCGGATGTAGAAGCGGTTCACCTGCCAGTATCTGTGGCGGATGACGTCGGTCGCGGCGATGGGGATGAGCAATGTGAGGAGGACGGGGTGTATCTGATCCGCTTGTCGCCCTGTGCAGTAGAGTGCGATTGTGAGGAAGCCGATGGAGACGTGTAGGATCTTGCGGGGGATTTCGTGTCGGTGGATCTGTGCTGCGTCAGCCCCGCTGTCACATTTCAAGATCAGTCGTCAACCTACAAATGACCGCCACTTCTGATGTATAGGGATTAAACCGAGCGGGCTCGGACTCCTGCTCATCTCCCGCCAGTAATTCTTATTCGCAGCCGCGGGCGACAAATGGCCATTCGCCGTCCCATTCGGCAGCGTGAGCTCCGCCTTCTTGCTCTTTCCGTTCATCTGCCTCTTCGCCGTCAGCCCGCTCATCCGTCTCCTCCTCCCCTCCAGAATGGGACTCCGGCTCCTAGCCCGCGCCCTCTTCTCTGGATCCGAGCCTGACGAGTCCTCGTCGATGGGCGGCGGCGACTGCAGGCGCTGTCTGCGCGCCGCAGACCGCGTTACCGGTCCAAAATACCCATCTTCGCTCCTCGTCTCAGAGGGTGTCGGCGACGGTGATATAACGCGCGGGGTATGCGGGATCTGGTACTGGCGCGAGGACGCCATGGCTTTCTGCCAGCAGAGGGGAAACGAGGGGAGCGGAGAGCGGCGGATGAGCCCGGTGAGCGACAGACGGGCGTGCGCGCAGAAATATGCGCCGTAGTCGAGCAGCGAGGGACGATACAGCCGTTGTGGGTGCGGCTGGGTGCTGTGCGTGGAGGGCTGAGCGTCTACAGTCGTTGTGGCTTCGACGGCATCCGCGTCAGGTGTAATGCACACGACTACCGGCGCCAGAGTTGGAGCGGGTTCGTCCGGTCGCGGCGCATCGTCTGCGGAGGAGCGGTCAGGAGAGGAGACTGCCACTGTGAGGAGCGAGCCGGCAGCCGGGAGTGCGGTTTCGTGGGAAGAGACAGAGAGAGAGAGACAGGGGCGGGCTCGTCGGCAGGAAATGTGATGGTGCTGCGCCGGGAATTTTTGCAGGCGTCAACTTTCAGGGCTGGCCTCACCGAGCGCGCATGGTGACTGGGGTGTCCCCATCCGGCTTGGCAGATGAGATCACTGCCCGTCTCGATTTCAGGAGACGGAGAGGGAACTCTGGCTTTGGATTGATAGAGAATTGCTACCGTGTCCTTTCCTCCTTGGTCCGATCGAGATGCATTGTGCTGTCCTTTGGAGCCTCCCTGCCGTGAACGAGGCGAGGGCCACGTGCTCACTGTTGACGCCGGGAGGTGCGGATCTTGGGGGGAAGCTTGTGATTGACCTGCACCGCCACGCTGCGCCACATCATCAATTTTCTGTCGGAGCTAAAGTTTTGCCGCTCATCGGGAACACCACGCCTCAGTATCGTCCGACACGTGAAGAAGAGGGTTACAACTTTGAGATTTGAAAGAGCAGGGATAGAATCGAGACTTGGGACGCCAGAATGGCTCCGCAGACACAGACAGAGCGACAATGGAGCGCTCTCACGCCTCCGCTTTCAGAGTGGCTGTTAGATGCCATATCCGCGATGGGATTCGCAGCGGCTACCCCCGTCCAGAAAGCCGCTATACCAATGTTCCTGGGCAATAAGGACGTAGTCGTGGAGGCTGTTACCGGTTCGGGGAAAACTTTAGCGTACGTCTTCACTTGAGCTGCGGGATATGATCTAATCTGCTGTAGGTTTTTAATACCCATTGTTGAACGCCTACTTCGGCTAGATGGCCCTATCAAGAAGCATCATGTTGGTGCCATTATTATATCCCCCACGCGAGAGCTCGCAACTCAGATCTACACTGTCCTGCTTTCTTTGCTCAAGTTTCATGCTCCTTCAGCTTCTGTCATGAAGGCTGCGGACGACGGGGATGCCGATATGACGGAGGCCGACGCACCTCCTCCGCCGAGCTTTCCACCTTCCACCCTCAAAGTCGTACCCCAATTACTCCTGGGTGGAACTGTTACCCCGGCTCAAGACCTCAGCGCCTTTCTCAAGAACTCGCCTAACGTGCTTATCGGGACGCCTGGCCGGCTTCTTGAGCTACTGTCTTCCCCGCATGTTCATTGTCCTCAGTCGTCATTTGACGCGCTGGTACTGGATGAAGCGGACCGTCTACTAGATCTGGGTTTCAAGGACGATCTTCAGAAGATTCTCTCAAGGCTCCCTAAGCAGCGCCGTACAGGTCTTTTCAGCGCAAGTGTGAGCGAGGCGGTAGACCAGCTCATCCGGGTTGGCCTGCGCAATCCCGTTCGCATTGCTGTCAGAGTCAAGGCACGAGCTAGGCAAGCCGGAAAAGCGGGCGAAGAAGGCAAGATTGAAGACAAGCGAACACCGGCCAGTCTTCAAATGTCTTATTTGACCATGCCTCCCTCACACAAGCTGCCAGCTATAAAAGAACTACTCTTATCCCTACAACCGCAACCGCAAAAGGTCATTCTGTATTTGGCGACATGCTACTCTGTCGACTACTTCCAGCACGTCCTTCCCGAGATCTTGGAAGGATATACTGTCGTTCCACTTCATGGAAAGCATCCAGATAAAGTTCGACGGAAAAATTTCACTAAATTCGTTGAAGGCATGGCGCCCTCCGTTCTTCTTACTACAGACGTAGCGGCCCGAGGCCTGGATATTCCTACCGTTGACCTTGTACTGCAGCTGGACCCTCCAAGCGACCCAAAGACCTTTATTCATCGTTGTGGCCGGGCAGGGCGAGCTGGCCGCAAGGGCTTGGCTGTGACATTCCTTACGCCAGGCCCCGAGGAGGATTATATCGAGTTCCTTCGCGTCCGACAGACTCCCATATCGTCTCTTACATCTCCAAACATTCGCATCACATCCGAAGATGCAGAAGCAGTCACGGAGAAGATCAGAGACGTGGTCAAAACTGACAGAGCACTCTACGAAAAAGCGCAGCGTGGATTCGTTTCATGGGTCCGAGCATACAGTAAACACACTGCAAGTTCGATTTTCCGCGTCAATGACCTGCAATGGGAAGATCTGGGTCATGCATGGGGTCTCCTAAAACTCCCAAGCATGCCAGAGCTGAAGAAGTGGGATGGCGACCGCAAGCTGGGATTAGAGTTGGACTTCACCACATACGCATACAAGGACAAGCAGCGCGAGAAACAGCGGCAAGCGGAACTGAACGGCGACGGGTCGGGTAAAGAGGATAGGAAGCATGTGAAGCCCGGACAGGATACAGCGTGGACTCAGAAGAAGGAGCAACGCGCCACAAAAGAGGTGCGGCGCGAGAAGAAGAAGGCTAAGCGTGAGCATGAGCGTGTGTCTAAACTGACGGACGCGGAGAAGCAGAAGGAAGCGGAACTCCAACGAATGATCGAGCAGGTGAGGAAGAAGGTCGTGGAAGAGGAAGGGGAGGAGGAGTTCGAAGGGTTCAGCGATTGAGGAACATCTCCGCAGATCGCCAAAAGGAATAACATGCTAGAATTTGAGGAACTTCAGCCATTGGTTACCAACCCTATGAGGACCCGCCCAGCTGCGCGTGAAGAAGAGAAAGCAAGATGCTGCAGTATTTGCGTTGGCCGAGCTAGACAGTGTCTTACCCGAGGTGTGAGTGTGCACGACACAGCCCCACCAGTAAGCGCGCCAACCTCCTGCATCCCACCTTCCCGCGCATGTCATCATCACGCGCTTGCCAATCAGTAACCCATGACTTTCCTAACCCGCTTAGCCGAGCCTCAACCTTGACTTGATCATCTCCAGCGATGTTCATATTTAGTCCTGGAGTCTCTCTGCTGGGCTGGAACCGATAGCACTCGCCCTGCTTGCGGGGACCGGGCAAGGCAGACGAGTCTGGGCTGTAAGGAGTGAAATGCACACGAAATCCCCTCGCTTTCCGACCTTCTAACAATATCTCACAGGCAACAGTCCTACTTTTCTCCCTCAGCGGACCGACAATTTCTGCGTACTGATTATACTCGTTAGCAAACATCCTAAGCTCGGTGCGGAACAATACAACTACAAGGGCGCCTCTACGAGGTTCTGGATTTCATCAAAAGTCAAAATGTCCGCGGAAGCGATTCTGAATTTCAACCTGGTGTGCTGTGCACTTGGAGGCTTCGTCACACTCTTTGGTCTTGTGTCTTATCTGCTTAAGGAAGGATTTTACGTGACAGAACCACGTGAGTCAATCCTACACCAGCTCTGCGATCATACTGATTTCATTCATGTAGTCGTTTCCCTAACTGCCGGAGCGTTTCTTTCACCCTATGGTCTTAACCTAATACGCCCGCTCGAATATGCTGGCTCCCAGGAGGCTATCGATACCATCACCCTCTGCTTTACGCGGCTAGTACTAGGCGTCCAGCTAGTGATAGCAGGAGTCCAGCTACCCCACAAATACCTGAAGACAGAATGGCGGAGTCTCGCGATCCTGCTTGGGCCTGGGATGATGACCATGTGGATTGTTACGAGCCTCTTGGTATGGAAACTAGTTCCGGGCCTAACTTTGGTGCAAGGCCTCATTGTCGGCGCTTGCGTAACCCCGACTGACCCTGTGTTGTCGAACTCGATCGTGAAGGGCAAGTTTGCAGATAAGCACATCTCAACGCCATTACAGAGGATCATCCTCGCGGAATCGGGTGCCAATGACGGGCTTGGATATCTTTTTCTCTTTCTCCCTCTATACATAGTCGGGTTCTCAGGGTCCGACGGTGGCACAGAGAAAGCGGTCACTTCTTGGTTAGGCGATACTTGCTTCTACACAGTCTTCCTTAGCGTCGTCTATGGCGCTGTGGCAGGTTGGGCGGCAAAGGAGGCCCTCTTTTGGGCCGAAAGGAGAAGGCTTGTGGATAAGGAAAGCTTTCATTTGTTTGTCGTTGCTCTAGCGGTATGTTAATCACAGTCACGGCTGCGGCAGGCGCTAACTCAACGCGCCTCAACAGCTATTCATCATAGGCACGGTAGGACTGATTGATGCTGACGATGTCCTGGCTTGCTTCATTGCTGGGAACACCTTCACATGGGAGTGAGTAATCCCCTCCAAATGCAAAGACCCTGACTAATGTTATTACTCAGCGATTGGTTCCGCCAGCAGACGGAAGACGACTCTCTTCAGCCCATCATGGACCTGCTCCTCAATGTGGCGGTATTCATGTGGGCCGGCGCCGTGTGCCCCTGGGAGACGTTCCTGTCAAACGACATCATTCCCGTCCACCGACTAGTACTTCTTGGTATCCTTGTACTCCTCCTCCGTCGTCTGCCAATGGTATTCGCCTTGCGAAAGCAAATCCACCAGATCCATACTACACGCCATGCCCTCCTCACCGGCTTTTTCGGCCCCATCGGTATCAGCGCAATATTCTACTTATACGTGACGTTGGACTTTCTGCGCGATGTGCAAGTCCGCGATCCTGGACGGGGAGACTGCGAGAAGCTGGCGGAAGTGACACTGGTTACAGTGTGGTGGCTAGTCATAACTAGCGTCGTAAGTAACTTTGCCTCACTAGGTGGAATCGGGTCTGACTGCGTACCTTAGATTGTACATGGACTTAGCATTCCCCTCGCTAATCTCGCACTCTATCTCAAACAGTTCTTGCGCTCGGCGAGGCGATGGGGCTTTAAGAAGGAGGAGTCGCCTCGCGGAAGTGAAGAAGCCGGTCGGGGCAGCCACGATCCAGAGCGTTGGCCGCTACTCGCTGAGCGCTCGGAAAGCGCGTGTTGAACATGAGATGCTGTCTCTGATACCAGCTGGGGATGAAGCGCTCAATAACCCCAAGCTCGTATGTATGGGTGCAAGACGACCAGGTTGTACCGCGAAATGTGCCGCACGCCTCGGCGGAGCTCATACCTCAATGCCACCACGCTGGAAATACGTTGCCCTGCAGACAGGACAGTCGTGTCGATCGATGAGAAACCAAGAAGTCAGACAAGATCTGTGGAAGACATGCTTGCAGACTCTCAGCACTACGGCGTCCACTTCCCCGGTCGTCACTCGTTCATCGGAGCAAAGATAGAGATGCCGCCCAGCTTTCTTCCATCTGCCGGATGTTTCAGGAGGAGCAAATGGTGACAAGCATATTGCGCTTCCATATGTCAGTATTTTAGCTGCTGTGCGAAATCCACTCGAAGCTCTGAGCCAGGAACTAGAAAACTGGGGATGGGCGCGCACCAGGCTGTCGTATTGCCGCAGCCAATCTTCTTTTCCACTGCCTGTGCTAATTCTTTGGCGGCTGCTTGCCTCTGCCTTGGCAAAGCTTGGAGAGCTGTGGTTCTTCTCTTGCGCATCAAGTTGAGGTATATACTAGTCGCCCCTTGGTCAGCCGATAGTACCCACGCAGTGGCGGAGAGTGGACACGCTCACACAGGCGCGATAACGGTAAGGCAGATAAAAATGACTATCCCGGCGATGGCGCCGGCGCCGAGACCTGAGTGGCAATGCCTGTTGCATTCGGATGGATTTGTGCGCATTCTGATTGAAAGGTGCGACTTGTAAGGGGACAGCGAGATGCGGAGCAGTGAGAGGACTAACAGGTCTAACTTATGGAAAATAGCGCTGCTCTTATTCCTCTGCGGGTTTTTTGACACCACTTCTATAGAGGGGAGGTTCCCTTCCCTCTTCCCGACAGTGCATTGCGGAGGCCGTCAGCATAACATCCCCATACCATGCAGTTGAGGGATATATGCACCCTCGGCCCGTATTAGCCTGCTATCACGAGCACTCGGTACGGCGCAGACCGACAGGCTCGGGAACCACCACCAGACTGGTTCGCTAAAGCGGGAGGCACTGATCAACCCCGCCGTCTTGCAACATCACCAATCGCAGCTTCACGTGCTCAACCTCAGGGAAGCGGGATACCAAAACAGGGTCGACATACATGCAGGCTTGGCATTCACATTCCTTTCATCTCCTCCAGGATATCAAAAATCCCTCATGATGGCGGTGGCGCAGCAAAGGTCAAACGATTATGACCTTTGTCCCCCGCCCAAGCTATCAGCGGCCCTCATCAACAGAAGAAGCCGACACAACCGAAGGTCCAGAAACAGGTCTGCAAGAATAATCTGCGAACAACCCTAGCATTTTGTGGCATCCAAGGAACGGGCTAGCAGCCATGTGGACACCGCCATTGAACTTCATCAGCCTGCACTGTGAGTCGCAATATGGATTGTGGTTTCGTGCCCAGGACTCCCTCACCCTAACGCGAATATGCAGATGCGTACATTCTGAGCTTGGGCCTCTTAGGCCTGATCATCATGTACCCGTACGGCAACTTGCGTGCTGTCGATGCCTACTTCTTCGGTGTCAGCGCTTCCACTGAGTCGGGACTGAACACGTACGTGCCCCATGAACGTATTAGCAATTGCCAGCATCTCCTGCTAACAGTTCGCAGGGTTGATGTCAAGGACCTGGAGACGTACCAGCAACTCTTCATCTACTTCATTCCCATCATCGCAAACCTGGGCTTCATCAACATCATTGTTGTTGTCGTCCGGCTCCACTGGTTTGAGAGGAGACTGAAACGTATTGGCGAGTACCCACACTATTCGACTTCCATATAATAGTTTCCATAGCACTAATGCCGTGCAGCTCCGACGCTACTCAGAGGAGACCCTAATAGAGGGGAGAACTCTGACCGAGAAAAGGACCCCGAGGCAGTGACGCATGAAGCGCACGACAAGAACCCGACTTCAGTTTACGCAGCTGGCCTTGGAAGTGCAAACACTACCCAGAGCATCGACCAAACGAGCGATTCTGTTGGGGATCAGAACCGGTTCGTCCACCCCCCTACCAGAACCTCACTCTGATTGATATAGTACTACCGCTAGTGTTGATAATGCGGCTCAAGTTGCGGCAGACACAAAGGGTAACAATGAAGTTGCGCCCTCCCACGTCGCATTCGCGCTAGAGCGCCACCCTCGTCATGAATCTAAATCGCTGTATGTTCCATCGCCTAGGGAACGCGAGCAAGGTACATGGTGTGCCAGAATACACGAAGAGAAAGGGTCTGACAGACTCCAGGTCACCCAGTCGTTGAGCTTGACGAAGTGAGGAGCGACGATGGTACGCCGATATCCTCTACCTGGATCATGCTCGGACTAATATCTGTGCTCTATTCAGAAGACGAGATCGTCAAGGCCACCAACGCGGAGGTTGAACACGGCGGAGCAGTACGTAGGCGCAAACCGGATGGACTGAGCATCGTCGAAGCCACATCTATCGAGCGCGTCGCCTCGTCGGTGTTCGTCCTCGGTGCTACCCCTAGTCATGAGAGGCCACGGTCTCAATCGCGGTCCTCACAGCAACGGCATCCGGATATGCCGTACCTCTCTTCCCAGGCTACTATCGGCAGGAACTCGCAATTCACAAATCTGACCGCACATGATCGAGAGAAGCTTGGTGGCATTGAGTATCGCAGCTTGAAGTTGCTGCTCAAAATTGTGCTTGGTAAGTAGTTTCACATTTGGGGACATTTGCATTGGCCTGACGGGACTAGCCTACTTCTTCGGTCTTCATCTATTCGGCGCCATTTGTCTTGTCGGATGGATTCAGAATGCTAATCCCAAGTACCTGGACTACCTCAAGGAGTGCGGGCAGGATAAGAACTGGTGGTAAGTCTCCTTTCCTCATCATTGCATGCCTTTCTATCGCAGAAACCCGCTAATTCTCTCATCCAGGGCCTTCTACTCCGCCCAAACCATGGTGGACAATCTCGGTTTCACCCTAACTCCGGACTCTATGATCACCTTCCAAGACGCCACCTTCCCCATGCTAGTCATGTCCTTCCTGGCCTACGCCGGCAACACATGCTACCCATGCCTGCTGCGCTTTGTCATCTGGGCCATGTCGAAACTCGTGCCCAAGAACTCGTCTCTCAAAGAGCCGCTCGACTTCCTGCTCAAGCACCCGCGCCGCTGCTACACGCTGCTCTTTCCCAGCCATCCGACGTGGATCCTCTTCGGCATCCTCTTCGCTCTCAACTTCGTCGACGTCCTGCTCATCGTCGTTCTAGACTTGCACAACCCCGCCGTCAATAATCTCCCCGGAGGCCCACGCGTCCTCGCCGCCATCTTCCAGGCAGCGTCATCTAGGCACACCGGTACCTCGACGTTCAACCTTGCGGATGTGAACCCGGCCGTCCAATTCAGCTTGCTTGTCATGATGTACATCTCCGTGTACCCCATCGCTATCGCGGTCCGCGCCTCGAACACCTACGAGGAGAAGGCTCTGGGCGTGTATCTGCCCGACGTAGACTACGACGAGAACAAAGGCACGTCGTACGTCCTGCGCCATATGCAGAACCAGCTCAGCTTCGACTTGTGGTATATTTTCCTCGGCATCTTCTGCATTTGCGTCGCAGAAGCGGACAAGATTGTCGACAACTCCAATCCGGTGAGAGCCCCCGATCTGCTACCCGGCCATGCACGCCAGTTCAAGCTAGCTAACTCCTACAACTAGGCTGTCGCCGTATTCCCCATCTTCTTCGAAGTCGTATCAGCTTAGTGCGTGCCCTCTTCTTCCTCTTCTCTCCAACTCCCCTCTACATCCAAATCGCCAAACTAACATTCTTCGCAGCGGCAACGTCGGCCTCAGTCTCGGCCACCCATCCGTCCTCACCTCCCTATGCGGCCAATTCACGCCCTTCAGCAAAATCGTCATCTGCGCCATGATGATCCGCGGCCGTCACCGCGGTCTGCCATACCAGCTTGATCGGGCAATTATGCTGCCGGGCGATCGCACCAGTGAAGATGGTGAGAGCGAGGGGCGAGCGAGGGCTGATGTTGATGCTGATGGTGGGGATATGAGGGGTATCAAGCGGTATCATACGAGGTAACATGAGCGGAAAGGGGGAGTTGGGGGGCTTACTTATTGGGATATATGGGGATAGGTGGAGATGGAATGGCTTGGGTGGATGGGTAGGATGGAGAAGAAGGGTAGATGAACAGAATAGAATGAGGGTGCGGCCTCTTTGGGGCAATACACACAGCGCTAGATTGAGTAGAGAAGGGAGAATGCATGTGGATCGCCAATTCCAACTTGTAAAACGCTTACAGCGCCGCTTACTGGTCGAGCGACGCAGAGCGGACGCGAAGTGAAGTTAGTAGGCTGGCACCTGTGGTGCGTTCAAGTTTAACCAAAACTACGTGGAGCGAGCGCGTTAGTACAGACCACCAGACGGAGTTAAAGTTTGAAACACGGTACGGGGCCACTTGCGCGCTATTTCAAGTCGGCCCTATGCATTAAAGGCCTCCAGGATACATTTTCCACACATTAAAGTAAGAAATCCTGATATATGCATCCATCACGCACGGGAGACACCCTCCTACCTCAACACCTCAAACCTCCTCCATCTCGTCCTTCTCAACCCGCTCACGGCACCCATCTGCATCCGCCCCGTCTCCCGCTCCGGCCGCTCGTCCCCAATAAATCCCGGCAGCTTCTGAAGCGCCTGTCTCCACTCCGCTTCTCCCTCGGCCTTGCCCAGGACGTCCGCATACACGGTTCCCATTTTAACCATGACCTCGGCGCCCATGCAGCTCGCCCACGGCTTCATGATAGCAATGTATGCCGCCAACAGGAACAAACCAAGCAGATGGAGCGCCAGAAAGAGGGAGCCCAGGATAAGCCCGACGAGGCTGATGTTCGGCTTGTACGTCGGAATTCCCTCGTCGTAGTTGACATGGAGACTGGAACCGTACATCGTCGCCGTCGACTGTCCAAGCCAGAGCTTGTTAGCCAGAAAAAGGCCGGCGGAGAACGCACGATGCACGCTATCGTCGTCGAGGAAGGGGTCCGTAAAGGAGGCAAGCAGGTCGTGGACTGAGAATATGACGCTAAGTGTGTCCGCTTCCCCGTTGTTATTAACTACGCAACCCGTGCCGGCTGTGTTCATGAGCTTCGCGAGTGGATAGAGTCCCTGGCAAGCTGCAATTGGGACTAGGCCGACGATGGTAGGTGGCACGACGTAGGCGGCGGGGTTGGATAGGCGAGAGGCGATGAAAGAGCCAGGGCCGAAGAGTGCCAGGGCAAGCGACAGCAGCGGGCCTTTGTTGCTGGTTTCCATGAGCGCTGCGTTACCTGCATATGTCACGTTGCTTCCTTCTCTCTTCACAGCCTCCAAATTGCCCCCGCGCGAAGGGTTTCCGGCCAGTGGATCTTTGTCGAGGAGGGGGCCCGGCCTCTGTCCATTGAGATGGCTAGGCAGCTCGAAGTAACCTAGAGAGGTATCCGCTGTAGCCTTGAAATACTGTCGGCCGCCGCTACTTGTGGAGCCATGTGTAAAGATTTGCAGGTAGAGCACTCTGCCGATGGACGTGCAATTAGCCCATGTTCAATATTCGTACCACGGGCACAGCACTTACTCGGTTATGCCCTGGCGATCCCGGGTTGACTTCCAGGGCGAGGAACTCAAGTCGCCTGCCATGCATGCCTCGAGCGTGATATTGAGGTTACTTTGAGCACTACCACGATCCACGTTCACAACGTAATTTGCATAGAAGCCGCCGGTGTCCGTCTCATTTCGGCACTCTCTCTGGAACTCGTCCGTGTCGATCTCTACATAATCCAAGACAGAGCTAATGCGTGGCGCGTATTGCGGTCGAGGATATGCTCCGGAGCTGAAGTTGTATGGAAGGGGTGTAAAATAGGTATTCTTTTTGTCACTTGAGTTGTAGCCGTACGATGAGAACCACTGAAAGTTCCTTTTATCCATGGTGGCTTCTTCGATCCAGAGATTGACATCGCTATCCTCGCTGCTCGTTGATTCCAGGAGACTGCGTAGTCGGTATATCCGAGCGCCTTCGGGTCGTGCGGCATACTTCGTGAGCATATCCGGGACGTCCATGAGCCCAAGGAAATTATCATCCCCGCTAGCAGCTGTTATGGACTCGCGATCGACAAAGGCGTTCTGGAGAATCTGGGAAACGCTCCCTGTGGAAGTCAATACCGCTCGGCCGGATTACTGGCGGTAGATTGCTACTTACCAATCAGCGTCAACCCCAGGGCGATATAAAGAGGTAGGCACCCTGTCTCTGGCAGCCTGTCCCACAAGATTCTCGGACTCAGCCAACCTTGGTCCGCAAGCGCCATAATCTTTCTCAGATTCAAACTCTTTCTTGAACTGGCTGCCTGCATATAAGCCACACAGGCTACAGAGCAGATGATGGACGTGACCGGGATGGTAAGGAGCGCGGCGATGGTTTGCAGAATTTCTGCGGCTTTGTAGCAGTTTTCATTCGCCTTAAGGTACTGCCTCTGACGATCGTAGTAGTCATCGTCGTCATAGTAGTCATCCATGCCTCTGAAGGGCCGTTTGCTCATGATGCAAAGAAGGACCCATGACGTGAGCGTTATTGCCGCATAGAAGAGGACGACTATAATGGGCCAGAGTGGGGTCCGAAGCCTTGTAGTCGCCGGTTCATGGGCAGTAAGTGACGAGCGTGGCGAGAGAGGCGCCACGTTTTGCTGGGCTGCTTCGGGTTTTGGGACATTCTGCTGCTCCTGACGGTCGTTGGAGATGTTGCGCATTTCGTGGTCATTCTCCGCCATTGTGAAAATGGCGCTTTTCAAGCGATTGATACTTGGTGCGGATGGGAACGACTGATCGGCGACGGGCTATGCTAAGCGCGCATTGTTGAAGCGAGAGTAAGAACGACGAGAAGACGAAGCAGGATCCCAACCGAGGCTGGTCGTAGGACAGTCTTCCGATAAGTAGCTTGTGTACTCAGGGCCCGTACAGCAGGAAAGGCTCGCCCCAATCAGCCTCGCAATACGAGGTGGGAGTGGCTAAGCGCCCGGAGGAAGCTTAACCCTGCTGGTCCGCATGCTTGTTTGAGCCAAACATCCGGTGGCCTGAGCAGACGACTAGATGGATGATGAGAACAGAGTATGCAATGACTTCTGTGTGCCATTCCGTGACATTTCGGGAGCCGTAAATGCGAAGCGTCGCCGAGTCACGAGTTGTTGAAGCTTGAGTTGCGAATCTCTCTAGGTTCGGTTAAGCGGCATGATTTTCCAGTGAAAAAGGCGGGGCTTACCCAGCTCGTATATAACAAGCTCTTTTGCGGGGGGGGGGGGGGGGGGGGGGGGGGGGGAGCGCTAGGATCCACTCTCCTGACATCTGCAATCGATATGATTCTAGTCAGGTACCCGTCTTGCGACTAGCAGGATGGCGGCATTTCTCTTCCGATGCTGCATGTACTTAGTTCGATCAGGGTCTTCGTTGTCCGGTGCATTTCGAATCGTGGCGCAGGATCTGAATATGCTTCTTCCACGTTCTCCGAAAAAAATGTGAGAGTGGTGCCTTGGATATAGGAAGTGCAGTGGGCGATCACTCCGTCTTTTCCGGTTGCTTTTTTGCAACAACTATGATGCCCCTTACGGCACCACTCTCTCCCCACCACTTGAACATCAACCTCGCAACATTGAATGGACCAAGACCGTATCCAATGACACGTAATCTGCGATCCTGTCCCTCCAGATACCTTGCCAAAGGCCCAAAGACGTCATCAGAGATGTCTCTGATCGTGATTTGCGAATCGTCAAAGCCGACTTCTACCAGCTTTTGGCGATATTCGTCAGGCGTGATGAAGTTGGCCCATGGTGCGCCCATGAGGCGCGTGAGTATTCTCAGGAGAACTTTCTGGTGGGAGGAGATGGTAGGGGAGATACATAGATCGAAACCCATGAAGGAAGCGTTGAGTGTATGGAAAGCGTAATGGATCATCGGCCATCGTGACGGAGAGAAATGGTACGCTGTATCCAGCGCTAGGACCCAGTGTTCTTCGGTATTTTTGACTGCGCTCTGTATGCTCCATTTAAGGTTTTCACTCCAGGCCTCGGGGTTTGCGGCGTCGGCGCAAAAGAGCTTTGGGACAACATGCTTCCCCCATGCGTCTTTGTTTGGGTCTCGATACGCCATACGCCTCTTCCATTCGATAAGTGGGTCCCGAATTCGTTCTTGAGCAAACCGATATTGTTTCTCATCGAGCGTAATGCCGACATATGCGTCCAAGCGGGGACAATCCCGCGGACCAGACGTAGCCCACCACTCTGTGTCCGTATTCCTGATTGGAATGGCGCTCGTAAGATAGATAGTCTGTTCGCCGCAACCAAAGCCCAGGTCAATCAAGCACTTCGACTTCCGAATACCTTTGAAGGATTCACTGGCGTCGAGCTTTCTTGAGAATCTCGCGGTTTTGAGGACTTGGTCAAGCAGGTCTCGACAAGCTTGTGTCATCGTCTTCTGCCTTTTTGATATAGGCTGGCCAGTATCTTCATCGAGGGCTTCTTCATCGGGGTTGTATTCATTCTGAGAAGTCAGTCTTGTAGAGAGTGAGGGTAATCGAGCATTGGAGGTGTCATACAGCCCAGTAACCCATATTCATCCACATCGACGGCGGAATGCGTAAGTGCAGCCTCCCATGCTCAAGGCCATACACCGAGCCACCCTCAGCTTTCCCATCTCTCCCACCAACACGCATCAACGTTCCAAAGGCGCGTCTTACGACTGGTAGAAGCAGCACCCCGCAAAGGAACGCAAGCAGGTGCGTGCTATCAACGCCGATCCAGCTAGGAACCACATTAGAATAATAATAAGAAAGAGAGAAAACCGAAAGAAATACAAGCGCTATAAAGGTAAATATCCAAACGAGCGCAGCCAGCATTTCGAAGCGTTGGCGATGACGGAGCGACACTTGGTACCGTCTCAACTTTTTTGAGCCAAGCCAATAAGCAATACACCGAACCTAATTATATAAGCTTTCTCGGCTCCCCTGGTGCCCCGTAAAGATAACGGTTCGTATTTTTTCTTGCCGTGGGTCCTGTACAGCCAATTATTACTGTTTAGCTTCGTCGTACAATAGATCCGTGGATTAGCAGCGCAGTCATCAATTCGCTCGACCTCGTCATAAGGAAGATGCGAACATACTACATATACAATACCAGCAAAAAAGACGCTTGTAGATTAGCAGGCCTTTGAGATCTCCGCCTGTCGTCACTGAGGAGCTCACATAGATATATGAGCTGCTTCTTCTCCTTTCCTTTGTGAACCTTGTAGATGTAGATGCATAGTAAGTAGGTGGTTTCTCTGTCTTATAGTCTCTTAGTGAGCTTACAGCTCCTCAGTGAGCGTTTAGTCGTATATAGCTCTGTAGATAAAATCTGCGTTACTAATATACGAACTCTCCGTGATGTACAAACCTAAGAAATCGCTTACTGACGCAGTCACAGGTCTATTTACGCTCTGAACCGCTCTTCTGCATGCGTACTACGGCTCTGAAAAGATTAATTGTAAATTCGGGCGTTTAGACCAAGCGTACAATTTGAGTACCTTGAATTATATAGAAATACACGTACAACAGAACAAGGGAAAACATGAATTTTCATCTCGGTGGGCCGACGTTAGGCCGAATGCGGGCACGTCAGCATCGTTCAGGACCACCCTCACAACGGGCTTAAATAGACGCCCTTGCATTGTTCTGCGATATGTAATGACTCTGATTTTGATGCCCCCTTCTGACCTTTGCACCGTGCTACGTGGTGACGTCATATCAAGCCGTCCTTGCAGACACGCGCCCTGCATGCCAGCGCCTTGCATACTAGCCTGAAGCACTCTTCAGGGAAACATTATCATTACGTATTCGATTATTTGCTCCCATCTCATTATCGCCGCCAGGGGACCTCTACACCGAAGGCTTCAGCTACTCGCATAGCTGAGACGACACAACCCTCCAGTAACACCATCCCATCCCAGCACCAGCCACCAACAAGCCAAACGTTACCATCGCCGTTCCTCCATGGGGGAAGCGCCTTCTCATCATCATGAACTCCAGGGGTATCTTCGAATATGTTATTTACAATGCGCCTACTCTCCGGATTCCTCAGGACGCGTGTAAACTTTGCCGAATGGATCGTAAGAGACGGGTCAATCGGGCTAAAGGGACATGTGGTTACGATGGCGCCACACGGTTGGACGTGAAGCGACTCGGTCTGATGCGTGCCCTGCGTTGACGTTCGAAGGTATATCAGTTGGGCGTCGTGGTCGTCGCATTTCTCCACCTGGTCCTGATTGCCCAACATGCCTCGGTCGGTGTGGACGACGCTTTCAACCACGGTGGTCGGTATCCTAGCCATATGGTATTTGAGGGGTTCGAATATGCGACCAACAATGTCAGGCGCGACAGCGAGGACGATCCTGTCGAAATACTCCGTCCGAGTCGAACGATCGCTGGCACCAACCTTCTTCCACGACAGCTTCACGCCCTCTCCCTGTCGCTCGACGGATGACACTACAGCAGCTAGCTCATACTCAATTCCTTGGACTAGTTTGTCCTGAACCGTCTTGACGCCATTCGATACGGTGTAATGCGGCGCCCCGTGCGTCCTCCTCTTGTACCCCACCAAATCGCTCGCCGGGAAAGCAAGCAATTCCTTATGCGGGCACGTTGTGACGCTCGACATCAATGGAAGGATGTAGTACGTCACAAAGTACTGGGGTATCCGTATCCTCATCAAGTATTCGTCCAGATTTTCAGAAGCTCGTCGTCCGTTACCCTCTCGCGGAGCTACTAGGAAGCAGCATATCGAGAACCAGGTATAACAAGCTAGCAGGTATAGAACCTCCACCATATACGTAATTGTCGCAATCGCTTTCGGGCGCTGTTCGCGCTGGTGGAAGTTCGAAGCGTGGATGAAGTACGAGGAATCTCGTCTGCCGTCCGTTCGCCGAGCGGTCTCGGTTTCTATCTTCGCGAACTCGAATAGGAACGGCTGCGAGCGGTACTGGACGCCTAGATGGTCATACATGACTTTTAGGTTGTTGTAAAACCCCCCGGCGAAGGCGCGCATAGGGAGGTCCACGCGGTCGGCCGACGTTCGCGATGCATTGGGGATCGAAACGGAAGCGGAGTCGAGGGAGAGGGAACCGCCCTCCAGACCTCACGTCAATATGCCCACCCTCATGAATTTGTAGCAGAGGCGGTCGCTTACTGATTCGAACAGCTTGACGGCATAACGTTGGTGTGGATCTTTGTGCAAGAGATATGCCGTGACAAGCCCGGCCATTCCTGAACCCACCACGGCGACGGGAGCCACGCGGGTCTTCTCCATTGAAGATAATATGGTACAGGTGCTTAGCCCACCAACACGCGATGATGGAGGCTTGCAAAAAAATTCATCCTGTTAACCATCCCAACAAGGATGACGAGGAAACGGTTTGGCCTTTAAAGGGGATGCGTTTACATGACACTTAGTGGCATCTAAGTAATTTTCACGCGGCGTGCCCCAGCCTTCATCCACTTGACCACTCACACTTCCGATCGGCACCTAGCATTAGCAGCACGAGCAACCCTGCAAAAAGAGAGTTTGCTACTCGCTACTCCGTAATTGCAGAGCTAAGAGGGGCCATGACGTGAGGATTTTGTTTGTCAAGCTCAGTTGAACTAGCTCTTAAGTCGTCCTTGCCGGGATGGTTGATAGGTTGAAAACTTTTTAGACGCTTATCATCGCGTGTTGATGAGTGATGCATAAACGATGGCTCGAGTGCCAAAAGAAAAGCCGCGAACGTTTCTGCACCAAGGAGCTGCAATTGACCCACGAAGCGACACCACACCATGACGAAAGGCGTCTTAATACGAAACAGGAATCTTCGCCGCTCGTATCAGGGGGTTTGCTGGCATGCGAGATGGGAGCAAACAAATGCTTACTCTAGGCGTTCTGATTGGGTCGGGGGTCCGACGGACCGAGCCTTCCAAGGTTCTTCCCGCTAGCATATGTTGCACGTGCGTACGTACGTAGCATGCGTGATATCCTGAGAATGCACCGATTTTCTGAGGTCTGAGGATTGCTCGCTCATTTCGATTAAAGCAAAGTGCCGGAGTGCTGCTGAGCTCGTGGAATCGGATCGCTTAGTGCGGGAATGGCGGGACGTGACGCAATGCGCGTCGCTGTCATCGGGGCAGGGTACACGATCTGAACAGAGCTGATACTGTACTCAGGCTAACAGTAGAAAAGCCCAGGTGGTTTGACTACGCTAAAGACGCTGTTGGAAGCATCGACTCCAGACAGACCGATAGAAGCGACCCTTTTTGAAGCGTGGGTAGCCTTATCCCCTCGTCCCTTAACTCTTTTGCACAGTCCATCAATACTCGAATCCGCAACTATCCTTTTCTTACCACTTCTTATACTGCTAGCTAAGACTTGCACAGAGAAGACGACGTCGGGGGCACGTTCCAATACCGCTCCTACGAAAACGCCGAGCTCGTCTCATCCAAGCAACTAACGAGTTTCTCGGACCACCGCTTCCCACTATCAACGCCGGACCACATCTCATTACCTCAATACGTTGAGTATCTCAGATCGTATGTCGACCGGTTTGGCCTAGGGCCGCTCATCAAGCTCGGATGCCGTGTCACCCAAATTCAGCCTCTAGAAAAGTCTTCAGATCAGAAGTGGAAGCATCGAGTCAAGTACGTCGACAAGCAGCAAGGCGGAAGGGAAAGGACGTTTGATTGCTCCCATATTGCGATTTGCACGGGACTCCATGTCCAGTCTAACATTCCCAATATCCCCGGGATCGAGAATGTAAAGGGCGAAGCGTATCACTCGTCCCAGTATAAGCAGAGATCCCAGCTCACAGGTCGAGATGTGCTCATCCTGGGATGCGGCGAGACGGCTATGGGTAAGGACGCGGACGGATCGCACATCTTCAACGCTCACTGACGCCGTTTGTAGATATCGCCTACGAGGCAATCAAAGCCGACGCCAACTCCGTGACAATGTGCTTCCGAACTGGCTTCCTATCCTTCCCCAAAGCGCTCTCTCGGTTCCAAGTCTTCGGCAAGCAATTCAAGGGCGGACTGCCCATCGATGGTCTCATCACCAACCTATTCGAAACTGCATACGTCCACCGCGCCATAGCCGCCAGCCGTCTGCGATGGTTTGTTTCCGACTTTGTGATTAAGCGTGTGCTATGGTTCTTAACCGGAACCCAAGCTGGCATGAACCAGCATGTTGGCGCACTGCCGAATGACCGACTAGGAAGAGCATATGTGTTCTTGAATAAGAGTAGCAAGGCGATGCCATATTTGAATCGACCGTATCAGGAGAAGCACCCACTTGGGTTCCTAGGCAATGGTTATGTCGATCCGCCTGAAGACGCGAACTCGAAGCGATGGGTCGATACGTGCACATTCCCTCAGCGCATTGACGAGACAGGCAAGGTCATTTTCGAGAAAAGAGAAGACAGGAAAGACTGGAGACGCATGAAGAACGCGGAGGTACGGCCCACCTGCGTGGTCTACTGTACGGGCTACAAGCAGGTCTTCTCCTGGCTCGATTCGTCTTACCCCACAGCGTCAGACGCTACGATACGAAATATCATCGCACCCTCGCGACCTGATATTGCCTTCATCGGCTTCGTGCGGCCAGGCGTAGGCGCTATTCCGCCCATCGCGGAGCAACAGGCCATGTGGTGGACGGCGCTCATAACCGCCCGGATGCAAATCCCCAAGGATCCGCCGCATTATCACCTGCTTGCGCGCGAGAGCTCGCGGATCCAATACGGCGTTGACCATAGTGCATATATGAGCACCCTCGCGAAGGATTTCGGCGGTGCACCAGGACTGGTCGAACTCTGGAGAGCCCATGGCTTGAAGATTCTCTTCACGTATTGCTTCGGTGCTTCCTTTGTCACTTTCTATAGGCTCATGGGGCCTTTCAAGTCGGAGGAGGCGCCGAAAATCGCTAGGACAGAGTTGGCTGAGACCATTACTCGGAGAGGTATTCTTGGCAATTTGTTCTTTGGAGTAAGTACGCCATTGCTTCGTCGCTGGGTTATGCTAATGTGGATTTCAGGTGATACCCATGATATTCTATGGGATGGTCAATACTGCGGCGATGATACTGGAGCTGTGTGGCTTCATACCGAAGGAGAAACCTGTCGTATGATCTTCGACGGGATATCTTTAGCTAGCGTTTCCGTATCAAGTCGTTGGTGCCAGAGACTAGCCCTCTCCTCCCTTGCTTTCCATTCAATCATATCTTTCAGCAAGCACCAACAGCGGATATACAGCTCCTGCAGCTACTGGAATCTTCTTCCACCCAGTCGCCCCGAAAAGCGCCATGATCGCTCCTGAATGCGCTGTCAAGCTTACAAAGATACTTGCGTTCTTATTGAAGATCTCCTCCAGCAGTTGTGTTCCTCATGGCATTCTCTCGTGGCATATAAGCCCGTCCTTCCAGGCAGTCATTACGTTTTCCACCACTACTGCTGGGTAAACCTCGCCACTCCATAGCCAACATCGCTTGCATCTTGGAGTCTACGTCGTTTGACCAAAATCGGCGCCAGCCTGAACGCCTTCAGTGTATTTTGGAGACCCACAGAGAAGGCTGCGTCTCGGATTCAGCAGGCATGGGCATCTACGAAGAACTGCTTTTGAAGGAAGGGCAGGTTCGGCTGCTGAGGGTCGAGCCGGCAGCGACAGGCTCAGATATGGTGCGATGTACGCTCGAGGTCGTCCCTCTAAGCTCGGAGCCGCTGTTCTTCGCCTTTTCGTATACTTGGGGACCACCATATGCAGAATACGAAGCGCGGGGCAAGGTCGAGAGTCCGCTTGAAGCAACGCAGTATCATTAGCAACGAGAAAGAAATATCAGTCACAGGGAATCTACACGACTTCCTGCTTCTCTGTTCGCAAAGTTAGGACTAGGATCTCCGCTGTACTCTATGGGTCGACGTCATTTGCACCTAAGCCGATCGATCCTGAATCAAACGATGCAGAAACTCCGAGGCTAGGACCTCTATTTTGTGAGGTGTTTGATTCTATGCGGGGTTAGAAGCTTTACTGTCTAGGTTTTTAAAATTGAAATCTATCATTTACGATGATAGGGTATCTCTTTGCGTCGCCTCGTCTGCTCTTTAACTAGATCACCTTGTTATAAACCGGTTTGAATTCTAAATTCTACCTAGTTTGCGGCGAAGGTCGGAGGAGCACCTCTTGTCGCCGCGATCCTCTCAAATTGAGTTAACGCCATATGCAGTCGCGCCTAGCAAAGTTGATGGCGGCGAGTACCGTAGCGGTTATTTCTGTATTGTTGTGGCGAAGCTCGGAGCCTCGCAAGGCTGATAGCAACAAAGTCGTGAGGCGGTAGTTTTTGCTGTTCCTAGCGTATGCGTCATTTGAGGGCCCAAGCTTCTCGCGCCTTCAACCAGCGCGCGTCGCTGTCCTTCACAATCATCCCCATCCTCGACAATGTCCCGCTTTCGCGTCCTCTCCATCCTCCCCTTCAATCGCGGCGCGGCCCAAAGATCATTCTCTACCTCTATATCGCCAAAAGCACCCCAGACTTTGGCACGCGGAATGGGTGAATGATGCTTGGTCGTGCCACACTGGCGATTGCTGATTGTTCTCTCTCCGCGTAGATACCTCCGACAATGCATCCTTATTCTCGTACACTTCTGGCCGATATCTGTTCAATGAGGACGTCAGGTTGAAGGAACGTCATGTTGAGTTCAACATCGAAGCTCTGCAACGTGCAGCCGAAGCTTCTGTTGGCAACCAACATGGCAAGGTCGTCAGTATGAGAAGGCTAGCCGAGGGAGGCTTCAATCGAGTCTTCATTTTGGTATTACAGGACGGTTTCGAGTTGATCGCCAAGATCCCATACCACATCAGCCGACCAGAGTATTACGCTACCGCTAGCGAGGCCGCCACCCTTACGTTTCTTCGATTGCAAGGCCTCCCTGTCCCGGAAGTATACAGCTACTCCGCAACGGCGGAGAGCCCTGTCGGTGCCGAATATATTCTTATGGAGAGAGCTCCTGGAATTTGCCTCGCATCCAGGTGGCTGGACCTTCAAGACCTTGAGATAAGAAGACTTGCCCATAGCTTCGTTGAACTTGAAAAGAGACTTTTCCAAATTCCTTTCAGCGCCACGGGTAGTTTGTACTTCAAGAAGGACATTCCATATGGGCTTCAGGCTCCGCTGTACAGGGAAGAGCGTACTGCAGAAGCAGATCGATTTTGCATTGGACCTATTGCCGACTATATGTTCTGGTACGGTAAAAGAACTGGGCTGAAGTTGAATCGCGGACCATGGAAAAGCCACGTTGAATATCTTCAATCAATAGCACAAAAAGAGATGGACTGGACACTGCGTTACGGTAAACCGATGGAACCCGACTTCCCCCACAACACCTTGGGGCTGGGATTTCAACGTCCAGAGGACTATCTCAAGCTTCTGAAGTGCTACCAGTTGTTGACGCCACACCTGCTGCCGAAAGACCCTGCACATCCCTTCAACCTGCCTACTCTTCGTCACCCGGACCTCACCCCCGGTAATATATTCATCTCACCCGAGACTGGTCGGATCTCGTGTCTCATCGATTGGCAGCACACCATCATCCAGCCACAGCTCCTCGCGGCTGGCTATCCGCGCGCATTTGAGAACCCAGACGATGAGCTTTCCCCCGACTTAGTGGAGCCTAAGCTTCCAGATGACTTGGCATGCTTGCACGTGGAAGAGCAGGCAGCGGCGCGCGAGCTTTATCGCCGGCGCCTCCTCTTCTTCGGTTACCGTGTGCTCAATGGCCATTTCAACCAGCACCACATCGCAGCTCTGCGTGACCCCCTTCTTCTCGGTCGTCAGATGCTCGTAGATAGGGCCGGCCGACAGTGGGAAGGCAATCTCATAACCCTTAAAGGAGCTATCATACGCACAACCCAGTTCTGGGAGCACTTACCCGATGTTGAGGATATCAAGTGTCCGGTGCGGTTTGATCAAACTGAACTAGACGAATTTGCAGAGATTGAGGACGGCTGGCTGAAGATGAGCGTAGTCATGGAGCAGTGGCGGAAGAGAGTTTCTAATATGACTGAGGAGGGGTGGGTCCGAAATGAGGATTATGAGGAAGCGAAGAAGCAGCTTGGAGAGCTAAAGGAAGAGATTCGACTACAATGTGAAGGGGATGAGGAAGATATCCAAGCATTCCGGACGGGCTGGCCGTTCCGAGATCGCGAAGAAGTCGATTGAAATTGAAGAGTGATTGTTGTACATCATAAACCGTTATAACAGAAGTCGCGACCGCATGGGTATCCAGTTCAAGCTTCGTTAGCGTTCTGTGCCCTGAGGGTGACTAACGGAAACCTATAGTAGGTGAGCCGAGGATTTTGCTGAGGACGACTTGCACACCTCGCTCGCTGACGTCTATCAGTTATGTATCAACCAAGCCGATCTTTTGGAGCGGAGCCATCAGGTAAACCTCATGGCTGAAATATACAAAGCCGCGGCCCGGGTCGTTATTAGAGCAAGGTTTCAACCCGACTGGCTTTCGATTTAATCAATGCGCTCGTTTCATTATCATCTACAGAAAGGTCTAGCATATTTCCGCATCATGTGCAACCAACGGCCGCCAACATCTTGATGAACCTAAACCATTGGGAAGCATTAGCTCTCTTCTTCGAAAGAACCTGGTTCAGGAGGGCTTGGATCATTCAGGGAGTCATTCTTGCGAGAGAGGCCTCAGTGCGCTGCGGCAGCTATTGCGTACCTTCGAATATCTGACGAGCGTTTCTCGATTCCTTGCAACATCTAGTTGGACATACTTCTTCAAGGAGCCCAACCTCTTTGGATCAGCAAAATGTGCCAGTGCGCCCCGGTGGCTTAACACCCCAGAAATACTATCAGCGACCAAGAAGGCATGGACATCATCGTCCAGCGACGGGCTCCTGTACGCACTCATCCGATGCCGTCCATCCCTCTGCCAAGACCCAAGAGATAAGGTGTACTCGCAGCTCAGTCTCGGACATGCAGACCTTTTTCCGACGTATACTGCATCCGAGGCTGAGGTGTACGTTACAGCCGCGAAATATATCCTATCCCACAGCGACAACCTTCTCCTTCTCAGCTGTGTGCAGGGAGAAGAGTTTCAGGAAGTTCCAGGACTACCGTCTTGGGTTCCAGACTGGAGCATCACTAAGTTCATAGGCCTACGTGTTACAGGATACGGCTCGTACGCGGCGGCCGGCAGCCGCCCACAGAAATGCAAAATCGGCCTCGGAGACGGTAAACACATTTTAAGCGTAGAAGCTTCCAAGTTGGATGAAATAACGGAGGCGTGCGCATCTAAGGGAGAGCTTTTCCAAGTTACAGGTATAGAGTCCATTTCTTTCACGGAGCTTTTCCTTGATCATAGGAGTCCTAGTCTACAGTAAAGGGGTGAAAGCAAGCTCGGCAGTCCGGAGATACCGGCGCAGTGGGCTGGTGTAAATTGATTCCGGCTGAGGATACTCTCACACACATGGGGGATGGACACCGGAGAGGTCTCCTTTGAAGACTTAACAAACGGCACGGGCGAGAACGTCTAGCAGATGCTAAAGTACAGGCTTAGGAAGCGCTTTCCAAAGACTGATGCTGAAGTAAAGCAATTCTTGAAGGAGTGGGAGAAGATTGAGGTTGCAGACTACAGGGAGTATATTCAATCTATGCGAGAGTGCTGGGCGGCAGTTGTCCGGGCAGGAGGCGGGCATACCAAGTGGTAGATGAGTGATGATTGATTGATGATTTCTGTGTGTAATCTCCATCTTGAAAAATTACATTGTTTAGTCACTGGACCATGGCCTGAGCGACGCTAACACGCTCATGAGAAGGCCCTTTACATATCACGGCGTACCGCGATTTGCCATCAGGCTCCGCAATTCAGGTTGTGACGAGGCCGCGTTATGACACCTGATACCATAGTCTGGACACGTTGTTAGGGGAAAGCGACACGAGCCATCCGAGTGCTGTTACATGAGAGTAGCTCAGAAACACTCCTCAAGCCAGGCCTCAACCTCTTGATGCAGACCCGAGAGGATGGTTTCGGCGGTGGCTTCGAACCCCTCGAGGCCAACAATGTCTTCGAAAGGCTCCCTGGCCGCAATCTCCAACGGCATTTTGAGCTCTCTAATAATCCTGTTGCGATACGGGGGCAGTCCTGCAGCTGCAAAAAATGACTCATGTAAGCTACAGTGAAAATACTGGCAGAAACGCCTTAAACTTACGAGGAGGCTTCCAATGCGGCAGGCGGCGCCCATTAGCAACTGACCGATTAAAGAGCTCGGTCAGGGAGTTTGCACCGTCGACAATACCATCGCACAATTTCTTCTGAGCTACCGCTAGTGCCGTGTTCTTGCGCTTGAAAAGGTGCCATCCCCCAGAGTCGAGCGATTCCACCAGGTCTACCACCTCGCCCAGCAAGGTGATGATTGCAATCAACACGGTTTTCCCGGTGAGGCCCGTGTTTCTCGAAGGGCGAATGAGCGAGGTGCGAGGATACTTGATCCTGTCGCTGCTCTTTGGCATCTTGGCTCGCTTCTTTGTGGTCCGAAATTCGTACGCTGATAATGCGTTGGGGAGATGAGGAGTTGATGTGGGGATGTGTGAAGCTGAGGGCGCCTAATTTTTGGCTGTGGAACGAGGCCCAATGCCTGCCCCCGTCAGCACCGCCCTGTCAATTGCGCCCTGGGCGATGCTTGCGGCCAATCAGATTAATCCACATCAATACCGCAGCGGACTCTGAACTGCGCCACGCCGAACAAACCGGCCCCAAAATTTCACGCGCAGAAGGCCTGGAGATATCCGCCATCGCAACACCACAACCCTTTGTGACCGTGGCCGCGTTGAGTCGTCAGGATTCCGCGCCCCCTAGTTCTGGCAGGCCATCATCGTCGTTACACATTTGGGTCGGAGTTCAAACGCCATGACAATGCCTCCTCCCGCGGATATAGTCAATGTGGAGGGCAATGCAAACGGACTAGCGGTCGATTATTGGCAATCCTTGGTTCAGTATGCTGAAGAGGAACGGGAGGAGCCCCCTGTCGGGCAATTCGGCAGGCTGCAGATCATGAACCTTACACATCTCTTGAACGAGATTGCCCGCATCAAGGGCGCCGTGGAGCACAACCGAACCACTTCTGCTGACCAGATGGAATGCCTTCGGAAGAGACTACGCCAATACGGTAAGCACTCACGAATAATGACTACACGTAGAACTATATCTACAGAGCCTCTTCTCGCTGACCCGAGCTAGCCGATGCAATTCGAGATTTCAAGTTCATAACAGACCTAGAGGACCTACCGTATATCTACGGGCTCGACAGGCGAATTTCGCTTCATGGTGCGTTTCCAGGTTTGGCGAGTCCGTATCCCAACACGGAGAACCACCCATATGACACCGCGTACCGAACGCTGCGGAAGAAGATCGTACAGCCCAAGGACGGAGTCCGCGAACTTCTCCGAAAGGTGCTACCGAGTCGTCTATCTTGGACCGAAGCTGAGAGACGAGCAAGACGGTCTGATTACTCTGCCGGCATGACACCCGAAGTCTATTCAAAATTTCTCGATGCGCTCGCCAGATTCATTATAGGCACGACAGGCGGCTGTGCTTTAATCATACCCATGGTCGTCATGGTCCTGGACGCGTCTCTAACAAAGAGCCTTGTCACTGCCTCGGTGGCTCTCGTCCTCTTCGCTCTGGTTCTGGGACTTGTATTTGAGACGAGTAACAAGGACACCATTACCGCTACGGCGACGTATGCCGCCGTTCTAGTTGTATTCGTTGGAACGAGCGGGAGTGCGACCAACAACGTCCAAAGTATTCCTCAGTAGGGATAAAGTCAGGCGAGTATGATGACAGAAATTCTAATACCACTCCTACATCTCGGCACATCTACAGGATCTTTTTCTGAATGGTGCCAAGAACCATCCGCCAAAGTCGACTACTTTCCCAATACGCGTCTCGTCAAGCAGCATTCTCCCATCGACTGAAGCGATTATCAAAGCGAGAGAGGACTGTGAACGGGACCCGAATTATCTTACCTCTTTGGCTCATCGTGCTTCGCTTTACCATGTCCATTTCTCACACGCGATGCTGCTAAGGCCCTTCCGAACAATGCAAGGCTTCTTCGGTCTCGGTACGCAGTCGCTGCGTGAAGGCGATAATGTATGGATCGTTCCGGGTTGCAGGGTTCCACTGATCCTGAGGAAGATTGCGGACAGCCCTCGATATCAGCTCGTCGGAGGTGCCTACGTGCATGGTTTCATGGAAGGGGAAGCGTTGAAGCGTGACAATATCACTTTTGAGATGGTGGGGCTCGAATAACTGTGTCACACTCATGTCTTACTCCGCCGTTCCTGAATATTTGCGAAGAGCCGCATTTGAAACAGGGGCAGAGGGCTACCTAGGGTCAAGATCGCAGCGGGGCGGCGTCTCGATCTCTTATCTCACGAGGCTGTTGCTTCCAACTTCAGCCAACCATAATGTGCCACGAGCCTGCCGCCTGCCTTGCCGTCTGCCTTGGGAAGAACTATGGAATATATATATCTAGCCTGACCCTCAGACAAGAAAGAAAGAATAGCTACTTCACCCGAAACTCTCCGACTGTCCCAATACCTCTTCGGGCTAGCTGTTGAACCGACTTCATCCACAAACACAGAAAACACAGTTTGTGACCTACCATTTCATCGACACCTCTAACAGACTCTAGGCCAGCGAGGATCATGTGCGCAACTACTCGCGCCGCAACTCACTGCCCCGACTGCGGGGACACCGATCTCACCGGCCAAGTCCAGACCGCTTTCTGTAACGACTTCAATAACGGCCGGCCCTGCACGAGCTCGTCGGATACAACGGTTTCGACCGATGCCAGATGCGATGCCTGCATTGATCGCGCACTAGAGACGGGGACAAATCAGAGCAGGGATAGTGAGGATTCGGAGGGTAGTCATGGATGGGCATAAGTGGTGGTGAGAAGTTCGACCTTGCCGGCTGGTTGATCATTTGTTACGTGGGAATTGGGATAGTGATAGTGTAGAATGTGCGAAGGGTTGAATAGCGTCCTCCCATGGACTGAGACGGTTCTCGAAGAGTCAAAGAGAGAGAGGAATGCGAATGGGATTCAAGTTACCTTGCGATCCTGTGGGGCAATTGCTTGGTGGTGGTGTTGAGCAGCACCATCCGACAACGGTCGGACGCAAACACTTCACCGGCAAGCTGATGCATCAACACTGACACCATAGCAACCGTCCTCCACAAACCTCACCAAACACGCCGATCTCTCCTACCTTTTCAAGTTTATTTTGCGCCCAGTCAAACTTTTGTCTTCCCCCTCACCATCTTTCGTACATCGCACCACTACTCCGCCATGGCGCCCGCCGACATCGCCGGGACTGAAAGCCTCCAGTGCACCAACCCAAGCAAGCACCCCCTCATCACCGCATCCCTCCAAAAAGTCCTCAAGCTCCTCTGCATAAGCGATGCAGAAACCCTTCTCGCAAAATTGGTAACCACGGACAGCTTTCTCCTACGATGGACCGCGTACCGCGACGCATATCTCCTGCACCCACACTTCAACGAAGAAGGGCTGAACAAAGGCGGTGACAAGATGTACCAGCTCTTCGAGCACATCAGGCGCGAGGTCAACGGGCGCTCGGCTAAGATGTCGCGCTTGGGCGAGGGCGCGAGCGGGAGGGCGCATACCGTCCGGCTGTTCTCCTCGCTGGTCAAGAGCCTGACGGGGGAGGGAGGCTTCTACGACAAGGGGGACAAGGACGACGAGGTGTGGCTGTCGCAGATATGCGAGCAGCTGTACGGGCTTGTCAAGCACTTGAGGGGCGAGTATGCACATGGACATGGAGTGCTGATGGATGCGATCGAGGAGAAGAAGCCGTGCATTTGGTTGAACCAAAAGGAGGACGAGCTCTGGGAGACTGTGGATGAAGAGGAAGACGACGTAGAGGAGCGGTCCGCGGTTTCGGAGGACGACAGCGCTTCTGACGACTTCCAGCCCAGCGAGTCTGAAAAGGAAGAGGAGCCGGTGGAGGATGATTCTGAGGACGACCTCAATACTACCACCAAGGCCAAGGCTACAAAGCCACCGACACCGCCCAAGGAAACCCGTGTCGAGCGCATCGCATTCGAAGAGGTACCTACCGGCCGCCGCGGACGCTCCGACTTCACTGACGCCCTGCTTCCACTCGCTCGAAAGCGACTACATCACGAGACGGACAAAATAGAGCCCAACCTCTGCGAATTTCCCTCCCGTAAACCCTTCCTAGCCCCCCGGCAACAGGGCTTGGGTGTTCGAGCGCAACCCGTGGAGCCGCCGGTAGAGCTCGGCACCACGTTTACTGCCATGAAGAGCATGCTCGAGCCTAAGCCACTGCCTCGCCCTGAATTCCAGAAACTAAAAGGCATGCCCGCGAAGCCCACATCGGGAGAGCAGTTGCACTTCGAGGGTCTGTATAGCCTCACTGGAAACTTTGGGCGCTCGCCCATCCAGACACCGATGGTTGAGGCGCCCAAAGCGCGCATTGGGAATGAGTACAGTCTAGACCATCTGTTCAAGTCGCCGCCGCCGCCCGCCTATACTCCTCCTGCTAAGCGTGGAGGCCTGTGGGAACTGCTCGACAGCGTCCCAGATGATAACGAGGTGAGTCCACCAACATGTTTACACAGCGACACAAGAGGAAGTCTAACGTGTGATCAACTCTAGGGCTCGCCCATATGCCCTCCCGCTCGCAGACGGTACTAATAGGGCCGAAGTGCTTCAGTCCATGTTACGGTGTCGAGTCTGGCGTTCGATGGGCGCTGGAAGGGCCTCACGCTGGGACATCCCTCGCTCTGGAAATTGACAATGGCATTTTCGCAAGCAAGGAACCTGTGGCATCTGGTGCTTAGTACAGTTGCGATTACAGACAAGAGATGGACACTGATTTTTGCGAGGCGTAGATACGCTCATGTTGGAGACTGATTCGGCCAGAGTGACGAGTAGAATTAGCATGTGAATGCCAAGCCTACGAGCGGGCGTCGTCAATTCGACTGCTCACTGCCAAGAACATCAGAATTAGACGTATCATTCAATAATGCGACTGCGCGCGAATGCTGAGGATGTGATAGGTCTTCGCGAGCCGACTCCGTTCGCTGAGACGCGTCACTTGAAGCGGCGAGCAAAGGAGGCTGTGAGGCTCTCAGTGAGTCATCACCTCTGCGCGCTCTGGGGGCGGGGAAAATTGCCGTGAGCGGCAAACCAAGGAACGACAAAGGGCGGCACTTCGCAGCGCGCAAATAAGTGCACTGCTGTCCTCTTTGTCGCTTCTGATGGCGCTCGTCTTCTGCATTATTATCCCTTGCCCCCCAAAGCGATTATTCCGTCGTCGTTCGATTGTGCGAGCGGGCGGCCGGGGTTGCCTGGTGGCTAGAAGCGACCGGTGAGCGAGGCAGGGCCGGGTCATTCGAGTGCATTCCATGCGCGTCGTCGCATCGCGGCCAGCCGTCTCCGCTGCACCAGCGAGGAAGCCGTTGGTGAAGGTGGGATTTTTCGTCGCCGGTGGGAACGAGTGGCTATAGCCGCGGTTGGTGCTGGGCCGCGGGCGGGCGCTCGGGCGAGCCGGTGTGGCCGATGTGCCCGATCATTGCGGCGTCATCGCTGTCGTGCAGGCGACAACTCTGCGCTCGACGGTGGACGCACGGCGACACGTCTCGCTGCTGCGGGCGTGAGGACAGATATTCGGGAGGCGCGCCGGGCTGCAGGGCGGCGCAGGAGGTGCAGTGAAGGAGAGCGCGCGGTGCATTGATGGGCAGCCCCTTTTTCTCGGTGAGGGACGCTGCTAGCGTAAAAGCGGCCGCCGCGCTAGGCCGCACTTCGCCACGGCCGGCCCGTGCGCGCAGGCTGACACCCAAGTATATAAAGCCAGGCTCCCGCCTCCCTTTCAAAACCTTTTCCCGCTCGCCTGCTCAGCTTGCGCTCCAACAACCCCTCCGCCCCCCACCGCGCCAGCAGCTTGAAAACACCAACTTTTCATCTGCGCGCTGTCTAGAATCCGTCTCACGACCGCTTTGTGCACATTTCTGCACACTTTCGCTCTCTCAGACCCGGAGGCGCGTTTTTGCGATCGGCGCTTGGCCATTTTCCGCCGCCGACAGCCTTGCGAGCAGCCTCCAACCCACATCGCATCCGCGACACCCCCCAACCAAGTGCTTGCTGGCTTCGCTCTTGGTCTCCATCCACACTCTGCATAGATAGCTGTCCTCAGCGACATCGACCGGCGACCGACGGTTCAGACTTGCGAACGCTTACCGGGGAGTCATTCAGTTGATCCTCTCTAGCCTGCGGTACGCTCCTCGCCCGCTCCCCAAAGTCTCCACGTCGTCCCAGGGCGTCGACCGACCTCGCGCAAAGAGCGATCTCGATCTCGATCCCTGCCCGGCCGTCCGTCGTCGTCGCCTCGTAGAATAGTCCTGACCTGTGGTGCAGTCGTCAAAGAACCGTCTCACTGCTTCGTCCTCGAGCTCACCACTCGACCTAATACAAGAATCATGGATTCCCTCACTTCGCATCCGTCGACTGCCGCGCAGGCCAAGACGGTGAGCATACCGTGATGTCTGTTCCTGTGCCTACTCTATGCTAATGTCAATGAAGTTCATTGCGCCCGGCTCTCTCTCGTATCCCAACGCCGCTGAGCTCACTCCGCCGTCCTCCGAGAAGAACGCTCAGCCCGATGCCAGCAAGACCAACGGCGTTGCGACTCCTGCGGCGACTCCGGACGCTCAGAATGCTTCAGGCATTATTCCGACGCTTCAGGTGAGCCTCGCCGGTACAAACTGCCTGTCTTGGCTCAGAGTGCCCGCTGTTGTTGCTAGAAGAGCTCTATTGACTAACACCTCTACCTTTGTAGAACATAGTTGCTACAGTGAACTTATCTGCCCGTCTCGACCTCAAGACCATCGCACTCCATGCGCGTAACGCCGAGTACAACCCTAAGCGTTTCGCCGCTGTCATCATGCGCATCCGAGAACCCAAGACCACTGCATTGGTCTTTGCGTCAGGTTCGTGGTATCAATACCAAACTAAGACATATGCTAACCTGCGTAGGTAAGATGGTCGTTACCGGGTATGTGAACTGCACGTTTCGCGTTAGATGACCTGCGTTTCGTTCATTCCAATGCTACTTAGCATTTTGCTTGCGAACGCAGGTCTGAAGACATCGAGACCCTGCTCTGTTTCGAGGAACTTGACTGACAATCGAATAGCGCTAAGAGTGAAGACGATTCGAAATTAGCTAGTCGCAAGTTTGTAGTCTCTGACCCGTACTCAAGAATAGCAAACTGACTAGATGCAGGTACGCCCGTATCATCCAGAAGCTTGGTTTCAATGCCAAGTTCTCGGACTTCAAGATCCAGAACATCGTCGGAAGCTGCGACATCAAGTTTCCGATCCGGTTGGAGGGCCTTGCCTCGAGTCATCACACCTTCTCGAGCTACGAGCCTGAGCTGTTCCCTGGGCTTATCTATCGAATGATGAAGCCGAAGATTGTCTTGCTGAGTACGTCTTCGCGGCGACGATGAGACTGAGACATATACTAATCGAACTGCCAGTCTTCGTTTCGGGCAAGATCGTCTTGACGGGCGCTAAGGTTCGCGAAGAGATCTACCAGGCCTTCGAGCTCATCTATCCCGTTCTGAGTATGTATCCTCGGAATACAGGTACCATCTCTGAGATGTTTGCTAACTGTACCCAGGCGACTTCCGTAAGTCGTGAGGAATATGCCTCCCTCTGGACGAGTTTCGGTCCCCTCTCTACCCGATACCACTCGTCACCTTCGGGTCATAGACCTTCATCCGTCTTGGCCTGTTTGTTCACCCCTGTCTGTTCTGCGGCATTGCACGGAGTCTCGGTTCATCCTTTCGGAATGGGTGGTTTCCTTCCTCGGCTTTCGAAAACATTTCCCCTTACACAATTAGACATCTGCACGCGAAATATCTGTGCAGTGGTGCGCTGGGAGTTCACGACCTCCGGTAATTTGCGTTCACGGAGGGGGTGCTTGCACCTTGTTCCTTCCTCTCTTCTCTACACGCGGTACGATTATTCGGCGATGAAATGGCGGAAGCGGACTCGAGATTGATAACAGGGGATGATTATGGATGGTGGTGGTCTGTGCGGGCGTAAAAGTCTGCACTGGAGAAGCTCCCGATGGCGGCCGATGGATGCCTGAGTCTTCTCGATGGATTGTGTTTTATGCGTTTATCGTGGGTTTCCTTGCGACCGGGGAGGATACTCTTCGGTGGAATAGGATGTGTAGCAATACCACCACGACATCATAAACAACTCCTATGCGCTTCCATGATTGCGTGACGCACTCGACCCGCCAGTGAAATGTGTTTGCCTGCTCCTTCATCCACGAATGCATTGCGCTTCATCGTGGGGCATGTAGAGTGAGTCGTAGGACAATCACGAGTCATGCAACTGCAGTGAAATAGACGCAGTATACATTAGGCATTATGATTATAATAGTGTAGGCGAGCCACATAGACTCATAGGGTATCACAGGCGCCGTGGGAGTTCTATTGTACATTTCTCAGGAGCTAGTCTGTCTCCTGGCGCGACACCGAGCCTCTCGTGTGACTCCGGGACTTGCTTGCTTCCCCTCGCTCGACTTGTTTTCGCGAGGACCGGGTTTCCTGTCCTCTTTCGCGGCTCGGCTTAGGTAGGTAGGTAGGAACGTGGATGAGGCGCAGCCTCGGCAGGCACTCTTCCCGTGCTTTCTCGCGTTGGGCGCGGATAGCGTGGACTGAATGGTATATGGTGATGAATAATGCGTTGCTGTGCAAAACTTCTTAGCCGTCGTCGAAATGGTATTGGTAGGGCAAGTCGCCTTCTCCTGGGCTGGGATGCAAGCGCACAACGGACTGCGCGGAGCGCAAGGAGGAGGATGAGGAGGATGAGGAATTCGGTAGGATAGTCGACGGGCTTCGTTGCTGCGATCTCATGCGCACTGAGCCCGAGCCGAGCGATCGCGTGGATGGCGTTCGTGGACGTGCATACGCGCCCGCGCTGGTATTACGCTGGAGCGACGGCGCCGTTCGCAGAGTCTGCGGGCTCTCTGCGGAGACGAAGGACTGCTTGTCTAGCATTGGCGTTGTGTATGGGAGCCCAGACCTCGACGAGCTGCTCGACGAGACGGAGGGCGCGAGACTTCGCGTGTCGGATTCTATGCTCCGCGCGTGCGCTTCCTCGATGACGGTGGGATCGAGATCTGTCATGCCGTTTAGTATCTCTGCGAACACAGCCATTATCTCCCTGAACTCGTCTTCCGTCAGTGGGCTTGTTGAGAAGCGCGCGTATTCGTATAGCGCGAGGAATCTCGGCCCCAGACTGGGTGGGTTGAGCACGCCAAACGATGCCAATCGCGCAAGGTAGTCTCTCAAGCCCAATGTCCGCGGGCGCTGGAGCAATGCGACGATTTGCGCGTCTGGTAACGTAGGCGTGGTCTGTAAGGCGTGCGCGTGTGTTTCGACGGCCGGGTCGGGCGGCGCGAGGGAAACGGCTTTCGCTTCGATGAGGTTTGGCAGCTCGGTGATGACGTTCCAGTACTGCAGATTCGGCAGGTCTGGAGACGCCGGGGACGCCCAGCCGGGATGCGATATGTGGCCCCAAGGAGGGGACTTTGCCGATATGGGGATTATAGTCGCCGGATGCGCATGGCTCCTCCTCTTGTGGTTGTGATGCCTCTCTGCTGTTCCCGGCCTGCTTCCGTCGTCTTCGGCGTTGCGCGCCTCACCCCTCACGTCCCTCGGCCTGCCATCCCACGCGACAATCGCGCTCCTCCTCAGCTGCTTAACCACCATTCGTCGAACCAGCTTGCCCACCTCGCCTTCCTCGACCGGTATATACGGTTTCGGGATCGCTTGCAGCACGCTGCGATTCGTGTAAAGCCGCGTGGAATATATGAGTAGGACGATGAGGATAGTGAGCACGTAGACGCCGCCGATGACGAAGATCTTCTGGATTTCGGCGGTCTTGATTGACTGGTAGATGGTGTCGGCGGGGGTGATGGCGAGCAGAATGACAAGGATGAAGAAGAGGACGGTGTAGGTGGTGGAGTACCAGATGCGGAAGAGGGTCGGGACGCGCATTGTGGAAGAATGCTGGGGTTAATCGGCGACTATGGGCGGATAGTGTTACATGGTTGGAGATGTGTTTCGAGAGAAGGGAGTGAGGAGCGTCATTGGAACGGTGTTTGGAGCTGCGGTTGCCAAGAAGAGGCACGTGGAACCCCACATTTATGCAGCTCAAGGCTCTCTCGCGCATCATTCCCGCGTGTGTTCTTTCATCTACATCGTTACTTTGTACAATCCATCTTGCAATAGAGGCTTCTCTCGATACGTTTCATTCTAGCTATTCCCCGCAAGCACCCTATGCCATACTCTCATCGGCGCTTCTCCTTTCGTCCTCCCGCATCTACGCCTCAAACTCCCTCTTCTCCTTCCCTGCGAAACACAAGCTAGACGTCGCCTGATCGACCCTGGAATAGTCATAATAGTCCCCATTTGGATGCATCAAATTGATACATGGCCCGCCTGTCGTACACCCCGTCGCGATATCATCTGTAGCGTATCCACAATCAGCCGGAACTCGAACTTCAAGTAGGAACCCAATACGTACACGCTCCACACTGTGTTCCACCAATGATTCGCCCCGCCAGGTTGTTGTCGAAGCCATCGGTGAAGTAGCATGATTTGCGGCCTTTCGTTTCCACGCAGATTATGTCGTTGGATTCAAACTCGCGGACGGCGCCGGCATCGCCTTGGCAGTTTTCCTCGCTGAAGCATTGGATTTTGTGGTTGACGGCGAAGGCTGTGCTGGCGAGGAGGAGCGAGATGAGGAGCTTCATGGCGGATGTTGGTTTGGGGCTGGGTTGGAGTTGCAATGTGCGAAGAAGGACCGCTTTGATCGATATGGAATCAAGTTCGATTGAAGAGATAGTGGCGAAAGGAGGTTTTTGTTTGGCTCCAGCAGATTTTCCACGCTCCAATGTCGGTCTGACTGGTGGGTCTTTATACTTCTCTTCGACTGCGTGAGTCCGTCCTCCCATCCTCCTCATCTCGTCCGAAGAGGCACTGACATCATATCTAGCTACGCACAACCGAAGTCTGCTTCGCCAAGCTACATTACGACCTTGGCTGCCATGGTGTTGCGTTGGACACTGCGCTGAATTCCCGATGTTTATTTGCCCCACACGTCCGCCTCGATGGCGAGTGATCCTCCATGGAGGAGCCGCCGACGATCCTGCACCGAAACATCTAAGCTTATTTTAAGCTCAAGTCCGACCTGCTCGTTTGGATTCAAGTGCCGGTTCCTGAACCACGATGTGATTCGGACGGTTAGGTTTCCCGGGCCGGCTGATTTCCCTTCCTACTCGGATTTTCGTTGATTGGAGAGCCTCAGGAATACGGGGCCACGGTACTGAGAGAATTCGATGTTTCGGAGATGGAAACCGACGATCCATAAGGCCGAAGGATCCCCATTCTCGTATTGCGGACCGAGAGAGCTTGGCAGTGAAGGTGACCAAGATCCCAGGAGATCACATTCCACAGCTCCATCAGGGGAACGTTCCGTCCGGATTTTCATTTGGTTCTCCACTCAAGACACCTCGAAGACTTGTTCACATCTATCGCGACCTCATTGATAATCGTGGGCATTCTCTCCTTCCTCAGCGTCCGCAAGAGTAGTAAGACTGACCCGACTCTGCTTCCCTACCTCCAATCATGCGATTATCTTGAAGTAAGAGAGATTCTTTTAGCGAGTTAGCGGCGCCTTTATTACCCTTCGAAAGTCACCGGTGATCCAGTGTGTTGGAGGACCTTAAGTTAGAGTTATCAACGACTAGAACTCCGCCAGTGTCCTCGCCATGCCGCAAGCCCGTCATACAGCAAAGCAGAGCCGTGTTCGAAGAAGAAGGAACAGACTGACTGAGCCGATACTGTAGGGCCTAGAGTCCTGCAGGCGGAGTAATGTCCCACCAGGCTTTGCCAAGGGCGGAATGGGGCCAGAAAGCCCCATCGGGTCACAAACCCCGACCGGTGAGCATCCAAACCTCGTGAAATGTAGCTCGATGCCTGTTTTGTGTAATCGCCATATTTTCTCTCTCACTTTGTCCCCTTTCGTCATCTTTCATAATATTTTGCTGTTGGCTTCCAAGGTTCCCACGTAGTCGTTTATAGGACGTTCCTTGCTCCATCTGGAAACGGCCAATAGCGCATCTCACATCATCGCATCGGCCGAGCCTCAGCCTTGTCATCAAACCTCGTGCCTGGAGGCCGAACGCCAGGATGGAGAGGCTGTGACGCCCTTGTACGACTTTTTGGTCGTTGTTGGGCCAGGCGGTGGGACGCCGCTGGCCTGACCGACGGAGCATTCTCCATCAGATCACACCTACATGCTTTGTGAGTTCTCGACGTAGACCTTGAGCTCGTAGCTGCGAATGCATCTATCCTTCCTATTCGGGTCATCGCTTGACCCGGTTTGATTTACTCGGTCTCTGTATCCATGTGGCGCAACACTTTGCTGCGCCGCTTGAGCAACCAACTCTCCGGTAGCGCCATCCATCAAAATAGGAGCGTGCGAACACCTGTTGCTGTGCCAGATGGGGCGTTAGGCAGTGTGCACCGCATCCTAAGCTGAGACCAGGGACTGATCTTTCGGGTCATTTTCTGCGATCCAAGCCGCGAGTAGCCTTCCTCCGGATGGAAAAGCGAGATCTGCATCCTTACTCAGGGCGATCTTGTCTGACTAGGTGGAGGGCACGGCCATGTGCGACCTAGTTAGGCGCTGCTGTGCCTTACAGTCTGATGATGGTGGGTAGTACGGTAGATGAGCCCCAACCATGCCTCTAGGAAGGTTCGATTGTGGCCTGGCTATAAGTAGGCCTGATGGCTGTGGGAGCTTTGTTCGTCCCTACTTTCCTGCGCTCTCTGTTCCTCTTTTCTCTCTTTTAGATCTTGCTTGAGTGCTCCTGCCACGTTCGGTAGTTCTTTCTCCTTTAGATCGACTTCTTTAATCAGGCGCCACCGCAGTTGTCTTCCGCGAGTAACCTTATTCTCTTCTACCTTGGCTTGAAAAGGTCCCCATCCAAACAGCGACAATGTCGCTCACAGCTCCCTACTCAAATGCCATGCGCATTGGCCAGGGCTTCAACACATACACACAGGAGATTCGCTTGGAGAGCGCTGTTCGAGTTGGATCGAGTAACAAGCCGAAAAACCCAACGGGCAGTCTTGAGCCGTCGAAGACGACCACAGCGCCATTATCACCGCCAGTCACTCCGGAGACTTCTGTTACCCCCGATCCGCTCGGAGAGATCCCTACCGTGGCTATCAATGGGGTCCAAGCCAGCTCATCAGACGCAGCTGGTGCCTCAAGCAATCCGTCGCCCCCAACCACACCGGGATTAGGCAGCGCGATCGATGTGATATCGGCTCCATCTGGCGAGTTACCTTTCGAGATTCCAGTTGGTACGTACTGTTCTAGGTTGGCTCTACAAAGTTGTTCCTTGAAGCCTCCATCAGCTAATGTGAGCTTCTGTATCCGCAGGTCCTACTCCAACTACCAGCCAAAGTGTCACATACTCGACACGTGCGATCGAGAATGTGAGCGATATCATGGACGCACTAAACATTTCGACGTCTATGTCCATCAAATACGGGACGATCCACGGAAACGGCAACGCTTCCTTCGTGAACGAGAACAAGGTCCTAGACAGCGAGCTCAACTACATCGTCAGTGTCATAGTCAACAATGATGCGCAAGCTGCAACAGAAGAGATGGAATTCCAGGATATCCCCGGCCTGCCACTTGACAGGTTCACAGAAGTCTACGGCGACTGCTTTATCTCCGGATTTACGGAGGGCGGCGAGTTCAGCGCCGTTATTTCCATTAAGCTCAACGACAAGAGCAAGTACAGGGCCGTCAAGCAGGCCGTTGACGTTCAGCTCGCGGTCGGGCCACCCACTCTCGAAATCGGTGCTAGTGAAGCACTGTCCAAGGAGCACAGCGAGGCTTTGAGGAACACTGAGATTTCGATATCGGTCAATTGGGTCGGCGGAGGCGAGATCAAGAAGCCGAAAGTCCCCTGGACGATCCAGAGTGTCGTCGCTGTCGCGAATGCCTTTCCGTCCATGGTTTCGCGATCCTCTGCGAGAACACAGGCCATATTGACAAGATACACTTCCCTCCGGTCTTTCCAGGCCTGGAAGTGGAGTAGACTTCTTGAGCAGCGCCGGATCTGGGAGAGTGATCCAAGGAATCAGAAAGGAGGTGAGAATAACAAGGATGGCAAGGAACGATATGAGGAACCGGTCATCATCCTCAACTATGTTCCATGCTCGCTCTATACTGCCGAACTTTTCGATGCATTGATGAATTACAAGAAGCTATGGAAGCGGATCGGCGACAGTAAGTGGGCGAAGGGCAAGGCGTACGTGTAAGCGGATGCTGATTCGGAACCAGTGCTCCAAAATCCGTCGCAGTACAAAATGAGGCCCAACTCACGAAGGAGGGCAACCAACGAGTTGAAGGGAAAGCCCACGAATAAGAAGCCCTCTCCCGTGTTGACCAAAGACCTGAAGCAGGCCATTATCAGCAGTCCTATCTCTGGCGGCGAATCTCCTTGCGCGGATAAAGCGATCGAGTCTTTGGGAATGGAGCGCGCCTTCACTTTCGCGGTTGAAGAGGGGGCGACTGGTTGGAATCTGGTGGAGAACAATATGTGTCAGGATCCTATTCCTCCCGAGCCTGTGGCGCTGAACGAGGCTCGCTTGCTATGCCGTGAGGCGATGACTTTGATCACGGAGGAGGTAAGTGTTCGGGCATCTGAATCCAACCACGGCCCCTTGTACTCACGATGTTGTGATAGGCTTCACGACTGGTAGACCACCCCCACCTCGCCTACGCAGAGTACGACTCGAAGACGAAATCCACTCGCATGAAGCGCCCGAATTACGCCTATCCCCATGTGCTCAAAGAGCGACTGCCCATTCCTATCCACAATGACATCGTCTCGGACCTCTCGACAGATGGCGCGTACCTCAAGACCGTCGCGTATGCACTGGAAGACAACATGTGGTTTGAGCCAGACATGGTTGGCGACCCAAAGGCCACAGACTCCGACCTGAAGGAAAAGTTCGGCATCGGAGGCAAGTACGAAGACTTTAGCACCCTGGAGCTCACCGAGCCCCGGGGACCAAAAGGTGCGAATCCACTTCGCCGCATCGCGCTCCACCGCTACAGTCTCTCATCCTTCAAAAGTTGGATCGCAAGCACCGGCCTCAAACAGGCGGAAAACGCCATCGGCGCGATCGGCCTTGCTCGCATCCACGACAGTCCCGACGAGGCTGAAGCGGACGGCTGTAACCACCACCTCGGCCACTTCCATCGCGGCGATGACGCCTCAGATTTCAAGTCCCTCGATCTCGGCAACGTCGACATTACTAAGATTGACATCGCCTACGTCCCTGGGTCGGGGTACATTGCTGGAATGACCTTCTACGATCAGATCGATGGTCAGCATACTGAGAGGCTGAGGTGGAAGCAGTGGGAGGGCAAGGAGCCGCAGGGGTTGGTCCATATCTTCAATGAGCCGCCGGAGAGGGGCGATGGCACCGTGTGGAGGTTCGCCGGACTCGCAGGAAGCTGGATCGATACGCTCGGAAAGGGACATGTGCTTGCGAGGGTGACTGGTATTTGGAAGAAGGCCGGCGACGAGTGATTAGGCGGTGCTCTTTCGAGAAGCGGGCGTTCCGGAGCACGCAGAGGTTCCTTCAGCACCTTTGTAAACCTGAGGCTGGAAGCTTTCAGCTCACCATATATAATTGGCATTGTCATGTTTCATGCACAGAGTACTATACGCAACGCACAATTTTAATCCGACTATTTTGGCCCGATTTCTGTGAGCTTTCCGATGCTTTCCACGACGGGTGACGCAAGCGCGTCACGAGATCAGCGAGCGATGCGCGACGCGGGGGCGATGGTTGGAGGCAACCACTCTTCATAAATACCGTATCTTCTCCCTCGCCGTCGTATCGCGTCACTATCTTGACCTACTCATTCCCCTTTCAATTTTGCTGCATAGCCGCGATTGGCACCTCGTCGGCCCTCTACCCGCCATTCCTCCAACCAGCGCTACCAGTTTCGCTGCCCCGCAATTGGCGCACGCCAAACCCTCTCCACAAACAGCATCACTCGCATCGCCTTAGCCGCAGCAAACTCGTTGATTCGACGCGGCCGCCGGCCCGACTCTCTCTTTTCGCTGTGTTCAGTCTAGAGCCCGCGACCCGGTCCAGCTAAAGCGTGTCCCCCTCGTCCAGCCCTTTCCCCTTCCAGCATACGCTCCCTGTACGAGCGACAAGAAGTGTTGGCCTGCGAGCGGGCGCTGGGCCTAGCAACGAACGATTGAAGGCTTCTCATAAACGCCCTCTGGTCGGAGCGTCACGAGAAAGGATGTCCATAAAGTGAGTACTACTACCCCCTCCCAGAATACGAAGTCGGAGCCCAACTGCCCCTCCCTGCCCGCACCCCGCCACGCGCACAACTTGACAGAGCTGTCGAGCTTGGGACGCCGATCACTGCGAGAGGCTATTGGAGGGCGGAAATGATGAGGAAGATCAAGTCTAACCGGAAGAACAGTTGGGTGATGCTCGCTGAGAGCAGCGGGTATACGCCGCTGCCTGGCGAGCAGACTCTGTACCAGTCCCCGCCCCGGACCACGCTCTCGCTACAGAGCAGCAACGGGAACCCACCGAGCCAGGCGTATTCGCAACAGTGCAAGTCTGGCGTTGTATATCTCACAAACCGGCGGGTATGGCAGACATCCTAAGCTTCCGGTGGGTGTCCTCAGGCTGATGCAAGTTCTCTAGATCATATACCTACCCGTCACCCCGACCTCAGAATTCCAGTCCTTCGCCGTACCCATCCTCAACGTCACAGACTCCCGCGTCACAGCCCCGTGGTTCGGAGCGAACAAGTGGGAGGCGATAATACAGCCTGTTTACGGCGGAGGCATACCACCAAATCATGACGAGCTGCAGCTCACCATGGAATTCAAGGAGGGTGGAGCATTCGACTTCTCGACCATCTTCGAGCGGCTAAAAGAACGGCTACGGCAGGCTGTCGATGTAGCACGGGAGAGTGGGCTAGCAACAGGAGACGGCACCGAGATGGGCGACGGACGGGGCGGAGGCGCGCTATCCGGAGTGAACCTAAACTCAGTACATCTGGAAGATCTACCGGCATACGAAGAGTCGCGGCAGCATGCGAGAGTAGCAGATCCGCTGCCCAGCCCTCCGATAGGGAGGGGGAGCGTGGGAGGAGCGTCTTCGTCATCGGCGAACAGGTCGAGCCCGCTGTCGAGTCCACATCAAGAGACCTTCCAACCGCCGACAGAACCACCACCAGGGTATGAGGAGGTACAACAACGGAGCGTTGCGGATGAGCTGGAGAGGAGGCTGCGGATCCCAAGGCGGTTTGATGACAACGACTGAGCCTGCTGCTTCGGCTTGTTTCTCTTCAAAAGCAAGGCGTTCATGGAAGGCTCTGCATCGCTTTTGGTGACTCCTCTGACCATGTATCTGATGGCTCACGCGGGTAGGGTTTTGGGCAGCCTCAATGGCAGCGGTAGATGGATGCTGTGGTGAAGACAGCGGTTCGCACACTTAAGCTTCATCCTTCTTCACTCTGTGAAACTTACCGATCAACAAACGGCCCTGGGGGTTTCTTCGGCCCGCGGACTGTGGCATTAGCACCTCGGAAACCTCCGTAGCCTCCACTAAAGATGATGTTTCGGACCATGATGACCATGATGCGCACATGACAGTTCGAAGCTATCCGAATGGTGAACTCTCCTAGACATGTGAATCCCCAAGCCGCCCGCTCTGCATGTGAAAGCTGGGGTGCGGTTGCGCTATACCGCATCCAGGAATTGCCTCGGCGATGATGTAGCTCCGATGATCAACCTCTTTGACCTCATAAGAAAGCACTGCTTCTTACATTCCGGTCTCAGGTTCTTACCATAGCTCGTTTCTTCTTCATTGATTGTATAACTTCACCTTCGTACTTCATCATGGCAAACCAGACAGGACGCGGCCAGCAGGGTACGTTGACGGCTTGTTTATGGAGGGCAACGGCGTGGAGTGGACGCGATGCTGACGATTCAATAGCCCAGGAACGGCTTTCGCAGGTTAGCAACCACTTGAGTGGTGGTGCGGGCAGGACGGGCAAGCAGGCTCTGTTGGAAAAGCATCCTGATGATGTATGTTTTCTCTCCATCTCGTCGGGTTTCTCTTTCAGGGCTGAGGGACTCCGCCTGAAGCCTGTGGCGACGGCTTCTGAGCGAGCTCCACGCCTACGAGGGCTTGGGCGAACCTAGGGAATTGGAGACATGGACTAACATTCTAATCCCCAGATCGTCGTAACCTGCGCGCTCCGCACACCCATCACCAAAGGCGGCAAGGGTGGCTTCAAAGACACCGCCTCGGCCGACCTCCTCCACGGCGCCTTCACCTCCTTGATCAAACGCTCCGGCATCGACCCTTCCCTCGTCGAAGACATCGCCGTCGGCAGCGTGCTCGCTCCCGGAGGCGGCGCTACCGAGTTTCGCGCCGCTGCCCTCGCAGCCGGCTTCCCCGTTACCGCATCCTGCAAGTCGCTCAACCGGCAATGCTCGTCTGGCCTCCAGGCCTGCGTCGATATAGCCAACCAGATCAAGACCGGTATGATTGAGATTGGGATTGGGGCTGGTGCGGAGAGTATGAGCACGCAGTATGGACCGCAGGCTGTGACGGAGTTCTCAGAGCTGCTGGAGAGCCACAAGGAAGCCGCAAATTGCAAAGTGCCTATGGGCATGCTAAGTGAGAAGATGGCAAAGGCGAAAGGCATTCCGCGCTCCGAGCAGGACAAATTCGCCGCATCCTCGTTCCAGAAGGCCGTCGAGGCGCAGAAGCAGGGTCTCTTCGACGAGGAGATTGCTCCTCTGACGGTCAAGTGGACGGACCCGAAGACCGACGAAGAGAAAACTATCACCGTCTCGAAAGACGACGGCGTCAGGGAAGGCATCACTGCCGAAAGTCTCGGCAAGATCCGCCCGGCCTTCGCAAAAGACGGCTCCATCCACGCCGGCAACGCCTCGCAAATTTCAGACGGCGCCGCCGCCGTCCTTCTCATGAAGCGCAGCACCGCGCAGCGCCTGGGTCAGAAAATCGTCGGCAAGTTCGTCCAAGCGTCCGTCGTCGGCGTGCCTCCGCTCATGATGGGTGTCGGCCCCGCGGTCGCCATCCCAGCCGTCCTTCAAAAGACCGGCCTGGATAAGAACGACGTGGATATCTGGGAGATCAACGAGGCGTTTGCGAGTCAGTGCTTGTACTGTATTAATGAACTGGGGCTCGATATTAAGAAGGTGAATCCGAAGGGTGGCGCTATTGCGTTTGGACATCCGCTTGGGGTGACGGGAGCTAGGCAGGTTAGTACGCTATTGACGGAGTTGAAGAGGAGGGGAGAGAGGATTGGGGTTACGAGTATGTGTGTGGGGACGGGGATGGGTATGGCGGCTGTTTGGGTTGCGGAGTAGACGTCGTACACATTATCCTTCTGGACTTCCTGATAAATGTATGAATACGGAATATAGACGGTCCATTGTAGGTGTATGCTACGCTATGAATTTTTCGAATGAAGGAGTCGTATGCTTCGTGAGCCTGATCGTCTAACGAGGGGTATCTAATGCAGAAGACTAGACATGATGCAACCCCACCTAACGCCCTGTCCTCAAACGCCAAAGATGCCCGTTTCCGACATCGTACAGTACAACGCCATATCCACCCCCATACCACACTCTCTCCTCACGCAAAAGAAGCTACATCCCCCTAAGAAGTCCCCAAGCGAAAAGGATGCGCCTCGGTATTAAACACCCACTCATCCAAGCTCATAAACCCAGGCTCACTAAACACCAGATAAAAATACTTCAGCGTCTCGCTCAGCCAAAAGCTCTCCATCTTATCCTCCTTCACGCCATCGTCGCGCATCACATCGCGGATCGCCGCATTCGCGTACGCCGTCCGGCTCTGGCTGTCGATCGCCTGGAACATGTCCCACGCGATGTCCTGGTAGCTGGCGTCGCCCGTGATGCGGTACAGGTAGAAGACGGACTCGATGGCCTCGGGGCGCAGCATGTAGCGCGCGTCGGAGACGCGGGCGAAGCCGGGGTGTTGTTGCGACGGGTGGCTAGCGTTGTAGGCGCAGGCGGAGTGCGTGGGGCAGGCGGCCATGGTGAAGATCTCGGGCATGATGGAATGGGGCGCGTTGCGGTAGGTCCAGATGCAGGCGTCGGTTACGCGGCGGCCGTAGGCGACGTGCGTGGTGTTTTGCGCCAGGCGGCCGCCCAGCGCGAGCATGCCGCCGACGAAGCAGGCGAGGTGCTGCGCGGTGTGGTCTTGGGAGACGCTGGAGGGGGAGGTGGCGCGGACGACGGTGGGCATGAGGATGTCTGCTTGTTCGTCGGGGATCATTGGTCGGAACAAGAGGTATTTTATCACGGAGTCTATGGCGTAGTTGTACATTTTCTTGTACTGGGCGGCGTCGGAGCCGACGCCGTGGAGCAGTTGGTAGGTCTTTCCGAGGTATTCGTAGGCGCTGTCGGCCATGGCGCCGAGGCTGAACTGCGTGTCGTATGTGAGGTCGGGGGTTTGCGCGTTGATGCCTACGGGCCAGAGCCCCGGGAGTTTGGTAGCATTTTGCTGCGAGGAGAGGATGGCAGTGACGCGGGTTACGGCGTCGTAGTAGCGCATGTCGCCGGTGAGTTGGGAGAGGCGGGTGAATTCCATGCTGAAGGATGCTAGTTCTGCGATGATGGCGTTTGCGGCTGCAGTTTGCTTCTCGCCGTTAGAGGCTTTCTTTGCGTTCCAGCGGGTTATTGGCGTGCGGCTTGGTGTATCGAAACTGGCGTAGATCATGTCGCCCAGCTCCATGGCCTTCTCGAGGAGTCTGCTGTCTTTGCAGTCGGTCAGGTCGTACGCCGCCAGCAGGCCGCCCAGGTAGCGAATAGTGATCTCGAACATGTTGACTTCGCCATCACCGGGCTTGAAGTCGATTTCAGTGACGGCGTCGACGGCTTCGCGGAACTCGGCTTTTAGGTCCATGATCCAGAGCGTGTCGAGGCTATCGACTAAGGTCGCTCCCCACCCGCCGAAGGTCCTCGCTGATCCACCTGAGATGGGTCGCAACTCGTCTTTCGTCCACGCACGTTCCTTGTAGGATCTCCAGCAGCGCATGAACGCCGCCTTTACTGCAGCTTGCCGCCGCTTTCGCATAAGCTCCCCGTACAGGGGTGTCTCCTCTTGTTCAAAATCATACTGGACTTTTGGAAGCTTCTTCCTCCTTCCGGACGGCAATTGTGCGAGCTTCTCGACTGGATAGTGGGTCTCGATACCTCGCCAATTGAATCCGGCGCTGGGTGGAGATAATAGAGCCGGGTATGGCGGGTTGGCAGGGCATGTCTTCTGCGATGAGGGATATCGCGGAGGAGAAGGAAGAATCCGCAGCGAAACGTCGGTGTAATTAAAGAGGATGAAAGTAAAGAAAACAAAGACGAGAAAAGCGGGCCACCTTACCGGGCGCCGTGAGCGCGTAGCTGCGCTTTTGTGTGCATACATGAAATTTCGTCGCGTGTTATCAAAGAGAAGAAGAGAAGAGAGACTGGAATGTGTGACGCAGTAGACCGTTAAGAGGCGGCGTGCAAACCTACCGTCGTCGAGCAGTGAGCGGTTACGCGGCACTCGTGCACCCTGCAGCAGTTCCGTGATCCGTGCAGATCAAGATGCATCGTGGATCACAAGTGTTTCATGTCGACTCTCCGACGACAGAGCCTCAGTGAGCTGCGGAGGGTGAGGAGTGTCGTTGACGCCGCCTTGCTTCGTTTGGAGTATCAAGGGTCGGGCTAGCCCGTTTCGTCGTAGAGCGCCAAGACAGCGAATCCGCTCTGGACGTCTCCACCGCGATCCGACGTCGATGACAACGCTTGAAACGCTCTCTCGGCACTTGAGTTGCCGAGCTGCCAACTTGAATGCGATTGATATATGTTGCTCTGGCGCCATTCAGCCCTCCTCACCCGTCCTATCATCATCCCCCGAAGACCTCGCCGGCCGGACGACGATTGGATGTTTAGCAACGCATCTCGAAGCAGGATCTGGCATCTTAGAACAAGCATAACAAGCATGTCTCCGCGTTTCGCTTAGCATGCGGCAACAGGAAATGTGCGGCGGATCATTGCTTCGCAGAGTCTTGGAAGCCTTGGGCAAACATGGCGTGTATCAGATTCGACATACCGGCATATTCGGCCGCACGCCGTTCAAGCAAGCCACTATGCCTATGCAACACCGTACGTCAGTTTTGCTGCTCGTCTTCGCTCATTCCGACCGCCCTGAACTACATGTGTTCGTGTCCGAAGTCAGCCTCGACCAGACGCCCGGAATTTGTGGCCTGGAACCGGGCTTCCGCACGCGCTTCATAGCAGATGCTGACTACAGCTGGCAGCGGGCCAGGCAACGATGCGGGCACCAGAGGTGAGGTCCGTTGCTGATGCGAAGCTCTGTTGCCAGTGCGACGACTTCTCATCGTAATAGGCGGAGGCCCAAATCTTGAGGCATAGTTCTTTAGTTGAAGTTTCGCACGTGCAGTGAATACACCGTTGGCGGACTGCAACGCGCAACTTCAGTCTAGCCAACGATAGGTGTCCGTATGTTTCACCTTAGAGAGCGTCACCACAGAATTATACTGTTCTTGGCAAAATTTACAAACAAAGGCCCAACTAACCTTTTGTTCCATCGCCATAACCACCCATACCATAGCTTCCAACTCAATCGATAATGGCGCCTCCGCGCAGACCTCTGAGGGTAGCCAGGCCTGACTTTGCTCAGTCCGCCCTGCAGCATCCTTCGGAGCCGGATCGGCAGCATGCTTTCGGAAGCGATTCCAACAAACGCCGTAAAACAGACACCTTCTTCCGCCCCGCCCAACGCTATGAGGCCCTCGACCCAGCGCTAGTGCAACCGACGTCACTCATTCAGCAAGAGAACAACATCCTGATCACGCAAGACACCGGGAAGCAGTACCAGCTCGCGGTCAAGGACTTCAACGTGCGTGTGCGGGACAACCGAATAAGGGCCAAAGACGAGCGGGTCTCTGAGTTGGAGGAGGAAAATGAACTGAAGGACTTCAGCCTCAGCGAAGCTTTGCTCCGGAAGCAGGAACTGATTCGGCATGCGGAACGCCAAGAGCTCCTCAGCGAGGCTCAAGCCGCGCATATCCAGGAGCTAATGTCGATGGTCGCGTCCGACCGCGCCAAATTGATGCTTCAAGATGAGGAGATCCATATCCTGAAGGCCCAGCTAGAGACGCAGCAGCGGTACATTAAAAACTTGGAGAATCGCCGGCTCCTTGATCAGGTGCTGGAGTACGCCAGACACCTGTTTGGCTGGGCCATCGAGAGTTACGACAGGACGACCATTTTCCCGTTAATGCAGCTGCCTGGAGAGCTCCGGAACAATATATATAAGAGCTGCCTCGTTGCGCGCCGCCCCATTGATTTCTGGCCCATGATTGCGGAGGACGCGCCATCAGGGACCACACGGGCATCGATCCTCCAGGAGAACCTCAAGCACATCAACGTCAATCTGCTTCGCGTTTCGCGCCAAGTCCACAAAGAGACCGTTGGTATACTCTACGGTTGCAATCGATTCCGGTTCTCGGACGTAGGAGCCTGGACTGTGTTGGAAGGCTTCCTCACCCACCTGAACAGAAACTGCCGGCACATTACCAACATCTCGGTAAGCTGTGCGGACGGGGTATGTAGGTCGCAGTGCACACTCTAGCATGTCTCGGGTTTTGACTGCAGAAAGCTCTTCCTGAAGGCCTTTGGAAGACAATGACCAAGACAGGCTAGAGTGTTAGCTCTCCTCCTCGTGATTTGACACATCTGCTAAGCGTATCACCAGCTCGCCGCCATATTCGACGACGCCATGCCTCTAGAGCAAGACGTTGAGCGCGCGATCCGCGAATACCAGCCCATCCTCGATCGATTCAACATGACGCTGGATAGTCCTATTGGTCCGGCATTACAAACCGCGAATGCCTCCAGCAGGGCATCAGAAATCTTGCTGAAGCTGCCCGGCTTGCGCAGCTTTACGATAGTGATGCCCTACAACGTGCAGCTGTACAGCTTTTCTGGCCGCCACCTCTGCAAGATGTTAACAGACGACGATCGAAGTCTCTACCCCGGTCAGAAGCCAGCTAGTAGTCCGGAGCGGGTGCTAGTCTTCTTGAGGCGCCCTCAATACCGCCGTCGGGTGATGTTCCAGTCAGATCTGGATGACGATAGGCTGATGGGGCGAAGGGATCTGCAGCGCGAAGCACGCCGGCGAGGCGTGGAAATCGAGCATGGGGAGTATGCCAGCCATGCTGATGGTGTGTCGTATATTCTTGATTATGAAGAGGACGAGTATGACGTGGATATCCCAGATTATGTCGAGAATGGAGGGGCTAGCAGAGTCCTCCTTCGTTCGCTGTATGTGGCAAAGAAGATGTTCGGCTATTGACTTTGCTCAGCCTGGAGGCCAAGGAGGGGTGAAGTAAGACCGGGCTGATCTCTCTGGCCTAGAGGTGAATAGTCTCTGCTACCACGAAAGGATGGATAGCGAGGGATTGCGATGGTCGTGGTTCCATTCACGGTGACGATACGTTGGTGAGAAAATAGTATGCTGTAGACTCTTGCAGAATGACCCCGTCCTACTCGTTTAATTGCGCTCTGGGTCGACAAAGTGATACAAGTAAATTTGACTCGGTGGCCCATGCAAGCCAGGCAATACCGGATAACTAATGTGAATGTCCTCTTCGGCGATTGGACGTTTCCCGATCTGCATGCATGCTGTAGTCGCATCCGCTTATCTGCGCGTCTCAGCCGCACCACCATCAGTGATCAGCCCTCCTAGGACCACGCACTTCTTTCCCACCGTGAACTCCAGCCGTTGCAGAGGCCACAGCCAAAGCATGGCGAGCCAACCTACGAAAAACTGGATTCCCGTGTACAATTTCTACTGGCCACCCGACGCCATCCCACTCGGCCAGGTGGTTTCCAACCCCCAGTGTGTGCATCAACCTCTTGCATCCACGCTCGACTTCCACGTCCCCATCGACACACCTATCCACATCGAGATCGAAATCGAAAGCCCGTTCCGAAGAGCCATTACCAAGCAAAAGAAGCAGCACAAGGTGCACGTCGGAACCCCAAGTTTCGTGCCTCAAGGCAGCTTGATCCGAATATGGCATCGCGTAACGGGCGGCATTGAATGGGGGCGCGAGGAAAAGGACGAAATCGAATTTACCAAGATGCAAAGACGCTCTTTTACTCCCAGCGAGGCCTTTGCGAGAAGACTGATCGGCGAGCACGAGGTCCACGAATTCTTCAAGAAGTGCAAGTATAGGAAGTCGGTTTTCGTAGTAACTGGCGTAATGACCGGTGAGGAGGGGAATATCGTGCACAAGAGGTTACGGAAATTACTGGGCCGGCTGCCGGTTGTGTTCTCCGCAGACATCCAGCTTCAGCGGAATGAGAAATTTGCCGTTCATACGCCCGTAGTGTTGGCTTATAAGCTGTGTATGATCTCGCTGAAGGCTCCAGGTGCAATGCCAGAGACGAAGGAATTCGTGAAGCGGGCGCAATGGTGAGGAGCTCTCGATTTCCAATAGCTTCCAATAGAATGGGTAGTTACAGCACTTGGCCTTACAATATATAGCATCTCTACCAGCGCACAACTGCTTAGGCATGGAGGCCTCATAATTCTATCTTGGGGTTCCAGGCTGTACTAGCCGAGTGTCGGCAAACCACCGTCAGATACCCCCGAGCTGCGTTATGGCAGCTATCACCGCAATGAGCACTGAAATACCGTTAGCGTAACTCAGTTGTAGCATCAATCACTCACCACTCGCTCCTCCTATGATGAATGACGAGATTGTCCACGCAGTCTGCACTATGGCAATCCTGTCACCCTCTTGCGCATACTGGAACCAGAACCCAACCGCAAGACTCAGGATAATAGGAGTCACACCATAGACAGCTATTTTGGCAATAGACCACCGGAGAATAAGCTGCAGTGCATAGCAAGGTTTCCCTGGCTCACGGTCTCCGTGGTTGAAACGTTGCTGAATCCATGGAAGCCATCGGAGCTCGGAAAGGGTATTGCGGCGCGTATAGTCGTGAAATAACTCCGTCAGGAGGAGCTCGGTCTGACGATCCAAATCGACCGCCTCGTGGTAGGCATGGACAGGGTGGCATTGGTAGACGGCGAACCCTTGGATGCTTTTCAATGACAAAACGCGCTTCCACCAGGGCCGGAGCTGTCTAGACGCGAGCCGAATGGCCTGAAAAAGGTGCTGGTGAGCTATGCCCTCGATCAAGCGCTCGCGCGGTACCCCGGTCCACTTGTCCATGATTCCGATCACGATATGATTGTGAGCGTATCGGCGTTGGGTTTCCATGTAGCAATCCATCTTTCGCTCTGAACTCAATAGCCATTTGAGATTGAGACCATCTTGTTGATCGTTTCCTTCCTCTTGCGCGCTACTTCCTTGGCCCTGCCCTCTGGTCCATTTATGGAGGTCGGTATAGAGGCCTCTTCTAGGATGCGGTTGGAAGTTTGCTCGTGCACATAGAGGCTCCTCTATTCTGCCTGACCAAGAAATCCCGAGCCATCGTACGCGGTAGCGTGTATCGCTCGAGACCACGATCCGCTCTGGGGGGTCTAGGCGCAGGCCTGCCTCTGATCGCGGCCTATTACCAAGCAGCGGGCGTGATTCGTGATTCCCTGGATTGGGAGGCGAACTTTGCTCATCATCGTCATGCGTTTTAAGCTCCTCTTGATTCGCCTGCTCGCTATCAGATGCAGTCTCCGAGGTTACCACTTGGTGAACGGGTTTGACGTCAGCGGCCGCCAGCTCTTCGGAGGGCATCGGTGCTATTGATCAGCAAACAGGGAGAAGTGCGTATGGAACTGACACGAGCAAGTTATTGAGCTGTACGCACAAGACGGTGCAACAATTCTCGTGGTAAGGAAGGACGAGTGTGGGATGCCGACACTCAGCCTTCCGAAGGTGGAGCTGAACGCCTCTCGTTAGTCATCCAACATCCGATGTCAATCACCGCCACTGTCGCTTCTTATTGGCTGCGCGGATGAGAAGACTAGTATTATCCAATACAGGAATGGAAATATCCATACCTACTTGTCCAGCGCAAGATAGCTGGACGGGGAAGCTTTTGTTGAGATTCGACTTCTGCCTAACTAGACAGTTATCTATGATTCTAACGCACACAGTAGGTCGAGTACTAACTCACTTTACGCTTGTATACGGCAGTCCGGCCTATGAGGGAAGTTGTTGAGCGAGCGAGGACCTACAAACGAACCCCCGAGATTCAATGTGGCCGATCTCACCAATGGCCTCTTGGAGCGCGTGTCTTTGAAGCAGTGTTGAAGCAGGGATGGACGTGTCCTTCTGTCTGGATGCCCCTGGCCCCAGGGTCTGTTGAATCAAATTTGATCAGGGGAGTCAGAGAAAATAGCAGTCCCATTGGGGGGGATCAGAGTTGCCTTACCGATACAATACGTTACTCAGCTACGGAACACTATGCCACACCCTATCCCCCTCCCTCGGCGGCTCCAAGAAATCCACGGGCACATCCTCCTTACCCGGCAACTGATGTTTCTCCGCCCACTCCCTAATCGCGTCAAAGTTCCTGCACTTATGCACGGTGTTGAAGTCCACGAATGCTTCCGGGCCCTTCCCTGGAGGCTGGTACCACACCTGGCCAAGGACGCCGATGTCCGCGGTGCACATCAGCTGCTGGCGGAGCGTGTCGAGGCAGTGCGCTAGATGAGTTGACTCGTCAGCGCTTCTTCCTAGAATGGATGGGACTTATGGCGGGCAGGCTGGCTGTACTCACTGACGTGGTATTTCAGGATGTCGGGCTCGTTGGAGAAGGGCCCCAGGCCTTGTTTTTGGTAGTAGGCGAAGTTCCAGGCCAGGGATTTGCGGAGAAGATTCTAACCATCATCATCAGTTCAGTACTATTCTTTCTGTTAAACAAACAGCGTGAGAGCTTACCAAGCAGTGCAAGTGGTGCAACCCCTCTACATGCGCTGGATATCCTCCGCCATACTTCTCCTTAACTTTCACCTGATCGGGCGCAAGGCCAGAGCGCGCAGCCTGCTCAATCGGGATCCTCGCAGCGTGGTCTTATTAAGTCAGTAAACAAACCATCACCTCCACAGGGCTGCCAGGAGTGAAGATGAGATCCCACTTACAGTCCGCGCCCAAAGACTTCCACGCCGCATCGACCTCCGGCCCAGCATCCTGCCTAAACGCATTCGACTTCAAAAGCGAGCCATTGAATCTGACTAGACTCCATTGAATGCCGACCTCGTCAACTATAGGAGCTTCTCGCTATCAGCGATGAACGTGTTTGAATCTGCGAAGCGCGCGCCTTACAGTATTGCGAAGTGTGTCGGATGCTGAACGCATCGGCGTCAAGACGCTCGAATCGCACCACCCAGGCACCAACCAGTGCTGATATGAATGCTGTAAATACCAGTAGAATAGCTGCAGCGAGCCATGAAGGACCACCTCTTGAAAAGCGTCTTCGAGGTTGCGCGTCGATGGAGGACCGTTCGGTGTCGGAAAGGAGATGCTCAGCGTCCTCCGAGTCGGGCAGCCGCTCGAACTCAGGCGTCTTTTCCGACTTCCAGTCGAACATGATGGAAAGAAAGGGTTTCGAAGTCTCGAAATTCTAGTTTCGCAACCGTGTGTTTGAAAGGCTCGCGGCGAGAGCTCAAGGTCCTCTTGCTGTGTTCTCAATTAGCTCTGCTACTAGCACCAAGCCCACGCTGGTCAGTAACTAAGAAAGCCTCCTCGTACCACCGACACCCAAAAGCAAGATCCACAAGCCTCCCTAATCTCAGCCCTGAAACTAGTATTCGCCTCTCCTCGCTACAGTACCCCGCCCCGATCTCCTTCGCGCTCCTCCATCCACTGACGTTCGCTTGTGGCGCACAAGGCTGAGATCCAGGCCCGGACCCATTCCCTTGGCACCACGCTGGCAAGCTCTCGTCAATCTGCATGAATGAGGTAATGTCGAGCGCAGCAGACTTGGCGGATTCGCTTGTTGGAAGCTTAAGCTTTGGCTGTTGACATGGAACGTACCTAGGTTGTAGACTAGGGGCGAGCGAGCGGATGGAAGATTGTCCAGCTTATGCGTGTTGCACTAGCGAGGGGGCCGCATTATGATGAGGAAGGGGAGTATCCAGCGAGGTCGAGATCGCTTGCAAGGCGGAGGTCCTGCTGCGGAGATCTACGAGGTGCACACACGGCGTACCAAGCTCAGCGAAGCTTAGAAGCCCCCAAGCCCGATCGCTCCTCCCATAGCTGCCACAACATCTCACATACTTGCCTCTCCTCGGAGCCCTCCCCCCCAAGCATCCAAGCCTCACAACACCCCAAAGCAAATCCCGCATGCCCTCGTATTCCACACTCCCTTGGCCTTCCTCCCTCCTACTGCAAGATTTCAATAGCCTCGCACTAAGCCCCTAACAGCCTCCGCCAGCTCGCCGTCCGCCCTATAAGGCTCTCCGCCCAGCGCCCCATCGCCAAGCAGAAGCTTGCCTTTACTACTTCGCGTATAGCAGTCCACCTCGCTGCTCTTCAGCTTCAAGCCGCGAGCTTGCTTGTGTGAAGGGTATTGCGTGCCTGGAAGCTCCTAGCGCGGCGCGGTCGCTTGATAACGTGGAATAGGGTAAATGGTATGTGGAAGGTGGAAGGAGGAAGGCAGGCAGGAGGATGGACGGGACGGAGAGGGGGCTGAAGATCGTGCGGTGCGGTGCGGTGCGGTGTATAAGAGTGTGTGAGGCTCCTCTCTCTGCAAGTGCCGTTGCGTGCGTAGTACCTGTCCTGTCCTGTTCCCAATTGCCACAGGCTTCCGCGGGATTTCGTCCATCCGTCTCCGTTCATCGTCTTGAGCAAAAAACCTATCCCAAGTCTATCAGCTCAAGCATCACTACATTCAGGATGAAGCTCACCCTCGCTTTCCTCGCCCTCGCCGCCGCGGCCCTTGCTGCACCCGTCGCCCAAGGAACCTACGGTGATTACGGTATGATACGCGTTTTGTTTCCTCTTTCATGCTCCAACTCCACCCCCAACCCTGTCACCCTGATCCTACGCGTCCAATGCCATTCATGCCCCGTCCGTCTGCTATGCAGTCACATCTCCGCCGCACCCCACAGACCCTTCTTAACCCTCCATCAACCCCCCTCTAACCACCTCCCAGGCTCCTACGACAACGCCCCCGCCGCGCCCCCCGCAAACGGCGACTACGGCAGCTACGGTGCGTTCCCCCCTTCCCCTTCCCTTCCCCCACCCCAAACACGCTACTAAACCCACCCACCCTAGGCTCCTACAGCAACGTCCCCGCCCCGCCCGTCGACAACCCGCCTCCGCCAGCCGCCGGCTACGGCGATTATGGCAGCTACGGCGACGTGCCGCCGGCTGCGCCCGCGGACGGGGATTATGGCGCCTATGGCGATTATGGATCGTATAAGAGGGATGGGGAGAAGGCTGCGGAGGAGGAGAAGAAAGTTTGACAGGGAGATGTGTGAGAGGTGGCAGTGGGGAGGGAGGGGATAGTTGGGGTAATGTGGTGGGGGCTGCTGGTGGTTGATGGATGATAGATGATGGATGGTATTGTACTGTACATACATAGCTAAGTCGTGTGGCGAGAGTAATTATGGAGTGGCATGGTAATCGTTTGATCTCTCGTAGGCTTTTGTAACGTGAGTGGGAGCTGCTTTGGGGAATCAGTCTTGCAATGCTGCTCAATGATGCGATGAAGGAAGCGTCTTCGTGAACGAAGGGTGCTTGACATACCTCATTCATCCAAGGCGAACCACACATACAGCACGAGCAAACCTCGACATTAGAGCCGATCCCACATCTTTTGCATGCAGCAGCACCAAATAATTTCATGCACCTATACCCCAGCCTCCATCGAGCCGGCCTTTCGCCCGCTACATCCGCAACGCCTCCTCATACCACGTTGTGATACAATCTCATCCTCTCCCCCTAAACTGCTCCGCCACCATCTCCCCCAGCGTCCTCCTGGCCCTCTGCCTCGTCTGCCCGCCCGTCTCGCCCGCCAGAATCCCCGACGCCAGCCCCCCTCCCGCCCCATCCCTATCCCTCTCGGCATCCAGCCGCGCCCGCAGCCCCTCAAACCCCCTCTTCCTCTCCTCGCCCACCATCCACCCCGGCACCCTCCAGCCCGTCGCGCCAGGCAGCATATCCCGCCTATACGCCGTGCCGACCGCCCATCCGACCGCCGCACCCAGCAAGCTGCCCGGAAGCTGCGAGAGCGCGAGCTGCAACGGCGCGAGATAGACGGTGGATTTCGAGGTGAAGGTTATGGATTTCGCCCAGACGCTTGCGTAGGTCTGCGTGGTTGAGGTCGAGCCTGGCGATGCGGAGGACGGCGCATACGGCGCGATTTTATACCGGTATGTGTACGGGATGGCGGCGTAGTAGTTCGCGAGGAGGGCGAAGATGATGGGTGTGGGGCCGGCGGGGAGGTGGTTTATGTGGCCGAAGGAGAGGGGGCGCAGGATGAAGGTTAGGATGAGTGGGGGCAGGAGGGTGGTGTATGGGAGGGTGGAGAGGAGGAAGGACTAGAAGAGCCAAAGCCACAGGTTAGCATAGCGCGATGATATATATCGGCAGTAGAAGGAAAGGTTAGGCTGTTGGAGGAGAACTCACAGCGAACTTCCGGCTCCCCCAGAGCCTCTCTACAACCCTCAGTTGGTAGAAACTCAGCACCGCGAATAGCACCTCCGTCGAGTTTGTAAAGCACACCTGCATCGCCCTGTTAGCCTTTCTCCCCATCCCACCAATCTCCCAAACCAAAAACATACCTGCCACGTGAAAAACCGCCAAAACTGCCCATAGCCCCAAACATGCGGCACAACCAGGATATGGATATAATACCGGGTATCCGTCAAGCTCGCCACGAGCGCGCCGACGACGGTGCCGAAGACGAGGAATTGCGACACGGGCGCGTTGGTGAAGCCGGAGGTCATCATCGTGGGATCGTGTGCGCTGGGCGGGGTTTCATACTTTGGTTCGCTGGTTGGTTAGGTGCGGTGTTGTGAGCGGGCAGGCGGGCGCGAGGTTGAATTTCGGAGGTGCCACAGCGGAGCGGAGGAGCGAGGGGAAAGGTGGCGGGAAATCACGTGTGGGAGGGGAAGCCCACCAGGTGGAGTGGAAAGAACTGTGAACCTAGCTTTCTGCTCGAAAACTTTTGATTTGCATTTTGTATCAATGAGTACTAGTACAATGCCGCTTCGATAGCGAGCATGCCCGTCTGCGCCTGCAGGAGGAATTAGCCGCCCCATCCCAATGGTATCCCAGGATTACCTCCTCGCGGAGGGAGTAAAATCTCTCAGAAACGCCGAAGCCAAAGCCACACCCAGATCCAAACCACCCGGGATATCGAACCGTACAAGAAGACCCTCAAGGACAGCAACGCAGAAAAAGGAAGACCCCAAAAGTAACGCTCAGCGCTCCCTCCTCCCCAGCCTATACCCATGCACCCTCCTCATAAACTGCTCCTCATCCTCGGCGCCATTGAAAAAGAAATCCTTCTCTCCATACGGCGCTCCCAGCGCCGTCCGAGCGGCAGTCCCCGCCAAGCTGATCTCAGTCCCCGTATCGGAAAGGAGAAAATCCCTCCCCCGCCCGTTGTTGTGCAGCTTCGCCACGCCCTTCCACCACCCGTCGCGCCGATCAAAGTCTAGCTCTGTGGTCAGATCTTCAGACACGACAGACGGGGGAGGGGGCAACTCGGCCCACTCTGATGTCTCCGTCGCGGTTTCCGTGTGCAGATCGGACGCGGAGTCTTTCTTGAGATGCTCGTTGGAGCTGGACGTGTAGGCGTGGCGGCTGCTTCCGCGGTTCGGGGGCGTGGGACGGTCGGCTTCGGGGAGGGAGGCGCGGGAACCGAGGGAGCCTCTACCAACGAGAGGGCTGTTGGCGTAGCTGGAGGAAGGTCGTATGTCGCGCGGTGACGTGTTCAGCGTCAGGTTATCGCGGAACATACCTCGAAGGCCTTGCTGCACGCTCGGAGGGTACATGGAGGTGCTAGCATTCATTGCCGAGTCCGACTCCGCGAGCAGGGCATTGGGCACGGGATTTGTATTCCTATGTCGCTTTGGTGTTCGTCTGATGTTCTTGGGAACCTGCTGGGCCTCCTGGTACTGATCTGGGATTTGCGGTACCTCTGGGATAGACGACTTTGGTTTCATCTTCTTCATCGAGGCATCCGAGGCACGCTTCTTGAGATCCTGGACCGATCGAACGCCCTCCTTGTTCATGGCTAGGAAGTTCTTCGCGCGCTCGGAGAACGCTAAGGAGGGAAGTGACTCCTTGCTGGTCGTTCGGACTTGAGGAGAACCAGGCTGGCTATAGTAGTCGGAGTCGAAGTGGCTGGTCGACGGCCTCGATTCGTCGATGCTATAGACGCGCGACGGATACCGCCCCCCTGAGCTCCCATCGGTGCCAGCATAACCCCCGGCGGGAGATTGATCCTGGAAGCCCGAAACCTGCCCTTTCAACTGCGAGTTCTCTTGTGCCAGGGTCGCCTTCTCGGCTTCTAATCGGATGATCATATCAGCCGCCTCTTGCAGCGCAGCGTTGCGCTTCTCTATCTCCGCCACCGTCTCGTCCTGGATCTGAAGTATATCCTTGTTCTGGTCCTTCAGCTCGATGATATCGTCGCTCATTTCCTGCATCTTAAGCGTGAGGCGGTTGTTTACTTCGCGTAGCTCGATATTCTCTTCCTCTAACGGCTCTAGCTCTTCAATGCGGCTGTTGGCTTCCTCTATCTGATCTTTCAAGTCATTGTTCTGCTTCCTTATGAGCTCTAGCTTCATATTCAGACTGAACAGCGCATCCTTCATAGCATCTGTGTCGGCCTGTAGTTCACGCTGTGTACGCATGCGCGGCAGTGCGCCCTCGCTAGGCCTTCGAGGCCGACGGATTGGCGCCGATTGCGGAATCTCTGGTTCAACGTGTGCCTGGTCAAGCCACGGATCAGAATGCGCGTTCTTGAGAGTTGCCGATTGTGGAGACTTGGTTTCGGTGGAGGTTGGAGTGGCAGGTGCTTGCTTAGCCCTCCTGACATCGAGTGCGTGCCGCAGGTATTCGCTCTGGGGCTCAACACGGAGCGAGTTTGGGGTAGAGTTCGGCGTCGACGGCGTTTGTGAGGTCCCACGTGCGGACCAGCGCGAGGTAGGTGTCGACATGCTGAAGGGTCTGTGGCTCGAAAGCGGTATACGGTGTCCAAAAGGTTGAAACGGTGGGCAAAGGTTCGAGGTATTGTCTTATAGGGCAGACCTGAGCTGCACAACCCCTTTGTTCTGGACCACAGAAGCCCGACGTCAAGTCGGTTGTCGATTCGCAGCTATGCTCCACAATGCAGCTGCTAGCTCAAGGACCGGTGGTGTGGTAGTGCGTACGACGGCGCGTGTGAGGGAATAAGGGCAAGGTGTCATAGAGGGTTGACGCTGTAAGTCGAGGCGAGAAGGTCCGGTGAAAGTCGTCCCGTGGTTCAGATGGCGGCGCGAGTGAAAGCGCAGTCGCGCACAAACAAGGGTGGAAAATCGCTGGAAAGAGGGTCGATCTTCGGTTCCATATCGCACCCGACGGCGAGACTGGTGTAGAGAATGCTCGTCTTCGATGGCGCGGCGCAGCAATGCTTCTCTTCTCTCTTGAAATAGGCGGTCAAAAAAAGATCCGAATTCCACGTCACTATAGCAATACTGTTAGTTCGCCAGTGGCAGCAGCAGCAGCACCGCACTGCACGGGTAACCGAAGGAATGTACGGGTTCCATCCAGCAGCAATTGCAAATTCCTGCGACGCGCACAAGACAGGTGAAGACGTGAGGGAAGAGGTTGGGCCGCGGAATCCGGGGCGCGACGACTCTCTCAAACACGGGCCTTCGTCTTTCTGGCTGCATGTGGAGCTAGTGGCCGGCAACGCGAAGTGCAACCCGCGGGAACGGATGCCGCCAGGGGCACTGGCCCCTTTTGCGGCCGCCGGCGCTCGCGATTGGTGCTTTGTCGAAAAGTGCGAACCCGGCAGTGTGAATACGCAAGGATTCGCGCATGCGGCCCTTGTTCTTTTGTGCTCATCACCTCTGTCACAATGCGCCGTGAGTGAAAGACGGCCGCGGCGAGACAGAAGACGAGAAAGCGCGCCCCTGAACGTCTTTCGACGCCGAAATGCACCTTCGTTTTTGCTGGTGGAGGGAGAGTGCGGCGGGCGGGAGGGACGTTGGAAAGTTGGTCCTCGAACGATCAGCCACGGCGCGGTCGCCGCGTGGGCCGCTGTGGTTGGCGTCGAGGGTGCAGAAAGGCTTTCTAGTACTGCGCTGCCATGCCTTGCTGCCCAACATGCCTTTCACCACGATATTTGAGGAGTGTGATGTGCTGACATCTTTTTCCACGAAACAATAGGCCATGTCTTACTTTGGCGCAAACCTTCGCCATCCTCCGCCTACAAAATGTTTCTTGGAGTAGAAAAAGAAAAAATGGAAAAGTGAAAACACCACCGCTCCCATCCAATCCAATCTACCACCCACCGCGCCCCCGGCGCGCCTTCCCTCAGCCAATCCCGCACGCCAACCACACTTCGAACACACGCCGTCGCCGTCGCGGAACCAAACAAAGCCCACTGCCGGCTGAACCGCGAAGCCCGCGCAGTGCGGTTTCCATGTGACGCCGCCATGTAGTTTTTCTTGTGCTCGCGCGCATTTCCCACGTCTATTGACGAAGCACCACTTCCTATACTAGCAATTAAAGAAATCCAGCAAGTCCCCCTCCCATACCATACTAACTACACAACACTCGTCGCCGAATAAAATCATCTACTGCTTGTCCTTGTTTGCCCTCCGCGATCCATCCGGCCGACCGTGGAACTCACAGCAACGGTTGGTTACACAGTCAGTAGTCTAGCGCCACGTACGCACAGCGTCTACAAGTCCCCATCCGTACCCACACTGCACTACATAAACGCGCCGAACAAAAAAACCAAACGCTCTACGATAGCAAAAACATGCTACTCCGCCTCGCCATCCGCGCGTGGTACAAGTTTCGTAAAAGCCGTCCGCGAACCGGGCATGCGGGCTACGGATCGGATGTGGATACAACATGTGACGGAGATGGGTGATGTACATATATACGTATGTACATATATACGTGCATATGTACGACGTGGCTTCCCGTATGCGATGCGATGGCCCGTAGATCGAGAATATTGGTATTAGAGATTACTTGTATACTGCGATATGTTGGTACCCGCTCGCTATGCGACTCTTTCCCGGTTTTTGGTCAGCGGCTGGCTGGGAGTACCAGTGGTCTAGAAGCTTGCTCCTCCGCCTCGCTCGCCTCGCACGAAATGCAAGAAGCTGACGGGTCATTGTTCATCGCACAACAGCTCCCCCATCGGCGCGGGAACCGCATCCAACTCCGCTCAACTCTACTCCATGGCGACGCCCACGCCCGCCTCCTCCAGCCTGCCCTCCCACTCCCCCCTCAACCTCTCCATCTCCACCCAGCACCTCCTCCCCGTCTCCTCAAACGCCTCTCTATCCGCCGCCGTCAAATCCCTCGCATACGGACTCCTGCCCTTCCTCTTCGCCTCGCCGACCCTGCCGCCCCATCCCCAGCCCTCCACCTCCGTGCGCTCCACACGCTCCCGTCCCCACCAGTCCGTCGCACTGCCCCACTTGCCCACGCCCTCGCGCTCTTCCATTGCATCCAGCGAGCTTTGTTGCGCGAGCGCCAGCCAGACCATAGCACAGGCGCCCTTTTCCACCGTCGCGGGATGCCACTGGCTGCCGAGCCAGCGCGCGATGAACATGGCCATGAACCAGAGGTAGTCGAGGACGAGGGGCAGCGGGAAGATAGCGGTGCCGCAGACGCCGGGGTGGGAGACGTAGATACGGGGCTTCGTTGTTGTGTGCTCGGGCGGTTCTTTGGGGTAGGCGAGGTATTTGTCTACGAGCGGGGAGGTGGAAGGTAGTCGTGACGTGATGGCTGTGAGGTCGGTCAGTCGCTTCGAGGACTCGTAGGGCTGCTTTCCCGCGAGGCCTTGGATGTCGTTGATGTCGAACGCGTGCTCGTACGCCTCTAGGCTGCTGACCCAGATCAGCCTGCCGCGTGTCTGTTCGCGCTCGTCATGCCGCGCAAGCAGCGGCGCGAGGTAGTGCCCCAGGAGGTAATGCCCGAAGAAATTCGCGCAGAAGACTTCTCCCAGCGGCGGCTCCTCCACCTTCTTCCCACCCTCTCCAGAGCTCGACGGTATCTGCGGCTTCGCCCTCCACCCCACGGCCGAGAGCTTGAAGGTCGGAAACGTCACCGCGCTCTTCCAGTCGGTGAGAATCTTCCACACCGCCAGCGGCCAGTTCAGATCCGTCCAGCCGCCTATCCCCGCATTGCAAATAACCGCATCAAGCTTCGGCGTCGTCTGGCGCAGCCTCTTGCACAGCCGCTGCACCGACACCAAGCTCAGCAGGTCGAGTATCTCCTGCCTAAAGTGCACGCGTCGCTGCAGCACCATCGCCATGCCCGGCACCGAGCGCTCGACTCTGCGACATACTTTCTGCAGATGCTCGCGCAGCTTCTGCACCGTCGCGTCGCCTTTGCGTTTGTCGCGCGTCGTGATGATGAGGACGAGCGACTCAGATTGAGGGCGCGTTTGGAGAAATTCGTCAATCAGGCGCGTGCCGATTCCGAGGCCCAGGCCGCTGCAACGAACGTCAATTGGGCTCTGGAGAATCGTTGAATGTGGGGTGAGTTACCTGTTCGCGCCCGTGACGAGCACGTAGAAGCCATTCTCCGGTTGAGGGATGTCCTCTGGGAGAGACATCGGTAGCTGCTGACTGCGGGTTTCAGCTGGAGTGAGAAGAGAGTCCAGTGTCCACTGCGCCCAAGTTCGGCTAGCCTGAGTACCATTTTCTCATTGGCTGCATGTCCTGATATTCTTCGAGCCAATCAAAATATTCCGTCTTTGCCATTGGTCCGCTAGACCTTCATCTTCAGATCTCCTACGAAAGTAGGGCTTACCATCTCTGTACCACCGAACGTCAAGGTTGATCTAACGCTAGACTTCCCCGCTGCACGGCTAAAAATTAGAAGCCCTGCCTTACGACTACCATCGTAAGGCCTTAACGATAGCGTCTGGCGTGTGGCGTCAGCATTTCAGTTAAGCCCAGCTTCGCGCCGAGCAACTCCACTCCTCTCGAAACCTTATTCACTGCCGCCCACAGCCCTTTGGCGGACGTTGGGCTGGAGTGAGGCTCGGCCACCCACCACCGCCATCTCCACCGCGAGTAAGCCGAGCGATAGCGCGGTAACAAAACGATTCAAAACATCTCTAGACCGTAGCAAGGCCCGCCATCATCGTCGTGGACTGCGGCTTCACCGATCCCATTGGTCTGGTCGTCGACTGCCCAACTGCCCGCACAAGACCTGACGAGTCACCCGCCTTTTCCCCGAACCAAATCCGCCTTGTAGCCCCCAGGACAAACTCAAATGCTACCAAATACCAGCCAGGGCGCCTGAAGAACAAGCACCAGGGTATCGGGGATCCGGCTTTGAGGTATCGGGGAAGCCGGAAGAGCCCAAGCGTGGACAGTCGTTTGACTAACGATAGGCCCGGGGCGGGGATAGCGGCAAAGTATAGAGAAGGTCCAATGGTAGTGCTGGAAGCTGAATGTTGAGGCTTGGCCCGCGAGCCTATAGTATCTAGGATGGTAGGTTTAGGATAGTCGAAGTGAGGCTATCCAGCTCATGATAGAGACCAGATGGCGGGAGTGGGTTTAGAAGAATCTTGTTCAACGAGCTAAATATATGCAAGTCATACGATTCTGTTTCAGCGGGCCACGCGGCAAATGGCGGGGCAAGGAGGATTTTGGACGTTGGGCTAGCGGAGCGAATGCTCCGGTCGGAGTTATCTCCGCAACAAATCACAGCACCACATAGAGACCATAAGATTCACCGAGGCCGTGTACAAAGAGAGGCGAAAAGAATATGCCAAGGTTGTGGGGAGGCTTCCGGCGAAGCAAGGTGACGATTTGACTTTCGATCTGGTTAGCGGATACCGCTGACTTTCGTCCGTTGGTTTCGATTGGATGTCGACTGCAGCAGTGGAGACCTAATTTTTGTGAGCTATAAGCATTCTATTAGCCGTCAGCTGTCAGGTACATGATGCATGAGACGGAGTATCTGTGGGTCCGTATATCGGAGGTTGAAGGGCCCCACACTGGTAGATGATGCGACGAAGATCAAGTTCGACGATACGAAGGTACACCGAGGTATCACCTGAAATCGGACCGACTCTTTCAAATTCGGCCTGGCTGGGCATTTGACAGACCGGGCCGACCCGAACAGACCACGGGTGCGGAAACCATACAGGAAACGACCGTCTTTTCGACCTGCATTTTCCTGAATACGGGTCATGATGCGAAAGGAAAAGGCATGTCAGCAGGCCGCGGGTAAGGCGTCAAACCGGATAAAAAGCCGAACGCAGGTATATCAGCCACAACTATGCCGTCGCCACCTCGCTGTGTGGAGCGAAAGTGCCGGCATATGGTGGAAGCGATGCCGCCTCGTGCTGATGCGGCACGTCGTGCTGCGTGAGGCGACGGGAACGGCGGAGTTGAAACGCTGTTGTTTCAGTCGACGGAATTACCAAGCCTTACAGAAGGTTCGGAGCAAGGCTCGCCAAAACATCCTTGCTGCAGGTCATGAGGACAGCCGGTCCTTGTACCGTACCAGTGCTACGGAGGGATCGAAAGACGCCCCGATTCTGTTCCTGGAAAGTGCTCGACCTGGAGACGGGATCATGCTGCATGCACGTTCTCGAGCATGTTCGCTACAGCCCCACATATCCACGACAGCCTTGGCCTCCGCTCCCTCTTTTTGGCAGATACAATAAAATGGTCAACGAGCTCATCATGTCATGGAACACTCTGGTCCCCTCGTATTGAATCGCGTGGCTCAGCAGCCGCGTCCCCGAATGGGGCGGTCCCCAAGTGGACACATGAACCTGTGTTAAGAGACAGGATTACCCCGCCACGACAACCTTGCTCGCTGACGTCGAGCGGATAAACAGGTCCTTGCTCAAATATAGGGCCCCCAAGTCGTTCGGTATCTCAAACTGGTCGAGACTATCCGCAGCCACCCGTCCACCAGAAGATTTCCCCGTATCGTATGGTACGTACCACATGTGCTTGTTGCATGGACTAAGCCCCGAGGTGGCGTCGGGGAAGCGCTTCCAGCAGGGGAGAGTGCGTAAATCAGGAAAGTGGTGGGCGACTCACAACTATCGGATCACGCTCCGCCTCTCGCATGGATAAACTTTTGGTATGTTGCCTCTGCGATTGCGTAGATTAGATCGAGCGGTGTGGATGGCGTCGCAGATGGCGGCAATCGCAGTTAACGGCACATGAAGTTGAAAAGCCTCGACCGAGAGTTTGGTGCACACGAGCAAAGCCAGCTGTTAGTGAGATGCCAGCGAGAAAGTGGGCGGGCTGGTGAGAGTTTCAGTACTCTAAGCACCTTGATGTTAGCTGAATCATCGGAACGCCGGAATGAGTCGTTCGGAAGGGGACCGGAGTCAGCAATGACTCCGGACCGACCGTTATTGCTACAGAGACATCTCGGTTATCCGTCTCGTGATTCAAAAACCCTCCGTCAGGCGATAGTGGGCTGAAATATATCCCTTTCGAAGGGAGAATCCCCCATGTACTACAGCCGCCTCGGTTAGAACGGTGGGGGCTCCGCGCGGCCACGTTCGAGAAAATTTCTAGAGCTTCGCGGAGGAGCTTCGACAACCGATGCGAATTTTTTCATAGCCGAATCCTTCCCGATCGCGGTAGCCACTTCGAGGGAATTGGCTGTTGCTGAACGGTGAGACCGCTGCAAGGCAGATCTCTCACGTGGAAGCCACGCATGGCGTTGTTGCCCGAAATAGGAGCAAGGCCCTTACGTGGACGGTTTCCAGGCCCGAGACGACCCACCGGCGAATGCTGCGTCGTATCATTTCCTTCCTGGCTGACGGGTAAAGCGCCTGTAGTTGCTTGCCAGAGTACCAAATTTTCTGATGGCCTCGAGACTGCCATGATTCGGCGGCACGAGTGCGGCGAGTTTCGCGTGAGGAGGGGCGAGTCAGGGGTAGCGTTGTGCTGCCATTGGTCAACTGGACGTTATAATTTTGGGAAAATGCCCATGAATTACATGGGCTGTTGCAGCGACTCGACATTCTGGTTGGCGACAAGGTGCAAATTGCGGACCCTGAATGCATGATTGCGTGCTCATTATCTCCGGCGTGATATACCCTCAGCGTGGTGCAACGTCCGATGGCGGATGAAGAGCTTCATGCGAGGGAGTCGAAGCAGCTTTCTCTTGGGCGCGGATACGGGATTGAAGCGTGCGAAGAGCGACATTTCGAGCCTATCCGTGCAGGAGGCGGAAGGTGTACTTCCGGCGAGCGCATGCAGCTTGGGCTGCTTGAGATGAAAGCGCGCCAGGTGAGTTACAGAGGAGCAATAACCGCATCCATAAATCTGCGGCGAGCTATCCGGACCATGGAACCTCGGCGCCGCGGTAGGACGGTGGCTGTTCCAAGGTTGTACATAGAGTGTGTGACGGGAGTTGAGGCCGTAGCGCCGTTTGCGGATTCTGTAGAGGGCGGGATCGGGCTAGTGACGTATGATGCTGGTGCCATGGTGCCACGGCGTCAGGCCCCGCCCGCGCAGTCGTGCAACGGCGTCGTGCCGGGCCCAAACAGAACACCACCGCGTGGCATTCGTCGTGGCCGGCAGTCCTTGGTTGCCGGGCGGTGGTGAGCGGGCGAGAGATGAGGTCGTCGAAGCAGCTGCAGGAACCATGCGGGATGCAGACGGCGCGACCAGTGAGAGGTGCAGAACTGCACGCCGCACATTAGCGATACATATGGCGTCAACGGCGTCAATACGGCCCCGTCGACGCCCCGAGGTAGGACAAAAGGACATATGCAAGATGGAAGATGCAGAACGCCGATCGAGCGAAACGACAACGGAAATTCGTGATACATTTGACTACAAGAGTACTGCAAGACTTTTGCCATAGGGGTATTATGCTCTTTCTTTTTCCCGCCGTGCCGAACCGTGCCGTGTGCGCCTTGCTGAAAAGTACAGTACAGTCGAAAAGAGGGACGAAGGATTCGGAGAACGTATACGCTGCTTCATCTCACTCTGCCCACAGAGGAGCTTTTGCAGTCACCTTGCAAGGCCGTCAGATACATTTAGCCGGTATTGGTGGTGGTGATTGGAGGACGAACCGCAATTCTCATCGAGTCTATATTCTCTGCTGCCGCGGTTAGCATTGCTCTTGAGCCAGCTGGGACGGTCTATCCTACACTGCAACCACATTCGGCTGGCACCTCTTCTGCGTCTCCTGGTACTTTGTACACCAGGCCCGGACAGTGTAGCGGAGATGAGAGCACTTGTAGTGTACTTGGGTGTAATCGCACATGCCGACGAGCAACGACTGGGTGGCAGTGTGAATGGTCGGAGGCTTGAAGAAGAAACGAGCGTAGGCGACGATGACTGGCTGGGGATATTTGCTGGAGTTGCTTCTTCAGAAGGATCGGGGCGGCGTAGACGCGCCGGACCGTCCCATATTATAGTTCTGCAGCGTCACGGCAGCAGAGGCAGTGGGCTTACGGCGAATAAGGTACGGCATTGCGGGCGGGACCGTGCTATGGGCTGTCTATAGAGCTGGCTCTGTTACGACGCAGCGAGGCATTTGCTGTGATTGCTCAGCAGTACCAGCTGCGCACCCGGGTGTCCGAGCGGAGGAGGCATTTGGACTGCGAGTGGAGTGCCTGTTTGAAAGTAGATCCGCTTTCGGCGACCTGCGGATCGCTGGGGATGGGTCGAAGGACACATAGTACAGGGTGTACTCGACTAAGGTGCTTGCGCGTAAGAAAAGGTGAGGTGACGACAGAAACGTCTGACAGGGTTCAGGCGGTCGCGGAGGGCGGTGGAGGAGGAAGCGGATGGGGGCAGCAGCTCGCCTCGGCGCTAGCTGCACCAAGCTTACCGGACTGCTCGCAGGGCGGGCTGATCTGCGGCTACGGTTCCACGTTGGCCGCAAATGCGGTGCGTGGGATGGTGGCATGCACTGTTGTTGTGTCTTGCACTCGGGCCCAGTGGGGTGAGGCTCCACGCATCCGCTGTCTGGGGTCCCTGCACGCGACTCTTCCATGGCATGCCTTTAGCACGGCCGTTAATTCCTCCTCTCCAGCCCGCATCCGCTCAACGGTCTTGATCGCCGCCCTCTCCATCACCTTCTCTCTTCCTGAAACGCCCTCTCGGCGAGCGCCTGCTGCGTCGGCCGGCCAGCGCTGCCCCGTCCCGCGTCCCGCTCGGGAGCACACAGGAGGCATCCGCAAACCCGCCGGTTGCGCAATTATAGATGCCGTGCCGAGTCGGACGGGCCCGGCTGCGCAACATGACATGCTTGTCTATGCGCCGCTCGCGGATTTTAGAAGTCCATCCACCTTGAATTTGCCGGGCTCGCCGGGGGCCTGTCCTACGGCCTCACTCGTGCGCGGAGGCATCAACATCGACTGCTTGGGGCTGCTTAATGTTTGGGATAGATATAGCCGACCACGGTCGATTGGGGAAATTCAATATGGGCCTCGTGGTCGGCGGCCTGTAGATGGACCCTGTCGGTGCAAGGGCGCAAGAGGAAATTCCGGCGTGCGGTCCGCTCAGGGCTACGCTGATATCATGTATACTCGTATAGATACCCAGTCGCTCGGTTCCTGCACGGCATGAGTCGTCCGCTGCGCTGAGCGCCACTCAAGTGCCGACAAGAGATGAGAGGAACGCGGAAGAGTCTGGTAACGAGTGTCCATCCATGGTTCTGGCGTCGTTGGTCGACCCGTCGTCTCCACAGTTCCCCTCTGTACTGCCCTCGATGAGGTCGGTGATGGCAGAGGAATGCAAGATCGAACGATGGGATGGGTGCACGTACGCTCAATGCGCGGGAATCGCGCGAAGGCTTCCCATTTGCCGCATGGACGAGCAATAGACGCACTCTGGAACGGTTCTGGGCGCGTCATCCCAGGGCAAGACAGGAAGGGGGCGCCACGGGTACAGCATCAAGGGTTCGGAATGCTGGCTGCGTTCCTTAAGTCCCAGGGTGGGCACTTCGAGCACCTCCCTTACACCGCCCTCTTCCGCTCTTCCCACCTCCTCAACTTCAGCGATCATCAGACACGCGTCGGGCCTCTATTCCGCCAAGGTGTGAATGGCCAGGTCCATCCGCACGGAGCTGCCAATGCCCGCATTCCAGGTTCAGTCACACTCAACATGAGGCGGCCAATAGTGGTATGGGTCACTCACCTCATGGTCTGGTCAGCTGAATAGGCAGACACATCAGTCTGACCGACTGTGTCCCGAGTTCCGAAGGCGGTTCGATGGCTTTTCTGGTCCCAATATTGGGAGCTCCTCATCGTGGATGGTAAAGATTCAGGCTGAAGAGTGCGTGGCAAGGAAGATAAAAGAGCGCTAACGGGAAAGGCTGTAAATCTTCTCGGAACGATTGGTTTGGCACCCTACCCCGCCAGTGAAGCGACCATCCTTCTGGTCAGGAAGAGCGTAGAGCGGCTATAACAGCTGGAGTATTACCTGTATTCGGTCAGGATGTAAAAACATGGTCGCATCAAGACGCCGCTTCCACCTATCATCCACACTGTCTCGGCAACTACTGTTCGACCGTTGGCGTCTTGCTGCCGGATCGTAACTGCAGCCACTGCCCACTCAGGTCAGAAAGGGGCACAGCCTTCGTATGGCATGATGTCGCCCCGAGTATAGCGCAGAGCGAAGAATCCAATGGCGAAAACGCAGGAGGCCATTTACGGAATTATAAGACGTCAATTATTGGATATATCAAGAATTCCCATTCGCCTCCTCAGTGTCAAGCCAACCCCGACACATTTCCACAGCTCGTCCCCACTTTTTGAACATCTTGGAGCTCTCTTCCTTGGAAATATTCGGCTCGAAGATCATGCGGTCTTTCTGGTTGATCTCTTTGAGCTCGTCGAACTCTTTCCAGATGTCGACTGCGAAACCTGCGGCGATGGCAGCACCGAGGGACGTGGTCTCACGCATCGCCGGGCGATCGACGGGAATTCCAATGATGTTGGCTTGCGTCTGGTTTGGCGGGTTAAGCGACAAGCTTCAAGGGGCGGGGGTTGCAACAGGTTGCGGACACCTACCTGCATACATAAATTGGAGTTGCTCATACCCCCGTCGACTGCCAGCTCGGCAAGCTTGTGGCCACTATCGAGCTCCATGGCGTCGAGGATGGCCTTCGTCTGGAAGCAGGTCGCTTCAAGCGTTGCGCGGGCTATATGTCCACGTTCGGTATGTTGCGTGATGCCAAATATTGTCCCTTTGGCATCATCAATCCAGTACGGCGCAAAAAGGCCACTGAAGGCCGTCACGAAGACACAGCCACCGTTATCCTTCACACTCGCTGCAAGGTCACTGATCTTGTGAGAGTGGGTGACGAAGCCAAGGTTATCCATCAGGAACTTCACGCCACTTCCCGCGACAGCAATGCTCCCTTCGAGCGCATACACGGGCTTGCGCTCACGTCCGAAGTCGTATGCAATAGTCGCCAGGAGGCCATGCTGGGAAATCACAGGCTTTTCGCCCACGTTGTACAACAGGAAGCATCCGGTACCGTACGTATTTTTCGCAGAGCCTGGCGTGAATCCTTGTTGACCGACTAGGGCTGCAGACTGATCTCCTAAGCATCCTGCGATCCGCAGCCCCTTCAGGGGACCGGAGGCAAGAGACCCATATGATTCCGGACACGAGGATGGCACGATCTTAGGCAGCCTAAGCTTTTTGCGGTCCAGTCGGAAGAAGTCGAGGAGCTTATCATCATACTGCACGGAATGGAGGTTCATGAACATGGTCCTGGAGGCGTTGGTGGCGTCAGTGACAAAAACGTCTTTTTCCTTGCCTCCGTTCAGATGATACAACAGGAAGGTGTCGATAGTCCCGAACGATAAGCGCCCCTCATCATACGCCTTGCGGACCGCATCGACATTATCGAGAAGCCACAGGAGCTTGACCGATGACGGATAAGTCGAGAGCGGGAGTCCACAAATGTCTTGCAGTTGGTCGGCGCCTTCCCGGGTTTTCAGCTCCCGCACCAGCCCCTTGGTCCTGGTATCCGGCCAGGCAATTGCGTTATGTAAAGGCTTGCCGGTGTGGGTATCCCACACCACCGTGGTCTCGCGCTGGTTGGTTATTCCGATTGCTTTGATGTCGGCGATATCATGACCCTTGTCGATAAAAGCATGCGTAGCCTTCTCTATGCATTGCTCCACAGTCTCCAATATCTCCATGGGGTCATGTTCATGCCACCTGCACCACTACTGTGAGCATTACGAGCCGCAGCTATAGCTTGACAATACTGACCCGGACTCGGGGTGCATCTGCGTGAACTCGATCTGATGCTGGGCGACGGGCTGTCCCGTGCCGTCGAAGATGATGAACCTCGTGCTCGTCGTTCCTTGGTCGATGGAGCCGATGTAAAACTTCTTCAGTTTCTTCTCGTCCAGGTGCGTCTCCGCAGAGCCGTTGGTGGTATTCTCCTTGGGCACTGGCTGCGGGTCTGGGTCGGCCGCTGAGCTCTTTTCCATCGCCATGGTGTCTCTTCTGCTCTTGCTCGAAGCAAAACTACCGGAAAATCTTCGTATCCAACAGGAGTAATACTTCCGGCCAAAATGGAAGGTTGCGACCTGGCGCGTTGCGAGAGAACTGCCTTTCCGAGTCGGTGGTGGTCGCTGTTTGGAGGGTTGTGTTCGAACGCGCCGAATGCTAAAAATTATGGCAAGAACATGGGAGGAAGCTGAACTGAATCGCAAGACGTTGATGAGGTCATATTGTGGAGGAGCAGGGTTCGGATCTGCATGAACTAGAAGGATTCGCGGTGGTGGTCGCGGATGACGCTGGGGGAGGGGGTGTTTACTTAAGGCGGGGGCGGGGAAGCTCTCGATCGATATATGCCTAGCCCTGTCATGTGCGTCCGCCCATTTTTCGTCTCAATGGCCTCCGTCGCGCGCTAAATAAGGATAATTTTCTAATTCTTGCAGCTGTCAATGGAAAGAGCCTTGGCTTCTCGAAGCAGCATGCGCATTTCCGCCCTCGTCAACAGTCGACGTATGGCCCAAAACCATGGTTCACCGTCACGTCTCCCGACTCCTCGCAAATCGTAACGCAAAGACTACCGTTCTTACCTATTGAGACGTCCGCGCGAGTATCAAACCTGGGAAAATGTACGCTATCATTAAAGATAGTCCGAGGGAGCGGCGACCCAAATTCCACATTGGAGCATATAAGGTCATTTTTCAAGTATGTTACATTTCACCAATTTTGATGGCTATGCACGAAAACTAGCACAAACGAAGAAAGACAGTGTAAAGCCTCATGCCGGAAAGCTTATAGTCGCGGTCATCGCATCGAAAACGGAAATGCAAGACGTAAAAATGCCCGAAAATAGGACGGAACCACCAGAGAAGGAAACACTTTCAACCAGCTCGCACGACCTGAGACGGAACCCCTCACGAGTCCTCGGAGATCTCCGTAGAAGTCCTGTTTCGAACTTCATTCGCTCTACTCTTCGGACTTCTCTTCAGACTCGTCACCACCCTCGTCACCACCCTCGTCACCGGCCTTAGCCTCGTTTTCGACCCGGATGGCCTCTTCTTCCTTGGCCAGTCTTTCCTGAGCGCCTTCACGGAGAGTCACAGCCCTGTCTACCGCGCCGGGAATCCGATGGACCTTGTCATCCGCAACCTCTCCGCGACCGATGAGACTGACGACGATGCTGGCACCGACGATGAAAGTAAGAACAAATCGGTAGATGGCGTACCAAGAAGGTGTCCAGCCCCTGTAGGTAGCCCGGGTGTCGACGTAGTACAGAAGGGTGAAGGCCATGAACTGAGCGATGAGAGCGTACTCGACGGGCATCAGCACAGTGGGCCATGCGACAGCGGGTGCTACTACTCCGATTGCGTAGCGTTTATAGCCATGGGTGCCGCCATAATTGGCCCACTCGAGTCCCCAGTGGATTGCGCCTAAGAACGAAAGGATCTGAGCCCGTTAGTGTCGGTAGGGAGGACTGAGATGTAGGAGAAACTCACCACGGCGCCGTATCCGATCTGCAAGGGTTCAAGAAAGTGGAGGAGAGTACTGGCGTTCTCTGCAGACAATATGTATCCGTATCCCGCAACAGAATGATTAAGCTCCCACGCGCAGTACACGGTCGAAAGAGACGTGGCCAGGTACGGAAGGACTCCGGCTAGGCCAATCACGTAAGCCTCTCGAGGCACTTCGGCGAGGCTGAACGTCTCTCTGATGGTGCCCTGGCATCTTTCAGCGACTATTTCTACGATTGGTACTATAACGGGATTCTTACCAGATCATGCTTGATGCCCGCGGTCATATCGACCTCTCGCTCTGGTGTATCTGCGCCGACCTCTGAAAGTATGGGATGAATGCTGGAAGTAGAAGAGACGGTCTCTGGTGTGGGCTTGATCTTCTCTTGTGCGTATCTACTCTCAGCCTGCTTCTTCTCGTCGGAAAGTGCGCGGCGGAGCACGGCAGCCTGTATGGGCTTGAGCGGAGCCACTAGGGGTATCTGGGGCCGCTTGGAGGTGATGGAGCTGAACTGGGTCCTCCATTGCGCAGTAGGAGCGGCGGCTCGGAAGCTGGCAGCTGGACGAGCGATTGGCGCAGCAATTGACCGCAAAGCCAGGCGAGTGGCTCCGGTTCGGAGCATTGTGATAGCGACCTTGCGGACACGACGGCGACTGATTCAATTGAAGAGAAGAAAGCTGCGCTCGAGCTGAGAGGAAGAAGAGAGGGTCGCTCGATGACGGGTGACAGCTGGGTCGACCAAGCTCCAAGAGCTCCCCGCATAACCCAGGGCCGGAACAACAAATTTCACGGTGACGTCAGTGGTTCCCGAGTCATGTGATCGTAAAGATACCTAGCTAAGTACATACCGCAACAACCCCGGAGCAGCGGGAATGTGCCGGTCCGAGTTTTGCTTTTGAGAAGCGTTGCAGAGACGAAGCAACTACCCAGGAGAGTATGCTAGGCCGAAAGGACTCCGAGATTGCTTTGGACATCGGGAGAGGTGGCTTGGATATAGGTAGCAAGCATTGTCAGCGGTGTCGGAGTTCTACGGCGAGCAGTGATTGCATTTCCTGGAATTAGAGAACAAACGACGCAGAATGAGTATGCCGCCAAGCGGCGATTGTGGGTGTGTGAATGATGTCGCTGTTGCGTGGATAACATGGATGAAAGGACTGCACCTTCATGCCCGGAAATGGATCTGAGGACTCGCCGTACAAGTAAGATTGATTGGCTCGTCCATTGCACGCCCCCGCGAAGGCCTCTAGGGTAGCTGTTGCGCACGTCGTTCTATCCGGAGAATTCCACACCGTGAAAGGCTGCCTGGGCTCATGCACAAAGGTAAATTGGATGAGGCGGGGCTCGCTTGCGTCACCGCTTCGAGCTGGCGGGGTCTGTGGAAGGGCGGCAGCAGAGAAATTTCGAGCAACAGCGCGCACTCCTACTCGACGGGCGCCAGAAAAGTGAGTGCGGGCTGCAATCGCTGCTGCGTAGTGAAATTAGTGATTATTTGCCGCAACGCAGCGTCAGGCAGCAGACAGAGTGGGCCGACGAGGCTGCGCGAAGGGCGTAGAAGCTTGTGGTTGGCCGGTGAGCCAGATCGAAACTTCCAGAAGAGCGTCCGAAAAACTGCCTCGCAAGCGATACAAAAGGCTCTCCGCCGCACAATCCGCCGTTCTCTCCCACTACACCGAACACACAATTACAACTTGCGCACACTCTCAAGTCCGACTGACTTTGTGAGCTCTCCACTGCTGCTTCTACAACTTCTTTGATACCCATACCCACCTCATCGACCCCGCAGCAAGCACACCCCCAACCCACATCATGGCCCCCGCCGTCGGTATCGACCTGGGAACTACCTACTCCTGTGTAGGCATTTTCCGCGATGACCGCATCGGTACGTTCCTACCCCTGTCAGAGCTGTCTCTCTGACTCGATTGCTTCGAGGACTCATGCTAACGAATCTCCAGAGATCATTGCCAACGATCAGGGAAACCGCACGACGCCGTCCTTTGTTGCCTTCACCGACACCGAGCGCCTGATCGGAGACTCCGCAAAGAACCAGGTCGCCATGAACCCCGCCAACACTGTCTTCGATGCGAAGCGCCTCATCGGTCGCAAGTTCGCCGACCCTGAGGTGCAGGCCGACATGAAGCACTTCCCATTCAAGGTCATCGAGAAGCAGGGCAAGCCTGTCGTTCAGGTCGAGTTCAAGGGCGAGACAAAGACCTTCACCCCCGAAGAGATCTCTTCGATGGTGTTGACCAAGATGCGCGAAACTGCCGAATCCTATCTTGGAGGCACAGTTAACAACGCTGTTGTCACAGTCCCCGCCTACTTCAACGACTCCCAGCGCCAGGCCACAAAGGATGCTGGTCTCATCGCCGGCCTAAATGTCCTCCGTATCATCAACGAGCCTACTGCGGCTGCTATCGCCTATGGTCTTGACAAGAAGGCTACCGGCGAGCGCAACGTCCTCATCTTCGATCTCGGTGGCGGCACCTTTGATGTGTCTCTCCTCACCATCGAGGAGGGCATTTTCGAAGTCAAGTCAACGGCTGGTGACACCCACCTGGTACGTTTTCACACTCCTTTTACTTCGAAGACTATATGCTGACTCACGCCTCGCAGGGTGGTGAAGACTTCGACAACCGACTCGTGAACCACTTCGTCTCTGAGTTTAAGAGGAAACATAAGAAAGATCTTACGACCAATGCTCGTGCTCTGCGTCGTCTCCGCACTGCTTGCGAGCGTGCCAAGCGCACACTCTCTTCCTCGGCCCAGACCTCGATCGAGATTGATTCCCTGTATGAGGGTGTAGACTTTTACACGTCAATCACTCGAGCACGCTTCGAGGAGCTCTGCCAGGACCTTTTCCGCTCCACCATGGAGCCGGTCGAGCGTGTCCTCCGTGACGCTAAGTGCGACAAGACGTCTGTCCACGAGATCGTCTTGGTCGGAGGCTCCACTCGTATCCCGAAAATCCAGAAGGCAAGTTCCCAGGTCACATATGCCATGCCATGTATGCAATGCTAACACGTGTATAGATGGTCTCCGACTTCTTCAACGGCAAGGAGCCCAACAAGTCCATCAACCCCGACGAAGCTGTTGCTTACGGTATGTACCCTAGACCCCCTCTGTCCGAACGTCCCGCTAATTGTAACTAGGTGCCGCTGTCCAGGCCGCCATCTTGTCCGGTGATACTTCCTCGAAGTCGACCAACGAGATCCTACTCTTGGATGTCGCCCCTCTTTCCATCGGTATCGAGACCGCTGGTGGTGTCATGACGCCTCTCATCAAGCGCAACACCACCATTCCGACTAAGAAGAGCGAGGTCTTCTCCACTTTCAGCGACAACCAGCCCGGTGTGCTCATCCAGGTCTACGAGGGTGAGCGTGCTAGGACCAAGGACAACAACCTGCTCGGGAAGTTCGAGCTCACCGGTATTCCGCCTGCGCCTCGTGGAGTTCCGCAAATCGAGGTTACGTTCGATGTTGACGCCAACGGTATCATCAACGTCTCAGCTCTCGAGAAGGGAACAGGAAAGACGAACAAGATTGTTATTACCAACGACAAGGGCCGTCTATCCAAGGAGGAGGTAAGTGCTTTGCGCATGCCGATAAATACGAACTGTTACTAATGCACTCTTAGATTGAGCGGATGTTGGCCGAAGCTGAGAAGTACAAGGCCGAAGACGAGGCTGAGGCAGCTCGTATCTCTGCCAAGAACGCTCTCGAGTCATACGCCTACTCGCTGCGCAACACCATGAACGACTCCAAGGTCGACGAGAAGCTCGATGCGTCCGACAAGGAGAAGCTGAAGTCCGAAATCGACAAGATCGTGGCTTGGCTCGACGACAACCAGCAGGCCACCAAGGACGAGTACGAGTCACAGCAGAAGGAGCTTGAATCGATCGCCAACCCGATCATGATGAAGTTCTACGGCGCTGGCGGCGAGGGTGGTATGCCCGGTGGCATGCCCGGCGGTGCTGGCGGCTTCCCCGGCGGTGCTCCGGGCGGTGGCCACTCCGACGACGGCCCGACCGTCGAGGAGGTTGACTAAGCGGATCGCTCAGCATCTGAGTAGTCTTCTTTGTCTTTCCTTCGTTTGGCTTCAGCATAGAGGGTCCTTTCTTGGGTGGCGGTTATCGGAGTTTCACGGCTGATAGAGCCTTTTTCTTCCTCGGGTTTCCTTCCATTGCATTGGACGAGTCATGACCACGATTAGGCTGGAAAAGTTTCTTGACAGGTGGATGTATGTACTCTAATGAGGTGGATCTTGAGACTGTTCCCTCAGAGTAAAATGAGAGTGATATAATTTCAACACCAAGATGCCCTGCTTGCTACAGTGATATGTGATGTGCTTGAGTTGAGATTATATATTTCGATGGACCTCTGGGTATCTTGGAGGTTGCCTTATACAATACACGCCGACTTCGCTGTCTATGAAACTCCCATAACATAACTTAACACAGCGCATTTCAGAAGTGCGTTGTGATAGCTAAGCAACGACATGCGCAGAGGCTGAGAAAGCGCTGCCTCACCCAACTCTAACACATACCATATCCCACCAAACAAACCCCTCCCGTCCTCCCATCCACCCCTCTCCACTCTCCACTCTCCACTCCCATCCATCAGCTCAACTCAGCTCCCGCTCCCCTCCACCCGTCTCGCCTCCTCCTCCGCCTTCCCAAACGGCGCAACAACCATCTCCTCCGGCATCCGCCGCCTCTCCCACACATCCTCGCTACTGGGCTTCTGCCGTATCCGCTCCTCCTTCTCCCGGTACCGCGCCTGAATCGCCCGCGCTCGCGCCTCCGCCGAGCTGCCCTTCAGCGCCATGCAGAACCGCCAGTCTGCCCAGTGCTCGCTGCAGCTGCGCAGCTGCCCGTACCGGTATATGCTGTTGAAGTGCCCGCCGAGCGAGCTGCAGTAGAAGGCCGCGTCGAAGGCCGCGCGGCAGGACATTGTGGTGGGGAGCGTGGGGTCGTAGTCGGAGTCGCCGGGGGTGGAGGTGGTGGTGGCGGAAGGGTCTTGTGGAGGGGTGGGGGATGTGCTGGGGCTGGTTGTGGTGGTGGGTGAGGGCGCGAGGTGCGGGAAGGCGGCGTGGAAGTCGTCGGCGTCGGCGTCTGGGGGTGAGGAGGGCTTCTGGATGGGGGCGGAGGGTGTGATCGTTGCGGGGGGAGGCGTTGGGTCTGGCTCTGGCTGGGACGCCGGCTTCTTGCTGCTCGGGGACGAGGACCATAACCAGCCCATTGTGTGTCTTGGTGTAGGAAGTCGTGGTTGGCTTCGCGGGGGTTTCTAGGGTCGGAATGGCGGTTGTTTAGCTGTTGGGGTGCGCCAGGAGGTATAATGCGAAGCAATGGGTGTGGTTTGGATCGCCGTTCGAGAATGGGAGCTATGACAGGCCAAATTTTTGGGAGCGATCGCGACTCCCAATTGGCGACTTGCGTAGAGGGCGCGGAACCAAAGGACTGAGGTGTGGACGCGTGTAACACGTCTAGTCGTCGATTATCGACGCTGAATCCCGGAAGATGTTTGACGTGAACCAAATGGGCGTCGAAACGTTCAGCGAATTGATTCGGGCCCAGGTGCTCGGCGCCGTCATGTGACGCGGGCCACGGTTCAAAACACCGGCCAGGACTACGTCATGCATGGGCCTGCATCTGCCTTGCGGCAATCACAACTTCATCACCGCGTGTTCTTGCGCGTAATTCCCTCCTTCTCATTCCAGCTGCTGTGCCTTCGTGCAAATTCACCATTCCTGATTCTGTTTTGTGGCCACCTTCCCTGTTCTTCAGTCGGGCCTGACTCGAAGCACAGCACTGCGGCGCAGGATCTCCCCCATACCCTCCAATTACGGCCCTCCTGTGCTAACACGCTACGATACTTACTGCCGAACTGTGCTACTCAACTACAGCAGTTCCCATGAATTCACGATACTGCACGACCTAACGATACCTCTCTCAACCCCGCGATACCCTACAAACCCCTCCTCGTCCGCCCCCCGACCTGGGTAACGGTCGCCCTTCGCCGCCATGCTTGAGGGGCTCGTCGCGAACCTGCTCAATCGGTTCTTGGGCATGTATGTCCAGAACTTCGATCCGAAACAGCTCAATGTCGGCATCTGGTCGGGCGACGTCAAGCTGCGAGACCTCGAACTCCGCCGCGAAGCCCTCGATCAGCTCCACCTGCCTCTGAACGTGGTAGAAGGGCATCTAGGCCAGCTCACACTGCAAATACCATGGTCGAACCTGCGAGGCCAGCCGCTGAAGATCAACATCGAGGATGTCTTCCTCCTGGCCGCTCCGAAGGAGGACGCCGAGTATGATGCCGAGGAAGAGGAGCGGAGAGCGCATGCGGTCAAGATGGAGAAGCTAGACAGCGCTGAGCTCATTAAGGAGCGGAATACCGAAGGTATGAGTGCCGAGGAGCAGCAGAAGAACCAGAGCTTTACCGCGAGCCTGGTCACGGCGATCGTGGACAACGTCCAGGTCACAGTCAAGAACATCCACATCCGGTACGAAGACTCGATATCCGATCCAGGGCATCCGTTCGCCCTGGGTATAACCCTCGCCGACTTCAGCGCCATCAGCACTGACGACAACTGGAAGCCGACCTTCATTCAGGGCGGCACGAGCTCGACGCACAAACTGGCAACACTCGGCTCGCTAGCCATATATTGGGATACCGATGCCGACCTGATAGGGACTGGCAAGGGAAGCCAGAGCAAGGATGAACAAGAGATTGACCATCATGATTTCATCGAGAAGGTCCGTGGAATGATCGTGAGAGGCGAGAACCCGGAGCTCGGTGACCATCAATTCATCCTCAAGCCCATTAGCGGCCGCATGGGCTTGGAAATAGACAAGACCGGCAAGGCAGACCGCCCGAAGATGAAAGCCCGCCTGCTGTTCGACGAGCTCGGTTTCATCATCGACGAGGATCAGTATCGTGACGCGCTCATGCTCGTCGATCTCTTCCACTACTTCATCCGACACCAAGAGTACAAGAAGTTCCAGCCAAAATCGTCTCCTAAAGAAGATCCGGCTGGGTGGCTGCGATTTGCCGGCAAGGCTGTGCTGGACAAGATCCACGATCGCAATCGGCGATGGAGCTGGGAATACTTCAAGGAGCGACGAGATGACCGCAAGCGGTACATCGAGCTGTTCAAAAAGAAGAAACGAGAAGAGAAGCTCTCTCCAGCAGAGACGGAGGAGATTGACAAGCTCGAGCGGAAACTCACGTATGAGGACCTGCGCTTCTGGCGTTCGCTGGCTCGCAACGAGCTACGTAAAGAAAACATCGGAGTGAAGAAACCGCCGCCCAAGCAGACTTGGAGCTCTTGGGTATGGGGCTCCAAGCAGGAGAAGAGCGAGGACGACAATACCCAGATGAGCGAAGAGCAGCGCAAGGAGCTGTACGACGCGATCGCCTGGGATGAGAAGAAGGCTATCGCAGAGTCAGTGGACATGCCGAGAGAGTACGTCAAGATGGAGGTCAACATGAGCCTGCGCACCGGCAGCTTCACTCTGAAGCGCGATCCTCACGGCAAAGCGAATGAGATACTTCGCCTTCTGTTTGATTCCTTCAGCACGCAGTTTCTGCAACGCACGGATTCCATGTTCGTCAAGGTTGCACTTGAGGGCATGCGCCTCTATGATGGTACAACTGAAGGCAGCCTCTTCCCTCAAATCATCACCATCAAGGATGCTCCTCCAGTCCCGGATGAGAAGAGGATCGAGGAGCTAAACGACGACGAGACCGCTAAAGAAGGTGACGAAGATGCGGAAGAAGAGGAGAAGGATGACCCTTTCTTCCAGCTCGCTTTCGAGAAGAACCCACTGGACGGAAGTGCAGACACCGCTCTCACCATGAAGCTGAAAGGGATGGAGTTTGTATATAACCCGAGGTTCGTCGTGGAGGTCGCCAAGTTCTTCAAGCCGCCTGAGCGCCACATGGAGTCCATCGGAGCCCTCATGGAAACCGCAGGGGCTACCGTTGAAGGCATTCGACAGCAGACTCGCGCCGGCTTGGAGTTCGCACTCTCGGAGCATAAAACCATTAATGCCCAGCTAGATCTGCAGGCGCCCTTGATCATCATTCCAGATTCGGTAACGAAGAAATCGAGCAACTGCTTGATTCTTGACGCGGGTCACGCAAGCGTCACGAGCGAGCTGGTGGACAAGGACACCTTGCGCGACATTCAATCTAAACAGAAACAACAGTACACCGAAGAGGACTTCCGCAACCTTGAGAACTTGATGTACGACAAGTTTCTTCTCAAGCTCCACTCAACTCAGGTGCTCATCGGTCCGTCCATTGAGGAGACGCGAGCGCAGCTGACGGAGGACGCCGAGACCAAAGATCTGCACATCGTTGATAAGATCAATATGGACTTCAAGATTGAGATTTGTATCGTTCCCAAGGCCTCCGACCTCACCAAGTTCCGCATATCCGGCAATCTTCCTGTTCTGCATGCGTCAATATCGGATGCCAAGTACAAGAATCTCATGAAGCTCATTGATGTCGCGATACCGAAATTCGACAGCGATGAGCCGAACAAGCAGGTCGCTGAAGGTGCCAAGGGACCTTCAAACCTGAAGCCCACAAGCGAAGCGAAGCCCAGTGAAGACCCACTCGGTCGGCCCAGGTCGAAGTCATTCCAATTCGCTGCGCAGGAACACGAGCTTTTCATGGAGGAGGAAGGCGATAGTGACAAACACGGGAACGAGAATTTCGAAGAGGCTCCGCATGCGAAGTCAAAAGCTGATATCAATCTGCATCAGCGCAACTTCGAGTTCAACTTCACCGTTGACAAGCTTCAAGGCTCGCTCTACAAGTCCGACCCCGAGGGCAAGAAGCCAGATCAGTTGTTGGTCGAGCTGATTGCAGAACACTTTGACCTCAGCTTCTATCAAGAGCCTTTCGACATGTCGGCGGAGGTCAGTCTGAAAAGTCTCGCTGTGGTAGATCATGTGGAAGAGAACGCGCTTCCAGAGTTCCGAAACATCGTTTCCTCAGAAGATGTTTCGGCGAAAGAACAAAAGGATCTCTTCTCGTTGAAGTTTGTGAAGGTTAATAAGGAGTCGCCCGAGTTTCAAACCAAGTACGAGGGCATCGCCATGAACCTGGATGTCGCCGTGTCAACGATCAATCTCATCGTCACAAGGAGGACACTTCTGACACTCCTAGACTTCGTGCTCATCACCTTCACGAACCCAGGCCAGCCTCAGAATCAGCAGGGGCAGATTTCCGATAAGCCGGATGAACAACAGCAAGTCCAGAAGCAACCCCAGGCAGACCAAGACAAGATTCGTATTCGAGCGGAGCTCAAGCGCATCGCCGTGATTCTAAACAACGACGGCATTCGGCTAGCGACGCTGAGTTTGAACTCTGGAGATGTCGGCATCTTCTTGAATGGCAAGGCTATGCGCATCGGAGGACGGCTAGGAAACCTGTCTTTGATAGACGATGTAAATCAGGGTGTCTCCGAGGAATCACCTCTCCGCCAGCTGGTCACCATTGAAGGCAAGAACCTCGCGGACTTCAGTTACGAGACTTTTGACAGCGAGTCCAAGAGCTACCCTGGGTATGACATGTCGATCGCGCTTAAGACGGGGTCTATCAAGATCAATTTCCTCACTGAGCCCTTCCGGAAGATCATGGAGTTTGCGGTTAAGTTTGGAAAGATGCAAGCCATATTCAACGCTGCGCGACAGGCAGCCGCCAACCAAGCGAACCAGATTCAGCAGCGGGCCACCAAGATGCACTTCGATATCGTCATTAGCACGCCTATCGTTGTCTTCCCGAGGATGGTAATATCGGACAAGCCAGATAGGGACACTTTGACAGCGAACCTGGGAGAAATTTATGCCAAGAACAAGTTCGTGCCATTGGACGACTCCAAGGACTCGGATGTAGCGAACAAAATCTCCGCTGGTATCAGGCATATCAAGCTGACTTCAAAGCTCCACTATGAGGAGAACCAGTCCGAGGAGCTTGAGCTTATCGACCAGGTCGATCTGGACTTCAATGTCACGATGGTGGAGCACAAACCTGGGCTCCAGCGACCCGATCTCGAAATTGATGGTTCTATGTCGGATATCAATCTAAGACTCACGCCAGAGCAGATGAAGTTCGCATTAGAGCTCTCTCGGTCGATCCCAGAGGCATTCGCAACAGAGCCTGACGAGTCCCTAGAAGAGGATATTCAGCAAGAGCTACCGGATTCAACCACCGAACCTGCCAAGCAAATTACCGACCAGGAATCTCCTTCCAAAGAGCCGTCACAGGACGTCGCCGTAGGCCAGGGTCCAGAGCTTCAGACGGACGAGGGCAAATGGACCAAGCTAGACTTTGTTTTCAAGGTCGGCGCTATCGGTCTGGAACTCATCAAGTCCAAAGAAGGAGAGCCTGTTCAGGACATCGAGGCCGCCAGCCTGTCCAAATTCTCTCTTAATGAGACGAACGTCAAGCTCCGCATGATCAGTGACGGCGCCTTGGAGGCAGAACTGGTCATCCAGTCCTTCACCATCCGGGACAGTCGAACGCAGGGAACAAACAAGTTCCGCAAGATCATGTCCCTGATCAACAACGACGTGAAGCAGCAGTTCATGGCGAGCATCTCCATGTCCGGCGGGCAAGACAAGCATCTCATCGCGCTTCTAACAATCGACAGCCCTAGGATGATTCTGGCGCTGGACTACCTATTTGCCCTGCAGGCTTTCATCAATGCCGGACTCGCCACAGAGGAGCCCCTAGCCATCGAGGACGAAACAGAAGCAGAGGAGCCAGACAGTGATTCTGAGATCATGTCTCCGGATGGGTCACGCTCGCCCGAAAGGCCCAGTGCGTCTCCTGCACCAGCTGAAGGCGGCATGAATGTCTCGTTCCGCGTTAATCTCGTGGACGCCCAAGTCGTGCTTATCGCCAATCCAGCCATATCGAGCTCTGAAGCCATCGTGTTGGGCACGAAGCAGGTCCTTGTCTCAAAGCAGCAAGCCATGACTTTACAAGTGGATAAGGTTGGCATGTTCCTCTGTCGTATGGATCGCTTCGAGACGAGCCGGCTGCGCATTTTGGATGACTTCAGCATCCAGACAGCCCTGGATATCCGAAATCAGGGCACGAAGTCGTCGTTAACCAGCATCAGCGTCGACATCGAGCCCTTGGTACTCCGATTGTCTCTTCGAGACATTTTGCTCGCTATGCAGATTGTGAACCGCGCATCTGCAATGTCGAGTGGGGACGGCGACAAGAAACTGGCTGGCGATGAACCTCAGAAGGTCAAGCAGGGGACACCATCCAAGAAGCCCAAATCTACTATGGGCAAGGCTACGTCTTCTAAACCAGCTGCCAAGTCTCTTGCCACCACCAAGCGGTCGAGCCAGCATGGCGCTCCTCCACAACCGCCTCGGCCGGAGTCTGCTGTCCTCAAGCGAGAAGAGATGAACGTCAGCATCGAAGGCATCCGCGTCGTTCTCATTGGGGACGTGCATGAAATGCCGATGCTAGATTGGCGGGTGAAGAAGTTTGGTATCGATGTGCGAGACTGGTCAGGGGCCATGACCGCGGACACCTCTGTCGACACTCTTTTCAACGTCTACAACTTCTCCAAATCTGCATGGGAGCCACTGATCGAACCGTGGCAGCTTGGTTTCCATATGTCGAAAGACCAGAATCCTGACAGGCTCTCCATGGAGCTATATTCGCGCAAGTCGATGGAGTTGACAGTGACGGCCGCTACGATAGCCCTAGCCTCGAAGTCATTTGACTTCCTTACCACTGAGGAAGATATCCTTTCGAAACCTCGCGGCAATGATGCACCTTACCGGATACGAAACTATACGGGCTTCAACCTCGACGTTTGGGCTGAAGGAAAAGACTACGCAGCGAAGCTGGAAGACGGTGACGAGCAGCCGTGGCGCTTCGAGGATGCCTCGGCTACCCGAGAGACACTGTCCACGGAGGGAGCCACCGGCGTTCTTGGTATCAGGCTCGAAGGCAGTGGATTTGACTCCATCCCACGAATTCCTGTGCACCGAGAGGGCGAGTTCCTGTATAACCTCAAGCCCAAGCAGGAACGGGTGCAGCATCGTATCCTAGTTGATGTTAGCCTTGGCACCGATAACGTCAAGAACATTACCTTCAGGTCTCCGCTCTTGGTTGAGAACAATACCCAGATCCCCATCGAGCTCGGCATCTACAACCCGAGCGAAGGCCATCTGCTCAAGATCGAGAAGGTGGCTCCAGGCGACGCAAGGCCAGCGCCAGTAGGTGCCGCCTTCCTGCACTCCATCGTCGTCCGCCCAGATCAAGGTTTCGGCTATGCTTGGTCGAACGAGCGCCTGTTTTGGAAGGACTTGCTCAAGCGTCCCACAAGAACCATCACGTGTCAAGGAGAGCAGGGTGACCAGTCGCCACCGTTCTTCTTCCAGTTGCACGCATCGTTCGACAAAAAGGATCCGCTTACGAGTGTGTATCCGTATATGCGCCTTCGCCTCCAGGCGCCTGTGGAAGTGCAGAACCTGTTGCCGTTCGACTTCAAGTACAGGATATACGATAGTAACACCAAGAAAGACTGGACGAACTTCCTCAGGAAAGGTGGTGTGAGCCCCGTCCATGTGGTGGAGCTCTCGCACTTGCTGCTCCTCAGCGTTGATATGCAGGACACTCCGTTCAAGCCCAGTAAGTTCGGTATCATCAATTCGACAGACCGGGAAAGCTTTAGGAGAGAGAAGACATTGGAGTTGAAGGATAACAACGACCTCACCCTCCACCTCAACATGCACTTTTAGTGAGTTGACCAATGCCCTTTTGTCTTGACTCTGCTAACATTGCCAGCAACTATCCCGACGGCGGCGGATCATTTAAGGTGACCATCTACAGCCCATATATCATCCTCAACCGTACTGGCCTCGAGCTGGATATCCGCGCGAAGCAGTTCATGGGTCAAGCAAAAACCGCTGCCGGACAGGGGATCTTTGCTGATGCTGAAAACGACACTGGGAAAGCCATGCCTTTCATGTTCTCTTATCCCACACAAGACAAGAAGAATCGTGCACTCATCAAGGTCGGAGATTCCAGCTGGAGCAAACCGCAAAGTCTCGACGCCATCGGAAGCAACTATGCTGTGTCTCTTCCGTCGACGAAGGCAAGGTCTGATATGCACATTGGAGTGAGCGTGGCCGAAGGTGAGGGCAAGTACAACCTGACCAAGGTCGTCACTATCGCTCCTCGCTTCATCATCAAGAACAAAATGAAGGAAGAGGTGAACATCCGCGAGCCAGGCTCCTCGGAGTGGATGTCGGCGAAGGATGGCGAGCTCCTTCCTCTGCGGTGGCTCCGACAAGGTAGCGCGCCGCAACTATCGCTATGCTATCCCGGCGTTAATAATCAGTGGTCTTCACCGTTTAATATCTCGAACGTTGGAAACGTCCACGTCAAGCTATCCAAAGCAGGCCAGCGTCAGAAGCTAGTTCGTGTCGACATCCTCATGGAGCAGGCGACGATCTTCATCCACGTCAGCGTTGAGACCAAGCACTGGCCGTTCTCATTTAAGAACATGAGCGACCAAGAGTTCCTCTACTGGCAAGCAAATCCCAACCTCGACGAGGATGAGGATGACCGTGGAACCGGTTTCCGCCCCATCAGGTACCGTCTGCCGCCCAGGAGCATTATGCCGTACGCTTGGGACTTCCCGGCTGCAAAGAATAAGGAGATCATTATCAGTGCCAACGGAAGGGAGCGGCATATCAAGCTCGCGGAAATCGGTAACCTGATTCCACTCAAGCTCCCACCCGGCCAAGGCCAGAATCGTGGGAAGATCATCGATTTGAATGTGGTCGCGAGCGGTCCGACGCAGACGCTGGAGCTGTCCAATTACAAACCTTCAAAGAGCTTGTATAAGCAGAAGTCAGGCACTGGCTCCTCTTCGACCACCGGTGGTTTCGAAGTGAAGGACGTAGACACGGACGTTACCTTCAAGGCGCATCTGCGCCTGGCTGGCATTGGCGTTTCCCTTGTCAACCGCCAAATGAGAGAGCTTGTGTATCTCACGTTGCGCGATGTCGAACTGAAGTACTCTGACTCCGCGCTTTACCAAATGGTCAATCTCCAGGTGAAATGGATCCAGATCGACAACCAGCTTTACGGCGGTATCTTCCCGATCATATTCTATCCGAGTGTGGTACCCAAGACTGGAAAGGAGATGGAAGCTCACCCCATCTTCCAAACGAGCCTCGCCCGTGTCAAGGACGACTCCTACGGAGTGTTGTATATCAAGTACTTCACGGTTCTTCTCCAGCAGATGACTATCGAGATTGATGAAGACTTCATCTTCGCTATGCTCGACTTCGCCAAGATCCCTGGGGCTTCCTGGTCAGAAGAGAAGGAGGGTAAGCTGTGGGACGAGTCGCTTGATATCCCTGAACCGAAGCAGGAACAGTCTGGCCAAGACGTCTACTTCGAGCTTCTGCACCTCCAGCCGATGCAGATCGACCTGTCGTTTGTTCGAACGGAGCGTATCAATGCCGAAGATACCATGACCTCATCCAACCCGCTCATGTTTGCCGTCAACGTCCTCACGATGTCCATCGGCAACGTCAACGATGCACCTGTCCGATACAACGCCCTGATGCTCGAGAACGCCCGCGTCTCAACGGCTGCTTTGATCTCTAATATCAAGAACCACTACGTGCAAGAGTCACTCCGACAAGTGCACGTCGTCATTGGTTCTGCCGACTTCCTTGGAAATCCAGTCGGTCTGTTCACCAACGTCAGTTCCGGTGTTGCAGATATCTTCTACGAGCCGTATCAGGGTCTCGTCAAATCGGACCGTCCGGAAGAGCTCGGTATCGGCATCGCCAAAGGCGCATCCAGCTTCGTGAAGAAATCGGTCTTCGGTTTCTCCGACAGCATGGCCAAGTTCACCGGCAGCATGTCCAAGGGTCTCTCAGCCGCGACGCTCGATAAAGAGTTCCAGGACCAGCGCCGCATGTCCCGCTCCCGCAACCGACCGAAGCACGCTCTCTACGGCATCACGGCAGGTGGCAACGCCTTCGCCAGCAGTCTCGCCAGCGGCCTTGGTGGCTTGGCCCGCCATCCTATCGAAGGTGCAGAGAAGGAAGGTGCTCTTGGTTTCGTGAAGGGTGTCGGAAAGGGTCTACTCGGCGTACCCACCAAAGCCGCCATCGGCGCCTTCGATCTCGCCTCCAACATGGCTGAAGGCGTCCGAAACACCACGACCGTGTTCGACCAGGAAGGCCTCGATCGCGTGCGCCTAACGCGCTTCATCGGCCAAGACGGTATTGTACGGCCTTATTCCCAGCGCGAAGCGCTCGGCCAGTTCTGGCTTAAGACGCTCGACAACGGGAAGTACTTCCACGAAGACTACCTCGCGCATCTCGAGCTGCAAGGCAAAGACATGCTCGTCATGCTGACGTATAACGGTATCATGCTGGTCCGAACGAAGCGCCTGCAGACGGAGTGGGATGTCCCGCTTAAGGATATCCAGACTATCAGTAAGGAGCGCACGGGCATGAGCATTACGTTGAAGGGCGGGACGAACGGGCCTTTCGTTCCGGTTGCGGATGAGGGCAGCAGGAATTGGTTCTATAAGCAGGTGGCGGTGGCGGTTAATGCGTATAATGATCGGTGGAATGCGAAGGGTTGAGCGAGGGCTGTCAGAGCAGAAAGATTGAGAGGCTCATGGTTATGACGGGTATAGGCATGGGCATTTTGTAGCGATGGCTTAGAGTGGCCTTTCTTCACGTTCGAGGTCTCTTGATTGTATTACTTCTTACTTTTCTTTCCCTTTTCTTTTTATTTTCGGTGACAGAACGGAAAATTGGTTCTTTTTCGTTTTTTCTCTCTCTTTCTTTCTGGACGCTGAGATCGGAGGAAGGGCTTTTGATGCTGTGTATGAAGGTAATGAGCATATATACCATGGGAGCAATGATATGGAGTAAGCTAGGCTCGTTGGCTTTGGGATGGAGAACGGGTTTGTCTGCGGGCCCGGGCATGTGAGTGTGGGTTCTATTTGTTTTAATGCGGGAGTTTAGTGTGTGGTTGGGATACCTAGTAGTGTGGGGAAGTTGACGGGTGACGTGCGGGGTTCGGACGTCGGTCTGCATTGTTGCTTATTGGCGAGTTTCAGCGATATGTCCGATGATTTTGCGGGGACGAGTCTGAAGAAGGGACATGCATGCGACGGCAATGAGACTAGAAGGCGTTAGAGGCGGGGTCGTGGCTCGTAGGGGTGTTTCTACGCACTTGCCAGGGTGCTGATCGACAGGGCTACAATGCGCAAAGATGCTTTGCACCGACATGCTGTCGGCGTTGGGACGAATAGGATATAGTGGGGATTTTTCATCAATGTTTACAGTGTTTCCTACAGTCCCGACTTCTCGTTCCCCTAGTCGAGCCTCTCTTTGTTGGCGGTATGATCGAAATGACCTCAACGAGTTTACTGACGCTCTTTCATGGCCTTCTTCTCTGGACGCGCTATGTATATGGCCAACCTGCCACGCTTGCCAGTGGTGTCCCTTCAAAAGAGCATCCGCTCACGATTCCACCAAAGCCGAACGGCCTGGCAATTGAGAAACCTAACTTCATCATCTTCATGCCTGATCAGCTGCGCTATGACTCGGTGGGCTTCACGGGCAGAAACGACGTACGTGGATCAGTATCTTCACCTACCATGCTATTAGTCGGAAAGCTGATAAGTCTCCAGATCATCAGAACACCGAATCTAGACCGATTCGCGCAGATGGGCACACGCTTCACCAACACGTTCAGCCAGGCGTCCGTCTGCTCCCAGTCGAGATGCAGCATATTCACCGGCCAATACCCGCACGTCAGCGGCCACAGGAGCCTGAACAACCTGCTCAAGCCAGACGAACCAAACCTCTTGAGAACGCTCAAAGAGCACGGCGGGTACCACATCGGGTACCTAGGTCCGCGCGGAGACCTCTTCGCCGCCAACGCGACGGAGCATAGCGTCGACGAATATGGCTACCTCGAGAACGCGACACTGCCCGATTTTGCCTCAGCGCCAGATTTCTCCGCCTATGTGTCAGCGCGCAGCGACGCGCCTTCTTCGTTCAATGCGTCGAATCCCCCCACAGTGGCTGATCCAGACCCAGATCCAGACAGCATCTGGAACCGCGTCTTCTACGGCGGTCTGCGAAACGCGACGGCGGCGCTCGACTACGACGAGAGGATGATCCGCGGCGCCCTGGACTGGCTCGAGTGCCCGCCCCAGCACAAGCCCTGGGTCCTCTTCCTGCCCTTGATCTTCCCACATCCCCCATTTGAAGTCGAAGAGCCCTGGTTCAGCATGTACAATCGCAGCGCGATCCCGCTTCCCGCGAAAGCGGAGGAGAAGACCGGCCATGAGGCGCGCTTCGCGCAGCAGATTCGCGACCAGTATAATACGTACCGGGCGACGGACGCACTGTGGCAGGAAGTCAAAGCCGTGTATTACGGCATGATTTCACGCGTCGACGACCAGTTCGGGCGCATCATGAACAAGACGATAGAGCGGGGGCTGTGGAACAACACAGTGACCCTGTTCTTCACCGACCACGGAGAGTTCCTGGGGGACTGGGGACTCGTGGAGAAATGGCCGTCGGCGGTATCCGAGAACCTGGTTCACGAGCCGCTCATCATTGGCGGGGCTGGACTACCGGAGGGCGTCGTGTACGAAGAGATGGCCGAGATGGTGGACCTGGTGCCGACGATGCTGCAGCTCGGCTCGACGGGCGAGTTCTACGCGCACTACGGGCTGTCGCTTGTGGATGCCATGCACGCCGCGGGTAGAAACGAGACGCTGCCGCATAAGCAGTATGCGTTCACCGAAGGCGGGTTTCTGACGTCCGAGGAGCCGCTGCTGGAGCAGGGGCCGTATCCCTATGATATCAAGACCGCGCTGCAGCATGACGATACGGAGCTCGTGGGTAAAGCCGTGTCTATTCGCGATCAAGAGTTTACGTATGTTTACCGCTTGTACGAGGCGGATGAGCTGTATCTGCGGGACGATACGAGCGAGCTGCGGAATTTGGCGGCAGATCCGGCATTTGCGGGCGTGCGGCAGCGGATGCGAGATGTGGTGATGAGGTGGATGGTAGAGACTGCTGATACACTGCCGTGGTATCAGGATGTGCGGGTGCCGCAGGTGCGGCTGCAGAGCCCGAAGGAGCAGTTCGAGGAGAGGGTCCCCGAGTGTGAGAATTGCAGGGAGAAAGAGACGTGCACGACGGAGGGGTTGACCGATTCGACGAGTTATGTGACGGCGAGTGAGACTGTGACTTATACTTTGTGAGGAATAGGAGAAAGTATTTGAGATATTCTAATGTTTATGTAAGTTCACCAGAAGTGATGATGGGGCGTGAGAAATCATGTACTAACCCTCATCGACCGCGGGACCTAAAAGTAGGCATAATGAGGGTTCTATTTCGCCTGAAAGCTCTGGCTCGCGGCTGGACGAGACATGATCAGCCCTTTGGTCTCCACTGGTTTTCGATATATGGTATTCGGCCCAGCCAGCTCCATTCGCGAGGCGCTACCCAGGACAGGTGCACTTACTATATACTCACCAGCGCCTGTATACACTACCTTCCTAGCCCCTCTTGGGAGATCCCATGTCCTTCCCGGATGGAATCCCTTGAGCTCGGAAATAGTTGGCAAATGTCTCCTCCGCCTTCACGTCGGAGTGCGGATCAAAACATACGGACATGTATTTAGCGCTTCGTGCCTGAAAACCCCGGTCGACGAGAAAGACAACTGTCCTACTGCCGTAGGGCCTTAGTTGGAAAGATTCACCCTAGGTTTTCTGAAAGTGAAAGAGCTGCTGAGGTGACTGCGAGGGTCCTGGAGGATGGTGAGAGGCAAATGAGAGCGGAGATTGCAGAAGTGAATTGCGCACTGGATTGCATTGAAACAATCCTAGGGTGGAGGTGACTTCTCGGGGCCTTGTAACGGGTTCGACGATGTGATGGATGTATTTGCGTCCTTCTTTCCTTCTTGAGAGCGCGCCTTCTTGGTCTTATCAAACACATTAGTGACGTCATCCGAAGCCAACCAGGTCCCCTTTTCACTTCCTCTCAAATCTTACTTTCCACGGCCGCCTATTGGTGGAGTCAGTACCACGGCCACACCTTCACCACGGGGGCTCCAGGCTCCTACCACTCCACTCACTCGCGAGACACAAAATCGATCTCGCGCTCTCGATAGCAACGTAAGCACAACCACCTACACCTACACCTACACCTACAGCCCCCACCATGGCTACGTACGATTCAAAAGCGACCTTCTACGAGGACGGCGTTGCACCGCATACGCTATCTGCGCCCGACGACTGCTCTATATGCCACGAAGAACTTGAGGCTACGACCTCGAAGCCCGACAACCTCACGCTCAGCGCGCCTACTGGCGGCGAGATAGCCGAAGCTGTTGACCACACTGCTGTCAAGATCCTCGCTTGCGGTCATATCTACGGCTCTGAATGCCTCTGGACCTGGCTCGACTTCGCGAACACGTGCCCCATGTGTCGCCGGGTGCTGTTTTATTCGGACAACGAGGGCGGTGAAGATGGAGATGAAGACTCAGATGAGGAAGATGTCAACTTCATTCGTGCGATATTCGCTCAGCAGAACGAAGCACGGATCGCCCATGAGATGGAGATGCGCCTGCAACAATTGGAGATGATGCAGATGCCGCGTATGCGCGAGCAAATTCGCGACATGGAACCTGACGACCCGGAGTACCTTCAGCGCCAGCGTCGTGTATCGGAGGCCTACAACGATGTGAGGAGGAACCTCCTCGACTCGGAGTACTTTCAGGACCAGCGTCATGTATCGGAGACCTACACCGATGTGAGGAGGAACCTCGACGACTCGGTGTACCTTCAGGACCAGCGTCGCGTGTCAGAGGCCTACATCAATGCGAGGAGGGCAGGTCGTGATAGCGTCGCAGCACACCAGCGAGGTTCCGGCAACGGCAGCGACCGTCCGGCCCCAAGAGCTCGTCGGCCTCGCGCACACATTACCATTGATATGGGCATAAACATCATCGGTGATAACCACGTATTCGGGGCCAGCCATGCCCTCGCGCAACGCATGGCACCCGAGCAGACGAGAGCTCATGGTGGCGTTGCAACGGAACGGTGGGGCTTCGGTGATCGCAACTACCGCCCGAGCCCAGGATTACCGCCGGCTCGTACACATCTCCACATCGATGCGAGCGTGACCGTCACCAATGATCGGACCGTGGTAGGAGCGGACCGTCCGCTCGTAGAACGCCTGGCTCCCCACCTCTTCCCCCCAGTCAATATCTACCCCACTCCCGAGAGCTACGACGGGAGGCTAGAAGAATCCCGTACAGACTTCACTCGCGCAATGGTTGGTGAGCACCTGGCCAGGTCTGTCGAGAGGGAGGACGCCCATGAGCTCGCGATGGACGAATTCTACAATGGATATAGAGCAGCTGTGGCAAGCAACATGCTCAACTATATCGAGAACCCGCCCGCTCGAAATGGCAGTGTCTTGGAGGACGACGCCCAGGAGCTTCCCGACCTTGACGAGATGAACGACTTCGAGAGCGAAGTCAGAGAGGCAGTCGCGAGTGACCCCGTCGTCAGTCAGCTAAGCAGGATGGCCGAATACGGTAGTGAAGACAGCGGAGAAGGAGAGAGCGATGAGGAAATGGAAGGAGCGCAGGATTATGTGGATGTCCAACGTAACTGGAGCAGTGCCTGCCGGTATCCGAGGGATCTCCAGCGTCAAGATCCGTTGCGCGGCTGAATGTGACCGCGGGGAGAGGAGAGCATGAAAATTGAAGGGTGGTGATGGGACTTCCACGGAGTGATCAGGGTACATATGCTGGAAGGCTATGAGCGGAGTCATCAGATATTTGGCCATTCAAGGCCGGCAGCAGGGATTTTACGGGCGTATAACAGTCTTGGAGTCGAACGTTTCTCTCCATAGAGAGGGAGCCAACGCCGCCAAAGATGGCATCATCTACTTAGACTCCAACGATTTTTACCACATGTATCTAACAAATCACAATTGCTTTCAACGGCTTCCGATTATGCTGATCTATCCCGAGCTATGGTCAATGTCAGACTCGGGGAGAGGTCAGCGTGGTAACTTCAATACATTGTGCAACCATATCTCTCTCACCTGCTATTGTACTCTCACAGAGCCTATTCCGCGTCTCACCCACAGCCACCACTTAGAATCTCTTCCCAGGCAACCATGCAGTACTTATATTCTCCCCAGCCTCTCCATCTCAACTCCAACAACCGCACTTCTCCAAAGCAGACCAACCCCATCCAAACCGCCGTCTTCCACACAACAAAAGCAAAGCCCAACGCACTCTCTCAAGCACCGCTCCACCGCCGCGCGACGCTAAAGCCCCTACTCCACAACCATGGTCCTCTACACCACCAAAGCCGACTTCCTCGCCCGCGGCCTCAGCAACATCAACCCCTCACCCTACAACATCTCCCACGACTGCATTATCTGCAACTGCCCACTCCACATGACACCTTCCTCCCCGCCCTCCACCTCCCATACCACCACCGCCACCACGCCAACGCTCCACCCCGCCGTCCGTATAACCTCCTGCGCCCACATCCACGGCCGCGCCTGCCTGCTCGCCTGGCTCGAAACAGGTCACACCTGCCCCACCTGCGCGCGCATGCTTTTCCCGCCCGTGCACGAGCAGCCGCTCACGCAGCAGGATGTTAACCATGTGGTTGATGAGCTGGGTGTTGCGAGGGGGTATGGCGAGGAGAGGGTTATGGCGGCGGTGGCGCAGTATATTATGAGGAGTGAGAGGGAGGGCGAGCGGAGGCGGCAGATTGTTGAGAGTGTGGTTGCGTTGGAGAGCGTGAGGGAGGAGGAGAGGAGGATGGCGGAGGAGAGGGAGGTTGCGTTGGTGGTGGAGGATTGGGGGGATAGTGAGGGGAAGGAGGAGGAGGAGGAGGATTTTTGGGGGGATGGTGAGGAGGATGGGGGGATTGTGGTGTAGAGGGTGGATATAGCGGTATATCTTGCTGCATTGGCACTTGGGGAACTCGAGCCGTGTGATTTTCAGTCTGGATTGTTTGCACTTCGAGTGCAACTGACGCTAGACTTAGGCAATTGACCTTGCCTGCAATATATAAGCGTATACGATCAGGAGATTATAGTGAATATGGTGAATGCCATCTTGAATTCTGATATACTAAAATCGCCGAAGGAGTGACATTCGTGATTTAGTAACTAAACGCGGAGCAGCATGTTTATGTCCTATTTCCGAACTGATGAAGACGATACGGGACGAAGTGTGACATCGAACATATCGCGGTTGTCCGTTATCGGTTACCGAAATTTGGCAGTACCGTGCACTAGAGTGAATTGGAAGCGTCCGGTGAGGATAGGGTGTATGAGTGATTATCCTTAGACCTGTGCCTCGACCCTACCTACGGCTTTCACCTTCGATCGCATGGGGCACCTTCACCCTCGGGGCACATGGACCATGATAGCAAAGTATTAAAGCCCAGTCAGTGATCTCTCTCACGAAACCAAGAACCGCAAAGAGGACGTCTGACAACCACCCGGGCAACAACCGACAGCTATCCTGCCCCAATCAATCGCAACCACTCCGAAACCAAAACAGCGCTCAATCGAGAGAGAGATCAAAGCTTCACCGATGGCTCCCTTCAGATCTAAAGAAGCTTTCCTTGTAGACGGCGTCAAACCCCACACACTATCCGAGGCCGAGGCCGACGACTGCTCCATTTGCAAGGAGCCCCTCATCGTCAACAGTACCGAAACTCCCACTCAAGCCCCGAAGATAAACCCCTCAGTCCTTCGCATAAAAGACTGCGGCCACGTCTGGGACAAGGAATTCCTCGAGAGCTGGCTCAAGGACACTAATACGTGCCCAATGTGTCCGCGTGTCGTCGCCATTACCAAACCCGTTATGGAAACCTCGAACATACACACCGCGATACAGATCAAGGGATGCGGCCACGTCTTCGGGAAAGGATGCCTCGAGAGCTGGCTCGAGGACGCGAATACGTGCCCGATGTGTCGAAGCACGCTCTTCGGAACCGAGGCAGATGCGGCCACGGTGGCTGTGCTAGATGCTATGCGGGACGGCGTGGATACTATCCGCGCTACTGATGCTATATACGTCGCTGGGACTATGAATGACGCCCCTTATAGTGCATCTGAGATTGAGCGAAGCATTACTAGGCTTCAAATGGGTCTTTCCCGAATCGTCGACGGATTGAGGCCTTTGAGCGTTGAGGAGGCGCTAGCGAGGGGTGTGATGGTAGAGGTTCTAATAGACGACCCGGGGGAGGATGCCACTGGCACAGACGGTCTATGAGTGGCGGCCATAGCGGTGGGCGAGGAGTCTCCAAAAGTCAAGGGTGTCATGAAGACGACACTCACATATCAATAGGCCGGCACTTCGCCCGCCGACGATTTAGGGATCGGATACTCGCGAAACAATCGATTATTTTGAAATTGGAGCGTTAGTTTTGATTGCTTGCACGAAGTTGCTGGCTGTGAGGTGAAGAAATTTTGGATCCGTGCTACGGATTCGGTGATTCGGTGTACCTTACCACTCTACAGATTTTACCTATCAACCACGCTTCCGATTTGCTTGTACCGCATCGGAACCGAAAACAAATTTCCTCACTCTTCAGGACTGACCCATTGAACTATCCCTCTATCCTATTAACCCTCTTCTGCTCATCTACTTTCTATCTAGTCAGCGACTGAATCACACAGTGACACCACGAGATCGCAACGTTCCGCCCACGCATCATATTGCACCCTTTTCGACAGAACATCCCGAAAAACACGCTCAGATATCTCTCGTCTGAAAAATGGCACATCAAGGCAGATACACCTCTCACGGAGATTTCAGTTCTCGGACTTAGAGCCAGCATACCTCACACCGTCATCTTCAGTGTCACACTTCGCTGATTCGTTGCTCTTTTTGCGTCATACCGCTCCTTGTCCACGCGACGAACTTTTCAGTAATCCCTGCTACCACTCTTTGCAAACGATTGCTGCCTTACACCACCCAAAAGAGACATCCTTCTCCAATACCCGCCTCTTCTCCTCCACAATCGCTCAGGGCCAGTAGCACAAGTTCTCAAACTCCCAGGCAGGTTAGGCAGCACATCTGGATACCCACAGACCACCATATCTGCAAACTTTCAAGAACTACAATACCACCAGTTTCTCTAGATCTTTTCTGGACCTCGTTCCTTTCAGACTTCGATATCCGCCGCACGAAGTAGCGCGAATCCATGGACGAGCCCTCCCCCAAGCCCCCACCTTACTCATCCAAGGAAGACCTCATCGCAAACGGACTGCAAGACTTCTCCCCCAACGGCGAGCTAGAATGCCCAATATGCCGAGAGCTCATCATTGCCGGGACCCCCACGCCATCTACTCTCAATGACTCACCGCTCCCGACCCCCAGCGAATCCGAAGACCCGTTTCAAGAATCGGACAATCGAGATGAACCTTCTTCGACGGCAGAGCAGCACGTAGGACCAGATATCGCTCACATAGAGCCACAGCAATCTCAACACCCAACCCCGCCCCATCCCTCCACAACCAGCACCACCGCCTCCATCCCCGGGAACCAGCACGCACCCAACCCCGAAACCGCCGTCCTCCTCCCCTGCGCCCACGTCTTCGGCCTCACCTGCCTACTGACCTGGCTCTCCGCCCCCACGGGAAACCGCTGCCCCACCTGCAACCAGACGCTCTTCCCCTTGCACAAACTCACCGTGCGGCTGCGTGAGCCGACGCGCGCCATGCGCGCCGCGTTCGCCGAGGTGGTCGAGACGCTGCTGGGGGATCCCGAGACAGCGGCCGTCATACGCAGGAACTTGATGAGCGGGTGGACGAGGGCGCTTATGCGCGAGCTGGCGCTGGCGGTTTATGGGAATGTGAATGAGGGGTGGGAGGTCGAGTATGTTTATGAGGGCGGTGGGGAAGGGGAAGAGGAAGAGGATGGGGATGGGGTGTATGCTGATGATATGGATGAGGATGAGGACGAGGAGGACGAGGAGGATGGGGATGGGAGAGGGGAGGTTGAGTACGAGGATCGGGGAGTGCAGACTGTTGAGGACGAGGACGAGTTTACTTCATGATGATGTGAGAGCTGTTACGAGGATATCGTGTTTGTCTCAGCAACAGCGGTACGAAAGAGGTGGAAGCTGTTACTTCTAGGGGATGTGCGATGGATTGTGCGATGTTATTGTAAGGGTATTGTACTTCGAGGTGTTTGTCATGGGTGTCTATCCGGCGAGCGGTGTTATTGGTATTACGGATTGACAGACCGTCTTCATCCTGTTAGATTTCCTTCTCGTTGTCCTACCTGCCTTAGATTCCATAAGACCTTACATCTGAAAGAACGAAAACTTCCACACTATACTCCATCGCTCTTCCACGCTCCTTACCCTCGGGTTTGCTACCCAGTTTGCCAACATCCCTAGCCCAATGCGTTAGCATCTCGTTTCTCGTAGCGCGTTTGCCTGCACAAACCTCTTCCAATAACACTAAAACCACCCCACCACCTCTCCTTACGCTAAACCCTCACTCAATAACACCCTCCATCCACCACCTTGCATCCCTCCGAAAATGCCACCCACCACACCACCCCGCTCCTCAACGCGCCTCACCGCCGCAAGCGACAACCCCCCCTCCACATGCACAATCTGCTTCGACCCACTCTTCCTCCCTTCCTCCTCGCCAGCCACAGAAACCACGCGCGAGCAACCCGTCACCATCGTCAAATGCGGCCACATCTTCGGCCTTAACTGCCTCACGCAGTGGATGCAAGAAGCCAACACCTGCCCCATATGCCGCGTGGAGTTCTTCGCAAACGAGGAGGAGGTGCCGGACTGGTTGAAGAATGCGTATGTGGGGAGTGTGTTCTGGCGGCCGACGCTGGAGGAGCGGATGGAGGCGCTGATGCGAGGCGCTGATGCGGGGTGAGGAGGGTGTGCGGGTCAGAGTCCGAGAGGTTGGCGAGGAGTTGAGCGAGGATGAGGGGCGGGAGGGAGGTGGGAGGAGATATATTTTCGCTTGAAGGAGGATTTGAGTATATCTGGGTGTGGAGTGGCGAGGTTCTTAGGTGGAGGTAGGAGCGGATCCTAATGGACATCCTCGCAGTGCGTACCGCTGTTGATTAGGACTGAGGCACTTCCCTCCTCCTAACGTCCTTCTATATCGCCCTTAGCACATATCCCATATCCCTCCATCTCTCCCATAGCAGCATGAGTACGTAAGCCACAAAGCTCACCCACACCTACACCTACGCAAGCGCTACAATAACATACACGTAGGAGAAAGCTGTCGAGAATACATAGGCCGTCCCGTTCGGCGAGAATAGTTCCGGGTTCACGGCGTAGATCTGGAATATGAAGGCGAAGTAGCATCCTTTGCGATTATTCGACGAGCGGACACGTTAGAGCGACGACGCTGGATGTGATGCAGCACGGCTTCTCGTCGTACGTAGTGCGCGAGGCTTGCAGGGACAGACATCAGGCGGTCAACATCGCCAATCTCTTCGACACGGAGCGAAGTTCGCAGAGGTGGTGACAGGAACGGGCGATGAAGCATCTCGACGGGCGGTTTGGAAAGGCATGATAATATTAAATCTGGATCCAGGAAGCCAGCAAACAGAGGCAGAGAGAGAGTGCATACATAGGGAAGGAAGCCCGACACATTACCTAGCCACAATACACGCGCGACCCTCTCCTCCTGCGCAATGGGTATCTAATCAGGTCTCGAACCAGTCCAACTCATCGTCCTTCCCGAAGATGGCTCTGTATACGTGGTCCCCGTCGTCCTTGACCACTTCCTCCGTGTGGATGCTGTGCAGCTTGTACTCCCTCTCGTCGGTGCTGCTGCCGTCCGTGCCCTCCTTGGCCGAGCCGAAGATGCGGACGTGGATGTATGCATTGTCGAGCGCGGGGATCTTGACTTTTCCGAAGAGGTGCAGGCCGTAGGCTGATTGCCCGACGCGGACGGACTCGAGATCGGAGGCGGAGAAGGACGCTAGGTCGTGGTCGGAGAGGTCCTTGGCGGCACGGAAGTATTCCGGCTCGTGCTCTGCGCGGTGTTAGAAGCTGCATCGAAGCTGCGAGGGAGGCGGGAGCTTACTGTCGTGCGTATGGCGGAGCTTGACGAGCTCGTGCTTGACCGAGCTGAGCACCGAGTCGAAGGCGTCTATGGAGGCCTGATGAGGGGCGTGAGCCTCGCTGAGCTGGACCGTCTCTTCGGTAGCCATGCTGTTCGCTGTGGGGTCGGGAGGACGTGTAGTGCGTGCTGTTGTACGCTGTGAGGTGGTTGTGAAGGTGAGCTGTAGCTGTTGATTAGTGCGGGGAGTGCATGCAGGGCGTCAGCAGCCTTATAGGCCCCGCCTCAATCCCCCTCCAAGGATGGTGCCATGACGTGCGCTGGCCCAGGGCACTCGAGGCAGGTCGCGTCTCAGCCGCCAATGATCAGCAGCCAAAACTTGGAACAGACAGATGACATCGCCCAAGAGGTGCAAAGAACATGGCGAGAGCCAGAATTGAAGTGAATTGCTGGCGGAGGATCTGGTAACGCTCGTTTGCTAGTCACTGCGATAGATAGTGGTGTGATGGGATGATGCTGCGAGGCGGCTTGTGGAGGCAGAGCGGACGGCTTTCGAACGTCAGGCCGGCATCTGGGCAAATCGTACTAACTCTATACGGCAAAGCTTACCGTTCCCACCACGCTTCCCCGGTGCCTTCACGATGCACGAGCAGAACAATCGGCCACTTGCTCATCTCACCTACTAGTATTCAAATCATGAGCGCAGCAAAGGAATGAGAATAAGCGAGGCATGAAACTCCAGGGTTAGTTTTGGCCACACAAGACGAATCGATTCCCTAGAGAACAGGTTATGCGGTTGGAGAATAGTTCTGCGAATATCCAACGTCTACAGGGAGCTAAATTGGGTTATCATGGTATTTCAGGAGATTCTACTATCAAGAGTGTTCAGCAAGGAGCTCCCAACGGCCCCTTCTTGAGACCTGTAGGAAGCCACATCCGAACGATATGCCGATAGCTCATACCCCGTCCTGACGTTCTCATCTTCCAATTCTTCTTCTTCTCCTGTCGTTTCGAAGTCCAGATCCACGTAATAGTATACCCAATAGGAGCAAAACACGAACATGGTACCCGCTATGGCGCTGACCGTCAGGTACATAACCGCTATCTGTGCGCACTTAGTCGCCATTTCAAGCAAGAGAAGGAGGAGAGGACGGACATTGCAGCCGGCATTCCAGGCGCCCTCACGGCGTATGAGAGGAGTGCAGACCAAGATTGTCAGCCCGGCAAGGAACGCGCATACGGAGTACGCCATAAACATCATCGGACACTGCCAGGTAAAGACCATTTTCATCCGGGGCTTCCATCCATCCGATGTCCGAGACAGCAGTATTGGCACGTACCGCTGGATGGCGTTATGATATCGAGAAGTTTTGGCAGGGGAAGGGAGCGGGCCGAGAATGTGCAACACGGTGGCTTGTGAGGCGGAGAGTAGTATGCCCAATATTGATAGGACGAGACTACCGTGCCAGAAGCCGTGCGTGAGCCAGTATGCTTCTTCGATGGTGATCCAGGAAAATGCGCCGATTACGGCTGCGGCAAGGATCGCACACTTCGTATCACACTGTTAGGGTTGTGCGTATGAACGCTCCGACTAGGCTGAGCAGTGCTTACGGAGATGGAAATGAACTGCAACTCGGTGAGTTTCCTCGCCCTCCAACGTGAGATGGCACGAAGCAGTTTTGGCGACTCTTGAGATTCGGTGGCGAGAGTAGCGATCCTCTTGAGCGGTCCGATGGCGTTGAACTGGTAGATGCGGTAGTAGGGTAGCGTCGCGATGCGTATCAGTAGCCCGTAAAGAAGCATGAAGAATGTCTTTGGAAGAAGATGAATATTAGTCGACCAATGGCTACGAATGTCGCGATACAGCGTACATTCGGGTCCGTCAAAACGTCTCAACCAAGGTTCAGGGGCGTGCAGCCCTCGACCTCGACTGATACTGTTCCGTCGGACGCGCAAGGACACGCGCAAAGAAGCTTACACGCTGAAGGCACTTACCTTGGCATGCTTCAGCACCAGCCGCAACGACCTCCATAGTAGCTCAAGGCTGAGTGACATAATGAGAACAGGAAAGGTTCAAGGCGGCAGGACCTTAAGCATCTGCTCTGCTGTGGCTGCTTGCAGCGAGCGCCATTCTTCTGACATCGGGTGATCATAGACGAGGTTGGGAAGAGGCTGAAAGAAAAGAAGAGCAGGGCGTCGTCGCTTCAATTTTCCCGATTTGGCTCTCGGCCATGCGCACTTCGAGCTCGTCGCTTGCTCGCATGATGAGGCGCGCTGGCAATGGCTCAGCCTACCAGCGTGGCGTATCCCATGACCGATCTCAGAGATAAGCGGAGGCTGTGAATACTTCTGCCAAGAAGGCTGTGGACTGAACACTCCCGCGCCTTCTTGCAAGGCGTCCGACAAGCGCATTGACACGTAGTATACGGATGCTCGGGAGCCTGAGTCGGCCAGGACGTCAAGATGCATCCCAAGCTGCAGGGGCTATTGTACAGAAGGGTGAAAAAACGGTATAGAGATTATACATTAACACGAAGTTCTAGAGCAACAAGTCCAAGCGTGCCTCCTGCACTCGTCGCTTGCGGGATAAGCAGAGTCCGCCTCATGCCTACCTGAGCCATAACTGCTCTTTCGATACGTCCACTCCATCGCCAGCTCTCTCTTCAACTCAGCGCGAAGAGCTTGGATGGACTCAACTCGTAACATCCATTAGGAATCCCTTATTGAGCCCCAGCTCCCCTCTGGTACTTCCAAATGTCAACTGCTGGCTGCCTAGCATCGCCGTTCAGGTCGTCGCTGGCATGGACTCTTTCCCAGTGCTCGTCGAAATCTTCCCGGTAACCAAAACGGCGGTTGCAGGTATGGTGTACGCAACGGTATTGTGCACCTATTGCGTAGCGTTCCCATCGGGATCCATCCTCGGCTCGCTTTCGCCTCCGCCTTGCAAGCTCCCTTGCACATTCCTCGAGCCGTTTACTATTCTCCATGCGGGCGATCCATCGGAAGAAGCGGTTCTCGATAGTTTCAAGGGTGTCACGGCCCGGATGCTTGGTGAAGAAGCCATTGGGTTTCCACTCGTCTAGCTCAACATTTATCCCTGCCTCGTCGTTGATGCGAAAATAAAAGGGAAGATTTTCACGGGCTACCTGTTTCGCTACGATCTTTGGGTCTGTTGCCCGGTTGAAGCCCCCTTTCACTCTGTGAAGAAAGCCTCGCCTCGTAGAATCATCGTCAGCCCTCGCTGTCCCCACACTAACGATGACGCCAACGTTTGGCTTCCCGTGGAGTTCTTCAATTTCTTCGATTCCGACCAACGTAGGATTATTTGTATGGCCAAAACCGCCGTCGGAGAAGTAGATTGTTCTAGGTCCGTGGTGATTGTCAAGGATGAGCTTCAGTTCTGAGAAGTAGAACGGCGCTGCGGTTGCGGCTCGTGCGACTTGCCATATCTGGTAGCTGTCGGCGTCGCCGTAGTTCTTTCCCTGCATTTGTGTCCCAGTATCGCGTCGGATCGGAATTTTGTTGTTGTTGTTCTTCTTGTCGTAATTGTCGTATGAGCGGATCAGGTGAAACGTATCCGAGCTCATTTCGCCGTTTGGTCCCTTAGTCCGCTTCATCGTGGTGACAAATCTGAGCGACGGTCAGTACAAAACGAACAGCTTTTGCGAAAAGCCATGAGCATAGGGTCCGCATGCGTATTGCTCAACGAACTGAGCTTTGACAAGCAGGTGTACGAACGTCTTACAAGTGCCAGGAATAGTTGGAAACGTCACTAAGGCGGTACGTTGGTTCTCATCCCTTCCGCAGCGCCTGGATGTCACGTCTCTGAGTGCTTTCTCCATCGCTATTGAGCTGTATTTCGGCCACGGAGCAATACCGGTGTTACGCTCCGATATAAAACGTGGTTTGCCAAAGATCATATGGCTCATCGTCTGATATTCGTTCAAGCAGTCTTGCACTGTCATTCGGAATCGGCTCAGCATGATTGCTATGAGGCTATGGCTTGTTAGCATAGAGCCCACAACAAGCAGTGTTGATGTTCTCATGCCTTCCGGTAGAGGAGCCGCATATCATATCGAAGTAATGACATGGTAGGAATTTTCGAGCATGACCCAACGCAGTGTGGCGAGAACAGCCATCGCTCTCCGCAAAGTCCAAGTTCGCCTTTTCCTCAGCGTCGTATGGGGGTTGAGTAACATTATCCGGGAATTCCTGGGGCCAAAAACTGTGGAATTCCTTCTGAGTAGCTGGAGCTTGACGCTGCTCCTCTTCTGCGATGTCTTCCATCAACCTCTTCAAGACCAGGAGTGTCCAGTAGCCACGAATGCCTCCGCCATCTATAAGTTATTAGCGAGAAGGTTTGCAATTAATGTATAGGGATAAGACGCACCGAGACTAAGCAAGTTGCGTTGGCTCCACACATCGTCGTCGCGCGGTAGAGTCCAGTCATCCAACCCAGTCCCCACACGCACGGGGCGTTTGCCCTCAGGCGGGCTGTCTGGCCAAAGAGGAGGGCCGGGGTTACTTGAGGAAGACATGCGAAACAAGCGATAAAGGCCGACCAAATTGCATGACAATGGGTCATCTGTCTCAGCTCCACTGCGTTTCACGAATGGGACTTATATAAGTGGACGAGGCAAGCGCCGTGAGACTGCCAGCTGAGTATCCTTCCCAATGAGCAGTCTATAGAGCCTCAATACCGTCGCCATCACGCGTGAACCAGTGGCTGGGTTCTCAACTCCGCCCAAACAGGCTTTGATCCCACGTCGTCCCTCAGAGACTAGCCAATGAGCGGATATCATCCAGCCGTGAACGTGTTTTGCTGAGTGATAAGCGCTGCTAAAAAAATCGTTCGAAGGTAAGCTTTCTGCGCGAGATATCTCGTTGCGGAGGAACCCGAGACGGCCCAGAAAAGAAAACGTGAGAGAAGGCTGAAGCCAGAAGGGCCAGATGTGCTGATTCGCTAGCCATCGTTATGACTTATCATGCAGGATTGATGCATCGTTGCGCATAGTGTGTTGGTTTTTCCCATGTATTGGATACATCGTTTGTGGCGGTCTCGCGTGCCTCAAAAATCAGGACATCCGCCGCTGTTGGCGCTCCGGCGGATAGAGTGATCTCAGCCTTGTCGGACGAGGGAAACACAACATCCCAGGAGCTGTAATTATGCAGAGCAGCTACTTAGTCTTCAAAGTGACGTTGATGTGCGTCCCTTAATTTTGTACTGTCTTTATACCGTTCTGGCGTAGGGGACCGGTCACAGCTCAACGACCGGTAAGTCCTTCAGCCTCACCGGACCTACGGCGCCTGATCGACCTCGTCTAACCGAAGGGTGCCTCGAGAGTGTCTGGACTTTTCGTGGCGCCGTAATTTGGGGCAGCTGGCGTCTGAAACCGGAAAGGAATGTCGTCTCTGCCACCACAATAACACGCCACGATAATCTGCCCACCGACATTGGGTAGAGAATAACGCTCAGCGCCTACCTCACCCTTTGATATACGACAAGCCGAGAATGCAGTGGCCGCGTATTTAGACTCACCCTGCCCCTCCTTGAGTTTCTACCCTCACCACCGAACTTCCAACGTATCATAAGAATCTTGACTCTTGGTGCCGAACCGCATCAGGCCTTACCCTAACGCATTCTTTCCCCATCGGAGCTCATCTACTCGCGACCGTCACCCAACCACTCCTACGTGTCACCCATGCAAGCTGAAAATACTCGAGGACTCGAACGAGTTCTCTCTCCAAATCTCGGTTCCAAAAGTCCCAAAAAGGGGCGAGGGAGCTGGGATCGCGTTGTGGTTTACAACGCTGAAACCGGGAACGTGGATATCCGCAAAAGACAGGAAGTCGACAAAGGTGAGTGAAAGACGAGAAACCGGAAGAGCGGCGCTGGCTGACAAAGAGCCTAGAGAAATCAGCATACGAGCAACTCAAGCTTCCAAAGAGGAAGAAGCAAGTCTCTTTGTTTGTTGCGCAGGATAAGGAGAATAAGTTCAAGACGGAGGACGAGTCGCAGGAGAATAAGGACGTGTTCCTCGCAAGGTTGAATTTTGACAACCTTGGGTTGACGAACAGAACCTTGTTCCATCTTGGTTGCCTTTCCACATTATACGTATCTTCTCCACGGAGCGGTGTTGGTTCTGTTCACTCAAGTGCGGCGAGCGCAACTAGCGTCTGTTGAGGGTTATAGTCCGATGCCTCTTTCGCCGGCATCGCCAGTTTTCGATGAAAGTATCCTTGCCGCAGGTTTCATGATATCAACGAATCTCAACTCCGGAATAGTGCTTAGGGATATAGCTTTTGTGAATATATGAACGGCTGCACACGTAGAGAGAACAGCTCCGCTTGGGTATAGGGTATTGCGTTTGCCCCGGAGGCAGGGTGCCAGGGATAGTTGAGAATGTGTGGCGGGGGAATTTGCCGTTTTCTTTTTTCTCGTAATCTGCGATTTTGCTCACGAGGACGAGCGCGATGAGGAGAGTGGCGCCGAGGTGTCTACGCGTGTCAGCGCATACTCAGCTTTGGATGGGTGTGTGAGACCATTGTTGCCTGTATCAGTGTGGGGTGTCCACTAAGCTGTAGCCCTTCGAGCGAGGGCTGAATGGTCGTGAAAGCGTGGGCCGCGTCTGGATAGGGAAGATACACCTACTGCACAGCCTCACTGATACAAGCCTCATTTCGTAACACCGGAAGGCAGACTCGAAGCGGCCTCATCGACAACAAGCAAGAGGCGCTCACTCGCAGGTTATGTGCGACACTGTCCAAGATAGAGAGGATCCCCCGATCGAGGCTTCCCCAACATTATCTAGCGAGTTTGCCTTGCACCGTCTTGACCCCAACAGTAGATAGCCAGCCATTATCTCTTCCCCGTTCTACAGCCTGAAAACACAGCTCTGGCTGCATGACATAGACTTACTCTCTAGAGACGAAAAGCAAAAGCTTTGAAATAGCAAGGCTGGCTGGTTCGATTGCGGACGCGCTGTAGAGTTGACGTTGCGGACGGCGGCTTTGTATCTGTAAGGGATGCATGAGAGCCACTGTGAATATACAAAGGAAGCAGACTTACTAGTTGGTTGGCCCGGTCCAATCTCCAGCCGCAAACATCTCCATGCGCGCGTTTCTCTCTTCCTGCACATTTCTAGTTGGGAATAGGAGCCATGTTCCCTATTATTTTCCGCTCCATCGCGTTACTCCTAGACCACAGATACGTCTTCCACACCTCAGTTTATCTTGACATAGGAGCGAAAAGATTGATCCGCTCTTTTCATAGACAGTTCGTCATGTTATCGTCGAGATCCGAAAGGCCTCAATCATGTATTGAGCGAGGATATCAGCCTGTTCTGGTTCATTCATGAGCTATATGTACCCAAAAACAGGGTAGACGAACCTAGCTACCTCGGCACGTGACTATCATATTGTGCGATTCATGGTACATGCAGATGATGGAGGGACGAGACGGTTTTCCAGGTGACTCTTCCCAGAAGATCGTATTCTTATGGTGCGTTCGGTCGACTTGCTTGGGTAAGGCGATGCTCGCTACCACGCTAAAGCTGGTGACTCGAACTCAACAAGGGCTTGTGGCTGTCGCACCCGTCCTTCGCCGCACTAGAGTCGATTCACTTCATTCTTGTAGCTTTCGTCACAGTGCGGACCGTGGGACGGTTTTGTGTTGCCTGGTATTGGCGATGACTCAGAATCTGGACCAACGAATGTAGGGCTCCCTTTCACGTATGAGTCGAACACGAAGAGTCACAGTCTTTGGTCCCATATTTACTGTCTTGGCACGGGATGCGAAGTGCGATGGAACGCTCACTTCGACCTATATAGAGCCGTGCATGCGGGTCTTCTCCAACCCACCACAGCAAAGTCAAATCCTCTCGCTTCTCGGCTCGGAATCGCAACAGCCCCCTTGAACGGAAGCGCATCTTGACGAGACATCTCTGCCACGCATAGCGACAAGGAACGAAGCCCCGAATCCCGTACCCAGCGCACTCTGCCAAACTTCAAGACTCCCAATGTCTACCGACAACTCCAACAAGGCCGAAACCGCCGTCGCATACGCAGCCTTGATCCTAGCCGACGAGGGCATCGAAATTAACCCGGAGAAACTCCAAGCTCTTCTGAAAGCCGCCAACATCGAGGACGTCGAACCGATCTGGACCACGCTCTTCGCCAAAGCGCTCCAGGGTAAGGACGTCAAGGACATCCTTACCACCGTCTCGACCTCCACGCCGGAGGTCGGACAGCAACAGCCTCCGGTGGAGAATGGAGAAAAGGATGAGAAGCCCGAGGAGGACGGACCGAAGGAAGGTGATGACGGAGACGGCGACAGCGATATGGAGGGTGGAATGTTCGATCTCTTCGGTTAAGATCGGGTATGAAGTGATGGAAAGGAGGAGTGTGGGAGTTTTGAGATCTTAAGATAGTTTGACTATGCAAGAAGATCTTTCTCCCATGTTGAGTGCTCGAGATGTGATGCGGAGTGCCCATACAGATGCGTCGTCATGAACGGAACGGGAATATTAAATCGCCAGCTCTCCAGCTCCGCAGACTCATTCATACGGATCGGTGGTCCCCCTTCGCAGTCTTCTTCTCCTCCCGAATTGGCGCCTCCTGTTCTCTCCTTCCATTGATGACGTACCAGGACGCGAAGGCGGCGAAAAAGCCGACGTTCGCACGATAGGTGTATTTTAACAGGGTATTAATCTTAGCCTTCGATATAGGGTCCATGACGAAGCAACTTTCAGATAATGAGGATGATGGAGACTCTGTTAGTCGTGTGTAGAGCGTCTAGTTTCTAGGCGTGTGCCTGGGCGGTTTCCTCAACCTTTATGCGCTTGGACCTAAACAGACATAGCGGCTTGGCATTGGATTACGTCATGCCACCAGCAGATCAATTCAGGTTCGTTCTTCAGTCGCAGCGCCTCTGCACATCCACTTCTTTTCGTCAGTTCTCCTCTAGCCTCACGCGCCGCCCCTTCTCTCCTTCCTCCTAGGGAGTTTCGGCCCGGCCCACTTTCGCTAGAAGCAACCTCCAGCTCGTGACGCTCCCCTGACAGAACAATGCGGGTCACGCATCCATGAGCGTGGAGATTACTTAGTCCGAGGCATCGCAGAATCAGAGATTAACATCTTGACGGGAAGCGGTTCCTCCCATTTCATTCCAAGAAAGCCTTTGTGCCGACTTCTACTGACGATCCGCGAAATACTCTTAGACAGTGAGACTGCTCTTGACGACTAGATGTCCTAAGAGGCGGAATCATCCAACCATGGGCTATCTACCGAGTGCGGATTTCTCCGCGAGCCAGAGCAGTCGGAGGAACTGGGATTGCGATATTGTCCGCCTCTGGAATAATGCAGGTTTCGGCGTAATAAAGTTTATCGATTTGACCTTGACAAAAATACAGCTCATGCATACCCTCGGCAATTCGCCAGTCTGATGAGACCGCGCTATCCGTTTCCTCGTCGCCATAGCGCAACTGGAGTGGTTGTAGCAGAAAGATCCGATCGCGATCCCAGTTACACCACATCTTGAGTAACGACAAAACTTTGTGGGCGTTCTCGTGGACGCTGTCATCCATCGAGTAGCCAACCTTCGGACGGTTCACATGCGATCCATCTGGCGCTCGTGGACCGCGTGTAGATCCCAGGGTTAGCGGGCCGCTTCGCATACCGAACATGAAGAGGCATCGGCTGAATTGTGCCGTGACCCACCTGCCACGCTCAGGACCCTCGATCTGCTCAGAGAACGATCGTTCGAGGCAGATCTAGCGTGAACTGTAAGTCAGTGCATCCGGAAGTCACGCTTGGACAGGCCTGGACTAGGACTCCGAAATGTTGCATTCCTGGCCGGAAAGAGAGGGGAAGGTCGATTGCTCGCTCAAAGTCTATGTACCACGTTGTATTCCTTCGTGACCTTTATGTCATGCGTTCCCAGATCTCTGACCCTCTCGCTTGACTTGCCACCATCTTCCAGCGACACAAACGCATTCACCTGTCCCCCTGACTTTCCCACCCAGTGCGCCGGGTTCAAATTCGACGTTGAGGATCCGCTACTGCTCGATCGGAACTTCAGCCTTCGGAGGCCTGTGCTCTCTTTAGGCATATGTCGACGCTCGTCTCGCCAAATGCGGTGGAATGGTGTCAGAGTGGGAATCGAGCACGCGATAATGCCGACGGCAATTTCCAGAGGCGAGAAGAGCATGCGGCCCCAAGCCGCACCGATCGGGTCGGTTTTGATGTCCGCGAAGAACGGGAAGACGCAGTCCATCCGAAGGATGCCACAGATTGTGCAGCTGCGAAGTGTTAGCGAACTTTGCGCGGAAGGTAAAAAGATATCGTACAAACTCCCGAGCAGGAACAGTCCCGCAGTCGAAACCTTCCTCCGTGTGGACAAGTGCATGTCGTACACTGCCGGAATCGCGATACCCATAACCAGCGCGTTGAACGCGACGTGGAGAGACCCGATAACAATGCAATTATTTTTGTTCGTCAAGGTGCACGAACCCGGAGGATGGCAATGTATGGCCCACGCGACCACAGCGTAGACGTACCAAGCCGCCACAAGTACCATCATAACGAAGCACGCGGACCGAGCGAATTGACGAGAGTCGTAAATGCGGGTATAGAATTGAAGCAGCGAGAGTTGGACGGCGGTAACGGAGGTAGCCCAGCAGATGTCGACCGCAAATTGTGTCTTCGAAATTAGTTAGTCGGCCGTGTTCCTTCAGCACGTCGAGGTCCCTACCCTCAACCAGTATCTCAGCCCAATGTGGTTGAACTTCTCCTCCACGTAGTCGGAAGACATCCCCTGGCCGTCGACGAGGACAAGAACGACGATAATAGCGACAACGAGAACGCTCATGATCTGCCAGAATCAGCATTGCGGCCCGAGGCGCAGGGAGCGTTTTCACTTACAAGGCCCGCCAAACACAAGAGATCCTCCACCAGGGTATTAATCCGCTTCGACTGCCTCGCATGCCATCGTGCTGCTACCACAACTGCTGCCAAAGCGAGAAAGATGGGTGGTATCACAAGCAGAATGATCTGCTTCTGGTTGACGACGTCGAAACGGCGTTTCGAGAGGTACACCATGGTGCAACACGCCCGGCTCTCATAACATAGCGACGAAAACTAGCGACAATTATAGCGAAGGAAGGGAGCGAGCTGCAGGTAGATGAGGGAGCTGGATAAGAAAGGCTTCGACCCCTCGTGGCTGAACTGGGAACAGTGTCAAGACGGCCCATTAAGAGCAGGAACGTGTGCTGCGGCTCGTGTTACCAGGGTCGCAGCCCGTAAGCATCCACGAGTGCTGCGCGGAGCTCGGAAACCATATCATCGGGTGGCATGTCTGGCAAGGTCGCTGATTTGCTGGTTGTTGTGCAAGGTCTCACTGCATATATACCCTTGTCGCCAACACCCAATGAGCGCGAACCAACACTCTATCTCCAGCATGGGGCTGATGCATAAGATTTAGCATTTGGTTACGCGGATGCGGAATAGAGTAGGGGCCAAGCCGAAGAAGAAAACTGGAAATTATGCGTCCTTGTTGGAGAATTGGGCTAACTTCATGTCATGATTCTCGCCTTGTCAGGTACGCTCTTTGTTCGCCCAAACGTACCCACGAAACATCGAGAGAGCACCGAGATCATGCGATAACCGCCACGAAAACCACCTCAAGCCTTCCCAGCGCCAGCCCGTAAGCGAGAGCATGTGGAGGCGCCTCGTCGGAAGCCCGACCATACTCCGCTTTAGGTTGAGCCGGCTTCTCGAGGCTCACTCCGCTCGTCAGTCCTACCGACAGAGCCCGATATCCGCTGGCCACAAGGACGAAAGGGCTAAGTGCTCGTCGTCAAAAGGCGCCAAATCAGGAGCAGTCCTTTCTGCAAGGTGTTTTTCAGCTCTTGACGAGGGCTGCATGGCTGCCTAGGTGCGCAAGCCTCCTGTTACCCGGATCCTCGTCGACAACTGTGAATAGTAGACCTAGCGATTTTTGCTTACTTAATAACTTGTGAGTCCTCCCCCTGAATGCTCCCATTGACAGCGGAAGTTCCGATGAGAATATTCCCTGGACCGATCATTGCCAGACTTCGCACCCAGAGTATACGATCATCGGCTTGGGGAGCCTAGCGTGACGTGCTGACATGCATTCATGCACGTCGCAGGGAATACTGGGGCCAGATTGTACTGCATGTACAGCTAAGACGGGTAAAGTTCCGATGGGACACAGTTCTCCCGTCTTTGAAGGTTTGTAGCTGTTGCACTGAGTCTTCTAAGGGTCAGCCACGCCTGTGTGAGTTGGTCTGTACGCAGTCAGCATTGGCTCCTCATTTTCAGCCTCAGACCACGATTACGGTGCCCTGTACGCGCATGTCACTGCAGGATTTCCCGTCTTCCCCATCCCACGTTCCTTTTGCCGGTGGGGCCGGAATAGAAACGGTCTTGATCCTTCCGACCTTCCTGCATGATGTCGGAGGCACGGTCGGAGGACGCGGATCTTTGATGCGCTCGCGACACAGGCCGAAGGAATAAGATTCCGATAATCCAGCAGAGTGATGCTCAGTTTAGAAATTGTTATCCTAGGCGCCGTGATTGGATGCCTTCGCGCGGAGGACTCTCCTACAAGCCCACGTTCATGCGTGCCACCTTTGCATCACAGCATTGCCCCATTATTTCTTTGTAGCAATTGTTTCAAAGTTTCCGCTGGGTGGGGACCGCCACCAACTTGAAAGCTGAGTCTCGGTAGCTGCGATCGTGCCAACGAAGGAAAGAGGCGGCCATTCATGAATCGAACGAGGAGCCAGAGTGGCAAGACTTCCGACCCCTTCATTCCGGCGCCTCCTTCTCAAATAAGAACGAGGATGTTGTCGAGGATACGGACCCTTCAATCGAGCTTCGCCTGGTCACTGGGGCCTTGTGCCTCTGCACCACTGCGGCGTAGTCGCGCATGATCAAGACGTAGCGAATCGGCGGCAACTGTCCAACATCTCCAAAAACGCGTGCTGCCGCACAAAGCAGACTCGACCTGGTCCTCGGAACCTATCCTTTTCCTTTCGTGTTTACGTTGGTATGAAAAAAAGTGGTCCTGGAGGAGTTCCCGCTTCCACGCGCTCCATGCCTCGTCGCATGTCACTCGCCTATCCGGATGACTATCTCTTGCCGGGATAGGTTAATGCCTAGTACACCGATCGCGGATCTCGAAACGCAATGTTAGACTAATGGTCGATGGCGCTGTGGCTGCCTCAGTGTTTAGCCGCGGCTCTAAAGAATTTCACATGCCAGCCACGGATGCATATTCAGCCTGATGGACCACGGAAATTCTGATAGGGACCTATTCAAGTTTCGGCTTCACAACCCGAAGCATGCAAGATTGCAACATTCCCAGTTTCGAGGATGCCGGCCGCATGGCGAAACTTTGAAGAAGAAACGCGGTCGATATGGCAGAGTCTGGAATCGCTGGCGTGTTAGTTCCTGTGCGCTCAGTATCAGGACCACCTGTTCGCATTTTCGTTTCAACACGCCAATGAAACAAACTACGCTTTACCGAGCGGGTAGAGTGCTCAAAGATACGGATCATGTTGAGATGTACCCTCGGAGCAAACTGGAGGTTTCTAAGATACTGGAACAGTACAGAAGATTCGTTGATGGTTTCTACGGGCTTTGAGTGTAAGGTGCCTGTGTTAATGACTCAGGAAGCCTCTTCCCCTTGTGAATCATCACGCTTGTTTCGGGGCTCCAACGTTAACGGGATGTCGCACTTTCCACTTTGTCCGACGTTATAGACGAATGCACTACTCCGGCCTTTTACGGGTCCCTGAAGGTGCTCGGGGATTCCGAAATCATACTACGCGACTATTTTGGTAGTCACCGTCATCATGCTAACGATCAGGTGGGTAGACATCGGCACATCGAGGCTTTGCAGCATGACAAGCAGGTACAGGGCCGGCTTTCGGCCTTTCCACTTCACGCGTCGTTATCGTTAGACCTTTTACGCGGAACTGCCTGGAGCTACAGTTGGGAAGTCTCCAAAGTGGAAGATAATAGGCCGCGGGTGTCTAATGTGGGTTCTTGCAGAGTGAGGCATTGATGGAAAAGGTCATAGTTCTTTCAATCGTCTCCATCGCAGAGAAATGTGTTTGGATTAGAACGTGAGTCTGTGATACCCTAGCTGAACCACACATTCGTACTTTTCCAGTTCACATATTGAGGCCCAATCTTCTTTAGGTCGCCCACACCCAAGTTCGCAGCGTCAATCGCAACCTCGTGCTTCAGCATCTCAATCACCCTCTTCACTCCATCGACTCCATACACGTTACTGAACATAAACGGCCTCCCGACACCTACAGCCCTCACCCCCAACGCGAGCAGTTTAAGCACGTCCGCACCATAGCGCACCCCGCCATCCGCATACACTTCGACCTGCTTGAAAATTTCCGGCGCCTCGTTGTGGATCTCTAGGGCAACTTCGAGAGAAGAGGGCGTGGTGTCGAGCTGGCGACCTCCGTGGTTCGAAATCATGAATGCCTTGACTCCGTTCTGCACTGCGAGACGCGCATCATCGACCGTCTGAATTCCTTTTGGGATTATTGGCAGCGACGTCATGTTACTGAGCTTGTGGTAGAGATTCCAGGTCAGGTAACTGTAGCTAGAGTCTGCAGAGCCTACGCCGTAGCGTTTGGCACGGTGCCTGTTTCCGTCGGCTGCGGAGTCCACGGTGAGAATGATGGCTTTGGATCCAGTTGCCTCGATGCGAGAGAAGAGCTGGAGGGTTTCTGTATCGTTTTCCGTGAGATACACCTGCTGAAAGAGGACTTGCGAACTGTTTCCCTTCGCTGCAGCGATTTCCTCAACGCTCTTCGTCGCGTATAGTGCAGGCATGTAGAGGATGTTTCCGGCAGCAGCGCCTTTAACGAGGTTAAGCTCAGCATCAGGGTGAGCATATCCAGCTCGAGCACATGGCGAGATAAAGAATGGTGCCGAGAAGTCGTGGCCGAGAATCGTGGTTGGTAAGGTACTCTCGATATTCGTTATATCGACCATGACACGGGGCCGCAGACGAAACCGCTGGAACACTTCCAGGTTGTTGCGATACGACCATTCTCCGGCTGCTCCATTCCGATAGTAGGTATACGACGAGGTGTTCATCTTGCGGCGGGCTGCCCACTCGAAGTCCGGTAACCCGACCAGTGAGTCGAGATCTGGGAGCGTCCCATTTGCTATCGCTCCCAGCGCTTCGTCGATGCTACATGAAGGGTTAGCTTGAGATACAAATCAGAGCGCGCGAGTGTAACTACCCCGTGTCTGGCTCGTTGAGGAAGGGACGTGCCGCGAATGCCACGGAAGCGAGCGGAAGAAGAGGGAAGCGCATATTGAAGGAGCGACTGAAGTGGGCTATCAATTCTGGGGGGTGGAATATTTTTTCTTTGCGAACAGCACTTTAAAGTTAAAGCCTGACTATCGCGCTCAAATATGAGTTGTCGCCGTACCCGGTCACGACTCCTTGCTAGAGACGTTGCACAGGAGTGGGATTCACTTCACGTCACTCCCTTCAAAGCGGTATAATAAATGCTATTATTTTCTGGAGGACCATCCAATATAAGACTATGGAGAGTTAGCTGCAGTAAATAAATTATAGTCGATTGAGGTACCGCAGGGGTGCTCGGCCCAATGCAGTTCATGGCGAGTTGGCAAAGTCTCTAGCTTCTCAAAAACGAACCACTCGTGATCGAGCAGTTGCTTGAGGCCCATCGATGTGTTATCCCATTGGGTAAATGTAGATTGGCCCAAGCTGCCGAGGAGTCTAGGCGTCGTAAGGCCGAACACCAAGATTCGTTTCATGAAATTCATAGAATTCTTGGAAACAAGGGTCTGCTTGGTAGATTCGGTGGATCTCTCGCAACCTCAAATTTCCGATATCTAGCACTCCAGGTCAGTTTACCATGTAACAACCACATGGCTGAACGCGTGACGTAAGAAGAGAGAAGTAAGGCGCTATATTCTCGTCAAGTATTTTGCGGGTGGTTTTTCTCTTGGCCGTCTTCATCATACCAGCATTGCGCCACCCTCCGCAGCCTTACAAACGTCCTCCAGAATCTTCTTCCCAACCAGCCCAACCTTCGTTATTTGAGTCGAAGGAAGGAATGAGAGAAACGAATGACCGACGAAAAGAGCGACTGGAATGCTAAATTGGCTGAGGATGATTAACAGCAGGGAACCCCGAGGAATACTAATAAAACTCCATGGAAACTCTCCATGGATGCCAAGAAAAAATGCGACCCTTTGCTCTACCCCTTCCCATAGAGCAAAGGCGATGGATACGAACGGTGAACCTGGTCACTGGATAGTGCGCTAACGGAAGTGTTAGGCAAGTCGCTTGTAGAGGCATTCCCATCGATATTTGCGCAGTGATGGAGACCTACACAGAATGACTTGTAGGTTACAAGATTCGAAGGAGCTAAAGGATAGGCTATCGTTAGTGGTGGAAGGATGCACAAACGAACGGAGTTGCTGAGCCTCATGAGAAGGCAGTTCTGCGTGACGGATCATGCGTCAGGCCTAATTTTATCGAAGTGTAAGTAGTGAAGAGATAATGGGGTTCCTCTCTAGACCGTAGATCGAGCCGCGAGTTTTCTTAGCCCATAATCTCGAACCGCCGACCACAAAAGGTAATGGGGTACCCTTACGCTAGTGTAGCAACGATGAATTCGTGCATTGATGTGATGAATTGATGCTTTCTCGTTACTGGATATATAGTATAATACTCTACAAAAGCAGAAGGTGATCGTGATCCTTTTGCTCCTGAATTTTTGCGTGCTGAGAGGAGGCTACGAGGGCGGACGAAATGCATAGGCGGGATGATGAATCCTCCGCGACTCGAGGTGGCGGTCTAAGCATAGTCCCAGCAGAGCGGGCTACGCCTTTCGTTCGTGGGTGTATGATATTGAGAGCGACAGGTGACGCGACGCGTTCCGGATACCTAGGTAGCTTGGAAGTCATATCGGGCGAGAACAGCTCGGCTTCTGGTGGATCTGAACGACCCGTCTGAGCAACAATGCTGTGGCAAAGATCTACGACGGATGAGTCGGGCGAACCCGAAACGGCCCGCCCCGTGTTGGTGACACTAGGTGCCGCAATAATCAGTGTTGCATTAGCTAAGCAAAGCATTTTTCTTCACAGCCCCGGAAGAGAAAACTGAGCCTTTTCGGATGAGGTAAGCGGACCATCAAAATACCGCCGCGCCATACAAACACCCATACAATAAGGGTTTTTTTGTGGTTTCTAGGTTAGAAATATATAGAAATTAGACTTAAAGCTTTATATTTGTATAGAGGGGCGTATACAGGCTTGTTTTCTAGTGTTGTAGTTTACAATTAAGTTACTAGAGCCTTAATTTTACGCGTTTCTCGCCGTCGCGCGCTACCTAGCCACAACGCCAGGGCAACTTAATAATTTGGCGCTGTATTTCGTCCTAAGTAATCTTACTCTACTTATCTTGCAGCAGGTTCTTAACTTCTTGTATAGTGTTGCACTTAGAGAGGCGCTCTTTAGCCTGTTCTTTGAGAATGTTAAATACGCTCTTAATAACGCTAAGGTCGCAGGAATTAGGTAGGTGACCTAGTAGAGGTAGCCTATGCTCCTGCCTATATATAGCTAGCAGAGAGGCGCTGTTTTTATTGCCGTAAGAGGGATTGCTGTCCTCTACGATATACTAGGTGTATTGTTGCTCCTAGGGGAGGTAGCCGCGCAGCTTGTTCGATCGCGATTAGAGGTATTAAAAGGCGTCTCTATACTAGGGCAGTATTTTCTCGACGTAGTAGGAAGCTCTTATAGAGTTACCTAGCTTTTTTACCTCTAGCTTCTAAGGCAGAGATGCCTCCTACTTAGCAACTCTGCAATTGTACTTATTCTTAGTCTTAGTTGTTAGCTAACGCCGTAGCTTTAGCGGCTTTTTTATAGGCTTAACGTTGTTGTATTCGTCGTTGTAAAACAATAGACTGTTAGCCTTTATGTACTAGTTAACCCACGCCGTAAAGTAGACCTAATTACCTTGTTTCCCCTCTTGTGTAACTATATTACTATCCTTGTATTAGGTGCCTTCTTCTCGCAGTATATTAGGGTGGTGGAGGTCGCTAGGGTCGCAGTAAGCCTCGTCGCAAAATAAGACGCCGTTCTAGAAGCCCTCTAAGAGCTTATATTAGTAGGTAGCGCCGTAGGTTTAGCGCTTTAAGGCTTGCGCGGAGGTAATCTTTTTGGACGTAGCTGCCCTGTAAATACCAGCGTTTCTTCTTGTACGTAAGGCATTGCGTAGGCAGCGTACAGAGGCCTGTATTTTATAGTGTTTCCGCTGTACATTAAGCTTCTAATTGCGTACTAGGTTGACCTGTTTATCGCGACTTAGCAAGGTAGAGAGAGTCTTATCAGAGACCGCAGGAGCCGGGCCTTGTTTAGTGCCCTTTTCTTCCTGTCTTATGTCTCTTAGCTCTCTTCTTCTATATGCGATATCCCTGTATTGCTGCCTCTTCTGTAGCTATTGTTTTGCCGTGCTAGGTGGAATATTAAGTGTTTCCGTCACCTCTAACACCTTCTGCCCCGCATCCTTCCAGCAATTGTACGCCTTAAAAAATCGCGACTTCCGTATAGTATTAGCGTAGAATTGTCCCTGGCGGTTCGTAGGGGTACTAGGGCGTACGCGCGTTATTTTTTTATGTATATATTAGGCGTGGTGGTGGTGTAATAGCTGTACAAAAAAGTGGTGTTGATGTTTGTGTGGAGGTGTTAACGTTAATTACCTTATCCGAAAAGGCTCAGTTTTCTCTGCTGGGGCTGTGCTTTATAAAAAGCTGCGTAACGTTTAAAAAGTAATAGAAAGAGCTTTTAATTGTAATATCTGCTAAGCTTTTTAGCATAGGCTTTTACTTTTCTTATAATATTAATAGATAAGGGGGAATTTTGCTTACTGTAAATATCATAGCACCTACCCAGTTAATGGACTACAGGCCAGTTGTTCTAAATCCTACGTAGACTTTAGCCCCCGAGAATGCACAGTCCAGGCTGTAGACGCGGGAATCGTATATAAAGACGTCGCAACGTCTAGGGTAAGCACAGGATAGCCTCCACATTTCATCGAAGCCTTTTAACCTCGGGCTACACAAAGATTCTATCTTTGTTGTCGTCATGTCTGCATTCAGATACCTCATGAATGATTGTGCTGGAGGTGAGTTGTCAGTTCCCTACAGCTAGGAGCCGGGAGTCTAACTTCTGCAGACATTGGAAACCGGAACGGAGCCGAATATGCCAACGACAAGAAGCACACCATCGCAGTGAACTGTGCCGACGAGAGAGATCATATCAATACAGAGGATCACAGCAACGGGGACAACTGCTGCATTGATGGAGAGAGCCCCATCTATGCAGAACATTGTCCCAGTGGAGAGAACCATATCAATGGGGGCAACCGTGTCAGCGGTGAGAAGATTCCCAACAGGGATAGTAATCTTGACGGCGAGGAGATTCCCGGCAGGAACAACCATACTCACCGCAAGGAGCTTCCCAACGGCGAGGCGCTTTTCAACGGGCAGAAGCACATTGACGGTGACGGCAACCAGACCAACAGCAAGGCGTTCCCCAACAGCAAGAACCACACCGACGGAAAGAGTCATACCAGTACTCTTCCCCCAAGCCCCTCCCCAACTGTCAAAGCAGCCGCTAGCCCCAAGCAAGGCGACAACAACCTCTTCTGGGCTCGCGAGCTCTCCAACCTACCGCGCCCGCCCCCACGTAGCATCATCGCGAAGACGACGGCCCCCAGAGGCCGCCCGTCCAACGCCCGCCACGTCATTTCCACAGTGCTGGACCGCGAGCTGACCCGCGGCGTGCACAGCACGAGCGCACACCTCGGTGTTACGCCGGCGGCCCTCGCGTTCACCGGGTTGGGTATCATGCTCGAGCGGACTCTGGAGGCAGATGACGACTTCTTCGTTGCCCTGGTGGTACAACCCGATCCTTCTCGCACGGGTACGCCGTTTCTGCCCGTAAGACTCCGGCCGAGTGCGCAGGAGAGGGTGGTCGACGTCGTGCGCAGGGTACATGCCAAGCTGGAGTTGGTCATGCAACACGCAGACGGTGTCGTGCTTCCGCTGCTGGACCAGAGCACCGGGCCTGGACATAGTTGGCGGGAGTGTATGCCTGCTGCCTTCAGCTACGAGGTCCTTCCCGGAAGGATGATGCCGGGACGTCCTCGGCGCTCGATCGCCGGTGCGACGTCGTTGCTGGCTGCTGATGACGAGGTGGCGGCCGCAGTCGATTTGCGGCTGCACATCGCTGAATCTCAGGACAACGGGTGTGCATACCTCACGCTGACAGTCCCGGAGGCTCTGTACACGCATTATGATGCGGAGTCCCTTGCAGGCAGATACTCCCAGGTCGTCCGTGCGATACAAGGAGACGTTTCGCTAAAGGTGCAAGACTGCCCCTTGTTCGACTTTGCGGAAGGCCGACGTGCGATACACTGGGGAAGAGGTCCGAGAGTCAAGTTTGATGAGTGGCCTGCTACCCTCTTGCACAAGATCGATGAAGTGGCAGGTAGCATGTCGGGAAACATTGCAGTGAAGGACAGCCAAGGGAACCAGCTCACTTACGCCGAACTGCTCCAGCATATTGGAACCATCGCCGCTGCCTTGCTGCAGTGCAATCTGAGCAATGGGGACCGCGTAGCAGTGTATTGCGAGCCGAGCATCGATTCGCTGTGCTCGCTGCTCGCCATCACGCGAATCGGATGCATCTACGTCCCGCTCGATCTGCGTAATCCAGTGGAACGACTAGCGTCTATCGTCGAAGACTGCGATCCTTCAGTTATTCTTTTCCATGGCTTGACTGTACAGAGTGTGGCTGGTGTAACGCAGCCTGGCATTCAGCTCCTCAACATAGCGACGCTCCCTCAGGGAAACCTCGATAGCGCTCCTCCACCCACCACGAGCACATCCCGCGACCCTGCCTTCGTGCTCTATACCAGCGGCTCCACCGGCCGCCCAAAGGGCGTGCTCCTAAGCCATGGCAACTTCCTTGGCCAGATCGCAGCGGTGCACAGAGAGTTTGGCCTTGAACGGGAGCGCGTGCTGCAGCAAAGCTCGCTTGGTTTCGATACCTCATTGCACCAGATATTCGTGGCCTTGACGACCGGCGGCACAGTCATTATTGCCAGACGGGATATCCGCGGTGATCCAGTGAAGCTTTCCGAGCTGATGGTAGCAGAGCGCGTCACTTTCACCGTTGGCGTGCCATCAGAATATTCGGTTCTCCTGCGGTACGGCAATGCGCAGCTCAGGGAATGCCGCGATTGGAGATACGCTGTGAGCGGCGGCGAGCGTATGACTGTCGCGCTGAAGCAGGAGTTCCGTGCGCTGGGTGATTTTGGCCCGATCTTGCTGAGCTGCTATGGCCCGACCGAGGTCGCGCTGGCATCGTCCTTTGGCGTCCTTTCATATTCTAACCCGGAACTAGGCGCAGACGATGAGAACAGCCCTGTGGGCTTCACTCTGCCGAACTACAGCGTGTACGTGCTTGATGAGGAGATGAGGCCTGTCACTACGGGTTTTCCGGGCGAAGTGTACATTGGAGGAATTGGAGTCGCCTGCGGATATCTGCATAACGAGAAACTTTCCAAGGAAAGATTCGTTCCGGATCCCTTTGCCGATGAACAAGATGCTGAGCGGGGCTGGACCCTAATGTATAGGACGGGTGATAAAGGTCGACTACTCCCGGACGGGGCTTTATCATTCTTGGGCCGCATCGATGGCGACTCCCAAATCAAGCTTCGAGGTATTCGAATCGAGCTGGAGGAAGTCGCCAATGTCATCGTTGCGGCTTCGGAGGGCATTCTTCATCAAGCTGCCGTGGTGGTTAAGGGATCATCCGAACACCAGTACTTGGTGTCGTTCGTGACATTCTCTCCGGACCGCCTGCCCGACGATACCCCAACTTATCTCCAGGGGCTCCTCAATTCGCTCCCTCTGCCGATATACATGCGGCCAGTGGCGTTGCTTCAGCTAGACAAGATGCCCATGAACGTCAACGGGAAGCTTGACAGGCGCGCACTGAGCTCGCAACCCATCGCGGAGTTTCAGCAGGACAAGGCGGTCGACGACGAAAATGCTGGGCCAACTGAGAGGCGCTTGGAAAGGATATGGCAAGAGGTGATTGGGTCCGGATCCCATTCGCAAGACGCTTTCCGAATCGCCTTGGACTCGGATTTCTTCCAGGTTGGCGGGAACTCGCTCACGCTGGTCGAGCTGCAAAAGCGGATATCCGATGCTTTTGGGAAGACCATCAGATACCCTGATCTGTTCTTCGTAAGCGTTCTGCGGGACATGGCAGCCAGAATCGATGGCAAAGATAGCGCTACTCCGTCTCCTGCAATCGACTGGACACACGAGATCGAAGCGTGCCTTAGTCGAGTCAAGAGGAAGCAGGTACTTCTCACCGGCGCGACGGGGTTTCTGGGAAGCCATCTGCTCCGCCGACTCATCGAAAGCCCGCACGTATCAAAAATCCACGCTGTCGCGGTGCGACACCACCACCTTGTTAATCAACAGAACGGATCAACACCTCAGCTCGCAGGCGTCTTGTCGCCAAAGCTCCAGATATGGTCTGGCGACCTCAAACTCCCTGCTCTAGGCATGTCTGCCGACACGATGGCCCATCTAGCCAACACGGTGGACGTTGTCATCCACAACGGCGCCGACGTGTCGTTTCTGAAATCCTATCAGTCCCTCCAAGGCCCAAACGTCGGCGCGACAATTGAGCTCTGCCACCTTGCGCTCAAACGCCACATCCCCTTCCACTTCGTCTCCTCAGCCGGCGTCTTGCGCCTCGCGCACGATCTGGAAGCCGTCGGGGAGATCTCCATGGCGGCATATCCGCCCCCACGCGACGGCTCTGAAGGATACCTAGCGTCGAAATGGGCCAGCGAGCAGATTCTCGAGCGAGCGGCCAAGCAGATGGGCTTGTGCGTCCATATTCATCGGCCCACTAGCGTTGTGGGCGAAGGCGTCCCCGAAACAGATGTCATGGCTAATCTGCTACGTTTCTCCCGCACCATGAAAGCCGTGCCGGTATTCCCCGGCGCGCATGGCGTCTTCGACATGGTGCGAGTGGAGGATGTAGTCGACGGCATCCTGCAGGAGGCACTAGGTACTACTGTGCAGCCGAAATGTAACGGCGCCGACCGAAGCGAGTGCGAGGGTTTATTAGGGGATGTGGGTCCAGTCTGTTGGACCCATCACGCCGGTGCAAACCACATACCGGTGGATGGTCTGGCCGATTATCTGCAGAACCAACAACAAGATGCGTTCCGGGAAGTAAGTTTGAAGGATTGGGTGGCAGAAGCCGTGGCGCTCGGCCTGAATGAGAAGGTGGCTTCGGTTCTGAACACGCCTGAAGCAGCGCGTGGACATGGGGTGACGATTCCCCGCCTGCTGCGGAGTAAGCGTCAGGGCCCTTCGGAGAAAGGGGACGAAACCGGACCAGATTGCAAGAACTCACCTTGATTGAAAAGGATTGGAAGTGGGCTAGTAAAGGGTTTTGTTTTGTTCTTTGCAGGGCGAAGATCAAAAAATCTACAGTTCTTCTATTGGAGTTTTTTTTGGTTTTCCTGCAATAGTAAGTAAGAAGAACCTAGACCGCTATGTTTATGCGAGGAGCTGGCGGAGATGCCAGTTCTCGTTTGGTAGAAGTTGCTCAACCAGCCTTTCTAACCCCGGAGCCTAGTCTTGAGCCATGCCGGAACTCCTCCTCACAAACTCATGCAGCGCATTCGCAGTGATCTGTGCTGCGTTGTTGTCGTAATTCTTCCAGGCGAGACTGCCAACCCAGTTGATGCTCCCAACCCCGAAAACGGCGCCTCCGCTCGCAGTGTCGAAATAAACAAGATCGCTTCTTACCTTGTCCGATGTTGTTCCTAGTGTGTTCACCATAGGAAACAAGATCTCCTCGTTGAACAAGGCGTAATTATCGGAGTGGCCGCCAGCAAGCTTCGAGGTCGCAACAAGGACTGCGTTTTCGGGCGTGCCGAGCGAGTAGTCCAGGCGATCAATCTCGTCCCCCGACGCCGCGCCTTGCACAAGGCCGAAGTCCCCAATGATGTCATTCTCCTCCAGTCCGTGGCCTTTGAATAGGAACGCGAGCTTCGGATTTTGCCTTGCTTCGGGCACGATCCCGTAAGGAGCGCCTTGCCCCATGCCGCACGCATCGGAGCCCAGCCCACAGATGCGGTTCGGAGTTCGTCCACGGCTGCGCCAAAGCCCTCCTTGTTCGCCAGTCAGCGCAAGGAACCAGTGGCCCGGAGGCAGGCCAAACACCCTGCAGCCTTGATCTGCTCGTCGAACTTCGAGTCGATGAGTGCGCTTGGGATCAGCATCGTGTCCAGTGACCCAATAGTAGCCGTTTCCACCTAGATACATGAAGAAGCGACCTGCCGCAAGGAAGGTATCATATGCATCTAGCATGGCGTATGTAGGGTATTCTGGATGGCTGCCGGTAAGAGCGACTTGATACCGAAGCAGCAAGGGGGTCCCGTAGCGTGAGAGATCGTGATCGGTGATCACGTCGTAATTACCAGGCCCAAGCTCCTTGTCAAGAAAGCCGATGAACCATAGGTCAGCGGGTAGCTCGCGGGGGCCGCCGAATCCCCAGTGGAAGTAGCTTTTGACCAAAAGGTGAGCTTGTGTAATTACCGAGGTGCATGCTTACATGCTAGAGGGACTTACTCTGGCCTCATGTTGAGAACAACACGCTTGGTTGATGAGTGGGTGGTGCCGGAGCCGTCGTTGTGGCTATCATAGAGAGAGATGCCCAGGTCGGGACGAGCCTCTAGAATGCGTATGTGGTGACCGCGCTGTACAGCGTCTGATCCTGGAATGTCAATATGAACGTCTCTGGTTGTGTCGTACATGCGGTCGTTGGCATAGGCCGTGTACGTGAAAGTTGGGATGATCATTACCACCTTATTCGTTGGGGGCTGTTCTAAATCAGGCCTGACGAAGAATGGAACGATATCTTCAGACTCGTCGTCGTTGATCACCACCCCGTAGCATCCGGAGGTAAGGGCCTTGGGCAGAGTGAGGTCGAAGTCAGTCGCCCACGCTGCATCATCCACGTCGTCGTCGTGAAAGTGGATCGCTCCATAGCCGTAAGAAGCACGACTCCACGCGTTCTCAGACGCGTCCCAATCGTGTCCTGTCACGGCTCTTGCGGGACAATTGAAGAGAATGCCTCGAAGGGCGCCGTTGGAGACATCGACAATTTGGTCGGTGGGAATGTCCTTGGAGAAGTCGAGGTGCAGGACCGTTTCGGAGGCAGCACCGCGGATGAGTTGGATCTTGAAACTGTCGATCTTACCATTGAAGGTAGCCGAGTCAATGGGGACGGCCGCTACGCGATCCTGACTCGAGGAGCTCGCAAGGGTCAACGGCCGCGAGGACGAAAGGATAAATGGGTGCGTTAGGGGGAGGGATTCCTGGTGCGTCTGCGAGGTGGCGACATGGCTCGCCTTGCTTTTGGCAGACGCGGCCACGGCGCGCGCAGAGGCGTCGAAAGTGAAGGTGAGGAAGTACCAAGAGTGTCGTGCGAGGCTGACGTTAAGGCGCGCCGTCTGACGGCCCTCGTCGCTGCCGACAGCGAGGGTCAGGTTGCCGTCCGCATCAATGAAGGCGGCAAATCCCGCACGCCCGTCGGCATCGAGGGTAGAGAAGAGGTATTGGTCGTGGGGTGCGTGCTGAGGAAGAAAGGGCTGGGCCCAGAAGGAGACGGTGAGAATGGCGCCATGGGTGGCGTCGGCGTTGACGAACCACGGCACTGTCGCATACGAGCCGGGCCGCGAAAACTGGGGCCGGCCAGGGTGCACAGCTGGGGGCACCCCTTCAATGGGCTGGTGATTTGGCGGTGGCGCGTTGGCGTGCGAAAAGCCAGGCCCGAGCCGCACAAGCCGGCTGGTGTACGAAGGGCGATGGCAGGACACTTGGACGCCCACGCGCTCCCCAGGCGAAACGACGAGGGGGTCTGCATACCCGATGATGTGTCGAGCGGCCGTCGCAGCTGAAGACATGATGAGATGATGAGCAGGACGGGCGACGAAGGATCCTGAAGTTATGATATATCTATTTATCCCCCAACCATGTCCTGTGCTGACTGCCTGCAGGCGGCGTAGCTCTTGTCCCACCCAAAAGGCCGCTGACCCCCGCTCTCTCCTGTTCGACCCTCCGTTCTGCCCAGCTCTTCGAGATGGCCTCCTTGAGATTGAATAGGTGCGTCCAGTGTCCGCTCTGTTGGTGCTCTTCCCGTCACGTGCCAACGGTTGCACCTTGCAATTGATGCGAAACCCCCGAGATTCTACGGCCGTTGCTAACCAGTCGCCGCAGTCCCTTGGTGCAGAACTTCCTGGCATCCGTCATCGTGTGCTTGCTTCCCGGCATCTAGTAGGCTTTCCCGAAACATTGGCAGCGACAGACTAACCGCCGCAGTGTTGCCCTCACCGTGTTGGGCGCCGGCGGCGGGCCCGCCAACGCAACGCGCATGGCGAACATCTCGAACACGACGCTTTATGCCGTCTATTTCGTCGTCGGCCTGTTCAGCGGCTCAGTAGTCACCACCATCGGCCCGAGGAACACGTTTCTCTTTGGCTCCATTGGCTATCCCATCTTCGTGGGTGCCATGTGGTACTGTGAGCCATCCCCATGCTCCATCGCTGGCCCACAGCAGCTGAGTGCGCGCAGTCAGCAAAACTGGTCACATATGGTATCCAGTCTTCGGCGGCGTTGTGCTGGGCGTGACAGCTGCTCATCTGTGGACTGCCGCCGGCTTTATCGCCTTCTCATATGCGACTGAGCAGAAGAAGGGTACCTTCATTTCGATGCAATGGGGTCTGCTCAGCGCCGGGGGTAAGCAAACCATGTGTCCCTCCATCCCGTTTGGAACCTCACGACGGCAACACAGGCACCATCGCATCTCTGGTCGCATTTGGCATCAACTACAACGCAGCCGTAGTCAAATGCCCCGACTCCGTATACATCGTTTTCATCATTCTTATGTGCTCGGCATTCTTTGTTGCCCTTTTCGGCATCGTCAAGCCGGCGGATGTGCGGCGAGACGACGGAACGGCAATTGCACACTACCCACACAAGGGCTTTTGGCTGGAGATCAAGGCCCAGCGCCAAATATTCATGGATTGGCGAATGCTCGTGCTCATTCTGCCAATGTTTGGCTCCGAAAACGCCATCATCATCTTCTCGACTTTGAACTGTAAGTTCCAAGGCTACGCGGAGACGCAGGAAGTAGACGGAAGCTAATTCGCCAAGCCCTGTATTTCGATGTTCGAACACGCAGTCTAAACTCGGTCATGTTTGTCGCTATGCAAGCTGTCGGCGCACTCGGCATCATGCCGCTGCTGGATAGTCCAAAGATTGGATCTAGAAGAACTCGCGGCCTGGTTTCCACCACGACGATGGGGCTCGTTACCATTGCGACTTGGATCGGTCTACTCGTTTGGCTCGACAGAAATCCCTTGGATCCTCTGAGCCCCCCTCTTTGGGGCTGGGACGACGGCCCGTTTGGAGGATTCTTCGCACTGACCCTTCTGCTTGGTATCAACATGGTTGTCGTGAGTGCTTTTCCACGGAGCTGTTTTTGCCGAGGCCGTCGCACTAACAATAGCAGTATCAAGTGGTTGTGCAGTGGATTATTGCGGCCTTAACAAATGACCCGGAGACCCTTGCTCGTTATGCTGGGTTTGCTAAAGGGTGTCTGGCTGGCGGCCTCTGCGTAACCTTCGCCACCGAAGCCGCAGGCACACTGACCCAGACGGACGTTACGGCCTTCTGTTTCAGTCTGCAGGGTGCGGGTTTGGTGTGCATGCTTGCCGTTTGCTGGTTTGGAGTTAAACACACGAACTATGGCCTGGAGGATGCTGTGATTGTGCCCGAAACAGTCGAACTGGACAAGAAGAACGATTCAGGGCGATGTGTAACACCTCAGTAGCCCACAAGGCGAACTGTCTTTGTATCTACGGCCTACTTCTTCAGCGGCAGCAGTTCACATAGCCTATCTTGAGGATGAGCTAGGCACTCAATACGAACGGCCCGCTCCCGTAGTGGCCGTATCGTGTCAGCACTAATGCGTTAGCGCGCCGCCGCCAAACGGCGTACGCGTATGATCGGCAGTAGTTTCTACTATAAACTTGCAGACCCGCAGCTGCGCCGTGAGAGTAATTTCGAAGCATGCTTTGAAAAGGAAGGATGTGAATCATCCTGCATACGTCTGACAGCCTTGGCGGTGGCGCGACTCGTCTTCAATTGGATACGACGGCCGGACCGCTTCCCCGTGCCGGTCAGGAGGAAGGAGGAGGAAGGGAGAACCAGTGCGGCGGAATAAAAAGGACCACCCCATGTACTCAGATGCGAATCTCACACCACACAACACAAGCCCCGGTTTACGCCCGGCTCGAGGCTGACAAAAGGTTACAACAGTCCCGCACAATGCCCCACTTTAGCCGTTCTCGTATCTCCTTGCCCCTAAACGTTCCTCAGCCTAGTTTCGCGCCTCACCCGTCTGCACCGTCTGTGTCGAATGGCATCCCCAAAACAATATGACATCAACGCGGATCGAGGGCCGGTGTTGTACGTGAGTGTATGGACGGTCGCTGGAATCGCCATTCTGGCGCTCATCGGGCGCTTCACCTCGCGGAAGATGAAGGGCCAGCGCTGGCTGATTGACGACTGGATGGCGCTGGCTGCACTGGTGAGCGCGCATTTACAGGTCGAGAATTGAGAGCTTTATGCTGATGGCTTTCTAGATTCTAGCATTGGGGTGTTGCGTCTGCTCCACCATCTGTAAGGGCACCCAAATCAAGCACGCTGGTGTGCCGGGACGCTTAGCCCACTGACATGCGGTTGCCAGCGGTGAAATTCGGTATCGGGAGGCATCTAGAGGCCCTCAAAGCGACGTTCTCGCCAGTACCCTTCTGGAAGCTCCTGTTCGCCTACAATCAAATCTACGTTATGACCGGCCCAGTGAACAAGATCGCCATGCTTCTCATGTACCTGCGCATATTCGACACGCCTTTCTTCCGCAGGACCGTCAACTGGGGGATCATGGTAAACGTCGCCTGGTGGCTGGGAATGTCGATATCAGGCGTCTTCACTTGCATCCCGGTCCAGGCATACTGGTTCACCGATATACCGGGAAAGAAGTGCTTCAATCTGCTACCGTACGACCTTGGTTACGCCGTCGTCAACATCTCTCTCGACGTATTCATTCTGCTGCTCCCGGTTCGAGAGGTCTGGAAACTGCAGCTCACGAAGCCGCAAAAAGTTGCTATCAGTCTAGTCTTCCTCATCGGTGCTTTGTGAGTCTGCCACATGTGATCTTTGTAGATATTTTTGCTGACGGGAAACTCCAGCGCTTGCATCACTGCCCTTATCCGTCTCTTAGCGGCAATTCTTTATCTCAACGACCCAGACTTTACATGTAAGCGCTCACAACCCCCCTGCAACCAAGTAAACACAGCTAACGATGGCCCTAGGGGTATATCTGGACGCCCTAATCTGGACCGCCATCGAGCCGCTGGTAGCCGTAATCTGCATCTGCCTGCCGATGCTGCGCCCCATCCTCCGCTACGTCCTCCCCGCTCGCTTCACACTGAGTTCGCACAGCAAGAGCGGACAGCGCGGGACGCCGCGACAGCAGAACACACTCGTCACTATTGGATCCTTGACGCAGCGGGAGCGACGGAGAGTGGACACATTTGGGTTTACGACGTTTGACGATGATGACGAGGGCTCGCAGAAGGCGTTGCATATCACCACCAGCCGGCGCGTCAGCAACGATGACCCGAGGCCGGAACACGGCATCACGGTTAGGCATAGTGTTGAGTTATCTAATTATCCAGCCCGTGGGAGAGATGGCGGCTGACTTGGTAGCCTCTAAAAACACTTATTTCAATGAGAAGTACGGATTTTATGGTATAGATGTTTTTGCTAGTGCAGGACATGCTACCTAGAAGGATGGATGGATCCATGGAGCAATGGAAAGATCGGCTGAAAGAAGGTGAGGCTATGGAGTCTGTTTTCATCTGAAGAGGATGGTTCGCCCGCGGGAGAAAGCTGCAGCGCTCGCTTAGAAGATGAAAGATCTCAACGTCGCCTCTGCTCTCGTAGCCTCCGACCCACATTCACACCATCGTAGAATCATTTGATATTCTCGACTCAGGATTCGCCTTCCTTTAGCCGACCCAAAGATTGTCCATTGAGGCAACTGCATCTTTGCAGCGGGATGGCTGTGAGGAAAGAGGGAGGGAAGTGGCATCTACTGTAGCCGACCTACCTAGGTACTTGGGGCTAAGAAGGCTGCCCGCACGTCGCGTTTTACGACTCAACAGAAGCCCATCACTGGCATCGTCACGCAACATATGCAAACTGCACACCCAGATCTTTTCAGTTCATATGACTTGCTAACTCGTAGCGCCAACGCCTGCTCCAGATACCCAGAGGATGTTCTCAGAATCGCGCATACCTACTCTTGCGACTACTCTCCCGGCGCGTATTTGTGCAAAAGATGTAGGGGTTCGGGATACTGAAGGAATTCTGGCAGTTTCGCGAGACCTGTCCCCTCCTTCATAGCTGTTTCAAGAGCTGTCAATATGCGCGGAGAATTTACCACTCAAGTTAGGCTTCAGTGCGAGTGCCATGCACAGCTAATATCGCCCAGATCAAAGTCCACGATCTCTTCAAGAACCGACTTTTCTCCACGAGTAGACAGTGCCAATGCTCCAGCCGCCAAGTTTGTCCTTCCGAAGTGGCTGTTTCGGGAACACGAGAGGATGTCGCCTCTCCTCAGGACATGGAATCCGGAGCAGAACGCCATCAAAGAAAAAGAAATATCAAGAGCAACAATCGGCAGCGCTTCATTGGATCTTTCCGACTCCCCTTCACGATTCCGTATGCAGCCAGCGATGGGGATGAGGTATGCTGATGATAATTCAAAGCCTGGCTTAATGTGGGTTTTCTGTTTGTTTATTTTATTCTGGAGGGCGGCAGGGCGTGTTGTTATGTGAGCTTGCGAGTGGAACGGCCATCTCAGGGGTGTGACTTTGAGCAGATTGATTCAAAGAGAGGGGAAGCTGGGATTAGGGCAGAGTAGCTAGGGAGAGGACGTCACAGCTAAGCGGGGCGGATGAAAGGCAAGGGGGGAGGCCAGCGTGGGTCTTGAATGGGAAAGCGCTGGTTAAGTGACCCTAAAGATGGATTACCCTGCTCGGCCGAGAAGTTCAGCATCATGGCTCGAGGAATAACAGATTGATATCCATCCAGATTTACATATCCAAGTTCATTTCTTCGACATACAGTTCGTCACGCACAAGCCTACCTTATACTGCTATCCTGCCCACTGGTTATGCTTCTCCCACTCAAGCCCAATGAGTCGTCGCCCCAACCGCACTCCCATCAACCGGCAACAGGAAATCACTAACCACGATCCTCCCATCCGCTCCCCTCTTCCCCTGCACAAGTGCCACATCCACACTTGCAAGACTCCCGTTCCCCCAAACCTTACTCCCACTCCAAGAATTCCCACTTCCCTTCTGCGCACTGCTCAAGCTAATCTGCGCCGCATTCCCGCTCGACCCTGCATTCAGCACTGCAAGATTCCCGTTCAGCGTCGTCACGCTCGTCTGCAGCTGGAACCCCACTTGCGGGTTGTTCCAGGCCGTGTTGCGCAGCATGACGAAGTTGCCCGCTTGCTTGTTGTCCGTGAAGCCTTTGGCGGCGTTGGAGAAGGCGATGCAGTTCGTGATGTTGTGGTTCGCGGGACCAATGTCGGCAGCGTCGCCGCCACCGAGCTTGAAGCCGTTGCCGTCGCCCGCAAAGTCGGGGAAGGACCACCGGTTGAAGCCATTGCCCCAGGAGATGGTGTCGAGAACGGTTACGCTGGATTTGAACTCCCTGTGTCCTAGCTGTTAGCATCGTCCGCTCGCATGCACACTTTCTCGCATCTAGCGGAGCGGGTTACTTAAAATATACGTACCATAGATCCAGCCCATCGTCGACGTTGTTCCATAGCCTCGCTCCCTTCAGCACATTCCCCTCCCCACTCCCTTCCTTACACGCAAACCCATCCGCACTCTCGCCATTCTTCCTCGGATCCCTGTTCATATAGCTATCCAAATAATACACCTTATTATTCGCGCTAGCGCCCTGGATCTGGAACCCCGTCTCATAGTTATCATGGGTCACAATCCTCTCGAACAGATTATTACTCGAACTCTCAACATACACACCATACGGCCCATTGATCAGCGTAATCCCAATGATATTCCAGTAATTCGCGCTTTCGATGTGTAGCACTCCGCGGTCGGCTTTTGCGACGCTGCCGCCCACAGGTGCCGGAGTGGAAGGAAGCGCTTCGCCGTCGATGATCGGGGTCTCGGAGGCGTAGGCGCTGAGCGTGTAGGGGCTGTTGGCGGTGCCAGATTTCTTGATTTGGATATTGGTGCTTGGGGAGTAGGTGCCACCGCGGAGGTAGATGGTATCGCCCGGTACGGCCTTGTCGATGGCGGATTGGATGGATTTGAGAGGGGCCGTGAGGGTGCCGGCAGAGGTGTCGGAGCCGGTGGGGGAGACATAGATGGTTGTAGCCAAGACAAGAGGGAGGGTTGCAAGCAGGAGAGCAATGCTCCGTATGGCCATGGCGAACGGACTAGAAGGGGGGGAAATATGTACAAGAAGCGAAGAAACCAGGAAAGCTTGAAAAAACAGGAAGAGAGCGGTCCGTGTATGTTGACTTTAAGTAGTTCATGCTTTGCTCGTCACTTATCCCCAAACAATGCTTCGAGCAAACAGACCCCATGCTGAGTTTCGACAAACTGAGAAGCCATCACCGAGCATACCTTCGATTATTCCGCGGCGACTACAGAATGGCCGTACCGGGAATTCTTCTCCTCGATTTTAATTAAGGTCGTGGTGATGTCCCAACCCGGTGTTTCGCAACAGAATCCACGAATGAAATGGCGGCTTGGGAGACTTGGCTGACATGGATAGCGCAGCCTATCGAAAGTTAGGGATTGATTGCAAGGACGCCTCTATTCCCTCCCCAGATGCGACGTTGAGTATGAACGGAGCGTCCAAAACCAAAGTAAATACTAAAATCAGAGGATCTGCGCAACCCACGCTGAAATGCATACATGCAAGAAAATAGAGCTGTGGAGAGGTCTTCGCATACACTTTGAAGGCCATTGCGTGCTTAATGTTCTCCTATTTGACGCCTACCGCGACCCTAGTATAGTGTGTGACTTACTGCACCCTAAATCCAACCCGGTGGAGCCTGGTTTGACCTTAGAATCGGAGAGTCGGGACTGCATGGATGCCCGGAAACTCTCCACCCCCTCTTTGGGTGCAGCCTGATCCTGAGATTCTTTGCCCCGCCTGACGACGTCCCCGAAAAAGTAGTAGAAGACGAGGAGAGCTGCCGCTGCATATCTTTTGGGAGACTGTATATCAGAGTCGGCATCGCGGAAGTCTTCCAGACACCAGGATTTTCGCCAGCGGCCCCTCTTGTCTTGATCATTGTAGCGACGAGAAAAACCAGTGAGAGAGTGAGAAGAGCAAATGGGAAAATGAGCCACGCCCATTGAACGCGGACGTATGTTTCCACACTATAAGCGGTTCCGGTAATCATGTCGGCGCTCTCAGAGGATCTCAACATATTTGTGAGTGCCGTAGAAAGCCGCTCCATGTGACGAGTAACGTTATTTGGGGGGATCCAAGGATTGAACTTGATGTTCCTAGTCCGGGGAAGACCTTTGAACGAAGCCCTGTATCGGAAGCTGGGCTTGGAAGTTAAGTCGTCGGCAGTGAGAAATGACGGGAAGGCATAATCGAAAACGGCCATTGCATTCAGCTGTGTGTCATTCAATGTTCCATAAACAGAATTGGGTTGACTGTTTTCGTGTTCGGTTGCTGAATGAATAGTTACGTTTTCGGTATAGTAGATCAATGAGCCATTGACTGCGGCGCTATCGAGGCGCTCATACTTCCATCGATAGCGGCCTGTCGTGTTGATAAGAGTGTCGATGACCTCCTCTTGGTATGTCCCCCAATAATAGGAAGACTTAATCTGCTTGACGCACCAAGATAGGACGCATTCCTGAGCGACTGGCGTTTCGTTTCGATAGACGCTCGCTGAGCCGTTTGGGGCAGCAACGATTAGCACGTCAATAAGTGGACTCCGTATATGACTGAAGTGGATGGATCCATCAAACGCCAGCTCCGGCAGATGTGTGTTCATAAGCGACATAGTCCGCATCAAAAGGGCCTCGCCAGCTTGCCCGGCCCCAGCAGACGATTCGACAGCAGTAGTGCTGTAGCCCGTCATCAATACCGGAAGCTCACTCGTGGCATTGATGAAGTATCCACACATGGTTCCGTTGGGGTAGTTTGCTCTGTCGGGAAGGCCGGTCAAATTTCCTATCCAGTCCGTCGTCGTCGTTCTGCAAGTGAAGGTGAGGAGCGGAGAGATGTCCGCACACCGGCTGCAGACCCCTAAAGTCTCATATGTTGGCCAGGTGCAATTGCTGGTAGGACAAGAAACAGGTATTTCAGGGCCAGTACCATTGCCAAAAGGGACTGGCCGAGAACCATTGCCTGAATGTCGCAGTACGCATTAGCGAGGCCCTAGTGATTAGATGGCAAAGAAGTGAAGAAGATGACGCTAACACTGGATGCTCTTCGACTTGCAAGACTCACATGCGAACCAAGAAGCCTGTCCTAATCACCTCAAGCGCTCAATTAACGTCATGGACGTGATATAGTCAGAGCACCCATACCGCAAAATAGCACATATTATATATGAAGCAGTTCGACGTACCATAAAGAAAGTTTTGGACGACGGTCCAAAGAGTCGTGTCTTGTTGGACCATTGGCACACCTCCCCGAATCTCGACGGTAGTTTCAGGTTCGTACCATACGACCTTGGCAATTGAGCTATTCCCTTCAATGTTCCAGCGCTCGGGAAGGTCGACAACTTGCTGAAAGAATGTGTCATTGGCGATTAGAAGCAGCGTGAGGATAGCTCCAAGAGCAGCTAGGGACCTTCCTTTCGTGCGAAACAGGAGCAGGACGGATCCCCAGGCACCGCGAGAAGCTTTATCGAAGATTTCGAAATCCCACATTTCTTTAGAGTCTTTCCCGTGAAACCAGTTCCATTTTAGCTGGCCGAGAGCTTCGGATGTGGGCAGGATCAGCGCGGCCGACGCGACCTTCGATAGAACGGTATTGATGGTGAGACCGAGAGGCCACTTGGTTAGGCTCTTGTTGTTGAGATAGAGGAGGATGCCAATAATAGCACCCATGCATATCGCACTGACAGCCCAGCTAACGAGTTCGAAAAACCACCTCTTGAAAGCATTTTCCGATGCATTGAGCTGTGCAAGTTTCCTTTCGAGCTTCTGGGTAATGTCGAGTGACTTCTCTTTCTTGGAATCCCCGTAAGAGGGTGGCGGTGGTAGTGTCTCATTTTCTCCGAGTGCTTCGCGACGATTTGGGGCTTCTGAATCCCATGTGCGGGGCGGAATCCGGGGCAAAGAAGACATCGTCGTTTGTTCCTTTCTGGACGTTATGATTCGATGTACCCGAAGCTTGTATAGGTTTTCGGGGCGGGCCGTCAGGTCGTTCGAGCGGACATACGGCTATTGGACCAAGGTTGTTCGTCCTTCCGGGGATTTGACAAAGATGATGTAGCAATAGGTGCTTCGAGCCTGTCCGTGTGGGTGCACAACAAGAAGTTTAAAAGAAAGGATGGGCGAACTATTTCCCTCGCGAGGCTGCGGACTATGCGTTTCAAACATCTTCGAGCCGCCAGGATTTTCGCCTCCTCAAGATAAAGGTACGCTCAGAGGTTGAAACCACTCGTTTCCAGCTGTAGGCGCTCCAAATTTACCTGAGTGTATTCGTTCGTGGTATCAGCCCAAAGCGTTGCGCAGTCTGCACGTTGACGCTGCGGCACAGCCTGTGGGCGGCTACATCTCTGGGCAGTCCGCGAAGGGTCCGTCTACGGCGGTAGATCCGGAGTCTAAGCCACGAGATAATTTTTGGGAGTAATCGATGCATCTCGCAGTCGGTGGACTCGTGAAAGGCGCCGAAGAGGCGTTGGTTGTAGCGTCGTAAGTGGAGCCTCGAAATTGAGGCATGCCGAGGATTAAAATTTTAGCGGCTTGGCAAGGTTCACGTGATGTGATTTTTCACTTCAAGATCACCACTAGTTTCTTGGTCCCGCAAGGAGATGCGACAGCGCACTGATAGTCCTATAGTTATAATCGCTCGGCTTCTATTAACTATAGCATCTCGTGTTTCGGTGTATCACTAATATCGAACGGGAAAGAAGGAGGCAGTGACTGGGGAGATGGATTAGAGTGCCCTACGTTTGTGGTCGCATTGCAACCCCATAAGTAACCTTTTCGTCTGAATTTGTGGTTCTGCTACCTCGAGCAAGTAGCAACAGCGGAACTACCAAACCTAGACCTGTACGCAGAACAATGGAGTCATTGCTTGATTTCGTCTAGGAGCATGATATAGAGCATGAGAGAAGTAGGTCTAGCCTCCATAGCGACACTGTATATAGGAGACGATAAGGTTAGCTCCTTTGACTTCCACAATTTGTGACTGTTGCGCAGGTGGGACAGGGATTTCACTAGCGAACGTGTCACCGACTTCCCAACATGACGTAGCGCGATGGGAGCGCAAGTATCGCGCAGCAAACGAGCGTTGCGAATTGACCAACTTGCCAAGGCGTAGCTGTCCTAGAGTTCTAGCCCTGTTCGCAACTCAATGGGCAGTGTCGAATTCATGTTGCCTCCATTATCGCGGCGAGCACAGCAGCTCCTGCTTGCGACTGCTGTTCTCCTTTTAGTTTGTTTCTTTTCCTTGAGGGTTGGCACCGCCATACCGATTTCGCAGAACCACACGGCGTTCGAGGCCGAGGTGGAGCATGATCTGCTCGACGACATCTACAACACCACGCTTGGGGTAAGTATCTCGAATGGTAATAGAAAGAGTTTTGCTAACCTGTACTTGCAGTTCGGTCAGATTCTAGTAATAAACCTCCCCGAGCGAACTGATAGGCGCGATGCGATATCGCTCGCAGCAGCGTACAGCAATATGAGGCTCGACTGGATACATGGCGTGAAAGGAAGCGAGGTCCACGATTCGACCCTTCCAATGGACAAGGGCCAGGATCCGCCGTCCGAAGGAACGAAGGGCAGCTGGAGAGCACATCTGAACGCTGTGCAGGCCGTCATTGACCAGAATCTGACGACCGGGCTGATCATGGAAGACGACATGGATTGGGACATTCGGATCCGCGATCAACTCCGCGACTTCGCAAAATCCGCTCGAGCATTGCTTCAACCGCTCGCATCAGATCCCTCCACCTACGCCGATCCTTCGTTTCCCACTCCAAAACCAGACGTGGGTGTTACGAACATCCACTTCGATGCGCTTCCGGAGACTGTACCTCCAACCTCCTTTCCTTATGGCGACGACTGGGACGTTTTGTGGATCGGACACTGTGGGATGGCTGTACCTACGGCTGGAACCAACAGCCACGGAAAAGGAAGGGTCGTCCACGAGAACGATGCCACCGTTCCAGTCAGAAGCAAAGTCTCTACAGAGAACGGCCCAGCCACGTTGACCACGGAGTATGCGGACCATACCCGTCTGGTGCATCATGTCCACGTACCAGTGTGTTCTACCACCTATGCAGTCTCTCAGCAAGGCGCACGTCGGATCCTATATGAGCTGTCAGTGAACAAGTACACCTCCACATTCGACAACATGCTACGAGAGCTTTGCGATAGCGAGCGAGATTTGAAGTTGACATGTCTAACGGCGCAACCCTCATTGTTCAAACACTGGAGGCCGAGAGGAAGTAGGAAGTCTGAGAGTGATATTTCGGACCATAGGGAGGAATGGCGGGATGTGGCGAATATCCGGTGGAGTGTGAGATTGAATATGCCGAAACTCTTACGAGGAGAGGCCGAAGGCTGGGTGGACCAGTACCCTAATTAGATTGCCGTTAGTCGGCCCAGACACTATTTTAGCAGCGTGGTTAGACGCCATATGACTGGGCTACCATATGACTGGGCTATTCACTTCGAGATGTAGATGTCGCTGGAGGCTCTCTGTACCAGGATTGGCCGCGAAATATTTTACATTAGAGAAGCCGTAGTTAAAGTGACTGGCGTATATCGGCTATGGCATCTCATGTTTGGGTGCATCGCCGGTCTCAACGGGGACAGGCTCGGGCGCCATGGTAGGAGGCGCAGCCTGAATTAGGAGGCCAGAAGGTCCCACATACCCCGGCACATATAACTCTTTTGGATCTGCAATCGCTCTCTTCCTCCGCTGCAGCCACCGCGCAATATAGAAGCCGAAAGCAAAGATAGCTAGACCACCGAGACAGGCTCCGGCGCCAATTCCAGCCTTAACTCCTGTTGAGAGCCCCTCATTATGCGTTGGAATAGATCCATCAGATGCGGGTGACGCAGAGTGGACCAAAGAGCTGGTGGTGAGGGCGACTAGTCCGGTTTCAGATGTGGGAGACGTCGGGAAGGAGGGTGCGGAAGCCGAAGGGATCGTTAACGTAGGGAATATGCGATGCCTATTCGGGTTATCGCTCCCACAACAGTCAACACTGCTACCACAGCACCACCACTCGGACGTGCTCGTCCCGTCGCATGGTGTCAGCATGAAATTTCCGAACTTCTTTGCGGCATCCTAGGAATGTTAGCCCGACAGGGTACGTTAACTACACTGCCGACATACATCGTCCGTGCAAATGTTCAAACAATTCCCATCCTCCCAATTCTTGAAAATGCAAGAGTCCCTCCAGTATGACGGCCCCTCACCACCGCCTGGAAAGAGGGCATTTTGGCATACGCCATTCGGTAGACAGATGTCGTTGGTACCATCCAGATTATTGCGGTTCAGCACACAACATGTCGGCGTATCAGGGCATTCCTGATAAATGGGGTCTCGGTTTGTCGTCCCATTTGAATAGTAGCAGTCGCACAACGCAGGTGGGGCGAACAGAACGCCGCAGAGAACGAGAAGGCCCAATGAGGAGGGTGTGCGAGGATGTTGACGGATTCTCATCCGGGACAGCCGCTGTATGTCCTCCATTCGAATTGGAAAGTGAAGAAGCGGAGGAATTGTCGTTCAGGGAGTCCTAGTCGCACAGAGTGTCGTCGTGAACTCGTGGTGACGACTTTTCGCTCGACAAGATCTGTCCCAGGCAGTCCATAGTGCGAAGTTCCTCCCAACCAAAACAAATCCTTCGCTGCGACTACGGGAGTGTCATGTTGAATGAAGCGGCGAAACTCATCTGCGTGAGCGAGGCACAGCACGAGAGGAAACTCGGTAGGTTCCTTCATTGCAAGAAGACCGTGATGCAATACCCCTCTTCTTCTGCTTTCCACGGCATTGCGATTCAAAAAAGAAGGGAGTCACGCCTCTACGTTGGTCTCTGGAGGATGCAAGGAAGTCGAGAGTGGCCTCGCGAGGGTCGTGGAGATGAGTCGTGGTCGGAAAGGACGGGACGACTGCTGCCTTCTCGTTCGAGAATCTCCAGGATTCCATGAGGTGATAGGGTCTGCGGGTTCCAGATCTATTGCGCATTAACAGCCCTGCCCAAAGGTGACATCCTGCAGCAAATAGGATCCGCGAGTCAACCGCCTCATTCATATCGTTCCCTTGCGCTCGCCCACTGGGTGCGTATCCGTGGAGCCATGGGCCCAGAATGACCCATCTCGTTGAACGGTGAACGAAAAGGTCCCTCCGCAACTGCGGTGTGGTCTTCATTATTGTGATGGAGTTGCATGTAGACTATGCACACGTTCTCGATGACGTAGTGGAGCGGGGTCTAGGTCCGTGCGTAACGTTAGCGCCCGTTGTGCCACATTTAGCGCCCATCGACTGTAAGCGCTGGGGGCCATTACCGGTTGTCGTCATGGGACACTGAGGCAACACCGACTTGATGTACGTGCTCATGGTTTTCCCGTGTGTCGGTTCAGCGACGCCATACTTCCCAGCTCAGTTTTGGTCCACTGTTGCCTCGGGCATCAAGGACGCCTCCAACACTGCTCTCACTTCGTCTTATCCATCGCTAATTCGGCCTTGATCCTACGCAAGACAACTAGGCATCAGAAGCTAGCGGTTCTTCTCTCACGAGATACTACGGTGGAAGATATCCGCGACAACACGATTGGGCTGTGTGGCGCAGGGAACGAGGGCCGAATAATACCTTGATATGAATACCTTTCCAAGATTTTCGTCTATGAGGTGAGAGTGGGATCTGAAAAACTTGAAGCTCGACTGTGGAGACTCCGGACGGCCGTGGCCTGACGCATCATGCGTACGTTTCATCATCTCAAAGGTATACACCGTTACGACCTTCGATGATATACGGAGGGGCCTTTTGCTTAGCAAGTGCTATATTGAATTGAATTGTGCTAACGTTCCAGTCCTGTTCATGTAAGTCTAGAGAAAGCCAGAAGGCTGAGAGGGATAACTCGATTCATAGACGGAGCTAACTGGACGGTATGAGATTGGGATGGTGTAAGCTTCCTCGATAAAAGCTGCAGAAGCTCGGACCGGGACTATTCCCTTACATTTGTCTGCCATCCGGTTGGCGTCTTGGTGACTAAGTGCTCCTCGAGCTAACGCAAGCCACGCATGCAGTCAACGAAACCAAGCATAGCCACGTGCAAGGTAAGACATGGTTTAAGGTACAAGTAGTGACTGACCAACAAGAAAGCGACCAGGGTGCGATCCTGCACTTCCAGCTAATGCACGTCTTGCGAAATGAGTGACCACCGAAAAGCTTCTACCCGAAAATCCAAAGGTCCGGGAATCAAAGGACCCTGGAGGCAGCCGGTATATAGACTCTATCGTCCAAATATATAAAGAAGGTGAGGAGAAGAGTAGAGGCAACCGACCACCGGTGGGAGCGCGACTGACCTCGAGCCTTACTGTCCTGCCTTACCCTCTCCCGCCCTGATATGATCATAGCTCGGCTCCCGTCCATTCCATATCCAACGACGAGCGCGTAGGTATCACCGAGCAAAACGAAGCTACAATGAAAGTCCAGTCTAGACTCGTAAAAGTAGAGGCGGCAGACGGGAAAGTCAGTGAAAGGAATGTGGTGGATTGGGGTCGGTGACGAACTTGCATGCGGCGAGGTATCCGGTGTGGGGTGAAGGGCATGCAGAGGTGACAAGCCGCGAACCTAGTTTAGCCCGAAACTCGTAATACCCCGCTGGCTTCGGGGAGCGTGAGATCTTGAATTATACCATGGCCTCATTTCTTCACATACCATAGATAAGGTGTAATGCGAGTGAAAAGCCAATCCAAATTGGAGACGGTCGCGTAGTGATGGTGGAAGTTGACGTAGGGGGAGATACTCCTTGTGCAATTCTCTGGACCCGTACAGAAAAGATGCATATTGCGCATGCAGTGACGGACCCTGGAGCTGCCTCCTGTGATGCTGGGTTGCAATGACCGGTCGGCGGGATGTTGGTGGAGTGCAGGCCCGTTGGTGTAGCGCTGAGGTCAGTCAACATAGCAAGGATCAAGCCGTCAAAGCGAGAGCACGTTCGCGTATCAATTCTACTCTTGAGCCAACTTCATTAATTCATTATCGTCTATCGGACATCGATATACAAGCGTGACGCCGAGGTACCGGCACGTGTGCGGGTGAGGTGTGACGATGTGAGTGACGAAGTGCCATGGGTTGCTCAAACGGCCATTGGCGTGGCAAGCGTGAGTGGAGATTCGCTCTCAGCCAATCGCTTCCTTCCGGGCTGCAGAGTCAAGCCGCCGCCAAGACCAATCGCATGCAGCTAAGGTCCACGATTGGTTAGCAGCGATTCTCGTGAACTAGGTGACTGGGGGAAATTACAGGAGCAGAATCGATATTCGATAAACTGTGGAGTTGATGATAGACGAGAGATTCCGTAGCGCTGAAAGCTGCGCGCACTGCTGAGTTGAATCGCCCATTATCGCGAGGATTCGGCCCTCCAGAAAGCCCGGTCTGACGCCTTACGTTCCAGGGTCGCTCGTCCTGTGGTTTCACCCCACCGAATCCGTACCCCAACATTCATGCCGTCCCTTCCTGCTTCCAATGACTGAGGAACCACTAGATTGCACTACGTCCAGTGCGACGGCACATCATCGTTCGAGGCTTGTCAGGCGGTGGCCCGCTGTGAGAGTTGGCGCCGGTGGGGACGGGACGGTGTTTCGAAGCATCGCACAAAGTCGGACGTTGGGATGGGTCCGAACGGATAAAGGCACCTTGTTCCCCCTGCAGCTCATGCTCTCGCTCCTTGTATCTCCTGTGGAGAATCCAAACAGCACCTTAATTCCACTTCTTGTTCCTTCTTTGGGCAGCGCCCGAACTACTCTTGCGGCCACTCTCGCTTCCACGCTTCCTTCTTGGGCTGTGCCTGAGTTACGTTCTTGTCCTTCTTTTTCCTTTTCCACTTCAATACCCACCATATATCATTATATCATCTCTTTCGTAATTAGACGCCAACATGCATGGACGTCTGATCTTCCTCGTGGCATCCTTTACTCTCTCCTCTGTCGCTGCACCAGTTCCATCTGTCGATGTAGGTCTAGACATGAACCCGATCGCTCTTTCGACCGCTGATGACTTTCTTTAGAGCATTCGCAGCGACACGTTGTCGGCTATTGGACTCCCACCTCGACATGTCATGCCGAGCCCTAACTTCATCGAAGCTCTCCGCCGCCAAGTCACTCCAGATAGCGGATCCCCCGACCGTCGTCAAGTCACTCCAGACAGCGGAACCCCCGACCGCCGCCAAGTCACCCCAGACAGCGGAACCCCCGACCGTCGTCAAGTCACTCCGGATAGCGGCTCTCCTGATCGTCGTCAAGTCACTCCAGACAGCGGACCCCCCGACCGCCGCCAAGTCACCCCAGACAGCGGATCCCCCGACCGTCGTCAAGTCACTCCGGATAGCGGCTCTCCTGATCGCCGCTGAGTTATTCGCGACGGAAAGCTAGCAGGTTCCGATCAGGGAAGATTTGTCAAGCTGATTGCCGACCCCATCTAGCTAGGACATTATGTGAAGCTTGGGACACGAGCTGGACCAGATGTTGACCGAGGTTCCCATTTTTCGTTGTTTCCAACTGTTTATTCTTTTCGATTCGCCAGAAGCCTAAATCCACCCAGGTGGAGGTTGGCTTTTAGGAACCTTGGGGGTCGTCGGTGAGAAAGGGTTGTAGCCGGAAACCCTCCAGCCTTTGGGGAGTAGCTTTACTTTCAACTCCTTGGCTCTTGCTCTTGGTGTACCGCCTTCTGCAGCCGAAGTTATTTTCCTTTGCATGTCATCCGGGAGACCGTAGAGAAGCGTAGCAATAGCGGAAGTCTTCCATACGCCTAACTGGCCGCTTTCTTTTGCAGTCTTTGCTATGGTTGCACCGAGAAACCCAGCACTCAGGAAGAGGAGGCTAAGGGGAAGTATAAGCCATACCCAACGAACAGACACGTAACTTTCCAGATTATACGCCACGCCGTTCACCATTTCATTGCTGGAGGATGACCGGACAACGTTTGTCATGGCGGTGGCTAACCTCTCCATGTGACGGGTTAGGTTGTTCGGTGGTAGCCAGGGATTGAACTCAAGACTGCGAAGCTTGACGCTGGTCCTGTCGCTGGTTCCGAATCGGAGAAAGGATTCATTGACGGAGGAGTTTGCCACCGTGGTAAAAGACGGGAAGATGTCATCGAATACAGTTATTATTTGGACGTGGGTGAGGTTTGAAACTCCGTACCGGGCTTCGGATCCATCAACAGTGATATTTTCAGAGTAGACGTTCTTGGTTCCGTTTAACGTCGGCGATAACACTACTCGAGTAGTCGTCCATGGAAATGGACCTTCAGTCGTGTTTGTGACGTTACTGATGACTTCCTCCTCATAAGTGGCCCAGAAGTACGTCGAGTTGATTGTCTTACTACACCAGGAGAGCAGGCATTCGTGGGCAACAGGTGCCTCGCCACGATACACGCTCGCGGAGCCATTCGATGCAGCAACGATCAACACATCAGAGATTGGATTGCGAACATGTTTGAAGTTGATGGAGCCACCAAACAATGGCCGCCTGTAGACATTAGTGGTTAGTGGAAGTGCACGCGTCAGCAGAGCCTCTCCGGCGGAGGAATTGCCAGAGTTGACCAGGTAGCCGGACATGAGAACCGGAGCCTCGCTTGTGGCGTTCAGGAAGTATCCACACATGGTGCCGTTGGGGTATGTCCTAAAATGGCGGAACGATTAGGAAATGCTTCATCTTTGTATTGCAAGGTCGACTTACGATTCCGTGCCAACCCCGGTAAGGTTTGATGTCCAGTCTATTCTTGTGTCGAGGCATGCATACGTCAGAAGTTGCTCAACCTCTACGCATGCACTACAGACTGCGAGCGTCTCATAAAGTGGGTAAGTGCAGTTGCTCGTTGGGCACGAAAGCGGAATATCTGGGCGCGTCGCGTTACCGACGATGACCGGCTTAGTGCCATTGCCGTAGAAGAACCTTTCTGCCACGGCTTGAATATCTTGATCCTTCTGAAGTATTTCGAAGCCACCTTGGAGCAACTTGCCGAATTGAGGTGCATATTCCACCACTCTTGGAATCGAGCTGTTTCCCTGTATCATCCAGCGAGTCGGAAAATCGACAACCTGCTGAAAGAATGGATCAAGCGCAAGCGAGAATATAGTAATAACAGCCCCCAGCGCAGCTAAGGTCTTGCCTTTCGTTCGGATAAGCAGTAGAAAAGCGCCCCATGGACCCCTGGAAGCGTTATCGAAAATCTCGAAGTCCCACATCTTCTTCGAGTGGCCTTGGAACCAGCTCCATTTAAGTTGGCCCAGCGCTTCCGAAACCGGTAGAATGAGTGCTGCACCAGCTATTTTAGAGAGCACCGATATGAAGGCGTTCAGGGTGAGATAGCCGGGCCAGTTTGGGATCTTCTTGTTCCTGTAATAGATGAGGACTCCGATGATGATCGCCATAGAAATGGCGCTTATGAACCAACTAATGATCTCGAGAAGCCACCTCTTGATAATGTTCCCCGAAAGATTGTATCTCCAAATCTTCTCTTCGATGCGCTGCGCGATGTTTGAAGATCGGTTGGTTCTCTCTAGAACTGGTGATATCGTCGGCGTCGGATTCGGGTTCGAGGCGTCTTCAAGGATTCCCAGTCCCAACTTACTCTTCCTTCCGGGGTGCGGGGCATCTTCGTGAGCTTTATGTGCCTTCTCTGATTGAGGGGGCTGAGGGGCGGCGTGGAGTTGGATACGCGGCTTCGCGGTCGGAAAGAACCGGAGCGCAGGCCGGCGAGGGGGGTGCTGGATTATCTCAGGCGGCGGCTCCGGTATTGGCCAGATTGGCGAGAGATTCGTAAATTGGGTGGCCGGAGAGACGGGAGAAACGTTCGTGAATTGAGTGGACGCAACCGCGAGAAACTGGATGGGCCGGTCATGAGGACGGATTTCCGGAGATGGAGATATGGGTGAGATCGTTCGAAAAGTCCTTCTCGTCCCGTTGTTATCGCTCGTTTCGAGGAATATGGGAATTTGCGGGTATGGAGGCCACTGCCGTTGCCCTTGCGGGTACGGCATCTTCCGGAGACGAGTGAAAGAACTAATGAAAAAAAAGGCTGGTGAAGGGCCAGTAAATACTGGCTCTGCCTGCTTCAGCAGCGGTAAACGAGAGAAAGTCCTGTCGAAGGTTCGAAGAGAAGATGAGACCAGGCCGGAAGAATAGCGGTTCCCTTCCTCCAACCTGATGTTATCGATGCATGACCGCGTAAGGCGCAGTCTATGATTGGGAGCTAACTGAAACATCAAACAGTGTAGTTACCGGGGCGGTGCGTGGCTACCATTCTGGAAAAGAGACATTCCCGATCCGAGCCTCCAGTCAGCGTAGAGCGAGCGCTCAGGTCACCGAGCCAGCGGCCCAAGAAACATGCCAAGAGAGGCGGCTGAAGATTGCCCGCTCCAAACCAGATGCGGCACGGACGTCGGATGCCATCAGACCGAAGCGCAAGAAGACTTGTAGCCCTACAGAATGACTGTATAAGCGCCTGATCATGGGATCGTCCATTTTTGGTGTTGGTTATAGCCGCTGGAGGACGCCATAAAACACCCTATTTGTGTATAATTAGTCGTTGGCCCCATCGTTGCATCGGAAGAATGATGACGCCTGTGGCACAGTCAGAGGCGGCTAGTGATGTGAGGCAAAACCAACACCAGAATGCCATCATTCTGTTAGAGATTCGGATGAAGGCTGTTAGTATGCGCTACAGCAAATAAAAAGATTGTTCTCCTCGTCTAGGCAGCCGCGAAGGCATTAAGGAGGCGTTGAGGCTCGTGAGAGCGGTGGTGTTGATGTTTGGATTAGCGCGGAGGTTTGGAATGAAACGCCGCCAGTCCTAAAAGGGGAAAGCGCTAACCTCGCTAAGTATTTTTAGAGTCCCACAACTACCTTATCGATAGGAGCTTTTCCTTCGCCAGTCCACAAGAACCGCTCCATAAACGGTCTTTCGCGCGGGACTAAGGTGACGATGTAGTACTGTGGCTGACACTCAAGCGCTGGTCACGTCCTCGAAACCTAATATTAAACACATCCATGCGCGGTACTTTCTGTCCCGACACTTCCTCGGAGCCTCATCTTTGGATACCTTCGAGGTGTACATAACCGGCCGCCGCATATTCCGTTTCAGGGTCTCCCTTCTCGACTTCACATGACGCCGTCAGCATGTACGGAAGCTAGTTACCCCGCAAGTTCAGCCCCTTAGGCTTCTCCGTTTACTATAGGCCAACACACCCGCCCCAGGATACTACCAAACACTATGTTTCCATCGCCATCATGCGATCTTCCCCCTTCTCTAGGTCCCTTACGATCCTTCAGTCGGAAGTCCAAGCTTGCAACCTTCTTGCTTCATATCATTTGTACCTGCAGGGTCATACGCGAAACTCATGCCTCCACTTTCTCACGTCACCCACGTGGGCCATTCCGCCCAAAATACATGCAGCTTATCGGGTTTGTCACTCCAGTCTCTCCGAAATCGCCGGTGACAACAAGACTGTGACCCAACGTCAAACAGGGACCATTGGCTTCACTTCCTGCCACGTCGAAATGTCATCAGCTTGTGCATTTCGAACCATGACACCAAATTCTGCACCAGGGAGCAGTGGTTCATGAGAAACAGCCAGGGTACTGCCATTAGCCCGGTCCCGATGTCTCTGCATTACCCAGCTTTGGGCAAGAATTTCATGGCAGGGAGTTCGCCAGGACTCTGCTCGATCGCGCTTTCATGCTTCACTTCTTCATTTTCAAGACGTACCTTTCCTCTCACAACCACCCACATCACTGTTGCTCATCGAGATACGTGAGAGCAGAGTCCTCTACCTTTGGACATCCGACGTAGGTGCATCACTACCACCATTGTCACACGGTTCTAAAAGCACTTCAATCAGCGGCTACAAGGCCGCAATACTCACAAACACTTCCCCGCACACCCTCGCCTGCCCATAATAACATAAACCGTTCATATCCAGGCCCCAAGCTCCTTCCGCTTCACCGAGTAAATCTTTACGCACCTTTCCAGAAACACCACTACTCCCCTGCGTGGGGCGAGTAGCCTACCCTCCCCTCTTTAGTATCTCGCCATAGCTATCCAAGTCGAGACGTAAACTCACCGCTAGAAAACCAACCCCTCCAAGAAAAGCTCCTTTCCCCGAAGCGTGTAGAGCATCTCGTATCCGTCCAAGACGAGCTAGGCTAGTTCGCCATCTCTCCAGCAGCAAAACCTGCTAGCGAGAAAGGGAGAAAGGGAGCTCTATGTACTAGAAAATAGCGGCAGAAGGCCCTACGCAAGAAGCCGCAGCCATAAACAATGTTCCCCAAACTAAAAAAACAACTCAGAACAGCCCACCACGCTCAACCCCTAAGAAAAGCGTGCCCACCCTTCCCGACAACAGAAAGATACCCGGCAGCCATCCCAATACCAATGATTCCACAACCGCCCCCCTCTCTGCATTCTTGTCCCCTTACCTTACACCCACCCACACATGCCCGCCGTCCTTCTAACATCACACCAAACAACAAACAACGAACCATCACACTACACCCCACCCCACCTCACCACTCCCTCCCTCATTCCTCCCTCCCAAAAAAAACCCCAAACAACACCCCAACCACACCAACCACAACAAGCAAGGAAAAAGAAAGAAAGAAAGAATCCCATCACAACGACGGGGAGCAACTAGAGCGAATCGCAAAACCCAAGAGCCAAACATCATCCTAGCCAAACCCCTACCAGCACCATTACCAGCACCACCAGCATACCTCTTCTCATCCATCCACACACGCCTCGCCCCCCACCCAGGCCGGCGCAACGCATTCATCCAACAGCCCCGGTATAGATAGACCCTCCCTATTCCTTGGTTCGTCCTTGCCAACTTCACCTTCTCCATACCCTCTATACGCTCCGCGTGCGGAGTACTAGCATCAGCAAGAGTAAATGTACCTCAAGCATTTCATCTCCCTGGACGCTCACTATGCGGCACAAGAGCGCGATATGCGCGAGAACACCTGGGGGCCTGAGGGAACCTTACTCGCTGGCTTACCGGTCGGCCGCTCTCACTCTTCCCAAGCAGGTCCAGTGGCGACCTCCATAGCGATGTTAATCCTTACCATCACGACACCACAGTGACCACACACATATGCAGCATACAAGGCCCAAAGCATAGGGATTATGAAATTCTATTCCGACTATCATCTACATCGCCCCAAAAGGTTATCCATCATACTTCGCGTGTCCACCACAGTGTCAGCTATCCATAAAGCCCCTGGACATCAGTCTGCCACACCACGACATATGGAAAAGATACTCATCCACCATACCCGTGCCACCATTACTCTCTGCCAAAAGAAAACCAAAACTGCCATCCACAAACGTATGCGACGGGGCCTCAGGCCACTCTTGTGAGGTATCAAGCTGTGCAAAACCCACCACCCGCCGCCGCCGCTGCTGTTGTCAGTCGGAAAGCCCACCCATAGCATGGTTGCCGTGGACCGAAGAAACCGAAGGACCGTCTATAGTACATGCAGGAATAAAGAAAGTGAAGGCCCAACTCGGTAAGATGGAGAAGGGTGATGGCCGCTCACATCCAGTTAAGGAGTAAGCAGTCAAGGGGGAAAGGGGAACGCGGGGACCAGCCGATATCCATATCATCTCGATGTCTCCCAGTGTTGCTGTCTCGCAGGCGCCGAGAACTGAAGAGATCGAGACGAGAGGATCGAGTGAAGAGGAAAAGCCGCAATTTGGAAGTAGCTGCAGAAAAACTTTTGGGGTCGTGAAGCCATCCGCCGGGGAAGAGATAACACCGTGAACCGTGCGCCGTTCGCCGTTGGGAGATCATCGAACAGTCATCATCAGGGAGCCGAGCCAGAGGTGATCAGGACGAGAGTCCTACTCCGCGCCAGCTGTGAGAGTTTAAGCCTTGTCTTCTTTGGACTCATCCTTGGAAGCATCTTTCTCGCCCTCACCCTCTTTGTTCTTGACATATTCGTCATAGACATTCATAGCCTCCTCGACCTTGGCACGCAGAGCGGACTCGTCGGTGGTACTGTTATTGTCAGCATGCATAACTGAAAAGAGACGAGGTGGATTCTCACAGGTTGATCAACTCGGCATTGTCCATCTCCAGAAGCATACCGGTGATCTTACCAGCCAACTCGGGCTGCATCTCGTGAATCTTGGGGTACAGGGCCTCACCCAGCATCTGCTTCTGTTGACCAGCAGGAGCAGCGCTCAAGGCAGTCATGTCAACGCCTGAAGGAACAGGCACGCCAGGGCGGTTACCTTGAGGGAAGGCTCCCACGGGCGGCTGACCGGGACGTCCTTGAGGCATGGCACCGCGACCAGCGCCGCCTTGCGGAGGGAAGGACTGTCCACCGCGAATTCCAGGGACGCCCGCCATCTGTGCCGGCATGCCAGGAATAGGAGCCATCGGACCGCGAGAGCCAGCACCGCGACCACCCATGGCAGCCTGCTGAGCAGCCTGGGCCAGCTGCAGATACTGCGGGTTCATGTAGGGACCGGGGAATGCACCTGGGGCCATACCGGGCGGCATGTACATTGGGGGCATCTGCTGGGCACTCGGGCCGCCACGTCCGCCTTGTTGGCCGGGCATGCCGCCGGCGAAGCCAGCGCCACGGCCGCCCTGTTGACCAGGAATGGCGCCAGCGAATGGCATCTGTCCGCGGCCCGGAGGGTACATCATCGGCTGCTGGCCAGGAGCAATGAACATCTGAGGAATACCTCCGAACTGCTGCTGCTGTTGCTGTTGCATCCGGAGCTGGTTGCGGGCCTGGATGGTAGCCTCGAGCTGGTTCTTGCGAACATCCTTGCGCTGGGCAAGGGCGACGTACAGAGGCTTACCGCCAATCATCTTCTGGTTCATCTCGGTGACGGCCTTGGTCGCCTCATCGGGATTGCTGAAGCAGACGAAGCCGAAGCCCTTGCTCTTGCCAAGAATCTTCTTCTCGCCCTTGATGGTGACCTTGGCGCCCTCCTTCTTCTCTTCCTTCTTCTCATCGCCAGAGCCTTCCTTCTTCTCCTCTTCACCCTCCTTATTTTCCTCCGTCTCGTCCTTCTTCTCTTCGGTGAGGGTCTCGGCGTGGTCGGCGGGCATGGCATCACGCATGACCTTGGCGGAGGTGATGGTGCCGAAGGGAGCGAACATCTCGCGGAGCTTGTCATCATCAACGTCGTCGTCGAGGTTCTTGATGTAGAGGTTCACGCCCTGATACTTGGACTGCTTCTCAAGGCGAGCGGCTTCGTACTGCTTGCGTAGCTCCTCCTCACGCTCATGCTTCTTCTGGGCACGACCGACATACAGCTTCTGCCCGTGGAAATCGGAGTCGTTGAGAGCGTCAACAGCGGCGGCAGCATCATCGTGCTTGACATAGTTGACGAAACCAAAGCCGCGGCTCTTGCCCTGATCGTCGCGCGCGAGAGAGGCAGATGTTATCTGACCAAACTTCTCGAAGAGGTCGCGGAACTCGTCATCAGTGGCCTCGAGATCGACGTTCTTGACATAGATGTTGGTGAAGTTCGCCTTCATCTCTTCGAACTTGCTCATGCGCTCCTTCTTCGGGATGTGGTGGCCGACGAACACCTTCTTCTCGTTCAGCAGCATGCCATTGACGTGCTTGATGGCGTTGTTAGCAGCCTCAGCGGTCTCGTAGTGGACGAAGCCATAGCCCTTGGAGTTTCCCATCTCATCCTGCGCGACCTTGCAGCTCAAGATGTTACCAAAAGCGGCGAAGGTGTCGTGCAAGGCCTTGTTGTCAATGGCGTGATCCAGGTTCTTGATGAAGACGTTGCCCTGGCCGGTCTTGCGCAGGGCCGGGTCGCGCTGGGACCACATGATGCGGCACGGCTTGCCCTTGATGACAGTATAGTTGAGCTCCTCGAGTGCCTTCTCGCCATCCTCCGAGCTGTTGTAGTTAACATAGGCGTATCCGAGCGAGCGGCGGGTGACGGCATCGCGGCAGACACGAATCGAGGCAACCTGGCCGATGGAGGAGAACAGCTCGAAGAGCATGGCCTCGGTGACGGAGGGGTCGAGCTCGCCGACGTAGAGCGACGCGGAGTTGGGATGGGCCTGGGTGGCAGAGGCGGGGGTCGCGACGTCGCCCTGGGCAGCGCCAACATTGGTGTTGATGGTGGTGCCGTTGGCGGCGTCAGGAGCGCCGTCCTGGACGGGAGAGGCGGAGTTGGCGACTTCAGAAGACATCTTGTTTATCTTACGGGAGTGTCAGTCGAGCGGTCAAAATTTTGTGGGCAGGAGCAGGGTTGCAGCGGGCAGGCGCGCTCGCTTCGAAAAAAGTTTGGGGGCTCACCTGGGGCTACTAACAAGTTGCGGCGAAGATAGGTGCTGTATATAACAGAGTGGATAGTGTCCAAGAGAACGAACAGGCAGGCGCGCTGGATCCCTTCTACTCGCGGAGCGGGAGATTGAAGGAGGGAGGTTGCTGGGGGGAGCAAGCGACTGGGAAGGTTGACGGGTGGGTTAGCGGGGGTCGTCCGGACGGATTTTTTTGTTGTTTTCTGGATTTTTTTGTGGCTTTTCTGTTATGAGATGGTCCCAGAGGAACCGGGGCGGGGAGAAGCTGGTGGGTGTAGTTGGTGTTGAGCGTTTGGGGTTGAGGATATGGCGGAGGGCAGGTCCTTAAAGGCTGCGTGGAAGATTTCTGAGAGGGTCTGTGCGCCACCACGCTAAGCTCGCTTGGGGCGGTCGGTGAATGAAGGAGGCTTCCCTGTGCTGAGCGAAAGGCAGTCAAAGGGGCGAACAGAGGCAGTGGCGTCAAACACTACATTGTGTGATGACCGCTGGTTCAATTTTGCTAGGCAGCGTCGTTCGAAGGAGTGCTTCGAGTCCTAGAAAGCGGCCTCGCCCGCATCGCGACTGCCCAGATCTCGCGCCGGCGAGTCCATCTGAGATCTGGAGAGAGATGTAGCAGGTGCGACACGCGGATGCCTTCACCTCGAGAAAGGGCATCTCTCTAAACATAGAAGCATCTCGACATTCGTCAACCTCACTCGACAAAGCAGCGTAGAATATCATCGCAGCGACGGCAACCGCCACCAAACCCAGGCATTTCTCATTCGTCTACGTATCCAAACAGTTTCAACCATCTTTCCCAAAAGATTAAAAATGGGTATCTGTGCTCAAACGCGGGAAAATGCAAACCATGCAAACCATGCTGATCCCAATGCTAACTCCTTATGCGCTCAAGACGGTCATTCCTTCAGGCTGTCGTCCCATCCACCCTGCTCCACCAGGAACTTCTCCACCCTCGTCTTGCACTCATACAGTCCGTTGCCGAGCGCTTCATCCCACTGGCACTCTACGAGACCGACCTTTTCTTTGAGATCGTCGGTCAGCCTCCGCTCTTCATCCTGCCTGATAGCCTTCATTTCGTGATCAACGCTCTCCATGTCTTCGCCCTCGAGGATCCGTTGGGTCTCTAGCAGTCGTGAACCAGCAGTCATAACGCCAGTCTTGACTTCATGCAGGAGGCAGAGTAAGTTTGTCTGCGATTCGATGAACTGGTATGCCGAGCGTCCTGCATGCGCAAGAAGGGTGTAAAGGTACTGCATCGGAAAGTCGTGGTAGGACGGGTTCTCCTCATACTCTTGCGGCGGAATCAATACGTCGAAGCCACGCAGCTGTTGAGGTACTTTTTGCACAACGGTGAGCAGACCAGGCGCAATGTCCCAGAATGCCGACAGCTGTGCCTCCACGCCCCGGCTGACGTTTTGCTCGATGACGTTCATGAAGTCCTCGTATCGCTTTAGGATCTCCTTCTCCCATGTGACCTTCCTGTCTTGAGCGTCGCGGCGGAAGAAAGCGATAGCTTCTTTGACCTTTTGGTCGTTCTTTGTCTGGACGTAGGGCAAGACAATAATGTCTTTGTACAGGTCGTTGCGTTCGTCCTCCAGCTCGAACATCTCTTTGTGTAGCTGTTCGCGGGCTTCGAATAGCCACTTCAGTAGAGTCAGCATCTCCAATAACTCCGGCTGCTCATCACCCTCCTCTTGTGTCTGATTGGGGTTGAGCTCCTGCGCATCCTGGCAGAGACGCCCCTTGAGGTGCTCAATCGAAGCAGAGATCTTCGTGATGCGTTCACAAAACAGGGCGTGTAGAGGGTTGGCGACCTCCGTTTGGAAAGTATCGAAGATGTTTTGGACAAGTTCCTGCGCCCGTTGCTGTTCGCGAGTCTCAAAGTCTGCATCCGCCTTCGCGGCATCTGCGTAAGACATGACACCATTTCGTACATTGTCCTGTATATTGAAGCGGAGCTGCGCCCTGCGATCTGACAAGCATGTGCTTTCTTGCTCTTTCCTTGTATTCGTCTTCGCATGGAATCGATCCTTTGTCGTCTTGACTTCCTCTAGGTCCGACAAGTTACGTAGGTTGCTACGTATTGAAGCCAGGTCGGGATGGTTGTTGTTCACAGCGGGGTAATGCCGCGGGTAAGCAGGTGGTAGGGTCACAAGCCTGGAAACGTCTAATTTGCGCGGGTCCGATGTCGTGCTGGCAGAGCTAGGATAATAGGCTTGTGGTTGCTTTGTTGGCGTTTCCTCGTGAAGCCCGACCTTCTCCGCGGGGTATTCATCAGGGCCATATGCTGGCTGGGTGCTCGATCCAGCACGGGATCCTGGTGACGCGTCTCCCGCCCATTGCAAGCTCTCGCGGGCTTCCTTCGGCAAGCCCATGTACTTGGACTCTCGCTTACTCCGTTCTAACCTTCTGCTGCCGATACCAGAAGATCCACCATCATTGCTAGCTTCCCACCAACGACTTGCCGACCGACCACGCGAGTCTTCTTCATCCGGTACTGTGCTCATGGCCATGCTGGGAATGGGTGAAAGGACAGGCTGGTAGTTGTTCCAAGTCGCATCCCGTGGCCTCTGACTTGTCGCGCTAGAAGGCGAGGCCGGCTCTGTATGAGGGGTAAAATTGGCTACAGAAGACGCAGGGCTGGCAGCGGTAGTGGGAACGGAGTTGGAGAACCGGGTATCGGGAGACCCCCCAGTAGTAGAGGCCTGGGATCTTCTGCCACTCGGGTCAGCAGAAGCACCTTGACCACCTGGTGTAGTCGATCTTCGCCCGGTGCTGGAATGTGACCGCCACAAGTCTCTCGTCAGTTCTAGAATATCGCCCGCCATAGAATCAAAAGCAGCGGAATAGCGGTCTCGCCGCAGCCTTGACTCAGCGACGATGAACTCGGCAAAAAGCTCTAACTTGTCCTGATCTGTTTGAGCAGCCACCTCTTTCTCGATGAACTGAAGATGGCGTTCTATCGCTGCTTGAGCAAACACATTACGTTCGGCCGGTCTCGGTGTGCTAGAAAGGGATTGCTCGGGCCTAGAGTCCGAGAGAGCAGACGTCTGCGATGTCGATCGATCTCGGGCCCCTGAGCTGTTAGTCAGGGCTGAACCACGGTCCTCGCCATGATGACGTATAGGTGGAGTAGGAAGAGCTTTAGGAGGAAATGACGTTGGAAGCTTCTGACTGTGACGATGATCAAAACTATCCGTACCTGGGGAGAAAGGCGGCGTCGGGGCGGAGCCGGATGCAACTCTTCGATAAGAGTCGGTGCGGGGAGTAGAGGTGGAAGAACCAGGCTCTTCGGCGAGCAGCGCGTTTCTAGGCGAGCGAATAACTCCTCCACCGCTGCGAGGCGTGTGCTTGGTGACCGCTCCACGCCTTGTAAGGCCACCTTCCGGGCTTCCCAAAACCAGATCTGCAGGCTTGGTGGCAGCCGCCTCCATATCTTGAGCCCATGGGTTGTTGCTAGGTTCAGCACGTTCACGAGCGGCACGACTCTCGCTCCGACGTTCACGGATTCCCCGAGCGCTCTCATCCCGCTGCGGATTGCGGTACAGGGTACTATTCGACTGCGATGTCGATGCAGTTGGTCCGGACGCAATGGAGACATTTTCACCCTCTGCAGCATGAATGGACTGCTCCGGCACCTGAATGGTTTGCGGGCTGGTGTCTATCTGGAGCCCTCGAGCAGCAGGAGATTTTGATCGATTGCGTGCTTGCTCCTCTTCCCAACCAAAGGGAGTTGGAGGAATTGGGGTCAAAGCGGGCTGGCCCGGTCGACGGGTTGGTGGGGCAGGCAGAATCACGGTCTGTCGATTCGCATTTGCATCCATCCCACGTCCCAGGCTCTGAGATCTTGAACCAGTTGGAGGAGGACCAGGAGGGGGAGGGGGCAAGGGCATGCCTGACTCCCAAGTAGCCTGCGCAGGAGTCGGCGAGTTGTCGACTGGTGTCCGAGACTCTGAATCAAGCATCCCAGTTGATGCGGCTCGCCGAGCGCCCGGTGGTCGGACAGGCGAATGCGTCTCTGGGCTCCATCGCCGCTCCTGAAAGGCAGAAGACATGAAACTACAAAGATTAGCTTGTGAAGATGCTCGGAATACGGGACACCTACTGCTGAGAAGCACGCGGACCAACAATACCCGGCGATGCTGGGGCACGCTGGATGGCTTCGGTCGTGCAGATGCGTAACGCCTCAATATTGCTTGGCCCAGGACTTTCATTGCTCCTGTTCCGGAACGATGACAGACTAAACTTGGAAGCCAGTTTCTCGCGCGACGTTGAACGTTTCCCAGGAGGCGGCGGTGGAAACTGAGGGTTCGACGTTATGCTCGATGCGCTCGGAGGGGCGATAATGGACGACGGCCGACTGTGGAAACCTGATACCGGTCTCGACCTAGACGAGGGGGAAGGGACATATTCGGCTGGATGCGAGGTCGGGGGGGGAGGTGGAGGTGGGTTCGGGGTGAAAGCAGCACCGGACATGTGCGGCGACGAACCCAGGTTCTGCGATATGTTCTGGTTCTGCCCTGGGGAGTAGGGAGGGGGAGGGGAAGGCATCGTTGCTGGAAGATAGTTAGTCTACTTTGGATCCCATTGAGCCAGCATTTATGCCAATTGAAGATCTGAACCCGGTCGGGACGAAAGAACATGATGGGCAAAAAGAATGCCTCAATTACCTTCCATTCCCGTAACATCACCTGGCCGACTCGTTGCTACCGGCGTGTGCGTCGCCGAGTGGGGGACATACTGCCCGCTCACCGGCCCGCTGCGACTCCATTGCTGAGGATTGTACGGGACCGAGGGGGTATGCCTCATTGCCATCGGGGAGGAGGGCACCGGAGAGGCAGTATACGGCGACGAGGGCGGGGGCGCGTAGGGCGAGAAGGGCACGCTTAAGGTCGACGCGCTCGCAGGTGTTTGGCCATGCAGATAGGAGCCTCCGTGCGGCAATGCCAGGGCGGTCGTTATGATGGGAGGTTGCACAGCGATGCGCCTGAGCGGAGACGTCTGCTGTGCCTGCGTCTGGCCTGGGCGCGGCGAGGGCGGGGCTAGCGGTGGTGGAGGAGGCGGAGGGAAAGGGAGAGGAGAGCGCGGGACGGCGTAGTCATGCTCAGACATGCTCGTGGTTCGGGAGGGAGCAGACTATGATACGATAAGGCTTGACGCCGAAGCCTCCAGCGGCTCCAGCGACCGGCGCGACGAATCCACTGTCGCGGCCTGGAGGTGTGACGGCTCGGATGATGTGCACGGCGGAAATAGTTTGTCACCTTCTGGGGCACACGGGACCCGCAAAAGCAACGAGGAGGGCCGGGGCGCGCTGCAGTTCCCGGCTCATGCTGTGGGCGCGGGAGAGGAAAAGTTGCAGGAGTGATGGCGAGACGGGCGCGCACAAAGTGTCGATTCGCTGCTGCTCGCCCAGCGTGGAGTTGATCCGGGCTGGAGGATTGACGGCCGGGGCAGCGACCTCAGGGCCGCCTAGCCTGTTCCGCCGCAGGTCTGGAGATGCGTGCCTTAGTGCGCGGTGGGCCAGCGAATAACGGGCGCGACCAAGCAGTGACGGGCAGGGCCACGCTGCAGCACCCCGGCCTGATCTGGGAGCTCGGCGGCTAAGAATACCACTACTGTACTGCTCGGTGCTCCAGCGCTCCCCTACCCGACGCGAACAGCCAGAGCCCCCGCGTGCAGCTGTCTCGCAATATAAACCCCAGCCAGCCTACAAACTTCCGCCGCATTTTCATCTACAAACGCAACTCGTGACTCGCGTTATCCCCGGTCGCCGACAAGAAAACTATATTCCCTCAGATGCGGCGAGTCCAAGAGGGCAGCCAGACTGTCTAGGCGGTGGTGGTGGAGTGGGCCGATAGTGTGCACACCCCACAGCATATAAATAGCAGATCGCCGAATGGAACTACTGTATGGGACCACGCGAATTATTTCGCCGGGTGGGGAGACTAACAGCGGGAGGAATGATCGGTTGGTTGGAATGAATAATAATACTCCGCACGCAGTGGTGGACTGATGGTAGTCTGTGTTGGACTGTGGAGTTAGTTCCAAAGATATCACCACGACTAAGGCATGATAGCTGTTGTTGGAGGTGCGGGAAGGGAGTAGATTCGAGACCGCGGGGCTTACATCGGTAGCGGGGACGCGTCGTGAGTAAGCCGAGAGGAACGCGCACGTTCATCATCGGTGACGCCTCAAGTGTCGACCTGGCTGGACACTGAGACATGGCATTGCATTCCGGTAATCAGGCGGAAGGATCGAGACGTGCCGGGAAACAGAGAAGCTTGGCGCCCTGCATACCTTCATCTCACGTCCTGTTCGCCGCCGCCATGAGGAGCAGCTATCCAGCCAATGCTGAATCAGAGCAACACTAATAGCACTCTACGTGCCATATCGACCTACCCGCCCTCACATCCAGGTAGTCCGGAATCCAGAGTATCCGTTTCATATTTGGTAGCGTACAATATAGACAACCCCGGCGCCCTATATCCGAAGCCTTAAGAATTCGCGGACGTCCTCACTTGTCTCCTATTGATAGAATCCTCCGAGAGTGCGACATTGATCTACTTCTGGTGCTTCTTGTGGAACTCAATCACCTTCTCGACCTCGCCCTGGCTGCCCATGAAAATACCGCTCCGGTCGTGGATGTGTTCGGGCACGACTTCCAGCATGCGGCGCATGTGACTGTCGACGGCGAGACCACCAGCTAGAACTAAATTAGCAACTGAGATTCCACGGTACAGAAGAGCGAGACCTACCATTCTCAAAAACCATGGCCATGGGCGCACACTCGTACAAGATCCGCAGCTTTCCCTTTGGACTCTTCTTATCCGCCGGATACGCAAAGATGCCACCATACAGCAACGTCCGGTACGCATCCGCCACCATGGACCCGATATATCGCGCGCTGTACGGCTTGCCGCCCTCGCTGGGGTACTTGAGGCTGTTGACGTACTCCTTGACCGGCTCCTCCCAGTACAAGCTGTTACCCTCATTGACCGAGTAGATGGCCCGCGTCTTCGGGATCCGCATGTTCGGGTGCGTGAGGATGAACTCGCCAAAGTTGTTATCCAGCGTAAAGCCATTGACCTGGCCGCCCTTCATCGTGATGACAAGCTGCGACGATGCACCGTACATGGTGAAACCCGAGGCTACCATCTCCGTTCCTGACTTCAGGATATCCTCCTTTGTGCCCTTCGCATCATCAGAAAGCTTGAATATAGAGAAGATGGTTCCGACAGAAACACCGGCGTCGAGGTTGGAAGAGCCGTCGATCGGGTCACAGGCTACGGCGTATCGGGCGCTCGGGTGCTCATTGAAGATGATGCATTCGTCCTCTTCTTCGGAGACGAGGAGCCGGACGCGGGCACAAGAGCGCATAGCAGAGATGAAGAAATCATTGCCGATTACATCGAGCTTCTTTTGGTCATCGCCAGTCGCGTTGCTGGCGCCCGCCAGGCCAGTAAGCTATCCACAGTAAGCCATCTGTACTGCGTCTAGAGAGGGTTTGTCGCACGCACATTGATCAACGTCGACCGTCGGATGTAGTATGCGATGCTCTTGAAGGCAAACTGGAGGGCGTGGCACAATAGCCTGCGAAGCTTGCGGGTTAGCTGTTGCTCGATCTCTCTACTATTGCGCATGGCACGTACGTGAAGTCTCCTGTGGCTTCCTTGTGCTTTGCCTGCTCCTCTGTGAGGAAGCGCGTCAAGGTGACGATCTCAGTATTGATTGCTTCCTTCCCCACTGCTCCAGCCTCGCCGCTGGCGTTGCCGTTCATCGTGTCTATGCAACCGTGAATGAAGCTCAAAGGGGTGTCAACGCAGGCTCAAAGAAGCGAATAACGAAGCAAGGAGGGTAGTGGCAAGTCACAATTGCAGAAGAAGAGACGCGGCTGTATTATGGACCAAGGTATGGGTGCAGGTGGCTAGAATCGGACACGCGGAGGAGCTGTCGGTATTTGTTTGCGAATGTCAGTGGTTGGATGGCAGGCCCTCGGCACTGGCATTGAGCGTCACCAGCGGCTTCCAGCGGGCGGCTTTTGGGGGCGTGTAGAAGAGAGGAGCTGAGGATGCCTGACTCAAGATCATGCGGTGGTGCGGCAGCCATTCTCTATGCTGCGTGCTTGGTCAACATGCTTTGTTGCTGCTTGTGAAGACGCCGAGACAATGACGATAGAGGGGCCTCATTGTGGTGCGGGGCGCCTTTTCCTGGGGCGCTTCCCGACATCCTCCGAGCCGCGGAATAATCGAGATGGCACGTTCCACCCTACGCAACCAAAAAATATGCATTCACCGTCATTGCAAGGTGAAGTTGTAGCATTCCTTTGACGTTTCACAGATGTGGAATGGCAGAGAACACGAGAAGCTAGAAAACCAAGTCGCTGCATCTCGCAATGAAAGGGCATACTGTTCCGATACCACAACAGCTGCCGGAAGGGATGGCCGCAGAAACGCTCGCAGAAAGTTTATCCGGCAATTCTTTTGGTCGCCGAAGGTCTGGATCGGTTGATAGGGATGGCTGTTCAAGCTCGGCAACCTCCCACCGAAGCCCACGCGACACCTCGAACGTCTTGCAGGCACAGCTGGTCACAGAACACGAGGACAACTTTTATACTACACTCCAGACCGTATACATACACTCCTTATCATGCAAATGTACAAAACCGACCCTGATTCCCCGTGCGATCCAAGAAAACGCGGACCGCCCAAACAACTACGTACCAGAATAATCTGGGGAGTAGGGCAATGCAAGAATATCAAGAAGCTTCCACAGCTCATTCCCCGTCTATCCTACAGACCACATGTCTTTACTCTCCCTTCAGCTTATCTTGCTTGACGGTAAAGGCCATCTGCAAGAGATCCTTCTCCTCCTTCTGGTGCGCCGCCTTCAGACCCGTGGCCACTGACGCGCTTGGACTCCGGCCTGCATACATGACGTGTCTCCTGTTATGATGCTCCGTCTGGTTAAGGAGCGTCTCAATTCTGGGTTGTGTGAAGCTCCATGCACCGGCATTCAATGGCTCCTCCTGGCACCAGATGATGTTCTGTGCGTTCGGATACGAGTCCAGGTTCTCCCTGAGCTGTTGCCACGGGAAAGGATGCAACTGCTCGATGCGCGTGATCGCGACATCCTTGAGTTCGCGGGCTTGACGTTCCTTGACAAGGGTAGCGTACACTTGACCCGTGCAAATAATCACACGCTTGATCTCGTCGTGCGAGCCAATATCGCCGGTCTGGTGTGCGGGATCGGGAACCACCCACTGGAAGTGAGAGTCGCCAGTAAACTCTTCAATGTCCGAGCGCGCCATTGGGTGACGCAGGAGATTTTTCGAGAAGAAGAGGATGAGCGGTTTGCGGAACTGTCGGTTCATCTGTCGTCGCAGGATATGGAACATGTTGGACGGCTTTGTGAGATAGGCGACCTGCATATTGCAGTCCTGGTGCTGGCGATCGAGCTTGTCGGGTGATGGGAACACACGCGGGTCTTCGTTGCAAAGCTGTAGGTAGCGCTCCATGCGTCCAGACGAATGCTCTGGGCCTTGACCATCGTAACCGTGGGGCAAGCTCATGACGAGGCCTGATCGCTGGAGCCACTTGGTTTCACCAGAGGCAATGAACTGATCGATGATACATTGGGCGTTGTTAGCAAAGTCGCCAAACTGCGCCTCCCACATTACAAGAGCGTTCGGAGAGGAGAGCGAGTATCCGTATTCAAAGCCGAGCCTGGCAATGGTTAGCATGGACCATCATAGGCCGCGGCGATCTGACTTACACTCCGAACTCGCTGAGCGAGGAATTAGAAATAACAAAGGTAGCTTGATCATCGCTGAGATGCTGCAGGGGCGTGTGCGTCTTCTCTGTCTCCTGGTCATGGAGCACTGCATGACGCTGCGAGAAGGTGCCACGCTCAACGTCCTGTCCCGACACGCGCACGTGGTGGCCCTCCATACAGAGAGTGCCAAAAGCCAGGGCTTCCGCAGTGGCCATGTCGATGTTCTTGCCTTCTACAACAGTCTTGGTGCGACCCGCAAGAATACGCTTCAGATTACGGTGCACGGTGAAGTCCTTGGGCGGATTACCGATGGCCTCAGCAATGTGCGTTAGAGTAGACTGCTCAACGGCGGTTGGCAGATGGGGAAGGACTTCGGTCGCAAGCTCCTTGGGCGATTTGAATCCGTTCCAGGCAGAGGTAAGCCACTCCTTGGCCGTAGGCTGGTAGTCTTTGCTGCGGTTGAAGCTCTCATCGAGCATGCCCCACACCCAAGCCTTGTGCTCTTCAATGTCCTCCTTAGTGAAGGTCTTTTCCTCCAATAGCTTCTTGACGTAGATGTCCAGTGCGGGGGGGTGTTCCGAGATCTTCTTGTACATTAACGGCTGGGTGAAGAAGGGCTGGTCGGTCTCATTGTGGCCCTGCTTTCGGTAGCACACCATGTCGATGACAACATCCTTCTTGAACTCGGCACGGAAATCGGCTGCGAGCTGACAAACGAAGTTGAACGCTTCTACGTCGTCTCCGTTGACATGGAAGACCGGGGCATCAATGGCCTTGGCAATATCTGAGCAGTAGGGAGTGGATCGAGCGAAGCGGGGATCTGTCGTGAAACCAATCTGGTTGTTCACGATGAGGTGGATAGTTCCGCCAGTATGGTAGCTAGGGAGAGAGTAGAAGCCCATGGTCTCGTACACTACACCCTGACCAGCAAAGGCGGCATCTCCGTGCAAGAGCACACCCATGGCAGTGCGAGCTTCTTGCTCATCGTTGTTGTAGTGCAGGATGGCTCGGGTCTTGCCTAGCACGACTGGGTCTTCGGCTTCCAAGTGCGACGGATTGGCAACTAGGGACAGCTGCACACGCTTGCCAGAGGGGGTCGGGCGCTCGAAGTTCATACCCAAGTGGTACTTGACGTCACCAGAACCCTCATCGCCCGGCTCAGCGGTTCCGGCGAATTCGCTGAAAATGGACTCGTTCGGTTTCCTGACGACGTTGCTAAGCACGTTGAGACGTCCACGATGCGGCATGCCAATCACAATGTCCTTGACGCCATAGTCGACGCTTCGGTCGATCAGCGCCTTCATGCCGGGAATCAGGCTCTCGCCGCCCTCGAGACCGAAACGCTTGTCATTCGGATATTTGGTGGCCAAAAATGCCTCGAAATTGGTGCCCCAGATCAGGCGGTCCAGGATACGCCGCTTCTCGTCGACCGAGTACTTGTAGGGCTGGGGGATCTCGATGCGCTCACGCAGCCAGTCGCACTGCTCCCTGTCTGGAATGTGAATGTACTCGACGCCATACGATCCGCAGTACAGGCGCTCGCAGGCGTCAATGATTTCCTTCAGTTTCATGCTCTTGCGGTTCTCTGTCTTGAAGCGGGGCAGGATACCGGGGCCAAGCTCAAACTCCTGCTCCAAATCCTTGTCGCTAAAATTGTAGTGCGATAGCTCTAGCTCACGGGGCTTGTTATATCCAAATTGGTGTGCTTCGGTGCGGATGCCCAGCGGGTCAATCTTCGCCTTGTGGTGCCCTCGGGCCTGGTACGCGCGGACAAGCAGCTGTACCTTCAGATGGTTCATAACGTCGGAGCCCTCTCCCACGCCCATTCCGAGCCCAGGTCTAATGTCCGGGCCCAGTCCGCCGTGGGGGGCGGGTACAATGGTCGGTGGCGGCTGAAAGGCTTGCGAGACGGGCATGTCTCCGGACTCCATGTTGCGGAAGTAGACCTGCCATGAGTAGTGCACGCTCGACGGGTCACGCTTCCACTGCATGTACATCTCGTCGACATAATTGGCCGTGTTGCCTTGGAGGAACGAGTCGTTGGGGTCCTGTCGCAGACGAGTTAGCCATGGCGGCAAAAAGTGTGAATGCAGGAGATGGGGACTCACAACGCCCTTGTCTGTGTCCTCGGCAGCGAGGGCGTACTTGCGCCGCTGCTGGCGCTGGGCGGACAGCGCAAGCGGCCTGCGACTTGCGGTGATGGCGGCCCTCGACGGCGCGGCGGCAGCTGTCGAGAAGCTTGCTCGCGCCGCGCAGCTCTGGAGCTGGCGGGTGCAGCGTAGCGAAACGCGCAACATGGTGAATTAGGAGCGGGCTGATGGAGCGGCCGCAATCGATGGCATTAAAGCGATAGAGAGGGGCAGAAGAAACTTCTGTAAGCCGTGTGCAGAAGAAGAGGCCAGGAGGACACAAGCATGCGCTCAGAGGCGGATGCTTCGGTTCTAGCGGGTGTGGCTAGTGCCTTTGCGCCGAAGGGCAGCGCGCTGACTCGCCGGCGGAAATGCCTCAAACACTTTGCTCTGCAGAACACGTCCAGGATGGCAATAATGTTTTCTTGTCTCTATCTGGCCCCAATTTGAGGGCATTAGCTGCTGCGTAGCGACTGTCCACAGGACTCTGCTGCGGTGGACGAGGCCTGGTGATGGGAAGGTGCATACATCACGATTGCGGAGGTCCAGCGGTGGTTGAGCGTCGGTCCAATGGGAGTGCGCCAAGCACTTGCCTTAGGTAACAGAGGCGTTGGAGCCGCCACAGGACAGCGGCGGGTGACGTTGCTCCAAGACATGTCACGATCCGCGGCCGCGAACGTTTGAGGCGCTTGGCGGTCGGGGCTGTCGGCTCAAGCACCCCGGGCTGCACGCTTTTCCGGGACGTTCCTTATCTGTACATCCGAGTCCGGGCCGGTCGTCGGACTGGCAGCAGAAACGAAGGGCCCACGCTCCCTTGTCTCTACCGAATCAGTAGTATATACACAGCAGAGCTCAACGACTAGTGGATTGCTTCGGAGCGTAGATTTCATCCCAGTCACCGTTGACTATGTAGTGCATGGGGAACTTGCACGCCCATAATCATTGCATGCACTTTATCTTGCATGCATGTTTCTGTGCGACCGAGCGCCGCCAATCCACGACCGCTTCTATCCTATCCGTAGACTTCTTTGTACGTTCAACGCGTACCCAACACGCACGCAGATCTGACGCCAATATCAGTTCCACATCGGGATAGCGCCTGGCCCGTGCGCACTGGCATTTGAGCTGTCGCGTCGGCCTGCTCGCCGCCAACCTGCCCCTCCTCCAGCATGTCAGCTGCTGCTGCCCAGTACAAGAAGCAGGATGGCAAGCTCACCGTGTCTGCGGACGGCCGGACCGTGTCCTGGAGGTCGAACAGAGGGGAGACGGCCCTAGATATAGCCGTGGCGGAGATTGGGAGTATGTCCTCACATGAAAGAAGCCTGAGATGCCATGCGACGCCTACTAACTCTGGCCGCCTGTAGATCTACAACAAACCCCCGCGACGTCCGCAAAAGCATCTATCAAGGTTGTAGTCCAGAAATCGCCCGATCAGACCGAGAGCTACACCTTCACCTTCACGTCCTCCGCCGCGCGCGACGACCAACAAGCCGTCACCGGAGTGCTGCGGAAATGGATAGAGACATTCAAGGCGCGAAGTGCTCCCACGCCGGCGCCTGCTACTCCAGCTGCCGACGGCGGCGGCACATCGGCGGCCATGACCATCGCGCAGACGATAGCAGGCAACACAAAGCCCAAGGAAGATACGTACGACGATGCCAGACTGATGGCAGATATTGAGCTTCAGCGCTCCCTCCTGAACTCGAGCCCTGCTCTCCGTCAGCGCTTCGATCAGGCCCTGCGCGAGAAGCCGGATTCCATATCCCTCGGCCAATTCTCAAACCAGTTCTGGGCTACTAGGGTGCATCTGCTGCGCTCGCATGCTGCCGAAAGATCTCAAGGCATTGGGACGTACAACGTCCTCTCGGTGGTGAAGCCGAGGAATGAGGGGGGCCAGTTCAAGCTCAACATGAGCAAGGAGCAGATCCAGCTTATTTTCAACCAGCATCCCCTAGTCAAGAAGGTGTATAACGAGAACGTGCCCCCATTGAGCGAGAGCGATTTTTGGTCTCGCTTCTTCCATAGCCGGCTGGTTAAAAAACTAAGGGGAGAGAAGATAACGGACATGGATCCGCTCGACCCAAAGCTTGACAAATACCTCAATCTTGACGATGGTGCCGACAATGCGCGTCAGCTAGTCATATCTTCCATTCCACATTTCCTCGACGTGGAAGGGAATGAGCAGAATCACAGCCAGCGTCTTGGTAATAGACCAGACCCGACAATGCGGCCCAACACTCACGATAAGGTGCCGATCCTTCGAGTGCTCAATCAAATGAGCGAGAAGATGATGGCAGAGGTTCCGCCTTCCGACGCCGATCCACATGCGCCCGTCGGGGTCGACGAGGACACTTACAAGGAGCTTCAGCTTCGGGATCTACAGCGCGCGGCCGAAGATAATCGGGTCGTCCTCAACGTGCAAGATCAAAGTCAGTTCTTCTCCGCGGGGCAGGGTGTGCATACCTCGACCAGCGCAGCCACATATGCGAAGCGGACCCCAGCCCAAGTCTTATCAATCATACTGCAAGACTTCGGAAACATTTCAGCCGGGAAGCGCCACGGTGTCGGAGTCAACCTTCAGTCAGCGATTGGGGTTGAGGATGAGAGCAGTAGCGACGAAGACTCCTCCGCGGAGAAGAAATCACGGGTTGGAAGCAGATCATCGCGGGCCGCAGCCACCTCGCAGATCATTAAAGCTATCAGGAAGCGTCATCTGCACAACGACGATTACTTGCCATCCCAGATTACGTCTTCTACCGACCAAGCACTGAAGCTGGGTCTAACAGGCGAGATCTTCGACAATCTGGCCATGACCCATAATACCACGGTCGAGTTTCTGCATTACTTTTGGGCGGTCTTTTATTCCGGAGACGCTGACCGCGCTAACGAAGTAGCAAAGCTTATTGAAACCCTGGATAAGTCTCTCGACAGGATCAAGGCTGTGGCTGACACTGCGGAGAATGAGAGGACGGCAAAAGTGGAAAGACTGAAAAGAGAGAACGAAATTTATGCTCAGCGCACCGGGAAAAGGAGGAAGTTCGACCCAGGTAGCATCAAGGGCGGAGCGAAAGCGGTCAACGAGATTGTGGAGCCTCTCGTTCGAGCCATAAACACCGCACGACATCAATACCAGAAAGTGCTGCAGGAGCAACTGCGGCAAAGCAACCTTGGCGCTATATGACGGCACGTAATCCTGATTAGTATTCATCCAGAATCTCAGACATGCACAGTGGAGGCTTTGGAGTCAGCGGGTGGAATGATGTTCCGGCTGGAGGAATGGATTATCGGGAGTGGGCAGCACACTGAGATGTGGCCTCGAAAAAACTGATGCTAATCCTTCCGATTTTGCATAGCGACGGCGTTCGTACTCAGGGTCCATGTAGATCAGTCGCCGCTGACTGGCGTTTGGCATTAAAAAAAAAGTTTCCGGTTTCGCTTCTCTTCCCCCCGGGGCCCTACCCGACACCACCAAGCTAATAAGCAGTCATCCCACAGAACCGGGACCGTGTCCCACATGTCCATTGTTGTCTCTGGCGCTGTTGCGGCCAGGGTCTCCAGTAGGAAGCGCCACAAAAGTTCGCGGACCCTTTTCTTGGCATGCGATATACACACCGAGATTCGCTGCCGGAATCCGAGAAACCATTGCGTCTATGTGCAACAGCTGTAGCTAACGCCGTGAGGTCGACATCGGGTAATGCCATCCGAGGGTGGAACGGCGAGCGTTTTGAGCCATCCCGCGCTGCTGCGGCGATCAGTGGCTTATGCAGCCTTGGAGGCGAAAGATCAGCTACGCAACTGCTCAGTGCAGCTTCTGAAAAGCTAAAATGGCCTGACTTCGAGGTAAGTGAGGCGGAAGAGATGAAACTTCACGAAACGAAGGCTGTCTGGCCCGGACAAAGCTCGAGTGACATCATGCCATCTAATGCCGGGCTGCTGAGTTCAAATGCTACGTCGCGCCCCGGAACGCTTGTCTCCGGCGACGGTATCATACCAGCAGATGCTTTGTTTAGTCGCATTTGATGTGCTCGAGTCACGAGCCGCAGGGCTCTACTGGTTCGGTCGTAGCTTCCGCAAACTAGAGCTTAGGCCCCGCCGACAGGGACCGTGACCCACAATCGTTGAAAAGCTTACCTCCACCTCCTCTGTCTCTCTGCACTGTCACTGCGTCTCTTTCCAATGCTGAAGATACGGACACGTTCGTTCTCTGGCATGGAGTATATTGTTCGAGTTGCTGAGGCTAAGCGAGCGCCTTCTCCAGCCGAAGAGATGATAACGAGCAACAGGAAAAGATCTGACAGATGAACCGAAACGAATGATCCAATCCACATCAACAGTTTGGAGAGGGAGACTAAACGACGGAAGTAATTACCTCCTTTGATATGTATGAAAAGAGCGAGGGGAAAGAGGAACCGAAACATGTCCGAGGAAGCGGACTCTTGGAGGGAGGTCAGAGCAGACACATCTACTTCGCTCTGTCCATCCGTCTCACCAATACGAACGGCAGTTTTCATCTACACAGGCAGGCAAAGCTGACGCTCTGCTCGCTCAGCCGGCGTTGACCTGACCGCATGCCATTCGTGGGTGTGGATGGGACATCGACGGTCACCTTTTCACTGGCGATAAACCCCGCGAACCGGATCGTAGACCCCGCTGAAAGCCGTCTGGTTCCCTGTTTCGTGTCAACCATATCCGTTACCGCTTCGTGTTTCCGCCGCTTCTCACTTCTCACTCCACTGGGTTCTTACCTCCGTATCCCTCGCCAAAGACTTCGTTGCCGCCACCACCACCGGCCGCCGCCGCCCGGCCCCGAGTGTCCCTGTTGTCTCGATAGCGGAAGCTATGCCAGAGATACCATCTCGCAACCCAATTCTCCTTCTCGACCCTACCATACTCGCCCATCATATAGTAAGGCTGCGTATAAGCCCCGGCAGCCCCGACAATGCTCCTGATCTCTTTGTGCTTTGCCGTCTCTGAGAGTTCGTCCCACTTATAGGGCGTCTGGATGTATCGGTTTCTCTGGGATTCGAGGGTGAGACTGCCAAAATCTTGACTCAGCCGGTCCCTCCCCCTCGTTGCTTCCTGCTACACAACGACGAGAGTCAGCGTGGATACGCCTGGCTGCCCCATGTCCTTACCAGCAGCATCCTATGGATTTCATCGCCGTTGGGTCCAGTCAACCCCAGTCGAGCAAACAAAGCCTGCTTGCTCTCGCTTTGGGCAAGAGGAGGTAGACTCATGTTGGACGAGAGGCAGCCTGAGGAGTTATGTGCACCGCAAAGTTGGAGTGGGCCAGTGAAAGACTGAAAGATGTTCTGAGCCACGGCGAGGTTGATCCTTGCTCTTATACTTAGGGCAAGAGTCCTTGATGGCTTTAGCAATACCCGAGTGTTTCTATTATATATCGACAGGAGTCGTTATCTTACCCTCCTACAGCAGCGGGAGCCCGGGTCTATACCACGAATGACCGGTCCGGACCGACCTGAAACTTCGCCCACTTACCACACCCAAACGAACTTTACATATCTCGATCGGACCTATGCAGCCATCGGCCGTCGACGCACCCCCCTCTGCAGCTAGTAAATGACCAACGAGAAATCACCGTACCCAAAGGACCGATGTTCGGTTGTCGCCGACCTAGTAACGCCTCCAGCGGGTGGTCACGCTGGCTCTCGCATACAGCTACATGCAGTTACAGAGAACAGTTACTGTTACTTTGATTGGTTGCATATGCGCCTTTTCATGCCCAGCTGCTGCAGAGTGCTTCAATCTCCGCTCATCGATCGACGACCTCCTCATCTCCAAACTTTTTGGCTCCAATCACGCGAGCTCGTTCCCATCTTATCTTATGAAAAGAACTTCCACCTGCAAGCATGGGATGCGAAAAATCCCAGTAACCCGGTTGACGGACATAAGCGCCAGCCATGAATTTCCCCTACATCGACTACTGTCTGCGTCGGTCTCTGCCCAAATGCGGGGGCCGGTATAAGCACTGTAATGCGTGGGATGAGGGGGAAAATTGCCCACGAATACAGCTAGGGGTCTCGGCGTCACCATGGATCTCAGGTCATGCTCCGTCGGCTCGTCTCTGACAGCTTATCGTTGACGGTTGCCTAGCTCAGAAATGTGATTGCCGCATTCGCTCCTCGATATGAGAAACGCCTCGCCCTATGACCTGAGGTCAGTCCACTTCCCCCCAGCAGCAGCCTCTAGATACATGGAGAGCACAGATACACCGTCGCCACACGTCAATCGATTCGGAAACTTAAACGGCAGAATTGCGGAAAGCAATCATTTCTTCGATAATCTCACCGTCCGTCTGCAGTAACCCCCCTTGGCTCGGATTGCTAGCGCGCCTTTTTCGTACACCCTCGCGATCCTAACAAAAGACCTCTGGCAAAGCCGTGCACACCATGCCACGCTAGCAATCCGAGCCATGGGGGGACTGTACAAGCGTCGTTGATCGAGTGGGACAGGATGGGCATCCAATGTTATTGCGACGAATCAGAGGCCGCGCGGATTCAGCTTGCGAAGACTGGTGGCCGACGCGATCTTCCCATGACGGATCTGGATCCCATCCAATTACGAATTGAAGATGGCGGCGAGCATGAGAAATCCTTCTAGCATCGACTTGTTCATCACTAGTGCGGACCAAGTTCTGTGCGCAGAGCGGTCTCTGGCTCCTGCTGCTTCTGGAATACTGCGTGGAAGGCTTTAGTGCGCCACCAATGAGTACAACACAGGCCTAGAGTCGACGGGCCCGAGGCCCGAGTACGCTTGCGAGAGTACATCCCGTTGAATGTCCTCAGGGACTGAAACAGCCTCTTTATAGCCGAATTAGCGGGTTGCCATACTCTCCAGTATGTCCTTGGACGGAAAACCACCCTTGCATGGGCTTTCTCCCTTGCTCCCAAATTTCCTAATCAGCCGTCACACCCAGGTAGCAGGGTTCTCGGAGACTGCATGGTACCAACGGAAACCACTCCCTTAGGGCATGTCGAGCCTCGCCCCGATCCCATGGGAGCTGATGCGCCTAAAGCGGCTGGAGCAGCGTCGCCTCTCGGAGAGCAGCGATACCCTTTGCGCGGGCGCCACCTCTTGACGCTACGTTCGCCCAGGAAATAAAAGCAAGTCGCTTACGCTACGGCCCAATACATCTGCGGGGCTTTTCGTCTATCTCTACGTGCAGACGATTTTTGCCCTACTAGCCATGAAATCAGCGATTCACGCCGCCCCTCCGACCATCGGTGCAGGCCGCTTGCGTGCCGACAACAGGGTATGGTGCATATCCACGTGGAATGCCAGGTACTATCAGGGTGGAGACGCGCAAGTATCTCACCACCAGGCATTGTTCAGAGATCAGCCCTTCTAGTAGAGAGGTGGGGTATAACGGCAAACCTGCACGCGCAGTCCGGTGCTTCGTCCTCCGTTGCATTGACGTAGCGTTATGGCTGGGTATCCACCCTCTCCCGAAATTGATCTGCAGCCGTGTGAGCAGTATGTGGTGGACTGGCTGCAGGAGCTGCTAGTCTGGGCAATAATGAGCGAGTCTACAACTTGACAAGCAGCCTTTGACTCAGACGGAATGACAAAGGCGTTGCTTTTTGGTCTTGAGCAGGGCTTACGCTGAACAATTGGTAGGAGCCATCTTTTCATTGGGTAAATGGAGGAAATTTTCCATACTCGTGCAGCTGCTGGGTTGCAAGATTCAAATGCTCACTTCCTTGGGTTGCGGTAGCCCTGGTCAGCCGTACAAGTCTCCAGGACGAGTGCTAAGCCTTCTCTCCAGTGGGCATCGGCGAAAGGAGCACTTTCATTTTGTGCGACTGGTCTGATGCGGTGAGGGGCTACGAGCGGAGACGCCGCCCTGCTCCTGACGTCCTGCGAAGACGTTGTTTCCTCCGACCACTGGAAGGGCGTAGCGGGGCGGGCGAGCACTTCCTTCTCCTGGGAGACATCAACCAAGCAATTCCCCGTCCGAAACACATGTTACAGCTCGACATTTTCCTATGGTCACCATGGCCTAATCGTCATTCAAGTTTCTATCTCCGCCATACTTTGCAGCCTGCAGGGCTCATAAACGATGTCTCTCTCGCAGACCCGCAGACCCAGATTTATGGATCACACTAATGACCAACGAGCCGTTCACGGCTCTAGTCCAGCGCCATACCGAGCTGATGCTGCAGTCTGGGACTTGGCAGATTGGACAACTGGCCAGTCTGACCCCGGACGCGCCCTTACTCAGGACCCATTCGCCTATTACAAGGCTTTCTTCACGACGGACGTCCCGTCCGGTGGCGGCGTCGAAGATCTGATGCATCACGATGGTAGTACAAACCTTGAAGAGCCAATTGATGCCCAATGTGCCGGGGACCAGCAGCGCTGCAAACAGCGAGCCGCCCCCTACAATCTTGCAGTTCGCTTCGCAAATCGCTCCAATGGGGCGCCTCTAGCAACGATCGTTGAGCGGGGCTCGGTTTCCACTCTGGGTTCGCATGGCTCGCTTCTCAGTGTCGGGCAATTTCCTTCTATTCGGATTGTCGAGAATGCGTCGCCAGCCCGTTCCTCACACAAGCCTTCCAGGAACCTAGACGAGATGGCTCTCCAGAACATCCAGGAAGAGGCACGTCAGGAACAGAACACTGGCGCAACCGACCTTCATACACGACGGAAGCTAGGTGAAGATTACTGCGGGTCAAATTCGAACTGCACTACAACCGCACCAGCCGAAACCACTTTTCAAGGCTCTCGACCGCCTGCGGCACCGCAAACACCACTTGCCGACGACTCAGTCGAGGTTAATGGCCTTAAGGGGTTCTTCCGAGGCGTGTTGCACAATGCTCGAGGCGGTTATCAGTCTCGGTCTCGGTCTCAGTCTTCTTCAATGACAAATGCATCCCCCCCGCCTCAGGCCTGGGGAGAACGGCCAGACACAAACGGCCGCAGCTCGCAAAGCGTGACCGGAGAGAACTTTCGAGGGAGTGATGAAGCAACAAGACCAGCTCCGACTGTCTCAGTTGCGATAGGCAGCTCGTTGTCCAGGCCTCGCCCACCGACTCAAGCCGATCCTGAAAGTCACGCCACAGATTGTAAAGGTTCCAGGAGCGACTTTGAACCTTCAGCTGGTGTCTATCCGCTCAGACTGCCTCATTCGCCTCCTACCCTCAACCCGAGAATTGATGAGCTGTCATCTACTCCTCATCTACTGCCGCTTCCGGACGCGTTACGCCCAATAGGCCACAAAGAACGGTCGTTTTCCGTGCGCTCTGTACCTCCAGAACCACGCGATGCAACACAAGACCACGTTCTTTTAGAAGCCACAACAGACCCCCGTCTCAACGAGGACGACGTTTCAACTCGACACACGCTTGACTTGGCTCCCATCTATCGGACCAACGCCCCATCGGTCCGCGAGTTCGACCACCGTGCTCGAGATTCCAGTCAAAATGCGAGCTTCTGTAGCACCAGGTCCACATCGTACTCCGGTACGGTGCTGGGAGTTGACCTCGACCTGCAACTGGAGTTTCCACATCCGGCGCGCCGTTCAGTGACACCGGTGTGGTTTACCCCTGAGAGCGAAACTAAGACAAGACAACAGATAGAGCGCGGGATGCAGCCGGCAGAGTGCAAGCAACCCCCATTCCACTCGATAACCTCGTCTGTCCTCCCAGCTCTACTTCCCATCGCGGCAGCAGAGGGCATTGTGCGCCCCAATCAAACAACACCGCAGCTTTCGTTCTTCTCGCCCTCTGGCAACCTGATTCAGGCGGAAGACAGCTCGTCACCCTCGAGCAACACCTCCCACTCCTCCTCCTACTCATACTACACAGGCACACCGACCCTCTCGACCTCCTACTATAACAAGAACCCAAACACGCTCTCGGCTCATGCTGCCCTTTCCGCATCTATCGGACTACCCCCCATTAGACCCGCACCAGTCCCCTTAATCACGCCGCCGCACTCGACCGCACCACTCCCAGAGCACCTGCGACACCATCACAACTATCAACATGCAGAGAAGTCACAGATCGTCCCAGATTCTGAACCCTACTCTGACACGACCGTTGGCCTGGGCTCAGTAGTCAAAGGCTGCGGCGGCGTGATCCGAACCAACAGCCTGACGCCTCACAGCGGGGTCCGCCGGTCCCCCGTCAAGTCCAAACCCAAATTCACGCACGCAACCAAATTCGGACGCTCTATACTCAGCAAAGGGAACAATGAGGCGAGCAAATCTCGATTCAGCATCCTCTCTTCTTGGCCCTCGACCAGGAAGGGAAGGACCCTGAAAAAGACACCGCCCCTGGCGAGGTCTCCCTCACGCATCGGGCCGATTGCAGGCCATGCCCTGCGCGTGTGCTTCTGCCAGCCGTACGATGGCGCCGGCAAACCGTCTGCGGAAGTCGGGTGCAGCGGCGGGAGGCCTGGGCAGTGTCACGATGAGGCCTATGCGCGCGAGGCACGCGAAGAGGACTCGCCTATTGCAAGGATTGTTACCGGGGGTGAGGAGAGACAGGGCAAGGGGAGGAAGAGGAGTGATAGCGGCGTCAGTATTGCGATTAGAGTTGGTGTTGTGGGTGGTTGATCAGGGATCGTCTGGCCAGCCCAGCCTGGGGTGCGGATTGCCGCCGATCGACCATCTGGCATGGCCACTGACTGCCGTATCTCGTATCGGGATGATCAGCAATGGCGGTAGCCCGGTCCCCGGTCGGAGCGGGATGGTTGGACAGGAGAACGGTTCCGTCGTCGGTTGGATAGGATCAGACCGGACGCCCGATAGCGGACGGGGGTATTGCTATCAGCTTTTGTAAGTAAATGTAATAATGAGTGGGTGTGTGGGTGCGAGAGTCAGTCAATGAGTCAATCAGGCGGGCTCGGGAACAGAACAGGACAGGAGATAGAGAATTACCAAGACATGCATGCAGCAGCTACCAAAAGGACCAAAGACTGCATATAGCCTCCACGCGTTCGCACCCCCCAGGATTCGACCACGTTTATCTTACCGATATGCACGTCGCTTAAAGGAGAAGCATTCCTGCAGTGCGGAAACTTTGAGCACGTATTGTACCTCTCCGATCATGCAAGGCAGGCACATAGCGTCTGGATCAGATCATGCAGTGTGGGCACACAACATTTACCGAGCACGATCCTGCACTGCACTGCGCCGCACTGCACTGCACTGTCGGCACATGAAAGCTAGAGGAGCTGGAGCACGACACAGCTGCCTTGCATACAGTACGCTGGCTGACGGCGGCTGCTCCTCCCCATCACAGACGTCGTCGCCTCACTTTTTGCATACGGCGAGGGAGGGCTAATCTGGTCTGATCTGAGCTGATTTAATTTGATTTGATTTGGTCGGGCAGGGCAGCCGGGCTTCTTCCGCGCCTGTCTTGAACGAAGGGCTGCGGCGTCGGGCGAACCCGATAATGGGGACCGGAGGTAGGTGTGTGGGGAATCGGAATGGCTCATTGGAGTGGAGTGAGAGGAGTTTGGCTGGGGGGCTGTCACTTCCTTCTTCCCCTTGGGCAGTGAGGGAGGGGGCCCCCTAGCTATCGCTGAATTGTGTAGCACTGCCTACCTCCAGGTAAGGACCTGCCCGTTCTATTGCAACCCAGACTGTGATGCTCGAAGCGCACGTCATATGGTGTAGTTAGACTTTCCTTCCTAGCAGTGCTTACGCTCCATCTACACGCCGGTCTTCGGCATCCAAAGATCCTTCCAGAACTGCTTGAACCCGTACTGCCTCTCTACCCTCTCATCCCTTACTCGCACCTTCTCGCCGACTAGCCTGTCCATAACGCCCCCTCCGCCCGCCAAAGCCTGCCCAAAGCCTTCGACCTTCCGCACCGGTTTCGTCGCTCTGTCTTTGATAACGTCTGCGAGCTGGGGCGCTACATCTGCATAGCAAGCGTTGAGCTCGCGCTGCAGGGAGAAGTAGGGTTTCTTGGCGAGATCGGGCGCTTGGAGATTGTAGGAGCGTGTTTTGGAGTTGAGGTCGTTGATGGCGGCCTTGTGGTAGGCGGATTCGATCGTCTCCCATTGGGGATCGCGGAAGGGGTAGGGGGCTGGCGGAACAGAGGTAGGAGTGGTGTGGAGGGGAACTTTGATACTTTGCGTCGACTGCTCTTCTGGGTGCGATAGTGACGAGGCGTTGCCATCTGAGTCGAGGGTCGTCCTTTCGGCGACTATCTCCTCTGCAACTGGTGCACCTGGCGAGCTGGAAGACGGGACTTTGAGCTCCCCGGATAACGAGATTTGAGATATATGCCCGTCGTTATCAACAGTGCTGAGAATCTCTTCTTTCTTCTTCTGAGGATTCGCGAGTAGCTCAGCTTTGGCGTAGGCCTCTGCTCGCCTCATCTGCTCCTGTAGTGTGCCGCCTTTGCTCGCAATCATGCGCGCCGCATGCCTCTTCCAATCAGCTCTTAACCTGCTTCTAAATTTGTTCGCCGCCACTACGAGCTCCTGCTGCTTCTCAATCCACGGTGGCACAATTTCCTGCTTCTGGATCATCTTGTTCAGGAAATACTCGGTAGTATCAAGGAACGGGTTCGAGGCGTTGTAGTCGCGCTCCACCTTCTTCCCGCGGTTCGGTAGGTTCTTGAACTGACCACGCGCAATGGCGTCCTCGATGCGTTCATTTGCAAGAGAGGCGAGGCCTTGTATTGTCCCTGGGACAACGGCACGAGCGTGTGGAGAGAAGCGGTCCTTCAGCTCTTGGAAGCGCTTCTGACGCTCTTGCTCGTCAATGTCCGACTGCTTTAGGCTCGAATACATGCCGCTCCTATCTCGAGCATTCGCCAGCCTTGTCCCCGCAGCCGCCTTGCTCTTCCGTCCCGTATCGATTGAGCGGGGAATCGGCGCGCTCGGGCCTGGTATCTTCGCGCCTCTCCCCGTTCTCAGAGGCTTATGTGCATCATGGAGCATCCGTAAGCTCGCGTCATGTATAGATTCAGTCCCTTCCCAGGGCTCTGCTGCCGCGATGTCGCGGGAGTGGCGGCTTGCGGTCGAGGGGAGCTCTGCTTCTGCGAAGGCAGAGCGGTGTTCGGCGCGGAAGGTTGCGGCGGCTATGCGCTCCTCTAGCTGGCGCTTGAGGTCCTCGCTGAATCCGGCTTCTGCGACGGTCTTCTGGGCGCTGCGGCCACCGGACTCTAAAGCTCCTTCGCTCATATCGCGGAGGCGGCGCGTCATCGCTCCTTCATCTTCCTCTTCGGCCGCTGACTGGTTTTCCTCTCCTTTGTTCTTATTGTTCTCCTCATTGTCGGCCGCTCGTTGTCCACCAGCGTCCTCCTTCCGCTGTGGCGCTGACTCGGCATATGGTCGTACATGAATGGGAGCAATGCGGCGAAATCGAATCGAAGCCCGAGCCGCTACGCTCGGGTGATTAGCTCGCAGACAGCGAGTGCAGATATATGGCCGTCGAAATGCGGATGTGGGCATGTAGATAGATGATATACACAAGCAATTGAGATGGCTGTACGAAGTAGATGGCGTTCTGGCGAAAATGTGAGGAAGAAGGAAATCTCGTAGACGTCATGGCTGGCGGCGGAGATATCGGGGGCGGAGTTTGCCAAGGGCGGAATGGCTCCGAGCGGGACGGGGCGTTATCGATACCACAGTTCCTCCATCTCCTTCCTCGGAAATGCAAGACAACAACGATCACCGATCGCGTCTTTCCAGCAGTCTGGACATGATGCTCAAATTACGCCCTACTGAATATTTGTGCTACGCTTCCTGCTTCACCGCCCTGCTGTCTCAGATTTCCCGAGAGCTTGACATATTGATTGACATATTGATAATATACTCAACGGTCTCTCGCCTCCAATGCATCTGTTTGGGAAATACTATCCACCCTGCAAAAGGAGCGGTCAATAAGGGAGTGAGACAAGGAGGACCTCTGCGTCTGCGTCTAGATCTGCCACCCGCAGCATCTTCGTGTTACTACGCCGTCCCGTGGTACTACCACACCGCAAGCTTGGGCTGGACATGCACGAGCTGGCGAATTAAGCGACGGGAGTACCCGAAGCAAGACATGGCCGTAACCTTACTATCGAAAATGTCAAATCTCGTGGGGATTCCGATGGGATGCCGATGTCGGATGGCCATGGAGTTGCACGAGCCTGGGTTGCTTTTGATAGCATCATTTCTACATGTGAGAAAAGAAAAGGTGAGGGATATGTCGCCAGAGTTCCACAGCCGTCAACTAAAATTTTCCTTTCCTGCGAGACACACGTTAACCAATCATGGCGAGCTTACGCTTGGCAGTTCTCAGACCTCTGCTGGAGTCTGGGGACCGAGCACCTTTCAATCTGCCTCGTAAACCGCACGTAGATCCAACTTCATCCATATATCCACCATACGCACGTTGAATTCTCAGCGATTGGATTGACCAGTCGCGGCAGTATGATCTGCAAATGAATCCGAGCGATGCGAGAGGCTGTGGAGGCTGAGGAAGCTTGGCAGTCAATCTCGTGTCACAACGCGATGCCGTCCAGGTCGTCCCCGCAGTGGGGAGACTCTTCATAAGTTCATGGCCTCAGGTTTCTCTCAGTGGGGTAAACACTGGCAAATAATGCCAGGGCGTCATGGCGACTAACAACATAGGACAGCCGCTGGCACACGGTGAATGCGTGAGCGCAAAGGTAAGTCGCGAATTGAGAACTCTAACCGGGTCCGTTCTAACCTTGAGACATATAGGTCCCTTCATCCTACCCTCCACCGGTGCAAACCCAGGGCATCCAAGTCACTCGCCTACCTACCTCTGCCTCCGAGTCTACGGCCCAAGACGACGCACACTCGACACTCCACATCTACCCGCACAAAGATCGACACACACACATAAAACCCACCAAGGACCTCTCGAAAGAAAGCTCCTGGGGCAAGGCTGCGCGCAAAGCCCGCAAAGAGCACAAAGAGAACGGCAACGTCCTCGAAGTGTCGGAAAGTGCAGATGGCGAGGGAGCTTTCTTCCTCCATTCTCCGTACTTGGCCTTCCACGACCCGCCAAAGGTTCTGTACATGGGCGCGGACAGGAATGCAACACCAATCATGCTTATACATGGTGGCGCATTCTGGAGGAAATACAAGCTGCAGCTGGGCTCCTCCATCGGTACTCCAGGGGTCATTGACCCGAGGGGTGTCGTGTGTTGGAAACACAACGGCGGCGACAAGCACGATTTGAAGGCAGACGACAAAAAGCTCAAGGGATACAAAGTCCGAACGTGGAGGCTCTGGGGCGAAACTGGCAAAGCGTATGTCCACGGCACAAAAGCCAACCGCAAAGCTGGCATTAGACCAGACCCTGATGTCCTCGACGACTTGGGATATGGAGAGGATGGCGAGATAATAGAGCCAGCAAGAGCCGAAGAAGTCGTCTACTTGAAATGGGAACGCCCCTTTTCCCGCCACACGCGACGCTACCACTTCCAATACGCGGGCGTCGACTTCTACTGGAAGGGCACTGGAACTGTCAAGAAGTCCGGCTCATGCGGCTTCTTCGTCCGGTTCAACCATCTGAAGCTCGTCGCAAAGATTCCGGTCGCTGCAGCCAGCAAGAAGGATCGACCGGAGGTGTGTCTAGCAAAGTACACGTGTTCGCTTTCTGGGGGAAAGTGTGGTAAGCTCGATATTTTCGATACGGCACTTCTGCGGTTGGCCGAGGAGTATGTGCAGCCTATTGGCGAGATAGGGATAGAACAGGAAGAGGCTGTGAAGATAGCGAGACTGAAGAAGACGCTGCTGTACCAGATTGTCATAGCTACGGGTCTGTGCATGGTGAGCGCGGAGAAGGAGAAGCGCAAGGCTGTGTGGGAGTGGCTGCAAGAAGCTGGAGAGGGTGCTGGTGGATGAGCTGACAGTGTTTGATACCCCTTTTCATTACGATCTTTCTCTAGTCTACTTTCCTGCCCTTCGTTATTCTCGTGCGGTCTTGTTCGTAGACCTTGAGTATTGCCCGACCCTTTGGCAGGGCGTCCGTCTTCCTCGCAATAGCATTTTTGGCATGCTTCAACGTCTAATATCTTTACATTGCCATCGTCAATTTCCAAAACTTACTTCTCCGGCCGTAAACCTCGGACAAATGCACCCCCATTCCATCCCCGTCGCGCTCCTCCCCGCCCACCAACCAACCCCCTCTCCAACCTGCCCCACCCACTACCGTGCACCCCTACACAACACCTACCCGCTAGTCGGCCAATTCATACCAGGCGAGTTCGCCGTCATGCTCGTGACTGGGCATTCCATGCAAGGCCATATGCTCGCCATCGGCACAAACATAACTTCATACGTTTCCTGATTCAGCGAGGACTTCTATCGAGGTCACGCAACATATTTTATGGAGGGAGTCGGCATGCACTGCTGGAGAGGATTAGGGGGCATCTGAGGGTCGAGTGGGTGGAGTGTGATATTGCGGAGGGGTAGGAGTTGGAGTGACTGTATGGCATCTTGTTGGTGTTAGCTGCGGTTGACGCGTCGGAGTAGAGGTCGCTCTAAGCTGACGCATCGGGCTTACATATGAGTTTCTCTTGTTCATGCTGCTTTAGACAGTTGTGGCACCAGGCTCATTTCCTACGTATGTGATGAGAGGTATGATTAGAAGTTCTATCTTGCTCGTGACAGCCACTTCTCCGATTTCATTTCTGGTACATACATAGTTAGACTGATTTCCAAATAGATTAGAACTTGAGAATGAGAAGGACGAGATGACGCTGACCCCAAATAGACATCTTTGCGCTGGAGCTTGGCCCGTGCGCTGAAGCTCTCACGATCCGTCTGCCAGAGCTGTCGAACCATCACTCTTCAACCGGCCTACCCACCATGTCGCACACCACATTCCCGCGCATAACCCTGCGCTTAAGCTCTCACGCTTCGCGCTCAACATCCTCCCGAGCAATTGGCTCACCACGTCCCCGCCTGTAAGCCCCATCGCTCTTCGGTCCCACGGCCAAAGCTCACACGACCCAGGCTCCTCCGCACCACTTCCACTCCCCAATGCATAGCAAATGCCACTCGATCTCTCACCACCAGCCCCAGTCTCCACAAGAAAGCCGGAAAAGCCAACAAATCCCATGCGCGGACCGACTCCTCTCCGCCCGTCGCCCCAGGCCGCGCCGGCCAACTCACGCCGGCTGATGAAGCGTACGACCTTTCGGGGCTGGAGGCGCAGATACTGAAAGCGATGGAGAAGCTTACACATGACCTGAGCCAGCTACGAAGCGGAGGGCGGCTGAACCCGGAGATTGTGGAGGGTTTGAAGGTCCAGTTGGGGATGGCAGGAAAGGATGGGCATGGCAAGGAGACTGTGAGACTAGGGGATATTGCACAAGTCGTGCCCAGAGGAAGGGTACTCAATGTTATAGTCGGCGAAGCAGAAGTAAAACCACCTCTCTAAACCTCTACTCCTAGCCACGGAATGTGCTCTGCTAACACCGCTTCCAGCACCTAAAACCTATCTCCACTGCCATAGCCGCCTCCCCGCACTCCCTCACCCCTCTGGCGCCCGAATCCTCCTCGCCCCTAACAATCCAGGTTCCCCTCCCTCCACCAACCGGCGAATCGCGCCGTGCAGCCGTCGAAGCAGCTTCCAAAGCCGCCGAGCAGGCCGACAAATGGATACAGAGCGCGCGGCAAGTGCACCACAAGAAGCTGCGCAAGTTCCAGCTGGATAAGAGCGTGCTGCCTGATGATCTGCAGAAGGCGGGGAAGCTGATGGAGGAGGTGGTGAAGAAGGGGCATGCGGATGTCAAGCGGGTGGTTGACGGGGCGAAGAAGGTGTTGGAGAGTCAGTAGAAAGAGAAAAAAAGGTTTTGTAAGATATGAACAATGGTATAGGTTCAGTTTTGATATTCGGTATCTATAACGGTATTGAGCTCAGCGAGCATCAGCGGCATCGTAGCAATAAAGACAGTTTGCAACGGCTATTGTACAGGGTATCTAGCTAAAGGATTCTTCATCCATGACTCCGACGTCGGCGACAGGATAACTCTTTTTTTTTCTGCATTTCCATACGCCCTTAAGCCTTCTAACAGGGCCTTACAAAGGGTTCTGCGCAAGTGAGCGATGAGGCCTGAGTAAATAGGAGTCCGGGACGGAGAGACCGCTCGTTTCCTCTTCGCTGGGTGTGTCGCATTTTTAAGGATGAGATCCGTCCTTCATGGGACAATGCGCACCCCCTCCTAGCTCTCGTCGTGCTCTCCCCTCGAGCGTGCATCGTAGTCTCGTAACATCGTATCCAACTCTTCATAACCTCACACATCTGGCCCACCTACACAAATCGACAACGATCCCGAACTCGAATTATCTTTCTTGTGTCCGTAAATGGCGGATTCCGGCTTGGACAGTATCCCCGCCTCGCTGGCCCAGCTCTCTTGGCTCGGTTTCCGCAGCTCGCTCGTGACAGTTGTTTCCTGCTGGACGTGGATCTTAGGTACCGGTGCCACGGTGCGATCGCGCGAGCTGAATGGGTTGAGGTACTTGCTCTTGGTCTTTGCTGTTGGTGGCGGCGAGGAGATGTCGGTTATGGGACTGGGGATAGGCTCGCACTCGATGAGCTCGGGGTCGCCGCGCATGGAGGAGTGCGAGCGTTTGCGTACGCCGTGACCGACGCCGGCACCGGCGCCGGTGACGGAGCCTCGATGGACGGTGCCGCCTGCTGAGCTGAACTTACACGCGATAATGTCGTCGAGGACGGATTTGAAGTCGTCGAGGAAGATGGTGTCGGAGGCGCATTTGAAGACGAGGGCGAAGCGCCAGTAGGGGTTGATGCCCGAGTCCGCCGTTACTCGCGCGGCGCTCACGCCGACGTCTGTCAGCAGGAAGCCGATGGAGATGAACATGCAAGCCAGCATAACGCCAAAGCGACGGTTGATATTGATCAGCGCCCATAGCTTGAATCCATATGTCTTCTTTATCGCATCAATTAACTTCCATGTCGTGAAGATCCACCACGGATCGCGCACCAGCGCTTCCCAGGGGCGCATGCGCTCGTTGACGTCAGTGCCCAGGCTGTTGAAGTACTCGAAATTACTCCAGGCTTCGGCGATCCAGAAAGGTTGGACGGCGAGGAGCGATAGGATGAAGAAGCGCGAGCCCCATTTCGGCAAGAAGGGACGGATCTTGAGCCACGAGACGACGTTGTGGAGTTGGTAGGAGATGAAGAGGAGGGTCGCGGTCGTGGAGAGGTACCAGCCGTAGGTAGGGTCGGAGACGAAGATGAAGGTGCCGTGCCAGAGGGCTAGGATGAGCTGTTGCTGTTAACATGATGAAGAGCGACAGATGCAACGCCGTGACCTACTTCAAGCAAGATCAGCTTGTGGAGCCAGATACCCGACCGGTAATTGCAAAATACGATTAGGATAAGTATGATTAGACTGCCGACATTGTATCCTTGGGCCCATGCTTCCAGGAACCCGCCTTCTTTCGTGAGACTGTCTCGCGTAGGTGGATCAGTCCGTGTCGACGATGGGAATCGCTTCTCCAGGTATTGAAAGGGGTCGACAGGAGCCATGATGTTTGAACGTCGCACCGCGGTGGAGTCGGGACCGGGGAAGCAATCCTAGATGCCCATGGGGAGAAAAGTGGGCATTTGTATGCTTGGTTTGCCGGCCTGTTGGTGGTTGTGATAAACGGTGGGACAAGGCCTTCCAATAATGACCGCAATGTACATGTGAAACACTGTCCCGTTCCAAGCTTTTCAGCAACAAACTCTGCGCAACGTACGAGGAGCAGGACGAACCAGGCAGGCAGCAGTTAGGGCGTCCCAAGTTTAGAAGTAGAGAATTGGAGGAGTCGGACAACGCGAGGCTGCTGACCGCAGCGATGATCTCCACGGTAATCGCAGATGACAATCGAAAGACGGCTCTGCTCTTTGGCGCGGTATTGTCCGAAGCTTGGGTGGTGCTGGGCTTTGATTGCCCGTGGCAGCGGCATTTCATGCATCGTCTCCCCGTGGAGGCGGAGTCTTCTCTCCACACCCTGGACTGGACGGAAAGGTGCCGAGGACTCATCACGCTTGGGGTTTGGCTTCACCGTAATTTGGACCGGTGTAGGGCCGGTCGCATGATCGAGGGACGCTTCTGGTTGGTGATATTCTAGGGTTCATCTTTTAGCTTTGCGAGTGCCACTTGTCTGCAGGGCTGAGTTGGGAATACGGCGGGGGGCCTTATGCTATCATTGTGTAGCCTCGTCATTGTGTTTGCTAGCTTCAGGCGGTATGACTCGATGGTGTATCAAATCCCTGAGGCTCTAAGTGGCAGCGTTGCAACTTCGTGTGCCTTCAGGACTGCGTCGTCTTCGAACGGGGAAATCGGTTCATGAACAACGCGGCTTTGTCGATGAAAAAGCCGGCAAGGCTTGCCGCGTGGTGATGTAGTGTCTCACGTAATATGCCGCGATGAAGGACGTTACTGGACGCCGTTGGAGATGCGAAGTGTTGGTGTTTCGGATAAGGAAGTCGGTGGTCGATCGAAGCGTGGCGTGGCCTTCGGAAACCCCGCATTCCAGAAGTCTTTATGGAAAGCCATGCGACCCAACAGAACTTTGGCTTCGGAATGATCGATGATGATTGCGTAGACTCCCGTAGGTGCGGCATGCCGGTTGACGCACAGCGGGTTGTAAATTGCACGTGACCTGCTTATGTCATCGGATCTCCGCAACCACAACGCTTCTTCCGGAGTAAACAACCTATTCTGACAACGTGAACGCCCTATAACCGTAGTCATACCACTACTTTTGCCAGACAGCTCTACACCTATATTTCTATAGCGGCTGACATCCATGAATCTCTCTCCTCACTGCCTCGCATCCCTGAGCGACCACCTCCACGCGAAGCTGCTCACGCATTCGAACACCTCGTCAGACGGGTGCACCCGAGATATAGCGACGTTGATGCCCCAATCTACTGGATACCATCCATACGGGTACATTGTTGCGAGATGAGTCCACCCTGTGTCGTCCAGCAATGAATGGATGCCTTCCTACCCGATGAGGCACCACTCAGCGACGAATGCCAGCTCGCAGAACAACTGCTCCATGCCGTTTCCTCCTCGTATCAGATTTATCATATCCGCCCTTCCCACCTATCGGAACCAACGAGGAACCACTCCCAGTTCGCTACTATTTCCCTTCTCAGCAATCAAGCGCCTGCACGTGCGCGCCAAGTGGCTTTGAAGCTTAGCTGAGGCTTAAATCCGACACGGACCACTGATCCTTCAGCAAAATAAGAACAGCTAGACTCTTTTCGGTCTCGAGACGCTTCTGATTGGCGAGCTCGCTACTATGGATTGTGGCTTCATGTAGCGACGCGCAACGCGTAGCAAGAAGGGAGGAACGAGGCAGACGAGCTGGGAGTGTTGGTCAAAAAGAATACTTAAAAGAGCGAGTTGGGCTTTCGTGAATTCATTCAGTCAGTTACATTCAGTTCTCCATCAATTCGCCTTTCCAGCATCGCTTTAGTCCCCTTTTTTTGCGCTTCATTTTTCCTGGAACGAGAGAAGATGCCAACACCTACTTCTACATCCCTAGCCTCCACCACTACAACTAGTCCCACAGCGTCCTGCACCACCGCCGTCCCCGGGAAATATGGCTACGTCCCACCGGACGCTTGCAACGCCTACTGGGCCTTCTCTCCATCCTTCGCCGCCGCCGTCGCCTTCTCAACCCTCTTCGGTATCCTCATGCTTGCGCAAATCTGCCTCGCCATCCTCTTCCGTAAAGGCTTCTGCTGGGTCATGATCATGGGCGCGTCCTGGGAAGTTGTCGCCTTCATCACCCGAGCACTCGGCGCGCACCACCAGCAGTCCCTAGCCTATGCGTTCGTCAGTTCGCTGCTGTTTCTCCTCGCTCCGCTGTGGGTCAACGCGTACGTGTACATGACGGCTGGGCGCTTGATATGGACTTTCCATCCCGAGAAGAGGGTTTGCGGCGTCAAAGCCCTCAGTATCGGGAAGTACTTCGTCTGGCTGGACATCTTCTCCTTCATTGTGCAGGGCATTGGCGGCTCCATGCTCTCGCCCGGCGCCAGCGCGGACACCATGAAGCTGGGCAAGAACATCTACATGACCGGCCTCGGCGTCCAGCAGCTCTTCATCCTGCTCTTCATCGCCCTCGTCGTCCGCTTCCACGTCGAGGTCCTGCGCTACGAACAAACCGGAACCGCCACACTCGTAAACAACAAGTGGAAATGGGTCACATACGCACTGTACGCTTCTCTGGTGCTCATCACCATGCGTATCATCTTCCGCCTCATTGAGTTCTCCGCCGGAACCGACATCTCCAACCCTCTGCCCTACCATGAGATATACCCTCTCGTGCTTGATGCGATGCCGATGTTGATTGCGATTTTCATACTCACGGTTGTGCATCCTGGATTGGCGCTCAAGGGGCCCGAGAGCGAGTTCCCGAGCAGGAAGGAACGGAAGGCTGAGAAGAAGAAGATTAAGGCGGAGAAGAAGGCGCGGAAGCGGGAGAGGAAGATGGCGAAGAAGGGTGCGTTGGCGATGGATACGAGTTATGAGCACCAGCAGGCATCGAGGGAGGAGTTGATGCGAGAGGATATTGAGATGGGGCATAGGATATAATCTCGCGGGCGAAGTGAGCACTGTAAGCCTATTTTGGAGGGCAGCAGAGGACAGCAGGAGTACGGGTGTTCAAGGCGTTCGTTGTGCTAGGCTTGACTGTTGGACTATTCCTGTCCTTCATACCAATTACAGTTTCCTGTTAGATATAAGCTTCACGGCCGATAGATACAATCAACTCTTAACATCAATCTCCAATCACCTCAACCACCACCTTCGTCGCCGAAACACCCTTCCTCACCATATCCACCGCCTCCTCCAGCCTCTCCAATCCACCCTTCAACACAAAAGGATCAAGCTTAGCCCGCAGCTTCCTCTCTCTGAGTCCCTTACCCATAAAGTCAGCCCAAATAGCTCGCCACACCCCGACCCCGGTATCAGCCCTCCCATTGACTCGGACCACGCCCTCCTGCGGCTCCGGGCCGGAAGCATAGGGATTTGTGCGGAAGATTTTGCCGCCACCGACAGCATGTAGGAAGTCAGCACAGGCAAGAGTTGTGGCATCAGTGGCGATGGCGTCGTATATGCCCAGCACTTTGATACCACGGGCTGCTTCAGTCAGCTTCTTGACGATGTGGGGATCGCTATGATCGAAGACATAAGATGCTCCTAGATCCTTAACGTAGGCGAAGTTGCGGGGTGAAGCCGTGGCGAATGTAGTAAGACCCGCCGCGGCACAAAGCTAGATTGCGCAGGAGCCAACGCTGCCGCTTCCGCCCCAGATGAGAATCGCTTTGCCCTCGTTCGCGGCAGGGTCCGTGGAAATGGAGGTACTTGGTGGCTTAAGGCCGAGGTTTCCAGGCTCAAAGAGGCCGTTTGCTGCAGTGACGAGTCCGAGAGGAAGCACTGCAGCTTCTGTAAAGGCGATGTTGTCCGGGATGCGAGAGACGAGGTTTGTGGGAACGACGGTGTATAGTTGGAAACCTCCATATTCTTTCTTCTGCATCGTAAGGGCTGGCGCGATTGCTGCGACGCGGTCGCCTTTCGCGAACTCCATGATGCCTGGGCCGACTTCGACTACTGTGCCGGCGATGTCCATGCCCATGATCTATAGATTGAACCTGATTAGCTCTTGAATGTTTTCGGAGAGATTGCAGGGGTCTTACATAAGGGAATCCTGAGATAACGACACCGGTGTCCTGTTGCTTCCAATCGATGGGATTGATAGCGAGAGCATGATTGCGGATGACGATTTCGTTGGGTTGGGGGTGAGTGAGCGGTGCGGGTTGGATGGAGAGGGGTGTTTTGGGTGCAAGAAGGTAGGCTGCTTTGTTTCCCATCGCGAATTTGAGAAGGAAGTGTGTCGATATATCCCCAGGTAATGTACGTATGAGTGTGCAGGATGCAATACATTTCCAGCGAAAGATGAAAGCCACTTTTATATTCGGCTGCTTTCGCCTTGGGAGGACAGTCCCCTCGGCTCAAGCTAGGTCCGCGCATCGTCGTCAAGGAGTTATACACAGTTCCGATTTAGGTTCAATAGGACGTTGTTGTTCCGAGGATGTTAGAAGTGCGGTCCACTGCAGGTAAGCCAGCGTGAAGCTAATCCCAAAGCGTCCAGGATGGCTTACACTCGCCAAACTCCACTATCTCCGTAGAACACCTCCAGCACCTCATCCCATCATCCTCCCAATTCAATTGACCCTTCCTCCGCCATATGGCATACGACTCTCCAGCTGGCTTACTTTCGCCAGACAAAAGCCTCGGCTACAGCACATGTCATGAAAATGGACGCTACCGCGCTAGCCAATAGGAAAGCCCCATACAAGAGGAAAATGACTGAGAAACGGCGCGTTCAGAACCGTACTGCGCAGCGCACCTATCGTATGTCGGACCCCATGCTTGGGCTCTGAGAGGAGAGGAGTGTGATGCGTTGCGTTGAAGTTTGTCGCGCTCGAGCTGATTGCTAATGCTTGATATCATGCAGGCGCGCGGCGCAGGGATCGAATAGCACACCTGGAGAAAGCGGTCGCAGCTTCCGACGAGCAGAGCGCCGAGGATGAGACATCAATACGGGAGACGGTGGCGGCTCCGTATGATGCTTCATCCGCGCCCAACGACGAAAATGTCCACGCTCGGCACGCAGTAGCCCAAGTCTTAAATTCTCCTACAACAACTGATTCCGAGACTTCAGAAACCGAGGCCGTTACTGAGCTCAAGAGGATCCTTGAAGTGGGCGAGGATGAGGGTGCGGATGGCTTGATAGACTTTGCCATACGGGAAAAGCCCAACTTGAGCGCCATCGTCCTGGCCGGTCTGTGCGCGCTCAGATCGAAAGAGTCGCAGGAGACTGCTACGACAGAGCTTCCCAACTCCAGCATGAAGTCTCATCAGACTCACAACGATGACGTCTTCCCACCACTTGCCTTCAGAGTCTCACTTGACATACCATCTCTGCTAAACCGGAACCCGGAGATAACGGACATGTGGCTCGAACGGACCTGCAACGGGCGCCTCACGATCCCACTATCCTTCTCACTCCACAGCGACCCGTCATTCCTTCCAGACCCTCTTGCTGATGGCATTTTCCTACGGGCCGAGGCCATGATGGAAGTATGCTACCAAAACTGCCGCGCCCTCGGTCTCACATTCCAAGAAGCCTGCCGCCACACCTGCCCTTCTCCGTGGCACCACCCTATCCTCACACCATCAGCCATCATAGCCCTGAAGAATATCCCGCCGGATCTGTACCCAACCCCTGCTCAGCTGCGCTATCCGCACCATCCATTCATCGACTTCTTCCCATTTCCGTGGTTCCGAGAGCGCGCGGTCATGCTTGCGTCGCTCGAGCCGCCGGCGTACGATCGGTGGGAGCTCAAGGCGGATATCTTCAGCGGCGGCATGGTGTGCTGGAGGTCGAGAGCGGGGTGGGAAGGGCAGTCGTGGGATCGCAGGAGCTGGGAGGTTCAGCCGTGGTTTTTGAAGAAATGGGGCTGGTTGGTTGAGGAGCAGGGGAGGGTTGGGCAGCAGTCGAGGTGGTGGAGGGCGTTGAGGGGAGAGTGAGCATGAGAGCTTTTCGCGTCGTGAGCGCGGTATTCGTGCTTATTGGGTCTTGCTCATGGCGCTCTTGAGTACTGGCGGATTGTGCCTGGTCTGACGCTAATTGTTACAATGGTTCCGGGTAGAAGGCGTAACAGCAAGTTGTTTGCTACCGGCAAGCAACCCGTAGGTCACACTCGCCGCCGCTATTAATTAAGGGTCGTCCACGAAATCTCAGGGACAGCTAGGGCTGCGCGTACGTCCACCAATAGTGCAAGCATGCCGACGCCACCCATCCTTCCCTGGTGCACCACCTGCTGTAAGGAAAAATGCGCAGACAACACGCCACTCCTGCGCTGCGTCGGCTGCAGAATGCGTCACTACTGTTCGCGCTCATGCCAGAGACTTGACTGGCCAGCACACAAGCACGAATGCCTTTCCAGGCCAGGAGCCCCATCGCTCACAGATGCAGAGCAGTTAAGTCTCAGTTTTCCCATCCCTGAGCCTGTCGACCGATATCCAGGGCATGCATACTTCGGCGGGAAAATGCCCGATAGCGTGCGACTATACGTATGGAGCATGATAGCACTCATCTACGGCGAGTTTCCGGCCTGCATGAGCGCCATCGAAAAGACGTGGTACATCAAGCGCGCGGCACCCGACCCAGGCCCCGAAGGACCAGTGTTCCTGGACGACAAAGCGGCGGAGTTGTTAGAGAACGCTAAGAGACTGTACCGGACACTGGAGCGCATCCACAGGCACATGGAAAACATCGAAGCGCATTTCGGGATATCTCAAAAGGGCGATGAAGCGCAACCAGAAACGGCCGACACCAGTGCGCTGGAGGGTATGGACATCATCGAACAATGCAACATCATATTGGAACGCCTGGAGCAGTTGCGGAAACGATGCCAGGAAAGGTGGGACTTGATCTTCCAGGCGCTGAATAGGGAGACCCTAGGGAAGTTGCGAGCATTCAAAGCACAGCACGAAAGGATACTGGAAAAGCTCAAGGAAGAGACGGAGAAACCGGAGAGTGAGGTAGAACGGGAAGCGGTGCGAGAGCGCGAGAGGCTACTATATCCACAGTGGCGACAAGTTGGATTTGGAGGATGAGGCGAGCAGGCCGTTTGAGGCATATTGGCGTATGATTGGTAGCGGGAGAGTTGTCGAGGAAAGGAGGTTTTGGAGTAAGGCGTACGAAGGCGATGGGAGGGCGTCTTTAAGCATTCCTGGAGTAGGGCGCACCTTTGTGACTGGCGAGTGTTATGAAATGATGTATTACGCTATCTACATGGTATGCAGACAAGGTTCTGTACAGGAGATCCCACTTCTAGTGGTTGCCGGTTCGTTTCGAAGCTTCTTCCTCCCGTCCTTCCCCGAAGCCTATATCCAAGCGGGCGGAGCCTGGTTTGTCCTCAGCACAGGCGTCGTCGGGGCTGACTGATGTCCCGAGACTCTCCATCCCTTGCTGGGCAGTAGCTTGATCCGGGTTTTCTGAGCGCCCGCTCGCCCTGCCGTCGTCCACGTTGAAGTATTCGATGAGAAAGTCCCCTGCAAATCTTTTGGAAGGCTATAAATGAGGGTCGGCATAGCCGATGTCTTCCAGACGCCCACTTCGCCCCTGTCTCGAGCGGACTTGACCATAGTCGCTACAAGGAAGATGGCGCTGAGAAGGAGTAGCGCTAGGGGGAAAGCAAGCCAAGCCCACTGCACTTTGACATAGACCTCGATCCCGTAGGCGTCGCCGAATACTTCTTTGTTGCTGCTTGTAGACGATCGGATGACGTTCGTCATTGCCGTAGCGAGTCGTTCCATATGATGCGTGATGTTGTTGGGCGGTAACCATGGATTAACGTCCAGTATGCGGCGGAAGTTCTTCGCGGAATAGAACCTGAACCTTGTGAGTTGCTCGGCGGAAGTATTCGCAACCGTTGTGAATGATGGGAGGAAATCGTCGAAAAGGCTGATGACGTGAGAATGACTCTCATTAGACGTCCCATAATGTAGCGAGGACACATCAATCGTGACATTCTCCAGGTAAGTTATATCGGTTCCGTGTAGCTCGGGGCTTTCGTACAAGGAAGTTACCCAGGGAAAGGGAGCGCCGAGAGCAGTAGTGTTCAAAAAGGTGTCAATGACCTCTTCCTCGTAGCTGCCCCAGAAGTAAGATGATTTGAGTGTCTTCACGCACCAAGAAACCACGCATTCTTTCGCAACAGGCGTCTCATTCCGATACACACTCTCAGGTCCTCCGGGAGCGCTAACAATGATAAAATCGGATATCGGATTGCGGATGTTTTTGAAATGAATTGATCCGCCAAACAACGGTCGTTTATCGGGATTGGTGACCAGAGGCAAAGCGCGCATCAGCAGAGCTTCGCCTGCATATAGGACATTGGAGTCGGTGTTGTAACCTGACATGAAAACAAGATGGTCGCTTGTTGCGTTGATAAAATACCCACACATGGTGCCGTTGGGATACGTGGATTCCGTCCCGGTACCGGTAAGATTCGCTGTCCAGTCTATGGTCGACGCGAGGCAGGCGTGTGTGAGTATCGAGGAGACATCTTCACAGGCACTGCAGATCCCGAGCGTCTGGTACGGTGGCCAGGTGCAGTTACTCGTAGGGCATGACGTGGGAACATCTGCCCGGCTTCCATTGCCTGAGGCTATCGGGTGGGTACCGTTGTCGTAGAAGAACTGTTGTGTGATAGGCAAGAGGTCTTGGTCATCTTGCACCATATTTACTCCGGCTCTGTATAAGTTGGTGAGGCGCGGCTGGTACCAGACAACCCTGGTTATCGAGCTAGGTCCCTGCAGGATCCAACGCTCAGGCAGATCGACAACCTGTTGGAAGAAGGTGTCGATAGCAAGCATCAGAAGGGTCAGGATAGCCCCCAACGCTGCTAGCGACCTGCCCTTTGTGCGCAATAGAAGCATTACAGAGCCCCAGGGGCCCCGTGATGCCTTGTCGAATATCTCAAAGTCAAACATCTCCTTTGATGTACCGTGGAACCAATTCCATTTCAATTGTCCGATCGCCTCTGAGGTCGGGATGATCAAGGTAGCTGCTGCAAGCTTTGACAGGACTGTAATAGCCGTAAGGCCTAGCGGCCACTTCGACAGTCGTTGATCCTTGATGTAGACGAGAATGGCGATTATGGCGCCCATGGATATCGCGCTAACGGTCCAGCTGATTCCCTCGACCGCCCATCGCTTGAACAGGTTGTCGGAGGTATTAAGGCGCGCTAAGCGTCTTTCGAGCCGCTGGGGAATATCGAGCTTGGACTTTTCCTGCTGCGATGCGGGATAAGACGGTGGGGCCTCGTCCTCCTGGAGGGCTTCCAGGTGGGTACTAGGGTCTTTGGCAACCCGAGCCCGAGTCGACATCTTTGTTGACGCACGCTACGAAGCGGTAGAACCTTCTGAGGGAGATAAAGCGAGAGTCGGTAACTTGCGTTTCGGTCGAAGAGTGCAGGGTCGATGAGCCTGTTGTCTTGTGGACTGTCCCGGGCGAACGTCGTACCAGAACTGGCCTTCAATCGCCTTCACCAGCGATGATTTGAAGAAAAGGAAGGAAACGCAGCCATTACGTGCTCAGAAGAATTCCGGCGAGAGTCGTACTGCAAAACGCCCCTGCTTGCGCTCGCCATGACTCTATATAGAGATCAGCGGCAACGACGAAGCAGCCTCGTAATTGCTTCCACAGCGTCAAGCAATCTTTTGCGTTTCAGTTGCCCACAGGTCGCAGAGTCGGCGACATGTTGACCTGCCGGAAGAAAGTGTTAGGCGCTACCAGATGCCAACGCCGACAATTCTGCACGTTGGCGCTGCGGCACAGCCCATGGGCGGCAACAGGGCTATTTTGAAAGTGCAGAAATTCCAGGCGAGGCTGCTACAGATCTAAGCCACCGGGAGGTGAGTATTTTACTGTGCGGTGAATGTTTCTCCGTTAACGATAGGGAGATGAGAGTTAGAATGTAAAAGGTCGGCTGGGTTTTCGGTGTGATTTAGCGCTACGCGCTGATTGGCCGACAGATCACTAGCACGGGATCAGGCGAGGACGGACGCGCTGCGTAGGATATTCCGAAAGTCCCAAGGTTTCGATCAAGCAAAAAGCGCACCGAACTTCTCAAGCAAAGGGAGGGTTGCTTTCGCCAGTATACAGTACAGCACCAAGATAAGTTGCTTAAAAACCAGGTATCTACTTTGCATGCGAGGAACGCGTACTGTATAGATGAGCAGAGCAGAGCGAGAAACATTACATTATGCGGCTTGCGCGACCAAAAGCCAGCAGCTTCAGCTAATGCATTTGGATAGGATGGAGACGAGAATGCAGACGCGGTGATTGTGAGGTGGGAAGGTGTGATGTCGCCGAACAGTGTTTATACCGCGCCGATGCATGCCAAAACATCTCCCCATGCTCGATCTGACTGGATTATATACTGAAGGAAGGGGTTTAATCCTTCTTTTCTCACGCAAGATGCAATTCTTACCATGCATACTTCAATAATCCTTCCCCTCAACCCCAAGCGCTCCCTCATTCTCCTCAATATACGTCACCAAGTCCTCAATCGTGCACACCCGAATCCCCCACTTCTTCCCGAACGCAAGGCACTCATCCCTCCTCATCATGCCGCCGCCAATCCTCTCCGCCTTCCCCGGCACCTCCTCCCCATCCGTAATAAGTTCGCAAATAACCCCCACCGGCGGCTTCCCCGCCAACCTGCACAGATCCACCGCGGCCTCAGTATGCCCTCTCCTTACGCGCACGCCGCCCTCCCGCGCCTGCAGCGGCAGTATATGCCCCGGCCTGCGAAAATGACTCGCCTTCGCGCCGGGGTCCGCCAGCATGCGGCACGTCAGGCTGCGGTCGTGCGCGCTGATGCCGGTGCTGACGGACGGGTGCACGGCGTCGATGGAGACGGCGTACGCGGTCTGGTTCGGGTCTGCGTTCTCGGCCACCATCTGCGGCAGGTGTAGCAGCGCGGCGCGCGAGGCGGGGAGTGGCGCGCACATGTAGCCCGACGAGTGGCGGATCATGAAGGAGGCTTTGGCGGGGGTTAGGGCTGAGGCGGCGATTATCAGGTCGCCTTCGTTTTCGCGCGAGGGCGAGTCGAGCACGATGACGAAGTCGTCGTTTGCTGTGGAGGAGGTTGCGGGTTAGTGGATGTATTGTGAGAGGGGGACTTGGGGAGGAGGGCGCACCGAAGGCTTGCAGGACGTCTGGTATTGAGTCGAAGGCTGGGTGTGCGGGTGTGTGGTCTACGAGGCCGTTCGTGTGTCCGTTGATGCCGTTCGTCGCGCTGCCGTTGACGACGGCGGGTATCTCGTGGATTTCAGCGGGCATGGTGGCGCCTCTAGCTCGTCCTCCAGCTGTGCTCGACTCAGTCCAGTATGCTCCTCCTCCCTCTTATGAAGCCTGAGCTCGAGAGTGCGCGGAATGGCGTGCAGGCGCGGGAAGGGTAGAATCCGCTCGGATTGCCAATGCTTAGAAAAAAAGATGTTGCTGGCCGCACTCTTTGTAAGCCGATGCCGGAGGTATCCGCGCGCAGTGTCTAAGCAAAGAACTCAATTGCCTTTGCACAATCGCTGAATCGTCGTGAGAGAAGAAAACCTCAGGTAACGATCGTGGAAGCGGAAGAGGAGGTACAATTGTAGTGCGGAACCGCGAGCCTTCGCCACGATCCGGGCCCTGCATGTGCGCGCAGTGGGATCATCTTGCGTGAGCAAGCGTGGAGGGGTGAGCCTCGGAAGGAAGCGAGTCGGCGCCTCGAGATGCCGGTCCGATGGGCCTGGACTTCCGAGGGCCGACGATGAGCGCGCTTGCCAGTCGTGTTTCGTACACTGATCGAAACACTTTTCGGCGCCGTGTTTGATTGTCCTGGGATGTTTGAGCTCGTGTGGTTGTAGGATTGCCTATCGCATGCGCGTTGCTGCAGCGGAGGGACAGCGCGGGGCGATCTTCGCCGAGTCGCCGGTGGGCATCCATCCCATCTGCAGCCGGCTGCAGGTGAGCATCAACGGGATCCCACGTGTTTGTACATTGATGGAGAGACTAGTGGCTCTTCGCTGCACCGATGCGCCGACTTCGAGATGCTCTCCGGTCTGCTGATGGCTTGTGCTGATTGTGCAGCCTGTCTCGGGGCCGTACAGACTAAGTAGAAAACGGATGTCACATTGCCTACGGCGGGGGAAGATCGCGAGTCCTGGAGATTGCCAGTCATATTTCAAGAGCGAGGGTATATTCTAATAAACCATGTCGACGGAGCGACCGACCGCCGATTACCATGCTGCCCCAAACCGTAGTCGTCATTATCCTCACCCAACCTTTGTATACACAATTGTAACGTAACACCGAACAACCATTTTCACCTGCTCCGCCCAGGGTCCTGCTCAATCCCTTCAAGCGACCTTCTCAGGCCGCTTCTCCATGTCCGGAGCAGCCTCGCTGGTCTCGCTCTTGCGCTCGGCCACCTCGCCAACCACGCCATCCACCTCGTCATCGCTCTTCCAGAAGTCCTTCTTGCCCGCTGCCAACCTCTTCGTCCAAGGCGGAAGGATGCCGCCAGGAATGCGCCACGTCCACGGGTCCTTCTCTTCCTTGTTCGGAGGTACAATGCGGCCACCGGACGCCTTCTCGATAATGAAGACAAGCGTGTTGATGAGCATGTACGAGCAAATGCCTGCAATGAGGCCGTATGCGATGGAGTAGGTGAAGGGCATGACGGCGATGGTAAGGAAGGCCGGAATGGCATCACCGATGTAGCGCCAGTTGATGTCCTTGGCTGATGTCGCCATGAGCGAACCGACAATGACCAGCGTGCAGCCCGTTGCCCAAGGAGGAATGGAGGCGAAGATGGGAGCGAAGAAGACGGCAATGAAGAAGGCGAGACCAGTGGTTATCGCGGTGAGGCCAGTCTTTCCACCTTCAGAGATACCAGCACCGGATTCGATGTAGGCAGTGACGGGTGGCGACCCGAAGAGACTACCAATGGAGATGCCAAATGCGTCGACCATGTAGGCAATGGAGCTGCCTTCGAAATCTTGAGTGCGCTCGTCGATGACGCCAGCGAAGCGGGCCATGGAGTACAAAGTACCGGTGGCTACACATGTCAGACCGATGCAGGCTTTAAAAGAAGGGAGGACTTACTGTCAAGAATATCGACATAAAGGAAAGTGATGAAGGCTAGCCCAAACTGCCCGCCGTACTCCGACACGTCCCACTGCTGTGCCACTAGAACCTTTTCGATGGGGTGGAACGTGACCACCTTCTTGAAGAAGTCGAAAGCGGAGTCGCCGAGCTCAGTGTGCGGAAAGTACGTTACAGGCGTTGGTCGTGGCCAGGAGATGATGGAAACTAAAAGGATGCCCGCAATGATGGCGCCCTTGACGCGGTACATCATCAGCATGACGGTGAAGAAACCGCCACAGAAGATGCCGATCCACATTGTCGGGTTCCTCATCTTGTAGCTGTTGGGGCAGAGGCCATCCTCGTCCATGTACTGCTGTTCGCATCCAGCAAGCTCGAGCGGTGTCGCTTGCGCTCCCGTGATCAGACCGATACCAGCGGAATACGTGAGTCCAATAATGGTAAGATACAAGCCGATACCAACTCCCGTTGCAAGCTTGATGCTGGCGGGAAGTGCTCTAGAAGGGTGGGTTAGCACGCATCCGTTTGCAAGTGGGGACCAACGGTCAACCTCAGACCAGAGACTGTTGTCACGAAGACAGCAATACTAGTTCTGGGACCGCTAAGACCGACGGCTTTGTGCTTACCTCGCTAGCCACTGGCGAATTCCCAAGATGGTCAGGCCAACAAAGACTAACCCTTCCACGAAGACAGCTGTGACTGCCACCTTGTAAGGTACCATGCCTAAAAACGAATCAGTCTGATATCCACATTGAGCGAATTGCACCACCACCACCAAGCCCTCCGGGTACCTGCAGCCCCAGTGGCACACGGGCGACTTTTGCTAGGGGCACCAAAACGGGAATGGCGTGGTACTGTGACCTGACGTACCGGAGCCGTGATAACCAACGACGGTGTAGGCGAAATAAGCATTGAGTCCCATGCCCGGCGCCACACCCAAAGGCATATTGGCGAAAAGCCCCATGCAAAAGGTAGTCAAAGCGGAAATGGCAGCTGTCGCTGTCACAAGGTCCCTTTGGACGCCTTGGACGCACAGCATATATTCGGCGTTGGTGTCGCATAGATCGGACATGCTTTCCGGGGGACAGACGCACGTCCCGCCGGACTGCGATGTGATGGTCGCTGGGTCCTGTCAGCGCAGCTCCTTGGGCTTGTTGAACTCTCGCGTACCGTTGACTGCAATGATGTAGGCCATGGCGAAGAAGGTGGCAAGGCCGGCGCGGATCTCGGTGAAGAAGTAGCTTCCCTTGCGCGCTCTGGGCTGTAGTCTTGTCAGAATCCATTGCATCGCGGGCGCAGACGTCGAAACATACATGGCCGCAGCCATCAAGACGGAAGTACCTCCCAATGGGCGACCTCGCGATCTTGACGTTGGTTTCGTGGATCCACCCCATCTTGATCAAAATTTTCACTCTTCAACCAGCAATGCGATGTGGAAAGCGATGCAAGGCGAATATTGCTTTCGAAAAGCGTCGGAGCAGGGTGAGGATCGATCTGCGTAGTCTCTAGGCCGGCGAGCGCGGGCCCATTTAAAGATGGATGCTGCACGTCAAGCTGTATCTGTGGCATCCCGCACCAAGATGATAAGGGTTTGCTCGGGGCACCTTGGCATTCCTCAGAGTTATGGCCTCGCCGTTTGGGGTCGTCCAATCCCGGCGCTGTTTCAGTGATGACCCATGCGAAGGGCCAGCCCAGTTGGGCTAAGGCGCGCAGAACACCACGCGATGCGTTTGGCGGCTCGGCTGTTATCCCTTGTTCGCGGAAGGATGCGCTTGAGATGGGGACGGCCGACAGCGACAGACTGCGGGGCGTGGTGGGCGAAACGCCGTCAAGCGCGATGAGGGCGCTGCAGCTCGCCATTAGGTCTTCAGGCCGCCATCTGTGTTTACTTCTGTTGGCGTGCGGGACGAGAGCCACGGCTTCCCGTCCCGTGTAGCGCAAGATGAGGAATGGCGGAGGCGGCCGACATGCGGCAGCTCGTCCGCGAGGGATTCGCCTCCTCCAGCGTTATCTCGGATCCTGTCGATGGACCGCGGCTGATGGTCCGGCGCGCGTTCGACACGAGACGGGCGATTGCAAATGCGATTTTGTCAACTGTTGGAGGCTGCGGCGCTGGTACCACGCAGCGTGGATGGCTAAATGCGGAGCGAACAGAACAGTCTGAATGGAGATGCTGATGAAACGCAGAAGACGGTCAACTGACGGCAATGGCGAGCGCAGTACGCAGGGGAAGCAGCAGTCATCTCTGCCTGTACCCGCGGCAGCTGCAAGAGCCCCTCGCGCAGGCCGGCACGAGAGCATATCATCCGGTGCCTGGCCGGTTCATGGTTGGCCCATGTCGTCTGCTTCCGAAGCCGCGGATTCGCTGGCCCACACGTCGTCGCGAGCGTCAACTCAACACCAGAGTGGCATCGTGAGTCGTGGGCGCTGTAGAAACGCACACGAATCCGCATGTTGGACCGACGACAGCGGCCTGCGGAGGGTGATCTGAGGTTAGCAGGCGGTGTACGTTTGAAGCGCAGACATGTCCTTTCCCGCGCGTCTTTGCTTTGGCAGAGTCTGCTGTGTGACCGCATCGGGTCGGCAGGTACGGCACAGCGCCTGAGGTTCCGTCGCGCTTGCCTTCTCCTCCTCACTCCAACGCGCCTTCCCGTCGGTGAAGGCGCTGGCTTTCTTGTTCTTCACCAGGGAAAGTCCTTGTCCGTGGCACTTTTCACCTTTTCACCTTTTCACTCGAGCTCCCGACTATTCACCGTACACAGCGTCTCGTCGCGTCCGCCACCCCAGTAGCTGCCAAGCACTCGCATCACTAAAAGCATAGAATAAATGCTCGCGCGATGGCTCACCGGCCGTCGAACCTCGCCACCCCGACTGCCACCGACCCTACCTCTACCCTCAAATACGACCCTCCAAACATGGACGACCTTACCCAAGAACAACAGGACCTTATCCGGAGCAAGGTAGTCCGCTCAAGCCCGCTGGACGCGTCTTTTCTTGCCAAAGAGAAATTAAACTCCATCCTGATGGTGCTTCCAGAACCCCTTCGCAACAACGCGTGGGAGATGCATCTCCGAGAGAACATGTTTCACTTTGCGGATGAATACCAACTCCACTCATTGGTATTCCGAAACCCGAAAGATGCGAGCCTTTTGTGCAAGATATCCGTCGACTTTGATTGTCCACTGGACGCCATGGATACGATGCTTGCCGACGATCTCGCACAGTGCACAGGGCTCGAAGCACTTGAAATTGGGGCGGATGAGGCGCTACTGGTGTGTGAAGCGTCACGAAGGGACAAAGGATACCAGGAAGTGAGGATGCGCCCTCAGGATATCGGCTTCGCTCTGAACCTGCTTGTGCTGCGCCTACGTGGCATACGGAAACTTCGTCAGCTTCATATCCCCAAGGTCACATTTACCCCAAGAACCCATGGAGGGCACGATAATTCTTACCGACGGCGCACGACAGGCCCCATCCCCGGAGGAGTTCTCGAGACTGTTGTAGCCAGGGACATGATGCGTTCCAACATAGTCACGAGTCACCAGCTGAAGCCTCGAAAGGGCCACGCAGCAGGTAAAGCGAAGGTGAAAACATCCCAGAGCGGACCAGCCGGTAAGCGTGGGCAAACCGATGCCGACGTTCGCAACTTCCTCGACTCATCCACCAAAGCCGACAGTTCACCGCTGCAGCCGTCCCACTTCCGCTTCCTTGACCTGCCGGCCGAGCTACGTAACCGGGTCTACCAGCTTCTGTTAGGATGTCACGGCGCGGTCAGCCCGTCAGACCGTGTTCCCTTGAGCGCCGACCTCAAAGACAGCAAAAGCCCCATCGGCGAAGCGCCCCACTCAGCCCTTGCCCTACTCGAGACAAACAAACAGATCTACGAGGAGGCAGTGGGTATCTACTACGCCACAGCCTCGTTCGTATTCTATTATCCCCTCCAATCGATGATCTTTCTCGAAATCCTCAGTGACAAGCGCAAGTCCTACCTCAGCAGCATCACCCTCTGGTACAAGAATCAACGCCAAGGTAGGTTCGACGTCGTCGACATGGCCATCCTGCAATTGCTCAAACTCCGCAATCTGAAGAAGCTAGAGATTATCCTGGACGAGAGGACAGCGCATCTGTTTGGCACTTCGAGGACCTTCAGGATGCCCGGAGAGCAGTGGCTGAGGGAGTTGAGCAAGAATGGCGTCGCCGTGGCGTTTCGCTGCCAGGAGGCTGATACTATCTTGTGGCACAATGATCCGTCTGAATACGTCCCTGGTGTCTTCATGGACAAGTATAGACAACGCGATGTCAATAAAGCCAGGGAAATGCAGAAGGGGTGCCAGCTGGCGGAGGACAGGATTACGGAAAACTGACCGCGACGGGGATTAGGCGATGTACATGGCGTTTCCGCCTCTGATGGACCACTTCAAGCAATGCGAAGGAGCTTGACTATGTAGTACCATTTCTGGCAAGTATGGGATGGAGCGGGCGGGCATGTCTCCGACACTCTTAGTCTACCATCGGTGAGAGAAGTCACAGGACAAGTGCAGTTGAGCAGACTGACTTCTTTGATAGCGCATACCCTATAGGTGTCTCCAGACTCTATTAAACGCGGATAAATTTCCAGCAATAACGCCTGTGCATGTTCGCGAGACGTCTGTACAACATCGCTCTACCCCGGATTTTTCCTTGCATTAATATCGAATCTGTGGTACACATGTCGGCAACTGGCGGAGAATTCAACAGCCCTGCTTCAGCAAGCATTTGTGGAGATTTTCCGTTGCCAAGAGTCAGTGCGGCGTTATTCTCCTCATCCTACCACTGCTTGGCATACATGGTGGTATAGTGCCAAGAGACGTTTTCAACCTGCCCTTGCGGAGTGCAAGCTAAGAGGGGAAACTAGTGTTGACCCTGAACCATATTTTCCTTCCAATGGTGAAGGCGTTTTGAGCGTGGTTGCAAGCTTCCCCGGATTTTAGACACGTTCTCAGGGCCTGGATATCTTCGTGCCCCCGACGACGGTCGACGATATACCGACGCTATATTGCAGAGATGTTTCAAAGTCGTCGTGTGGCTTCCCGCCCGGACGCCTGTGCGCGCAGATTTAGCTAAACGAAATGCAATGGCGTCTATTCGGAGGATTGCGTGGTACGATGAGTGGAGGAATCGTTCCAGGGAGGTGTACAGCGTCCGCCATCCTTGTTGATTGAAGCAATGTCTGCGGAGGACAATTGTTGACCGGCAAGGTATAAAGGAGTGCTGGAGTCTTGGGTATGATGCTTCACTGCAGTCAGGTTACGCTTCTCGTCTTGCTAGTGTTCACTTCGGATCATCGCCTCTCTCTTCGCCATGCATTCCCAAGCTCTTTTCGTAGCTTCTTTGGTAGGCCTTGCAGCCTCAGCTACCACCAACACAAACCTCCAAACCTCCTTCCCCACGCCTTCCAGCACCACCAACTTGGCCGCCGTCAAGACCATTGCGGCTGGTCAATCATTCGACGGAGGAATGATGCAATGGGACCGCAACCGTATGACCCCTTCCCATGAGATTCGCGAGTGATCCTGCAATGCTAACACTGCCACAGCATCCACCTGCAATGACCAAGCCGAAGGCGGCGACGCCGACGCAGTCTTCCTCCTGCAAGCCGGCGCCACTCTTTCCAACGCCATCATCGGCCCCAACAACGGCGAGGGCGTCCACTGCCTGGGCACCTGCACGCTCAACAACGTCTGGTGGACCGACGTCTGCGAGGACGCCGCTACGTTCAAGCAGAGTTCCGGGACCAGCTACGTGAACGGCGGAGGAGCCCGGAAGGCGAGCGACAAGGTGCTGCAGCACAACGGCGGAGGCACCGTGGCGGTGAAGAACTTCTTCGCTCAAGATGTCGGCAAGGTGTATCGGAGCTGCGGCAACTGCGGGACGCAGTATGCGAGGAAGTCGACTTTCGACAACATCAAGGCTGACGGAGCTGATGTGGTGGCGGGCATCAACGGAAATCTTGGAGGTATGGACCCCTATAGAATTGGCGGACCGCATGATTGCTGACGGGAGTGATAGATACAACCACCATCAAGAACTCGTGTTTGCTTGACAGCGCGGCCTGCTGGCTGTACAAGGGCGTCACTAGTGGCGAGCCTAGCAAGACTGCTTCTGTTCCAGATGGACAGGTCTGCGCGACTAGTGCTGTGAAGACGAGCGGCTGCTGAAGCCGTAGAGGAAGAAGAAATGTTGGAGGTAACGACGCGGCCTTGGACGGGCATGAAAAGCGGGTACAGAGACCTATTTACTTACATTCTCGGTATATATTATTCATCACTCCTTCAAAAGCAAAATGCAATTATCCTTGGCCAGATTCGTTGGGAAGTGTGACGACAGTCGCGGATTCCTTAGGGTGTGGCGCGCGCCACGTATTGTGGCGTTTCCAGCCACACGTTGCACAGACACGATGACGTAGCTCCGGTTCCAAGGTCCTGTCTCAATAGCGTACAATTCCTTGTAGCTTATTATTGAGCCACGGGAGCTCATCCTTCAATTGATTCTCACACGTTTCCCTTCTGCTGTACATACACACTATGAAGCCCAGGATATGTTCGTCGTCGCCTCTCACACGCGTTTCAGCATATCCGCGTCCTCTCCACACTCCAATTGCCTTTCGCTCGGGTCCATTCTCCAGGATACAGCATGGCCCGAGACCTACTAGTATTCAGCTCAGAAGCTTCACAATTACAAGACACATGAGACTTGAAGGGCCAAACTCGAAAGACTACAACAATTCGAACGCCCGACCGGCGGCGGAGCTTAATCACGACATCACACAAGAGGAGAAGGACGAGTTCAAGAGGAGGCTAGAAAAGGATAAGGGGAAGCAGTTTCGCACACCATGGCACAGAGAAGGGAGTGACAAGCCGCCTGTGGCGCGGCAACGAAGTGCCAGCGCCATGACAAAGGGTACGTCTCCCTTAGTCTCCAAGGCTCTCCCAGCAAGGCCAATGGTCAATCACTAATATGATACTCTACAGGAAAACTTCTCACTACCCCGTCGCGCATGCTCAAACTCATCCTTCCATTAACGACGAAAGATACAAATGACGACCGCAAGAATCTCGAGCCCCTCGCTCTCCTCGTCCACCCTCAGCAGCCCCTCTCCTACCTCGAGCGCCTAGTACAAGCCGAGCTTCCCACCATCAAGGACTCCAATGGCCGCGAACGCATACCCAACGTCTACTTCCGAGCCGAGGACTCGGTGCAAGATGACCTCGAACCTTCTAAGCCCGAGAAGACGCCCGTCAGCGAGGAAAGCGAGACTGTTGGAGACAAAGAGGGCGAAGAGGACTTCGAGAAAGTGGACGAGTTCAGGTTCGACGGCAAGACCCAGAAGACGGGGAAGCTGAACGCTATAGCGAACAGGAAGACGCCAGACGAAGCTGCTGAGCTGCGCGGCGGGCCCGGCGAGGGCGGTGTGGAGTCATACTCAGGGCTAGGCCAGGAAGCGCCGCACTCAAAAGACGGCAAGCGGAAGTTTGTGCGCTGGTCCAGCAGCACCGAGATTGGCGACTTCATACGCGATGCGGCGAGGGGCCAAGAGTTCGCTGTTGAGATTGAAGGCGCGCCCAACGACATCCGCGTGGGCGTCCCTAGCTTCAACGAGCGGACCTACTATCTGAGGATGAGGCTCAGGAAGATGTCTAAGGAGATTAGCGACATGGCAGCCGTGAAGAAGGAGTGCGATAAGCTTGCGCACAAGGGAGCCCAGAGAGTCGCCATGGGCGGCTTTGGCATCCTGTGCGGCTGGTGGTACGTGGTTTACCGCCTGACGTTTGAGACCGACCTCGGTTGGGACGTCATGGAGCCTGTGACTGTACGTCTACCCGCTTCTCCCTAATTCAGACCTCCGCTGACAGTTGTACTAGTACCTGGTCGGTCTCAGCACCCTTATCGGCGGCTACGTCTGGTTCCTGTACCACAACCGCGAAGTGTCGTACCGCTCCGCGATGAACTTCACCATTTCTCGCCGCCAACACAAACTCTACCAGCAGCATGACTTCGACCTGCGCAGGTGGGAGTCGCTGATCGAAGAAGGCAACGCGCTGCGCAAGGAGATCAAAGCCGTCGCCAACGAGTACGACGTCGAGTGGGACGAGCTGCAGGAGGAGAAGAACGAGACGGTCGCAGGGGCTCTCAGGCACCAGCGCAAGAAGGTGGCTAAGAAGAAGGACAAGGACGATGATGGCGACGATAAGGATCCTGGTGCAGCGAAGGGTGATTGATCGCTGGGAGTGCACTGGCTTTTATTGACGGCGGCTGTTTTGGTTTTGTTGAGCGTGGCGTTAGTGCATTGTTATAGGTTGCATTTGCATCTTCGAGGGCTGTGGACGGGATGTATGTGTATACCGATAGACCGTCCTATGTAAAATATGCTGCACAATGTAATGTCTTGCCTCGATACTCACCCACAGACCCGTCCACCTCCCGCCTTCGCTTGGTCTCGGGCTAGGGGCCAATGCGTATATATATTTCTTAATTGCAGTAGTTTTCTAACAATCAACCGATCGATAAGAGAATAGATAGCGCCTAAGATTCCACAGACGAACAACTACTCCCTTAGACGACGTCGGTTCGATTCCGGTCCTCGAGATGTGGTCTGAGGCCTTACCCCCAAATAAAACCGCAAGGTTTTCCCAAGCGACTAAATTAGGAGCGCGATATTGGTTTTTTGTCATTTTTCAGTCCCTTTTTTGTCAACTTCAACAGTCATTCCACACTATCGCTGCGATCGCAGAAGAGAAAGCTTACCCCCGGCATGGTGGTCTTTATATCCCTTTGCGGAGGACGGTAGTGAGCGAGCATGTTCTCCGGTTTTCGGTATCTTCGCGTTTGTCGCCGTGTGTTCTTCAGAAACGTGAACTCTATCCCTCTCTACCCCCAAGCTAACTATTCCCCCCGTCGTCATAGACATCTGGAGCTTTCCCCACCCCCACCGGAAATCTCATCCATCTATCCATCCATCCATCCACAAATCAGCGGCACACTGCTCGCCCTACCGCTAGCGCACCATTCTTCCCAGCCGTCTCCTCCCCCCGCCGAGCTGAGCAGGCGGGGTTATCTGCTCATATTGTGCGCTTTCTAACGCTTTCTAACGCTTGCTAACGCCGTTGGGGGGGCGGTGATGTACGTGAATGCGCGGGTTTGGGCGCAGTGGGAGAGGGGTGGGGGGGATTCAAGGAAGCGTTCGTTTCCTGTGCTGTAGAGGTGAGGGTTTGTGAGGGAGAGGGTGCCAGGGGTTGGATTTCTTTTAATTTATTTTTTTGTTTGTGTGTTTTGGGAGGGAGAAGAGATAGGAGATGGCGTTTTGGGAGTTGAAACTCCGAGTGTTGGGTTCAGAGGAAGGGAGGGAGGAATGCAGCTGGACTAATTGCTGGCTGGCTGTGCCTGGCGATCTGCCGACACTACTTTGGCCCGCTGCAGCTAGCTGTACGGTAGGTGTGGATTGAGAGGGCGGGAGGCGGTTCTAGTCAGCGGCTTCTAATTAGCTAGTATACTAGGCTCGGAGAGTCGGCGCGAATGCAGGTACAAGAGCTAGTGAGGGGCGGTTTTGCGAGGCTGGCGAGGGGTTCGGCGAACGGATGGTTCTTAGGCGGTCGGGTCGAGAAAGAGAGGGGGGATGGAAAGCAGAAGGAAGAGGATGGTAAGTATGGAGGAACGGATATGGTGTTGAAGAACTGATAATATGTATGTACAGCGGCTAAACTCCAACTACCAGGCCAAGCGGGAGACTAAGAAGCCAACAGACGCTCCTCTAATCCTCCAAGCTGAATAAATATAACGAACAAAAAATAAGCTCCTCAGACACGAACGACAAGAAAGCGAGAAGGTCCGAACCTCTCTGCGCCTCCTTAATCGCGGATCCGCAGCCCAGAGTCCGTCTTGGGATACGGCATCGTCGCCTGGAAAAGCAGCCCAGTTCCTGCACGTAGTATCATAGTCCGCCCCACCGACCGGCATCGTGCTCTTGCTCTCGAGGAACTGCAGGCCGAGACCATCAGACACGTGCCAGGCGATGTGGCAGTGCAAAAGCCGCGCGCCGGGATTATCTACCGGGAAGGCGATGGCGAGCCAGCCGCCGCCGGGCAGGAGCGCTGTGTCGCGTCGGGGGGTTTGTGTACGTGAGAGTGCTGGGCGAGGAGTTTATGTCGAGGATGCCGTCGCCGGTGCCGAGGACGTAGAAGTCGTGGCCGTGTAGATGGATTGGGTGCGGGATGGGCACGATGCTGCCGGCCGGCTCTTGGATGATCCAGTAGCTCCAGGTGCCCTCGTAGGGGATCTCGATCATGTTGCAGGCGGTCGGGTAGCTGGTGTTGCCGTCTTTGACGTACTGCATCGTCGGCATGTCCCAGGCGACGTCGATGGCGGTGAGGTTCACGCTCCAGACGACCATGTTGCCGCCGTTGGTCGAGGTGCCCGGGAGCGCGATGTTGATGTCGAGGCTGCCCACTTCGTTGAGGGACGCAGTTGCGTTGACGGTGTTGGAGACCCATGGGATGAGGTTAGTCTCGTCATTGCAGTCGGTCGGCAGCGTGTAGCCGGTCGAGGTTGGATCACCGCTGGCGGCACCCTGGTAGGAGAAGACGGATAGACCAGCGCCGTTGTTGCTGCTGCCGCAGGCTGTGACAATGTTGGCGCGGAACCAGTAGTTGCCAGCGGTCTGGTTGGCTATAAAATCACGTCGTAGCGCTGACCGACTGCAAGGAGCACCGAAGTGGCGGTGTAGGGCTTGATCGGAACAAGGTCGCTGGTGATGACAGTGAAGGGATGGTTGTCGAGACTGACGCGGATGTTGTTGTCCGAGGAGGTATTGATGAGCCTAAGACGGTACTTCTTGCCCTTCTCAAGGCCCAAGACCTGGTTGTAGGCGCCATTGCCATTGGCATCCTTGTTGGTACCGTTGATCAGGATCGTATCGGCGGGAGGTGGTGGAGACGCTGCCTGCAGATTGGCGTGCGCCTGATCCTGTACCACCCACCCGGATTCATAGTAGTAGTCGATGATAACGTACGACCCAAGATCGTAGTCATAGTTGGCAGAAGCGAGCCCGTTGATGACGATGGGTCCGAATGCACCGGTGCCATACTGGGAGCTGAAATGCGAGTGATACCAAGTTGTGCCATGCTGGGTCGCATGGAAGGTATAGGTCTTGCTGTCGCCGGGAGCAAGAGGGCACTCTGTGATACCGCCGACACCGTCCTGTGGGCAGGTGTTTAACTGACGGATGCCGTGCCAATGAATGCCAGTGCCGTTGTTCTGCAGAGAGTTCTTCAACGTGACAGAGACTGTGTCGCCCCAGTTAGCAGAGATTACCGGGCCGGGATATTGCCCGTTGAAGAGCTGGCAAGGAATATCAACGTGCCTATCTGGGTTGCATGTGCCGTTAGTAAGCTCGAGAGTGTAGGAGACAGTGCGTCTAGTTGTAGGCTATTTGGCGTCGAAATCGGTAGCCGCGCTGTAGCCGTTGGACTAGCAGGCTCTGCTTAAGGGCCTATTGGTGCAGGCAGAGTCGGCAACCCTTGTAGACGTGGCACTCGCCAGTTAACGTTTCTTGTCTTCGGAGGACCGTGACGGATGTTGGCTGACCCCCTTCTCCCTACAAGATCCGAGAAGGCGGGAGGGTTTCCGCAAGGCAGGTAGGAGCAAGCGCCAACAAGGCAGTTCCGGTGAAGCTGTCCAAGCGCATTTTGAAGAGGGATTCAGATAACTCGCTTGCTAGAGAAAGCCGACGTAACGAATAAGAAGAATGAATGAACGAATGAATGAACGAATGAATGAACGGAGAGAAGGACCGAGGAGAGGGCCCAGGCAGTGAAGCCGTAGAAAGGAAGAGCTGGATGCTAGATGGTTTGGGAGGCAGAGATGAATCCCAGATATACCCCTCCATTGATTAGTTTATGCGGCAATCGGAGATAATAAGTAAACTTATTGCACTACTAAGGATCCACAAGCCCAGGCCAATTAAAGACTCTTAGAACAACAGCTGCCAGTATATGCTGCCAGGTCTGTTATCAGCCTACTCCTGACTCGAACATCGTAGGGAGGCGAATCTATGAAGGCGGCATCTGCAATTAGCCAACCATGGGAGTATCTAGAGATAGCCACATGGTTGAAGTAAATTGAAAAAGTGTGTACCTGGCAAGAACTGCAGGCATGAGCATGGTCGGACCCGTTTCGACGCGAATCAACGAATCAATGATTGCTGGTTTGTGTGTAAGTGATATACAGGAGAGGGAGAGCGGTTCGGGTCCCCAAGCTTTACAACAGGGGCCGCCAATCAAGAATGGCCCGAGCTGAATCAAGAATGACCTGAGTGGTGTGCTGCATGATCGAGGATAGGCTACGGGTTAGAGGACGGTTGAGGGTGGCCAAGACTATTGAGCGGTTAGACCGCGAGACAAGGGGGCGTCGACGACTCGGAGAATAAATAGCCTACCTCCTAGTGCTGGATCTGTGCAGCTATGCCAACGGGCTTCTTGTATTCGTAGTCTAATCGTACTAAACAGGGCATGGGCGCTCTTCTGTCCTGCGCTCGCGGGAGCGAAGTGCAGACGTTTTTAGATCTCCACAAAAGGGGCCCCGATGATGGGATGCAAGCAGACCGCTTCTCCGGCTGAGTAGTTCAGAAGGAAGACCGCATGGAAGGATGAATGCGCGTAATCGGCGCCACGATGCTGGTGGCGCTCGCTGAGTGAATGAGCTAAGCAAGAGGAACGACATCGGAAAAAACAGAGGCTTGCATGTTCGCAAGGCGAAGCGGCTAGGGTATCCCACCCGCAATTCAATAGATCGTGTATCACTTGGGCCGCTTACGCAAGGCCGCAGAGAGTTCGGAATCCTGAGGCGGGGAAGGTTGAAGAAGGTTGAGGATGCGCCCAGGTTGTACCTAAGGGTCAAGACACTAGTCGCATATTATAAGCTTAGCGTCTTCCCAATGGGGACGATGCCTGATGCCGATCATCGACTGCCAACCTCAAAACTCCGAGTCACGACGTCTCCCGACGTTCACACACCGTGAGCTACCCTTTTCAGTGCTACGAACATGTCAAGCACGCTCGCCATTACTGGTGTGTTACAGAGAGTGTACTCGATGACCCGCAATATGCCCTCTAGGAAGGGCGCCACAAGGGAATCCTCGTCTTGCCATCCTCGCCACCATATGGCCTTGCTGAGGCTATTCGCGGATTCGCTTTCAGGGGCGGCCGGGGCTGCGAGCGTGTTGATCGACTTGTGTCGCCTCTGGAGTTACAATGCCTCTTCGGCTACCTATCCTACCACCATGCATGATAGCGTCCATCGCGCCACGGCCGAAGCCTAAGTCGAAACAAGCATGTCGCCTCTAGGAAAAGCTATCTCAATGTAGTCCCTCAGGCCAAACGGCTGTAGGCCCCCATTTACTTGCATGACTGAGGTCTCGATATTTTCTATCACGCGAAGGTTGCTCGCATCTCAGCTAACGCGAAGTAGACGTACAATAACGACGTCTGGAGTTCTGTCCCGCGCTCAACACATCAAGTCCTTACACTTACAGAGGGACTTGTGCACTGAAAGATGCCGAGCTACTTTCGTGTTCTTGCACGAAACTTGTTGCTACCAATGGCTCCCTGCTGAGCTTCTCCGACTGTCGGGTGAAACCTGCAGTAGCGCTCGACTGTCCTTGCCAACGCCATTATCCATGTTGAGTTTCTATTGACGAAAAGTCAAATAAACAAGCAATGGCTTGGACGGGAGGTCCCTTCCGCACTAATTTTCCGCAACCTATGCCGCGGCTTTGCTGTGGCGTCGGAGACGGTGGCGGCTCCCCGGCCATTCGTTGTACGAACGAATGATGGGGATATGCAGCGGTATGTTGGGCACTGCCCGTGTTTGTTTCCACCTAGTCCTTGATGTTTATTTCTAATATTGGTGGAATTCAGAGCCTGACGTCCGTCCGTCGCTGATCGACCCGTCACCACGAGGCGTCTCGCCGACCCTCCAAATCTAGCAGAGTTCGGCTCATAGAGGGTTGAGGCTTTAATCCCAGCATAGGTAAGCGCTTCTCGACTGGACTGGTTCGACGTTCCTTGACCACGTTCGGCAGGGACAATGGGACCACATGGCTCTTTCCGGGGTCGCAAGTACCTGAGCCATGCTTCACGGCGCCTTCTTAAACTGCCTCTTCGTTCCTTCAGCCCGCAGCGAGCACGGCCTGAGTGTTAATTCAGTCTTTCGTTTATCACCTTTCTCTTCTTCTCTTGAATTTTAGTTACCTCCAGAAGAGTTATCCATACCAGCATTGATACTCTGCATCACTGCTCATGGCGCCCACCACCTCGCTCGCCTCGGCTCTAGGCCTTGTCGCCCTCGGTGCACGCACCGCGATGGCGGTTTGCCAGTCCTATGGCATAGACTTTCAGCATGGCGGCAAATATTTCCAGAACTCTCTCTCGAGCGACGACTTCACATTCGTCTCCCAGTTCGAAGGTAGGCCCTCCTCCGCTGTTTTCGACTCCCGGGGTCCCGCTAACACACCCAGGCTGCCGGAATGATACAGCGGAAAACATCCTCGTCGATCCTAAAGGCAACCAGTCGCTGTGCTCTCAAACCCCCTTGACACCGGACAACGAGGACACGTCGTCTACGTGTCCCATCAAGAAGAGTCAGCTGTTTGATGGTCCGTGGTCTATCGTCATCATAAGCAAGAATGGCGATGGTGAGCCCATTGCCTACGAGCGTGATTTCTCCATCACGGTCGGCCCTCAGTCGACATCCACCGTATGTTGTACAACGAAACCCCCCGGAATCGCCGCTGACTTGGAAACCAGTACACCCCGACCGCGACTGCCACTGTCGTGACTACGCCAGTCGTCAGTAAGCCATTCCCTGCTCCTCTATCCTGGAACGATGCTTACTTTTCCCAGCTATGACCAGCACTACCACCAGCACAACCACGTCCGTCCTCAGCGCGAGCACCATTACCGGCCCATCCGTAACCGCGACTCCAACAACGACGGAAACGCCAGCCGAGGTGACGACGACCTCGACGCAGGTGCTCCTCTCCCTCGTGGTTACCGCCTACGATCTTCACATTCTGAAGACCACTGTCACCAAGACTGCAAGCTGCAGTTCACCCACTAGAGCTGCCCGCGATCCGGCTGCCCACATCAAGCCCACAATCGGACCGTTTTTCATGGCGGCCAGTGCCAAGTACAGCCGCGAGATACTGGAGGAGGAGAAGCGCCGCTTCGTCGAGGCACGCGCTCTTCGCTTGGCCGAGCGTGCTCCCGATCCACAGCCGTTCGTCGTCACCGACGCGAACACGGCGCATTGGTCTACGGTTACTACGACTTCGACCGCGGATGCCACGACCGCTACTATCACCAGTAAGCTTCCCTTCAATTCTCTCGCAATAAATGAAACCTTGCAACTAACACACGAAATAGCCGAAGTCACGACCACAGTGACCAGTACCCCTCCGGCCGTCACCGTGCTCACGGGCGAATCCACTGCCCCCTGGGTAACTGTTACCGCGGATACACCTACCAAGACCAAGACGCAGTACATCATCCCCATGACAACGATCACCAAGACCCAGCAATATGCGTACGTCTCTCACGCTCCTACCGCGCTCGCTTTCTCGCTAATTTGCCTTTAGCTTCATCATCACGACCACGACTACGCCCGCGAGCGTCCAGTCTGCCTGCAAGGCGGCCGGTGGTATGCTCTTCTAGCCGGGCATGTACAACAGGGAAAAGTTTGGTCTTGCGTTCTTCTTAGTTTGGGCCAATTTTCGCGAGGCATTGGGTTTTCAGGAGGATTAGGGGCTGTTTGTGGTTTGGGCTGGCTATGGCGTTAAAGACGGACAAATGGACGCTACGGAGCACCGCGGCTATTGGTAGGCCATTGCTGGTGTTGAACCCTTAATGATTGTTCTGTTTCATGGTTGCGTGCTACACGTGGAGCTGCGAAACGTGATTGCGAGAAAATCCGAATAGCAGTTGAGACCGCTTCATCCGGGTAACACACTGCAGTCCGATATAGCAAAAGTCAAGCTTCACACAATCACGGGATAAAATCAACACGAAGGGTCGATTGAGAAATTCTAGCTCCGTCCTTGCCTCCTCACTGACAGCACGATCGCCGCACCGTCCTTCCAGTAGCAATGTAGCAATGCTGAACTTTAGATTCTGATTCCAGCACTCACCAAATGCACCTGCATCGTATTAAGCACGTGTTGGGTCGAAAATTACCGCCTGGCATGGATAGTCCCACCAATCTGCGCCCCAGCTCCTCGCCACGGACTTCCCCGACTACAGCCAGCCCTGCCCGACTGATGAAACAGGTACAACTACCTACAGAGCACAACATTGTAAGGCCAGCGGTAAGACAGTAAGCGGGTTCCTGCATCTCTTGATAGATGCGCAAGGAGGCGCTATGTGTGATGCGGACGTACGTACGAGGGCGGGCTTGATCCTTGGTTTCGGGCCCCGCCTGGCAGTGAGACGACGATGCGGGCGACGAGAAGCTAGCTATTTCTGCAGGGCATATCTTGCGTACTGTACGATGAGGGGCATCTTTCTGTGTCTGATGTGCAGGAAGCTTAATCTAACGTTCGCAAGGCAGCTCAGCAGCAGCGTTGAGAGAAAGCTTATTCCTCTCCTCGCTGTAAATCATACATTGAATGGATCAGTTGGCGTCAAGAACATGTATGCCACGCCGGGAGCAGTCAGGTAGAAGGGAGACTTGCAGAACGTGAGCTATCTTAGTTGGTGTAGTTATTTGTCTCGCTTGCTACCAACCACCTTCGACCATTCCCCTTCCTAGTACCCCAAACCACCATTTCCACATCCACAAGTGACGCACCCCAAACCACTCCCCCAACCCAGCTCCCATCTAAGCCTCTACCCAACCCAATAAGCTCCTAACCCTGGCTCTCAATCTACAGGTCAGCCTCTCAAACACTCTCCAACGCCAACACCGTCATGAGCATGGCGAGGAAGTAAGCTTCAACAAGCTCTGTGCAGCGCCTTAGTGCTTGAATGTGGAAAAGCTCAGAGAGGTTGAAGATGGGACATGAAAGGAGAAGGTTTCCATTCAGCGGCGCGAGTTTAATTAGTTCTCAACGGCGACGTGAGGAAAGATTCGGGTATCCAACCGTCTTGGTCTTTCACACGACAGGCAGCAGAGGAAGAGAAGAGTAGATTTCCGAGTGCGCGTGTAGACGAAGGAAAAACGCCAACACGCTCTTGATTGATTGATTAAACATATTACACCAAGCCAGCAGGCAGCCATTGCTAAAAGGTGGGGAATCTCATATCCATGACACGAAGTAAATGAAAAAGGGAAAGAAATCATAACGTGAAGCCTTCACCATGCCATGTGCCCTTTCTTCCACCCATTTATGCTATCGAGCAAGCAGTCCCGATGTTGTGTTGGAGTCGAGCGAGAGCTGCTCACTCCATCATCACATGCCGACAAACTGTACCCATCACATCAAAAACAAAAACCGAACGCCACAGAAAATGCCCATCAACAGGCACACGGCCTGAACCCCAGCGTGCCATGGAGAGGAAAAGTGAAGTGGGGATCCGGAGCTCCCGAGGAAATGGATGCAGACGGCTGTGTGTACCGTGGACATGGCGATGCCAGGATCCACAGCCGTGGAGACGCGGGAGATGGCGTGAACCCCCCGAAAAGCCACAATGAGCACCTGCATCGTGTTGTGCGACTATGCCCCAGTGTGGTGGTATATCTATGGTCGGAACGTGCGACGGAGTCCTACTGTGGGTTTCTTCCGATGCCCTGCTTGGCCTGCGTGGCATGTTAGCTCCGGTGCACGGTTATCGCGTGTGTCACGGGATGGGGCCTGTCTCTCACCTTCATTAATTCGATCCTCTGCTTCAAGTTCTGTGTCACCTCAGCAGCGCGCTTCCAGCTCTCTGCACCGGCCGCTGCCTGCGTTCCCCCGATACGGCTGCCGACATTCTCCACTGGACTGATCCGTCCGCCTCCTCGCGACGAACCCGATCTCACTGAGCTTGCATCTGCGCGAAGAGGACTCAGCTTGCCGCTCAAATTGCTGCCAGGGCGGGAGAGGGAACCATCAAAGTTCTCCTTACCTTCGCCGCCTGGGCTCGTCGGTCCGTTTGCGAAGCGTTCCCTCCGGCTGTGCAGTCCCTGGGTACCGTATCCCGAGTCTCCGAACCGGCCGCCGACACCGTTGGTGTCTGTGTAGATTTGGTCCGCGAGGTCTGTGGGAGGGGGAGATGTGGCGCGGACTTGGCGGCTGAGTTCCCTCTTAAGGCGGTCCACTTCTCGGCGCTGGTTCTGTACTGTCTGTTCTGCGGCTTCGTAGTCTGAGCGGGCTCGGACAAGCTGCGTCTCCTTTGCCTTGATGGAGAGCACGTCGCGCGTGTGGTCCTCGATGAGCTGAGCGTTTTGATTCTGCAGCTCGTGGACTTGCGAGGTGAGTTTTGTCCTGTCTCCGCGCAGCTCTTCGTTTTGCCGACGTAGCCTCTCGACCTCTGCGCGTAGTTCGTCAAGCTCTGCGCGCTCGACAAGGCTGAGTCCTATTGGTGCTTGTAACGGAGTAGGAGCTGCGGGCTCTGCCTGAGGTTTTCCGAGCGGTCTTCCCGCTAGGCCTCGCCCTGGAGCCAGGCCAAGCTTGGGCTGTGGTGGCGGTGCGGTTTCCTCTGGAGGAGGCGATACAATGGGCCGTCGAGGTGAAGCAGTACCGGCAGGAGGACCCGGAATTCCACCACCAGGCTTTTTCAGCCCGCCTAATCGCGAGGGAGCCGCGAGGCCAGATTTGGGCCCAGCCAGCTTCGACGCGCCCGGACGAGATGTGGGTTTCGGCGCCAAAGGTGCAGCTGGCTCCTCAACAGGAGGCGGCGGAGGAGCTGCTACAGTAGGTGCCGGCTTCTTCATACCTCCAGGAGCGGGTCGCTTTCCTGCCATGGGCCTCTTCCCAGCTGGAGGAGCTGCAGCCTTGGGAGGCGCCACAGGTTTTGGCTTGTACTTTGCCCTAGTCTCTGCATTGTCATAGTATTCCTTGATCTTGGCTTTTCGGATGTCGTCAAGACCATCGAGGTGGGCATTCATAATGCGGTCTCCCATGATCTTCCATAGGGTACCCAAGACCTCTGCACCAGCAGATCGCTGCACTTCTTGTGACTCTGTCAGCAATTTGGTCGCAACCTCGGCTATCGTCTTGGCCTCTGCGGGAGATGGGGCTTCCCTGGACGTCTTTAGGCATCGAATGAGGAAGCGTGTCGACTCTAGCTTGACTTGCGGATTCTTGTGCTTTAGAAACTCTAGGATTTCCTCCATGCAGTCCTGGAGGTGGGTAGAAGCGAACACGGCGTCCAGAGCAGCTCCAATGGCATCGGTAACAGATTGTTTCTTCTCTTTCAGGCGCTCCATCATCGGATTCATAATAGTCGATCGGTATTTGGCAAAGCTCCTCTTTAGGCCCTTGGCGAGAAGCTCGACGCAATTTGCGGCAAGAGTTACAACGGCAATATTGGCGTCCTTCATGCACTTGGCAAATCCGCGGATCAAGTCGTCGAACGACCCTTCGGCGATCCTGGGGACATTGAGCAGCTTTTGGACCTCGTCCAGGGCTTCTTTTCGATCTTTCCATTTTGACGAAGCGAGTCGCTCGCCGAAATCTTTTGGAATCTTGGAAAGGACGTCAACAGGCTCGAACTCGGGTTCAAGGTCGATTACCACATCTTCCTCCTCTTCGGCATAGTCTTCTACCACGGTGGGAGCAGCTGCAGCAGCTTCCTTGGCGGCTTGCTGGGAGCGAAGCAACCTCTCTTGCTTTGGTGGGGGCTCGTCCCTGACCTTTTCGAAGAGCTTGTCGAGATCTTGCTGCTGGACAGGCTTGAGGTCGCCCCAGAACAGGGGTTTCATCGCGTCTTTTAGCCATCGGTAAAACTCGACGGTCAATTCCTGTGCCTTTGCTCGGACGTTTTTATCTGCGTGGCCGTAGACCTTGGGAAGCGCCTTGAGAACAGGCTTCGGCTCGACAGTCTTGCAGCCGTATGCATGATATATCTGCGTCAGGGCGTCTAGCGTTGCCGCAATGACCTTGGGCTGCTTGTGGGAGAGAATAGGCAGTAGCTCTTCGATTACCGGGTCCGGCTTATCGGTTTCAACGTACAGCATCAATGCCTCGAGGGCATTCTGCTTCGCGGCCGGTCGCGTCGACGGAAGGCCCTTTTCGGCGATTGTAGCGATTGTGTAATTCCGCGTCCTGAGGCATTGTTTATCAGCAATCCATCGGCCAAACAACCACCCCACGACGGAATGCATACCGTGTGCAGCCCTGTGTGCCTGCGATCTGGAGAAAGGAGCATAGTGCCTTTAAGCCCTCCTGCTGTGCCGCGACGTTCGAGTCGCCTACTACGCCTTTCCATATGCCCGAGTCTTGTATGAACTGGCGCACGACCGGATTCGATTCGCTGGTGGCGAGGTCGAACTCTTTTGCGGCGGCTTCGTAGCCCTCTTTTCTGACTTTCCAGTTCTTGTGGACGAAGCGATCGGGGAGCGGGAGCGAGCTGAAGTCCTCTTCGGCTTCAGCCATGGTTGTGGGTTGGTGTGGTGCGGTGGGCTATCAGAAGAGAAGGCTATCGCGCAAGTCAGTTAAGGGACTCTGCCAGAGCAGCGCTCCCGTGCTACAGTGAAGCGCTCAGAGCGGAGAGGCAAGGTGGGCGCGTTGCGGATGTGTTGGCGCAGCGGAAAGAGCAGCGAGGCGACGTACCGGGTTGAGGCAGCGTACCGGGTTGAGGCAGCGAGTAGAGGCGTAAATAATGTGTTCTGCGCGTGGTATAACGCTTCAAGCGCGTCTAATATACAGTGCCCGTGATGGAGCGGGCTGCGGGTGCGTGGTGTGTCGTGGTGGGTGACGCAAAAGTTCGTTGTCTTTGGTGTGTTGGGCTGAGTCGCCTAAGCAACGCGCCGACATCATCGCTCTTCTGTGACACAGCGACCCATGACGGGACCCTCGATATTCTTTCTGCGCGCCCGCAACCCAACCCCACACGCCAGTCGCTTCTCTGTGATTGCCCTCGCTGTCCCTTTGCTCGCGCCGCACCTCCCTTTGACGCGGCCAGCCCGCCGCTACACCCCCGTACCGGCCTGCCGCTCACCGCAAATCCCCTCGCCAAGATTTCGACTACGACGCCCAAACACTGCGCATAAACCTCCCCTACGCCGGACCCCGCCCGTTCGAGTCTATGGTCGCCGCCACAGGCGATCTCGCATGAGGACACATTTGCGCCATGAGTGCCATATTAACGGATCGACAAGCGGAAGAGCTGTGAGTGCGCCGTAGCACGGAACCGCGCCGACCGTACTGACAGGAGGCCGACAGTCACAAAGCTATCCTTGCCTACCTAAGTGTTATAAATGCGCCAAAAACTGCTGCCGCATTCCGAGAGGAGGTGAATATCTCACCCAGTTTCGATGATGCCACCCGAAAGAAGTATGAGGGGCTGCTCGAGAAGAAATGGACGAGCGTAGTGAGACTGCAGAAGAAGGTGATTTTGGCGCTTCCGTGTACCGAGAGCATGTTGCTGATCGTTCGCAGGTTCTTGAGCTTGAACAGCGCAATATCAGCCTCCAGAGCGAGCTGGATTCCACCACACCCACCTCTCTCCTCCGCAGAAACCAGGATCCCACGAGCTGGCTACCTCGGTCACCCGCACGCCACACGCTCCAGTCTCACCGCCAGCCGGTAACATGCGTCGCATTCCACCCTATATTTTCTTCGCTCGCTTCAGGCTCCGAGGATACAAGTATCAAAATTTGGGATTGGGAACTAGGGGAGTTGGAACGGACCGTCAAGGGCCACACCAAGGGCGTGCTCGACGTGGATTTTGGCGGACCAAGAGGGGGAACGCTTTTGGCGTCGTGCTCAAGCGACTTGACCATTAAGCTGTGGGATCCGTCGGACGAATACAAGAATATTCGGACGCTCCCGGGCCACGACCACTCCGTCTCCTCCATTCGCTTCATTCCCAGCGGCGCCGCGGGCTCGCCTGCGTCTGGTAACCTTTTAGTCTCCGCGTCTCGGGACAAGACACTGAGGATATGGGACGTCACAACGGGATACTGCGTCAAAACAATACGAGGACACGCCGACTGGGTGCGCGACGTTGCACCAAGTTTTGATGGGAGGTGGCTTGTCTCCGCTGGAAACGACCAGACTGCCCGACTGTGGGATGCCAGCTCTGGAGAAGCAAAATGCACATTTCTAGGACACGAGAACACCATCGAATGCGTTGCCATTGCACCGCCGGTATCCTACGCCAATCTTGCCTCGCTCGCTGGTCTTAAGAAGCCACCGCCCTTGAGTAGCTCCGCCGAATTCATAGCTACCGGCTCACGAGATAAAACAATAAAGATTTGGGATGGTCGAGGAACCTTGATCAAAACACTTGTTGACCATGACAACTGGGTCCGCGGCTTGGTTTTCCACCCTGGAGGCAAATATCTACTCTCCGCAAGCGATGACAAGACAATTCGCTGTTGGGATCTGACACAAGAGGGGCGCTGCGTAAAGGTGGTATCCGACGCGCATTCGCACTTTGTGAGCTGCATACGATGGGCGCCAAACGTCGTCAAAGACGTACGAGTCAATGGAGACGCGGCGAATGGGACAACGGTTAATGGCCTGACCAAGAAGAAAGAAGAGGAGGCAGCCAAGGCGGGAATAAGATGCGTTATTGCAACTGGGAGCGTGGACCTCGATGTCCGCATCTTCGCTTCATAAAGTGGCAGCCAACGCCCGAAGAACGCGCACAGCTGACTATCCGGATCCCGCTGGGAAGCAAACTCTGCAACACAGTACTTTTAGAACGACGTTGGAGCAAGATTTTGGACGAACCTGACTGGCTGCACGACTTTATACTTCCTGCTACGGTCCTTGGGTACGGCGATAGAATCCCCGGCCTCTAATTTCATCTCGGCGGGCCATTTGCAATCTCTTCTTTGACTTTTGTTTTGACGAGATCATGTAAGCATACCCCTGTTGCGATTTCATGATGGCCTCTTACGAAGAGTAGTAGCGGCGTTCTGGGGAGGGAGAGATCGATGATATAGGCGCGCGGCGGATCAGTTTGGCTCATGCATAGAATAAGGCGATAGCCTTCAACCACTTAATACCATTACTTATACACCAACGTCCCAAGTCCCGCTCGAACATGATCCTGCGCGATAGTGCACGTGATTTTGAATGCCAAGATACTTGCTGAGTAACCTGTTTTCGAGCTAGCGGCGCACGGAAAATTTAGCTCCAAGCTCCGATCGACTGCAACTTTTTCTCAACCCAACCTAAGCTCCTCTTTCAATCCTCGAAAGCTGTAGGCCGATACAGCAAACTTCTACCAATATGCCGCCTTGAAGTGTTTGCATTCTTGCCTTGCCCGCCATGCCTTCGACGGCAATCAGCCCCAGCGGTCCAGCTTTGCTCTCGCGGGGCTCATAGCTGTAGGTAAGTCATACTTTCTCTCTGTCCTCACAACCTACGAGATGATACATAAAGCCATTTTACAAACTAGAGTCTTTGACCCTGCTTGGGAATGAAAATCAAGCTTGCACGTCAGTCTGAAAGAAGCTCCGCCAACCGAATTTGAAGCCCGCTATGAGGAGACGAATTTCGCTGACTTTGATCAGACATTGAGCACTCAGCATGCCTGCTCACCTGGTACTCTAGTCGATGGCTTTGCTCGCGGGGATGGGCCGCGGTAAAAGATGTGAGTGCCCTCTCTTCTTTTACGACCCGATTTCATGATGAACATTCGTGCTTCGGCACGCTGGAAATTACCGACTGAGACTTTGTCAATGTCGATATCTAAATGGCTATTACTGATTTTATTCTGTCCCTCTGGCACCTTGTACGAGTCTCCTGGAGATGGCATGCTGACATTCAAGGTTGCAGTGCCTATGTCCTCGCCGCTACCGGCTGGGTACGCACCCCTTCTTTCTCGAACCCCCCTTCGGACGTTGTTGTGATGAATGGCACTGGGCTCCGACGATTCTTGATGGATATGCCCCATTGCGGCAGGCCTAGAAAACCTCGCCCACTGATACGATGGATGCACTTGGAAACAGACAGGCTGCAGGGAGGACGTCGCTGACGATTGACAAAGGCTTGACCTGACAATGGTGCTTTGGACGGTCATTCCTTGGTAAGAGCTGCCACAATTTTTCACCCCTGCCGAGGAAATGAGGATACTCTAGATGACGAGTCTGACGGGATTCCCGGTGACGACACCATCTTAAATTCCATTCATGCTAACTGATCCTCATCTCATACCATTCACCTTTGGTTCGACGCAAAGCACCTTTTGCTGACCTTGCAAGCAGTTCCATGTCTCGACGCCGTTCACCACAAGGTACGCTCACTCTGGTTCCACTCGCCCACCTACCATGATGATTCGACAATCACAATCAGACAAGCATATGTCCAAGCTTCGGCGACGACGACAACCGTCATGACTGATCCATACCCCTGCCCTCACGGTCATTACTGCTTCAAGAGGCGCTAACTAATCCGAATGGTAGTGTTGTCGCAGTGACTTACCAACAGGTCATAGATTTTATAGTGTAAGTGCAACCCTCCTTTTTGTAATCCCGGTTTCAAGATGAACATTCAATTTTATCACGACGGTCTACTGAGCTACGGCTATGGTGATAATTGCCTGTGACAGGGCAAGAGTCTGAATCAGCATTGTTCCTTGCAATTTCTACTCGTTCCACTGATGCTGTGCGTTAACGAGATGAATAGGACTACCTTTGCGTATATATTGAACGGTATTTCCAACCCAGGCAGGATGTTCAATCGCCTTAGCTGGAATCACATCGTTTTGCACGCACTCGCCGAACTTCAGGCTTGGAAATACACAAGACAATTTGTCCAACGCAGAAACACGGTTATATTGAAGGCTCAGGATATTCAGTACTCCGGTTGCTGATGACATGCTCTCAAAGGCTCATCCAATTCCAATCCAACCATCATGTCGTCGCCTCGAACGCGGCGCCGCTCTTTCTCTGCATCCATAGACAAGTATCGAATCAATGACCACCAACTTGGGCTCAGTACAACCCGATCGTGATGTCACCTCGTACCCTGGCGGTCAAATGAATTTCCGCTTCGAGATCCAGCTTGATACCCAGCAGAAGTGCGGCATCCTTTAGCTTGCCATTGTCGTCGACGGGGCCCTTGACGATGGAGCCGGCGGGGCGGTTGAGGTGTGACGAGGAAGGAGGGTAGCCGACGTTGGTGGAGATCTTGCGGCCGCCGGAGGCTTGGCCGTCATCGGAGTCGGACATGTAGCCGGTGGGGCGGGGAGCGGTATCGCTTCGGACAGGTCAGCGTGGAGGTCAGCGTGTGCTAAAGAAACTCGAAGGCGGCCGACTTACACTGCAGACATTTTGAAGTGATGGGATGGTTTGTCGAATTAAATGATTGTCGAAATCGTGGAGAATGAGAGGAGGTGAGTTTGTCAGAGGATGGGCGTCCTGGCCGCTTGTGTTTTTGCTGTTGGTTGTGTTGTTGAGAATCAGATCAACTGCTCTGGCTCTTAAAAACAAGCTGGATGTGTGCCTTAAGTATTGAAAAATGTTCAGGTACCGACGTCCAGCACAAGCAGCATAAGTGCCGATCAGGTCTGGAATGCAGACCGCGTATTCGCCAAGAGCGCTGTGAATGGTGCTATCGCCAACCCTCGAAACCGGACTTGTGGCACTTGCGGGTTTCGAACAGACATATCGTTCGAGACTCGTACTGAACTTTTGCGCGAGTCGGGGATCGCTGCTTGGATTGTTAGCGCTGCTCACGTGCCGTTATGCGTGGGTCTGAGGTCGGTGGGGATTTCCCACGTTGAGGCTGAAACACTGCCGGCTAGGGGCTACCCAACTCGGGGTCTGATGTTTTGGAATTGCCATTTTCTACTTGCGACTCGAAAGATGATCAGGCCATTTTCCTGAGGAATCTAGGGCTGGATTTCGAGAAGGCCTGCGAAGAAGTGGCGGCTCGTGCCGCTTCGGGGCCTCTGCGCTTGCACTTGCAGAATGCATGTTGATTGCCTGCATGGGACATCACAAAAGTGCATCTTAGCGACAGGAGAAGATTGGCAAAAGGTGGATTCTTGCTCGAGGGTCGGACGATCGGGTAGAGTCCAGACAGGGGGAGGAGAGGATATCTGACTTTGGTCTCATCTTGTGTGGGACTGGAATCTCTCTTACACCTTTGTACGTTTGAGCATCATCGTTCGAGCTTTTGCGATCCGTATACGCGCTGACAGGGCAGCAGGGAGTACCGCGTATGGAAGAGACCTGCCAAAGGCCTTCACGCCCTTTGCCTTGAGGGTGCACGCGCAGAGTGCATCCTACGAATACCTACCAACAGTACGGCAAGCATTACCCATCGCATTGGCCTCGTGCTGCCTCCACGTCCACGCGAAATGAAGCACACGGGTCTCTATTCTGTTCATTCTTTGTTCGCTTGATTCTGCCTGTATAATGGTACTTTCCGTTCTTGTTGCCATCATTGCCGCCCCTGCTCTACTCGGTACCCAGGAAGCCATCCGGCAAGGCCAAGCCAAGGATAAGAAAGAAGAGCATCGTGCTCGTCGATGCAATCTCATTGCAACATGCGTCAAATCTTCTATGAGAAGTCTAGAGATCAATGGCCGGCCCATCGTCCTCAGAGATGGCAAGGTCTGGGTGCCCACGTGTGTTTCTTGGTCACTGTTTGATGGCTGACTTATTTTTAGTTATGGATCGATACTGGCACAAGCGATGATAACCCGTTTGGCCATTCTTATGCTGGCTACTACCTGCCCTATCCAGACACGAATTACGAGGGCCTCGTGACTACCATTACCGATGCCGCACCTATCATGAACTGGGTCTACGTCGACAAGGACACTTATGAAGTAAAGTATGGTGTCCGGCTTGATGCTCAGCCCAACTTCACCGGCCCCTTCGACTGCACACGGCAGGACCGACGCCTCACTTTTGAGGGCTGGGAAGGCTGGTGTGCCGTCGAAGAGTTTCCTACGCGATGGGCGCTCTACTTTGACAAGGACGACGATGGGCTCCAGTCCAAAGTTGCCCCAGGCACCCGTGTGCTTGAGATAGAGCTCGCCCGGAAGGAGAAGAGATGGAAAAAGGAGACAGAGGCCAGGCAGCAAGACCAAACAACCAATCGAGCCGTCGATGCGAACGAAGATGCACCTGTCGATAACCCGGTGACTGTTCAGCCGGAGTTGAATCCGCCAGGTGTATCGGATGAGCCGGACGTACGATTTGAACCGTTCCCCATGCCGAAATCCATCTTCACGGATGCACCAAAACCGCCAAGGTCCATCTTTACAGACGCACCACCACCAAAGACACCACCGCCAGCATACTCCACGACCGCACCACCAGCCCCTCCGCAGCCACTGTACACATCACCAGGAGCTCCAGTACCATCCACAACCCCACCGGCACCCACCCAACCAACACCCCCAAGCGAGAGACGCGCCACGCCCAAGCTGAACAGAAACAGCGGCACCCGCGCACTAGCCAAAGCGCAAATGTTTGAAGCCATGGCTCTCGGCCAAAAGCCAAACAACGAAATCCCAGTCCGAAACGGAAGACCACCCTCCCGACCCTCCAGCAACGCAACCTCGGTATCAGATTACTCAAATCCGCCACGGACCGGCATCACCGATATCTTCCAGATGTATATGGATCGGCCAGAGTCCACTGTGATGCCTTTGGGTACTGCTGAGAAGACTGAGGAGCCGGATGTTCCGCCGCTGCCGGTGGTGGATCCTGCGGTTTTTGGGGCGAGCTTACCGAAGAGCGATGGGAAGCGTGATGGTGTGAAGGCGAATGGACAAAATTCGTTGAGGCGGAAGGGCTCATTTAGAGCTGCGCCGGATAGTGAGGCCCCGAAGGCGCCGCTGCCTCCCTTACCTGCTTCGTCTCGTAATGGCAGTCGGCGGGTAGGATCACCAGAGAGAGGACCTGCCAGATCATCGCCTACGGACAGACGAGCACCCCTATCAAACGGACGGGCTAGAAATGTCTCCCCTGAACAGCGCCGCCCGGGGCCATCCAGAGACGCGCCGACAAGTGCACCAAGGAGCAACGCCAGAGCACCACCGCCCAATCGCTCCTCCCCCTCCCTTCGCCAGCGCAACGGATCCACCTCTTCGCAATCCCAGAACGAAGAGGGCGCCCGATCGTCCCCCCGACCGCTAGCCCGAACCAACACAGCGCCAGTCCGAAAATCCATGGCCGCGACCATGACCACGGGCACTCGGAATCGCGGCATGGCAACTCGCGTCAGCGGCAACGACGACGGAGCGCCCGAGGTGCCTCGGCTTGAGCGCAGCAGGACCAATTCAAATCTCATCCGCGAGATTGACGACCTCGTTAATTCGAGTAGGAGTAGGAATGGGACGGCGACGAGTGGTGCTGCTTCGAGGAGAGGGGAGGCGGGGAGGGAGGTGGATAGACCGCCGCCGTTGAGGAGGGCGGTCACGGCTAAGGCGCCGTTGAGGGATGGGGGCGGGGATAGGGCGAGAGGGGTGGATGGGGATAGAGGTGGGGGGAGGACGAGGGAGGAGGAGAGGGCGTTTAGGAGGAGGGCGGATAGGGATTCTTTGGAGAAGAGGTATTGAGGTTGGAAACTTTGCGCAGTTGGCATCGTGCTTCGGTTAGCCTTTTCGATAGAGATGCGTGCTGGGCGTTGTACAATACTGTAGCGATACCCAATTTTCATGATCTTGACGCTGCTGGCGTTGGTATGGAAGGGTCACGAAGAAGCGTACCTTCTCCACGCTTTCCACCCAGCATGGGGCGCATCCAAACTTCCTCTCGCCTCTATTTTTTACAATTAATCTACCTGTTCCTCGTGGGATTTCCGCTGCTCCTAAACGTCAGTGTTGGTGGTGTTGACGTGCTCCTCGAATCTAATGCGGAATAGCGTATTTTCCCTATCCAGCAAAGCGCACCCTCTCATCACTCAGCATAAGCATCGTCCAAGCCTCCGCTCCCCACTCGCACCATCCCGGGTCCCACCCGAAACCCACAGCCTTATCTTGCGTACCTGTCTCAGTATGTGTAACTCGGCTCCTGCACCCATTCATCCAGCGGCGCACAAGCCACCCGCAGAAATCTGAAACTCGAACCACCGTCTGCTGACGAAGAGTGGCCCCTCGACGGCTGTGACGGATCTACGGCTTCAGCGATGTATCGAGTTACACAGGATGCCGTTGCGTCTTGGAGAACTCACGCGACTGGTGGTACCTGCTGCGATGTGTTGCGTGCCAGTGCGTGTGGATCTGGGGAAGGGGGATGAACGCATAACGATGATTAAGCGGAGGTGGGCGCTTCTTTTGAGCGCTGTTCCTGGTGAATGCTCCTGGAAGATGGTTGCTGGCGTCTATTGATGTGTGAGGGCGCTTGTTGACGTCGTTGGGAGTTTTGGTCTTCGATTCTTTTCTGCCATTCGTCACTTTCTTTCAGCTCTGTTTTCTGCGTTGGAGAAGCTGGACTTCGCTTCCTTTTCGATAAGCCATTTGGCCTGCGCTTGAGACTTGATTTGTATGTTGAAAAACTGCCTAGAGGGTAGCTTATAAGGTGGGCGGCTTGGTCAGAACTTCTGGCGGAGAACCATAACTGACGACTTCAGTAATACACCATGAACTCATCGACCCGCCTCTACGAGCGCCTCGGTCAAATACCGCAGGACCCCGGAGACCCTGAAAGCTTGGAAGATCTTGTCGTATGCGCATTCGGAGCCTTTGAGAGATATTACGTCTGCTGGAAGAATCGGGGTGGCGAGTACAGGCAAGGTGAGTATGGCGCTGTCTCTGCTTCTGTTCCGTTGCTAATGGGATGGTTAGACGGATATGACCTTCCACCCGCCCTCCAAGAATGGCTCTTTCCCGCCGATGGCTCGAGCCGCGACTTTGCGACACTCCAGGTGGTATTCGGACGCGGCGACGAGTACTTTGCGTCGGATAAGAATGGCAAGCTAGAGTATAAGGAGCCGGAGAAGAAGCTACCGCCACCACCGCCCCCTGAAGAGATAGAAGAGAAGCCGGTGTTGAGGAGGTCGAGAACGGTGTCGTTCCTGAGGCCGTTGTCGGATACGAGTACCAAGCAGACCAGCCCGGCCATGGAGACTCCCTCTAGCAGACGGTCATCAGGCGCTTCGCAACAAGCCTCGCGTCCGCCGAGCTTGGCTTTCTCCGCCAGGTCAATGTCGGATGCTTCATTTACATCACAGCCTGCATCTCGACCTCCAAGCCTGTCGTTCTCTCGCACGTCTTCGGAGTCTTCGTTTATCTCGCAGTCCGGGTCGCGACCGTCAAGCACAACAAGCACTCTTTCATCCAGGCCTCCATCAGACCCAGAGGTCAAGCCCATAGACACGTCCTTTGAACCTGTTTACAGCGACTCACCGAACGCCTCGCCAGTAGCTGCGCCAATGCGGCTGACGAGGAGATCGCGACCACTAAGCATGTCCTTCAACTCGGTGACCTTCCCCCGCATACCGGAAGGCAGACAATTACTGCCCCCAGAGCCCACGCCACCGATCCAAGACACTTACAAATGCACATGCGGCTGCCACGACTCGCCCAAACGAAGGCCTACCTATGCCGACGCTGGCGTCCAGACTTCGCCCCTCACCCCGCCGCCGCGGACCGCTCTCCGCATCGACACCACTACCACGACTACCTCCCACTTCCCGGCCTACCACAGCAACGAATCCTCCGCGCTAGATGTACAGACTCCGCAAGACGAGGTCTACGAGCCTAACCCTGTCTATATGGGCCGCATGTTTGATTACTTTAGCAAGCCTGGGTATCAGCTGGGTGATGGTTTGTCGAGCGGTTACTATTACTATCAGCAGCCTATGTATGAGTACCAGGAAGAGTTTGAAGACATGGCGTCGTGACCGGCAGCGGATGGGGAAGATTGAATGCAGGCTCAAGGAGCGAACGGGGCAGCACGTCCGGCAACATCTACTCCATGTCGAGGACCAAATCTGAAAGAGCTCCAATTCCATCCGACGGGGTCCAACATGACCCTCGCCCTTGTGTTCCGGGCTGGATGTTCTCCATCAGGGATTTGGGGGTCTTCGTATAGAGCGCGCTGCCATACGCGATTTGACAAGGAGGAATGTGCACACATGCCTCTACTCGAATAGGGGCTTTGACAGGTACGTGCGTGTTTCATCGCCCCAAGCCATACACTAACAGCGACAAAGATCGGATATCCTTCTGCATTAGTCCTTGTATCATTATACGCATTAGTCCTTTTGGCGTTCCTACTTGCAAGAGTATATATTATCAATACCCTTTATTCCTTGCTCGCATTTCGACTTCTCTACACTATGGTTATGCTTCGTGTGACTAATTCCAACAGCACACGTCCATGATGGCGGTGGTAATTGGACTCTCGTTCTGGGGCCAGGGCCTTCCCTCCAAATCCCCAAAGACGAGAGCCATTCCCCCTATCGCAGCAACGCCCGTCCCGCATACAACGCTTGCGCTACGCACACTCTTGCCGTTTTCTAGATCCTCTGACCGGCACAAGCCACGCTCAGCTCATTGACGTTAGCAGGAGCTCCCCGCGTTCTCCCCAAGCTCGACGGGGGCTTCGGGTGTCCCGTGCTGCCTCCTCAGGCCAAAGAACATGAACCTTCGCGCAGTGTCCTGAGCGACGTTGTAACGGCTTGTGCGCTGAGGGGGAGTTGGTGCGCTTGATACGACGGCAATGTTTGCTTTGATGTCGATGTGGAGGAGGGCTTGCGGTCCGCGAAAGGCTCGGGGTGGCTTTGGTTGGGGCTTGTAAGCAGGGGGGTTAGGGCTTGAGGGTTGGGATTAGGGAGCTGGGAGGGGGTTTGAATGAGTTGTGGGAAGTACGCAGGGGGTGTGTGGAAGCTGTGCATATGAAAGGGGGAAGAGTACTGGGTTGCGTTGAGATAAGAGCAACTTGATCTTATTAGTCCTCCGGCCTAGCGTAACGAGATTGGTTGTTCAGCGTTAACAGCGCGAATGCTAGCTGCCCAATAAACGCCTTAGGCTTTTTTGTGAGGACGCACGTATGACGGGGAGGGCTTGGAACCATGGATTCTATGTTGAGTAGACTGAGGATTAGAGAAAAACAAAGTTTTTCTTTCCAGAGCGTATGATTCCGCCCGTGGGGAGCGAGGGGAAACTGATACTTCACGCTTCAAGATCATTTTTATTTCCTCCCGGAGGTGTATGGCGCTGAAGATGCGTAGTGTAATGCATCTTGCATCTTGCATCTCTCCATCCCTCCATCAGCCCCTTCCACCCTTCTTTTTCCTAAACTCCTTAAACTCCTCGAGCATACAGTGCCATCCTTCCTGTACAGAAATGCAAATCCTAACCACCAGCTACGCAGCAGAGCTGTTGAGATTGAACACGGCGGAGTAATACGATGAATGCCTCGCTCGCTGTCTTTTGAGACAGGGGGGTTTTAAAGTGGTACGGTTCTTGGTTTGGGGGATAGTGGTGTGAGTTGGTGTGAGTTGAGTTGAGTTGGTGAGGGGGGATTTGGAGCTGGTTTTGAGGTTTTTGTTGGGGTGGTGGTGGGATGGAGTTGCGGAAGAGGGGAGGGAAGAGGGAGGGTGATGGATCGGAGATAGAGCGAAATCAGAATTTTAACGCAGACCGCTCGCGAGACATAGAGCCCCCGATATTCTGTCGCCGTTTTCAAAGAACCCCAAATACCCAAAATAAAGCCAGGTTCAAAAAGGCCGCTGCACCTCGAACCTCCAAAGCCGAAAACCAGCCTCCAGTAATCCACCTCCCCGTACAGCGCACAATCCAATCCAATCCCTCCCCATCCCTCCTTCTACTCCCGACACCCCCTCAACGTCCCCTGAATCTTCTCCGCCAGAAACAGCCTTTCCGCCGGCAGCATCCCCAGCAGCACCGCGCGCATCGCCCTGCCCTCGGGCGAATCATCCTCCTTCGTCGAGCACACCTGATCGACATCGTGCTGCGTCAGCGCAAAGATGCCGTCCAGCTGCCGCACGAGCCTGTCGACGGCGGCCGCGAACAGGGGGCCGAAGTCGCGCTGGATGCCGTGCGCGATCTCCATGAAGGTGCCGTTATGCGTGCAGAGTGTTTGCTTGAAGGCGGCGCAGCGCGCGCTGTGGAGCGTCGAGCCGGAGCCTGTGGGCGGGGGCTGGGTTAGTTGTGTGTGGAAGAGGGGGGGAGAGGAGGGATGGGGATGCGCACTCACCGCGCCCTTTCTGCGCGGCGAGCGCGTGCTGGTATACTTTTTGCATGGCGGCGGTGAAGTAGTGGGCGTCGCCTTCTGTGCAGGTGCGCATCTGGATGAGTCTGGGATTCGTTAGTGGGTTTGGAAAGGGGGAAGGGTGCAGACTCGCCTCATGGTCTTCTTGAGCTCGGTCTTGAATTTCTCGCAGATGGTCGATTTGGGCGCGGCGCTCTTTGAGGTTCTTCTTGAATGCTAGGATGGCGCCGGAGAGCGACGCGGCGGGATCGACTGCGGAATTTGTTAGATGCTGCCCGAGGAAAAGAGAGGCTGGATGTGCGTACCGTTCAGTGTGCGGTCGAGGCGCTCGATGGTGTCGCCCACGCGCTCTGCGATGTCGGTGGCGAGATCGTCGCACTGGTAGTTGTGCAGGCGTTCGAATGGCGGATCGAGGTCTTCTCGGATGAATTCGAGCATCTCGCCGTTCCAGTCTTGAGCTGGAGTCGTCTTCGTTCTCCAGTTACCTGTCCACTGTTAGCTTGACACAACTCTGCGGGCTCGACAAGGGGAGTAATACCGTATTTTGCTGTCACGGCCCTGTGTCCTGCGGGTTTGAGCTGGGCGACTGTCAGAATACCATCCATGCACTAGGGAGCAAAACACTCACCTTCTCCCATTTCTCGCACTTGCGTCTGGCGCGGTTGATCCATTTTGTTTCGCTCTCTGCTATTGCACGCGTCAGACTCGATCCAATTCCAAACCCGAGTTCCTCACTGATGATCTGAATGACGACTTGCATGTGCCGGCCGGTAAACCTCTCCGCAATGCCCAGCACATTACTGCGCAGATTCTAGAAAAAAGTCAGCAAACCGCTCAGGATATGTGTAAGACCATCAAGCACACGTACATTCCGCGCTCTCGCAAACGTCCGATTAAGGTCCTCCTTGCGCTTAAGCTTCGTCGTACTGCACGAAATCTCGACAGTATTGAGCGCCGTCTCCAGCGACGTGTGGCAATGATGCACGAGCGACGCGAACTTGCCATTCGACGGGATCGCCAGGACGTGGTTGCGCAGCGGTGGGATGCCCGTCGCCTCCAGCGTGAGCATCGGCGGCTCCTTCCTGTAGTACCCCGCGAGGTGCGAGAGATACACCGTGTTCGAGACGCAGAAGATGGGCAGCGGCGCGGGGTCCTTGGTGTCCTCGTGGTACTGCGCCGAGATGCCCTCGCGGACGTGGCGGTTGCGCGCGCAGACGCGCACTTCCAGGCGGCGTCGTTGCAGGTCCTGCTTCTGCCGCTCGCAGAGCTCGCGTTGCATTTGCAGCTTCAGGCGTGTGCGGAGCTTTCCTCTCAGTGCTGTTCCCGCGAGCGCGGCTTTGATCTCCCGGAAGCGCTCGTTGACGGCGTCCTCGTCCTCGTCGATCTTCGCAAGGGCGCGCTCCTCGGCAGACGTCGAGCGGAAGGCCTGCTTGCCCTTCATGTTGACGTCGTCGGCGCGGGTCGCCACGACGATGATACTGCCCGATCTCCGCCTGCGGAACGCTTCGTTGATGTGGTTGTGCAGGGCGGCGTGGTCGATGGCGCGGTCCATCTTGTTGACCACGATGGTGATGTCGCAGTCCTGCAGATAGCGTCTGGTAGACTCGACGCGTGAGCGGTTCTTGTCCGTTGTGCCGGGGCAATCGCCAATGACGATGCCCTGCTCGAGCACCCTGGATCGCAGGTTGATGCGGACCTTCTTGACGAGTGGCCACGGACAGCATTGGAGAGAAGTGCCTTCGAAGCTGGGGTACTCGACGGTGGTTGTGAAGGGCTGGGTCAGCTTCTTCAGAGATGACACCGTAGTGGCGTTGATGCGGGTGACGTCTTCCTCGCTGTCCTGGTCGGGGAGAAGCGCGTCCAGGATGTCTTCCGTCCATTCGATAAGCCTGCCGAGCACGTTGAGATCATCCGGGGCCATTGCAGTCTGCAGGAATTCCTCGGCGGAGGCCTTGTCGTGGAATTCTCGCTGGCCCTTGAACAGCGCCATGAACGTCGACAGCGCTGTCGTAGAGTTGAGCCGGCTGATCTCAAGCTCTTCTTCGTCCATGTCGTCTTTGTCATCCTTGTTGGTGAAATGTACGAAGTAGTGGTCAAAGTGCTCTTTGATCATGTCCACGCACGCCTTTCGGCTGAAGAAGACGATCTCCGCCATGAAGGGTGTTGTTTGCGTTGGGCTGGCCTGCGCGTACTCTTGCACCACGCACGTGCAGCTGTCGCCATCATCTCCCTAGTATATATTAGAAGGTAGAGAAACAGCTGGAAATCCTCGCACTTACATAGTCTGCAATATCACAGCCGAGGATGCAGTTCAGAGTGGAAGACTTCCCCTGCCCAGCGTCTCCGACAATACCAATTTGCACCACATCCGTCTCGTGTGGCGGATGCTCTAATTTCTCGAACAGTTCCAAGAGGTACTTCGTCTCGTCATCGTGATAGGTACCGTTCTTGATCTGCTCCTGAAAGCGGTGCACCATCTGCGTGCAGTAGGCCTGAACGGTCGGGACCTCGCGGTGATATATCGGATGATTCGGGAGGGGTTCTTCGTCGGGCTGATGGGGAGGCACAAGGTCTTCGCCGTCGTCGTCATCGAGCTCGTCTAAATCGATGCTGTCGAGGTCACTGTAGCTTGCTGGACATCCGTTAAAAGTTGAAGAGCGAATATGGCTCAGATGAGCGTACCTTTTCTCTTTCGCGAGTTATCGTCGCCCCCAGGATTGACTGGCGTGCTCTCTTTCTTCGCTATCTGGGACATTGCGTCTTCGACCTTGTGCATTGGTTCCGGGGCCAGCGACATCCCCTGCTGAGAATCTGGCGACTCGAAGAGGGGGCTCTGCAAGCGATGTTGAGGGCTCTGGTCTGAGACCATTGTTGCTGCAATCATTGTAGAATTCGCGGAGTCCTTCTATTCCAGAGGTCAGCGGAGTACTCGCAAAGTAAAGGAGAATTCATACGTGTGGTGTAATAGTCGGCAATTGTGGACCGTACTGCACTACGGTATCGAGTGAAGAGCGAATCGAAGTGCAAAATCTGTCGCTAACGCCTTCAAACACGCCTACTCTCGCCGCGAATACCAGAAAGCCGCCGCTCCGTTCGTGCGTGAGCCACAACGCAACGCGACGCAAGCAAGCCCCAGATAAACGGCAGCCTCCTCTAGCTCCAGCTCCACGAGAAAAGAGAGTGCAATAACCAAGGAGAATTAGCACGTCGAGAAAGTGTCAGAAGGTAGGAGTGCAAGTGAGCAGTCCCCCCGAAGTGAGAGGGCCGCAGAGATAAGCGCCACCATCTGCAGGGCTGAGAGAAGGTGAATGAGCCGGCCCTGCGGAAGGAGAAGGACAAAGTGAGAGAGTGTCAGACGGAGGGGAGAAGGAAATATTCGAAAGGCGCACAATGAATGATGTATCTCCCCTACCATTAACCCCCAGCTCCATCCCCCTCTCTTCCCTCACTCACACCGAGCAACACTTCTCCTACTACAAATGCATAGGTAACGAAAGCCCAAAGAACCGCACACCTCAAGACAAGAAAAGAAGAGAAAAGACGAGCTGCACAACACCGCACAGCACCACACAGCACAGCACAGCACAGCACAGCACAGCACAGCATACACACCCACATTCTGCCATTGGAAAAAGGCCCGCTTTCGCTTCAATGTCGCTATGCTAAATCTGTCTGTATCCCGTATCAATATCCGAATGCCGGATTGACCATAGACCACGCAAACCTACCACCCATGATATCCATATCCTTCCCAACCCCAATCCCAATCCCAATCGCTCAGCAAGAAAGGGAAAAGAAAAACGCCACGGAAATGCTGCAAACCCCCAAACACCCAGCCCCCAACAATCCAAACCCCAAAAAGGGCCCAAGCCATCAGAATCAAAGTCCGAACCAAAACGCGGATTGACCTCTCAGATGCGGCCACCCTCCACAATCTCGCGCCCCACCAATTCCAGCTCTCCACTCTCCGCCGTGCGTCTGCGCTCCAACACCCACCGCTCACTGCCACACTCGTCGTGCTCGCGCACATACGCCACGCTATCCGCCGCGCTGCCCTTCCGGCTATGCCCCGCTTTCCACCCGCCACTGCCACCGGGCGTGACGGGGCTCGTCGTGGAGATGGGCGAGATGAGACCCAGTGATTTGCGGTGGGGCGCGGTCGAATCGGTCGCTGTGGCGGAAGGAGGCATGGGCGAAGAGAGCGCGGGAGAGCCGGTGGCTGGCGCGGCGGGGTGCGGTGGATGGAAAGTTGTGTGCAGGGTAAGAGGGGGCGGGGACATGGGGAGAGGAATGGTAGATGGAGATTGAAGGGGCATGCCGGTTGGTATGTGAACGGGTATCCGCGAGGAGGGATGCATGGGAACTGCTGGCGGAGAGTGCGGAGGCATCTGCGGCATCGGCGGGATGTCCTTGGTCTGGAGATGGCTCGTCGGGCTGGAGAGTGCGTTGTAATCGCTCGCAGTCAGCGTCGGGCTATCTGGCCGCTCATCGCTGTCGTCATACTCCTCCTCCTCTTCATAGTCATTAGGGACCGCATTAACGGCATCCATCATCCCTTCATCGTCTTCATCGGTGTCGTCGAGCACATCCGTGACGGGAACCGACTCATCGCTCTCAAAAGAGCTTCCATTCTGCTCATGCATGCGGTTCCCAGCAGGACTTGCCGTCCGCGGAATGAATTGCATGCCCGCGGGCGACGAGTTCCGGGGGCTATTCGACGAACTGCCGGGGAGGCTAGCTGTGCTGCCAAAAGCGCCCTTTCTCAGCTTCATCAACGAGTCCATGCTCATATCCTCGTCGTCACGCCACCCATACGGACTAATCCGAGCAAGTTGAGCAAGACCCGGACTCGCGAGGGGCTGCTGGCTGTCGCGGAAGTGATTGAGGCTGATGAATGAGTTGCGGGTGCTGTACTCGCTGCGCTCGGTGATGGGCGTGAGATTGGGCTCGCGGACAGCATTGCGCCCACTGACGCTTCTACCCAAGTTGGATGCCCCAAAGAAGCCACCGTATGCATTGACCGCCTCGCCCTGTGCCGACGCGTAGAAGCCAAACTCTTGACCATAGACTCCTTCATAGTCGTTGGCCAAGGCCTCTGCATTGGCGGCAGCGATCATTGGGTCATCTTCCATGGCAGAGTCATAGTCGCTATAATCATAGTCATCCATGAAGCTTGAGTCCATGCCAAAGCCGTCGTCATCCGGAGGGAACGCGGTCGTTTCTTGGCTGAAGCGACCGTCATCTGGAACAAGGCTCGGGCGGGAGTTGCTGATTGAGGACGAATCGTCTGCATCAGAGCTGGAGCGACCAACGTCGACACTTGCTTTTCGGATGAAGCGACCTTGAGCTTCTGCGCGGTTGGCAGCGTCAGCCAGGGCGCTATGGTAGGCATCGATATTGTTAAAATCTGGAAGAGGCTTTTGCCGGGCTCTTGACGTCGCATGGACTAATGCGGGCTCGGACTTTTCGAATGATTTCGTCAGAGTGTCGTCGTCGGCCTCGTATCCAGTCTCCGAGGGTATCTCGGGCGGATGCGAGGAGAGCGCGCTGCGGAGCTCCTCTACGGGCGGAGACCTGAGCTTGCGCTCGAATAATGGGCCGTCGGGATCATCGAAGACGTTTTCGTCGAATTCGACCGCATCCACGTCTCCCTGCTCCTCAATCATGCCATCGTCAAAGTACAAATCATCGCCGAGGTCAAAGGTCATGCTAGCCCGTTCATCGGCGACACTGGCCTTGCTATCCTCGGGAGTCTCGGCCGGGGTGAAGGTCGGATCAACTGGGCCTTGTTGAAGGTTCATCAAGCCCAGTCCACGCAAGTCAGTCATGGGAGCCTGGGTTCCGCTCACATGTCGTCCTGGTGCAGGTAGGTGGACCTTTTGGAGCATGTCTTCCGACATGGCGAAACCGATGGGGTTGCCGTTCGCGTCGAGCGGCGTCTGCATCTCTCCGTTCATGCTTATCGGACTCATGGGGTTAATGTTGCCAGGTTGGATTGACAATGACGAGAAGTCGAAGGCGGCCATGCCTGGGGTCATTGTCTGATTACCAAGCCCAGAATACTCGTCTTCCTCACCCAACATGGGAATCTCTTCTTCGTAGCCACCATCCATGTCGAAATCATCCAGGCCATACTCGTCATACTCGTCTTCGATTGTATTGGTGGACATGCGGCCTTGTTGCTGAGCTTTCTCAGCCATCTTCTGCTTGTGCCTTTCCTCCAGTATCTTTTCCTGCGCAGAGTCACTGCCCGCAATCTGAAAGCTGAACCTGGAAGATCTGCTAGTCAGATGTGCCGGCAGCCCCGCAGGCGAGAAGGCAGGATCCGTGACAGAAGTAGCTCTTGATCGAGACGATGGCGGAGTCTTTGTGGACTTTTTCTTCCTCGGCGTCAATTGGGCTGGTGGATCCGTAGGGCTGGGCGCTTCTTGCACTGGTGATAGGACGGATGACTCGAACTGCTGGACCGACTCTGGCGGGGGAGGAGGCGGAACCGAAGGCTGAGGAGGAGGTACGGGAGGGGAATCTTTCGGCAGCGGCGGAGGCGGCGGAGGTGACCTCGCAGGCGGAGGAGGAGGCACGTACGAATTCCGTGCCAGAAAACCCTTGTTGGCCAGCTGCTCTGCTCTGATAGCGGCCTGGTTCTGTTCATAACTCGTGTCGTCGTCAAAATGTTCTCGAAAGACTGGTGTGTGTTCTCGTTCAACTTTTGGAGGACTCGCGCTAGCTCGTCGTTGTTCTTCATTCGCGTAGGCATTACTATGTGAGAAATTTCTATTCGGTCTAGGAGCGCTGAAATCGTGCACGATGCGGCCGCGTATGCTGGGGTCGTAATTATCGGGAATAGGCGGAACGATGGAGGGTGAACGATGGGTGACTAGGGACTCGTCGGAGAGGGGGTCTAGCGTCTGTCCGGATCGCCGGCGCATCAAGAGAGACATGGGGTTGCGCAGGTTCAATCTAGACTTTCCATGCTTGTGTGGCTGGCCTGTCGGTGTGGGGGGTTTGGAAGTGCTGGAGAGCTTCTCGCTCAGGCCACTCATGAGCGATGTCTGCGATCTGGAATTGATGGAGTAGTCTGGCGAAATGATTGAAGGTGCCAGATGCGTCGACGACTGCGTTGCCTGAGCCTCTGCGTGGACTGCCTGCTCCACCACCTGCGCCAGACTCTGTCCCTGTGGTCTCTTGCCCGTCGGCGGGCTCGCTGCTCTTGATCTCGACGGAGGGCGCATATTCTCATAGCCCGGCGACAGCTGATTCTGTCCAGAATGCGGCGGCGACCGCGTTCCTCGATCCCAGCCCATCTGGGCACCCTCGGCATACTCTGGACTGAGCAGCGAGCTCCGTCCCGACTTGTCCAGCTTGGAAGCGACGCGAGGAATGGGCGGCAGCTGCGGCGGGAAGGGCGACACTGGCGAGCTAGACGTGTAACTCGCATTGTCAGGGTAATACCCTAAGCGCGGCGACGTGAGGTATTCGGTGGACAGCTCAGGGCTGGACAGCGGATGGGCGGGAGGAGGGCTAGAGACGGGGTCGGGCGAGACGAGGCTTGAGGCATTGCGCTTTGCGTGGCCGGGGCGGAGGTAGGAGAACATGTTGGAGGGCGCCATTTAATGTTGGGCTGGCTGCCGTGAGGCGTAGAAAGACGTCCACTATCAAGCGGCGCCGGCGGAGAAAGAAAGGATCAAGAGACCTCTCAGCGAGGCCCTGAGCGCGCTGGAACCATCACCAGACGAGCTGGGCGCGGACCGCGGCGCTGATGGGGAAGCAATGGAGCAGCGATGGGAATAGTGGTGGTGTGGTGGATGCGATTCCGGCGTCGCACAGGGCTCGGAAGCTAGCGCTCGCGGGGGGTGTGCGGAAGGCGCAATGATTTGCCGGTGCGATCGCGCAGACGCGGTGTGCTGCAGTGAGCCGGGAACTCGTCTTGTGTGTATGCGACGTGCAAAAAGGCGTGCGCTGGGGGTGGAAGTTGGCGTCTGATGATGCGGCCTTCTTTCCCGTGCTACTCGCCAGGTGCCAGGGTTCATGCGCGCGTCTCGCTACGGCTTTCCATACATCTGATCCGTCAGCAGCGCGGCTGCGACTCACAGCTCACAGCTCACGACATCACTCTATCGCGCCCGTAAAGAAATCACACGTCTGTCTGCATGCGAAATACAAATCCTGCGCATGGCTCCCACGTTGCCGCTGCATTGCTCATTTCCAGAACACCAGACCCTGAGCGCCACGGTAGGGCTGATGCTATTTTCTGGGCGGCCAGAAACCTATGACGTCTCACATGCGCTCTTGGGAGGCTGGAGCTGACTAACCGCCTCGTACTCGTCTCCAGACGGAGCATCACGAACCGGATGGACTGTCTTTAGACATTACTCGTAAACATTATCCGTAACGAAATACAGTACCGCGTCTAGACCATTCCCGTGACTTGCTCGATCAAGCCGGCCGTTTTCCTCCCCTGGACCTCCTCGGCCGCCCAAGCTTCCCCAACGACCTCTTCTTCACACTGCCCCTCCTCTCCTCACTCGCCGAAGCAGGCCACGTCGGCTCCGGATCCGGCGCATTAAGCATCGTATTATACGTAGCATTCCCCGGCAAAACATCCATCTGGACAGTGCCATTGCCCTCGCGGTACGTACTCGTCGGCGTGCCCACCGTCTTATACCCCCGGTGCTGCCTGACACTCTTCTTCCCCGTCGCGATATCCGTCTGGGCGAGCGCGCGCTCGAAGATCTCGAGCGACGCGAGGGGCTGGTAGAAGGGGACTTCGTGGCCGCTCTCGTAGATGCGTAGGAAGGAGAAGAGGCCGGCTTGCTTCACCTGGCCGTGGACGATGGCGTCGGATGTCGTGATGTTGACGAAGCCTGCGGAAGCGTAGCCGGGGGCGGCGATTTCGTCCGCGACGACTTGCCCGCCGAGCCAGTTGCAGTTGTAGTCGCTGGGGAGAGGTTAGTACTTGCTGAAGAAAGCCACACGAGGCATGATGGATAGAACGTACGCATCGCCATAGTACAGCATGACCTGCACCCCCGCCCTGAGCAGCGTCCGACACGCCTCGATCGTCCCGCTCTCTCTATCATCGTCCCCGGTATTCCCAAACGCACTGCTCGTCGTCGAACTGCTGCTCGAGTAGTTCTGGTACGCGCCCACCGCCCTCTGCACCTCGGGCAGGTTCAAATACTGCTCAAAGTAGCTGTACGGAAACGGATCGGGCGTCAGCTCGCGCATGTCGTACTCGTCGCGCCCGGAGTACTTGTCGTACAGATACTCGACCTTCTCGTAGCAGAAGTTGTCCGCGCGCGAGCAGACGTCGTTGCGGCCAGTAGCATAGCATTGCTTGGTCATATCGACGCAGTTTCCGGCCCCGTAGAGGTTATTATACCATTCAGCTTTGACGGTGTCGTTGTACGGGTCGTAGTCGTACTAGAGTTGGTTAGTATTTGAGATACAGAGTAGGCAGGTTAGCTATAGAAGAGAGCGTTCTTACCGTGTTGCCGGGATAGACGGAGAAGTTGTAATACGCCTGGTACTGCACAAGCGGATCGAACCACCCGTTCCCGATGAGCACGTTCTCTAAGTCGATATGATGCCCCTTTCCCATCCGATTCATCTCTAGAAAATACGCGTTAAAAACGGGCGCGTAGTGGCCCCCGTACGACTCAGTCGCGAAACTAACTCCGCTCCTCGCATACTGCGGAAACGCGCCCATGAAGCCCTGCAGCGTCCTCCACATATTGGGCGCCGCGCCCTCGGTCGTGTTCGCCGTCAGCGTAAGATCCGGCTTCGAGTACGTGCCGCACGTGCCGTAGCCGGCAGCGTAGTCGGGGCAGCTGCTGTCGTCGGGCAGCTGGATGATGTAGCCGCTATCATCTTGGTAGCCGGGGATGGGGATGGAGTAAGAGAGGCCGACAGTAGTAGGCTCGTCGATGAATAGCTAGACAAGCCTTAGCGTTGATCCTCAGGGGTGACAGAAGCGGGTAGACGGAAAGTACCATGTTACTAGCATTCGACCACGAGTACGGATTATCAAAAGGCTTCAAATCCGGACCCACACCACACGGTCCCAGTTCCTGAAACAACCCAATCATGGACGAAGAGCCTGGGCCGCCGTTGATCCATATCGTCAACGGCGCGTCTGTGGGGTCCTGGTTCCGCGCCTCGAAGAACCACCAGAAGATGTGCTGGTCTGGGGCTACATCCGCGTAGCCTGAGTAGCTCTTGACATTCGGGTCTAGCTCGCAGATGCCCGCTGGAACTTCTTTGTACCGGACGTGGATGCCCGCGTAGCCTTCTTTGTCGATGAGGTCGGTCGGAGCGGGGACGAACTGGGCTGTGGAGCCTACAGCTAGCAGCCCGGCAGCGAGTCGCGTTGGTAAGGACTTCATGGCGGTTCCGTGGACGCTTAGAGAAAGCTCAGTGCTTTACTGTAGTTGCGCGGTCAATAGCTCTAGAATCGCGTCAGCTACCTCCAATTCCTCCACACCGCCCCATCCATACCTAATTGAACCCAATAATCCACGCGGTCAATTACCCACAGGCAAATCCCACAAGGTTCCAAAACCCAAAGCAAGCTTTCCAAAGCTTTCCACAAGAAAACCACGCGACAAAAACAAGCTCCAGCCAGCCAGCCCCAAGCCGGGCAGGAACCCAAGCTCTTTAAAAAAAAAAACCACCCACGCGTCATATACCCAGCAAGCTACCCTTGCCCTTCCTCCAACCCGAAAGATACACGATGAGCAAAACACCGCAGCAGAAACGCCCACCTTCCCGGAGCGGCTAAATTCCCTCGGACATGGTTCATGGGCCCCAGATACTATGGCGGCCCAAGCGAGCGAGCGAACGCACAAGCCGCCGATGACGTTAATCTTTCTATTCCTCGAGGGCATCTGCCTAGAAAACAATCAGCTAGCTTTGAAGTTATCTTGGAGAAGAACTCACTGTAAGCCCTCGCAGATGGTTCCAGAGACCTGGACAGCTCGCGCATGGAAACAGTCTCCCAGCTCTAAGCGTGCTTAACGGTCCCCCACCCCGGAACCCCGCGCAGCGGTGCCGACATCGTACCGTCTAGTAAGCTTAGCGGACGCTTGTGTAGCTTGACATCCATGGATCACCAATATCTGGATTATTCGCTAGCGCCGTATTTGGCAGGTGGGCGTTCCGGCCTGCAGGAACACGAGCGGAACGTGATGGGTTCTACCTCGACGCTAATGGCCCCCGTCGCGGCAAAGCAACCTGAGAAAGTATGCTACTAGGCTCATGTGGACAGCTCACTCGATGAAAAGGTAGACTTTTGCGCAGAACATGCCCGAGACACATGTGCGCAGAAAAGATGTAAGTCAAATCACATGCATGGTTCCAGGTAATTCCAATACAACCTTGCCAGTATTTTCAATTTACGCCTTTTTGAAAGAAAGGACCGCGGTATCTCTGTCATTAGGCCGTGACGTCGTAACATACTAAAGCATCAAGAAAGGTCAATGAGAGGTTTCTCCGAAGACTGCCGCATGTCCATCCTTTCGACGGCATCTTCGAAGAAGCCGTCGGAGTCGTGTGCGCTATCTGTGTCGTCCGTCAAATGAGAGTCGTGCAGTTTGTGGCCTAGGAGCCCGGATTCCAAGAGTGTGTCAACGTCCTTCGTCGCGCTTGGATCTTCATTCAAGACGCTTAGCAAGTCTCGGAAGGTAGCAGTGCTCTCCTCGGTAACGTCGAAGCGGTCCGCATATTGCTCCAAACAGTCCGTCAGGATATACAGCTTGTCGTACTTGAGCTTAAAGTGATCTGTCGCGGTCAAGATTATGATGGTTTCAAGATCGGCGAATTGAGCAGCTGTCCTGAGCAGATGGGGACCTTGGAGTCGAAGACAAGCGCTGTATTCATACCAGCGGTCCAGCAGGAGGCGAAGAACATTGTGTCTGTTGAATGTGATGGCCGTTGTGAGAGGCGTCTGTCCGGTTGCAGTCGCTGCATTGATATCGGCGCCATACTCCAGCAGCAGCATCGCAAAACTGACCTTGTCAGTGCGGGCCGAGTGGATCAGGGGCGTGATCTTGTCCACACCACTTGCTTCCGTGTCGGCTCCAAAATCAAGCAGCGTCTTCAGAACGAGCGGATCGGAGCCATTGCGCGCAGCGCGGTTCAGTGCACTGCCTACCTGAAAACCTTTCGGCAGAGGAGGATCGGGTAAGGCGCCAGCTTCGAGGAGCAGTCTTACGCAAGTAAGATGGTTTCTTTGGGCAGCATAGGAGACACCTCCGCTAAGCTGTATATCCAAAATGTCTGGATTAGCACCATGGGCTAGAAGGAGGGCTACAGCACGGCTGTCTCCTCTGGCAGCTGCCCAAGTAAGCGGGGTCCGACCCAGCGCGTCTAGCGCGTCAATCTCGTCCAAATGCTGAGGGATCGCTTCTTCGAGATCCGCCATCGATAGGCCGGTCACAATCTTGTGGAGAGTGGTGAAGTTCTGCTCGTCTATCCAGTCGCTTCCGGATGTAAGGCAGAGAAGGCTTTCTTCAGCCTGCTTAGACAGAAAGCCCTGCAATACAAAGTCGCAGGCTTTGTTTCTTGGGCTGTTGTCATACACAGCGATCGGGCTGGTTGCGACTCCCGTTAGATGCGGTCAAAAGAGGAGGCATGTACAACATACCGATAGTCCGGGTCTGCGCCGGTATGGACCAGAAACTTGGCAGTGTCCCATTGTTTTGCGTAAACCGCCCACTGTAGGAATCAGCCGAACAGTTGATAAGATGGGGCGATCTAACATACTCTGAGTAGGGAGTACCCACGAGTGGAGCTCACATCGCGTGGGGACGCCAGCCCACGTCTGAAAAGGTCTTGAAGCCCTTTGACATTTCCAGCCTGAGCAAAACCAACGCACTGAGCTGTGTCAGGTACCCTTCGCAGGAAATTCATCGCGATTTGAGGGCCTGTGCTTTCAATGGCGAGTTGGAAGCGGGAAGGCAAACGCTGGGCCCCACGGGCTCACCGTGCAGGCAGACCCAGCTCAGCTCGTGCAAACCTCTATTCTGCCCTGGTCGCCCAACTTTCGCCTCTGCCCTCCACTCCTACGCTAGCCGGCCTCGACGCTTCGTCGCCCTCGTTCGCTATGCGTTTCGGCCGCACCATTCATCAGCACCGCATTCCGGAGTGGGCTCCGCACTACATCGACTACTACCACTTGAAGAGATGTATCAAGCTGGCCATTCGGGATGCTACCGAACGGCAGTCTGGAATAGACCTGACAGATACTCGTTTGCATCATGTAGTCTCGTCGGAGCGCGAACTGATCGCCCCAGCATTCACCACAGCTCTCGACTCCGATCTTTCGCATGTGCAGAAATTCTATTCAGACCGACTTGCCTCTCTTCGCCAGCACTATGATATTCTGATACGTCAGAGTGGAATCGATAAGGCTGTCCGCCCGTCAGAGCTTCACGAGCAGGCCGCCGCCATAACTGCATGTCTCCAGTACAGACTGGCGACGAGCAAACTGAGGTGGTACGGCAAAGTCAACGCTGATGGGTTGAGATGCCTTACTCGCAAGATCGCGTATATCTCCCCAAATGCTGACTGCCGGGCAATCCACTCGCCCGCTTACGAGTTCGTCCACCAGAGCGCGACTCTGAAAGAACTCGAGGGCATCGACGACTTCATCTCCACCTTATTGTCGTCTCTACAACGCATCAACGATCCGTTAGATCTGGACGCGGCCCGGGAAGCACATCTCCAACAATCCCGCAATCGTGGGCAGGCTTTGCTCAGACGCTTGGACAGGGGCCTACAAGACGATACACCTAGCACCCAACGCAACGTTGTACACTCTCTGGTAATATCAGCCTCCTACGAGAGTACACTGAAGAAGGATGTCCACAACCGGGAGCGTTACGAAGCCTTGTTAGCTTCACTGGGTAGTGAAATGACCGACCACACATCAATGTTCCAGTCCATTCTCGAAACGTTAAGCCCAGACCAGCGTCCAGCCATCCTCCAGAGAGACCATTGTGGCCGTTCCCCATTGCATTATGCTGCCGAAGCTGGGCTCCCTCACCTGTGCGAGATAATTCTACGGTTCATGAACCAGTGGAGTATGTTGGACACCACAACCGACACAGCCTACGACCTTACAGACCATGCCGGCAACTCGCCACTTCATTTGAGTGTCACCAATGGCCATGAGACAGCCACCCGTGTTCTGCTCTCTTCGACTGCAACGTTGGACTCTTATCGAGCTACTGGAACGTCACTCGGCGACACTTTGGCCAGTCTACTCCACATCGCTTTACAGTACGATGCAACCAGTATCGTCGAAGATTTGCTGGCAACTCATCTCGTCAATTTAGATTATCACCAGTCGAATGGAGAAACAGCTCTCTTGATTGCATCCCGTGCAGGTTCGGTCGAACACATTCGGATGCTCGCCGAGTCACCTTCTTGGCAGCCACCGTACCTCAATGAGCCTGGTTCATCGTACGGGTGGACACCACTCATAGTGGCATGCATCTTTGATCACTTTGATGCAGTCAAAGTCCTTTTGGAGTTGGGCGCAGAAGAGAGTCGAGCTGACGTCTTTGGTTGGACAGCGCTTGACCATGTCGCCTTCCGAGGTTACTGGAAGATAGCTAGTATCTTGCAGAAGTCATTCTCGAGATCGACTGAACGGATCTCAAAGGTTCCGCTTCGAAGTACCAATGCGTTACCACTATGCTCACCCTCGACTACCAGAATTTTCGTGAATATTGGACCTCTGAATACGAGGAAATTCCACAGCCCCGTCGATCTGTCCCCTCTTCTATCACGATATCCGTTCAATCCCTACCCTGAAGCTGGATACCACCTTACCGCACAGGGGCTCGGTGCTAATGGACTTGAGAGGAGCCTGGATCTTCCTGTCTTAGATGACACGACAAACTACCCTTCTGTCTTCCATACAACGGAACCCTCAAATGCCAAACTCCTGTTCGCCCTTTTCCGGCAGACCTCAACTTCAGAGTTGCCTGTCCACATTGGGTCTGCCGTAGCCTTGCTGGAGGAGCTCGGGGACTCACTAGGCCCAGGTAGGGAGAGTTTGTTTCGGGATCACATAATCCCCATCATCGGATGCGATGGCTTTCAGTTCTTGGGCACACTTACCGTCAATTTCCTTCTCGTGAAGCCGTTCCCAGATCCCCGGAAGTCTTCCGCTCCTAGTATCGATAAAGATGTATGGAACGGAAATGGTAAAACCAAGTTGATCGGCCACAGAGGTGAATATCACGTTATGTGCAACGGTATCTGGCTAATACATTCGTAGGTCTGGGCATGAATTCGCCCGCTTTCAAACGCCTTCAGATTGGAGAGAACACCATTCAGGTAAGTGGTAGCCGGATGAGTGCGCACCTTAAGTAACATTAATTAGTCGTTCAAATCTACCATCGATCTGGGGGTCTCATATGTCGAGGTAAGTCACCCAATTGCGAGTTTCCCGTCTAATTTTAACGGCTCGCAGTGTGGTAAGCGTCTTCTACAGCTCTTGGCAGCTTGCACACCCATTTAATCGTTGCCTAGATGTGCCAGACCACGTCCCCGTGATATACCACGACTTCTTGATGAGTGAGAGTGGAGCTGACATCGCACCACACAATCTGACTCTTGATCAAGTGGGTATTCTATAGGCCGTTTACTCTCGTTGCTTACCAGGATTAGTTCATGTGCATCAGTGAAATGCAGCGACCAATGGATAAAGTGCCGCAGGGTGGCAACAGCCCATTCGACAACAAAGGGTTTGCGGCGCATGTCTATCGATCCCCTAACGCATTGCGTCCACGCTCACAGTCGTTCGGCAGCGCCGAAGACTGTCGAACGCGGGATTTTCTAGCACGCATAAAGCATACGCACGAGTTTAAGATCAAGGGCTTCAAGGGTAATGTGCGAGGGACGCATATCCATGACTCTTTCGCTACCCTCGAGCAAATCTTACAGGCCCTGCCTGAAGAGGTGGCCTTCGACATCGAGTTGAGTGAGTCCCGCATTGCTGTTACCTTCTGAAGAATGACGAGATCGCTGGCGCACCTTCCAGAGTATCCTATGCTCTGGGAGGCCGAAGACTGGAAGGTGGATCTCTACGGTGTCGAGCTAAATCTATACACCGACAAGACTCTCGAACAGGTCTATAAATACGGCGGGAACCGTCCAATTCTGTTCACCTCTTTCAGCCCGGAGCTGTGCATCTTGACCGCCCACAAGCAGGACACGTACCCGGTCATGTTCCTCAACGAATCGAACCTCTTCCCCACCGGCGACGTCCGCGCAAGCAACCTCCAAGAGGCTATCCACTTCGCCCGCCACTGGGGACTGTCGGGCATTGTGATGTCGTCGGAGCCTTTCGTCGCGAGTCCCAAGCTTGTGCGATTCGTCAAGGATGCTGGCTTAATGTGCACATCGTTTGGAATGCCAAATAATGACCCAGAGAATGCGAGGGTATGTTGTATTTCCGCTCCGTGTTGTGGCGAAGCTGGGCTAAACCACATCTAGATCCAAGCCGCCGCGGGTCTCGACGCCATCATTGTAGACAGTGTGGCTTTGATCAACCATAGCTTCAAGGACGAAGTGGATGCCGGTGCAAGGCGCATTGGCTGAGGTCGCGCGAAGTAGGGGCTGCTTACGCCTTCTTCATTGCAGGAAATGAGCGGCTCATGCGGGCACGAGAAGGGGGTTGGGCCGACTTGAATCAGCTGCTCGTGCTCCGACATCTCCTGCAGAAGAGGTCTCTGGCGTTGGCAAGAGAGCCTGGATGCGGTTGTTCGATATGGTCGGGTGGATGGTTTCCAGCACCGACAAGCTTGGTTCGTGCCGAGCTAGGGAGGCGGCAGTGGCTTCAACGCCTAACGGTCAACGATCTTCCTTTTCCTCCATAATTATACACTGAATCTCCTATACCCACTCTACGTACTCTCAGCGCGAGGCTTTCTCGCCCCTTTAGCGCTCCGTCAATGCCGCATAGCTCCGAGAATTCTAACAGCGCTCGTGAAGACAGAGTAAATTAAATAACCGGCATCCAACATCCACCACCTACTAGCGCATGTTCCCAGTAGCTTTCTTTACGCCAAGCCAGCTGGAAAAGAAGTAGGTATTACAAAACTAGTATAAATAACGGGAACTTAACTATCTAGAACTAGTACAGTAGAAGCCAGCTCTAGTACTTTTTCTTATAGCTTCTAAAAGTGTACTTATGTCCAGGATACTATCATGACAGCATAACTATATATATCCACACACCCACCCCAAGCCAATGCTGAAATATGTACGAGTCGATCCGACTGATGGGGACCATAGAAAGCCGACATGCGCCCATTTCATTGCGGCTAAAGCATCACAACTGCCCTGCCCTGCCCTGCCCTGCCCTGCCCTGCCCTGCCCTGCCCTGCCCTGCTATCTCTCCTTTACCGGACTCGCGGCACTCGCGCTTTAGCTCAGATCAAACCCAGCCCCCGAAAACACGCTATAGGAGAAGAGGTGCTAGCTGAAGAGGTTTAAGATGAGAGAGGAGAGTGTTGAGAATTTGGTGGCATGGGGCGACCGTTATGGAGATGGAAGGGAAAGTCACAGCCGTTGGTGCCGAGGCGCTAGAGGAGCTTAGGTTGCCCGTTCACGTCTTTGAGGCTAGTGAGTAGGGAGTACGAAGATACATCGCATTCAATGCAAGCTATCCATGCCATCAATCATACCGCATGCACAGCCACAAAGCCTTCGTACCCGTCTACTAAAATAACAACGCCAAACCAATGCATGCGCTATGCTAGTCTATGGTTGGAGCCATCAAAACTCATCTATGCGCTTCCCGTTGCATATGAGCTCTCCACGCTCTGCTTCAACGGCACCCTAGCTGAGATCAAACCCAGCGCCCGAAAACACGCTATACAGCAGCTTCTCCTTGAGCACGTTCTCATCCCTATACATTGGCAGCTTGAGCAGATTAACGCACGTACTCGTGCTGGGCAGCCGCTCCTGATCGCTCCCCGCGTCTCGAATGCTGAACCGCGGATTCAGCGTACCGAACCCCAGCAGAGGCGCCCGCGGCGTGCTCGTTACGAACTTGAGCACTGCCCTCCTTTCTCCGTCGCTAAAATCCTTCATAATCTTCCAAAAGAGCTGGACGGTCGGATGTTCCTGGCCGTCGTCACCGATCTGGTACGTGCCGCCGTAGATTGTATTATGGCGTAGGTCCTCAATGTCAATCGAGGTGGAGGTGCCGCTGATGAGCGTCTGCAACTCGGACTGGTTGAACATGGAGAGCCAGCTAGGTTGGATCATGGTGCTCAGGCCGCGTAAGAAAGCCGACGTCTGAAGGTACGGTTGGTTTTGTAGACGGTGGCGTGCCATGTAGCTAATGTAGACGAGCCGATTCTGATTGGTGACGGGCGTGTTGGCGCCATCGGGTTTGAGATCCTTGGTGATGGCTTTGGTCTTCTTGGGGTCTGTCGTATGGTCGATGACAATGGTGTCTGTGACGGTGAAGTTTAGGGAAAAGTCCTCCACGTCACCCGCATAGTTCTTCAGCTGGTGAAGACCCTGGTATAATCCTTCATCCAAGTCGCGCAGGTCGTTGAGGGAGGGACGGTACCCAGACTCGTTTGGTGCCGAGCCAGTGCCGCCAGTCAAAGCCCACTTGCGGAGGAAGAACGGCGCAAAGTTGACGTCGACCAAGATGCCCTCGTACAAGCACTTGCCAATGATGCGACCCAGGAACTCGTAGCGTTGCAGAAGCTCCGACACCTGCAGTCGAAATTCGGTCGAGCCTTCGCGAATACCGGCCTGTTTAAGGGCCTCTTTGTGCTCCTCTACCGCTGCCGGATTCGGATAGAGAAGGTGCTGGTCGTTCTCAACAAACATGTCGATATAATCGGTTGGCATAAAGGCGCGGCTCGTGACGCTGGTGAGAAACTCCTTTGTCACCCCGCCACCGTCGATGCCCGCTTCAGGCTGGTCGAATTGATCCACAAAGGTGATTTGGATAGGCTCCTTTAAGCCCTGCCCTAGGCCATAGAACTGAGAAAAGGCATCCTCAAACTCGTGTTCACGCCGGACTCGTGCAGCGTGCTTGTCGAATTGTTGCGGCGCATCCGGACGCTGCATGACGCGCCATCGCCATGCTTCGGGATCTGCACTGCCTCTTCGTTTTGTCTAACGTCGTTAGTCATATTATCAAGACGGCGGATTAGTGACGCTTACCATGTCCAGATTCACAAACTGGCGGAAAACCTGAACCCGAGTTGTGAATGGAATGAAGAAGGGCATGTTTTGCAGAATCTCCAAGCGCGGTGCAACAGCCTGCAGATACCTCCTCCGAGAGGCCTTGCGCTGCTGTCGCTGAAGCCTCTCTAGTCTTCGCTGTTGCTGGGTTCGATGGGTACCGATGAGTTGGGGTGTATCATCAAAGTTTTCGTCTTCTCCTTCATCGACGTCCTCTTCGTCCTCCTCCTGGATCCTGTGCCGGCTCTCCTCCTCTTCCACAACCGCCGGAATGAAACCCGTCATGTCGAACCTCGACGTCATCAACCAGTGGTCGGCCGGTAAGAATTTACGTCGTGAGTCTCGTTCGTAGACCATACGCAGGAGTCCAGTCACCAGGCCTTTGACGTAGTCGAGGCTGAGGCCCGCGACACCGCCCACTGACGGCTCAGCGTCCTGTTTCTGGACCTGTGGCTCCGGCACTTTTGGGTTGAAAAAGGTAAGGCTCGAGCTGCTAGAATCGCGTTCTACCGATGCACTGATATCCGAGGCGTTGAAATAGAGCGTGAATCCTAGGTTCTTGAGGAATGTCGTGAGGTCCTTGACCTCCCCAAGAGGCAGAGAATTGTCACGAACCTGGCCGGAGAATTCGTCTTTACCACCTGAGAAGAACTCTTCGTCATCGGTCACTTTTAGAACAAAAGTGTACAGCTCGAGAAACACGAGAATCACTCTCCACTCGTCGGCTCGGATGGCGTCCTGGTCAACCTGCTGGCGCGGAGCTTGCCAGAACGGTTGCAAGGAATCACTTGTGGATCCATTGGCGGATAATGCCTTTGGCCGCAGCAGCTCAATGGCAGCTCGCGAGTCCCGGAAGATGGTTGCAAATACCGAGGAACGTTTGGAGGCCTCCCAAAAGTATCTTATGGCAGGCGACTTTCTCGCGCCCTTGTACGCCCGCGCATCCGATGGACCAATATAAAGCCACATGCGGATTTCATCGCCTCTCCGCGGGAAGAACCGGAGGAGAGCTAGAGCGTAGTTGGCAAGCTGCCTTGCTTCCTCCACCTTGTCGTCTTCAGATGCTTTGGAAGACTGAGACGAGCCCGCCAAGAGGTTGCCGATGCCTTCTTGGTTGACCAAGGAAAGAATCTGGTTCCTAAGGAAATCATTGACCGGCTCGGTGCTCCTTGGACCTTCGGCATCCTCTATTCGGCCGCTGTCTGTACCCGGCCCTTCTATGATGTTGACTGGCAGAGAGTTTAGGAGGATTGAGACTACGGTCACAAAGTCCTTGTGAATGGAATAAGCCTCGGGCGTATGAAAGTTGTGCGCATAGCGATGGAAGTAGATGAAGGCGCCTAAGAATCGAAGCCTGTCGATAGTACTAGCTAGTTCGCGGCGTGCTTGTAGGCCCGATTCCTTGCACGAGGTCGCCAGTGCATTCGCTAGCAACTTGTAGTTGATCACGTCCGCCAGTGAATCCCTGAATTTCGTGGCCAGCGACGATGTCGTGTTGGCGCTCAACATCGGCAGAATCAAGAAGGCGTAGCCAAAAGCCTCGTATGCGTTCAGAGTGTACCCAGTCACTTTTGCCAAGGGCGAAATAACCGTCTCAAATAGGGTATTGACCAAGTCCGACTCGTTCTCGGCCACGCTGGCTTCTTCGACCGGGAATAGCTTCACGGCGACGTGAGCGAGCGTGTCGTAGAATTGTTTCGCGTGCTGTGAGGTCGCTGCGGGGATCTGCTCGGCCAGAAATTTTAGTATCGTCAAAAAGTCGTTGTACTGATTCCATGGTGCAGCGTCCTTGGTCTGCCGCTCTAGTATCGATAGGACGATCCTCTCCAGCCTCAGGTATGCCGACGGCCATGGCCCGCTAGCGATAACGCCGAGTTGTCGTGTCGTCTCAATCAGCCGGAACGCGCAATGCCGTATCCTGCTTAGGTCTTCGTGATTGCGGGTGCTCGCAAACCTGAGGAGTCGCTGCAGCTGCGCCAGTGCCTCCTCTTTTGAGGTGTATGGCGTAGCCGTCTGTGCCGAAGCAGGCTGTCCCTCGGTAGCATCCCATTCCTGCCGTAGCAAGCCGCCTACTCTCTCTCTGCTCGAATGACCCCGCCATACCCTCTGTATTGCCTTGGCAGCCTGGAGCGTCTCTCGTTCCCGTTGTCTCTGGACTCGTTCCTGCTGTGCGCGGTCGAGAGCAGCTTGGGATCCGGCTCCGGGGCCGGGGCTGCCGAAAGCATGTGTCTTGCGGCCGCCGAGATTGACTTGACGAGGCCGTCGTGTGTGCCCGGTGAAGTTTTGGAACATGGCGGGGCAGGGTGGGGACGGCGTTGAGGAAGGTTGGGGCTGGGTTGTCGATAGCTTCGGGCGGAGTAAAGAGCGTGGTGATGTAGCTTGCTAGATGTTAGAGCTCGTCACGCAGTATGCGAAGACCAGTCGAGGCCTGGGCAGACCTGTAAATGCTGGGATCAAGCCGGAGGCGGCGAATGGAGAGGCGTCACGGACGCGACTTGAGCGGAGCGAGTGTTGATTAGATAAAGTACATGAGGTACGAGCGCAAGATCAGGGTGGCGAGGCTGTCGGGAGGAAGAAGCAGAAGCTGCTTGGACTTCGGCGGGCTTCCACCAAGCTCCAGCGCGACCATGATGCTGCATGCCTGAGTCAACAGTCAGCATCGCCGCACCACTAATTCCGATGGCCCGTGCGCATCGACCGACCTCTTTCGCGTGGCAATGCTTGGCACGGCTCATCCATCGACCTCCGCCTCAACCTTGGAACGCCTGATACGCGTCACTTTTCATCTCGACAACCACTTTTCATCTTGACAACACTGCATTAAGCATACAAAACTGGCGATGGAAAGCCGCACAAGTTCTATCCTGTAACAATGAATATCCACACTCTGAACGACCCTTGGCCCTGCTTTCCTCCTGTTCCAATAGTAGATCATGATGAGAAACAGGTACGGCCGTGACTACGGCCCATCCATGGTAGCATGAGGTAGTGTGCTGTCTCCCAACCGCTGAGCCATCTCGGTACCGCATCTCTCTTCTTCACCCCGTCAAATCTTTCCTCTCTACAATGTTGGAGCCCAGCAAAATTCCACTTCTTTTCATCCCATGGGTCTCACTTTAATATATCTTCCACCCTATTGCCCACTTTCATTTCCTCACATTCTCCATCTGCACATCAAACTATCAGATGGATTCCCCGTCGCGTCCCGAGACGCCTCCGCCGCCATATCGGCCAGCATCTATCACTCCCCTGACACCATTCAACACCGGAGAGCAACCTGTAAGTATTTACTCCTCTCGTTCTTACGGCTCAGCGCAAAACTGGATGATTGGAACCCTACTAATACCTCCACAGCCACCATCACCGATCTCCATCTACCACGAGGACAACTCCTGCCTTCTCCAAGTCCCACCACCTACCTACGCCCCTCCTCGACCTAATGTCCCGACCCCAGACGGCAGCTCGCGCGAACCCTGGCGTCCCACGTTCACACGACTTGCCAGCCCTGAGCGCCACCGAACTCGACGCGTCTACCCGGAAATCGAACCATTCCGAGGCGTGTCTCCGTGTCGGCAGAAGCAGCCCAAGGCATCGCGTGACTCTCTCAATGCGGCGATCGGCTTGCTGATAGTCGTTGGTGTCATTCTTGCGTTTTACTTTGGGCTTAGGAGTATTGATTAAGACCGGCTCGTCTGAGGCTGGTTCTGTGGGGATTTCTGCTTGTGAGATGGTAGGAGCATTGCATTCCACGATGTCGTTGGCCCCGACGACCGGCAACCTTGGTATTTTAGAGATCGTATCTGCAATGAGCTGGTAGACAGTGTCATGCTCGTATCTGGCTTTCTTTTAGGTTTTCAGCGCACCGTGACGCCCACGGCGCAAAACAGTCTTGCGTAGTCAAAAAGCGATTTCATATCCGCCACACCCAGTCCACGCACTCTAGGTAATAGAATATGAACTGTTCTACCACAAAACATTTAGAGGGCACGCATCTCCCATCAGTCAATTCCCACTATCCTCCTGCCAACCCCGCCTTTAATCTCAAACCTTCCCCACATCCCTATCCTCAATCCTCTCCTCCCCACTCTTCTCCCCCACGCCCTCATCCTCCTTCCCAAACCCCGCCCTCGCCCTCCTCTCCCCCATCTCCTTCAAGCTCCTCCCGCCCGCCCGTTCCGCCTCCCAAGCCAAACTCTCCCCCCTCTGCTCCTCCCTCTCCTCCTGACTCATCTCTGGCCCCAGCAACAAAAAGAACAGCATATACGCCCACACAGCGCCCATAAAGATCCCAATCACCTTGCCATAATCGAACCGCTTCGTCCCGTCCGCGGCCGGCGGCAGTGGGTACCGCTCGCCAATAGTCGACTGGATGGTTGCGCTGGCGCTAGACGCCAGGTTGCCGAGCTGGTACGTCAGGCCGACGACGAGGGTGCGCAGCGCGGGCGGCGCGAGCTCCATCAGGTGGATGGGGATAGGGCCCCAGACGCCGCCGACGAAGAACTGCATGAAGAAGACAGGCGCGAGCAGCGAGAGGTCGCGCGGCATGATGTACGCGGGGACGAGCGCGCCGCCGACCACGCACGCAATGAGCATCGTCAGCCGGCGGCCGAGGATGCTGGACAGGTACCCGATCGTCGTGCCGCCGACCAGCGCGCCGATCTGCCCGACCACCGTGATCACGGTTGTGTCCGTCTTGCTCATGCCGACTTGGTCCTTCAGGAACGTCGGGTAGAAGTCCTGGCTGCCGTGGCTGCACGAGTTGAACCCGCTCATGATGACTACCATGTAGATCAGCAGCACCCAGTTCTGCTTCACCGCGACCCAGGCCTCGCGGCTGAAGGCGCGCAGGCCGTTGCGCTTCGGGGCTTCGCCCGCGCGTTCGCGCTCCTGCAGCATGGCGTGCCGCGCTTCGCGCTCGGCGCGCTGCACGAGGAAGTGGTTGGTCTCCGGGAGGCAGAGGCGGAAGATGATGATGAGGATGGGCGGGCCGGCGCCGAAGTAGAAGAGCGAGCGCCAGCCGGGGGAAGTTGTGGGGACGAGCGCGCGGTAGAAGACCGCGGCGAGGAGGTAGCCCGTGGCGTAGCCTTGCTCGAAGAGGCCGGAGAGGATGCCGCGGGCTTCGTAGGGGAGGTCTTCAAGCGCGGTTGAGGCCGCGGGGCCGAAGAGACCTGCCATGTGTCAGTGAGCCTGTTTCCTCCAGTGTGACTTCGGACGTACCGCCCATGGCTATCCCGTACAAGGCCCTCACCCCCAGCAGCTCCTTGAGATTATGAGTAAATCCCGTGCCGAGCTCGAGCACGATGAACGCCGCTAAGTTGATGATGAAGGGCCATTTTCTCCCATAACGATCGGACAGCGAGCCGAAGATCAGTGCGCCAACAGAGCGAAGCATGAGCGTGACGGTTAATCCCTAGTCCTTTCTGTTAACGCCATCTACATACTCGGAAGATAAAGACTCACCCACGACACATCCGAGTTCTTCACATCAAACTCCTGCGCAATCTCCGTCACCGTCAACGACACGGTGAAGAAGTCAAACGCATCCCACGTCCAGCCCAGGAAGCCCACCAAAAACATGAGCCACTGGTGCCGATTCAGCTGTCGCAGGACTTTGATCGGATTCTTCGCGTGGGAGTTCTGATCCGTTAGCATGTCGTTCGAGAGACGGACTGCCGAAACTCACCCTGGGTGGCTTCAAGCTCGTAATCCGCGTCAAAAAGTAGCGACCAATCTGCGAGGGTGAATAGAACCACCCGGCTGCCATGTGATTCCTCATCTTGGGTGGTGATGTCGGTAGCAACGAGGACTTTCTTGATTGAAACACCTTTGATAGCTGGCGCGCAACGCTATTAGAAGAACGCCCCCTTCCTTATAAGCACTCAAGCCTCCTCGGGCGAAAGCTTGACATGCCGCACCCAAGAAATGCCACATTTGCGCCTATGACCGCGCCGAGATGAGCGTTGGACAGGGATGCGTGGTGTTGCGAGGCATGAATGGGCGCGCAAAGTGAGGAGTTGCGGGGGATCTGCAGTACCCTTGAAAACGAGCGGTGCCAGTTCCGAACCGCGCAACAGCTTCTGCCTGTCACGTAGCTTCCAGGTCGGTTTCGGGGATTTGGGTTGCTGTCGGAACTGGTCCGCGATACGTTTTCACCTTCCTGTTGGGAGATTAGTGCGCCAACCGCGATGTCGGTAGTGGCAAGTAAGTCTTGTACAGCCATTGATATCAAGAGTATTGACGACTAGTCAAAGATACCTTGCCGTAATTCTGCCACTGATTCGTCTCAGCCGATAGATGTAGAAAATTCGAAGCGATGCTGTGACACCCCTGACTCCGTAAACCATTCAAAGCGCAGACTCGCGAAGCGAAAGGAATGTATGCGCCGCCAGCCATCACAAACCGTTCGACCGCCCCTACTAGTCGCGCTCTTAGCAGACTGACTCTTTGTCGAAGACTCAGTCCATGGCGACCCCACACTGGAGCAGCGTGTTCCTGACCGGTCCCTCCAACTCATCCCTCCCGTCCTTGACCTTTTTTCCGAGCGTCTCTCGTCGCTTCAGAGCCTGGACGCCATTGTCCTCGCGCTCCGGACAGACCTGGTTGAAGTCGTGCATGATCGCGTCGAGGACGGTCTCGCACTGGACCACCATGGACTTGTCGGCATCGTCCATGACCTTGTTGAAGCCCTTTTCGAGATAGCGCTTGATGGCCATGAAGGGACCTGCTTTGCGAAGGCACACGGAATCGCGAAAGTAGGCGCAGCGCGCAGCATGCTTGGTCCTCCCTGGAGAGCGTTAGCAGGGTGCACAGAGCTCGGATGATGGACACTCTTACGCAGCTTGTCTGGCTCGGCTTTGATGCTCTCCTTGTAGATTTTGGACATTTTGTGGGTGAATGGGCTGTTTGGGCCATCGTTGAGCGTATCGTTGTTCAGCAAACTTGGAAAGGTTAGCAGCACAGCAGGAGCGGCGCGGATATACTCACAGGATCTGATGGCGCAAAGTCTTGGTCGTCTCATCGATGATGTTTCCCATTACTTTCTTTCGATCGCGAATGCTATCGAAGAAGCCCTCGAAGGCTTTGGTCTGCGCATAGTCCAAGTTGTCTGTCGCGTTCCTTTAGCAACCGTTGAGGCACACTCCATTACACTTACCTTTCATGTCCTGCTCCATCTGGTCAAGCAAGTCACCCAGGGCTTGCATAGCTTCGATCTTGAAGATGTAGCATCCTTCGACGTAGAACTGGTCCAAGAGAGGCTGAATGTCATCGCGGGCGACATCAAGAAGGCTGGCGTTCCAGTTGGCTTTGCCGCAAGCAGCGGTTTTCCAGTTGCCTATATGTTGTCAGTGCTGTACGTGAACTGCTCAGAGAAGAACTCGCCCTCGTGCTTCATGAACGCAACGTGGCCCGCGTAGGTGTACTGAGTTTTGTTTAGCCATGGGTATGCGAGTGATTAGAGAGTTTCTTACTCTGGACCATCTGTCGCAAAGGTTCCCGGCCTCTCTCAACCACGAGTCCTCGGATGCATCTTTCGCCATTAGTCAAGGCCTCAATAAATGGATAATGGACTTGCTCTTACCAAATTTGACTAGGATCGGGGTAATTGACCGCTTGCAGAGCTCCTGGTGCACCGCGTCGAATTGTTTGCTGATACCCTACATGGTGTTAGCGAGGATCTGCCATGCAAGTAGCAAAGGACTCGCCTTGCGTGCACCATGTACTATCTTGAGCAGATGATCACGTTTCATCATGGGCTTGAACCCAATACAAGACAGCTCCATTTGATTCAGCAGGGACCTGACCTGGGCGCAGTAGTGCTTGAGAATGTCCACCTTTCCAGCCTTGTTTGCGAGCGAGAACAGGTAGGATCGCACATGGGGAATCTCGGTCATCGTGGCAGAGAGTAGAGGAGGCTCCACGGGGGAGAATCCTCTGATATGCTCCATGTAGCATTTGCTGCTTACGCAGAAGACCGGAAGCTCTTGCGGGTCATTGGTCTTCGTGCGGTACCAGTCTTGAAGTGTCTTTCGGACCTTTGCATTGCGTGCCGCCACAAGGATCTCGGTTCGCCTAAAAATCTGTTAGCTGCTGTAAGTCTCAAGAAAACTCTCGAAATGAGCACACTTACTTGCGCTTGATGTTCTTTTGTAGAAACCTGAAGGCTGGTTAGTACTGATATGTTCCAATGCCTGCTGAACACCACTCACATATAGAGGCCCTGCTTATGCGTCAATTCTCGCAGAAAGTCCGAAGGGCTGCCACGGCTGAGCTTCTGTCTGACCGTGCGCAGCTCTTCTTTGACTTCCTTCTCGTACTCGTCAAGGGATCTCAGCTGTGCTTGCTGCTGCGGTGTATAACGTATGCGACCGGATATTTCTTGTTCGATGTCCTAGGACAAAAGTCAGCCTAGCAACCTCTAATACTCAGGATTGACTTACATCCGCTCGTGTGAGCACCACGGCGACGCTTCCATTTCGCTTTCTTCGGAAGACGTTGAGGATGTACTGTTCAACACACCCCTCGTCTTCAGCCCTCTCGATGCTGTGGACGACTATTGCCTGATCGCAACGCCTGAAGTACGAGTTCGCCAATTGCACTCGGTGCTGATTCCCATCAGACACGCCTGGACGAGATTAGTCCATCCGTACAATTGAAGAAGGGATCGTTTTGGTAGTGAGAGCTCACCCGGCAGATCCACGAGGACGTTGCCCTTGGCGAGGACAGGGTTCGAGAGTGACTTCTTGACAAGCCTTACAAATGGCCACACGGAACAATCAAGCGCGGTCCCCTCAATTTCCGGGAAATCGGTTTGCTGAGTAAAGGGCTCAAGAGCCCTATTGAGATCGGCGGCAGTGTTGCGACAGATGCAAGCTACACTTCCTAGCTTCGCGAGCTCATCTAGAATGCTCCTTGTCCAGGCAAGCAGACGCGACAAGATCTTTGGGTCATCTGCCGAGACCGCTCGACTGAGAAAACGAACTGCAGCCTCTTCGTCTTCGAACTCCGGCTTGTCAGCAAACAGGGCCATGAGCATCTTGAGAGCCGTCTTCCCGAGATCGATCGCAGAGATATCCTTTGACAAGTTCTCTGTCGGGGCAAGGCGTGAGTCATAATAGTTAGCGAAGGCTGTCTTGACGATGTCTCCACAGCCAGGTGAAGGAAAGTAAAAGACATACGCGACATGTGGACCCCTCTGCTTCTCTACAGCTTGAACAAAGTCGATTGGTACGAGCGTGCCGGATCCACCGTCGCCGGTCTGAAGAGCTGGTTAGTGCCGTGTTAACTCAGTCCACGCTTGGACATACCTTTAGAGATGCTCCCTCAACGCCAAGGGAAGCATTGATGAGTGACGACTTGCCGACCCCGCAATTGCCGTACAGACAAGTAACCTGAGGTTTCGGATGGGCGGGCACAGCCAGTTGAGCCAAGCACTCCTTCATGTAATTCGACTCTTCATCTTGGTCACCGCTGAGTAAGACCGTCTCTTGGAGGCCGCGGATGATGCCTTTGGCCATGTTTGCAGCTTTGTCGAAAGAGGCGTGGTAGATTGGGAGCTTCGGTAGAGGCTCGGAATTTGGATCATGACAGGCCTGAGAGTCGGCATCGAGCCCTGGGTAATCTTTGCTGAGCTTCTCAAAATGCGTAGCGATCTCTGGGTCGAGATCAGAGACTGATCAAAGTATTAGCGAAAGAAGTGCATTGTAAACAGACTAACCTACACTTGCGCTTCTGCGCGTTCGTGCCGGGTGGAGCAGCGGGGTACATGTACGCCATTGGTGCGGAGCCGACATCGAGAGACAAATCAGGGCCAGGTAGCAGAGCCGTTTGGTCGAGTTCGCAATCGTCCGTAGGTTCGAAGATTGGGCTGTCCATCTTCCATTCGTCCAGCTGAATAGTTTTCGAGAAGTGTGACTGTGTTGTGAGGTATGGGGAGAGTAGTTGGTAAGGTTGAGAAGATGGACAGGCCGAGCAGTCAATATCCGGCTGTTGCTGGGCCCGCCGACGGGTGAGAGAGCAAGGTAAAGGCAGGTACAAGGGACTCATGCCAGAGGAGAGCGGCGGCCATAGACGTGCTGGCAGAGGTGAGAGAACTGAGAGGTCGTAGAGCAGCTGACCCGACACCAATCACGAGATGGGGAGAGCAATCTTCTGCTTCGTTGGAGGAAAAGTCGGCATGCGGCCAATATGGAGAAGCAAGAGCATACCGTGCCCAGCTCTCTTCTGTATCTAAGTGGCAAGAGAGTCTAGCCGATGCCCACCCAATAATGGGACATAGCACCGGCGAACTACCGACCTTGCTCAAGCATGTATAAACTACCTCGGCCTGCTGTCATCTCCTAGAAGGCCTATGCACCATACAAGTACCTTTGTTAGCTACGGGTGTATGCAGGTGGGAGAAGTTTGAGCACTTACTATTAAAGACGTATCCCCCATGTGCAACTTTCCGTCTTAAGCGCTGCCATAGTCCCCGGCACGGGACCGCGGTGGGGTTTATGAAATAGGAAGCGCAGTATCTCAGAAATATAAGGTGCCGGAATAGGAACATCGTTGCGAATAAAGGAACGGGCACGTCAAAACAGAGCTACCGAACCTGGACTGCCGGCGGGATCCTTCGATAACGCGCGAAACGAAGCGATATAATGTGTCTTCTGGTAGATTGCGAGATGGCTGCGCTGCGGTGGTGCGAAATTGTAATGCACAGTGGGCTCGGAATCGCCCAGCCGAAATTCGAGGGTTGAGGGCCTTCAGGACGCCGGTACACTAGACTGAGCTCTGAGAGTTGAATCACTCCAGGAGGCCGGATACGCATGCCATCTCACCCCTGAAAAGAGGTAAGTCAATTGATGCACGGATGACGATGACTCCGCTTATGACTGGCTCTTCGGGTATCGTATCAATGCAACATGGGTCTCACTCCCCTCGCCGCCGTACTTGCTCAAATCCTCAATCGTCTGGCTCCCCTTCTCTTCAAAGCCCAGCCTTTTGTACAAGCGCATGGCGTTGTTATCACTGGCAGTGTCTAGATAGACGACCACATCGTCTTCGTCTGCTTTGGGAAACACCCACTCTATTAGTCTAGAGGCGAGTCCTTTGCCACGATGGTCAGGATGTGTTGCCAGATTTTCTAGGACTTATGCATGGATAAGTTCTTGGATCGATGCATATACGGTCAAGTGTACGTACGGTAGTGCTTCCTTCCCTTTAGCACACCTTTTCGCAACGTCCTCAAGCCAACAGTAAACTCCATGATTAAATCTTTATTACTCTTCTCAGGCAGTTTGTTCCGATATACCTCATCGTTGAACTTGTCCCTCTCCGCCTTTTCCTCTGCAGTCTCTTTTCTCTGTTCCGGATCTTCTTCGGATGGAAATGACCATTGCGCGACAGCTATAACCTCTTGCGTTTCGTGATCCCGCATCACGATGAAGCGAATGTTGGGCTTGACCATATGCTGCTCGATGCGCGGCGCCATATCGGCTGCGAGCGTGGGCGGGTCTACATCGCTGAACTGAAGGCGCGTGAAGGGTGATGTCCAGGATAAAGAGAAGAGGGAGGCAATGGCTTTCGCATCGGCTGGCGAGGCCTCACAGAGAGTATATTCGGAGGCCATGGTTTGCAAGAGATGTCGCGGGGACGAGGCGCGGATGCGTGAGGGAAGTTGTGAGGCTGGTGCCAAGACGCTTGCGACGAATAGGACTAGCCATTGCCCCCGTCTTTCGTGCCGCGGGCATTACCTCTCAGACCATCTCTTCCTCTGTGATTCAGAAGAGCACACCCCCAGCCTCTTCTCTCCCGGTGTATCAATCCATCAAATGACACCGCAACATCATCATCCTTGGCGACTTTTCGAGTGGCCCAGTCACCGCGGCGACTGTAACGACAGATGACATGGCATTCGTCAGTCCCTCCTGCGATCCCCGATGACGCAGACGGTGTGCTATTGTATGGCGCTCTGGCATCCGAAAGATGCAAATGGCGTTCTTCTCTTCCCGATCACGGACGAGTGCTTTTGCAATGCGATACGATGCGTCTTTGCGATTGCCAACAACGATGACGCGTTAAGGCTTTCTCTTTCGTTGTGGACTGAAAGACCTATATACTTGCCACACTTCCCTGGGTCATCTCCCTCCAGAGGTCATCCGCTGCAGCTTGGTACTCCTCCGTGGAAGGGAAGAACTCAAGAGCTTTTCCAAGGTCCTCGACGGTCTTGAGCTTTAAAATCTCAACGACTCTCCGCAAGGTATCCATACACCATAGCCGCCAAGGACTTTCAAAACCGCATGCTTCAAAGCAGTAAAACAGCGTCGCTAGAACGGGTTCTAGGCTCTTTCCTCGAGGCCATGCATGATAGCCCCCAGTACTTTCCAGTAACTCTCTGACTCTTGACATGATTGGATCGGGATTACAACGATGCCAAAGGTATCCCATCCGTGTCCTCGCATGACGGACTGTGGCCCAGACGAACAGCGGCAAGCCGGCTGCCCAAACCTCGAACATTGTTGCCGCTTCCTGCCCTGAATTCCCAGCCGGCAGTGCTCCGGTCCAAGGCCGATCTATCTGGACTCTAACAGCGGTATGCATGGCTTCAAAGACCAAGTTGCTCAAAGCCTGCTGATCGATATCATTGCACCATTCGGAGGATGTTGCCAAGCCTAGTTGATGAAGACGCGTTACGATTTCGAATATAAAGGAAGCATTCTTTGGGAATCGCTTGACCGTTCGCCAAGCACGAATTTGCGCCTCGTCGTGCAAAGCTAACGGGAACGCGCGGACATTGTGGAAAAGCGGAGGCGGGAACCGTGGCGATAGACGCATTGCAGCTGCCAAATAGTAAGTCGCCCTTGTAGAGATTAGCCCTGACTCTCGCTACGGCAACTGCTCTAACCATACCATGTCAGCGTCCTTTGCAATTCGAAATCAACCGTGGTGATTCCTCCTCGCATCTCGATAAGACGCTGCAATGCCTCGACGTGACCCCTCGATTCGTCCCATTGTCCATCAGTAGCCTTGTGATAGTCAGCATTCGTACTCGGAGATCCTGGAACCAACCTACACATCCGTATGCTAACAGGGAAACGGCGAATATGATCGACTGTGGGATACTGTTTCCGCACACTGTCAAAGTATTCTGGACAATTCGCATAGTCTCGCCCTTCGCCTTCAACGTCTCAAAGCTTGGCTCCAGGAGACCAGCTCTTTTGTCTTGGGCTAGGACTGCGATGTACTGCTGTGCGAATGCAGACACTTCATCCTGGGGAGGAGTGGAGCTGAACCCGAACGTAAAAGGTTGTCCATGGCCTGCGGAACAAGAACACATGGTCAGCCATAGCGGACGCAGCCATGGGAAACAACGTGGCTGCCCCGACGGAGACTGCTGGGTGTGATGGCTAACAGACTTCCACTCACCGGAATTCGCCAGTCCGCTATGCCTAGGACCGGAGAATGGTATCGAGAAAGAAAGCGCCGAGAACATTGACCCGACATCAGTCGACGCTGAACGTTCACGTCCGCCCTCCGAGACGGCTGGACTACCCGCACCCTGCCTACTCTCGCGAGATGCGGAACGAGCCGACCTTGCCCGCTGTTTCTCTTCCCTCTTTGTGCCGCTCGCTGTGGCGAATGATCCCTCCCCAGAAACACCGCTCTGCCGTTGCTGCTGCTGGTGCAAATAATTTTTCATAACGTGACTCCGTACAGTTTTCAGATTCTGTTTTGCGGTTGCTACGCTCTCATCGCCAGTCTGCATTATGAACTGGTACTGCGTAGGCGAAGTCGTTCGTGTCGGTGCAGACTCCGGGACCCCAAGTGAGCTTGGAGAGGTCCCGGCTTGCCGACTTGCTGGAAAGGAGGCGAAGCTCGGTGAATGCGGATCTTGATTCGGTGAGTGGGCCATTGTCTTTATCGATGATTGAAAGTAATCGATATGGAGCGTGGTTGACGTGGGTAGTGGCATCCTAAACTTTTTATAGCCGACACAAAGGGTGGCCTGCGATCTGTGAAGAAGAGGGCCCCATAGCCACGATAGGCCGTTCTGACCCAATCCCTTTTCGGTTCGAAGGATTCAATGTTCCACTGTCGTCCTTGCCGGTCGGTTATGGATCATTCATTCCTGCATTCCGCATGAGTCGGATTCTCCACAGTACCGCGTTGGAACAAGCCACCCCAATTACTCGACCACTTGTGCGCTGGTAAGCCGGCCATGCATTTGAGGCTAATGGTACGTGCCGGGATTTACGCCTGTCGAGGCGTTTTTGCGTTTTCAGCTATACGCTGCAGGCTGCGTTGGGGGCCAATTCGCGGTGACGCATCCCGCGTGTTGCGCCTATCCTTGGCCGAGGGCATCATTACGATGCAAGTGCGGAGACAGGCGCGGCTGACGATTCACTCATTAGAATGCCGCTCAAAATTGCACTAAAAAAAAAAGGATTGGTCAGCACCTATTATGGGGTCCTGTGGACTTGAGGCGGACACATCGGTACTTTATCTTGGTCCCATTATTTCCAAAAGGTTGCTAACAGGCACCTAAACAGATCTCAAGCGCATCGCTAGCCTCACTCATCATTCTTGGATTTCGCGTTACATGGTTAACCCCGAATTCTTCATGTTCGAGCATTGCGCATGGCTACTAGGAATTTTGGACTGCGCTTCTGTCACTCATCCACGAGAAGCTTCATTTTGCCAAAAATGATTCTCAACGCGATAGAGTTGAGGACACCGTCGGCGGGAATCTTATCTTGCCTCGTGGAGGACATTTGCATGGCTGTACAGATGCGGATTTCGGCAGCCTCCGCAAACCACCTCTCTCGTGACCCCCACCTTCTTTTCAAAGGAACGCTAACACGCATTAGACTTTCATCACCATTCAGCTGCGATGGCTCAGCAGGACACGGCAGTTTTATTCAGCTTCCGCTACCTCTCCTTCTCCTCATACCACCGAAGAGGTGCACTCAGCGGCATCTCTCTACTCTACACGTCTTTGATAGTGCCTCAGGCTTCACGGTTTGGTGGTAAGGTTACCTCCGTTTACGCTCGACATCCCGCTCCACACAAGCTGTTTAGGTACCAGCGGTTGGAGGGTCTTCAGCCAAACCGTTTCATAGAGGCCAGGACTTCCGTCACTTGCCTTGCTCGTGGGCTCGAGGCTTCCCCACTGCTTCGAATCCGTGCAGCATGCGGAGTTGCTACCCCAGAACGGCCCAGCAGCCCAGGCGGTCCAACCTATGTAGACGTCGTTTTTGTCCATGTAGTTGATGAAGTCGGTGAGCATGCTGGCGCACTGATTGCTTTTAGCACAAGGTCCTTTATATGGAAACCGCGAGACCGTAAACTCACCTGCGTTGTGTTGCTGCCTCCGAATTCCGTAATCATTGCCTATGCAACCGTCAGCGGTGCCAGATCACTCTACCTCAACATCAGAGTCTTACCTTGTACTTATTCTGCTTCAGCCAGTTTGTCACTCCATCCAGCTTCGTCGCCGGCTGAACGCAGTCGGCATGACTTCCGCTGTAGTCTGTGTCGAGGTACTCGTGAATATCAAAGGCTAGATTGTTCGCGGAATCTTTCAACTGAGTCAATTGAGTACTGGGATCACTGCCCTCTGTCCAGGCATGACCGCCAGTCCAGCTGTTTCCAGGAGCCAGAATGAGCTGGTTAGCGCCCGCCTTTCGGATCGCATCAATGGCCGCCTGGTTGTTCTGGATTACGAGCGATGTCTTCATGTCGTGCGGCTCGTTCATCAAACCGAAGATGACTTTCTCGTTGTCCTTGAAGCGGCCGGCGAGTTCGCCCCAGAAGGCGCCGAACTGTACCGTCGTAGCCGCCGTCCTGTCGGCAGTGTCTCCAATAATGGAGCCAGTCATGGGCTGCTGAGAGGGGTCATTGTATCGCATATCTAAACCATGTGAGTAGTGCTCGACTCATGCAACATCTACTAACAGTTATGAGGATCCAGGATGCAGTACGCTCCTTTGGTCTTAGTGACATAGTCGACCGCCTGCTTGAAGTAATCAAAGTGCGTCTCGTTGAACTTTGCTCCAAGCCCACCCGCCACAGGACACATGCGTTCCAGCAGGAAGGCGATTCGGAAGAGATTGATCTGGAGGCCTGTCAAACCCCGTCCAAGAACTTGCACGCTCTTTGGGGAATACCTTGTTCTGATCAACATGAATGTCGATACCCTTCTGGTCGATGAACTGATAGTCGACCCCAAATCGACCCGGCAATCCAAAACCCTTTTGCTTCGTCTGGCTGTACACGCCAAACTCGCCAGAGCTCTCTGCGACGCCGACGTAGAAGAACTTGGCGGAAGCGACGGCCGCCAAAGCGGTGATGGAGGTAAGAGTCTTCAGCAGCATCTTGACTCGGGCACGATCCTATGTTTCTTCATCACATAGGACTCTTAATTCTTTTTATATCTCTCCATTAGGGCATTTCTCCCCAATCTCGAAACATCAAACGATCTTCTTCTAGAATGCTTCCATACATCATTCCTCCGCGTCGAAAAGGGAAACGCGCCCTGATTTACACTGTCGGCAATATATGTATATGAGGGGGGATCTGGTGGTCGGATACCTGAAGCGAGCTCCACGAATCACGGCCAAGGCCGGATATTAATTTCAGGAACCGTTTGAAAGCTTATAGGAGCCGCATAATTTGCTCGTCATTTTCGAAGAGATGCGAAGCTCCAAATGCGGGGTACAGCCCACCGGTCCGACGAAACGGAAAGGTGACTCGGTAGCTCGATTGAGCTGCGGGATCCGCCGCGCCTTTGTTAAACGTTTTTGAAGGCAAGCTGAAGCTTAGTGGTGGCGAGGCATCGCCAAAGTTGGAAACTCTCCCGAATTTGGTTGTGGATGCTTGTGGGAATGGGATGCTTACATTACCAGAGTCTCAGACACTGTCTTCGCTCTAACTTCTCCGGAGAGTATATACGCAACCCGCAGAGAATGGAGACATTTCAGCGTGTCACCAGATCTGCATTTCATCCTTGATACTATGAAGTCAATCATTAGACTTCTCGCCTGAGCTAAGGCCCGCAGCAGCGGCCCAAACGATATCACAGAGCGGCTATGCAAGCTGCACGCCGGGCACCCTTCATCCTTTCGGCTTGAATCTCATCTTGGTTTCACCGCGACCGGAGATAGCGCAATGACATTACACGCGTGTGAGCGGAAATCTGCTAGCGCTCCTTTATTAGCTTACACAGCAGCCACATTCACAGCTTACGACTAGAACCGCACCAGCCACAGGCCACGAATCCTCGGGCGGGATATAGACAGGAACAGTAGATATGCATGACAACTTTGGAACCCAGATATCCATCTCTCGCTCGTAATGCTGCTGGGCGTTTCCGGCGATCCTCGCGCTTCCAGAACCTGCCTCTCCGCGATGACTACACATCCCTAGCTTGTAGTTGGGGTTTAACTCCGAATCACCACTATGCTTTCTCCAACTATATGCGTCTCGATGGGTCGGCACGTCAGTTCGGCCGAATGGAGTCTTCCAGATAGGAGACATTTCGAACACTTTAGTCCAGCATTCATTGCCCTACTAATCTATGCCCACTGTCATTCAACGGGGTCGTGCGCTGTTCTCCTCCTCCTACGACCAGCCAGAATTGCACGGTCGCTACTAATTCCCCAAAGTGCCTCGGCTTTTCATCTCGCGATGCAAACTCCAACAAGAGCTCCCGGCTATCCGCGAAAATGATCTTCGCGGTGCGAACTCTAACAAGCACCCTTCCCGTCGCTTACCCTTACCCACAGCCATAACCACAAACTTGACTCCTAGCCACTGGGGCACGCAGGGATTGCGTCACTTGCGTTTCTCCACGCCGCTATCGAGCTTTGGGTTAACGGCGCGAAAAAGGGAGCTTTGACCTCGAGCGGTCGCGCTTGCTCCCGAGGTCCCGCTTCGCCCTAGACGGCCGCTAATCGACCCGTGGACGAAGGAGCGAAGGAATCCAGGCTAAGACATTATGTCTGTTGGGTTGCGACAAGACCTTTCGGGATAAGGACCTTTCTACGTGACGTGCACAGTCTTCCGGTGGTCGCGAAAATGGAAAGCGCACAACGCCGCGCCGGACTATGCCCGTGGGACATCAAGCGCGCCTGCGAATTACAGCAATTCTTACTCCATATTTTGACCCGAGGAGGGAGGTGGGCGCGGTCGGCTTTGTCTTGGATAAGACTCAGGAAGAGATGCGCATCGTTTGGTACTCGGAGAGGCCTAGGCATTTTTAGTTCCCCAGGATTGCTTGTAGCTAGTAAGAGGTTTGTATCGTCTCTACCTTGATAATATATCGCGGTAGACTCATAACGCAGATCCCGGGCGTGGAGCTGGTGGATGTGAGGGAGTAGATTGCATATCCACTGAACCCATCCTTGCTCTTGTAGGAAATGGTTTCGAGGATGTGGAAGGGCGAGATTTCCCAAGATCGGAACCGTTTCGAGCAGTTCTAAAGGGTTTGATGGGCACTGAGGCACCACTGCTTGTTGCATTCAAAAATGTGGGCTTTTTTTGCTGGTAGTGATCCTGTGGGATCAATTGCGCAGTCGTGTAGACTAGAACTATCCAAGTGGCGTTTGCTTGGCGGCTTGGTGCCTTACGCTGCGAGTTGAGCGCCAAGCCTCTGCGTCAAGGTTATATTGCACGCTACCTTTACGTAGTATATATATTAAATATTGCCAACATCTTTCATCAATTCGTACCCGGATATTGGGGCACTTTGGCGGAGTGGTTATCGCGCAGGTTTGTCTAGCCTCTTCCTCCAACTAGCGTGATACTAATGTCCTACTAGGCCTGCTACATTGTACAGCCTGTTCCTTCGGGAGCCAGGGTTCGAATCCCTGAGGTGTCGCGCTTTACAATTCTTTTTTTATTTTTTTTTATTTTTTTTGGGTGCTAACTCGATACCATCTCGGTATCTCCGCCGTTAATAAAGACATGAGCGTTGGTTCCGGAACTACTGATAAGCTTCGAGATGGGGTTGATAGTTTTGGCGAGCACCAAGAGGTTTTAATGGGAACATTATCCCGATGCTACTGTTACTGCCCTTTCCCTCGGAGCAATGGTAGGCGAAGGACTTTGGGGAGAGTCTACCAGTATTCCTGCGTGCTTTCTCGCGTGTTGTTCGATCTCGGAGACCGTGATCCACGTGACTTCTGGTTCACAGCTACTACTCCTGCTCCGCCTCGCGAGAAGACGACACTAGACTCTACATACTCAACTGGAAAATGTCTTCCTCAATACTGATATTGCACACCGACATGCAAGAACATCGGAATTTCGTCGGGCCGAGGCGCCTTGGCAGCCGGCAGCTCGAAGTTCTCGAATATTCTGCCCGCCTGGATTACTCCCGCTATTTGAACCTCACGACTCCTCTAGCAGCTCTTTTCTTTCGCTGTTGCTGATTGATCACTTTGCCGTAGAGCTCTAGCGACATCATCTGCGCCGTTGGTGAGTCCCGACCAAGTTCTTTGTCCATTTTCTCCGAGTTGAATGATGAAACCCAAGCTGGCACCAGGCCGAGAAGACTTGTACTCTTTTGATGCGGAGACAGCTTTGCGGGAGCATCGCTGCTCCTTGTCCTGACACTCTTTGCCCTTGTTGCGCTTTGAAAGCTGCCATATAAAGCTCGAGCTGACACCGTCAATGGTAGAACCACCCTCCGCACACCCACATTTCCCGCGCGTCGCCATGGTCCTCCACAACCCGAACAACTGGCACTGGGTGAACAAGGATGTGTCGGGATGGGCAAAGGAATATCTCGACAAGGAGCTGCCCCAGATCTCAGCTGAGGAAGATGGAGTCACCGCCAAGGTGGACAGCGTCATGAGCATGGACGGAGACGTGGATGTGAGCCAGCGCAAAGGCAAGGTCATCACCTTGTTCGACGTGAAGCTGAAGCTGGAATACTCTGGTATGTAATCCCTGGGCATACTCGGCACGTTCAGCTTGCTGACCCGGGCGGTAGGTAAGAACCAGGAGGGTGAGGAGGCCAGCGGCACCATCACCGTTCCCGAGGTCGCGCACGATACGGAGGAAGACGAGTATGTCGTATGTTCCCTTCGCTCCCAGTCGCTTCTTTCGGTCAGCATACTTTGACCGGTCCTGCTAACTGCGAGGTCTAGTTTGAGATAGACATCTACTCCGAGGACAAGAGCAAGCAGCCCGTCAAGGATCTTGTCCGATCGAAAATAGTACCACAACTGCGGAAGAGCCTCGCGCAACTGGGCCCGGCTCTCATCGCAGAGCACGGAAAGGACATTCAGCACGCGCCTGGCTCCAATCCCTCGAGCGGCTTCTCAACGCCGAAATACTACTCGAGCTCGAGCATAAACAAGTCCGAGACGACATCCGCCCCGACCGCCTCAAAGACGAGCACCGGCTCTCTGGTCAACACCACGACGATCAACGACTCGGCCGAGTTCCGCACCACCGCAGCCGAGCTCTTCCAGACCTTTACTGACCCTCAGCGCCTCGCCGCTTTCACACGGTCACCACCCAGGAACTTCACCGGCGCTAAGCCGGGAGGCACATTCGAGCTGTTTGGTGGAAACGTATCCGGAGAGTTTACGGAGCTGGAGAAGCCCACACACATTGTGCAGAAGTGGCGTCTTGCGCAGTGGCCGGCAGGGCACTACTCTACGCTCTCGATTTGGTTCGACCAGAATGATGTGGACGCCGTTACCGTCATGAGGGTCGAGTGGAAGGGTGTCCCCGTCGGACAGGAGGAGCCGACGAAGGGTAACTGGGGAGAATACTATGTGAGGAGCATCAAGACTACCTTTGGTTTTGGTACCGTCCTGTAGCCGATGACCAAATGGGAGGAATGGGTGGAAGCGGAGTCGGCGTTTTGGAAGGAGTTACGAATATGACGAAAATCAAAGATGGATATTCAAGGCTAAATCAAAGCTCTAGTAGCATAGACAGTCAATAAACACTGTTCACAGCTATACATTCACATCCTCGGATCCAGGCACAGTGATATTGAGCCCCACACCAGCTGAACACAACAGGCCAATGTACAAGGGCCAATTCGATCAGCGGGCTGTCTCTTGCATCTGTACATCTGTATTTCATATTTCTTTTTGGTCATCAATGTGCGCTTGCTCATGGCCAGCAATGAGCACACCGCCGGACGTGCAATCATACCCAACAGACCTCGAACTCCAAGCCCAGTCAGTTCCTATATCATCCATCCGCGTGTTTACCCGTTATGCGGAAATGCCTGTACATACATTTCATCTCGTCATGATTCCCGTGCTTTCAGACTGAGCATCCATCGAACGGAATGGGCTAGGATTCTCCACTATGCTCCTGTGGGCGCGGGTACTTCGACCGTAACCGGGATTTCGATGGTGACAACGTCTGGCGCCTCAATGCCAGTACTGGTGCTCGTGCTCGTGCTCGTGCTCGTGCTGGTAGACAGAGCTGAGCTCAACTGCAAAGACACAGACCCAGGATCATTCACCTCCGCCCCCGTCCCATTCCAGCTCCATCCCCCACTTGTAGCATTCCAGCCGCCGCTCGTCCCATTAACCCCCGGCCCCTCCACAGGGCTAGAAACATTGCCCGCCGGCGGCGGATTCCCGCGGATCTGCGGCCTATAGCTAAACGGGCCCGTCCAGACCGGCACATCGGCCTCGCCGCGCGGCAGCCGCAGCGGGACGGAGAACACAGTTACATTAAGGCCCGGCGGGGGATCGGAGCGCGGGATCTCGCTGGCGTCGAGCGCCTGGATGCGCCAGTGGAAGTGCTGCTGCAGGTAGCGGGCCACGGCGGCGGGGGCTTGGCTGGGCAGCTCGCCGGCGGCGAATTTCTCGGCGAGCGCGGCGGTCAGCGGGATGCTGGCTGTGAGCAGGACGCCGGAGTGCATGCGCGGCGAGGAGAGGCTGGCCACTTGGCCGATGTAGGTGCGGTCTGTGGGCCAGGAGGCGGGGTCTGGCGGGGGCGCGCCGAGGAAGGCGCGCACGGAGTAGGAGATTTGGATGTCCGAGGGCATGGTTACTTCGGCCAGCCAGTCTGTGGCGTCGGCGCTGTGGTTGTTGTTGTTGTTGTTGTTGTTGTTGTTGTTGTTGTTGTTGTTGTTGTTGCTGGTGCTGGTGCTGAGGGTGGTGATGGTGGTGTTGTTGGCGAGGCCCTGGGTCTGCGGCTTGTAGAGCGCGTTGATGGCGCGCGTCAGCGAGTCGTTGGATGGGTTGGAGACGAGCTCTGGGTAGGTGTAGCCGAAGGATGTCCAGTTGCGGGAGGTGGTCGAGGTCCACATGTCGCCGTTGGCGTTCATGTGGAAGGGCGCGAGAGGCGAGGCGGTGTCTTGCGTGCTGTTTAGCGGGATGGTGTAGGTTGCTTTGGGTTGGAGAGAGGATTCTACCCAGGTGTCTGGGTAGCGGGACTGGTAGAGGGCGATGATGCGGTCCATTTGGCTGCCCCAGTTAGCCGTGTTCATCAGGGCTAGATGTTCATCTTACCAATGGTGAAACCAAAACACGGGATCAAACGCGGATGCTTCGACGATTCCCATATTCCCCAATCCAAACGCATTGTGAAGGCCGTCGTGCAGAGTCTCAATATTGCCAATGTTCCCGCCATTAGCTTTGGTGCTCCACAGATTGAACGCCTGGTAGATGGTAAGCAGCTTGTACAGCATGTCGCGGTTGTTGGGCTGTTGGTTGCTGATGCGCGCATTCGCTTCGTCGTTGCGGCTCGTAGCATTTTCAGCGTAGCCGTCGAGCGGGAACCGGATAGTGGTGTTCCAGTTCTTGAACTGGAATTCGCTCTGGTGAGGATGAGAAAACGAGTCTCTCGAAAAGGTTTTGGAGAGCCAGGGCTGGGACTTACAAGAGCAGAGAAGTCGTCGTATCGTAACGGATGAAAGTTATACTGGTACAGCGGATTCGGAATCTCTCCCACTGTACCATTCGGAAACGTTACCGTGGCAGCCTTCCTTCGAAGGCTGGCTGGCATGACGCCTTCGGTGCCATTCGGAGGGTCGATTGCCCAGTCCCAGTACGGTAGCCGTACTTTATCAGCAATCTTTCGAGCATTATCTCGAGCATCGCCTTCGGGGTATTCGTTGGCAATATCCACGGCTCGCTCATGGAGCACCTGCTCAAACAGGGCAAGATACGGTCTATGCCAGGTTCCGAAGACGTTACTGACATGAGGGCAATAACCCATTAGTCCGTCACCCTTGACACCGTCCCATTCTACAAATGGAGCACCGTGTATCCCTGATTCTGTTAGCAGAGCTCCTTCAAAGGAGCATTTAGCATACCCGCGACCTGAAAGTACGACACCTTGTCGCTTTGATCCATAGCCTGAAATCGCGCAAATGCTTGCAAGAAAATATTCCACGTTTCCGCGTCTTTTTCAAGCTCGCGCAGCTCCCGTCGAGGGTGGACTCCTGTTCCTTGCACTCCAACAACGGAGAAGAAGCTTCCATCATCGGTTCTTGCAACACCGCAGGTAGATCCATTGCTGGGAGAAGCAGCTTGCGAGATGGCGAGCAAATACAGCCAGGACAAAGTGCCAGAGAAAGATCGCATCGTGGCCAGCCGGTAGTGAGCGTAAATGGATCAATCGAGACCCAGAGAAACGAATGTAAATTGAAACGAAAAGAGTGACTGCCACAAGGGCTGAACGGCGACCAAACTTGCCATGAGAGGGACCAGAGCTTTTAAAGGACCCAAAGAAAACTTGGAAATGAAGAGGATGGGAATGCGGGCTTCGCCCTGGTGTCATGTGTTTGAAGATCCGGTTAGTCTTTGTCTTCATTCATGCAAAAGAATGCTCCTCGGCAGAGAGGTGGTGGCGTGGGGTCATTGACGTTCCTGAGGGTTGCCCATGAAACATGTTTGTTTCCTTCACATAGATTGGATTCGATTGGATACAGCCAGGAATAGGAGCCAATCAGCAAGGGTGTTTCGGACATTGTAGCCTTATGCTCAGCCTTGTGCACAGACTGAGCAGTAAGAGGCTTAGAATACACGGCTAGGAAGTCGGGCTCTCCTCGGTGATGATGGCGAGACTAGCATAGAAGCCGCTGATGGTCAGATTAGCACCTTTTCTACATGCTCCACTCGCATACTCACAGATCAGCCAAGTGGATGGGGATACCACAACTTCGCTTCCAGAGACCGTTGGAGATCATTGGTCATGTGGCACAATCCATAATCCTCCACAGCCAAAGTGCACATGATGTTGGTGCAGTATACGTGGAAGAAACAGAAAGGTTGAAAACGGTGGCTGTGCCCTAAGCTGTGGAGACGGATTGGGAGGCAGTGGGAGGCACGGCTGAAATGGGAGGGTGTGGCACGGGCCACGCCTCGGCTGGTGCGACATCCCAAGATGCTCCAACTGCTTCAACCAGATTACACGTCACTGAAATCTCCGGTGATGTCAACTCATAGGTCTTTTTAAGGGACTCGCTTCGTGTAGAGCGCTATCACCACGTGCTGATTGCTAGCCGTGAGCCGCGTGGGGCGTGAAACGAAACAGATTCGACTTCCGAGGCTTCTGGCGAGGTTGAAGGATGAAACAGATCCTGGCACAGCAGACTGTCCTTGGCCCATGAGCGTCTCTAGTTAGTTGAAGCGTGAGCCTGGTCATCATCCTGCTGTGCCTCCGCGGCGTGCTGGGTAACGTACGCTCAGACTTTGCAAGGCTTGCACTGATTGCTAACGAGTTCTCTTGTGTATGCTCAAACCTTTGTAGCTCCTTCAAGTTGGTTCGAGGGTATCTGGCGGGAGTGTTTCATTGTGGACGTCTGAACTTCTGAGCGACCGCTTTGCCAATGCACTTCCTTCAGGCCTTCCCTTGCGCTTCCTCGAGGGGCCGCGATCCGGAGCAACATGCGTGTTTGCCCACTTCTTCACTCTCATAAAGGCCGCGACAACGGCGCCAGGTAGGGCACCCAATTGGTAACTGGATATGCCGCCACCGCTCATGAGAACCTCAATGGTCGTCTTAACTCTGGTAATGGATGGGTTCAGCGACTGTCCGTAGACGGTGTCTCGAAATATGTTGAGGGCGATGTTGCGCAGAAGCAGTATGTCGCCCACTCTGACTCGCTCCAGTGTCTTTACGAGACTGATTTCTCTTGAGCCTTGTAAAGAGTTGCCGTCGGTCGTCGGCCGACTCCAGAACGATACTTTGAAGCCTGACATGGTGTTGTCCGCGACGGTAATCTCGTGAAGATTCATTCTATGGCCGCCTTTCCTGACGACGACTTGCCGTTGCTCAGGCGGTGCCGTTAGAACGCACAAGAAGTTCGGGGTCGGCGTCTGTGGGTAGATTGACCGCAAATGTTGCGGGCTGGGAAGAGCAGCCAGGGACGTGAGCGCTAATGTTGAAGGGATTTGCACAGGTAGATTCTGGTTACTGGCTGTCTCAAGACCATCCATGTCCGAACCCGTTGTTTCGAACGAAGTGCCTAGGAATGAAGACGAGGAAACAGTGTGGTCAAGCTCAGCCTCGGCGGCGAGTTGTGATGATAGCAGGGTATCATGGAAGATGAGGGAATGTTGGACAAAGTCTTGAATACCCGTGTACTGATTGTGGGGAGCCAGTGTCGTGTCAAGGTTCGTGGTATCCTCTGGTATTATGCTCGCCGCATCTTCCACGTCGGGGATCGAGAATGACAGATCCGGATTGCTTCCGTGGACTGGGCCTACTGGGAGATACGGCTGTGACCAGCCAGTACGGAGACGCGTGTCCTTGGCTGCAAGGCGTCGCCATTTCAGCGGAGGCGCAGTGCCTTGCTCCTGAGAGGACTGATATGGTTTCTCATAGAGGAACTGCTCGATCTGCTCGGCGGCGAGCAAGGTTTCCGGGCCAAAGTCGAGCTGCTCGCATAAAGGAGCCCCGTTGAGCGTTCTCAGCCTCATTGGTGGACGTGCGTTTCGTGTTTGCGCGTCCCGCAGCGTTGACGTGGGCGTGTACGAAAGGAGACGATTGCTGCCTGAAGAGCTTCGGTATGTTTAACCGGGTCTGATGCAGGCAGAGGCCAATGAAAAGGGACGAGATGGGAGTCGGAGATAACAGTCGTTGAGGTCGGAGATGAGGCAAGGCCGAGCAGCGTCGCTCCCGAGCCGGAGGAGCTAGTATTCACCGGCCACACATCCGACCTGACTTTAAATGGCCGACGACCCTCGAGGAATGCCTTGAGAAAGTAATATCCTTCGAGACGCTCTTCAGACGTTGAAGGACGGTGCTTCGTACAACGACTGCCGGCTGCCGAATGCACACATGCGTAATCGCGCCTTAATTCCGCTATAGTCTTGGCAATCTTATCAGATTATAAAGTTCCGACACCCCAATGGCTCCCCCGGACGCGACACAGAAGCCATTCAACGCCTATAGAATGTCGGCGGCTCTGAAGAACATCTACTACAGGCTCACTCCGTCGTCGTCTAGTGTGTCAGTCGCTACACAGAAGAACCCGGGCGAGTTTTCCAAAGCGCGGACCACCGACGCGTTATTCCCCACCACCGACCCCGCCGTCGACGGAGAAGACTGTCTGCACGACTGCGCGAGCTGCACAATCAAATACCCGAGCAAGTTCTCGATCGACGAGACAGAGGAGCTGTATGGCCACGTGAAGGGCTGGAGCACGCATTTGGTCGTAGCCACCGGGAAGACGGACTGGGTGCGCGATGTCGCGGACGAGAAGGGGAGCATCATGGAGGCGGTGGACAAGGGCCACGTGAAGCCGAGCAACGGGGTAAGCTCTCCTCGCCGCATTCCGCAATTGATGCTCATGGACGCTCGGGCGATTAGAAACTCATGCTTTCGGCCTCCAACATTCCCGTCCCCGAGCATTCAGACCACAGCACCACGGTGCTCCTCCTTCCTTCGTTCCAGTTCATCGACAACGTCACGCCCGAAAACACGCCCGAGCTCATCACCGGCTTCGTGAACAAGGGGCCGACAAACACGTCGCCCCTTCGGCGCGCTTCCAAACGTACGCCTTCGCCGGAACAACTTTCCCGACAGAATGCCGAACCCTCCTCCGCCGACGCCGCACCTGCAATACCGCCCACAGTGTCCACGTCGAACCTCAAGGCTCGACCGTGTCCACACAAATATCTCATCCTAATGTGCAGTCAAAAGACCCGCGACGCGCGCTGCGGCCAGTCCGCGCCCCTCCTCCGCCGCGAATTCGAGCGACACTTAAGACCTCTAGGCCTGTATCGCGATCTGCACGACGAGCGGCCCGGCGGCGTAGGGATATACTTTATAAGCCACGTCGGCGGGCACAAGTTCTCCGCGAACATCATGGTGTACCGCAAGGCATCTGCCATAGAGCGACCGAAGCAGCTCAACGGCCATGCCGACGGGCTCGAAGAGACGCTTGAGAAGCTCAAAGTGGAGGACGACAAGGGCAAAGAGGTCGTCCTGGATGTGAACAAAGCGCAGAAGGAGGAGGGCAACGGCGAGGCAGCGCAGTGCATCTGGCTCGCCCGTGTCCGACCAGAGGACTGCGAAAACATCATCAGGTACACCGTCCTGCAAGGCAAGGTTGTGAAGCCGGCATCCCAGCTGAGAGGAGGGTTCGACCGCTGCAAGCAAGTGGTGAGCTGGTGATATCTGCGCATCTTTTCCGACTTGGCATCTTGAGCGTTAGGTGCCGCATATAGACATACCGTCTAGACCTTTTAATAGAGCAGTATAGCATTTCGCAAGGGGCGCTATAGGTGCAGCTCCGGGATAGTCTGCCTGCAGACTGCAGTGGTTCGAATGTGCCTCGAGTGACACGACCTGCAAGTGGTAGGCTGTTCCCCTAGAGATTAACGAAAACGCCTCGCCCCCAAGAAGGCTTGCATGCCGAGCCGCATCATGGAAACGCTCATGTCTGGAGCGGCGCAAAATCTCTCATCCAACAAAATAGAAAACCTCTCTAGCTATATTGCAGGTGTCTCTCAACGGCATACTTTTTCGCGACGTACCTCACCATGACGAAGGACAACATGCGCGGGCAGGTATTGTTATCTAGGCGCCGACGACGCTTTTCCGATTCTAACTTGATCGCCAGACCGTATTTATTACTGGAGGCTCTCGAGGCCTAGGGAAAGAAATTGCGAAGATCCTCGTCTCTCGGGGTATGTGAAGTCACCCACGCGACGAGCAAGATACTCATATAACAAGGTGCCCACGTCACCATCTTTGCTCGCTCGCCAGCAACACTTGAGCAGGCCAGAAACAGCATCATCGCGCATAGGCTTGATCAGCGCCAGGAAGTTAATGCGGTCTCCGTGGACTTGAGCGATGCTTCCAAGGTCTATCACCTTTTTCCACTTTCGCATCGGGTTTGCTTTATCGCTGAACCGCTGTACAGGTTGAAAGCGTCTTCAAGTCCCAACCTCGAACTCCCGATGCGTTATACTGCGTTGCCGGCGGCAGTGCCGCTGAGTGTGGTTTCATGACGCAAATCCAGCCGTCGGATCTCGACACTTGCATGAAGAACAACTACTTCACCTCAGCATACGCCGCACAAGCGGTGCTTAAGTCCTGGACTGCGAGCGATGATGCCCCGGCGAGGGAAACACTGAATCGCAAGGTACGGCGGATCGTCTTTGTCAACAGCGTAGCGGCCCTGTGTCCGCTGCCAGGCTATACAGCCTACGCACGTGGGTCTTCAATGCCAAAAGAAACGAGAGCCTCTTCATGCTCATTTCCCGCAGCCGCGAAGTGTGCCGTCCGCGCTCTCGCCGACACGCTGAGGATGGAAGTCCTGCGCTACTCCAACTCCGCCGTAACCTACAAGATCCACTGTGCATTCCCTTCGAACTTCATCTCCGAATCGTTCATCGAAGAGCAGGAGCGCAAGCCCGCACTCACCAAGCGCATCGAAGGAACAACGGGCGCAATTTCAGAGCTGGAGAAAAAGTTTCCCTCCGCTGAGAAGATGGCGGGAAAGATACTCGCTGGGGTGCAGAGCGGCGATTTCGCTGTCTGTGACGACTCCGTCGAGAGCGGGCTTTTTTGGGCGAATATGGTTGGGACGTCGCCGAAGCGGGGGTGGGGAGTCGTGGATTCGCTGTATGCATTTGTGGTTGGGTTGTTCGTTTGGCCGGTACTGCGGAGGTATTTCGACTCTTTGTGTAGAGCGGATGGCGAGTAATACCAGTACTTCCCTGGGTTGATGAGTCTGAATCATAGTAGGTACTGTACCATTTGAGCAATATCGCTATCTTTGAGCAAGACGACCCCCTAAATCAGGCCAAACACTGCGCGCCGCTGTGCATCTCTCTGGATCCACAAATCGTAGGGAGTGTGGACGTTTTTCTTGAAATTTGATCCAGGGTGATGAGTGTAGCTGCATACGACTGAACACACTCAAGTGGATCGGGTGCCCACTGCCAGATCATATTGAGCCTGACGAAGTGGAAATTGAGGTCCACACAACCGGTTTGAACGTTATAATATGTGCAATTCACAGTGCGTGGCCTCCTTCACACACACACACTAATCCGCGTTAGGGCGTTCTTGTTGCTCTCAAGATCATAGAATACCCTCCACCTACACTCGGCTGGGAAGGGGCCGGTATCATTACGCGAGTTGGCGCCGAAGTCAGTGATATCAGGGTGAGCGACTGTGTAGCTGCATTTGGTCCCAATATGCTAGCAACCATGGTGACGGCGAAGGCAGCTGGCGTCTTCAAGATACCTGACGCTATGAGCTTGCGTGAAGCCTCGTCTACGTTCTTCTCCTATTTGACTGCGGTCTACTCTTCGATGACCATAGGCGGTCTCGAGAAAGGACAGGTATGTGATTTATTTCCTCTAATCACCAGATGCCTAACAAATCATAGTCCGTACTCATACACAGCGCATGTGGCGGTGTAGGCCTCGCTGCTATCCAAATCACGAGATTGCTCGAATTGGGCATTTACGCTACCGTTGGCTCCGAAGAGAAGACACAATTCTTGATGCTGAACTACGGCATACCAAGGCATCGCGTCTTTGGCTCCCGAGACGCGTCTTTTGAGAAAGGGATGATGCGCGAGACACATGGCAAAAGTGTTGATCTGGTCCTGAACTCCGTCGCTGGTGAGCTCCCCCACGCGTCGTGGAGATACGTCGCCCAGTTCGGCAAGTTGATTGAGCTTGGGAAAAGAGGCCATATCGGGCATGGTAAACTCGATATGGGGGGTTTTCTGGGAAATCGCTATTGCTCTGTCTACATGGGACCTTTCCCGTTCATCATCAAACTCTGTCTCGGTATGTTATTGAACCTTACGGCTGGGTGGCTATATACCACAACATCAATCCCTTCCAGTTTCGGTCTCTGCCACTTCCACCTCGCTCAAAGCATACGTCGTGAGCGTAAGAGAGACTCCCTCTATCCTCAAGACGTCGGAAGCTAGCTCCTTCTTCGCGGTCGAGATCGGTAAGAAGCTTTCCCAACTTCTACTCTAGCTAGAGGAAGGCCTACACCTCAGCATGTGTTTTCCCAGGCTAGGAGTAGACTCGCTGTTAAGAATTGAGCTAAGGTAGTGGTGGAGCGAGGTGTTTGATTTTGACATCAATGTGCTAGAGATGCTAGGAACAGGCACGCCAGACGCACTGGGGAAGTTTGCAGCTGAGGGCTTGTTGAATCAGGTGGTGGAGTGAGGTCCTTGAGGCGGTGTCATGTAGGGAGGGAGCTCCTCACATGGATAGCGGGGTTCATGCTTGACTTTATAAACCAGGATATTCCTCCAGATCGCTGAGCCTGTTTACGCAGGCGTCAAGTGACAATTCTCTGATTCACCTTGAGTGGCGTGTACGGATCCGTTATCTCGAGGTCCTGTGCGTACTGACTAAGTATTTTGACATTGGCAAGATGTTTGTAACATGATTTGGCAACAACAGCTTTTCGATTGCGAAGTGATGCATACGGGTTTGAATTTAAGCGGCAGGGGCAAGAGAAGTTGCTCTGCCTTGTCTTACTTGCAAGTAACGGTCAGGCTTCAAGCAAAGCAGAAGGAAATACTGCGGCAATGAGCTTATGGCTCGACTATTTCGACAGCCTGATGTAGCCCGCCGCTCGCAACACGCCATGGAAAGCAGCGCTCAGCACCATGGAGATCATGAGGAACCACGGAAAGATATCCATAAGCGTCTCATGAACGCTCTCGCCGCAAGCCCAGCCCACAATGAACGCGCTCGCGGCCCCAGTAAGAACCACCCAAAACTGGTATCTATCGGCCCTGTGGAGGTGGTAGAATCCGTGCATGGCTGCGCTGTAGACGATGCAGGCGGCGAGGAGCTGGAGGGGTCCCGGGTCGCGGACGTAATGAGGGAGTTCGGCTGTGTCACCCTGTGCGTGGTTAGTATTGGGCTGTTTTCTTGACAATAACGTTGGAATATTGGGCTCACAGAGCTATGTGGCGTGGAAAGCCGGCCGATGATCTTTTCGAGCAGCCGCAGTATCCCGTTGCTCGGATTCCTCGCGGGCAGATTGCTATTGAGGAGTCGCTGCGCTGTTGTCGGGTTGTGGTACTTCTTCAAGACCAAGATGGGCGGTGCTGCCGCGAGCAAGGTGACTGCTCGAATGGCCCATCGAGGTCTGCGAGCCATCCCCAAATTTACGACACTGCTAACACGGGAGGCTCCAGGAATCCACCGTGCTCGGAGCGGTTGGGTGCTGCGATAGTTGGAGCTGCAACTTGGAGTCAGCCACGAGGCTGAGGCTTCAGCGGGCTTGTATCTCTGGAACGACTTTACCTGCGTCTGTTGCCGCCTTTCTCGGACATAAGCTCGGAGTCCATGGTGTACGCTTGAACAACTGTGAGAATTCGGAGAAAGCGCACTGAAGAGGTTGGCGACAGGCTTGATATCCAGGTAGCGGCTGCAGATGAGGGGCATGCTTCCCTTATGTCATCCTCTCCCCGCGGTGCAGGTGCACAGCCTGACTTTTCGAGGACTCGACACCAATATCAGCTTCCGACCCTCAAGAGAAAGCTGAGGTCGTCTCCATACTTTCAATCCCCGCGACGACGCACGCAATCCCCGCGGATACGCCCACCTCGCTACTTTCAGCCTTCCGTAGGCTTATAACCGCAACCACCCCTCCGGTGGAATCCCTCGGTCTCAGCGCGACACTGTTGACACAAAGTTTACTCAGCCAAGCAAGCATCATGGGCCCCTCCGAGATACCGGGCAAGGTCGATGTGCGTACGGACCCTCCTTTCCCGGCGGCTGCACAGCAAGCTAACTTGGATGCATGCAGGACCATGACCACCTATTTCAAGTGGCGGCGAACATGGGGAAACGGTTCGACTTCTCCCTGAACGTACCGGCGATGACGTTGGATATGATTTGGTGCTCCATTCTTACCGAAGTCTCCATCTGCGTGGGAGACAACGAGGAGGCGCTCCGGGAATATGATAAGCTGGCCAGGGAAGCCGTGGGTCTTATACCGGTTGACCCCACCTTGGATGGAGACAAGTGGGTATACAAACACCTGCTGCTCCTCACTGAGGCCATGATTGAATGGACAGCTCGCGGGTTCAGCGGGCGCGAAATGTTTGGCGAATCCAAGCGTTTCGAGATGGAGCTAGTCCAGCACATGGAGGCCTACCTGAAGGGAAAGGGCCTATTCGTCAATGGGCTCAAGGCTACACCACAGCCCAGCGATTCACTCAAGGACTTGATCCTGCATGCTCGAGTCATGAGGAAGGCCCTGGAGCTGAAGGACGGCAACCTTGGAGCTCACATCATCGTCCTCTCGCGCCCGGATGATTACGTACCCGTTTGTTCTACCGAGCTTGGAGCCTTTGCGAAGCCTGAGTACGGGCCGACGCTTGCCGACACGACAGTGAATACCGCCAATGAGCCAGGCGGCGGGAAGTTCCTCCACAAGTTGGTGGGCGCCGTCCTTGACAAAGTGGCCATGGCGAACAACCAAGCAAAGTATGATGAACCTGGGGCCTGGATCCCAGAAGACGGAGTCGCTTTCCAAGGCGGGCTACGGGATCCGACCGATATCTCGCCCACCATCAAGAAGCACGTCGTCATTTTAGGGGAGCCAAAGGCCGAGATCCGCCAGCGTAAAGATGCACCGGATCTGTATGGACAGTATCAAGCCGCCATGAAGCTCCATCCGTTGGAATGGGCCGACCCCAAAACATTCACGTTCAACGAACGAATGTTGCGGAAGGAAGACTTTGGATCGTCAGACGAACCTGCCAAGAACAAATACGTCACGTTTGGCAATGTTGTATCTGCGGCGGGACGCTCCCTGCTCCATAATCCCCGCAATGCCGCTATGCTCGGGGGTATTGCAGTCCTGGCGTCCCTTCCAGGTGCCGCTGCCCAAGCGCACATCTCAGACGCCGGAATCCCGGCCGCCAACGCTTTCGCGGGTGGTTTCGGTCTGGCCATTGCCGGTTTCCGCGACGGCCGCGCAATTGGAAATGCCCTGTATTACTCTGTTTACGGCGGCTGGGGCCTTACATGCGCTCTGGCTATCGGATTTAGCGCGTCGAGTGTCATCCCTGGGAAGAGGTCCCGCTACCTTGGTCTCCTGGCGGCGATTGAGGGTTTGGTTCTCGCCGTCATCGCGGCTTCCTCCGCCGATGATATGGACCACATGCTCGAGCGTCTCAAGACGTGGACCCCGCTGACTACTCTGCTATGTGCCGGCGCGCTGTTGATGGGCTTTGACCGCATCCAGGCCAACGGAGACCATCGCGCTCATGAGTGTTGATGGGCTATGATCGAGACGGCAATAGGAAGGATTGACAAAGAGGATAAAGACTTCGCATTTGATATAAAGGACGCATGGGAAAATAGACGATTCCGAGCTCGTATATGAGCTCACCCTTCCCATCGAGTGCCGTCTGGCCATGTGCAACGTTGGAGTGATCCCTAGTGTTCTTAGAACTGCAGCACATGGAACGTTACTTACGCAGATTCGTTCCTCCTACCAGCGGAAGACCGACCGAATTGTCGACATCGCAATGGATATCCGAGATTTAGAGAATTGCTGGTAGATATCTCCGTTACCCTTTGGACAGGCACCACTACGGTAAGGCTCCAACCAGTATTAGGGGGAAAGCTAGGGCCCCTATTTAGCTAACTTCTCCAGGCCTATTAGAGGTATAAGCTCTATTTTCTAATTAGCTATAGAGATAGACGCAACCTCGAAAGCTGTATCACCTATCAGGGCTAAAGCAGAGATATTCTATCACTGTGCCTGACGTTGCCGCTTTCCCATTCGTGCGAACATGTCCGACCCTTTTTGGTTCGGAACAAGTGTGTCAGCAAGCTTGAAATCACTGTCTTCCCCTTTCTCCACCACTGTCTTGGCGGCACCTGTGTACGGGCAAAGGGTTAGCTTCGTACGTATTTCTCTCCCACGGAAGCTGTTACTCACCCAAGCCCCATTCCCGAAAGTTGCCGTAGATGGTTTCGTAACAGCCTTTTGGGGCGTGGTACAGCTCGTGCATCACGCCCACGTAGGGATACTTGCCCGCATTGTAGCCGTCCTGGCCGACGCGGTGGGCTGCTGCTGCGGCGAAGGCGTGGAGGCCTTTTAGGTCCTGGGTGGTGGAGGGGTTAGTGGGGTGTTTGAGGTGTAGGACTATAGAGGGGATTTGCTTACTGCGAACAAGTCAGCACAGCTCTATCACTCCTCGTACCGCAGTCTTGCTGGCGTACCTCTCCAGTACGTGATCCACACCGTAGTCGTTCCCTCGCCGTCCGACGTATCGCCCAACGTGCCCGTCCTCCCGAGATCTAGAACGACTTAATCAAAAGGCCCGCAGTAACTGTAGTAGGGAGGGGAAGCGCCTTGCACCCCCATCTCTCGCGGTTCTTCTCCGCCTCGCGCCACATGTCCTTGAACACGACGTCCAGCGGCGTCGTACCCGGCGCCAGCTTCCCGAACGGACTGTACTTTGTCAGTACATGATTTCTGCACCACACCGCGGCTTAAGCCAGCCAGTGTCCAAACGCAAACGCACTGATTCAGCCGCGCACCCAGCACAAACACCACAACGCCATCAGCCGCCTCAGGCAAGCGCGTCGTAAACCGGCCCCGCTTCACGTCGGTAAACGACGAGCGGAAGACATCGCGGCTGTCATAGGCGGATTTGACGAGGCAGTATGCTAGCCAGAGGAGAGGCAGCGTGGCGCTTAGACGGAGGGGCAGGTATGCTTGGATGAGGAGCTGCAGCGCGGCGCCGAAGGCGAGGAATGTGGGGAGCGAGAAATCGGTCTTCTCGAGGATGTCGTGGAATTGGGCGTGGAGGTCCTGGGCGCCTTGGAGGAGGGCGCGGAAGGCCATGGTGAGGTGGAATAGTGATGGTAGTGCTGGGGTGGAGATGGAAGTTGGGGGAATTGATGCTTCATGTTGTGCTTGGATGTAGTAGTAGGAGATGGCACAGCGGGGGCGCACTGCGCCGCACGCCTTAGCATTGCTGTGCCACAACAACGGCTCAGGTGTTCATCAGCCAGGTGCTTGTCCACATTCTTGGGTTATTCTATCCCGAACGGGTGGAGAGGGGGATGGCAGAACTCCACGGCGATGAAAAAGGATTATTTATACCTAGGTTCGGGATGTGAGGCTAACCGTGTTGGGAAGTGGAACCGGCGCTCGCTCGCTCTGTCATCTATACAACTGCACCTGCTGCCCCCGTCGTTGCTACCATCCGATCTCATACAATCGGGTGGAGCCGCACGAGTAGGTTTCCGCCTTTGAACTGGATAGCTTATTGCTGAGCTTCGCTGTGAAAGGCACTCACTGATGCACGATAGGCGCAAGACCGCATCCAACAATCCGGCGACCCATTTCTCCTAAAAACCCCCACTTGGCGTGAAGCCATCGCGCAAGGCATAATTTCAGGCCCATTCGCAGAGGACTGGGCTGATCATTCATTCCAAACGCACATAATACCAGTTTGGATACGGATCCAGTACAGCTTGTACCTGGCTTCTCATCTCATCTCCTCGGGCTTCACTGCATTTTTTCGAACGCCCGACTATGCCCAAAGGTCAGAGCAGGGTTCGATTGGCGCTTCACGGTTGCAATACGACAGAGCAGAGCGACGCATCGATCGAGGCGATTTTGTGAATGGGCCAGAGGAATGCTGGAGCTTGAAGACCGGGATGTGAGCGACGAGATGCCGTGACGCTTAACGCTTAACGCTTAACGCTTAACGCTTAACGATTTAGATATCTGCCCAAGTTTGGTACCACGTTGAATGCCGGCGTCGAGGTGATCTAGCGACGGGCCGCTACACGTCCCGCTAGCATACTTACTCTTGACGGACACTGCAAGAGCCTGACCAATAACTACGCGTGACCCGATCCGGCGATTCGACACGAGGAATGGCTGCAATGCTACCGACTAGCTGGGATGCCATGCAGGTTAGTCAAAACGGGTAATCGTCCACACTTCCACGCCCAACACGCCACAGCACTGAAATTTGATAGGTTGCGAATCCTCTTCTATACGATTATAAGTTACACCACATCCCATCTACGTATTCTGCCTACATTTCCGGTCGTTCATCTTCTCATCAATTTTCGGCCCCCATGCAGTTGGGGTCCCAGCTCGGTTAGGATCAGCGTTTCGGACGACGCCACGCTGTAGCATCTCGCATTTCTCCGACCACTACAGTCGCTTGACCACCAAAACTGTGTTACCACATCTGTAAGGCCGCCCATATGACGCAATATTCGATCACGGTCTCCAGAGTCGATGGAGAGCTTCAAAAGGGCCTTTTGAAGATTTGCTCTCCACCTGCTTCTCTCCAAGCACATTCCCAGCCGTCAGCATGGCCAAAAGCGCGCAGGGAGGCATATTTTGCTACGACATTGGCAACACAACCAAGGGATTCGACTGCTGCTTTCCAGACAACCAAGGCGCCCAAATATGCAGCGACACTTTCCTGGCCAACACTCACACGACCTTCTCCTGCCTAAAAGACGGCGACTGCATCGCGGCCTGTCGCAATGTTTCTTCCATCTACGTATCTCTCAACCAAATCGATCCATACCAGGGCGATGGACAGGGCCCTATCCATCGATATCAAACATGCGCCAATGTACCCGCCATGGCCGGCTATCTGTCACAGGAGAACGTGCTGGAACCGAACATTTCGTCCGCGATTGCGCAACATATGCCCGTGCATACCTCAGTCGATGACTTGATGAACATCACGTCGGGGGTTACCGAGTGCTTGACTGCGACTTGCCACAATGCGAGGAATGATGCAAATTGCAGTACGCCGTGCGCAGCGGTTAATCTGCTCTTGAATTACACGACGCCAAATGTAACGGGCATCAATGAGTGCCTGGGCGAGCTGTGCAATGGCCGGTACAACTCGTTGCCTTTTGCGGATGCGGACGTTGTTGGGATTGGGGTAAGCACAAACCCTACGATATTGGCGTTCACTCCTAATAGCACAGGTCTTTGCTTCCTATCTCATGCAATGCATGTTCGTCGTCGTACTCTGGCTCGGCCTTTCCGGGTTCGAATTCTACAACCACTGCCGCCGCCGCCGTCGCCACGCACATCTAGCGTCAACCCCAGAACGCATGCCTGAAAAGCCAAAACCCGACCAGCCGGGCCAACCCACGCCGCCAGAAGCCCCAGAAGCCCCAGAGCCGCTCATCCACCAACGCACCTTTGAAGCCTTTCTCGTCGAATTTCACAAATCCCAGTGCTACTTCAGCGCTACCATCCAAATTGCCTCCCTCGCCTACGGCATCTTCACCACCGACATGCTCATCACCTTTATGCTCACGCCCCTCGCGACCAACGGCGTGCTCCCCGTCGTCTTCGCCTTCGTCCTGCTCTTCCGCTGCGGCAAGTCGACCATGGACGCCACCATCCTCACAACCTTCACCTGGCTCCTCGCCTCCATTGTGTACTGGATCCTGTACTCCAACATCATCCCCATCAACCAGGACATCAGAGGCGACCAGAAAAGATATCGCGCGTACCAGCAATTCATGTACAAGCTGAGCGCTCTTGACGCATGCGGGGGGTTCTCGGCGCTGGCGGTTTGCCCGGACAATTTCTACCTGGGAAGAGATGACATCTTTGCCGCGAGCCATAATCTGCGGGTGCTGACACCGATTATCTGGACCTTCTCGACGGTGTGCCTACTCGCCACCCTAGCCGGCAAGTTGACCAAATGGCGCCGTGGGCGAGGCTATCAGAGCGCCCAGCAGAGCGAAGTCGACGCCGCCGAAGAGGGAACCTCCACCGGCCGTCCTACCGGAGACCACCACCCACCCTTTTTCCGCTCGCGTCTCGGCGCCTCGATCACGTACTGGCTCGTTACGTTCTGCTTTCTCGCCGGCATCGGCATGCAGATGTCGCTGCTTTCTATTGGGACGAGCTTGCATATGATGAATAGGATGCATTGGAGTTTTGGACAGATTGTCGCGGTGACGATTTGGGCGCCGCCGTTGCTGGGGTATTTGTATGATGAGTTGAAGGAGATTTTGAGGACGAGGTGGGGCGTTGGTGAGTAGTTTTATTTTACGTTGAGGATCTATACTGATGGTGACTAGGGGATATTCCGAGATAAGTGAATAAGATCTTCGAAGGAGGTGTGCTACTATCCTTGATCTTGATGGCGTTCTCCAAAACGGGTTCCTAAATACCCCCATTCGTACTTTGCCCACTGGCGGCGGAATTTGTTCAGGTCACGTTCCTCACGCTGGGATCGCAGTGAACTGCTCAATGTTATAGCAGAAGCTAGACCTTAGCGCGGCTGAAAGTGTTAATGCGATTCTTTTCAGCGTCTTGCTGGCGCGTTTTGCCGACTCGATGAATGCAGCTCTTACAGAATGCAGTCGTTGATACTATGGCAGTGGTAACCAACAGCGCCTCTTTCGAGTTCCCAATCACCGAAAGAGCGAAGGCAAAGAGGAACGGGTCCGCGTCCCGCATCAAACCCGTAAAATCCTGCCGGCTAACTTACTCATAACACCCTAGCATACCTACTCTAAGCTACCGCTACCAAGCTTCTCTGCCACCGACGAACCCAGCGCCTCGATTGCCCCTCCTCCCAAAATCTCGAATATAGGCACGTCGGTTCCCAGGGCCTTTAGGAACCAGTTCCGCAACTCTACTGCAACCAGCGAGTCTACACCATGGGCATGCATCGGCTTCCCTGCATCGATATCTTCGAGCGGGCGAGAGAGGATACAGGACAGCTTCTCGCGGATAGCGTGCGTGATGACAGTGATTGCTTCCGTGCGGGTTTTTGCGGCACTAAGAGCACCGGAAAGGTCGGTGTTGGATGTAGAAGGTGGAGTACCCGCATTACTGTTGGTGGATTTGATCTGACGAAGCTGAGAGAACATCGGCCTGTCCACCCACGAAGGAAGCTCCTCTCCCTTGGCCGTGATATCCCTTGGGAGCGAAAGACCCATGACGATCTGGCTCTTCATTTCCTCAATGCTCAGGTCCGGATTGCAATAGTACTCCAACACGGTAAACAGATCCGTCTGAGACATTGGGAGCAGCTTTTTAAACCTCACATACTGGTCCAACGTGTCCTGGTGGTTTGTGAAATAACCTTCATCATTCATGACGCTGAGGTTGAAGGACACGGCTTTTTGACCGCAAGAGAGTCGGAAGGCGGCTAAGGCGTCTTGGTAGGTGTTACCGGCGGCGTAATTGGCTTGGCCACCGGAGCCAATGATGCCGCTCGCAGAGGAGAGCAGGATAAAGAAGTCAAGGTCTGGCGGCAGGGTTATATGCAGATTCCAGGAGCCGTGTACTTTTGGCGTGATCGCAGCCGTCCAATCTGTATAGGCCATGGATGGGAAAAGAGCGTCCTACAAGTAAGATTAGCACCAAGCACGCCACATGAGCAGATATTACGCACCCGGATGACCATGGCACCTTGGATACAGCCCCTAATGGGTGGCATATTCGTAGTTGCAAAATCGAGGGCTCTGCGAAGAGCGCAGACATCGGTAATATCGCAGGCCGGAGCTTCGACACGAACACCGATCGAATGCATTTCGGCGATGAAGACTTTGGCCTCTTCTGTGTGCGCACCTTGCCTAGAGAGCAGGAATAGATTCCGGGCGCCCTTATCGCACATCCACCTGGCAATGCTTCTGCCCTGGCCGCCCAGGCCGCCAGAGATTACATATGTCGCATCAGCTCGGAAGCACAACCCGCAAGATGGAGACATATATGCCTATAGTCGAGTTAGTGTCTAAATAGGCACTCTGAGGATTTCTTGGTAAGACTCACCGGAACAATGGCATTTTGATCAACGTCGATAGCAGCGCATCCTGCATTCAGCCCACTCTGAAGATACCGGAAAGCATCTTCAACCTCATGAATCGGGAAGACGCGGAGCGGGGACGCGACGCTGATTTGCTTTCGCGCGAGCAAATTCACCACCGCGGCCAACGCCTTTTGGATGAGCCGTGGCCGTTCCCTGGTCATTGCCGCAATATCGACGGCAGAGAAAGACACATTTTTCGCGAACTGAAACATGGGTAGCTTCTCATGCGAGAAGATATCTCGCTTCCCTATCTCGAGGAATCGTCCATAGGGAGCGATGCAGCCCCACGATGCTCGTAGCTCATCCCCAGCAAGTGAGTTGAGTATCAGATCGACACCGCGACCGCCGGTACGGCGCCTGATACCGTGGGCAAACGACGCATCCCGGCTATAGAAGATGTTGCCATCCGGGATGCCGTATGTGGACATAACCAATTCTTTCTTGTGCTGGCTTCCGACGGTGACGAAGACTTCCGCCTTGATATGTTGAGCGATCTGAATTGCAGCTTGTCCAGTACCGCCAGCACCAGCGTGAATAAGGACGGACTCGCCCTCAGTTAGCCGACCGACTTCGATCAACGCATGATAGGCCGTCACGAAGTTAGTTGGAACCTTGGCAGCCTCAAGAAAGCCGATTCCGTCCGGAAGTTTCGCTACGAGTGCCTCCTCACAGCGAATGGTGCTTCGATAGGTATCGAGCGCGGCCACCATCACTCTATCGCCAACGGAGACGCTGCAGGCTGAGCCAGCTCTTTCCACGATACCCGCACACTCGGTTCCAAGTGTGTCATCAGAGACTCGACCTAGTGCAACCAAGCAGTCTTTGAAATTCACGCCAACGGCCTTGACACGTACTTCCACTTCTCCTGGCCCCAGATCCTGCGGCAGTGTGTCGCCTTGCACAAAGCGAAGGCTGTCGAGCAGTCCAGGGGTTTGCACAGTCAACCGAAGATTCCCGTCGCCAAAAACAACATTGCGTTGGACTATGCCCGCGTCCTGCTCGGAAATCTGTTCGTTGAGATGCACGTCTTCTTCCACTCGCGGGATCTGCAGTACTCCGTTCTTCTCAACAATCTCTGGTTCTAAACCCCTGGAAGGAGACAGGCAGTGCCGGATGACTCGTTTAAAGTTCATCCTTTGAGTTTCCAAAGGTGATGACACAGGGGCTTCGAAAACCGTGAAGTTCAGCAACGCGTTTTCGGACCGAAGTGTTCTTGCGAGCCCGTAGATGGTGCTTGTGCAAGGATTCGAATGGCTAGCACCAATGGAGGAGACCCAAAGAATGTTTGAAGCTCGACTGAGGCACTGGCGGAGATTTGCAAAGTCAGAGGCTGAAAGACTCTGGAGTAACGGCTTCACAGGGTTGTCGAAGACGATAAGCAGTTGGCTGGATAGGTTCGCTTCGATGCTTATGGACGTGAGGTCTGCCCGCGTGGATGCAGCACCGCTGCTCTTTAGGAGCTCCTGACATAGTTCCACGCGATCACTATCGACTCCGGGCGTTGCAGCAATCAGTGCGGAAAGTACCTCGTGACCTTCCGGAGACGGTTCGGTATCCAACTTTGTGGAGACCAAGAGCGAGAGAAGGCGGTGTTCTTCGTCCTGCGTGTCCCAGAAGACATGGTCGACTCCACTAAATCCGTTCGAAATAAGGACTTCATGCCACTCCTCTGGGGTCAGACAAGGGCTGAGCCGTTCCTGTCGATGTTTTTCTTTGCTCAGCCACCACCCAGGAAGCAGACCAAAAACGAAGCCTGCGACTAATCCATCAGGCGCAGTGACCTCCATTGCAACGAGTTTTCCTCCTGGCTTCAACAGTTTCCGCAGGTTTGCTAGTGTTTCATCCAAGGATGAGGTTGCGTGAAGTACGAGGGAGGCGATAATGAGATCAAAGGATTCGGATTCAAAGCCCTGATCCAACGGATCTTGCTCGATGTTGAATGTCTGATAGTCCATGTTCGGAAAGGCTCCGAAGAAGTTCTGCGCGTGGCCAAAGAACGAGGGGGAAATATCGGTGAAGCAGTACCTGGAGTACCTCGCAGTATATCCACTTGATCCCGGTCGGGCAAGGGTCTTCATGATGTGCTTTGTTGCTCCACCAGTTCCTGCGCCGACTTCTAGAACGGTGAGCGAAGGGTTCTTGTGCGTCAAGAGATCCAGATATCGTCCCAAAGGGACCATGTAGGCCGCGAACTCGAGAACACATTCGTAAAAATCTGGCATATCATTGTCTTGGAAAAGAACTCCAAGCGGATCTGAATGGCCACCTAAAATATTCTTGAGCTCCTCACCGGCTCGATAGTAGATCTTACTGATCTTTGGATGTTGATTGCGGACGCGGTGATGAATACGTTTGAAAGCGTCTCGTCCTTGCGGATTTCCATCGAGATGAGCAGCTTTTACACAACGATTCTCAAGCTGCTTCTTCATCCACCGATAGTAGTTGTTCAGGTGGCCCTCGCATAGTGCGAGCTCTGATTCGGCGAGCTCCTGCTGCGCATCCTGGAGAAAGGTGTACAGAACGATGTCCAGCTCCCCAAAGTAACGCCCTAGGTCGTTTGCTGCGGGTTCACTTTCAGAAAGGAGCTCTTCGAGCTTCGCAGGATCTAGGCGGTCGATATCGGGCTTGTAGACCATGTTCCAGCAGAGTCTCTTGGTGGCGGTGGAAGGAGTGGGCAATGCGTCAAGCCCATCTCCTATAGAGGTTGTTTCGATCCTTTCCACCAGCACGCGAAGTGCTTTGTCCTGGGATAAGGCTGCGATATCCGAAGTCGTATTGCGGAAGCCAGTCTTCTGAATTTTGACGGCGACGTGAACGCTGTCGGCATCTTTACGCAGGAGACCATCCTTCGAAATCCACATTTTATTGATCCGGGTAGGGATATGGGTTGAAAAATTGGTCTCTTGCCCGCCTTGAGTGACTCCGGGAAGCATAATTTGTAAGATACCGTCCAGGGTCGCCGGATGGACAACGGCAGGGCTTTCTGAACCTTGCGTTTCGAGTATCGCTACCTTTGCAGTGGCCTCGCCCGATGAGGAGTGTTTTGATGCCTTGATACGTGCGAAGCTTGGGCCGAAGTGATAGCCACGATGCCATAGGCGGGCATATAGGGTAGACCCATTGATCTTGGCGATACAGCGCCTAGATACGGCATCAAAATGGGCGGTAGTGCGTGCGCTGAGGTATGATTCCTCATTTTTACGGTCGATTTCGTTGGAAGAGGTGTCTCTATGGATGGTTCGTATCACGCCGCGGCTCACTTCATTCCACTCTGTTTGGTAGACCCTTAAACACCACTTGTACTTGGGCCCAATCCTTGATTGAGTGGACTTGTGTGGCGTCATCTGGAGCTGAACTTCGACCCCTTCAGAATTACTCGAGAGCTCTAGAGCCGAGTGGAAAATGGCGTCGCTAATCTCGAATGCGAAGACTTCAGCGCCTCCGGCAAGTTGTGCTGCAGCCTCGATGGCCATAGTGAGCATTCCTGCAGCAGGGAAGATGGTCCTTCCGTTGATCTTGTGATCATGTATCCATGAAGAGTCGTTCGGTTTCAGAATATGACGCCATCGAGCATCCAAGGGATTCCAATCGGGGACGGGACTGCCGAGGAAGAGGTTCCTCGCAAATTCGCGGAAACGGATGCCTCGACTTATTCTAGATTCCCACCAAAATGACTGAGTGTGATCGAAAGGATAGTTGGGAAGATCCGTTAATGCAATCGCTCTTGACAACCCCGGTTGGGCAGCAAGGTTCAATTTCGAGAGGCTCACTTGGTAACCCGCACAGTGCAACTGAGCCACGGCGCTCAAGAAGCTTCCACGACTGTCTCGCTTACGAATCAAGGTGGGGATGTAACTGATACTGTTGCCATGCACAAGTTCTCGTAGGGTATCGCGAATCGGTCCGGAAAGCGTTGCATGTGGGCCAATCTCCAGAATATGCGAAGTCCAGGGAACATCTCGATGGGACAGGTCGAGTTTGTTTGGAAGCCGTTTGGCACGTTCGGCACATGCCAACCGGACTGAGTCAAGGAATTTGACTGGCGATACCATGTTTCGAACCCAATATGCTGGATCTCGAAGGGTTTCCGACGACACGCGCTCGCCTGTGACAGAAGAGACCATATTCGTATGCGCGTGGGGATGCGAAGCGCCCGCATCGATAGTCCCAATTGATTGAAGATACGAGTCTGCAATCAAATTCATATGTGGACCGTGATATGCAACGGGTACCTTTAGTAGGCGAACGAATATGGATTCTTGCTCGAGCCTTGCGGCAAGAGCTTCGACGTGCTCTCGCCTACCAGAAACCGTGACATTTGTTGGACTATTCTCGCATGCGACAACGAGATCTCCGCAGCCGAGTTGTTCAGTGATGTAACGAAGGTGGTTATCCGCCTCTGACTGGGACAGACCCACGGAAACCATGGCGCCTTCGATATCGGACTTGGCTGCGAGCCGCTGGGAACATACACCACGGTCATAGGCTAGCTTCCAAGCGGATTCGCGGCTAATTGCTCCTGCAGCATATCTCCTGACTGTTAGCATTCATGTCAACCATGCAGTAGTGTGTCTACCCACCCAGCTGCGATTTCACCAGATGAATGACCAATCACCACGGACGGCCGAATATTGATGGAAGCTAGGAGATCTACCAGAGCAACTTGAAGAATAGTGCATACTGGCTGGGCAAATCCCGGCTCGTCGATCCTAGCCTGAGACTCGAGTTCTCCAAGCAACGCACCTTGGGAGAGTACCATTAGCAAGCCCTTAGATGTGCAGGGTCGCAGCACCACTTACCAGCTAGATGCAGAAAGCAGCCAACACCCATGAGATAGGATATTGCGTCCTGGATGCTCTGGCGAAAGACGTCGTAAACAAACAGCTCTCGCCCCATACCTAACCACTGAGCGCCTTGCCCAGTGAAGACGAATGAGAGCGAGAGCTCCGAGGAAGGACGTGAGTAAACAGGCCTAGATATGTCGAGGTTGCCGAAGTCCTGGAAAGGGTAAGCGACGGCGAATGACCTCCAGCGGAGAAGAGAGCGCCTCTGGAGCAAGGTATGGGCAAGCGAGAGCAACATCCGCGCGTCCCTTTCGCAGAGACTCTTCCTATACATTGACAACATCTCGGACAGACTCCACTCATTCCCGGCAGACCACGCAAGTACAACGGGAGTGGTTACGCTTATAGGGCTAGAAGCTGAGGCGCGGCTAGTAACATCTCCAGGCTTTTCCACCCGGTCAACATGATCGGGAACGGTTACTCTGGTGCAATGATTTCCTCTCAAGCCATGTCGTCGCATGTAGTGATAAGCGTCGTCAAGTACAACGTGCGAATTGGTGCCGCCGAATCCGAAGGAGTTGACGGAAGCACGACGAAGACCTCTACCAGGCCATGGAGTGGGCTCGAATGGGAACTGTGAGTACCATTAGCCCAATGGCCCATGCGCTACTGATGACATTACCTTGATATTGAGAAAAGCCAGATCAATCTCTGGATTAACTTTTTCAAAGCATGCTAGTGGGGGAATGATGCCGCGCTCTAGGATGAGTACGGTCTTAATGAGACCTGCGATGCCTGCGGCTCCTTCCAAGTGCCCGAAATTGGCCTTGAGAGAAGATACGTAAACAGCTTCTGCCTTGGACCTGCCAGCTGAGAACGATGTGCCGATTGCCATGGCCTCCAATGGATCACCCACAGGTGTACCAGTGCCTAAGAGGTTAGCGAGCGAGCGAGAACCAGGAAGCAGCATATACCATGAGCTTCAATGTAACGAGTCTCGCTCATATCCAACCCGGCCCTACGGTACGTATCTGAAATCAGCCGCGCCTGCGCGGCCTTGCTCGGTTGAGCCAGTGGCGTGTTCCCATCTTGATTAGAACCTGTGGCACGGATGACCGCCCTGACAGTGTCGCCATCTCGAACTGCATCAGAGAGTCGTTTGACGATTACGACTCCAAAGCCCTCACCACGAGCATAACCGTTTGCCCTATGATCGAAGCTATGACAGACACCGTCTGGAGATAGGAACCCCATGTTGGAAAGACCGATGGTCAGGTCAGGCGAGACGATTAAGTTGCACCCTGCTACAATGCCCTGCAAGATTATTAACTTATGAGATAATGTCGTAAGAGTTGGATACTGACCATTGAACTTTGCCTAAGTCGGAGCGACTGGCACGCCTGATCGAGAGCCACAAGGCTACTTGAACATGCTGTGTCAATAGTCGCGCTAGGTCCAGTCAAATTGTAGAAGGAGCTAATGCGATTGGATAGCATTGCTGCAGCAACGCCCGTTGCCGCATATTTTGGCATCATCTCGGGGTCCTTTCCCATCAGCATGAGATAATCGGCGGTGAAGCAACCCGTATGAACAGAGGTGGCAGTGCCATGTATCTTCTCAATGGGAACTCCCGCTGGAGACTAGTCAAGCGATATTCAATAGATGAGGTAGAATTTCATACCGTTCTCGAGAGCTTGATATGTCGTCTCGAGAAGGCCACGCTGCTGTGGGTCCATGGCCGCAGCTTCAGCAGCAGTCAACCCAAAGAAGGTCGAATCGAACGCCGCCAAATCTTCCTTGACAAAATGAGCTCTCTTAGCTCGAATCTGCATTGATAGTTAACATAATGAGTCTGATTGTCAACTTCGGTACGTACCGTTCCCGTGGCTCCGGAGTCTGCGCTGTAGTGTGCAGCGTGGTGGATCCTTTCTTCAGGGAAGCAAGAAGCGGTAGAACAACCTTCTATCATCATGCTCCAAAAAGAATCGACGGAGTCAGCATCTCCTGGGAGCTTGAGAGAAAGCCCAATGATGGCAATCGGTTCTGCTGCTGGCTGAACATGGCTAAGGGTGTCTTCATTCCCAGGAAAAGATACCTCGGAGCCCGACGAAGACAGCGACAGTGGCGTATCTGGAGATGAGCACCTTTCCGAGGAGGATGCAGTAGTCGGTCCCATGGTAGCTTCGAGCAGGTAGAACCTGTGGTGTTCGTCTAGGCACTGTACGTTCAGCTAATGTGAGAGATCTAGAGAGCTAGAAGGGGCTATTCAGTGGAGCAGAAAAGAAAGCAAGCGGGGGGATCTGGATGACTTTTCAGCAATGTAGCCAAATCCAAGGTCCACAAAGCATTCAGATGTGCCAATGGTTGCGCTTTCCTAGCCTTCATAGACCGAAGCATCAAGCTTCAGGGCAAGGAATTCATGCCTCTCGTACCACAGAACACCCTAGACCTGCTAGTGAACCAATGAAAGAGGCTGTATCGAGAACACATGATGACCGATATGAAGCAAAGATGGCGAACCGAACGAGGCCCTAGATAATCTTACACTGCATACAGTCACCCATAGGGCAAATCTGCAATCAGTGATCTCCCAGACGAGGATTTTCGGACTCCGTGGAATAATTGGATTGCAGATATTCCGACGACTGTGCCACTGGCTGGGAGGGTCTGGGGGCAAAATCTCCGTTCAATCCGTCGAATGAGTTTGTCGTACTGTCCATAAATGGCCCAATTCTGCAACGGGAACGGCGCGTTCCTACCGAGAAGCATCGGCGCGTAAGGCTTTTTTCCTGCACAGTTGTGTTAGTACACTCCAATTGGTCCCAAGGGAAACGGGCTGATACGCAGAAGCACCCCACCCCTGAACTGCGTAACTTCTGCGGCGTGAATTCGCACTGATTTAACCAGCCGCGGGGGTTCCTACGTCCCAGACACAACATTCCACACCATTCGGACCCAGAAAGATGCGCTTCCTGTGTCTCCATGGAAAGGGCACCAACTCCCAGGTGCTAGAGGGCCAATTAGGCACGTACAATCCACAGTGCCACGATGATCAATAGCTAACTGGCAACTTCGATGCAAATAGGCGCAATACAATATCAACTCGGTGACGGTCATAGCTTTGAGTTTGTCGAGGGGACCGTATCCGAGGAAGCTGCTCCAGGTATGGCCGCCTCTAACATCTGACCTAGAACATGAAATATGTACTAAACTCGGGCAGAAATACAGGCGCTCTTCGCATCAGCAGACCAATACTTTGGCTATTTCGACGAACGCTCCCCAGAGTCCTGCTTGGCTGCACTGAACAACCTCGAGCGCTATATCGACATTCAAGGGCCATTCGAAGGCATCGTTGCGTTCTCCCAAGGAGGAGCACTCGCCTCAACACTCCTGGTTCGCTATGCAAGACGGTCCACGGCGATAAGCCCCCTGAAAGTTGTCGTTTTCTTCTCCGGTGGCGTACCCGCCGATCCCGATGATCTTGAACGGGGCATTGTGAGGGCATTGGACCACAGCGCCGTAGGGGAAGCAATCAAGATCCCAACGGCGCACATCTGGGGCGTAACGGAACGGGGAGAACTAGATTGGCCCCCGAAGTTGCGGGACCTGTGCATGAAAGAGACACGAGAGGAATTCCAGCATGGAGGAGGCCACGAAATCCCAGGAAGCAAGGATCGTGCAGCGGTAACCCGTGCGGTGCAGGCGATGCGGCGAGCAATCTGGAGGGCCGAAATTGGAATCCGTGAATAGGGCTATTAATGAGGGGTCGATGGAAAATGGAGAGGGACTGGAAGGTGGTGCTGTGCCGCCTGCGGACTGGAATTTAGTGCGGAGCAGCTCTTATCAGAGAGACGACATTGGGTGCGCTGCGCCAGGGGGCACTCGCTCTAATTTGTAGATCGTGCATGAATAATTGGTGATTCCCGGTTATTGAGACATATGTCGCCGGATAATGTATGATGTATGTACGAGGTTTGAGGTGGCATCGGATATTCCGAAGTTCTGACGCTTCTCGCCAAAAGCGCTAGATGAGGCTAACCGAAAGAGGTATCGCTCACCGACGATTCTAAGGTTTGGAACAACCCCGACGCGGACCACCTACGAACCCGCGAACCAAGAGGCCATCAAAGTAAAATGAAAATATTAATCCGAATTCCCCTATTGCTCTTTCAGGCGATCTTGACCTGATCTTCCTGCCACATGAGGAGCGTGGCGAGGACTTCCGCCCCAGCAAATCCCACGAGAATCCGCAACTGCATATTGTACCCCTTCAGGAAGGTTTCCTTGACTTCTGTTCTTACCGGCTCCCCGAGCATTGCGATTGCGTCCGTACTCTGGAAAACCCGAAACAGCTCTTGATCTGTAAGTACTTGGGGCAAGGTACGGTTCAGGTTACTGTTCATCACCGCAGTGATGATAGCTAGGACGAGGGCTCCGCTGAGCATTCGGATCTGAACAACTGCTGAAGTTGAAGTCGCTAGTATAGGCATTAGAAACCGCCAGAATGGGTAACAGCAGGGCCTCACCAAGATCTCTCTTTTCAATCACGAACGGCGTCATCAGGGTGACAACACCAATGGACATGCCGCATCCCAATCCCGTGACGAATTGCAAACCATATTGTCCCTTCCACATTACCCGTTCTAGCGTCAACCTTGACATGAAGGCGAGCCCGAGAGCCTGGAGAAGCGAAGCCACAAACAGCATGTATATAATAGGCATTCGCCGCTTTCCGCATATCGCTGCGGTCAGAAATGCGCCCACAGGAACAGCCATACCGAATGGTATCAGTCGCACTCCAGCATGCCATGGCGACTCATGGTTCACGGCCTGAAAGCGGAGTGGAATCTGGATGATGCAGCTTGTGAAAACGGCACCACAGAGAAACGAGTTTCTAAAGCATACGTCAGTCATCACACACATGCACTAGTCCCGTACGCCTCTACGTACATCAGAATGCCCATAATGACTCGGCTGGTACAGAAGCGCCAAGGGAATACAGGCTCAGGCCTGTTATTCCCCCTTGAAGTAACCGCTCGTTCGTATGAGAGGAATGCAACCCAAGCTAAAAGGGAAACCAGGATGGGAGCGAGTACCTGGGCAGAGATCCATGGCATGAAGTTGCTTGCCTCCTCGAAACCGGTAATGAGGAGAGTGAGCGCAACAAGCATGAGCGCCGCTCCAACTGTGTCGATGTTTCTGAGATCTGTTGGTTTTGCTTTGGTACTTCCGCCATGGTAGGGGAAGCGATTCGGCATGCAAAACACCAAGATGATCAGAGCCATAGCGCCAGCCGGAACGCTGCGATATTGTCAAAGATATGATAAGGTACGGATGGGCCTGGCTTACTTTAAGAGGAAGATCCATCTCCAAGTCGTACTCCTGTTGATCGCGCCCCCAACAAGTGGTCCCGAGAACAACGAGATGGCAAAAAGTGCCGTCACATAGACGGAATATCTGGGATACCTCTGTGGAGGGACCATCTCAAACATCACTATCAGCACTACGGAGTAAACTCCGGATCCTCCTAAGCCTTGGAGAGCCCGTAGAATGATTCTATGGCAAAGATCAGATTTCTCTAAGTGCGTGAGAGGTCGGCCCTTACAGCTGAACCATGGATTGCGCGGCCCCGCATGCTCCGGAGAAGATGGTGAATATGAACAGGCAAGCCAAGAGCACGGATTTCCGTCCAATGCTGTCACTTAGCTTTGCCAATATGACCATGAAGGCTAGTGCAGGTTACTCATCGGTGTTACGTTTGAGTGCACAGTATTGCCATACCGGTGAAAGTTAACAAGTATGCAGTGATGATCCAGCTACTACGTCCAAAGGCATGAAGGTCGTCTGTGATGGACACCAAAGAGGTGCTCACGATGGAAATTTCGAAGTTAACGAGAAAGATTCCCAGGCACAAACTGTGGCGGATTAACTGATGAAGGCTGCGTATAGGTTGGAGAGCTGTTACCCTATGGTAAGAAGGTGTAGCCTAAGCCCCTTGATGTAGTTTGGATTCTCTTCCGGACTTGACTCTGTGACGCGTACCTCCTGAGTCTGCGCTTCAGGTGATTTTGTCGTAGCTTCCATCGTGGGTACAGAAGGGAGCTTCTCCGAGTTTCAACCTATTCGAATAGTGTTTACACACGACTTGACCGGACCGCAAAGTAGCTGTTATGATGGAACAAAATCTGGGATCCCGAGGCTGTACAACGGACTGAGAAGGTTGCTGACCCGCATGAACCCCTCCCTGCTACGCGTATCAGGCAAATGCCCTGTCAAGGTATATTGATTGAACGGCAGATCATCACTACAAGAGTCAGAACATGCAGGATAAGCTTCGGGCGTAAATCCACCCGGCGCAAGAACGCCACGCTCGTATTTCTGCACGTGGGAGGCACAGACGGGCGGGCCGCTCGGCCCAGCTGCAAGCGGTCCTCTTTGCCCCACACGAGTAATATGAGTGTTCCGCGCCAATGGTCAGTCTATTCACCCACCGTACCCATGATCGGGGTTCATGCGAGGTGGAATGGGCCACTTAAAGTCGCGTTATTGCGGCGAAGTTTCACCTAACGGAGTAGAATGCGGCGGTGTGAATGTGGCATGGCAAGCAACCGAATGATCATCAATTTTGATACAGAAAGAGTAACGAACGCCGAAGTAAGCTTCCTCCAATTACCATCTACGTCGCTGGTAAGAATGTACCGTTCTCGCATGGGGTTGTGCGGGTCAACCGAACAGGAATGGACGCAGTTGAGCTTTCGTACACTCGACAACCCGCTGCGCATACTGTAGTGCACAGCTGCATAGTACTGTTCAAACCACGTCCACCTTTCGGGAATAAACAATGCTACCCTTCGGCACATGCAGCGGCTCGCAGTCTTCCTCGTGGCCGCCGATAACACTGGTTATAGTCTGTCCGAGCTTTTTGTCGCTGGAAGCCGGGTATACGCTTTCAATCCCCCTTTCTTTGGAGGTTAGGGAGCCTCCCAGGCCATTCATACGGATGTAGGAAGTGTTCTCTGATTTGTTGTTGCTGGCTCCAAGCATCGAACGGATCGAAGAGGTATAGTGGCTGATGATGTTGCCCGCAGCTCTGGAGATGGTATTCCAAAGAGGTTTGCACACGGGCAGAGAGGCGCAGACGAATGCGGTGACCACGTGGATGTTTAACCATCTCTCAGCTTCGGAGAAGCGCACTGCATCGATCAGCATTGCGAGATGCGAACCGGGTATAGACGACATACCGTATCTGGCATTTGGATTGTAGATGCACCTCAATCGAATGATATTCGTGATGACAACGAAACCCCCGAGAGCGAAAATGCCCGCAACCGCTATCCTGGTGCGCATCGGCAACTGCAGGGCAAGTGCCATGCGTACTGGGAGGAGGAGAATAACCATGTCTATGACCGTGTCGAAGATGCCTGTCACCAAGAACATGACGTTAAAATTCAGACAGGTTCCAACCTTCAGTCTTCGCCAAAACGAGTCAATGGGCTGGCAGGTGAGGAGGTTAACGATTTGAGTAGCGATGAACCAGGCAGTTGCAACAGCCATGACGGCTAAAGAGGCACGCTGGTATCCCTTCGTGATGAAGAAGATGCGGCGGTAGAAGAATAGGACGGACATTTTGACTCCGTACTGCGCAACGAGGACGAAAGTATAGCCAAGGAAGGACGCCTTGTTGCATAGTCAGATAATGAAGGATACCAAAAAGCGGTCAGATTACGCTCCTCACCTCGAGAAAGTGCTCGATCAGCTTTATCTTCTCCGGATGCTCAGAAACCAGCATCAGCATCTCACTCATCTCCATGCCTCCTCCACCTGTAACGCGTCCTAGAACGGTCAGTGAGGAATGAAAGCCATTCAAGCCAGCGGGGACACTCACCCCATTGCATGCATCCGACACTAGTCAAGTAGAACACCAGCGCTACAATACTCCAGTAGTCGTCCGAACGAATGCCTTGCTTGTGCCAAACTTTGCTAAACACTCTGAGGGCAACAGCAAAAGCCGAAATCGAAGCACAAGCAATGTCCGTATCGAATAACGATTGGCCTTTCGCATTTAAGCCGTACATGGTGAAGATTTTTGAAGCAGAAGTCCAACCAAATTGGATGAAGCGAAGTTTGACGATGATCAACTGGTGTTGCGGAAACAAAGGATGAAAACAAGGCTGACGGTTCTTCTATAACCGCTAGCCGAGAAAGAGCTACCCAACGTAGTTGCGATATAGTGGGCCTTCACTCCGGCCATTGCATGGTGGTTTGCGTGGCCTTGAAGACGGTGCAGGAATGCGTGCCCCATCTGTGGGTTTAGGATAAATGGCATTTTCTTGTACTCCCCGAGATGCATGAAATTTGGCTGTGAAAGAGCATGTTGGCGGGGTGGCACAACCCAACCAACTGCGAACTGTGGACGGTTCGAGCTTTACGCCACATCGCTGCATCAGTTCATCGCTGCATCAGTCGGTTCTTTATTTCCGGAGGCGAAAGAGTTGCGCCGCAGTGACCAATAGAATTCCAAGGATCCTTGCGTGGAGCCATGTGGCACAGCCTTCAGTCTGACCGACGCATAGTAAGGCATCTTCTCCAGTGAATCTTTCCACTACACCAATCCCAATCTCTACTACAGCTTCCCATTACTTTAAGCCATCATGGTCAAAGAAGCCATAATCGTGAGTCAAGACACAAGAGCAAATCCCTTCTCCAAAGAACCCCAGCCAGCTAACGATAGCAAAGATCGGAGGCTCCAACGCCGGCCTAATGCACGGCATCATGCTCAAGCACCACGGCTACACCGTGACAATCCTTGAGCAGCAAGAAGCCTCAACAGCGCGCCAAGGCTTCGACGCCGGAATCCACATGGGCCCGGACGTGCAGAGTTTCCTCAAGGAGCACGACCGCGTACGCCGCGACTTTACCGTTACCTGCACGCCGTCGGTGAAGTATAATGTGCATGGGCGGCCGAAACTGGAACGCGGGCAGACGCTTGTCATGACTAGCTGGGGCTTGCTGTGGACGATCTTAAGGGCGAATTTTGAGTGGTATAGGTCGGAGATTGTGCCTGTGGCGCCGAGGGCTGGGGAGACGGACGGCGTGGTGGAGTACAGGAATGGGGCGCGCGTGGTTGATGTTAGGGACGTTGGCGATAGGGTGGAGGTGAGGTTCGAAGATGTGCGTGCGCAGACGGGGCACTCGATCTCCGCGGACCTTGTGATTGTAGCGGATGGGTCGGGCTCGTCCATGCGCAGCGTCTTGATGCCAGGCGTCACGCGCCAGTACGCGGGCTACATGTGCTGGAGAGGAACTGTCAAGGAGCGCTTGATTGACGACGAGACGAACAAGCTGTACGCCGAGCACGTCAAGACGCAACTGATGAAGAGGAACTACATCATCATGTGAGTCGACTCTGCAACGCCCGGGGATCGCCAAGTTTACTGGTAATAGGTACACCATTCCGACCGACGAGGGAGACCTCGCGCCCGGGGAGCGTCTGCACAATTGGGTATGGTACCAAAACCTGCCTGACGACTCTGCAGAGATGGATGAAATCTTCACCGACATCAACGGCAAGAAGCACCTGGGAACAGTTCCACGCGGCCTTGTGCGGCCAGAGGCTTGGGAAAAAGTAAAGGAGCGAGCTTCGTCTGCGCTGCCAGAGGGATTAGCAAGCATCATCCACAAGACGCCCGCGCCATTCGTAACCAAGATCTTCGACGTGGCGTCGCCAAAAGCGCTCTTTTTTGGTGGCAAGCTGTTTCTTGTGGGCGATGCCCAGATTACGTTGAGGCCGAATGCGGGTATGAGTACGCAACATGCTGCGTATGACTGTAATATGCTGGAGCAGGTTGTTAAAGGGGAGATGTCGCCAGAGGAGTGGGAAAGGGCTGTGCTCAGATATGGCGCTGCGCAGCGGAGGTATGCCATATTGTTGAGCTCGTTTGGATTGCAGAGCAAGTTGACTGCGGTGTGGAATCTGACGTGTTGGCTTCTTTTGCTCCTTGGGCAGAGATTGGGGCTTGCTTGATGGAGTCGATGGCGAACTCCTGGGTAAAAGCTTAAGGTCCACAATTGAGACGTTTTGTAACTCACAATACCATTCATCTCGGGCCTCTCTCTTAAGTAGAGCCCGACACTACGCACTTTTCCGTCGCTCCAGTGCCTTTTGAATCTCCTCCTCAGCCGACCAAGTATACAACTGCCGATTCACATCCCCGAGCATTATCCTCCCTGCCAATTGTCAGTCTCCCGATTGCCCTACTGCAAACACACTCACCAAGAACCGGAAACCTATTCATCAACCACAGAAACACATACATAAAGTACTCCTCCACAACACCCACATTCGCCTTGCGTCCGGCAATCTTCTTGCCCCTCTCCACAATCTCGTGCGCACGCGGGCTACGGATGTCGTAGAGCAGCTTGATAGCGACATCGACGCGCTGCTTCTCGCTTCCCGTGATGCAGCGACTAGTCTCTCCCGTGCTAAGCAGTTCCTTGAGCAGCAGCGCCAGAGTCTGCGCATCCTCGAGCGCCTGACTCGCTCCCTGCCCCGTCGTGGGGTCCATGGCATGCGCCGCATCGCCTACGAGCACCACGCCGCGCTCGCCCCAGTGCGGCAGCTCGGGTAGCACCCACGTCGGATAGATGCTCTCTACCTTGGCCTTGCTTACGATATCTTGCACGACGGGATCAGCCCAGTGCTTGTGCCGCTCTACAAGCGCGGCTTTGATGGCGGCGGGGTCGATGAATTTGGTGTTTGGGAGGGACGAGGTCTCGAATGTGGACCACCACATGAGGGATTCGGAGGAGAGCGGGCGTGAGGAGGAGTAGCCGAAGAAGCCGTTGCGGCCGAAGGTGAAGACCATGCTGGGCGGGTGGGTTATAGCCGGGGGGAGCGGGGTGGAGAGGAAGCCGCCGACGCCGGAGAGGCCGCTGTGTTGCGTCAAGGAATAATATGCGTTTAGAAGAAGGGGGCTTACGTGTATGTAGGTTTGAACTTTTCATCTTCTCCAAAAAGTGCAGTTCGAACAACGCTCTTCACGCCATCAGCGCCAACCAGCAAGTCCGCCTCCTCCGTCTCCACCCTCCCCTCTTCATCCACAACTCTAACTCTTACAACCCCACTCCCGTCATCCCGCTCAATCCCCACAACCTTGGCATACCTCACCACGCCTCCCCCCTCCTCAACAGCCCTCATCAAACACTCCCAAACCCCCTGCCTCGAACTCGCAATACACACCTCCTCCTCCCCTCCCTCCACCCCTCTAACCCCACCATCCCCCGTCCGCTGCACGCCCAACGCCCACCCATTCGCGCCCTTGAACACAAAGTTCTCAGCGCGGAAGCCCTGCGCGGCGACCACGTCGTGCAAGGCGGGATCCAGTTCGCGCAGGACGCGCATCCCGTTGGGCGAGATGCCGAGGCCGCCGCCGACGGTGGCGGTGGATTCGGAGAGAGTAGAGAGGTCGAGGGAGGATAGGGGGGCGGTGGAGCGGGGACGGTGCGATTCGTAGATTTTGATGCTGTGGGTGGAGGGGTTGGGGAGGTGTTTGCGCAGGTGGAGAAAGGTGGCTAGGCCGGCGATGCCGCCGCCGCAGATGATGATTTTCATTGTCCTGGGAGGATGGGATGCTCACGGGTGGAGAACTGGGACGGGAAAGAGTATTGAGAGAATCAGAAATTGGGGAGAAAAAGGCCGGCTAACAAATGGACCGCGTATTAGTAGTAGAATGGCTTAGATGGTGTATAGAATCAACTTTCATATCCTTTGGCGATGGGCTTGTGATACCATGACATTTTATATCTGGAATCGCTCAGGGCAATCATTCGTGGAGGACGCGTCGTCGATACGGAATACGAGCAGGCAGCCATCGAATGGCTGGAAAGTGGCGTCCTACGTGCCGTTGTGTCCGCAACACAATGGCAATCGCAACCCAAGGTCGAGGCGAAAGAGTTGACGCGAGATGAAGTGGAGCCTCAGGATGGCTTGACGGAAGAAAGGGAATGGCACGTGCTTATCGATAACACCGTTGAGCCAAGCGTGTACTTCGCCACCCTTGGAAAGGCAAGTCTTTTCAAGATTGGCGTATATATATAAGCCATATTCGCATTCCGTATTCATAGAGATGAGGTATCTTGTGGATATATAAACGCACGCCACGCCGCACATGTCCGATGCCCACGCCGTCCCATCCTGCCCAACTCGGACCAGCCCAAAACCAGCCCCCTATCCCGACCGCGACAGCACCCCTCAAACAACCACCTTCCCCCCGCCCTCACCAATCTCCACCTTGCCCACAACCTCCGCCTCGTCGTCGTCCTCATCATCGCTACTGCTACTACTGCTATCCTCGATGCCCTCAAACATCCTCGCGAAGCGCTCGTGCCCCTCCTTGACCTCCTTCTCCTGCGTCAGCTCATCCACATCCTCCTCTTGCTCGCGGGTGGATTCTAGCTGGGCCTTGCGTTGGGCGAGGCGCATGGCGAATTGGCGGCGTGCGCGGGAGGGCGGGATTTGCAGCGGTGGCGGGATCGCTTGGGATTTCTGCGAGACGAGGTGGTTAGTTGGCTTCTATAAAAGGTAAAAAGATGGAGGAGAGGACCAAGTAAGGTGGAGATGGGGACAGCAATCGACTACAAGGCAAAATGCGACAAGAAGCAATCGCGACCGGGGCAGGACCTTTTATCCAAGCGAGCGTATTATGAACCATTGAGGAAAGGAGCAAAACCCAACAATGGCGTGTTTCTACAAATGCCCATACACCCGAAAATGGTGCGGATGTATGTACAAAAGGATAAAAGGTCCTGGTTCCCCTCTATTGCATGCATGCCTCTTAAACCATGACAACACTCCCAAGGACAAGAATGAGAGAAGAAAACGCACCAACGCGCGGACAGTATAGTGTCGGGGTCGTGATTATCGGTAGTCCATCTCAACATCTTCAAATGAGAGTTCACCCACTTGTTCCGAGTCACTCACAGGTGGCTGCCGTTCTCGCTCGCTGTCGACTTCGTCCATTTCCTCGTCCTCCTCATCGCTCGAATTGGTGAAGCCGCTGAGGAGGCCGCCGCTGTTGAAGGTGTATCCGCCGCCCGAATCGGGGTTCGTAAGCTCCATGCTATCGAGACCAATGTTGCCGCTGTTGGCATTGGCAAGCGAGGAGCCGCCGTCGTTGCCAAAGCCCGAGGCCGCATTCACTGCATTGAGCACGGCCTGCCTGGGACCTACACTCATGTCAGGACGGACGCCGCCGAGAATGGCATTGTCCCGTTCTCGCGTCTCCGCCAGCGTCTGCTCAACATAGTCTATCCACGCCTGGCTCATAACCTTGTCGAGGACAGACTGTGACAGCAGCTCCGCTGGGTGTCGCTCAGTAAACTTGAGCACCTCTTCCGCGATAAGAGTCAAATGGCCCATGTACCCGAGGCGCATGTGAGTCTCCTCTTGAGCCTTGTCGCTGGCCTTTTGGCCCTCGATGATGCGCTCGGTGATGCGACCCGTGTCGAAAAGGTCAATCGCCAGGCTGCGGTTGTAACCTCGCTCCATCTGCCCATTAAACACTTGCTGAACGACATCGTATACAACATTATGGAGAAAGTTATTCCAGGGGAACCGAAAGAAAAAGTCCTGCGTGGCCTAGTCAGTGCAAGGACGCCGTAAGAGGGACCTACTTACGAGTATGGTTGGTACGACCTTGTGGTCGACAAATTGCATCTTCAAAAGGTCGCCAACCACGGGCGATCCATCAATGTCGACCTCGTACTGAGGAGCGTACTGGCCCTCGACTCCACCAAATAACACTGAGCGCGTACTACTACGATCGTCAATGGGCGTAACCTCGGAGCCCTCGCTCTCGGCTGCACCGGATGTGAACTGCGATGCTTGTTCAGGGGACTCGCTGCTGCGGGGTTTGCCAGCAAACAAGGGTGCGGGCTTGTCTTCGGGGTGCGGCGAGAGATTTGGTGCTTCGGCAACTTCCGCCTCCGCCTTGTTCAGCTGCTGCGTGAGAAGCGAAGGACGCTCACTTGAAGGCTGGTCTTCTGTCTTCTCCTCACGGTCGCCCATGACAGTGTCATTGTCTAAACCTAGGCCGCCCACCTTGGCCGAAAGGCCGGCAGAGGTGGGTGACTCTGCGTCGTCGGCGGGCTTGCCTGGAGTGGTGGCTGCGGGTGATGAGGCGTCCTTGACCGGTGAGAGTGGTTCGTCGACAAACTCACCTTCCCCCTCTTGCTGTTTCTCGCTAGGCGGCTCGTTGGGCGACGTCTTTGGTGAACGCTCCAGGGGCTCGCCAATCTGCTCCTTTTCAGAGTTAGCTTTTGAATCTTCGGATACTGCTTCGGATGCAGTAACCTTTTCAAAATCGTCCTCGGAGCTGTTTTGGACTTCTAGCCGCTTAATCACCTCGGGCGCTTCACTAGAGGGTGCTCGTGCATGATGAAAGCCATGGCTATCCACGCTAGTCGAAAAGTCGCCTGCATTGGCTTCCCGCGCAGTCAGTTTGCCCTCGGCCTTGAGGCGGTCTCGCTCGGCATCTCTGCGCTTGACTTCGGCCTCGCTACCGCGCTCGTTGAGCAGTGCCATGTTGCTGCAATGCAGCAGCTCGGCCATGAGCTCGCACGTCTTGAAGCGGTCGAACCCAAGGGGTTCAATCTTTTCGCCAAACGCCGTCTTCAGCTCTCGCTTTCGGGAAAATGTCGAGCCGTCCTTGTTGGTTACTGTTTGACTAGAGTTGTGGACAAGTGCCATGAAGCGCGGAATATGCTGTGCGAATTGCCGGAGCAGTGTCCCCAGATAAATGGGATCTGTGGTTTTGGGAACTGGGCCAATCTGGTTGTCCAGGTCGTAGTCGGAGTTGTTCTTTCGGATAACCTCAATGATGATGCCGACGCTGACGGTGAGCGGATTGCCTCCGTGCAGCATGTACTCAATCATTTGCTTGATGCATTTTTCCGAGACTAGCTGCCGCGTGAGCTCATTGGGACCAATCACGGACTGGTCTTGAGTAGTAGCGTTGGCGGATATGGTAATGATGGCTTTTAAAAAGTCTCCGGCGGACGTCTGGTATGAGGCAGGTTGGTCCGGTGCGAGGTAGGCGACTAGCTGCGGGACTAGATTCTGCGATTGTAACCACTGCGCCCGCGTTAGCATTCACCCGCACACAGCTCCGAGACGTCCTACATCAACAATGCCCTGGCCGCCTTCACTCTTCTCGAGCGATATAATCTTCAACAGGAGGTCCATGATCATGGGGCAGTCAATGTGCTGAAGCATGTCGGCGACTACATTGTCGATTGACTTGAAAAAGTCGAGCATCTCCTCCATCTTGCGGTCCAGCAGTGACTCGTTGACTTTTGTAAAGTATCCGGCCTGCACTGGATCGAGGGGCGCGGGCTGCTTGACGTAATTCCAAAACTGGCGCAGCGTGTCCTGGTTCTCTAGCACCGCCTCGGATATCGACCAGACCTCGGACGACAGAATCTCGCAGGAAACGTATGCATACTTCATGCGCTGCTTCTCCTCCTTGCTCTCGTCGCCGTCGCCCGGTTCAGACCTTGTCGACGCCGATCGCGCCCGGGCTGTGACCCTGCCGAAGAAGCCCTCGTTGGCCTTGCTCGACTCGGCGGCCGGATCCTCGTCGGGCGACCGGGGCGACTTGGGGGCAATGACATAGCGCAGCAGGCGCTCGAGAACTTTTTCGTCGCGCAGGTACTCTATCAGCTTCGAGTTCTGCTGCTTAAGCTCTTGTATCAGGTCCGACTCGTCCAGCAGCTCCTCGACGGTGACGTCGGGCTTGTCGAGGATGCTGTCCAGCGACGACAGCTGCGCATAGCCGCCGAACCGCCAAAACATGGTGGGCGACTGTGCGGGCGTCTGTTGGGGGCGGGGCAGCGAGGTGGAGAAGGGAGGACTCGAGGGCAGCCGCAAGTGAGCGGGTCTCGTGCGCGGCGTGAGCTACCGGGGCAATCGTGTCATCGGTAAGAGAGTGAGACGTCTAGAGAGGTACTCGGTCAGTGTAAGCAATTCGGCCAGGGCGCGAGCGGTGGGAAGCTTGATTGAGTGAGCGAGCAGGTGGGACAGACAGTACCTAGCGGGAAAAGCACGGAGATGCGTGCAGACGAGCGAGCGACGGGGTGCTGCGCGAAGCCATGCACCAGAGTCAACGTGAGGGGCGGTTACAAATACAATGTGGTGTTCGAGTGTGTGCAGCGTATACGGCGAGGGCTGGATGGTGTTGTGGGGAATATCTGGGCGAGCAGTGACAGCACAGCGGCCAGAAGCGCGAACCTGCGCTAGCCGGAGCCGGCCAGCAAGAGCCTCGAGCGCAGCCCTGGAGCACTCGCACCCGCCGGCTGACGAGTCTGTGGCACGCCGGGCAACTCAAACATCACGCGCCACATTCACTTGCAGAGGCGAATAATCGAGCCCTTCCGGTCCTGTGGCGCGCCGTTTGGAGAGTGGCACGTGACGAGCCGATGACGAGGCGCGCGGACCTCTGCCCAAGCTTAAACAGAGTCACTGCCTACACACTGCGATACCCATACAACCTCACAACACCACAGTACTCGCTTTCTAAATACAACCACGATGAACCGCCTGTTTGGTGCAAAGAGCACGGCGCCCAAGCCGACGCTCAACCAGGCCATCTCCACTGTGAGTCCTCCGCTCGCGCCCCTCTGGCCACACTGACTCTATCCAGGTCGACACGCGCATCGAATCTCTCGACGTCAAACTCGCCAAGCTCAACGCAGAGCTGACTGCGTACCAGCAGAAGCTGGGCAAGATGCGCGACGGCCCGGGCAAGACGACCATGAAGCAAAAGGCGCTCAAGGTGCTCCAGCAGCGCAAAATGTACGAGTCGCAGCGGGACCAGCTCCAGCAGCAGTCGTGGAACATGGAGCAGGCCGGCATGATGCAGGACAACCTAAAGAACACCATGACCACGGTCGACGCGATGAAGACAACCACCAAAGAGCTGCGCAAGCAGTACGGCAAGGTCGACATTGACAAGATTGAGAAGCTGCAGGACGAGATGGCCGATTTGATGGACATGGGCAACGACATACAGGAGAGCATCAGTCGCAGCTACGACGTGCCAGAAGACGTTGACGAGGCAGAACTAGACGCAGAGCTGGAGGCGCTAGGTGAGGAGGTGGAGTTCGAGGGGCCGGTTGGCGAGTCGTCTGGCGTTCCCGGCTTCCTGGCCGAAGAGCCGCCATCCTTCATCGACAACCCCCCCGAGCACAACAAGGCACTAAAGGAGGCGGCTGGCTGAGTCGCATGGCAGGATTCGCCATGTGACGAAAAGAGCCATCACGCCATGCGGCTGTCGCCATACAAACGTAACCATCAAATCTCGCCCAGCCTCCGATTCTCACCATCACGGAACCGTTTCTGGGCGCAAAGCCTGCTGAGCCGGTTTGCCGAGTATTGGCGACGGCGGAGTGGCAAACGTCGGCTTGGTGCGGCGGAATCGGCTTGGCCGCTGTCGCGATTGGTGCGGACGCTGCAGCGCCAAGGCTCGACTTTCGGGCCGACCGGCGGAGGGCCTCAACAGACCCAGCTTTTGCCATGCAATCTTTGCCTTGTTGTCGCTTTTTGCTCTTCCTTGAGGCGCTTGTTTCATCCGGGGCGGCCATGATTGGACCCTGCGTGTTCTTTGTATGTCTAGGCATCTGCATAATCCCACCCTTGTTTCCCTCATCCAGCCCCGCAACCACCGGCGCCAATACTACTTGTATGCTTGGCGCACGCCAAGCCCAACCCACTGTCTTGTGCTCACCTGCCATGAAGTCATTGGTACCGGCCGTTGACGCTTCTCCGATAAGCATTCCACTGCTCACGGTATAAGAGTGGGTGGGCTGCCCACCTTTTGCTAGGCCACCTATTCAGACGCCTTCACCATCCGAATGCCTCATTGGCAATATCTTCTTTCATCAATTGAACCACATCACCCGCCTTAACCGTTGCTTCCATCTGTCCCGGCATGGGGTCTTCCAAGAAGAATGTGACTCTCCAGGAATATGAAAAGCACCCGTTCCGGCTGTCGCTCGAGGAACTGACCACCCACTTTGGCGGCCTGAACCTTGAGCACGGTTTATCCCCGGCCAAGGTCAACGAGCTCAGAAGCAAGTATGGGGAGAATAAGCTCCAGGGGGAGGGATCAGTCCAGTGGTATACTGTACTCTTCAAGCAGATTAGCAATGCCATGATTCTGGTACGTTTCTGTTTATCTACTTGACTACTTGTCGTGCCAACACAAATAGGTCCTCCTGCTCGCTCTAGCCCTCTCATACGGCGTATCAGACTATGTCGAAGGAGGCGTCATTACCGCCGTCGTCGTGGGCAACGTCTTGATTGGCTTTTACCAAGAATTCCAAGCAGAGAAGAAAATGGACGCTCTGCGGGCCCTTTCTTCTCCCACCGCCACCGTGCTCCGCAATGGCAATCTCGAATCGATTCCCGCCATCCAAGTCGTCCCCGGCGATGTTGTCGTCATCAAAACGGGAGACACTGTCCCCTGCGACATTAGAATCTTTGACAGCATGAATCTCGAATGCGACGAAAAGATTTTGACTGGAGAAGGTACGTACTTTTCTCGCTTGCAAGAACATGACTGACAGGGCGGCAGCTATTCCCGTTGCCAAAGTCCCCGACGCCGACTTTGCCGACAGCGACGAGCTCTCTACCGGCGTAGGCGACCGCATCAATCTTTGCTACTCGTCGTCTACTGTGACCAAGGGCCGCGGCCGCGGCATATGCATCTTCACGGGCATGCACACGGAAATTGGCAAGATTGCCTCGTCGATGCAGGGCAGCACGCGCAAGCCAAATCGCAGCATGTCCCGCAAGAAGCATGGTAACCTGCAGCCCGTAAAGGGCGCTGGCCTGCGGGTTTGGGATGCGATAGGAAAGTTTCTGGGCCTGACAGGGGGCACGCCGCTGCAGATCAAGTTGTCAAAGCTGGCGTATGCACTCTTTGGGTGTGCACTTCTCTTGGCCATTATCGTGTTTGCGGTGCACAAATTTGATGTTACGAGTGAGGTTGCCATTTACGCCATCTCCACAGGCAAGTCCATCTTCCGCTGTCTTTAATGATGGAGCTAACGCAGATAGGAATTGCCATCATCCCCGAATCCCTCATCGCCGTCCTGACAATCACTTTTGTGACTGGCATGGCTGCAATGAGACGCCGCCAGGTTCTGACCCGCAAGCTGTCCGCCCTCGAAGCCCTCGGCGGCATAACCAACATTTGTTCCGACAAGACGGGCACATTGACCCAAGGCCTCATGACGGTCCGCAAGGCTTGGATTCCGGGCATTGGCATTTACACTGTTTCTAATTCCGAGGATCCATCAAACCCCAAGCAAGGCCAAATCACCGTCGGCCCAGCCAAGACAAGAGCCGAAATGGACGCCGACAAGGAAGCGCGCCAAAGGCATTTCGACACGCAGCGTAGTGGGGCAGCTCTCAAGTTTGACCTGCCGCCCATGGAAAAGGAAGCACCCACGCCCGACGACTACCAGGAGAAGCTCGCCGCTGAAACGCGCGAGTATGACGGCATGGTTCCCGAGCTCGAAGCTCTCCTCCATACAGCCGCGCTCTGCAACCTCGCTACCGTACGCTTGAACGAGCAGGAGGGAAAGTGGCAAACCACTGGCGACCCTACAGAGGTCGCCCTTCAAGTCTTTGCTCACCGCTTTGACAAGGGCAAGAAGATGCTAGAAAGAGAAGAAGGCTGGAAGCAAATCTCCGAATACCCCTTTGACTCCACCGTCAAGCGCATGTCCGTTGTTTACCGCGCGCCGCAGACCGAAAAAGTTACAGTTCTCACCAAAGGCGCTGTAGAGCGCATTCTCGATCTATGCGACAATGTTGGCGCCGGTAGCGATAAGAAGCAAATGACTGATGCTGTCAAGGAGAGCATCTACGAGCAAATGAGCCTTCTCGCCGACCAAGGTCTCCGCGTTCTTGCGCTTGCCTCCAAGACGTGGGAGGGCGAGTTTACACCAGGCATGGATATCCCACGCGATCAAATCGAGTGCAATCTTACGCTGCTCGGCCTCTGCGGTCTGTACGATCCACCCCGACTGGAAACTAAGGACGCTGTACGAGGTATGCTTCTCCGCCCCTTTCAGGCTCCTCACGCTAACAGATTGCAGAATGCACAAACGCGGGCATCAAAGTGCACATGCTCACCGGCGACCACCCCGGCACCGCAACCGCCATTGGCAAAGAAGTCGGCATCATCCCGCGCGACTTCAGCACGCTCTCCAAGGAAGTCGCGGACTCGCTCGTCAAAACCGCCGCAGAGTTTGATGCCATGACCGATGCGCAGATTGATGCCATGCCAGAGCTTCCTCTGGTGATTGCGCGCTGTGCGCCGAATACAAAGACGCGCATGATTGCCGCGCTTCACCGGCGCAAGGCTTATGCGGCCATGACGGGGGATGGCGTCAACGATGGCCCGTCGCTGCAGGCTTCTGATGTGGGTATCGCCATGGGTATGGCGGGGTCTGATGTGGCCAAGGGGGCGTCGGATATTGTGTTGACGGATGATAATTTTGCCTCCATCGTCAATGCAATTGAAGAGGGCCGGAGGATGTTTGACAATATCCAAAAGTTTGTTCTGCATGTGAGTGCATTCTCGCTGTTCATTCGAAAAACGCTAACCTCTACAGCTACTCACCAGCAACGTTGGCGAAGTAGTCCTCCTCGTCCTTGGCCTCGCTTTCCGCGACAACGCCGGCTACTCCGTCTTTCCGCTCTCGCCCCTTCAGATTCTGTGGATCAACATGTACGTCCCCTCCCCTCCCCCAAGAATACTCTAACATGTCCCCAGGCTAACATCCGGCCCTCCCGCCTTCGGCCTCGGCCTCGAAAAGGCCGTCTACAACATCATGCAGCGCCCGCCGCACAACACCAAAAAGGGCGTCTTCAGCTGGCAAATCATCGCCGACATGACCGTCTACGGCATGCTGATGGGGATCCTGACGCTGCTGACCTTCGTCGTCGTCGTCTACGGCGTCGGCAACGGCAACCTCGGCCACGAATGCAACCGCACGCACAGCCCCGACTGCGACCTGGTGTTCCGCGCCCGCGCCGCCGTCTTCGCCGAGCTCACCTGGCTGATCCTCGTCTCCGCCTGGGAGATCAAGAGCATCAGACGCAGCCTGTTCCGCCTGGACCCGCACTCCACCTCGCGCTTCCCGCTGTTCAAGGATCTGTACGCCAACAAGTTCCTCTTCTACGCCGTGGCTATCGGCGCCCTCATCGTGTTTCCCTGCGTCTACATCCCGGGCTTCAACACTACCGTGTTCAAGCAGAAGCCCATCACCTGGGAGTGGGCGCTGTCCGTGGGCGCTGTCGTCGTCTTCGTGGCCGGCATGGAGGCGTGGAAGTTTTGCAAGAGGCGGTTTGGCTGGTTTGCCGACGACGAGCGCGATCCGAATCCGAGTGGTGCGAAGAGGGCTGGCCTGGATCTCAGGCAGGGCTTCTTTTCGTTTGCGCGCACGCTGTCGAGGACGACGAGCTTTGGGAAGCCGGGCACGAGGGCGAGTGAGGCGAGCGGGGGCGGTGATGGTGCGGTGTAGAAGTGGCATTGCGGGCTCGATTTAAGAAGGCTGTAGCTATGGGAAAGGGGCAGGTTACGGGGGGTGGTAATATAGATGTGGATGTATAGGGGAGTTTAGGCTTGGCGGAATGAGTGGGGCGTAGCACCGGTGGGCGGGGTTCTCTGTTTTCCACTACGGTTATGCGGCGTGGATATAAACGGTGCGTAGATTAGAAAGACGTAGAAGATGCTCTTGAATCCAGTGTTCAAACAGCATATCCCCTTGGCGTCCAAGTCAGCCACCTCGCCGGAACTCTTATCCATCTTCCAAGTCCGTCTCGTGAACCGCGAGAATGCTTCGTCCTCCCACCTAAAAAGCCCTGACCAACCCAAATAATCACACCACTCTTCAACCGCCAATTCTTTAAATTCCACGCGTGCACCCGCCTGCCCTCTATCAGCATGTCCACATTTCATTGAGCACATGCACGTCATTTTCACCCGTGTCCCAGAAACGAAGCTGTCGCGCTCAGTCGTGCGAGCTCGTATCAACGTCATCCGCAACCCAATGTCATGCCCCAGCCGTTCACAGCATGGCGAAGTCTGCCATGGCGTAGCGCTGAAACCTGCAAAGGTCGGGCGCTAGGAGGGAGACCGAGGTATCCGGGCGACGACTGGAAACCGGGAACGCGCGGGCTTTGTTGAAAACGTCGACAACGGCTATCTGGCAAGGCATGTCATGCCCACTTGGCGACATTGTTGGGCAAGAGCTTCCTAAATGTCTCCAGCTGCTTGACATGCACCGACGTCTTCATGTCCTGCACCTCGGGCCGCGTCTGCAGCGTCCTGTCGAGCCGGCGCTCCGAGCCGCTGTACACGACGGTGTAATCGGGAAGATGCGCGTTGGCAGGTACGGCGGAGAATGCGGAAATCGTGCAGAACTACCAGGTGTCAGCAATTGTTGCAGTCACGTCTAAGCAGCGTGCGACCGACCTTCCCAACGACACAGCCTCTACCCAAATACGCGCCAGCCTCCACCACCGTCCCTTCGCCCACCTCGGCAGCCTCAATCACGGCATGCGTCTCGATCACAACATGGCGTCCCAGCACGGTGCCCTCTCCGCGCATCGAGTCTCGCACGCTCGCCCGCGACGCAACGCTACTGCGCCGGCTGTCCATGTCCACGCCGTCGCCCATGCCTACGCCGACCTTGGCCCTCTCGTAGACTATGACGCCCTCTCCGAGCACCACGGGCGCGAGCGTGCTGCTGATCTTGCAGTGCGGGTGCAGCACCGTGCTGGGGCCGACGGTGATGGGGTGCGTGCCGGTGAGCTGTGCATGCTGCGCGATGAGGACGGAGGGGTCGAGGACGATGGAGGACGGCTTTGGGAGGAGCGAGGCGCGCTTTTGGATCGTGGAGGTGCGGCGGTCGGGGGCGGGGCGCGAGGGTGTCGCCATGGTGGTGGTGTTGTGCTGAGCTTTGGAGCTTGAGGTCTGAATGTCGGCTTCGGGAGAAGATTTGCCGAGGCACGTGACTTGGCCTTTCACCACCAGCTTTCATCCACTTGCGTTAGCAAACATTAAGCACATACTATGTAATTTCTGGGATTCCCATGTGCGTCTAGCCTTGAGATTCATTCATCGAGATCATACCGGGACGCCATCTTATCGATAAGCAAATACGAGGGCAACGTCGCGCGACTCTCAGCTGCATCTTCATCGCATCCCACTATAGGTGTCGAGGCGACGATTCTCACATGTAGTTTTCAGACTTCGGCTCTTCACTCCCCGACATGTTGGCAAAATGGCTCTTAGCCCGCAATGTCAAATCGCGACAGCTCAGCAGAAGATGTGGCGAAGAAGCCTCGCAGAGAGAAGGTACAGGTCTCAGGTGAAGGCCATTCCGTCGTACTTTCCAGTTGCGATTTTCCCTCGCTGGTACAACCGCCTTCACGCCGCTAGACTGCTCACGGCATGACCTCAACGTCACCTTTTCTTTCCTCCCCCCACCTGCGTGCTCGCCGAGGACCCCGACAGAAGATATCAACACCATGACACTCGACCAGTTCCTCGCCATGTACGCGGTAATCTTCGCCTTTTTGGCGCTTCCTACTAGAGGACTCGCTCCTTCCAACTTGGTCCGAGTGCGGGACATGTCCGATGCCGCTCACTCACTCACAATAGTCGAAGCCGATTCAGAGACGACTGGCCTGCACAAGAGATGGGGCACCCCGCCTCCACCTCCTTGCAGCGATGGCGACTGGCAGGCGTACAAGAACAAGGGCTGCACATTGCTTGCCATGATTGCGGGCGATGATGCAAAGGCCGGATCATTGTTCAAAGAAAATCTGGCTTCTGCGGCGAGCGAGTTTCAAGACTTTCCCGGTAAGCTTCAGTTCATGTTACTCTGTTCGAGCTGACTCATTATAATTCAGGCGACTTGGACAAGTGGGACTACAAACGAGACACGGATACCTATTGCGACATGAGTGACAGCCAATACGGCATGGAGACGGCTCTAAAGGGGCTCGGCATCTCTACCGAAAGCAAGAACTGGAAGTGTTACAAAGTCACTCACGGGGAGCTATATGGCCGAGACCAGCTCAATGATCAAAAATACGATGTGGATGGCAAGACATACCGGGTAGGTTGACTCACCTTGCGTGAATTGAAGACCCGTTGACAAGTCTCTAGGCCACTGGGGCTCAATACACCTTTCCCATCAATGTCAACGACGGCGGTACGTAAGCTCTTATGATGCCATATTCTTGCCCTAACTTCTCGCTAGTTCTCGTGATTACAAAACAGTATAGCCCCGAGCATGAAGGCCAATACCGCAGTCCACCAGTACAAGGGGACGGGCTGCCCAAGCTCAAGAGATCGTCCGACATTTCATTTGGCCAGTGGTCCATTGCCGCCAAGGACAAGGCCAAACAGATTCGCTTCATCATCGTCTGGTCCGTCAGAAATAGGGCCACGCCTTCCATCATACGGCGCGCTCTTCAGAGCGTCGGACAGGATAACCTGAAGAAGTACCCTCAGTCTTCTTTTGACATCACGTCCGATGCTGGCAAGGCTCTGCTAGGTAGGCCTCGCCCTACACATCGTTTTGCGTGAATACTGACTTGGCGCAGGCTCGCCAAACGGTGTAGGCGTCGCTTACTTTTTGGTCCAGCGGAAAGCGCTGTTTGGAGAGAAGAAGATCTCCAAAGTGGATATATTTGGCCATACTAGCGTGTTGGCTGCCTTTGACCCAGTCATGGTCTTTCACCTCGAGGATGCCTAGCCATTAGTGAAATCGTCTCTAGATGCCTTGAGTGGTACCGGAGAACTTCGGACTCACGAACATTGACATCAAAGATATAACTAGGCAACCAAGCGGATAGTATGAACATGTTCGTATCCTACTTTCTGCGACTGATTTGTTTTGCACTCAGACAGCAGGTCGACCAAATCTACCCATCACAAAGAGCGACATCGATAACAAAGTCGTACTAGCGACGACGGCTAGCCGGGCTCGAAGGCGCAACCCTCCTCAACGTGACGGGCACCTGCCCGCTCGCCGTCTCGTTCCAATACAGCGCATACACGCCCGCGCCCGTTTCCAGAGCCGTCCACATCGTCTCCAAACTCCCATCGGTGCCAATTAATATGGCCGTGTTGCCATAGAATGAAAAGCCGGTGGTGATATGAGTGCTGTCAGACGAATTCCCACTATCCAGGAACCCAACGCGCATATCCGACGACCCCGCAGCCGGCACGAACATGGTTACGTTGGACCAGCTGGGCGTGTGAGTGGTGTTGGTGGTATTGGGCGAGCCCAACCACGTCCGGTCGGTGCCCGTCGAAACTGCCCATGGTCAGGAATCGAGTAAAGGGGGTACTTGGGATGCTTACAGATTACCGCGGCGGCGTCGGTGCTGTTTGACAGGTTTGGATCGCCGACGTAGGCGTATCCTTGAACCAGTTAGTGGTATTTCTCCTCGTACTGTGAAGAGCTTACCATCCGCGTAGAAGAGAGTCGGGCCGCCGATTCCTTCTCCGTATGCGTAGAGCTGGAATGTTTCTGATGTCGCGCGTTTCTGTGCGCCTAGCACGAGGAAGGGCAAGGCAGTTGCCAAAAGAGCGAGCTTTAGAGCGGACATGACTGAAGGTGAGAGTGTGAAGCGAATGGAAGAAATTTGGCAAGCTAAGAAGAAGCAAAGATACAGAGAAAGTTCAAGACGCCCGAGGTGTCGCGATGGTCAAAACACGGCGTGAATTCACCTTTTTGTGCTTTGCCGGCCCTTTGCTCGGACATTTGCAGTGCAACACGCATTCAAGCACGCAAGTACTCTTGAAGGCCGCCCCGCTGCGTCCACGTCCCTACCATGCGCGTACAAAGGGGCACGGCATCATTGCGGCGACACCAACCCAAAAATCTCCGATGACGAACATCTTGGCGTATGCTTGTTTCAGTTTCAGCCCAATAACACCACTGTTGGTGGACGTGCGTGGACATGTTTCCGCATTCGTCCACTTACGTTGCCGTTCCTGAAAATGTTTCACGTGGGGGAACCCCTGCTCCACAGACGACGCGGCCACATCAGCCTGGTTATCGGGCCGTCATCGGCTAGGCAAAAAGTTCCCAGGGTATGCATTGATCGCGTCCAGGTGATCTTGAACGTCTATCCTAATTTTAGCGATCAACACTCCATGTAGTTTGCGCATATCAGAAAAGAATGCCGACAATATGCCGCGCGTTGTCACCTCATGACTCGATTCTACGCATGCTTTGGAGACCCCTTGGCCGGTGGTGACGATGCATTCCCACAGATTGCCAAAAAGAGAAGAGCCATCCATTTCAGGATGAAAGAGCAGAAAAGGGAGAGGAGAGTGACTACATAAAAGGCATCAAGCATGTCCCCGCCAGACAGTATCCTCCCATCTTCGCTCACTCCCTTCTTCGGTCCTGACTGAGCGTTGCTCTCCTTTTATTCCATCATTCATTCTTACCGTCGTCTTTCTTTCATAGCGTCTTGATACAGTTCACCGCGATGCTCACTCAGTATCTCGTTGGTATATCGACCGCCTTGAGTGGCCTCGCAGCCGCACTACCATCTTTTCATCATCTAGGTATCCTACCCCTGAATGTGTTTCATACCGCACATGACAGGATTAGACTAACACGTACTAGAAAATAGAGCAGCGTGCTCTGGCAACACGGCGAGCACCCGTTCGGAATGGTGCGATTACTCCATAGACACCGACTACACATCCGAAGTTCCCGATACTGGCGTCACACGCGAATACTGGCTCGAGCTTACTGATGTGACCGTCGCACCCGATGGCGTGTCTCGGTCGGCCATGGCCGTCAATGGATCTATACCCGGACCGACGCTCTTTGCAGACTGGGGCGACACTGTCATTGTCCACGTCACCAACTCCTTGACCGACTCGCAGAATGGTACTAGCATTCACTTTCACGGCATTCGACAAAACTACACCAATGACCAGGACGGAGTGAGCTCCATCACCCAGTGCCCGACCGCGCCCGGCAGCTCTCTTACATATACTTGGAAGGCCGTGCAGTATGGATCAACATGGTACCACTCTCACTTTGCTCTGCAAGCCTGGGAAGGAATCTTTGGGGGCATTGTCATCAATGGCCCTGCCACGGCCGACTATGACGAGGATCTGGGTATGCTGTTTCTCAATGACTGGGACCATCAGGTATGCATCCGACGTCAAGACTACTCGCAGAAGCTAATCGAGCATAGACTGTCGACGAGCTTTGGATTAGCGCCGAGACGAGCGGTCCCCCAACCCTCGACAACGGGCTCATCAATGGCACCAATACCTACGACGATGGTGGATACCGGTTCAACGTCTCGTTCACTTCGGACACGTCGTATCGTATGCGCCTCGTCAATGCTGCCGTCGACACGCACTTTAAATTCATGATTGACAACCACACAATGCAAGTCATTGCTTCGGACCTGGTACCAATCGAGCCATACAATACCACCGTGCTCGACATTGGAATGGGTCAGCGGTACGACATAATCGTCACAGCCGACCAGGCTTCCACCGCCGACAGCTTCTGGATGCGCGCCATCCCGCAGTCTGCCTGCTCGGACAACGACAACGAGGACGACATTCGCGGCATCGTGTACTACGGCGACACCATCAGCACGCCTTCCACCTCGGCATACGACTACGACGACAGCTGCGACGACGAGACGGACAACATCGTGCCGTACATCACCAAGACTGTAGACTCGTCCGTCTCCTCCCTCGGCGAAGAAGGCGCAACCGTCGCATTCAACTCTGACAACCTGTTCCGCTGGTACCTAAACAGCACCACCATGGTCGTAGACTGGGAGGACCCCACGCTCCTGCAAATCGTCAACGGCAACACCAGCTTCGAAACCGACGACGCCGTCATCCAGCTCCCCGACGCCGACGAATGGGTCTACGTCGCCATATCCACCACCCTCGCCGTCCCGCACCCCATCCACCTGCACGGCCACGACTTTTACATCCTTGCCCAAGGCACGGGGACGTACGACTCGTCCTCCACGACGCTCACTCTGGATAATCCTCCGCGCCGTGACACCGCTATGCTGCCGGCGTCTGGCTATCTGGTGCTGGCGTTCGAGACGGATAACCCAGGCGCGTGGCTCATGCATTGCCATATTGGCTGGCATACGTCAGAGGGCTTTGCGCTGCAGTTTGTCGAGCGGTATGATGAGATTGTGGCGTTGACGGATGCGGATTCGCTGGAGAGTAATTGTGACACTTGGACGAGCTATCAGGAGGAGTATTCGATTGAGCAGGATGATTCGGGTGTGTGAGGAGCGGTGCGTTGTGAGGTTTTTAGCATGTTTCGTATGTTACGAAGAGAATTGGCAAGCGCTACAAAAGAGGGCGTATATGCGTTGGCTTCGTGCCGGAGAGGACGCTGAGAGTGGCGGTTTGGATTGTGGCGTGGTCCGGATTCATGAGTCCATTGGAATATTCTCTTTTTTCTTATCCTGTCAGAGTCGTATATAAACATCGTTCAAGCAAGCTCCCTACAGCGCCATTGCATACATCGGCGTTATAGTCAAAGAATCATTTGCGAATCGCATACACTACTTTGCCACGCTTCCGTCCTCACGCGAAGCACTCAAGGAGTTCAAGTTCCTCCACATGGGGTGGCTCAAAATCCAGATGAGAGAGTAAGTCGTCTCTCCAGTATGCCTTGGGTTATTACCCGCTGAAGGCTCGGGACGAGGTTTCCGCAGGCAAGAGCTGGGCCATGGAGCGTGTATCGCGACCCACGTACCGCTATTACAAGTATTATAACCTGTTCCCTCGCCGTATTCTCGTAACCCAGTATATACCAAATGTCGCAGCCATGTTGAAAGCGACATAGGCGCAGAGAAAGCCGAAGTTTTGCCACTTCTGATCGACCTGAACACCGTTGGCAACAAGAAACTGGTTTGTCTCAGACACCGGACAATATCGGCAATCCTGGTCTCCACCACCCTCCTGGATCGAGCCACCGGCGTATTTAATATAGGGACCCAAGTACTGTTCACAAGTCTGACCTGCTGGAGCCGAAATATGGAGAAGCTCTGCGCTCGAGCAGGTGACCCTGGTATTTGCCAGCCCGGCGACAGCGATGCCTCGAACAAAGTATGTCAGCGGTGACACGCGGTACATGAAGATCCAGAAGCGAGGCAGCTCAGATGGTGCAACTAGAACACTGTCTCAGTCAGCCCCTTGAGTCTTAAGGAATGAGCATTAGACATACCCGCAGAAGATAAGGGATAGGTAGAAGAAGAGTGTCGCGATCTGCACCGCTGTCTCTGCGTGCTTTATCGCGATCCCTACCGCTTGCGATAGGGTCGAAATAAAGAGACAAAACAGCCAAATGATACCAAACGTCAGGGCACCCCTCTCTACGGCTGTGAAGGATGTGTCGCCGTTTTTCCAGAGACCTGTCGGGTAATACCAAGTGACAAACACCAGCACGGCCGAGAACGACTGCCACACGAGTTCCACCAGGATGTTTGAAGCGAGAAAGACGGTCCACGAGTAAGTTCTGGATCTGTACTCTTGAGCTTCAAAAAGGTCGCGATTTTCGACTAAGCGTGGGATCACCTGCTGGTCGATTGTGCTGAAAAGTTGTGTCAGAAGAAATATCGAGAAGACAACGTTCTGCAGACCCTGTATGTCTTGGGGCGTCATATAGAACGACAGTCCGGTACAGAGCGCCTACGTAGATCGTTCGTCAGCTCCGTGAACGGCAAGGACCCTCGATGCAGACTTACCACGCCAACACACAGCGCGACTTTCGAGTAGATATATGTTGGATCGCGCCAATAATTCTGAAAGATCCGTCCCACCGTGAGGAGTAATTGTAACGATAGCGGAGCAGCATATGTTCTTGGCTGCGAGGATTTACTTGGAGCGTCCCCTGGCTGAGAGGACTGCAGTTTTGTAAGGTGCCGTAGCACTTCTTGCTTCTCAAAACTCTTATCCCATATTCGGCTCCATTCACATAACGACTTGTCTTGTTGGTCGTCGACCTCCCTCGTCTGGCTAGTCACATCTAGGACCCACTCGGCGGGATTCCTCCGCGGAGGACAAGGGGAAGCGCCGTTCTTCTCGAAGTACTGGATGAGAATCGATGCGTCACGCCCAATATCTCCAAAATAGAGCGTTTTGCCGCCTTTCTCGAGCAGGAGTAGGCGATCGAAAGTGAAGAATAATTGAGATGACGGCTGGTGGATTGTACAGACGATTGCTTGGCCGTTGTTCGCCAGGCGGCGAAGCAGCATGCATATCGACCATGCTGTCTGACTGTCAAGTCCCGAGGTAGGTTCGTCTATGATTGAGTTCAGCTCATAATCTTACATAATTCGTTGGCTCTTACCTAGAAAGAGAAGTAGATCCGGTTTCGCCACCAATTCAACCGCAATGGTAAGTCGTTTGCGCTGTTCCACATTGAGACCTTTCGGCGTAAATACTGACGTTGCGCTACTAATTGGCAATGGGACGCACCTTTCCCAGGGATACCGACAATTCCCTCCGCGTACGGTTCCATATCCAACATACTGATGACAGTCTCAACATAGGCTAGCTTCTCCGCCTGTGAAATTTCTCTCGGTTGCCGTAGTAATGCGCTGTAGCGGAGAGCCTCGCGCACAGTAGAGGTTGGCAGGTGGAGGTCATCTTGCTGGACGTAGCCCATTCTGGACTGGAAACTCGCATCGCGTTGATAACCACCAATATAGATCTCACCTGTGACAACCCCAGTCGATGTCCGACAGGCTAAGGCGTTCAGTAGAGAGGTTTTTCCAGCGCCAGTGGCACCCTACAGTGGAGTTAATGGTGAGACTTAAGTATGTATGGGAGGAGGAGCAACTGACCATTAACGCCGTGAGTGAACCAGGCTCCACCCAACCGTTCATATCAGTCAGGATATCTTTGGTTCCATCGCCCGTCTGCAATTGATAGTTGACATTCTGCCAGTGAAACGCGACGGAAGGCATCTCCTTATCCCCAAGGGAACCCTTCTTCTTCTCCGTTTCTTCACCGCCCAGGATATCTGCACAACGCACGGACCGGTTGTCCTCCTCATCCTTTGGCATATCCCTGATCTTACGACTCCGTTTGGGACCCTTCAAAAATGGCAAGATATCTCCCTTGGACCGTTGTGCGGGTATATATTCAGCCGCTACCAGATGCGCAGTAGCGAAGGTGATCATCAGCGTGACCAAGATGGCGAAGTTGCGCCAGAGGTGATGGTGTACGAAGCCGTAGCGCAGCCGAAGGTAGTCCGAGCCCCGTACGTTATCGCTGCCGGGAGCGGCTCCGATTGCGTTGCAAACATTTGCTAAGGTATGGTTATACGATTCGTATGCTGGACCCGTAGGCACGGTAGCGAAACATTCAAAACTGCGTCCACGAAACTGATTCTGTTAGCAGGAATGCCTAGAGGCAGCACTTGGGGGTCTGACTCATACCTCGTTGATCATCAGGCTTTCGTACGCATACGCAATCGGATTCAGCCATCGAAACCACCCGAGCCAAGGCACCATATAAACGCTAGGAACCACAAAGCCAGCGTATGTGATGAAGAGTAGGATCAACATGGCAACCGGCGCCATTGTCTGTGCGCTAGTCCGTGAGGCTGATCCCACCATCCGAAAAAACATCGACATTGTTACAACAGTTACAAAGCAGAACAATAGATAGATGAACCATGCAGACACCGTCCGACGGAGATTCGTCATAAAGTAGATCGGTATGTTGAACATAACTGTAGTGATAATCTTGTTCGGAAGATCACAGACAATAGACGCACAAGCCTCGGCCGCAGGCCGATAGAGAATATATCGGTGGTGCTTCTCAACGACTGGACGATGTGCCCACATTGTGAGCACCTGTAAAAAGTGAGTACGGAAACTGGATACAGCTAATTGAACACGACTTACCTCGAAGGCCGGAGTCAGGGCGTTAATCATGATGGCAAAGAAGAGCAGGACTGAACGCTTTTGAAGGCTTTCGGTGGTTTCTCCGAGGTTGTAAAACACGCTGCCGGTAATGATGGCGATGATGGTGTTGCCAACTATGCCTGCAATGACAGGAGCCAAGTTATTGTGTAGGCGCAAAAACCCTCTTCCAGCGCAAGCTAGGACTTGACGATGTACCGAGATCGTGTACGCAGAACCGCGTTGGGAATTCAGCGAACCCTCAACTGACACAGGATGCTTGTCGAGAAATTCGTGAATGCGAAGCTTGAGCGCCCGAGCTTCGTCGCTTTGTGCCCAACATCGAGCAAAGTCCTCTGCTGACCGGGGGACACGCCCCTCGCAACGCGCTCGAGCAACCCTTTCGGCCGGATTCGTGAGCGATGTCAGAAAATCGGCTGTCGTTGCACGGCTCGGCCTCTCGAAACCCAGACGATGGAAATACACAGCAGCGGAGCTCGTAGGACCGCAGTATATTTGATGCCCCTCGTATAGTAGCGTTACGTTGTCAAATTGCTGGTACATCTCCTCCGAGGCTTGGTAGATGCTCATGAGGACCGTTGATTTGAGAGAATCAGTCGACGCTCTGAGAAGCTTTACGAAGCGCACAGCAGTCAGGCTGTCGAGGCCTCGGGTGCTGTTATCCCAACATTGGACCTGAGAGCAGTTGAGAACCGCTTCTGCGATGCTCGTTCGTTTCCTCTCTCCACCACTGACGCCGCGTATCATGGCATTCCCAATCCGTGTATCAATGGCAGAGTCCAAGGCAAATAGCCGCGCGACTGCCGTGCTGGAGTTCTTCCCTTTGCGGCTCTTGAGAGGATCCTTTTCTCGAGTAGTCGCTGCGAAGGCGAGGGTTTCGCCGACGGTCAATTCTGGAAAGTGGATGTCTTCTTCAGCCATGTAAATGCGCTCGGCGGGATACTTGCGACGCATCAAGTCGTAAGAAATGCCTGGTCTAGAGTCAGGCCTAGAGACTTATCCACTTTGCTGGGACTGGATAGGACATACCTTGGTAACTGATTGTGCTCTTTTCCGAAACACAAATGCCATGCGTGTCCCCAGCCATTGTCTTGAGGAATGTTGAGCACCCACTGCCAGGCCTTCCGAGCACGAGCAGCATCTCACCCGGACGAACGAGACCATTGAAGTCGTGGAGGATGTCTACAGGCTTCGGGCCGCGCCGCCTCAGGCAATCCCAGAAGGCGACGGTGCTGCTTAGGATACGAGAAGTGAGCGTATGCTGGTAACGCTCCTCGGAAGCATAGCCGTGGACTTTGAGTCGCTCGAAAGCTATTCCAGCCTCAAAATGCGCACTCTGTGAGCTATCCATCTTTGCCGTGACTTGGCTAGAACACGGCTGGTGCCAGTAGGGTGGAGGGTTGATTGATTGAGGAGGGTGGGCAAAGCTGATCGAGGTAGAGGCCGAGGAACTAGGCCGCGAAGAGAAGCAGGCAAACAGTGTCACTAGTCACTCGAGTCACATGCGCGGAGCCAGGGATCAAAGTGCGGCGCGGTCACCGGGCGAACCGGCGCGTCGGGTTTCTCGTTAGTTTGCAATTCAAACGACTCATGACCAGTCCAGATGTGGCCTCGGGGAGCTAAAGAGCCAACTGGCGCCATGCCTAATGCATCCCTTGTACATATGTTTTCCCTGCCTCGTTTCACACACCGACGCACGCTCCAATTGTTATACACGCCCTGCGCGTGCGACTTTGTGAGCCCTCCTACAAACTCGGAACGGCATTGCGTCTCCCGGCTTTTGGGTGCCCAATCCAAATTTTGCCGAACTCATTGGCGGCAATGGGGCCAAAAGCTCGATATCATATCGGTCGGCGATGAGGGCACCTGATAGTATGATTGCCGTCTTCGCCAGGAAGCGGCCTGGGCAAATTGCATGTCCCCCTGATAGATTGTTAGAGGTACTTTTGGGATGTGTCGGAGGATACTGACCACCATAGGGGATCCAAGATCCTTCAAGCCCATCCAAGTCAAAGGAACCCTCAGAAGTCTTCGGTCGGTCCGCCCCTGTCATCTCTCGACGCTTTGGTTGTCCCGTGCCCGGCTTTGTAGGGCCGCTTGAAGGGTCATGAGCGTAGGTGATAAACCGATCGGGCCAGAATTTGTTGACCGGATAGGTGCCTGCTTTGGTGTTCCAGAACCCCTCGTCCATATGAGAGATTCCAGAGTTGACCAGAGCAACTTTACCTTTCGGAAGCCACCATTTCCCAAGAAGAACATCCTCATGTGGCGAACTTGCCACAAAATATGTTTTGACGTACACTCTAAGAGTTTCCGCGTAGATTGACGAAAGAAGAGGATCTTTGACGAGCTTGCCTATGTCAAAGCCAGACGAACTTTCGCTACGTCGTCGTTGGTCTAACACGTTACGGACGCGAGCGAGCAGCCCTGGCTCGTTAAAAATGTGGAATGTATTGAACATCGCAGAGGGGACAATGTTCGAGACCGATCTGCGAGACATCAGTGTCAAAGGAGACCGAACCAGATCGAAGCACTCACGCCCAGATCAACCCAAGATCTGCCGAGGCAAGTGATTCATCGCTCTGCCCATCGACCCCCAGCAGGTCCCTCTGCCTCGAGCGCATCAACTCAGAGCCCCAAAACACGTCCCCATCGCCGTCTTCGTCCCTACTTGACTCGGTGAAGCTCCTCCTTGCGAAAGCATACCACGACGTTAATTGGTTGATGAGCTTGCGACGGTTGCGATATGCCCCAGGCATCATGAAGGACGGGAGTCCCCAGGCAAAACGGGGCACGTTCTTTTCGTATTCCCAAAAGTCGTCCACAAACGTTGGATGTAAGCGTAGTAGCGTGGGACCAAAGAGCGACTGCATGATCGACGTGCCAATATTTCGTTGGAAGAATTGGAGCAGATCTGGCATCTCGGTCCACTCTTCAAACAATGTCGGTGCACACGCCTTGTCCAAAATACTGCTGAGTCTCGTGGTGGTAGGCGCAAGGCCACGGCCAGTAAGTCCCCTGAGAAGCCCAGCATGCGTGATATAATCGACACGGTTGTGGGGAGACACATTTGTACCTGGATGGGGTTTTGGGAAGGGTCCGGAATCATCTGCTCTGTAGATCGCAAGAGACTCGCTATCCTGTCCACAGATATACTTGAGCGTGTAGACATAAGCCGTCATGGGACTGGCCAGCAGTTGGTGCTTCCAAATACTGCGGATACTGGCATAGTCTTGGAAGAGATAAACCTCGGTGCCGAGAACCGTCACTCGAGCGGCAGTGAGTTTCCCAGCATATGAACTGATATTCTCAGCATTTAAATCACTGATATGGGGTTGACGAAAGGATACGTACGTCGCACGCCGCAGAAACTGCTCACCGTTCCAGACAAGCGAAAGGAAACTTCCAAGGTACGGAATAAACGACGGATATCCTGGTGGAATCTGCCGCTCATTAACATTGCGATGTTGCCAGTGGTACGCAACCCATGCAAAAGCATAGTTGAATATGATCGGTACAACAGATAGTAGAATGGCAGTGGCAAATCCTCTCAACCAAGACATCACCAGGATCGCTAACGGCAGGAGATCTTGGTTGAGAAGAAAGGTGATCAAAGCCATACTAGAATCGCAAACGTTTTGTCACTTCGAGAGTGTAATATAAGGAATATTTTTCAAGGTTATTTAGGCAAAGGGGATGGTATCCCGCAGAGCAGTACCGCGATATATATACATATCAGAATGCAAGCTGGCACCAAGCTCAGCCTCAGGACTCCGAGGAAAGGCTCGCACCGTTCCTTCCTTTATCTTGTCACACCGCATCTAGATATCGTTCCATTTGTATCTGAACATGTAGGCATACGACGTCCTTGAAATTAAATCTCTACGCCGCTTTCCTATCGTCCGTCGCCCCAAAGGAGAACGCTGCGTGACCTTCCGTTTCCTATCTTCTAGGTTTCCAAGGGTCGCCGCGTCAGCGCGCTCGCAAGGTTTCCTAAAAGCACACAGGCAGCACAAAATCATATTCGCCACCAGAGAAGCGAGACTACCCTAGCTACAACCTGAGCGTAGGGGCGGGAGCGGGGCTAATAATCCTAGCTATGAACCTGCATGCATATGCGTGTCAGATTGCGGGACGCTATATAGGGTACCCATTAGTTCTATATATGTATCCTGGGTTCACGCGCGGCTCTCCCCGAGGTCATCTTCATCGGTAACTGAAACGACACCCTTGTACAATTGAGTGCTCGTGACTTCGATCCACCTTCTAGAAGGCTGTGGCGGCACAGCCGCCCGGTAAATAACGTTCAATGCTCATTGGAATGGGTGGCTGCCTGGCGGATACCCGTTGATGCTTACGGGGTACAGATAATGACTGCAGGAGACGTAGCACGCCGAAAAGCCCGAGGGCTGCTGTACACGCCGACAAGATAGCAAGGGGTATGTTTTCCGGTCTCCCTATCGTGGCGATTTGTTAAAGGGATAAATACAGCCGGCATGTCGGTGGGAATAATCATTTCGAGGGTGCCATTCAACCTAAAGATTCAATCGTTTGCTCGTTACTCGTTTGCAACTCTTCGCGCAATATGGATCAACAAGAAATTTCCATCACGGATCTCATGGACCAGCTGGCAACGGTCAAGATCACAACCTTTAAGGTACGTAGCAATCCAATTCCACCTGCCCCACACTAACAAGTGGTAGGCTGTGACCGGCCTCTTCTTTGCTTTATCTATTCTCTCCGTCATAGGCAGGATTGGAATACGGGTCTACGCCAGAAAAATGCCCTCCACCGATGACTACTTCGTATTCTTTGGGATCGTCTCTCTTACCGCCGCCACTGGAGTACTCTATGCCAACTTGAACAACATGTATATCATCCAAGTACTCTATGTGGACCCTACAATTGCCTTCAAAGTTCAGAGCGACGACCTCATGAAGGCCATCTCAAACTTCATGACGTACCAGCACACAAGCCTGGCTCTCATGTGGACAGCCACGTTTGCGGTCAAATTCTCCTTTTTGGCATTCTTTTGGCGGTTGATTCAGTCGGTTGATAATATTCGGAAGTATTACTGGTTTGTAGTGGGAACCACCTTTGCCTCGTGGCTTTTCGTTTGTTTCGAGCCCTTTATTCTGTGCTCGAAGTTCGGCCTCGAATCAGGTGAGCTGAGACTCTGGAAGCAAGACTGAAGACTGACAATGGAGCAGTCAAATGCAGCTATACGTACAGTAACACACTGTATTTCTCGATGACAGGCTTGGTGACAGGGTTAGATGCAGTCACAGATCTGATCAGCACGCTTTCTCCCGCGAAGTCCCCTGTGTGCGTGAAGCTGACAATCACTCAGTTGTGAGCATTCCGATCCTAGTCCTGCGTCAAGCGAAGATGAAGACTCGGCAAAAGGCTGCTGTTGGGTCTTTCTTGTGCCTCTCTCTCGTCATGATCGCATTGGCAATTGCGCGAGCCTCCAAGATGCGAGGCATCATAGCCACGGACATTCCTTATGAGCTTTTCTTGCAGTACCTCGAGGCCGCCGTCGCTATTCTCATGGGTTCGTTGACGGCGTACCGCACGTTTTTCGTCACCCAGAGAGAGCGCACGAAGTACCAAGAGCGAATGAAGAAGCCTTCGTACTCATTCAAGCACTTCCCCTTCCGAAGGCGGGCGCATGACGAGGTGACGCGTGACGAGGAAGGCGGGCTCCCTGAGGTTCCCGGTGCCACAATGACTGGAATGAGGACCTTCATCCGACGCAACAATCGGACGGCGACACAAGGCACAATGGATTCCCATTCTCCACAAACGAACCTCGGGAGCGAAAGCGAAATGGACGATCCGCAGTTGGATCAATGTGTGTCGGGGGCTTGTGTCACGGAGCCTGGCTTCGTGGACGATTCGCGGGCCTTGTCGCTCGGGCATACGGTTTCCCGCTAGGTCGCACGCAGTTGGGTGGGCCGTTTGATTATCAGGCCATTGTTGATGGCGGCATGTGCCCAGGTGCAGTCTGCAGTGATACTAGTTGACGTTACCGAAATTGGGGGCCGTGCCCATTCTGCGCTAGCGTCAGTGTAACTTACGGGTAATTAAATTGAACCAACGCACCGTGCGCAGTTAGCGTACAGTCGCTTCCCGTTCCCCCAACCACAAGCGTTGCCTTGACTTCTCAACGCTTCCTCTCTCCACTACTAGAGGTAGCAGGTTGCAACCCGCCTGTTCCACGACTGCGCCTAGAGCTTTACCGCGAGCCATCGATTCCATATTTCTTTCACAGCCATCCACAACGTTGCAGAAAACCTTCAAATTGGGGAGGTCATTCGAATGCTCCAGGGCACTTGACGTGACCGTCGCAACGTCATATGATGGCCGTTCTCAACGGTACTTCGCTCACACTTGCCGCAATCCTAGGCAGCGGCCTGCTGTACTTTTGCGCCAAGATTTACAAAGCGCGAGCGACCTTCTACCATGGCAAGGTCAAGCAGAAACTAGTGAGTACTGGTGCCCCCACTCGAACCTAACGGGTCGTGCTCCTCGTTCTAACGACTGATAGCCAATGCCAAAATGGAACCCCGTGTTTGGTCACCTCCTTGCTCTGGATGAAGCCTACAGAAAGTACAGCCTACCGGTGGACCTACATCGCCATGATCTATTCGGTGCCATGTCCAGAGATTTCCCAGAAACTGATGGGCTCTTCTACGCGGACGTGTGGCCCTTTATCAACCCGCTCTTGATTGTAACCTCGCCAGTATATGCTGTTCAAGCCTGCCAAAAGCAGGATCTGGACAAACCCGCGGACCTGGTATCGTTCCTGCATCCCATCACAGGCGGAAACACTATCTTCACGAGCAACGGCGACGAGTGGAAGAAGGCGCGCGCTGTGTTCTCGTCAGGCTTCAACTCGGCCTATATCTTGAATCAGACAGAGCACATTGTTCAAGAGGCGGAGGCATATGTCAACGTATTGGAGGAGCACGCTCGGACCGGCGACATCTTCCTCCTGGATGACGTACACGTGAAATACACCATGAACATCAGTGGTATCTTAACGCTGTTAGTACAAACCTCGACAAGTCAGTAGATGTGGCTGACTCCTACCAGGAACAAGAGATTAGATGCCTTGAGGTCCACGGATCCCTTCGTGTCAGCGATGAGGAACAACATCGAGTGGCACTACATCGGCGAGCTGAAGAGTCCAGTCGTTCGCTGGAGCCCGCTTATCCGAATATTGTCATGGTACAACAGTCGCGTAATGAATGGCTATATCGAAAAGGTTCTTGACCAGCGCTACAAGGACTGGAGAGAAGGCATGGTGACGGCCCAAACCCATCGTTCCGGCATCGATCTGCTGCTCGCCGAATATATCAGCTCGCGCAAGGACAAAGCTGGCCAGACTCTCGAACCTAGCTTCAAGAAGTGGGCGATTCCGCAGCTGAGACTATTGTTCTTCGTCGGTCATGATTCCACCTCCGCAACCATTTCCTACTCCTGCTTCCTGCTCTCTAAGCATCCGGAAATCCTGGAGAAGCTCCGGGCCGAGCATGATGAAGTGTTTGGCAAAGATCTCGCCGCACTTCCCAAGTTACTAAAGGATAACCCACAACTCCTTAACAAACTCAGCTACACGATAGCCGTCATTAAAGAAGTCCTACGCCTCTACCCTCCTGCAGCAGGCTTCCGCCTCGGTCAGCCTAACGTCTACCTCCAGGATGCTCAAGGCAACAAGTACCCAACTGAAGGCTGCAGAATCTACATCATACACCAAGCCCTTCATCGCAACCCCAAGTACTGGAAAGACCCGGATGCCTTTATTCCGGAGAGATTTCTCGTCAGCCCTGAGGATCCTCTTTACCCCGTCCGCGGCGCGTATCGTCCTTTTGAGCACGGTCTAAGGAACTGCCTAGGACAGACCCTTTCTATGCTGGACTTGAGGATTACTCTTGCCATGGTTGTGAGACGGTTTGATTTCAAGGTGGCGTATGGTGAGTGGGATCAGCTGAATGGCAGAGCGGGGACGAAGACGTTCCAGGGTAGGAGAGAGTATCAAATCGGCGATGGAGGCGCGCATCCGGCAGATGGGATGCCATCTCGCGTGTTCTTGCGGAAGTGAGAGATCGAGGATAGAAGATGGATTTCTGGGAAGGAGGACAAATTGCGAGCGATGTGTGCGGTGTGTTTTTTGATCCACGGTAGAGGTTTATTGTTTTTTGGGACTGGACTCGGATTCATATGCTTTGCGAACAGGGTCTGCAAAGCTTTCCGTCCAGAGGGTCACCAAGATGGCTTGCTCTCATGTGTTGACTGAATCGGGAGTCGTTCAATCGGTAGTTCTGTGGCGTCGATTCACCCAGCCTTTTGCTCTCGCAAATGAAAGCATGAATGAGCATAGGACGAAAAATGCTACAATGAATAAAATTGGTATTGCTACATGTCTGCATGCAGCAGCGCCGCGAGCAAGGCCATCATGATAGTTCCCCGATTTCTTCGGACCCGCTATACAAACCAAAGGATGGGAGATAACCTGAATGCCAGGGCAAATCGATGTAGCTTTGCAGTGGCCCTATAGGTTTTGATTGATTGATTTCTCTCGTTTTAAGTTACTAACCTATAGAGGTTACGCTGACTACGCCTACGCACAAAAGGACTCAAAAGACGCCAATATTAAGAGAAGAGAACAGGGTATCACAGAACAAGTGGCATGAGTCGACAGAAAATAACGGTTCGGGCGCGAATGACGAGGGCGAAGCCTACCACGCGCTGCGAACCATGGCACGAAGCTGCCAACGAAAAAGGAGCCCCAGAAAGCCCCTTAATAACAACGATGGTTAACCGAAAGGGCGTAAACAGCACCAGCAAAAGAGCTGCCGTCAGTGAGGGCGGACAGCTATGAACGCTGCGCGCGAGGCCTACAGGTATAAAACGGAGTCTCTTGCTCCCAGTCCACTACATCTTGCACAATATTCGATTGAGCAGCTTACACTACACACGAACGATGGCACCTCCGATTCTCCTCTCCGTCGAAGGACCGGCGAACTCTTTCTATCAGACAACACGGAACTCCCAGGCGGGCCTACGGCCCTATAGGTTGGTGTGATGCAGGTGTCGCGCCGTGCAGCATGCTTGAGAAATATAAAAATAGATATTATTTAAAAATAATACTTTATATAATACTATCTGCAGCGCTTATACATTTTGCTTTAGCGAGAGAGTCTCCCGCTATTCATGTTCGTTAGATCTGATAGGGGCCACGAACCTTAAACTCGTGATGCGGAAAATGTATATCTGCTCTGTGCTCGATACACTTGAAGCACAGATCAAACAAGGCGCAAGTCGCGAGCTCACTAGTGCACACGTGGCGGTCCCCGAATATGTACTGCAGTCTCAAGTGTCAGCACGCGCGTCTTGGGGGCACGATGTAGGCCAGGCGACAGTTGTGAACTTACGCAGCGGCAGCAATCACACGCTCCGCGCGTGCTCTCTCCCGCCTCGGTTGGCTTGTCTCCTCCGGCATCATCCGAGTCGCCATTATCCACTCTGAGCTCTGTTAGCGACTGGGATTCCCAGTCATGAAAGACTGCGACGTGATAAGGGAGCCAGCCTGCGGGGCGGATGGTCCTCTCCGTAATTCTGGCGCCTTTGTCGATCAGGATCTTCACGAGCTCGCGTCTCTCGGATCGGCACGCCCAGTGGAGAGGCGTCCACCCGTCGATGTCGGTCTTATTGATTAACGAGTCGGCGAGATTTTCGTCCTCAAGCACTTCTTGGACAAAAGAGACACTGCCAATGCCACAAGCCATGTGCAGAGCGTTGCGGTGTTGACGGTCCTCCGAAGCGATGGTTGACTTGTCGCTCGTGAGTTGCTTTGCTAATTCCCAGTCGTCACCTATCGTGGCTAGATGCAGAGGAAGCCGGCCCATCATGTCAGGCTGATTTTTCAAGTCACCCTGCTGGCCGAGAATGAGAGCCACTATGTCCTTATCCGCTGAGATGGCTGCGGCGTGAAGGGCGGTGCCCCAGTAACCATGGAGCAAGTTGGCGTCGAAGGCTGCTGAGCTGTCCAACGGCGCGGGAGTCGGGCCCTCTCCGCCCTCGCCGCTCTGAGGGGCCGGTTTCGCCCCCCAGTCGATAAGTGCCTTCACCTTGGCAGCGGGTTCTCTCTGACTAATGAGTGCGGCCTGGAGTGCCGTGCCGTCGTATCCTCCAACCTCGTTCACATCCATCTGATCTTTCGAATGCTCCCAGATTCGGCACAGTATCTTAGCCGAGCCGTAGCGAGCAGCATATTTAAGGATTGAACCTATCTCGAGATCGCCCTCACGCATGACGGGTTCAAACTCGTCCCAGACCTGGACAAGTGCATCAAACGAACTTGGCCGACCGTCCCTGATGACGAGGCGCATAACTTCTGTCGGAGTAGGAATTTCTTCTGGAAGAGATCCGCCCGAGGCCAGCCTCTTCATTTTGTCAAAGTGCTTCAAGAGGACCTTTAGGACACTTGTGGACGAATTCATCAGGGTGAATTCGAGGAGACTGGAGTAATAGGACCAGTAGTCAGACAGACGTGTTACGGCGCCATATTCTAGTAGCAGCTGGACCACTGCTTCATTTTCGTGGAAGATTGCTTCCGTCAACACTGACCTCTTCCTTTTGATTGGGGTTTCGGTCGATGCGCCTGCATCCAGGAGCTGCCTCAATGAGTCCAACGATGACGACAGCGATGCGAGGGCAAGGGGCGTCATGGCCGACTGGTTGACCGCTTCGATATTGGCCCCCCGCAGCAACAGGAACTGGACCACTCGGGCGTGGTTCGATTCGGCGGCATAGTGGAGCGGTGTGTTGGCTCCTTCGCCCTTGGCATTGACGCACTCCTCACGGGCCGCCGGATCTATGTTGGTGGCAGCCTTGAGAATTAGGCCCAGAGTGCGTTCCAGCCCGTTCTTCGCAGCGAGGATAAACTCAGCCTTGAGGTCCTCGCCGGACAGACGCGGGACCAGCAGCTCAACAATCTTCTGATGGCCACCCACCGCGGCCTCCGTTATCGGTGTTGATAACCGGTTGTCCTGTGCCTTCAGGCTAACTGACTCCCCCTGAGCGAGGAGGAACTCGACTACAGCCAAGTGTCCGTGGTCACAGGCGTAGTGCATTGCCGTTCGCATCTCATTGTCTATCGGCTCGTCGCCCTTGACGTACAATTGCTCGACGAGCTCGACAGCTCCGATCATCGCCGAGACCATTAATGGCGTCCGCCCTTTGGGATCTTTGAGTTTCGAGGGCTCTCGCAAATTCCTCATGATGGACTGGAAGCTCGCGCGCATCCGGTAGCACTCCACTGCCGTAAACAGAGCCTTTCCAATGATCTCCTCCGCGGCGACAAGGATCTTGTCCTCTTCTTGACCAACGCTCGCGAAGCTGTCGCTGCTGCTATCGCTGTCGTTACCATCGTGACTGTGGCGAGTTCGTGCAGCAATTATTTCCCCAACAACCACCGTGAGGTACTCTTCATAGACACGGGTAGCCACTTCATCTTTTCCGCTTCTCAAAGCCAAGAAGAGGGCGTAATTGTCGTGGCTCTTCAACGAGAGCCGGCAACCATGAATATCAAAAAGACTTTCCAGGGTCTTCAAGAATCCGTACTTGCACGCGAGCTGCAACGCTGACATGCTATCTTCCTCATCCACCAGAATCTTCAAACGCAGTGGCTTGAGTGCCTCGCTGAGGGCGAAGAGGCCTCGGGCCGACGTAATGAGTAGAGGACTGAACTGTGAAGGAGGATCTGTATCGAGCGTTTGATTTCCGTTTCTGAACTGAGCGCTTTGCATCAGGTCTGCTACCAGGGACGCCTGTCCTTGGTGGCAAGCGACGTGCAGAGCGTTCCAAGGATACGACTCTTCCAGAGGGAGAGGGGACAGATCACCGCTGAAGTTCAAAATCCTCTTCACAACGTCACTGTCGCCATACTCGCAAGCAACCTGCAAAGCAGTCCCGAGGCTCGATGGGCCAGCATCTTCCTGCTTGTGCCCAAGAGCGTAATCTGGAGCCATGGTCAGGAGCTCGATTGTTGCGCTTTCATTTCCAATGGCGATGGCAATGAGCAGGATTTCGACAAAGCTCTTGCGGAGGAAGTCACCGCTGTCGAACTTTGTAAGAAGCCGGGCACGCAGACTGCTAGGGGCAGCGGCGATAACTCTCTGCAGCATGCTGGACTGCCGGCAAGTGTGGTAAAGTGTCTCCTGGACACTGAGGATCATGTTGAAGTACGCGTCTTCTGGCAGGCGCTCACTTGCTATTCCAAGAAACAACCAGTCGAAGTCGTCCTCTGCAGCGAGGGGTAGTGTGGCCATACGGAATGAGATGTAGCAAGCGTCCCACGAGCTAAGTTCGAAGGTCTTCTGTACGACGTCGGGGTGGATCTTGTCCCTCAATCCTTCCCCAATATCGGGGGACCAGTATGATGATGCCAGATGTTGGATCCAAGAGTTCCGGTTGAAAAGAGGATTCCCGTCTAGCGTCCCGCGAAAGGCCTCGCCTGCATTGCTAGCATCACGCGTGCCTCGAAGGTGATGCTCGATCCAGTATCTAGTCGCATATTCTATTATAGCCCGGTGGGCCTTCGATGAGTTGGAACTGGGAGGCTCCGTGGCCCCATGATCTGCCGCCGCCTTGGTCTTGGACTCTGGATGGGTGGTTGCCGCCGGAGAGCGCTCTTGAAAGCGAGCCGCCGCAAGAGCAAAACAAGTCCGCGCAAGATGGAGCTCCGGGTTGAGACTACAGCCGGGGTGCTTAGCCCAAATGCCGCTCAGTCTCAACACGAGCTGTGGTGGTACCGAGACCACATCGTCCGTAATAGAGAAGAATCCCGGCAGAGCAAGCTCGAGGGCATGGAGCAGTATCCTACCATGCTGCATCTCGATCGGGATTGAGCGCTCATCAGCACACACAATCTCCAAGGCTTGTTCCATCTCGATGCGCGACAAGGGCCGGATAGCAAAGGAAGCCCAGACCATGGCGCGCAGTGCCCAAGTCATGCTGTTATCGATGCATTTCGACAGTGTTTGTTCCGATAACATGAGAATGTGGCCTGAGTTCGACGGCAACGTTGGCTCGGTTCGCGAGGCTGACATCTCCTCGTAGTGGAGCACGGCGTCATCATGAGTAGTGACCATCCTAGCCCACAGCTCGGTGGAGCGGTCTTTGATTCGGCCTTGCAGAGGACTTTTCCGTTCCTCTTCCGTCCACGCCGTACCATCGCTAGAGGATAGGTCGACACTAGGGGAGGTATCCAGGGCATTCAACCCTGTCTCTGTGTTCGGGGATGTGGAAACAAGGAGCCGAAATGAAATCTCTGATTCCTGCATTAGAGCCAAGATCTGGGCCAGGATATCTTTTCGAGAACTGTCTGAAGCGTAGTGGATCAGACAGTACGTGGCTCCGCGTTTAGGAATGAGAAGAAGAGTCCTCAGGCATCGTGCCAGAGCCCTCGACTTCCAGCGGCCGTCTACCCCAAGAATGGCATCTCTCAAGTTCGGGTAGAAGTGTCGGATCCACTGAATCAGACTTGGCTGCTGCTCCAGGAACTGGAGACACAGAGAGGAATAAAGCTGTTGAACTGTAGATGGTATTTGGCAAGGATGATCACGCCCCAGCCGAAGGAAGATGTTCGCTTTTCCCTCATTTGCAGTCGCAACGTGACTTGAAAACGAGTGGCAGAACTCTTCAAAATCCATACGTTCCGCCAACATCAGGCGGATGATGGCGTTGGAAGATGCCTCTTGCCACGTCTGGGCATTATCCTCGGCGAGAAAGAGCCGCAGGGGCTCTCCCCGTGACTTCCTGTCCACACTCGAAAAGCCTGGAGATATTCGCTGGTCAATTCGCAGCGTAGCGACGAACTTCCGATAGACCTTCCAGTGGCCTTTATAGCGCCAAGCGCATTCATGTTAGCGCATCGTCATTAAATGGGGACTGCGAGAAACATACGAATCGCTTCATCGAGCATTCTCTCCTTTACGAATTCTTGTTGCTGATGTCCCAGCAGGATGCCAAGTTGATAATGACTCCGCTCCAGCAGGACCGTCACTTCCGTGTCAAGTCCCACGGTAGCACAAGACGGGTCTGTAATCTGAGCCGAGGTTTGACAGCATTAGTAGAAGACGTTTCTCAAATACGGGAACTTACCAGATCGTGGTTTGGTGACCCGCTCTTCTGGCAAACGTTCATGACCCGGAAACCAGAACCCAGCTCCCTGAATTGGGCATTGAGGTGTTGTTGGTAGTTAGACATCTTTTCAACAAAGGCAGGAACCCACGGTCCCAGGAGCCCCCTGAAACATGAATGCAGGATACGTAGCGCGTTGACAGCCCAAGTCTGCGAATCTGAAGACCGGTGGGGCGTCCCGTAGAAGACCTATAACAGTATCCGCCGTCAGTCACTGACTACGGCTACCACTCCGGCGGGGAAGAGAGAGAGAGAGAAGGGAGGAAAGGGGGGAACGGTGGCCAGGGTGCCCAGTGTAACTTAGATACGCACTACTAAGCTGGTTTGATCGAGGATCATCCTGTATTTCTCCTTCAGCGATGCCGTGACCAATGCCTTGCACAAGGTAAGCTAGGCTTGATGCCGGGGTTAGCATGAAAGGCCAGGTTCTCCATTACCTGCTTGACGACCGTCCCTCCAAAGTCATACGTAAAGTACATGATAGACAATGGGGCTGCGGCTCCCTCTTCCTTCGTGTCTACTTCGTCAATCAGGAAGTCGAGAAAAGCGGTGGCGACTTGGCAGACGGTCTCCTCGGACGCGGATTCACCCACGACTCTCGTTGGGTCGTAGTGGAATGTCAGCTTCCGACTCTCGCCGATGAACTCTGGCAAAGACTCGGACGAGTCCAGCAACTGAGGGTAGGTGTTACCGTCTATGCCACTGACGAAAACCGCACTGCAGTTCGTGATCAGCTTGGAGGTACTAAGGCCAAGTAGAGGGTCCGTACTATGCTCCGGGGGGTGCAGGAATGCCGGAGCTCGAGACGCCAGGAAGACTGAACACTGGTGGCTCTTGCCACGGCGGAGGCTTGGTATACATTGTTGCCCTCACGATGACAGAACGCGTGAAGAGATTGTCATGTGCGATGTTCAGGCGACGGCGTAGTTTGTCCTTGTAGGGGACGAGAACCCGGAGCTGCAACCTCAAATACTGCAAATAAAGTCTGACGCAGGAGCACTCGGCAAACGAGATTTGGTTGGGGGTGTGCGAAAAGGCTGAAATCGGTGGGCTGAGACTGAGAAGCTGAGACGCACCCACGGCACCGCTGTGGAGGGTCGAGTGACACCCCGATTGGCTATCTGGTTGTCGGTGGTGACACGAGTTGCGTTATCAGCTTTGTAGATCATTGGCTCTTGCGATGTGATGTGTGCGAATTTCTGCGGGAGTCGAGGTCGCGCATGCAGCATGCCGCCTCACTCGGCTAAACCTGACACTCTCGAGTTGACTAAGCAGGCATGAGTCCAAACGCCTCCGCTGCTTTCGCACAGCTTCGACTATGCCTTTTCCTTCATGTTGTTGAGCTTAGCAGTAACAATCTTGACCCTTACAAGCCAACGACGCCGACCGGACCGAATTTCACAGCCAAAATGAGCCAGAATTACGTGCCGTACGATGACGAGGAGACCGAGGACAAGTCGGTGGGGCCTAAGAAGAAGCTGCAAGATTTGTTCATAGACATCTCAGAGGCACCACAAGATGTCGATACCTTGAAGACCGACAACGTACTACGTGAAAGGTACAAGAAAAAAGTCATTCCCTTCATCTCGCGCTGGGCTCAGGACCCTCGCGCGCCCAATTTTGTCCATGAAGTGCTGGAACATGAAGCCGTCGTCGTGAACCACAATGGCGACGAGAAGCTGTTCGGGCAAAAGCACAAGGAGTTCCTCCTGGCCATCGCCATTCCAGAGAACTTGGATCAGCTCGCGGTCCAATTACCCGAGGGCAACGGACGTACGGCGCTGCACAAAGCAATCGAGTCTGACAAGAAGCCACCATCCAGTCCCTTCACGTCACTCTTCTGCAAATTAATGGAGGAGGGCATCAAGGGCGGCCAATTAACTAAGAAGCAAGCCGCCGATATCATTTCCAAGACAAACTCGGAGGGGGAGACCTGCCTCCATCTGGCTCTGATGAAGGACCTCGACGTTGCCGAGAGGCTCATTGAACTCGCCGACGATGCAACATTCATGAAGCGGCGGGGGAATGGGAACACTCCTCTTCACGATGCGCTCGAGTTTCCTATCGAAAAGAAAAGTCTCAACAAGCATAGATACTTGGTCCCGGCCCCAAATTGCAAGACGCCGACGCTCAGAATGCCCATGGACAAGTTCGCTGAGGTTGCCCAACCCGGCGACGCAACGCAGCCGCCGGACTGCTGCGCTCGTTGCTGGGGCATCGACAGGAAGTATCGGAAACTCAAGGAACGGCGATCCCGTATTGTCTGCGCTCTGGTGCGCAGGTACCCTGCTGCCCTGGCCATCCATAACGAAGCCGGAAAGTCGCCATTCAGCCACCATATCATGGCCCGAGAAGAGTTCAGGAGGAAAAACCCAAACTTCAACGATATCATGAACCCGGGCAAGGCGGCCCATCCACAGCTGGATATACATGTACCTGAAGTATTGAGCAGAACGAGGGGATCTGTCCTTACACGTAACACGAACGGTGTACAAGGAGGTGGCAATCAAGATGTTGGTCCATCATCACCACCCCTAGGAGATGCGATCAGTTCAAACCCCAGATCGTCAAATGCTCCTGGCCATGGAGAACAGCTTGCAAACGTGGGTTCCCCTAGGCCGCCCAGGGGGAGCATCTCGTTTGGCCACGGAAGTATCGCCCGAACCAGAACCCTACAAGACCTTGGGGCCCAGCAGACCAAGGAAGTTGACGACTGTTCACCGGAGTTGCCCCGAGATTGGTTCCACCTCTCTGTGGAGGTAGAGGAGCTGCTCTGGGAGACAGCGTTCTGCATCGGGGGCTATAAGGAGGCTCGCTTCTGCCTCTTTCCCTCAACCCCCGCCCGCCAGGGCACAGATGCGGAAGGTAAGCCAGTTTCTTTCTTTCCAACATATTCACGCAAGCATGGAATGCTTCCTCTACCCCGACGATAAAATGTTTTGCTGACGCGCCCCCAGTTTCCTCCGAGGACGAAGAGTTTCATGATGTCTTCATTCCCACTGGCAGAGTCACTGTGAACACGAAGAAGCGCTATCCTCACTTCAAGTTCGTGCCAACGCTGGCCTACGTCCACTTGAAGGTGACGCCCGCTCCGAAAGTAGAGGAAGATCAGACGGCGACGACCGAGGCACGAGTGGACTGGAGAGACAAGTCATCCCAGGCACTCGAGATGCTCTTCGATTGGCTGACAGGGCCCAAAAAGGTGAAACGAATCTTAATGCTCGTGGTGGAAGACAATGATACGTTCCCCTGCAGCGAAGCGACCATTCAGAAATGCCTGAGCAAACTGGACGACGTTCGCTATCTCAATTGGAGACGGCCCAACATCTCGGTCCAAACTCTTGAGAAAGCGAAAAACATAGTGGAGCTATGGCTGTACTCGACTGGGATCAATGCTGTTCTTTCGAGCTGGGCTGATCAAGGAGGGCTGCAAAAGCTGAAAAAGGTACATTGGAGAGCAAGATATGAGTATCGAGCGGACGAGCGGACGAGCTGACGTGGAATACCGTAGTTGCGCAAAGTGCACCTCGACGCAAAGCCGGTTAGTACTGCTGGATCTCCTTTGTCTGTGTATCTTACTTACAAGTTCTCATGTCGAGAAGGTGGCCCCGCTCACGAGGAACAGGGAATGGAAACCGACGAAGCGAATGAAGCGAACGTGCAAAGCTTCGAAAATAAACTAAAAAGCTGGTATGACAAGACGAGAGCGGCCCCGCTTGTGGAAGTAGATCCCATATCGGCCAGTTCAACAAGGGGGAATGTCGCACAGGGCGACAGCGGGACCAGTGCTAAAATGTAAGTTTTTCCTCCTCCAATCAATCTGCACCAGGCTTTCGTGTCTCTAACAGAAGATTACTGTAAAAGGCCCAATACCTGGCTCAGTAAGATGGAGAAGTTGACCAGCGAGCTGAACGCCAAATACTCGCCGGAGGTCCCCGATGGTGATGACTCGGACACGGCGTCAAGTGATGGTAAAGATGCGACTGACTACGTTAAAGTGGCTTTATTAGATGATGGCGTAGATCCGGAGTCGGAGGGTCTGGGTAAGTTCATGTCAGGACGGGGATGGCCGCGACCGTCGGAAGATGCAGGAGGACGCACCCAGCCGGAATCATTCTACACGTCGGGCCCGATGGAACACGGCAATCAGATGGCTAAGCTGATTACCATGGCGTGTCCGTTCGTGCGTCTGTACGTGGCCAAGCTCAACGCGAGTGGGCCCTCAGAGATGCTGCACCATCCGACTTTTGACGTCGCCCAAGCTATCAAGGTAGGTCGGCGGGAAGAGATGCCCCGGAGTCTTTCAGATTTGCACATGGTACTGATTCGTGCCGTTTGCCAGGCTATTCGGTGGGCTATCCAAAACAAAGTTGAGGTCATCTCCATGAGTTGGAACGTCATGCTGGACGACAACCACAAGCACAAGGAGGAGCTGGAGGACGTAATTAGGTATGCCAACCGGGAAAAGATACTGCTGTACTGCGCCGCGAGCGAGAAAAAGCCGAGTACATCGGGAAATAAGGCCTGGCCCAGCAGCTGCCAAGAGACGTTCAGCATCGGCGCCGCCAGCAACCATCGTATCGCCAAGGACTATGTGGGCAGCGACGCGCGCTTTCTCTTCCCCTCCGATGATCGCGGGCGTGACGGCGGCAGCTCTGCCGCGACGGCCCTTGCCGCCGGCCTGGCCTCGCTGATACTGTACTGCCTCAAGAGCAACCGCCGAGAATACGAGCGCAGTAACATGGAGAAGGAGGAACAGACGGGGCAGAAGGAGAAGCAAGGCCGCCCGGGGCACCAGCAGCAGCAGCGGCCGTTGTCGGCCGCCGGGGACAACCCCCGCGAAATGATGGAAAAGGTCTTCGATAGCCTGTGCCGGGAGAAAGGGAGCGGCTATCTCGACATCGACCCGCTTCTGGGCAAGGGTCCAGTATCGTACGGGACTATTACGAAGCACTGCAAGCCATATATCAAGACCGGCGCGAACTTGTTGGGGAAAGCAACGAGAGAGGCCGCAGAGAACGGCCGTAGGACCTAGTTTGGCAGCGGGGCGGAGCACGCGTAAGCACAAACGATGGCATCAAGCTCGACGAAAGCGAAGGAATGGTAAATCTCAGACATTGACAATGGTAACTGGCTTTTGGGCAAATTGGATCATGTTGCCGGATATGGGTACTGCTACACGTGACTTGGGTCATATATGTATAGCACATATTTCTCGTATTCTCAATTAATCAACTCATGTCTCAATACTTGCCACCGACCCCGAAAGGTCATCACTGCGCGCGAAACATCAGGCATCCAGAGTAGACCCAGAAGTGAAACACATAAGGCACATCCGCTACCAGCTGCCGCCCGTCATCACATAACATTCCTCATCAAGCCTCAGACGCAGCGGCGCCTTCACCAGGCACCTGTGCTGCCTTCTTCGCCAGCTCCTCGGCCGAGCTAACGCCCCAATCCTTGATCAGCACATCTTCCAGGTTGAGCTTGTCGAGGTTCTGCCAGTCGCGCGTCGTCGCCCGCGCCGCTACGTCGTCGTCACCAGCCTCCCCTTTGCTTGACCCGGGGAGCACCGTCGGGTCAAAGGCGGCCGGCCCATCCTTTGGTCGGATGGGCAGCGCGCGCAGCAGCCGGGCGGTGAGGGAATGGTTGGCCTCGGCCACAGTGGTCACGTTGAACTTGCCAAAGTCCAAAGGCTGGCGCCGCAGGAGCACTGCCGTGCGCGCCTCGTACTGTACTCCACTCTTGAGCTGCGCGTTCTCGGAGAGCTCCCACTTCATGGCGTTGCGGGTTCCTGAGTTTTTGCCCACGTACGTGGGCCCGCCCGTGATGTAACGGTAGTTGATGCGCTCGACCGTCTGCGACGAGCCTGTATTCCGCTTGCCCGTCAGGGCGAGATAGGGGTTGTAGCCGGCCTGCCCGCCGTACTCGGTGTTGACGGCTTCGGTCACGGGCGCCTGGGAGAAGTGGCTGAGGATTGTCTTGTCTGGTGCCCACTGGATTGGGACTGGATCGTAGTCGGCGACGCTGTTGCCCGGCCGGACGCCGTCCCTAAGGCCGATGGCTCGGAAGTCAACTATGATCTTGACGTTCTTGATGCGGTTATCGCCCGCCCCGGGCACGAGGCGCCACTCGAAAACCACCAAGGTGCGCGGCTTGCGCTTGTCTTTGTCCTTGTAGCCGTGGACGACCTCGACAAGACGGCCCTTCACCCCCGAGCAATCCTTAGCTTCCCAGCCGATGAGGTCTTCGCGATGCGTCTGCCCTGGTCTGTCGTGGAGCTGCCATTCCGCCTCTTCTTCGTTTGCGTATTCGAATGGCTGGGAAATCGGCCAGTCATCGCTCATCTTCGATAGTTTAGATGCGTACTCTAGGTGTTATGTTACCTCGATGTCCAATGTCCAAACCAATCTACCAACTTCCTTAGATCGGTAGGTACTCACGTAGAAATTGAGACGGCTCGACAACGCCGCGGACCAGGCTGCCATAAATGTCTTGGTCTCGCGACCGGTGAAGTCCGCAGGGAAATCCGACGCGAGCTGAGATGCCGTCAGCTCCGTGGCTTGTCCGGAAATTTCTCCCGGCCAGTAGTGTTCCATATTCTAGGCGCTGTGGACTAGGCTGCTTTGAATGTCTTGGTCTCGCGATCGGCGAAGTCGATTAGGAAACAACGCAATCTGAGATGCCGTCAATTCTGTGGCTTGTCCGCGACATTTCTCCCGGCCAGTAGTGTTCCATATTCTACGTCCCTCACCATACGCAGTCTTCGCCCAATGAAAAACAAAACCAACAGCCAGCCGTCGGCATGGCCCTGCGCATGGAGCGGGCTGCGGGCGTAACAGAACAAAACATTCTACATGCAATCACATTCTATATGCAATCACATTCTACAGGCAATTGTGTCGCAACGAGGGTTAGAGCCAAATTCCGACGAGGATCGAAACTGGGTCTCAGAGGGGAACGAGATCCGAAACCGAGCACCGAGAACTGAATCGATAAGCAATTACTAGCATCAAATGGGAGTCGGATGGGCCCGGTGATTAGAATTTAGCTCCTGGGCATATTACCAACCAATTGTACATGCAGGAGGGCTTGACGCACATGCCGCTTGCGGACGTTGCAGATCATCAAGAATTCAGTAGTCTGCTAAGGTTATCCCCATGGTAGGATAACCTGCGAACACTACTCGCTCGAGCGATGCCCCGGACTTTTCCGTCCGATGGAGAGGGTTATGGACTGACGCTGCGGAGTATTTGTTGCCGAAGCCTGCAGTGTCCCCGCTTCGATCGTCGGGTACTGTATTTCCCCACTCAACGCACAGACCCCACTCAACGCACACTTTTTAGCATCTCTTACCCCCCTCTAAAATAAGAACTATAATAGATAAATAAATAAAATTTTAGTATATTATTTATATACTACTAGTAACTCTATATTAGCTTAGAAATTTTAAAAAGCTGTAGTATTTAGTTAGTAATTAAGATTTATAAATTTATTAAGTTTTTTTAAAAACTTCTAATATATAGCTTATAAATTAATATATAAGCTTTTTTATAAAATAAACTTATATAAATACTTAATATAAATAAGTTTATATAATAATATACTCTATAAGTAAACCTTTTATATAAGTAAATTTTCTAAAAATACTAAGTATAAAGATTAACTAGTATTTTTTAAATAACTAAGTAAAAACTTAATATTTTTTAATAAAACTTTAAATATATATAAAACTATATAATATATATTTATTATTATATTTATACTATATATTTATTATTATATAAGCTTAAAATTAGCTTTTTTCTAAAATTAGCTATATTTAAAGTTTATATCTTATAAGTACTAGTAAATCTTAATAATAAACTATAAAACTTTATATACTATTATTTTATAATCTAATAAGTATATAAGTAATAGTAAAACTTAATTATAGTTAGAAAAAAATAAGTTACTAGAATAAATTATAAATTAGATATTTTTTAAATTATTTTTTAAATATCTTTATAACTATATACTTCTAAACTACTAAACTTTAGAAAATACTTTATAATATACTATATAATATATTTTAAAAGTTTTATAGTTTATTATTAAGATTTACTAGTACTTA